AGTGGGGGGTGGGGGCTTCGACTTCCTTGAGGAGGGATTGGAGGAAGCTGGGGCCTTCTGGTTTCTCGACGATGCCGCTGCGATGGGGAGGGGGAGGTGGTGGTGGTGGTGGTGGTAGTAGTGGTAGTGATGGTGGTTGGGCCGTCGACGTCCCAGGAGCGGAATCGCGGCGCGATGACGACGCGGCTTCTTCGGGCGTGGTGTCATGCGTCTCCGGCGGCCGTCGCGTCCGCGGACGTTTGAGCTTTCGTTCCGGTTCAGCGGGCGCCTCGGAGGGCGACGTCGTTACCGACTTCCGCTTCCGTCGCCCGGACGTACTCCCCGGTTCCTCGTCCAGCTGCCGCGCCTTGTCGAAGGCGTTCCACGCGCGAATCTCCTCCTGCGACTCTGGTTCCGGCTTCGGATGCACGAGGACTGCCGTCTCGCGGAACCGGTTGCCCGCCCCTTGGGACGCGGCTATCTGCAGCCGTCGCTGCCAACCGGGGAGGTGTTCGGCCTCGTCTACGCGCGCCTGGTCTTCTTCGTCGAAAGGAAACTCGAGGTCGAAATCTAGGCGGTTGAAGATCGATCGCCACACCCGTTCCCACGCCAGGGATGCCGCGCCTCGCCTTGGAGGCGGTCGTCCTCGTCTCCCCTGTCGCCATCGGGTCTGTTGTTGCTGTTCACGGCACTTGTAGCAGATCCATGGTCCCTCCGGCGCCTCGTCGAACCCGGCGCAAAAGACGTGGCACGGTTCGTCGCAGTACTCGCATACGATCACTTCGTGCTCTTCGCCGACCTCTTCGCAGACCATGCACGGCTCGCCGAGTTCCTCGTCGAAGATATCGTCGTCCACCACTAGCCCGGGATCAACCTCCGCCATTTGTTGCTTTTCGTCGACTGCGTATGTTGATAGTACATCACCTAGAGACCACGTTAGTTCCTTTGAATTCCAAACGTCGAGGAGTTGGCTTTGCGCCAACCAAAGGCGTACCTCCCACGGTGGTACTGAGCTCCACCATCGTAAAACTGGCCCGACATATCGGACAACTGTTCGCCCTCTCCACCCATGGTTTCAAGCAGCTATCGTGCAAATAATGCCCGCATGGCAGCAAATGAGCCACGAGGTCATCGTCCACGATTTCGGGGGTTGCGTCGGACTCGGACGTGCTCGCATCTTTGGCTATCGCGGTGACGGAGTCGGACCTGGCGGCGGCGACACCAGGCACTGAAGCCTGTCTCGCAAGACCGTGGTTCAGGTCACCGAGGCACACGATGCATGTCTCTGCCATTTAAAAGAAAGACGCGGGTCGGCGGACCTTGGCACGTCTCGGTTGCATTAGAAAATCGAAATTTGAAAGGGTGATGATCGGACACTGCAATGGGATGACGGAGCGGAATTTATGATGGAGAAAGGTGGAGGGAGGAATTGATGATGATGGCAGATGGAGTGTCTAGTTCTGGTGGTGGAACTGTTCAGTTGATGGACATGGAGCAGATGGCCGGCTGGGGAGTGCCAACAAGGGTGTCACACACACGTCCAGCAGAGCGCTAGAGGATTGGGTGGGGATTCCTTCACGGATTGGCAGTGCTGCATGGAGCTTCGAGTCGGCTGTGACAAGAATCTGTGACAAGAGACTTGGAAGACGACGGTGGTGCATGTGGCAGGGAAGTTCTGAAAGGGTGAAAGAATGGTTCAGAAATTCCGAACCGAGAGGAAAATTGCAATCAGCAGGGTGTTTGACCTTTATGTAAGAAGACTCAAGTAAGAAGCAGGCCACCAGTAGAGATCAGCTTTCGCTTCCACCACAGGTCCAGTTACTCCCACCGCTACTATCGATATCAGGCCGAACCCTGATTGGCGTAGCGCTCTTACTGAAGCCATCACCTTTCGACACACTCCGTACACGTGCACAATCGTAGGCTGCAACCCAAGACATCCACGGTGAATGACCAGACTGCATGTTCGTCTCGATGCGAGGTTGGACGTTTATCACGGGAACATCACACAAATACCAGGAGCGTGGCTGGGGGACACTTGGTTGTAGCGGAGGCGCAAGATTTATGCGCGCTTCGGACCAAACGGCTCGATATCGTTTCCGAAAATGAAACTTCAATACGGGTGGACCTTGGGGGAGACAGTGAATTGTCGGATAGAAAACCAATTCGCACTTCATAGGTAGATGGACATGGAAACGTAAGCTCCTCGGCTGAAGTCGTGTTGATTAAGCTCTGCTCCTTAGAAACCGTTCCAGCAGTCTCGAACGTCGTTGTTTCGTCGGCGTTGGATGTCGACAGGTCGTCAGAAGTCGGTCCTGCATGAAACAATATTCTCCTAAGGAAGAACATAACTATCACGGAATCGCTGGGTGTCACTAGACGTTCCGTTTTCATTCATTCCATTTTGATAACCCTATCGAGTCCCATGCAAATGCCTTCGTTGGCCCTGTAGCCGAGTTTTGACGCCGATGTACATGTGAACGCAAGTGTATTTCGAAGAGGTGGTGGCGGCAAGGAAGTAGCAAGTCGAAAAAATGCTCTAAACCTCAGCGATTTCGCGTAACCGACGGATCGTGGACCGGGTCGCAGCAGCGGCAGGAGTCCTGTCCGTTCTTAGTACCACATCTCATAGCCATCCATTTCGAGGATCGGAAACTTACGAGACAGTCCATGCGCCTCCGGCGACGGTCTTCTTGCATGACTTGCATGACCAGATGCCGACCGAATGTCGCTTGACCGAGTTCTTGCCGCAGAACGAGCAGGTGTATCGGGCGTGCTGGGTGATTTCCATCTTCTTCACCTGCTTTCGGAGGGATGCACCGTAACTGTGCCCGTGTCAGCGAATTGTTGCATGGTTGAGAAACCGTGTCGTCGGGCTAAGCGAATCGATGAATGGGGATGGATTACCGTGTGCCATATTTACCGGTCACGCCGACCTCTGCGATGGGGGTTAGCGATGGAAGAGTCAAAGGGGATGCTTCAGGATCTCACTCTTGGTTCGCTTCGTCATTTTGGCTGGGTTGTTCGACGAATGGTGGATAGACGGTCGATGTGGTCACGAAGTTGATATTGGCGGGTGAGGATTTTGATAATGCGAGTTGTGGTGTGGGGACGGAATTACCCGCTGAAATCCAAGGTCGGTTATGTCACGTGGACTCTCACTCATTACTTTGCAGCCTGAATGCCTTGCAACCTTGCGATAATTTTTTAGACCTTGTGGCCTTATCATTCAAACGTGAAACAGAAACTAGAACTAATTAAGCCATTTCAAACTGTCCCCATGGTCTCAACTCTCAATCGCATTTCATTCACAGCTCAAGATGCCAATACGGTTCAAAATGCTTTTCGCATTGTTTTCGCCTATAATATGCACATAAATACCGTATCAACCAATGCACACTGCTGAGAAGCCTCCATCAATTGGCAAACCAGAAGCAAACCAACATACTAGCCGCTCGGCAGCTTACAGTATGATTGGAACCTCCTCCACTGATGAGCCTGGATATAGAAATAGGTAGTCTTTTAACCTAGAATAGAAAAGGGAATTATGCTCTGAACCATATCAAAGCCTTCTCAGTTCTCACATGTCAATATGTTATGCATTGAAGTCCCAAGACCGTTTCCCATTCAAGCTCGGCCCGGATTCTGCATGGTCCGTAGGGCGGTCATAGAACCTTGACGTCGTCCATACTCCACCCATTCATCGCCAACCTTGAATAAATGAATATTCACCAAGGACTTTAATCACCATCTCCTCTTATTCAAATCTCTCCTCCTTTTCACCCTGTCCTCGCCGTTTCCCACTGTGACACCCACCCCACCATGGCCGATACCTCGAAGCAGTACGACATCGTGCTCCTGGGCGCCACAGGATTCACCGGGAAACTGACCGCGCAGCACATCGCCGAAAAACTCCCCACGTCCTTACGATGGGCAATCGCGGGGCGGAATGCTAAAAAGCTGGACGATGTCTTGAGCGATTTGACGAAGCGGTATCCGACCCGGACAGCGCCAGGTATGACGAGCAATGTTCTAGGATTCTACTTTATCTGATGGTGAAGCAGCCGTGGAGGTGGTTGACCAGAACGTCAAGGAATTGACGGCGTTGGCGAGGAAAACCAAGTTGATCATCTCTACTGTTGGTCCGTTTCATAGACATGGCACACCGGTGGTGGAGGCGTGCGCGACGACGGGAACACATTATATTGATAGGTACCTGAAAGCGCCTCCATGTTGTCCATTCTCATTCTCACTCCTTGTTACAGCACAGGAGAAGCCCCATGGGTCAAGGACATGATTGACAAGTACCATGATCTTGCCAAATCCACAGGCGCAATAGTAGGCAGCAATCGACGATTGACCCTAGTCGGTACTAATAGCCGTGTAGATGATCCCTCAATGCGGGATTGACTCCGTTCCATCCGACCTGATCGCATGGGCGTTGGTGGAACTGGTACGAAAGAAGTTGGACGCTGGTGTCCGAGACGTGGTCAACGGCGTGACCGTTTTCGAGTACGCCGTCCCCATCCCTCTATCCACCCCAGCTAACCCCCCGAAGCTTCAAACCCAGCGGCGGAACCCTCCTCACCATGCTAACCCTCCTGGAATCATTCTCCTTCAAACAACTCGGCACCTCGATGAGACCATTCGGCCTTTCCCCCGTCCCGCGGCCCCGCGCCACCGCCACCCGACCCGGCACCCTCCTGACCAAGCTCTTTGGCTACTTCCGTCACCCAGACATCGGGACACTGACCAGCTGGACCATGGCCGCGACGAACGAGGCGATCGTCGGCCGCTCGTGGGGCCTGTTCGACGGCGGCAAGCACTACGGCGGATCTTTCCGCTTTGGCGAGTTCCGTAAAGTGCGGAACGTCGTGGTGGCGATGATCATGCATTTCGGTCTCGCGTTTATTGCCAGCCTGGTCGCGTTCCCTCCTGCCCGGAAGCTGATCCAGAAATTGGTGGTTCAGCCGGGTTCCGGACCGGATCCAGAGTAAGCGAATCAACTATTTAGCTCTCGGCGTGTTATTAACGAGTCGCAGGACGACTAAGGGTAATCGATTGGAGTATCGTGCGGTGGCGGTGGCAGATACCTCACCTCCGCGGAAGGCGCTCGCGAAATTCAGCTATGAAGGAGACGGATATTATTTCACCGGCCTGCTACTCGCGGAGGCGGCCATGGTGGTGCTCGAGGGGAGTGATAAAGTCGCGGCGAAGCAGATGGGCGGTGGGATACTCACGCCTGCGACTCTGGGAGACGAATATGCGGACCGGCTTCGGAGGGTGGGCGTCCAGTTGGAGGCGTCGATGCTTTGAGTGTAGAATATTTTGATGGCCAGCCAGTAACATGTTCGAATTTCACCCAGATACGTGAGTTTGGAATCGCTGAATTCTTGCTACCCTGCCAGCATCCGCTTCTGCTGTGCCGGCGTCATCCGCTCAAACGTATCCACCGCCATCGTAAATGACCCTCGTCCCTTCGTCAGCGACCGCAGCGTCTTCAGATACCCCACCATCTCCCTCAACGGGACCTTGGCCGTGATATTCCGCCGCCGCCCACCGACCGGACTTCGCGCGATGGATTCCGTGCCTGTGCCGTTGTCCCCGAACGGATCCGGAGGCGTGTAGACGCGGCGCATGTCCACGACAAAGTCGGAATCGGACGACGCGTCGTGCTGCGGTTCATCAAGGTCGAGGGACATGACTTGGCCGCTGCGGGCGGAGCTCAGGTCGTGGACGACGGGGCCCATGCTTTCTTCGTTCACGTCGATCGCGACGAGCATAAGGGGCTCCATCAGTACAAAGCCGCTGGTTTCGACCGAGTTTTTGAGTGCGTGGGATGCCGCGCTCCGTGCGGCTCCGGAAATAGCTCCAAGCGTGGTGTCGGAGGAGAGGCTGGCCTGATCGAAAGAAAGCTGGACATGCACGCCGTATAGGGGATAAGACATCTTCGGTCCACGGGCCAAAGCCGCGGTGACCCCGTTTCTGGCGGCTTGAATGACCGATGGTAGGGTGAGAGTAGACGGGTTGTCTGATCCGCTTTCGAGTCGGGCATCGAATTCGTCTGCCATTCTAATGGTGAGAAGGTTCTCATCGGGTAACATGACCGTGTGGTCATCGTTACCTGACATGTTACTCAAGTCCTCATCCTGTCGCGGCGCTACAACAACGCTACAAGAAGCCTTGGACCGCTTTCCAGCAATTTCACGGTCGTATACCCCTGCCTGCACTTGCGAGGTGCGGATGATCGCTTCTCGGTACCCAATCTCAATCTTCCCGACGGAGACAACCGCTTTCAGGTCATTGATGAGCCTATCCGTCGCGATCTCCAGATGCAGCTCGCCCATGCCCGCAAGATGCGTCTGCCCGCTCTCATTGTCCGTCGAGACCGACAGGCTGGGATCCTCCCGCAGAAGAATCGCCAACGCTTCGGCCAGCTGCTTCTCAGCGGACAGGCTCTGGGGTTCGAGGCTAACGAAGAACACAGGGGGAGGGACCACGATGGGTTGCAATTGCAGCGAATCGATCGGCGGAGGGACCGACGCGCGGCCAACGTGCCCGAGAAGAGTGTCGCCCGTTCGAGCATGCTTCAGTCCTACGATGACTCCGATCTGACCCGCCTGGATCTGAGGAACATCGACGGCGTCGGAAGCGTACATCTCCAACAAGCGAGTCGCTTTCTCGACGAGCTTGAGGTTCGTATTGTATAAGTTGGAGTTCCGCGAAAGGGCCCCTGAATAGACTCGAACGTAGACTAGGACGCCGCGCTTTGCATCATTGACGACTTTGAACGCCAAGGATAAGCTCTCCATGGATTGAACCAGCGCCATGGGGCGTCGTGTTGCCAGGTTTTTTGCCTTTCTCGAGCGGGATTTCTGTGCTTCAAGGTAGGCCTTGATTGCTTCCCCCGAAAGCACGTCGTCAAGGATCGGTTGGGCTTGGTCGAGCTGCACTTTCGGACTTGGTCGATCCGACGGCGCCGGAAGAAATCGATTCACGCAGTCAAGGAGAGGCTGCACTCCGATGTTTTTCAAGCTCGCGCCGATAACGACCGGCACGACGCGCTGGGGGTCATGCAACGTGCATCGTCGGAGCGCATGAAGCATGTCGTGCTCCGATATTGCCAGGTGATTCTGGTCATTGTCGAGGAAGCTCTCGACCAGCTGATCATCGAACTCGCTGAGTATTTCCACTAGCGCTTCTCTTGCTTTTGCGATCTCCATCGCAAGCACCGTATCATGTGATTTTAACGACTGCAACGGAATCGATTCGATCACACGCCCATCCGACCCTGCGACCCACTTCAATGCCCTCAGACCAACGACATCGGCCAGGCCGATGAGTTTGCCCGCACCGTCAAACCAAGGGATCTGACACACCGCTGGCCACACATGGAGTCGAGATGCAATATCGCGTACGGTACGACGAAATGAGGCGCCGTTGCGATCCAGCTTGTTGACATACAGCAGCCTCGGGATCTGGTGATGGTCCGCCTGGATCCAGACTTTCTCGGTCTGGGCTTCGACGCCCGCCACTCCGTCTAAAATGCAGATGGCACCGTCTAGTACACGAAGAGAGCGGACGACTTCAAAGGTGAAGTCGGCGTGACCTGGAGTGTCAATAAGGTTGATCCGGTGCGACTGGTTATTAAGAGAAGGAACCGAGTCGCCAGCGACCGAGTCATCGGTGGCCCGAGGAGGCCAATGCAACGTTATCGCAGCGGACTGGATGGTGATTCCACGGGCTCGCTCGGCGGGTAGGAAGTCCGTCACCGTCGAACCCTCATCAACGTCTGGTCAGGAGAAAGTAAGTAAATCGAGGAAGTATGATAGATAACAATAAAAAGACGGAAAATGCAATAATCAAGACTTGAGCCTTTTAGCCGATTAAAGAAGTTGAATCTTTGCTTTACTGACTTCCAATACGTCGCGTGTGTCCACTATAATAGAGCATGCGCTCCGTGGTTGTGGTTTTGCCCTGTCATTGTCAGCACCCACATGCATCCCAAATCCCAGATCGGTCATCCATACAGCATCGATATGGGCTATGATCCCAATATTCCTCGTCCGAGAAAGCTCCACGCCATTTTCCTGGCGACCAACTGCTCGGGAGGCATGGAAGTTCCGCACCTGGCGCAACCTGAGAAAGCCATGAAACGCCTTTCGCGGCGCGCCAGCTCTCATACCCAGAATCCCCAATGTCGCTTTCGTTTTCCTACAGTCCGACAAATTCCAAAAGCAGGTAAAGGAGTGTTGATAATAATTGGGAAAGCTGGGGGAAAAAGTCGTAAGTTCCTCCTGAATTGTTTGATACTGTCGTATTTGACCTATCAGTCACATAGGACGCTGATTGGTCGAGCAGCTCCATACCCAAGCTCTCTTCCACTCCGCCCAGCAGCACTCCGACTTCAACTACACCAACTGCCGTGTCAGTTGACCTTCACTCTGATTGGGAGTAATAGTAATTCATACCATTTCCTGCTGCTAATTTACAATTTGCACGGAGTACTTAATCGGGATTCTCCCTCCAATATCCCGTCCTCGTCATTTGATCCACGGATCTTCCGGACCTTCCGCTATCAATACCATACCGCTGACCCGCTCTGAACGGCTCCAAGCGCACTCTTCTCCAAAATGGACTATTCCTCCATAGGCCAGGATCCAGATCATCCCGCAGAGGGATCCCCGTGGGCAACCTCACCACAACATAATAAAACCGAGTTCGGCGCCCCGTCCGCCGCCGACGTCCCTTCCGCTCCTCTCCCCCCGTCACCCTACAATGCCGACGACGATACCCACCCAGGGCTTCCCCAAAGTCCGTTCCGCGGAGGCGCAAATGGCCAACATCAACGTCAGGACTCGGATGATTTGGGGGCATCCGGTATGACCGATTCAGGCCATGGGGTACCAACGCCTTCGACTGCCCCTCGCGCAGAGCAGCATTTTCATGGAGGGGATATAGCGACGACCGAGCAACAACGGCCACAGTCCTCTCGCGCACGGCCGAGCGCGCCGCACTATAAGCTACAGGCCAAGATCACCGGCCTAGAGCGGACAAGCAAAAAGGATCCGATACTTAAGTTTGACGTCTATGTAGGTGCCTGTCGTGGTGCGTGGAGCAAGTGTGATAGTTGGCTAACATCGACATAAGACCAACCTCCCGAAATTCAGGACGACCCAATTCCGAGACGTCCGTCGCACCCATTCCGAGTTTGTCAAGCTAGCCGAGCACCTCATCTCTGCGAACCCAGAAGCATTGGTCCCTGCGGTTCCCACGTCGGTCACGTCCGCGGGCGTGGGAACGGACGAGGATGAAGTGCGGATCAAAACCGCCATTCAGCGCTGGCTCAACACCGTGTGCTCCAACGAGGTGCTGAAGCGGGATGAAGAGATGGTCTTTTTCGTGGAGAGCGATTTTGGTTATAGTCCGGTCGTCCGACGCAAACAGCCCGCAACCGGGGTGCGGCGGAAGATGCTGAAGCAGTTCGCTCCGCCGCCCGACGATACCCCCGAATTGGCGGAGGCAAGACCCGTCGTGAAGCTCTTCTACCTAGGTACCATGGATGCTAGCCAGAAATTAGAACGAGTCGTCAAGGCTAGACGCGGTATGTCATGTTGCGCGACAACACCTCATACAAGGATGCTAATATTTGACAGCACTCGGTTTAGCCGAAGCCGAACTCGGCGTGAAGATGGCCCAGATGCACGCCCAGGAAATCCATCAAGGGCTCTCGAACGCGTATAAAAAGCTAGGAAGGATTATCCAAATGGCTGGGGACTTCCATGCGGCCCAGGGAACGTCCGAAGCCACGACACTCGGCGACCCCCTTGCTTATCATTCCTCCGACGCTTTCATCGTCAAGGAGACTCTCACCAACCGGCACATCCTCCTCCGCGAACTTCTCCAGGCGCAGCAGTCTGCTCGGGCCAAGACCACCGCCGCCGACCGACTCCGATCCTCGTCCAGCGTCCGACGCGACAAGGTCGACGAGGCTATCGCCGCCCTCGACGAAGCCCTCTCGCACGAGACGCACCTCGGGCAAAAAGCCCAACGCGTCACCGCGAACCTCGTCCAGGAGCGCCGGAAGTGGTTCACCCGCACCGCAGCCGACATGCGGCAGAGCATCCGCGAGTACGTGGTCCGCCAGATCGAAGCCGAGCGCCGCACCCTCGCCACCCTCGAGACCGTGCGCCCTGACATCCGCGCCATCGATGCGTCGGGCGGCCTCTCCCGCCTGGGGAGGGAAGCGCATCCGTCTCAGCGACGGGTGAGCTTGGCAAGCAGTCAGGGGCCGAAAGGGGACGCCTGGAGTGGTGTGCCGAGGCGTCAGGATGGGCTCAATCGGAGCGTCAGCGGTGGGTTCGTGCATCCGGTTCCGGAGGAGGACGAGGCGGCGGAGGCGACGCCGAAGGGGAAACACGGCTCTAAAGATTCGGTGGACGAGGCTGATCAGGATCGGGTGGACGCGCGGAATGCGGCGAGCAGATTGGCGACCATGCTATAGTAGTCGAGTAGAGTAGCCTTGGAGCACTCTGGCGTATTGCGGGAATGAAATGATTGCCTACGGAATGGAAGGACGAGATTGTATCGGATGAGATTGTATCGCTAGCGAGCCGACTCTTAGACATGGCAATGAAATCAGTAATCCGAATCATATCTTAATTACGGTACCTAGGCACCTACCTCCGTACCTACCTGTAGGTACCTACCTGCTACCATGATCACAACTTATCGAATGCCGTCCATGTGTTGTGCAGGCAAGGGGATATGATATTGTGACCTTATTGCCTTATCCCACGCCCTGGCCGAATAGATAGCACGTGACCATTGCAATCCCCTGGAGTCTGCAGTGTCGGCAAGTTCCACTCAAACTCTTTCCTCTTTCGCATTCGAACACTTCCCGTTCCTCTTTCTTTCATTCTTCTACTGCATCGATAACACGTCTTTCATTCTCCGTCTCACCCTCTCCCACTCGAACTCGTTGCATTTCACTTGTCAGCCACAGCGCACAATAGCGATCAATTTCAAGCCGCCACTCCGCCGCTCGTTTCCTGAGTGTTGCGCAATTCCAACCGTTCACCCCATTTGACCGCAGACATGGCGGGACAGCCGGATATATCGTCCATCCTGGCCGCACTTGGTAAGTTATTGTGCCACTGCTTTGTCAAAAATTTTCCCAGTACTGGTACTGATGAATTCAATAGCGGCTCAACAGCCTTCGGCCCCGCAAGGACAACCAGGCCAACCTGGCCAACCTCTTCAAAACCCGCAGACGCAGCAACCTGGGCCATCGGGTTATGGTTTACCTAACCCCGGTGCTGGTGGCTATGGGCTTCCGCCGCCGACCAATACAGGTGCCCTTGACTTGAGTGCTATCAAACCTGTCAACTCCGGCTCTGTGTCCATTGCGGATGCGATTGCGAAGGCCCGTGGCATCGCTGCAGAAAAGGGTCTCGCTTATGACTCAGGACGCGCTTCGACGGGTAAGTTATTTTCAGATGCACTTCACCCAAGCACCAGGATACTGACATTCCTCTCAGGGCCTCGGTCATACCGACGCTCACGATCCAGATCCCGGACCCCTCCTCGTCAAAGCTTCCGGGACAACTACAATCCTTACCGAGACGAACGGCGCGGCGGTGATCGTCGCGACCCTTACCCCCGCCGTGATCGCTCGAGGTCCCCCCCCGGACGTGGCCGCGAAAATTTCTCGCCTCCCGGAAGAAGCTATGGCCATCGCGATCGGGATGATGGACGCGCTGACGACAATTCGGAGGTGATCGTCATTGATTCCACCTTGGTCGGCCTCGTCATTGGCAGACAAGGGGAAAATCTGCGACGAGTGGAAGCCGAGACTGGAGCCCGAATTCAATTTCTCACCGGACCCGAATCCGCGGGACCCAGGAGACAGTGCAGGATCTCGGGAACGCCTCGCCAGCGCCAAGACGCCACACGGGAAATCGATCGCATCATTGAAGAAAGCCCGCAGGGTGGTGGAAAGCCTCGAGAGCCCAGAGGGGAGCCCGCGAGAGAGATGCCACGTGCGCAACCGCAAGTCTCCAAGGGCCTCCCGCAGCCTCTTCGAGAGGGAGAAAAGAGCATCCAGATCATGGTTCCCGATCGTACCGTGGGCCTCATTATTGGACGGGGAGGGGAAACCATCCGCGACTTGCAGGATCGCAGCGCCTGCCACGTGAATATCCTAGGAGAAGACAAGAGTGTGAACGGCCTTCGACCCGTCAATCTTATTGGGAACGCAGAATCCGCTCAAAAGGCCCAGGACCTGATTATGGAGATCGTCGACAGCGACACGCGCAATCTGTCCCAGGGTGGTCAGCCTCCCAGAGACACGGGTCGAATCGGTCATGACCTTCAAGACTCGACGGGAAAGGTGAACGAAACCATCCAAATCCCATCCGAGGCTGTCGGCATGGTCATCGGCAAGGGTGGTGAGACGATCAAAGAGATGCAGAACTCCACCGGATGCAAGATCAACGTGACGCAGCCGTCCGGTGCGGACATTGAACGTGAAATCGGCCTGGTAGGTTCAATGCAAGCTATCGAAGCCGCGAAAAATGCTATTTGGGAAAAAGTCGATGCAGTGGTAAGTTTGTTTGATCCTCACTTGTGTTGGTCCAATTCTAACACCAGCTAGCGTGAAAAGAACGGTGGTGGAGGTGGAGGTGGTCGCCGCAGCGGAAGACCGCCCAGTGATCACTTCGATGCATACTCACAACCGCAGCAATCACAACAGCAGTCATATGCGCAGCCCGAAGCCGGCTACATGATGCCGCAACAAGCACAGGCCGCTCCTGCCGGGATGCCTAGTGCCGACCCTGCTAGTGATCCGTATGCTGCGTGGGGTGGCATTCAGAACTACTACCAGATGTACTACGCCTACCAAGCGCAAGCCGCTCAACAGGGTCAGTTGCCCGGTCAGACCCCCGGTCAGGATCAGACAAAACCGCCCGGCACCGCTTAGGGCGCCTGGCTGACCGTTGCGTCTCTGGTGAGATCGTGAATGCTCCCGTCACGACGTTGAACCTTCTCGATTCGCCTGATCATACTGCCGCCCATATCCGCGCACAAGCGGACTTCTTTGATGCTATGCTATGCTCGCGACACTGACGCCGTATCATCTTCTGGTCGTAACATCGCCTTGACTACCGGACTGATGACGTTTGCGACTCCTCTCACCTGACTCGACATTCAGCTTGCCTGATGCATCTCACCTGCTTGATGAATTGTTCTCGACTCTCACGATTCTCCTTGATGGACCTCAACCACCCTTTATTTTCTGTTACCGTCACACCCCGCTCTTGATACTGCGCGATGAAATCACTGCAACGCATGGCCGTGTCCGCATCGCAACAGTCCACCAACAACGGATCGTCCGGGCCGTGTTCCGAGCCTGATTTCACTGTCATCGGACACCTATTCGCACGACACTAAATCACAGCGCAACGTTTGAGACCTCGGCTGCTCTACTATTCATTGATCGGCGCGCCCCGCCAATCACTTTCGCGTATCGCAGGCATGATCGACAAAGGAGTGACCCTGGTTGACGTCCTGTTCATTCTCGAAATCGCGGACGCCCGACGTGATCTTGACATCGGGATTTTGCATGACATGGCTCAAAATGGTTGATGGGATCGCACCTGGACACTAATCGGCAGGATTCAGCGCGTTCGCTAGTTGAGGCTTCTGCACCCGTGTGGATATGTTCAGTGTGACACTGATGAGAATGTTGCAACGTTCCTCGTTAGGCAAGGATGGCGCAGTCGACCCCTTGTCGAGCGGTTTCGGATCGGATTCATGTAATGGGCACGGTTTGGCTTCGACGCGTGCTTTCATTGATCTTCCCCCCCTTCACTGTGTGTGTATGATAAAAGTTTGGCTGTTGACGTCCGGATTGCGATTGCCCGAATGAGACATCGGTATGAGTTTAGTCGCCCACCTTAATTAGCTGGACGGACGCTGGATGCAAAGGAGCAGATATCCCCTTTTTTTATGCTATCGGAATGAAATACACGTCTTTTGTTCAATGTACGTGACTCGCTAATCCAGTCGATCATCCATCATGCCATCCATTCCATCGCTATCGTTGCTTCGTTCATAAACCTCTGAAACAAACGTGAATATATCCAACCCCCCATCGATCGCCTCCGATCCTCACTCCCACTCCTTCCACTCCCTCAAAACCTCCTTCCACTCCCTCTCAAACCGCTCCTCCGCCAATCTCGGACTCACCGCCTCCCTCCCCCTTTGCTCCATCAACCTCACCAACGACGCATGCTGCCCCTGCACCGCTGCCTCCACCTTCCTCCTCTCTCTCGCTCGCCGCGCCAGGTACTCAAAATCATCCCCCCCGGCCACCGCCTTCGCCCACACGCGGCGCATGCGCGGAGAGTACAGCTGGCACGAGGCGCCCTGGGTAGAGGACGGCGGGCGGAAGAAGACGGAGCTGGAGAGGGAGGGGTCGGGGAGGAGGAGGGGCGTGCGGGTGAAGGAGGACGCGAGGCGGGAGCCGGAGTGCAGGGCGGGGCGGATGACGTCGGCGTAGCAGGTGGGGCAGACGGTGAGTTCGGGGAGGGAGGGGATGATGTGCCAGTGGCGATTAAGGACGAGGGTGTCGCGGGCGCATTTGGGGGAGGGGTCGGGGGTTTGCGGGGGGTGGTTGGTAGAGGAGGAGGCGGAGGAGGAACTGGTGCTGCTGGCAGAGGTGGTGCGGAGGAGCTCGAGGAGCGGCTTCAGATCCACTTTTCCGCTGCGGCTTCCCGCTTTGCTGTCCATTTCGACGAAGGCATCAAGCAGCGCCGCGTACCACCGGCTGCCGACACGAGTGGCGCATCGACGACGGCGCGGATCGCTCGTCGAAAGGCGGGTGAATTGCCCTTTGAGCGAAGGGAACAGTGTCTCCAGCACCTTGCGGTCGACCGGACAGACGGCGAAGTCCCCGATCAGCCGATCCCCATCCAGCAGGCCGTACCACGATCCAGAAACCTCCGACTCGCCCGGACAGCGCTCCCCGCTCGCGTAGATATGCGCAACGTCGTCGAGGAGGTCGATCTTTGGTCGGCTGTTCTGCAGCGTCAGCAGCCACGCAAGGCGGACCCACGGGTTGTTGAAGTCGCAGCGCGTCGCGGTGCCGGAGGGGCGGCGCGGCGCGCGCTTGAAGTAGCGGCAGAGTTCGGGCATGGTGCGGTCGATGATTTGGTCCAGGCAGCTGGGGCAGACATCGAACTCGGGGAAGCTGTCGAGGATGTACCAGTCGTCGTAGCGCGAGCTGAATTCGCCGCGTGGACAGCGTGGGAGGGAGGTGGTGGCCGGACGGGCTGGGGAGCGTGACTCGGTTCGTCGGACCTCGGTGGGTAAGAGCCCTTGGGAGTCTAAGTTGGGCGACGGCGGTGCCATCCCCGCAGGAACCAGCGCGGGTGGTCGAGTGGCGGGGTCGGATAGGTACTGGTTGCTCGCATTACTCGGCGTCGGCATATTTATCGCGGGTGCGACTATGAACGGTGCCGCCGTGGGTTCGATAGGGGAGGTGAAGCTTTCGTGCGCGGGCATCAAGGATGACATATGGTCATCGGGGTATGGAAGTGGGGTTGTTCCTGAGCCTGAAGGGTATGGGGGCACTTCGTTCCGCGGAACCGCGATTGCAGGCGGTATATCAGCACGCGATGGGATGGATGATCCCAGGGATACGTTCGGTCGTTGATTCAGCGCATTCGTATCAAGTTGCGGTACCAATGTCGGTGTATTGACCGGTCTACCCTCGAGATTGGATGAAGGCGATGATGGCCTTGGGCTTGGGCGTTGGTTAAAGGAGGGATCCCAGTGCTCATCTTTGGTAACCGGAGAGGCGAGCGGGCTGTTTTGTCGGCTGTTGCTTCGTAAGTGACTAGTCGCGGTCTTGAGATTGCTCGAAGCCCTTGGACGCGCGGGGAAGAACTCTTTGGTGGTCAACGAAGGGCTTGCCGCTGGCGAGCCGGTCGGAGATGGTACCGGCGACGCTTTCTGTCGTATATATGCAGGCTCGGAGCTGGAGGCGTCATCGTACGTCGCTCTGCGGCCGCTCGTCGATTTCTCGGTCGCCGGACGGCTCTGGGTTAGGCGGGTACTTGTCTGAACGTTGGCGTAGTCAGACGAGAAGCGAACACCTCGTGGCTGCTTGCCATCCCGAGACTCATATTTGTCCTCGGTACCCAACGACTCTCTGGACGGGGCTTCGGCTGGGGTACGTATGCCTGAGCTCTTGGTGGACGAAGCACTCGACCATGTGGAACTCTTGAACGGAGCTTGGGACGAGGTGCGCCCGGGTGAGGATGAAAGGACATGCTCCGCGAGAACATACTCACCCGAGAGGCGATTTTGGGGGTTCGAAATTGTATATGGAGAGGGCTGACGCCGCGTGTAAATGGGCACATCATCGTCTTCCGGATCCAGTCGTGCATTGTGCTTTGTCCCACCTCGCCAGTTTCCTCTTGCATCGCGCCCGTTCGCGTTAGACGAGGCCGTGCCTTTCAGGTTGTTCACCAGCACAAACCGACGCTCGGGGTTCTGGTTGTCGGAGTCGGTGTCCACGTCCAGCATCAGCGGTTCCTGGTCGATCTCGCCGCGCATGCAGGCCTCGCTACCCTCCGACGTCCAGCCCTGCGGGCTGAAACCGCCAAACTCCTTCGCCAGCGACGAGGCCTCATCTTCGACGCTGGGCGACGGCGGCCATCGTCGGCGCGAGGACCTCATCCTTCTGGGGCTGTCTGCAGCTGACGATGACCAGGATGCGGGGGGGTTGGAGGCGTAGGACGAGGATCGTGGGGGGGGCCGCAGCGACGGCCTGGTGTTGCGGGAGAAGGAGGACCGCTCCTCGTGGTCTTGTCGCCTCATGTTGGACGAATAAGCGGTTCGTAGAGGATGACCCCACGACGGTGGAATAACATCGCGTGTCTGAGTGTGAAGATGCTTGGGGGAATGGGGGAGGATTGATACATAATAATGATGAGTCGCCAAAGCTTCCAGTGACTGCGGCTCAGGGAACGGGAACCCATGCACGGGGCCAACATAAGCTAGCTAACTGTCCAGACACGGAATAATGGGGATAAGTATTGAAACAGAACGCGACAGCATGCAGGTACATGAAATCCATTGCAAAATCATCTTGAACGCTGGATATGAATGCATAGGTCTGATTGAAGCATTTATGTCGGTATACGGTACGGATATGTAGTATATCGGACCATATTCTATGGGCCACTGCTTCTAACTGGAATCCGGTCACACCATTGGTGGTCTACCGTACAAGTGTTCATGATAACTAATGAGGCTGTCCAAGGAGGTGAGGGATACCGATTCTAAATGCTGACTACAATCGGGACATCGCATTCCTACCTATCAAAGGACGTCCTCGACAAGTTGTCCAACCCTTCTTTTCCAGGTCTCATGCCTACCCACTGTGGAGGCAACAGTAGAAGAAGCCGTCCATGGGACCCGCTACAGCCGGCTTGGTGCCACAACCTGCGAGATGGATGAGGTGTTCAGGTGCATGACGAGGATGACGGCATCCCATCGTTGCGCTTCAGTTCTGCCGTCAGGTGCTGTGGAGCATCCGATGAGCCAACCTAATGTGGCCGGATAGAGCCGCACTGCGTAGACTGATTGTGCCGGGCAAGAATTCCAAAATGGAAACTCGGAGTGGAAATATTGACACTGCGAACCTTGGAATAGAGAATAAAATAGAGAGTAAAAGCAAACCGAAGTGAGTGGAATCTATGTGAGTCATACATCGACGGCGAACTCGCTGATCGAAGGCTTACTATGAAAATCCATAGGTCAACTCATTGTGTCATAGCCACGGTTTTAGGATCTTAGTAGCATTGAAGAATGCGTGTATCACAGGGTAAGTACCTATAATTAGAGAGTATTGGGCTTGAGCCTTGAGGTCACATTATCTATCGGTTCTCCAAGGCAGGAGTCTCTGCTTGTCTCAGGGGTAAGGTACCGTTCAACCACCCTCGAAAAAATTCAACACACACATTTAAGTGAAGTGATCCATGTCGCTGTTCGTGATTCATTATTGTAGCTATGCTAATGTACAGGCTTCATCATTGATTTGATTCTCGCCACAAAAGATGCAACAAGCTGTATGCGATGTAGATCCATGAGGCACATGGTGGACTTGCAGTCTTCAAGTCCCACCAACTAGTGCAGAATCCCAAACCCAGTTTGGCCCGGGAGCGACCGAGACTGAGAATTAAAGAAAAGTCCTCAAGCGAGCGCTGTCAGAGCTTGGACGCCGGTATACGCAGTAGGGCCGCCAAATGAATCTCGGTTCGGCCTGTATTCTCCGCCAACAGACCCCCATGTCAGCGCATCGCCTCTTTCATTCTTCATCTTCATCCGAATCACTTGCCCGATGAGACGACTCGAGCCCTGACTCGCCCCAATACTTCTTGTATTCATGCAGCATGGCCCAGAGGTACTTTCGAAGCAGGAGATGGGAAGGTCGCGCCGTGCGAGGGAGCAACACGCCACTGGATCGGTCTAGGGGTCCGCGAAGGAACTTGTAGGTGAAGTCGAGCTCGTTGCTGTAGAAATAATGCAGGTAATTGTTCAGAGGCACTGTCTTCCACGCGTCTCGATCGATTTCTGAAGCCCAAGTCGGCCAGATCATATCTCCCTTCCCAAGCCCTGGGTCGTGTGTTAGATAAACAATCAACAAAACTAGAAGAATTAGGAGAGCTTGGTTACTTACTATCACAGATGACGTTGCCGATGAAATCGTAGGCCATGGTAACGAACATTTGGTTAGAACGGCTTTGTGCATCGAAGAAACAAGAGACATTCCCATGGCAGAAACGCGGAGGTCCTCTTGATCGATTCACGGTGTACATCGTGCTGATGCATTGGATATGATAGAATGCCCGATAGACCGCCTTGACGAACTCATCGCGGCTCAATTTAGCCACAAACTTGTAGTCGTCGGCGCTGAGAGACCAAGTCGTAGCAGCTCGTTCCTTTCCATCAGGATTACGGACGAGAAATTTCTGGCTGAAGAAGTCGACCATTCGAAAGACGGAGAGAATCCGCTCTCGGGAGTTTTGTGCTGCTAGGGATCCATCGGAATCCCAGTCGGCGGGGATAGGCACGGCAGTTCCGTACACTTGGTGGAGGCACATCTGCCATACGGCGTAGTCATTCTTGCGGTCCTTCCACGCACCGTGCGAGACTTCGAACAGAACGGACTCGCGGTAGACATCTTCCTCGAGTCTGAGGCGGGAGATTTCGCCCTTGAAGATTTGATACTGCCAGGGAATGCGATGCTTGATCGACTCATATGCATCGCGGAGCGCAGGACAAGAGAGAGTTGCGGATCGGATGGCGGCAAGATCGGGGCAGTGGCGTATAATTTCGACTCGGATCTCGAGAGGGAGTCCTTCGATGGGCGATCCTCGCATATGGCGTTGAACAGCCAGTGTTGCTTCCTCGAGCGGGCCCGACATGATGCAGAGGTCGCCCGGACTGTGTGTTGATGGAGACCTGAAGTGCAACCAGGTTTCAGAAGCTATCAGTATTGTACTGTTGTACCATTAGCTTGGAGATGATGGAGATGATGGAGATGATGGAAATCTGATGAGAGTCATAAGAGTCATGAAAGTGTGAAATGACGGGAAGAGGAGGATGCTGGGACCCGAGTTTGGCAGGCACGCGGAACAGGCAACAAAAGCGGAATCCTGCTCGCTCCTGCCGCTCGGTGGTTATGTAGTTGACACGATCCACATTCACAACAATCCTCAATGTCACGCGTGTGAGCACGTGTTCAGGATATACCTGGTTATTAGTACCGACCGTTGGTGATGTGACCGGTGCAGTGAGTGAGTGATATCCAGCTTGTGTATATCACTCCTGGTGCAGCAATATCCAAGTTGTGCGTACCACTCCTCGTCCATCAAGGTGCTCGAGATGAGGCTGGATTGGCTCCTGCACAGGCAGCTTAGGATACGGTGATTAACCCAGTATTTTTCAATCGTCGACTTTGCATTGCCTTTGATCAATAGTAACAGGCCACCTGGGAAAGGTTGTTAGGTTGCAATGTATCGGTAGAGAGCCGTCCACTTCAAAGGGAAAGAGCGCGTGTTGCATTCGAAGTCCTTGCCACAAGGTCAAATACCGCTCCAAGTATTTCCAAGGACGAATACGCCTCAAACACAATTGAAAACGACGAGTTTTCCGCAGGACGAATGGCACATCGCCGCCATCGAGGATTGCGATCAAATCTTCGAGGTGTGAGGTGTATAGATGCACGACGGTACACCTTGCATCGATCGTGGACAAGCTTTGAAATCAGACTGAAGCAACCAACTAGGATAGATAGTATTCCAGAATACGTCGTGGAGGACCTCGCACCGCTATATGCTCGAGGAGAGTTGAAGTCGGGCACCTCGTAAGCTGGCGGATATACTCCTGCTCGGATTCGACAGAGTCGGTGTGATCGCTCTCCAACAGTCAATTCGCCCAGGGCAGCTCATAACAACACCCGCGCAACCATAACTCTCTTCTCGGCAACAAAGGGATCTTGAATAGAATTGGTTGTGCCAATACGGATGCCGTCGCAGGTCAAGAGATGTCGACAAGGAGAATCTGAACGCAGCCTGTGCTCAAGTATTGGGGAAAGAGTCGGAACAGTCCAGTGGAATGCTATCCCCACTTCGCTCATGTATTCGGCTAAGCGGCGCATAGAAATGACCAAGAGGATTCGTTGCGTGTCATTGTTCCGCAAGGTAGAACAGCTTCTCTCGGCCACTCGAATGTTCTGGCTGGTTGATTTGTTTTTTTCCCGGACAATCTTCCAAACAAGATTGCATGGATGGTGAAGGTCGAGAAGGGAACCTATTTCTCGGCGCAAGCATGCACGACTCTGCCACTGCGCATCTCGAGCTCTTGCGCGGTCCATAACGCTTTCGATATGGACGCCTACATAGGTCCTTCATAGGCCGCTTTTTCGGCGAGCAGAAGTGTTGACGTGCAGAGTCCAACTAGTTCTGCTCTCACAAAGCTTCTAGGGCGATGAAAGCTTCCTGGAATTATGGGCCACTGTCCACGAGCCAGTCGTGAACGGGGAAGACGGAGCCATATATCTTCTGCGGAATACGTTTTTCTTCTCCTTCATTTTTTCGGTTGATGTTGGTTGATAGGCAGAGTGCCTGCCCAAAGCATGGCACTTTTACTCGGTGCACGGCGCCGTAGCAAGGCGGGATGGATGTTGTAATTGATCTGAACACGGCAATGTTGGTGATGATTTCACCATCCTGGGGACCTTCACCCAGGTGTATGAAGAGGCTTCACAGGGTGGACACTTGGTCAAATGGGCGTCAACCATATGGTTTTTCAGAAATGGATAGACCGTATGACCTCCAACCCCGGCAGATAGGTCTCTTCCTTGACTTGTGCCTGATACGAGGATGGATCCCACTGGGTTCTACGGCTTCGACCCAGAGTGTCAATTCGTAGCCCTTTGATTGTCCGGTCAAGGCACAACGAGGCACGAAGCAACGGTATCTCCAAGGTGCATGCAGCCCAGTTGGAATGTCAGGCATTCCTGGAGCCCTTTGATGCCCCCGACTCTCCCGAGATTGGACTCGCGACCCGTAATGAAAATTGGCAATGTCGAGCGCGACTCTTCACAGGCAGGCAAATGGAATACATTTTGAGGAATAAGACTCACTGATAAAAAGTCAAAATGATTGACCACACTCTTACGCGGTAATGATGACGGTTCTGTTTTCACTTCGGTTTTTAAGTAGTAATATCAAAGCCTGGCGAAAGGGGTACAATATATGCGGCTATGGCGCTTACGGTCCGCAACATGGGGTAGTAACTGATGGCACCATCCAATCAGCGTCATTGCGGAGATGTACTGGGAAACGTCAGATGCAATTGACACAGTTGACCAACTAATGAATTCCGAATATCCTCGCTATCAACCATGTCAAATCCACAGGATGCGTCTCCGCGAGCTTCATCTTCGCAGCCCGCCTCTTCGCGGACTTCCACCGATACTCTGTCCGCATCAGGTCCCGCTCCGCGAGCTCCCACCACCCGCCGAAATCGCGCTGCTCTCCGCGACTATTACAAGATCAAGCCAAGCGAGTCTCCGTTGAAGAATGGGACCGACCAGGCGAATCGAGATGGCGGACCAGATGACGAGGAAAGCGAGCTTGATCGGCCGGGATTCGATTCCGAGAAATATGTCAAGGACTTACTGGAAACGAAGGGGCTCCAGGACATATTACGCGTGGAAGCTGGGTTGCTGAGTGGTTCGTAGGCTAGGGTTCCGAACATATATGACGACTGTTGGTTGATCATGAAGCAGAGATCCGTGGTTTGGACGGGGAGCGGAAAGCTCTGGTATATGACAATTACTCGAAATTGATCGCTGCCACGGATACCATTCTCAAGGTGCGACCTCATACACGAACTCGACCCGACACGCACTAATGAGCTGTACAGATGCGAACGAACATGGATCCGATGACGCCTGCGACATCCACCTTATCTCCTGCCATATCGCACATCGCGGAGACAGCTTCTACGTTGTCAAACAATTTACGTTCTCGTGCAGGACAGCATCAGAGAGACGCAGCCGGAGGAGACACTCAACCGTCCGAGAAAGAGATGCAACGACAAACTGTCCAATGGGCGCTGGATACTCCTCGCCGACTGCGCCAGTTTCAGGAGCAAGGCGACATCGACGCTGCAGCGGCAGACTGGGACGAAATCCAGGCCCTCCTAGATAACTGGACCGGTGTTCAGGGAGTCGAGGAGCTCCGCGCCGAGTGCGTGTCAATCCTCGAGGCCAAAACATAAATTGCGGTCTTTCTATCCATACAACTCCCCGTCATCGTCCAGCTCGGCCTCCTCTTCGACCTCCATTTTCTCGGCTGATGGTCGGTCCGGGTCACCCGCCTGCTTCCGGTACAATTCTGCCAAAAATTCGCTGGTACTGGCCTCCTCGATACTCTTATCTTCACGGACGCGAAGAAATCGCGGAAATCGCAGACTCAGGCCGCGTTCGTCGCTGACGAGGCCGATCGCGGCGGTATAGGTCGGAGACAAGGTCACATCTGCGAAGACACATTCCCATACCTCTTGCGGTTCGAACCAGATGTCTGGTTCCGGGCCATTGTACTCAACGTACATGGGTTTGGAAGCCAGCGTATTTTTCCCAATACGTTCCACTGCTTCCAAATCATCGCTGTCATCGTCCTCCTCGTTCTCTGGGGGCCCTCCCGCCTGACCATCTGGGTCGTATTTGGCTCGATTCTCTTTGTAGAACTTATCAGTGAAGCCGCTCATGCACTTCGTCACCGCTTCGAGCAAGCCGGTCGATTCGTTGCGGACCGCGAGGAGAATCGGGCTCCACCATTTGGATTTTCGGCCTTGGCCGTGCCAGGCACCGATTGGGATCATGTCGATCGTATCAGCGGACTGTGCATAATCCTTCTTCACCTTGAGCCAGGACTCGAGTCGTTTGTCCGGGGTATAAGTCGCAAGCAGAGGTTTTCGGCGAGACGGTCTCGCTTCTGAAGCATTTTCTGCGCTTTCATCGGCCGCTTTCGATGGCTTTGAGGCTTCTTTGCCTTTGGCAGGCTTGGCCTTCTTGCGGGTGGGAATACTTGGCACATCGCCATCGATAAGATCCTCTTGCTCAGCCAGCTTAATATCCTCGTCAAGGTTATCCAAGACCTTCACCATAATCCCTTCGCACTTATTATTCGTGGCTTCTTGGAAAAACTCTCGCACTGACTCCACGTCTTCGCTTGTGGCGTCGAGATTTCGGACCCATTCAAACCGTCGAGGTATCGAATTAAACAGGCTTTTCAAAATATTTCGCCTCTCTCGCAATGGTCGTCCAAGTAGTTCGCTCCCATTCAGATACATCAAATCAAAAGCATATAAGCACACCTGAACCTTAACGTCCTCTTGTTTAACATCCTTCCTGGCACGGTTTGAGAGCGTCTGGAACGGGAGTAACTGTCCTGTTTCCGGATTCACGGCAACGACCTCACCCTCCAAGATGAAGCTGCTCACACCTTCACCTCGGAATTGGGGCACAAGGGAGACCAGGTCCGGATACTTATCCGTCATATTCTCCAGGTGCCGACTGAATATGCTCACCGTTCCAGCGTCATCGCAGTGAACTTGGGCACGCTGCCCATCATACTTCCATTCAGCCGTGAACGCTCTCCCGGCTAACTGGGCGAGCATCGAAGGAAGATCCCGAGTGATGGCACCAAGCATAGGCCGCAGTGGTACATGCAGAGAGAGCCCGCAGCGCAACAGCAGTTCCGGGGAGATGCCGACCTCCAGAAGCGCGGGCACAAGGGTAGCGTACGATGGATGGCGGGCGTATGACGCCTTCAAAAGCTCCTCTGCACGGAGGAAGAGCTCTTGGCGAGCATCTTTGGACATGCGCGCAACAGATGTTGGGTCATAAGCAGAAGTGAAGGATTCGGGGGGGTGGGGAGGTGCAGTGAGGAGGAATGCTCGCGACAGGGCTATGAGCGTCGTAGTCTTAACCGCGCCAATCCGCAAATTCTGAACCAATGTTCGAACCAGGTATCGTGATTCTTCGCCGGTGCCAGCATCTCTGATCATCCTCTCCACTGTCCCCTGCTTCATCTCGGCGCTTCCCTTCCCTGTAGATTTTGCGATCTTCCCCAGATCGTCGTAAACCCCCTGAACGGTCAATGGCTTCGGCTTCCGCAATGTCAAGCTTGCCCGCTTCTTGGCCTCGAATGCCACGTCCCCGCCGTCTCCGTACTTGTTATACAGGGTCCGCAAGGTGGCCGGAGTCAGGCTATACACTTTGCAGAGCGCCTTGCTGATGGTGCTTCCGCCTAGGTTCAGTTCCATAGGGTCATGGGGGGCGCTTATGGAGTTCGTACTGAGCCATACAGCGGGGAGAAGAGAGTCTGGGTCGGCGGCGATCAGGAGTCGGAAGGTGTTAATGAGCGTGTTCGTAGTCTTGATCCGCCCAGTAGTGCTGCCTGCAATGGTGAAGCAATGGGTCAATAGAGCATATGTCGCATTCCCACCGGTGGAGCTCCATTGGGCTTGGAGGGGGGATATATATGTCGAGAGGTCGAAAGTCAATGGATCTTCGTCGAGTGGGATGGCGAAGGTGACTTTGTCTGCAGCGGTTGTTCCGTGTTGAAGCGATAGCGTACGGATCGTCGGCTCCAATGGTTTCCTCTCGGAGCTACCAGCCTTGGGGACTTCGACTGATTTTAGACGAGACGTGGTTCCATTGGGTATTCCATCTTCCGCTTCAGAACGTGATATCCCAAGCCCTTGCTCTTCCTTGTCGTATTGCTCCTGTAGCCTTCGCGCATACTCCTCGTCTGTCTCCTGCGTGACCTCATTCCGTTCCGCACAGGTAGGTTTCTCTTCCCCCGTACCATGTGAACTAGGCGTGCCTTTATTGGCCTGCTGCTTCGCGAAGAAGTAGTCGAGACCTCGAACCGATTGATCCGCCGACTTGAAGTCATTCTTTTTGCGGCGCTTTGCCGGGCTCGGCATTGTGAACGACTTGCTCAAAGTTACGATACGGTAAGTGTTTCATCGGGAGCTTTCAGATCCTTGATCCTAGGCCGAATTCATTTCTCACTTCCGGTCACTGCGACAGTCGAAGATGGTGGCATGAAGACTGAGGTTCGTTTAGATCAGATGGCTCCGTATCGTATCAGAAGGACCAGGGCAAGCCCCACGCGTGATGTAATCACCCTGACGCGTCTCGACTCCGAAGTCCGAACACGCGAATCAATTTCTTTTAACTTAATCGTAACTTGTGAATAATACTACAAACATACTACGTTTTCGTCAGCTTGAAATTTCAACCCGCCTTAGGGATCATCATGCCGTCTTCTAAACGGTAATAAATGTAGTTACCAGTCATAAATTTCTCCGCTAAAGGCCTGCATTCGCTGTAGCCACCGCCAGCTCAAATCATCGATCTAGTACCAATTCATTTGGGGGAAGTACAATACAAAAGATGCGATGTATTGCTAGAATAACGGTATCGTAATTCCGCGATTCTAAGAATACCCAGAATATTGCTCAAAGCGTGTCTCTTAACTTTATCACCATCCCCCTATTTCTACTCCGGTATGCACAATGTCCCATCGATGTCAGAATTCTAGCACTGGTCCAAACAACTAGGCCTACAGCTTCACTTCCGCATCAGTGCTAAACCGCACCAACCCATCCTGCATTGTGGTTGCCAGATGGCAACCAGTATCCGGATCATAGTGCCGGCTCACATGCAGACAGCGCCCACCACTTGCCCTTTCCATCCAAGATTCCTGCATGAACCACTTCCGCTCGCCGGTCGAGAGACCTTCGTCCCCTTCGATCGTGTTCTGCTGGGTCTGTGCCGCATTCGGCGCGTGCGTCCGCGGTTCGTTCGGCATGAAGAACGTTTCCGGCGATGAATGGAAGATCACGGTATGGGACAGGCTAGCCATCCGCGTATATTTGCGGCTGAGGTCGAGGTGGTTGGGAATGACGTAGAGGGAGTTGCGGTCCGAGGCGTAGATATGGGTGAGGGCGTGCAGATTCGCCGCGCGAGTGAACGACAGTCCTTTATATTTTGGGGTGCGCGATTTCGTCGGGGTGGCATCGGCTGCTGGGGTTGCCGGTGATGGTAGGGAACCGCGGAGGGAGTAGAGGATGAGTTTCCGTCGGCGATGAGGTGCCAAACGGGTGTTGAATGAACTCATATCAACACTCCGGATATGCATCCCTGCCAGTGGGTTGAAATGCTCCGGATGTGCCGGTATGTACGTTTCACGGAACCAGTCTGAATCCAGACTGGGGGCGTCTGGGTGATCAAAGGGTTGTTTTCCGGCTAGTACGGCCTTGTACTTCCCATGAAGATCCAAGTTCGATTGATAGTCCACCGAGGAAAACTCTGCCCTTTTGAACGAACAGGTGCAGGTAAACGTCGCTCCTTTCTCAGCAATTTGCGTGGCTGTAACCATTCGCGTACAATAGTTACCGCCGTCTCTTACGATTTGGACGGAGTACACATAATGCTCCGAGGGTATCCCCCCTAGAACAAAATATCCTGTTATGCTCTGCTCACGTTAGTTTATATTTAGATGCATGGCATTGGATCATTCCGTACATGAATAACGAATCCTTCTTCCACGGTTTGTGCCGCAGCCCAAGCGGCTTGTGAATAGACATGACCTCCATATGTACCATTCTCACCTCCGGTCGGTGAGTATGCCTTAGTAACTGATCGATATGTCGTTTCGTCTATCTTTTCGAGTCGCATACTCTCGTAAAAAGATACCACCTCTTTTGCTTGGTTGAAATAGGGACGGGGAGCCATGACGAACTGCGCTCCGCCTGGATCTTGCTGTATAATAATAAAAAGGAGCAAGCAACCGCTTTCTGATGTTGCCCACAAATTCTATGAGGAACCTAATCCGAGGAAGGGCACAAAACAGGGCCTAGTAAATGGACGGAGAAGGAAATGATTCGTTGATTTTCAGTGGGAAAATTGATAGGCCATCTCAAACGTTGTCGATGCCAGTTAAGAAATACCAATTAAGAGATGCCAAAGAATAGATAACCTACTGATAAACATGCGAAGTCGAATTTAGCTCTCACCTTAAGACCTCGGATATTTCTAATGACCAATGATGTCGGGTTGTGGAGGCGTAAGCTATCTCGGCACTTCTGGATACGGAGAGTTACTTGTGGGGATTACTTACCTACCTAATTCCTACGATCTTCTGGTTTTGGGTCTGTTCATCGTGAGAGAATGTTGATGTCGACGAGAGGTGTAGTAACAGGCGTCGGTTTCCCGAACAGAAGCAGTGACGTCCGAACTCCGATATTGGGACGAAAATGTCTCGGCTACCTGTACCATGGATGGCTGTGGATCTTCACCATGGCGATTTCGGCTCCTTCGAAGTATTCCAACCGGCATGCAAATATGGAAGGTAACTAACCCATATGGGCGGATTCTCCAGCATCTCCCTGAATGCAAAGTCGTGTGCTCCTGCTATGGCCATCAGATCAAATGCCAGCAGCGCTTCCGTGAAAAGTCAGTAGAGATGGACGGGCAGTGGTGGGCATGCAAATCGATGTCAGCACAGCCAGAGGGACAGATGCCAGACGGACACCACTGCAGACTGAACTGCAGACTACCTGCAGTGTTCTCTCTCTTCCTGCACCCCGCAGACAAGGAAACGTTACTTCATGAAGCGACGAAGTTGTGCAATATGAACGCAGAAGCCTAACTCGGCTTAGTTCGTGTCACCGTCCCCGTATGGATATTCCGTACACGGAACCCCGCAGTCAACATAATCTCCTCTACTAAACGACGTGACAAGCTCCTTGCATATTATTTCATCGTCGTACCTCAGGAAATTAACTGCCGGAGGCTTGGTTATTCAACCTTCCTGAACACGTAGTGTTAGAATTCATTTCGACATTTCTTCTCAGGTATGCGCCTCCAGCCTTCCCCTTTTGGTCTTGCGATTCGAACTTCACTAGTCTAGACGAGAATGCTGTGTAACTGTCGCTCCGACCGAAGCATGGTGCTTGGTCTATTGTTATATGTTAATTAAAAACACCTGATCGTTTGAAATCATCCGAGAATGGGATTTCTGGTCTTCCTTATTCCCATAGCTAACCGGTCGCCATGTTAGCCCACTTAGCCGTCTTCCTCGTCTTACTGTTCAGCATGACGGTCCGGGCAGCGAAGTTCACCCCTGAGGTGATGCTGAGCGCCCCTCGTCGAAGTTCAGGCGTGCCAAACTCGGACGGATCGCGGATTTTATATAGTGTGTCCACGTACAGCTTTGAGAATCACGGGAAGAAGTCCGAGATTCGCGTCCTTGATGCCAAGAGTAACGAGTCGAAACTGGTGACCGATGCTGCCGGCGCCAGCGAACCGCAATGGCTGAACGATGAAGATGTTTTGCTCCTTCTTCCCGGCCAAACTAATTCGACCGACATTGCTGTCGGCAAGGCGGATGCTTTCGAAGCCACGTGAGTGTCTCCGGTCTCCTCCCTGGAGATGATTGTGACAATCCATCTTACCGTTCGCAGGAAAGCGATCGCTGGCAACTTTGATGGCTCGGGAACGAGCATCCGTGTTAAAAAGATATCAGATGACAAATGGACATTTGCCATCACCGGTCTTGCCAAACCAGATGGTACTCCATACAGTGCGGGGAAAGCTCCAAAGAAGCTCTCTTCTGGAAAACTCTACAAGCAAACGTTTGTCCGACACTGGGATTCCTATATTGCCCCTGAGAGAAATGCTATCTTCGTTGGAACCATCACGAAACCGTCTAGCAGCGCTGAGAGCGGAAAGCTGTCCTACGCTTTGTCACCACTTCGAAATGTGCTCGCCGGAACCGGACTGGAGTCACCCGTGCCGACATTCGGCGGGATTGACCACTATGATATCGGCGAAGACCACATAATATTCGTCGCGAAGGAGCCCACCCTCAAGGCCGGCTTCAGCACGAAAGTCAACGTGTACGTGGCAAATCTTTACGGAACGCTGGCCGCATCCGATTTGATATACCAAGTGTTGGTCCCAGGCTTCGGTGGAGCCACCACTTCGCCGGTCTTCTCCAAAGACGGGAAGAAAGCCGCGTTCCTAATGATGCAGGAAGACGGATACGAAGCCGATAAGAACCAGTTGTTTGTGATCCCGGATGTCCGAAGACCGAATTGGCTTCTGCATCTGCTCAACTCCACCAATGGCAAAGGCAGTTGGCCCTTGAGTCCGGGCGGTGTGTCGTTTAGCAATAACGGCGACGACCTCTATCTCGTTGCGGAAGATAGAGGCCGGACGAGCATTTTCACCACCCCAGTCAACCAGCCCGCGGAGTCGTCCCCCCCCAAGAAGATTTACAGTGACGGGAATGTTTCAGGTTCGTAAGCCCTGTCAACTTTTGGGATTTGATCTTTGACCCTATTATAGACCTGCGGGTTCTCGCCGATGGCAATATTTTCATCAGCGGAACCAACATTGTCGACAATTCGTTCTATTCCATTCTGTTCCCAAACCTAGGCACGGCGAAGCTCATCTCATCCAATACCGAGAATGGCAAGCTTGTGTCTCTCTCACGGTCTCAGGTCGCAGACGTCTATTTCAAAGGTGCCGAACGCGACGTCCAAGCCTTCCTTCTGAAGCCATCCAACTTCGACAGCGACAAGAAATACCCGCTTGCGTTCCTTGTACACGGTGGCCCACAAGGTGCATGGGAAGACGCTTGGTCCTCCCGGTGGAATATGGCTGTCTTCGCCGAAGCTGGATACGTTGTGTTCGCACCCAATCCCACCGGCAGCACTGGGTTTGGCCAAGACTTCACTGATGCGATCCAGGGGCAGTGGGGCGGCTTACCTTACAAAGATCTCGTGGCCGGCTATCAATGGATCGAGGAGAACCTCGACTACGTCGACCTCGACAAGACCGTGGCACTGGGCGCAAGCTACGGCGGCTACATGATGAACTGGATCCAAGGCCACGAGCTCGGCCGCAAGTTCAAGGCGATCGTCTGCCACGACGGGGTGTTCAGCATGGTGTCGCAGCTCGCTAGCGAGGAGCAGTGGTTCCCCACCCACGATCTGGAAGGGTTCTATTGGAACAACGAGGAGAAATGGTTGCGCTGGGACCCGGCGCGGTTCACGGGGAACTGGAGCACACCGCAGCTGGTCATCCATTCCGAGCTAGATTACCGGTTGACCATCGCGGAAGGTCTGGCGGCGTTTAATGTGCTGCAGGCGCGGGGAGTGGAGAGCCAGTTCTTGACGTTTCCGGATGAGAATCACTGGGTGCAAAAGGAAGAGAACAGTCTGATGTGGCATACGGCGGTGTTGAACTGGATTAATAAGTTCGTGGGATATCCGCCGTACAAAGCCGAGGATGAGGCGCCAGGGACGGTAATCAACCACTAGTAGGGAATGCAACGGAGAAGTCATGGGCTATGAGATATATGATCATCTGGTCATTTTTAGCGCAGTTATAGCGTCGAGTAACGGTCTTTCGTTCATTCCTCGGAAAATCGTTTTTGGGATAACTCTCATGGCTCCCTAGGTATCTCTTCATCATCTTAATCGAACGCCCCTCAGGTGCGCAAGAAGCCCCTCCTGACCTCTCTCCTCACCAACTGCTTTCCCCCTTTCAACCGCTTGCCCCCCTTCCCACCATTCAGATCCAGCGACCTCCCCTGTAACCATTTCTCCCGGATACTCCGACTCGCACCATTCGATTTCGGCGGCAACAGCTGGTTTCGCTTGCTCAGCACCCGTACATTCAACGGGCCCTTCTTTACATCCTTTGGCGACTTCTCCGACGCGAACACGGTCCGCTTGCTCTTCCGGATCGCCAGATCGAATCTCTTGGAGGGGTCCTCAGTCGGGGGTGTGGGCTCTCGTTCGGCCTCAAGAAGGGATTGGGGAAGGAGACGAGAAGGACGACCTCTGCTGCCACCGACGTCGAGTTCCGATGTAGCGTCGGATTCGACGTCGGATTCCGGTGATTTCGAAGTTCGCTTCCGCCGTGAAGATGTCTGCACTTGCAGACGGAGTCGGTCATCGTGAGCGCGACGCTTCTCTCGTAGCTTCGCTACACGGCTGCGGGAAATATCAGTATAGGCCTCACTGGTGAAATCCTGCGCATCGACTTACCTTCCTATCGCCTTGCTTTTCTCCGCTTCTTGTGCGTGGAGCGCTTGGGTTGCGGTTGACTTGGAGACTTCCTCCGGAGCGTCGTCGCTGTCGGATGAACTTTCCGATCCGTCTGAATCTACCATGTGTGCGTTTTCCGTCTCTTCAACTTCGGATGTGTTTTCCTCCTCGAATCCTGCGGTGCCTCCCATATTCTGGTCCTCGTCACGGTCCACGATTGGCTTCGAGGATGTCTCGTTCTTGTGTTCGCTCACTTGAGTGACCGATCTGCGCCTTTTGCTCGAGCTCGACTGGACAGCAGCATCCGCTCGCCGCTTGTTGGCTGCCATGGTAGTGGGTGGTGTAGGAATGAAACGGGTGGGGGACCGGTGGAGGGTGGCAATCGATCGTGCCTTTGATTCCGAGGGTGCTGCAAATAGTGAAGGGATAAATCTAAAACCGTGGCTCTATGGATTTATAAACTTAATTGAAGGAAATATCCGTACGGATGAATTCTTTCTGTGCTGGAAATCTTCCAAGACAAATGTTGCCCTCAGGGCAACTTAGTGGACGATGGAAAATATTTTGGCTAGCCGAGGATTTTCCGAATGGCTTCACGACTGGGCATCGAGGTTCGCTGATGAATTTATGTCAACTACCCAACTGGGTTGTCATTTCTTTTATGATGAACCACCCTCTTTTCCTGGTAGCCATGGAGTTAAGCTAACCAACCTTCACTCGCTCCCTGTTCATAACATGTTATATTGCTCTCATTGCTCTCCGAGTCGCTGCGACCATTCGATCTACGAATACCTTCCTGATACGAACCGAAATCGTACATATTTTCACAATGCCTAACCTCAGAACAATAGCTGCCTGGTCATACAATGACATCCGTACCTATCCATTGTCAGCTTTTGCTTCAATCGGAAGCCAAACCTACACCACATGCCGTCCAGTCCTCATGCAGTCGCTACCATGCACACGAAGCGGATTCTCTTCCTCCGCGAAACATCACGGCGGATATTGGAAAACAGCAAGAAGTACGCATGCACGACGTGGTCCAGACCCATCTCGGCGACCTCTCCCAGAGCTCGCAGAGAAGTTAGAGATTTGGATGCCCCATCCCGACGAATTCCAAAAATTCGGCTTGCTTCAGGAGAAGCGCGAAACCGCCCGGATACTTCAGACAATCATGGGCGCCAAAGATCGAACTGCGATCAACTTGGAGGAGCTCTGCCGGAAGGCGAGCGTCGATATCGATAAATTCGCGACGTTCGCCCATTACTTGAAGTTTAAAGATGGAGACGGGTCCGCTGGTTGGTCGGTGCAAGGGCGGCTGGGGCAGAAAGCGCTGCAAGCTGCCGCGGATGTAGGAAATCGGACGGCGGTACATGCATTCATCCATATCGGGCTCCGATCCCATGATATTCATAATGAGGTGGTTAAGCCCTACATCCCGATTCTTAAGGGACTAGCGGAGGATAACGTTGGTTCCATGATCCTTTATGGCAAGGTATTGGAAGAGCAAGGGGATCTACCGGCAGCCGAATCCGTGTTCAAGCAAGCAACCAAAGCGCTTCAAGGATGGATGAAGAAGAGAAATTACAACAAAGAGGTGACGAAAGAGATGAAGGCGGAGAAAGATATGGCGCGAATGGGAGCCCAGTGGGTTTATCACCGCCGCATCTCAGCATGGACGTCGCTGGCACTAGTCCAATTCGACCTGGGAAAAACAGAGGAGGCGAAGATCTCCCTCAAGCGCGGCGCAGATGTGGACGGGGACCCGTACGCCTGCTACTTCTATGCGAACCTGATCGCGTCCATCAAGGACGGAAAGTTTCTGCAGCCTGCCAATGCGGAGTGGCACTATTACATGACCCGCGCGGCAATGGCCGGGGACCCGCAAGCGGCGTATGCTTTGGGGATGTTCTATTACGAGCACACGTCGGACACGGTGGCGGATAAGGAGACCCAGAAGATCTTAGAACTCCCTGCCACTGCCCTTATTTCTTGGTGGCAGGTTGCTCTCAAAAAATTGCGCTCTCGCCGGGGGAAAGAGCTTACCTTTGCTACTGTTGGGCATCAGTCCGCTAGGAACCGATTATGTCGAAGTGTCGGATTCTATTGGCTCGATGTCGCGGCGCAGTCGAAATACTGGCCTGCCGTAGTGCGTTCCTTCGAGGTCTGTGATGAGGAGCCCGAAAGGATAGTCAGGCAGTTGCAGCTCCTAGTCGATTCGGTGCAGCCCGATGAACTCGCGAAGTTTCCGGATGAAATCCGTCAGGCGAAACTGATGATCAAAAACCTCAGTGCTAATCCGACCCGATAAGTCCGTTTTCCTAGATTAACACATCGATCGATGCAACAGCAGGGAAAGCGGCGCTGCGAAATAGGACGGTCCGCATACCAACCGATGCACAATATCACTAATGGCCGCCGAGTTCAAGACGTTGCAATACTATAGGAATGTTTCATCATCCTTATTTGCGAATGTTGGGACCAGACCCCGTCTTTCACTACGGAACTCTCGCCGTTATCATCCCCCTGACCGGGAACTGCGACATCCAGCTTTCGCCGGTCCGGATTTTCACTCATGCTGGTTCTATGCTGTCTTCTCGTTGGCAAAAAGATGATCCCTTAACAGGTCTGGTGCCCTCACTCCAGTCGTCGTACACGAACAGATAAGCATCTGCGTGTCCAGATGTGTGTTCGGCGACCATCCTGTATCCTCCTCATCTCGCTCAGCCTGGTGAACTTCATCCGAATTCCGGCGCTCACGACGTCCTCGATGTTGATTGCATCAACGCATACTTTGGAACCCAATGGATCCACGAAAGCACTTCAGCGATTCATCTCCATCGAGATCGGCAACTTTGGGAAAGCTCATAAGGGTTCCTTGAGAACGCAATGAGGCAGGACTGTGAATATAGTCACCTCAATGGCAAATGCCATGGATGAAGTCCCGATCTTTTCCTCGGTGAGGCGATACGCTTTGACAACGGGAAGGAGGCAAGGAGATCACGAACTTGGCTAGGTCAGTCCGGGTCCAAGACGTACTAGCACTTCATGGGATGAAGGAGACGAGAGGATCGCCGGGGGTCAAGAATACGGCCGAGATGAAGCCGTCGGTCTCTCAGCCACCGATGCTTCATCCGGGACGGTTAGAATGTTGGGCAGGATGGGGCCGCTTCCTCTTGTTCCGCATGCGCTGGACGACCCAATGTCGCCCATGTTGTATGATGAGAAAAGTCCGTTCAGGTCAATCCGATGCGACAAGGTCGGACAAGGCTCGAGCTCCGAGACGCTGGTCAGGTGTTCGGTTCAAATTTGATTCCAACAGAATGCATAAACAGCAAGGAACTGCTCTCGTCGCGCAATCCATGATTCGCAACAACATCAGGATGAAGACAGGACGAAATACAAAATTTCGTCTGGCAACCTGTTGAGCTTACGGTCTCTCCTACCCTACCTAGCTGCTTATGTGCTCAGTACTGTGCTCACTGCTCAGGCTGTTCTCAGGTTGTTCTCAGATATAGTCACATGACTATTGTCCGACTTGCTGACCGAATGACTGAGCATGCATGTGAGATTGCAACGTCTTAGTAAGACATAGATCAACCCTCCGAGTCGAAGTCAAGGCCCTAGGCTGTAAATGATTCACTATAGACCCTATAAGCATTTCACTAGACCCTATAACATTTCACTAGCTCCTGTATTAAACAATTCGCTGCCCTACTACGTACTAGACATAAATTCAGAATTGAGGACCCTGCCAAGACCATATGGAATTAAGCTTTCGGGAGCTCCCGTAGTCCCCGCGATTTTGGTATACCACACAGGCCCAACAGGGCACAGGGCGCTAATGTGGGACTTCCAGTGGGAGGCACACTCTCAACTTAAGTCTATAACATCAACTAATACACTACTACCGTAGCCAGTAATAAAAATTTCAGGTTCTATTCATATTTGTACTCAATCAAAAGTCTATGGCATTCTTGCAAATCCTTTATACCACTCTGTATTCCACCTTTCAACTCTGCCACTCGCAATAGTAGTCACAAATACAAACAGGTCAACACACACCACTATTGTCTAATTACTGCTTCTTCTGGGATTAGTTTTATTCATGCATCTGCTTAGTTATAAAGTCCATAGCCGATTGGTCCTGAGACTTTTTCCTTAAGTATTACGAGGCTGCATAGAGATGACGCGCTTTGTTGCATCATTCCGTATGGGTCTTGGGGCGGCCACCTTCAGCCCTACCATTATCTGGACCTCAACATCCTAAGGCTGAAGGCTGAACCCCTGAACCACTATACCGTATCATTACCACTTGTACCTGGTGAGTCAAGTGTTAGAGATTCACTTCAGCCCTATTGATTTATTGTATCCTGGGGAAATTCAACCTGGAAATGTCGGAAGTTCCCCTAGTGCACCAGTCACATCATACACTCCCCCAGAAAGTCCAGTGTTAACGGCTCCTTGCATCATTGAGATTTATCTAATAGAGTCTAGTTTATCAGTATTTTTCTATTATTTGTCTGTGCTTGCTCGCCTCGATAGGGGCATAGGGCGGATATCTTCAAAAGTAGCAAAGTACCATAGCATGCACATTTAGTCACTTCAGTCATCACCTCGAAGCATAAACTAGCAAGACATCATAGCTGAACGTATAGTGGAGATGAGGTCATCTGACCGCAGCATAATTGGATATTGCGAACCAACTCCATATTCTCGAGACTCCCAGTCATTCTTTGCGGAGTCCTTGGTTGGTCCCCCCGCTGGGAGAGTCCATACCATGGAAACGTATAAATTAGGTCAGCCCTACGGCCAACTCCATGGTTGATACTCGTCATGGGAGGGTCTGTACCGAGGAAACGTATAAAATTGTTCAGCCCTACAGCCAACTTGATGGTTGATACCCTTGATGGGGAGAATCTGTACCATGGAATCGAAGAAACTAACCCTCTCTCTGCCATCTGACTCATGATACCCGCTCAGCTTCCTGGTCCCTTGGGGATCTCACCAACATGGGGAACCCCGAGTAGCGAAAGCTCTCCACAGCGGCCCTGGCATCTCGGACACAAATGGCTCACCATGTATGCCTTTGATCCCGATCGTTTCCTTCACATTTCACACATGCTATGAGCTGAGATATTAAATATCGACTCTATGAACTGTGGCCATACTCTGTCATAACTCTATCCTGAAGCACAAAGCATCCTGAAACACCCACATGCACGCCCATCACACACCTCAACACACCTCGAAATGGCATTTCTTAACTTTGCCAAGGCCTTTATTGGTCGCATCCTCTCCCGGAACAAAGTTCCACGAACCAAGGAGCAGAAAGAAGTTGTTTCACTCCAAAACTTTCTCTTCTGCATCCTTGCCGTCGACTACAACGTGCACAACAACATCAAAGCACGAGTCGACGTCCAGGACTGCCACAGATACCGCTCTTTTTCTCAAAAATGGAGCGTCCTCAAATCGGCTACCCTTGAAGGCAAAGCCAAAAACAAAGACCTCGCGAGGGCTCGCAAAGAGTTCCTCAAAATCATCTACCGTCCGGCGACTGCACTGGGAATCAACCCAGCAAACATCATCACCCGCCTCCTGAACTACGACACCATCACATCCCACTATGGGGAGTACCAGAGTTGTAATGAGGTGTATAACAAGGTGCTCGGCGTCGTGGCGAGGGATTCACAGGTGAGAATGGATCAAACGTGGGTTGCCAAAGTCGCACCCAACGAAAATTCGGCCCAGATTCTGGCCGAAGCGGTCGAGAAGCAGCTAGATGAGTGCAGCATCACAAGCGAGGCAGAGCTGCTGATGACCCGTGTTCAACCGGGTATGAACGCACTCCTGGTAAAGCAGATGGTTCCGGAGGATGGGAACCTGGCCGACGAGCGTGCCCCCATGGAGATGTGGATGGACCACCATGGACGGGAACTTCGGAGGTGGATTGAGTGCATCCCCCATGATTTCTGAGGACATGGACGCACCCCACCCCAGCGCACCACCAATCGGGTGCACACCCAAAGCTGGTGCACAGATATGTCGAGTGTACACACACACAAACCGATGAGAGCAATGCTCACTGGGGAGAAGTCTTGGCTCCCCCACACCACAAACGGCGTACACGGCCTGAGAGCACCGCAAGTCGGACACCTACACAAACCGATGAGCAATACTCACTGGGGAGGAGTGCCTCCCCAACACAATCTGAGTTCACACCGCAATCGGGTGTACACATACACCCCTAAATCGAGTTCAAGGTTCACTGGAGATTCGAGGTGGATCTCGGGATATCCATCTGCAGTTTCGGAGTTCGCATGGTCACCTTTGTCATATGGAGTTTGGATTTGGGTCAGGGACTTTGTCGGCGTTTGGATCGGGTTTCATGTACTGCAATCTTCATGTGCTTTAGTCTTCATATTCTGAATCGCCATATCATCAGAATTATTCCTCTCATGCAGTGATGTCGTGTACTTCGTGTGATCTTGTGTATCGAGACTTGATGAGTGGGAAATATTCCCTTGAGAAAATTTTCGCTGCTGGTCATGGACACAGTGTGAAGTTGAATCACATTGCCAAATGAAACCAGCGTAGTAAATCTTCTAACGATCTTGTTTGGAGAGATAGAGTAGGAGATTGCCACGTTGTGATCTTCCAATCGGCCCCTGCTCCAGGCTCGCGTTAAGCTGATCTGTCGGAGTTGGGGTTGCCGATAGAAGGCCGTTGCCACATTGGGCCAGTCAACACAGCTGTAGACGCCTGGAAACAGGGACATTGGATGGAATGTTAATCCAGAGGTGAGTGAGCGGAAGCCTTGGACATGGCAGGAACAGGAAAGTGTGGACGAGAGGCCGAAGGCAATTATATTTTAAGAGAATAAGAATAACACATGATTATCATCAAAATGCTTACAACAACCCAGTCGTTGAAATATTTTCATTATTCAGACCTGCCAAGTTATCCGTGTCTAGTCAGCTTAACACTAGCTTCCGACGAGGATGAAGACACTGGCACGACTTCAGGCATCGGTGGTGTTCGTGAAATGCTTGACCCCGGAAAGTATGTAGCCTGCGCGAGTGGTCGCGCATCGACGGATCTGATATGTCGCATTTCATGCGTTGGCACCGGGACACGAGGATATTCAACGGAGGCGTTGTTATGCGCCCGGACCTGCGCTGAATCGACTTGAACGGTCATTGGACTGTAAAATCGGTCATGAGAGAGGTTAGAAAAGTGACCGGGTTGGAAGGCCATTGGCGGGCCTCGAGAAGATCGGGTAATCATGGCTGAACGTGCTTGTGGCGTTGACATTGACGCATGATAACCATCGCCTGTAATATCTGATCCATCAGGTGCGGATGATCCTAGATTGGATCTAGAAAAGGGAGAACTGGGCGCTGTGGGGACGGAGGTAGGGTGTGACAGAATGTTCTTCTCGCAGCTAGATGACACTGTTTGACTGTGACTCGTATCCCGAAATAGGTTCTTCGCAAAGGAAGTAAAAGCCCGACGTAAGGGTTCAGCCAGAGTTAGAATGAACACCACAAGTGATAGGACCAGGAATGCGACCAGTGGGTACCAATATGCCGGGACTGACATCGTGTTGATACTGAATAGCGTCTAAGATAGTTAGGAGCTGGGACATCCACCTAGGAGAGACGGACTGACCGAGACAAATATTAGCGGGACGAATACTAGCAGGAGCCAGTGCAGATGCTCTGCCCTCTGAGAATTCCATATCCCAACACTCTGACCGAGCAAGCCAAGGAGTATCCTTAGCTGCTTCAAAACGACCTCGGATGTATCAAGATGGTGATTCAGGTCAGAAAGGTAATCCTCGATACGGATCTCCAGCGCTTCTCGACATGAGCTCGTTCTACGACCTGAGATCTGTTGGAACTTGCGCAGTGCGCTGATGTGCAATCGCAAGTGCTCCTGTAAGACATAGGTGCCCGATATTTCCTTATGAAGTGTCTTGTTCAATTCCTGTGCTGTCGAAATAGAGGAACAGTAGGCTTCTTGGTCATGTGCTGTGAGCCTACAGCGTGCGGAGTCCCAGACCTCTTTCCACTCGGAGAAGAGAAATGCGAGATCCATATAGATCCACAGGGGATTGCGGTTGATTCGTTCTTGTCGGTATTCAAACGGTGCACGAAGGTGCTGCTCGATGCGGTGGGCGACATGGGAGCTGGTGCAGAACAAAAGAATAACATCATCTGGTGAATGCGCCTCGATATCCGCGCGTGGCTCTTGGAGCATGGTTGTAGAACAGATGATCGTGCCGATGGACACTGATTCAAGGTGCGAGAATTTCATCTCCTCGCCACTGGAAGCGTCCACCACAAAAGAGTGACCGCTCACCATAGGATGGGTCACGACATAGCTGAAATCTACCGTCGGTCAGTACAATAGAGACCATTTTCATAGGAAACACAGACCATTGCTGCGATGACTGTCGGGGAGCACAAGCGACCCTTTGCCTATGGCCTGCGAACAGATATGTTGAAGAACATCCGTATCAAAACCTGGCACGGTTTTGGAGAGGGCCGCAACTAGCCAGCTTCCACCCGGTTCGACTTCAAAGATTCTGGGTTACCCAACTGCCATCAGCACGATATGGAGATGGCGATACGTGGGACAAACTCACGCGATTAGGGTCCTGCCTAGCGAAGTAGCCGTATCCAAACACTCTTTCAAGTACACAGGTAGTCTGTTGGCATCGCCTATAGTGAATATCTTTGCAACGAATTGCGGGCCGGATGCAGTAAGCGGCGCATTGGTTCCGGCTCCGATATTGGCCCATAGGGCGACTTTTCCTCCACTCATTCCCACGAACAGTTCAATCCTCTGGAGCTTCTCCTTACCTTGTCATGCCAAAACACAATGCCAGGTGGTCGACGAAGAACCCAAACGACGATGGCTTCGTGTTGCTGTACCCTCACACTGTTCACGCCAGGTTAGGGTTAGGTATATATTCCATCACGGAATCCTAGAAGTTCAGTGTGGGATAGGTGTGTCAGATCATCCGAACGGAACCATGGTCATCTGCTGCAGTCTGCCTTGGCAGAAGAAAAACATTGCAAAGTAAGACCATCGTATTGAAGAGATGTTGACCATCGAGATCCAGAGCCGCTCGTCTTCCGAGACGAGTCCAACCGAGTGATGAAACTCGTGGCGTTATCGCATGTTTCCCAACGGATAAGCCTTCCACCATGCACGTCGGCGAAGTCAGTTCGGCACCTCTGCTAAACCCATTCGGAAATCGAAGTTGCTCGATTAATTTACTTATTGGCTGAGGCGCCTGTGTTTTCGTTCGGAGGCAGGATATAATTAGCAGGGTGCTGTAGTGGTGATCCCAGTCGTCGTATTCTGCCGTGCGTTGGACCACCGAAAGACAGCCTTGCCCGCGACAATCTCCACTGCTATCACAATAATAGCTCGGCTCTCGAACCGTTTCATTCGACACATTCCTTTCATCGATATGATGGAAGATGCAATCCGACAAAAGCCATGCGATGCTCGGGAAAGGATTTCGGTACGCCATGTTGAATGAACTGTCCTCGCAACTTGGAGTTTTGGTCGGGTAAGTTCCCAACATTGGGCAAAATAATTCCGGATGATTTCAAGATTGTGCACTGCAAGGTCGTCGTTGGTGCCCGGATCAGAAAGCCAGAATCTCAAAACACCTCGTCGATCTCATCCGCGCCAACCGGCTCGGGTCGATTCGAGAAAACGATCTTCCACTTCACGATCTCCATCACCTCCAACTCCTCCACAGCATCATCCCCCTCTCCATCCTCCCCACTCCCCTCTCTCCTTCTAACCACCCCCAACGGCTTCTCCAACTTCTTCACCTCCCCCGCGACCCGCTGATGCTTCCCCACGTACAGCCAGACCTTCTTCATCCACGATGCATCTTGGGCGTCGACGGGCTTGCTGGGATCATAGAGCGGGAAGGCGAGGCGTCCGAGACGCTTGTTGGAGGCGGAGGGACGGGGCGGGAAGGCGAAGGAGGATTGGAGCTCGAGGATCGCGAGGCCGGTGGGCGTGTGGAGGAGTTCGGGGAGGGGGTTGGGGACGTCGGATTGTGCATCGCGAGGTCGCGGATGGATATTAATCGTAGGCATTTTGGATTGGAAGGCAAAGATTGTCTAGTTGGTCAGTCGCATCATTGGTGTGCAAGCATACAAAAATTCGACGCGTTGGTAACAAAATTTGATCATCTTCCAGAAACGAATTGGATCCTGGAACGGGCTCGAAACGCGTAACACGTGACGTCACCATGCACTGCACTCATTGAGAGGTCGGTTTTGGACGATTCAATCATCTTTCATTAAAACCGATTGGAACTAGCAGGTATTACTATTTCGCCTGGGAGTGATCCACTCCTAAAATACATGACCCTCCACGCATTTCCTGAGCAATCATTGGGATATCATATGCTGAGATTGAAGAAACTCGGCCGTAATCCTGTCTATAGTAATGTCCTTCCCATGTTGACCGAAAGCCCGAGCGACGCTGATATGACAAATTGGATGGGAAATTCAAATGGAGAATTCATTAATAGTTGGTAGCAGGCGTCCGGTTGTATTCGTAAGGGTTGCCAGTGCTAGTACCAGTCGGGGCAGTGTGATATCCAGTCCCGTAGCTGGCGTTGGTGCCGTTGGTGCTGCCTTCAGGGAGAACATCGCGGGGCCCGCCAGTGAGACCTGATTCAGAAGCCGGAGCGTATTCCGGCTCGGCGGCGTATGCCTCCTTGGTGGTGCGAGGACCACGGTTGCGACGCCACCAGTGAGATCCAGTGCCGGAGGTGTAGTTGTTCGCGGGCGATGGGCCATATCGCTTCTCCTTCTGGTAATTACGGCCGAGCGCGAGCTGTATGAGCGCTGAGATGAGGAAGAGGCCACTGCCACACATTAGCAAATAATCAGGGGAAAGGAAAGTGATTCTACCTACGCTCCGATGATCGAGACCGCGAATGCCACCTTGTTCAATCGGCATGCGGTGGCGTAGTCGCCAGCGCCAGGAGCTTCTTTTTCGCCAGGACCGTCTCCGAACGGCGTCTTGACGTCGCCCGTGCAACTGTTTGCGCCATCGCGGGTCAAGATCGCAATGGCGATGAAGCCGCCGCAGAATAGGACGTCCAGGGCAATGGCAAGGAATGCGAAGAAGGGCTTTCCGCCTAGGAAGCAGGTGAGGAGGACGGCGAAGATCAAGTACAGAGCTGCTGCCCCCGAGATACCCTCGACGGCCTGCTGCCAGCGAGGAATATCCAGATCATTCTTGGCGAGGACGGCGAGGAAATATGAAAAGATGCCTAGAATGATTGCTGCGCAACAGAATTCGATGGCATACAGGACGGTCTGTAGGAGCTTGAGTAGACTACGACCGAGCGCCATGGTTAGAATTGTTGTGGGATTAAAGCTAAATGAAGCAAGTGGGATTGGGAGCGAGGTTGAGGAAACGAATGAGGTTTTGCTGGCAAGAAAGTTGGAGGAAAAGTGAAGGAGAGGACTATCTTATGGGTAAAAGCGAAAAGGAGGTAAGGAAAGGTCCCTGATATCTCTTGAGAGAGGCGGTGATGAGATATGAAGGGTTCACAGGCGGCACAGGAGTTTTGGCCATCGTCGCATGACGCATTTTTGGGAGACTTTCCCTGTTGCTACCAAAGGTGAAGCGTCACCAACCCCCGCTATTTGGCGCCACAGCACCTGCCAGGCCTGTACCACGACGTCATTGCTCCTTCGATGGCACGTGATGTATGGTCTGATCAGCCCCGTGCTCGAACGGCGCAGGCTGCCAGGCTGCAACAAATCTCGCCCATCAATCATCAATCATATCAATTGATCTGTGACCGCATCAGCGAACAAATCCCAGCCACCGCTCAGGCTGGCTCTATTCCTCCGCTCGCCCTGGCTGAGTATTTGGTCGGGAGGTATTTCGGATTGGCGAAAAAAAAGCTAACCTTGCTTTTTGTTAACGGGTTGAATTTCAGGAGCCAGAGCCAGCTAACAGATGGCACCCTTTATGACCTCTTGTTTGAACCAGACAGGTCGTGATGCGGTGCTTCACCCATAGTCATCATGACTTTTAGAACCATCTTCTGGCTGTCATCCTGACTTCTCGCAGCCATCTCGAATGCGTCCTTGATACTGTCGAGGCCTTCGAACCGGTGCGTGATCAACTTGGAAATATCGGGGAGATTCGGGTTGGAGATCGTTTGTTGGACCAAGGTGATGCCCTCTGGATATGTATCCGCATATCGGAAAACGCCCACGAGATCGATTTCACGAAGCGCGGCGGCGGAGATCGGGAGGGTCTGGACTGGATTCCCCATTCCTATCAACATGACTTTCCCGCCTGGTCGTGTCGCCTTGGTAGGAAAATCGCCCGTTAGTTCGAATCTTTCGGACGAGTAGAGGTGAGAGACGTACAAAGATAGCAGTCTGAAGACAAGATGGAACTCCAGTGCATTCAAACACAATATCCGGGGCGCCTAGCTCGGACCCTGAGGCCAGGATTTTGCTTTTGATGCTTTCCGCTGTTTCCTGGGCAAGAACAAGGCTCTCCTCATTTGAATTTGGCCGCCGAAGGGGTATGGGGAACCCGGCGTGAGCAAATCCATTATTCGTAGCGAACGACACTCGACCCGCATCGATGTCTGCAATCACAACGGACTCGGCTCCACGAATAATGGCCATCGTAGCTACCAGCAAGCCGACGGTTCCCGCTCCTAGCACCAGAGCCTTTTCTCCTCCTTTCAACTTGGCCCTTTTCGAGGCATGAACCGCGACGCTGAGAGGTTCAAGCAATGCCGCATGCTCTAGGGAGACATCGTGTGGAAGCCTACTTCTGATCAGCCCTGGTCCCGAGGCGTACCGTTAGAAACGCGAACGGAGCTTCCACTTACTTGTGACACCACCGCGCCGGATGATTGATTCGTTCCTGTAAGGTGCCTTGCGCGTGCGGAAACACCCGCGCGCTGCTACGGAACCTCATCGCTTCACAGATGTTATATCTCCCCTCCTGGCACCGGGCACACGTCTCACATGGCATCCCGACTTCAAGCGCCACCTGATCTCCGACCTCGAAGCCATCGACATCGCTGCCGACTGCCTCGACAATACCAGCAGACTCATGACCCAATGAGAGGGGCTCGCGGACGAGGATATCTCCATTCCGAAAATGATGGTAGTAATGGAGGTCCGACCCACATAGCCCAGTTGTTCGAACGGAGATTTGCAGGTCATTTGGTTCGGGAGGAGGTAGCTGATGCGTCTCCTATATCATCCCCACAATAGGTATATGGTAAGCAAAGCGGATGATGCGAGCGGAACTTGGTTAAAAATTGCGAAGATCAAGACTCACAATCCTCAAGTCCTTCACACCATGCAAGACAGAGGAGCGTATCGATGTCATATTGGAAGTCGGTTGAGAAAAGCAAGGTAGGATATGAGGAAAGCTTTCAGCGATATTACAGCTAGAATCTGAGGACCTGCGAAATTGCCGCCGAAAAGAGCGGTTTGAGACGCCGTTTTTGACGGAATCCCACAGAGTCTGAGAGTCGAGAGTCATGTATCGAAGTACCCAGGCCCCTCTAATGCCTGCTAATTACGTAGTCTCATTTCTGTAGGCTATTTTAGTTCTGGGGTGCCTAAAACTCGTCCTAACGTTTTCTAATTAAGTAAAATAATAATTACATGTCCATGAAGACCTATACGACTGGAAGCTGACTTACAATGCCATTTTTCTTCTGTACAACGAAAAGGGCAGTATTCCCCGAAGTAGTCGCGAATAATAGATGGTTCCGCATTCCATTCCCGGACAGCCGAAATTGCATAACTCCAGGTCGTAACCGCAGCGTATTCTACAAACCAAGGTGAAACGATCCTGCCATCCGCCCGCATTATTTGCATTTCTATCAAAATTTGCTCCCCAAAGACGATACCGTTGGCCGTCGACACAGGCAAGAAACCGAGATGACCCTGATAGGTGGGTGGATTATAGTTCGGCTGGGTCAAATCCGATGAGGAAATGGTCCGCGTATTCGAGCGGTGTCGTTCGCAATAGAACCGACGAGGGTGATTCCGGTACCACCGAGGGTTCCTCTGAGTCGGGACCTTGCAAAGATCTAGTGAAGATTAGAAGAGAGTTTATACCTGTACCTCATGCATATTCGATAGCACACCAAGCCCGTAGGACGCCGATTGTCCCATTTGCACAGCTACAGCCTATAATGACGGTTAGACCATGGGTTCTCACAATATCTATTACTACCATAAGCCTCCACCAGTGGTGTTTGAGCCGTCTGCATAAACTGAAAAGCCATTCCCTAAGCGTCGAGTAAGTAAAGTAATAAGATAAATGAGGGTAAGATATACCTCGACCCAAAGTACCGCACCTTTCGGGAACTCTTCAGGCGCAAGTTGGACCATCAATAATTTTCCCGTCCATAATCCAAACGTCCTGTCCTGGAGCCGGAGGTAGTTGGCCACTCTCATATAACTGTATGAGGAATGAGATATTCTTGTGCTGGAACGCAAGTGACTCGTCCAAAAGCATTTCTCGTAGCTGGAGTAGCCTACTCTCTGCGTTGATTATGGGGGTTTCTGTGAAGGCAGGGAGGAATGTAGGTTTTTTGGTCGGCATAATGAGGAGAGGATACAGCTATTGACTTGACTAACTAATATACGCTCTTGAGTTTTTGGCGGTGAATGGTATGAAGTCGGGGAGCACGGATATTAAATGACGGAACGGAATAGATGCGCTGGCGCTAAACCCAAAGTAGATAGACTAACCACAAGCGGTAATTAACAAGTCCATTTTTATAATTTGGAAGGAATTGTTCAATCAATAGGAAAACAAGTCGTTGACCGGACAATAATGAGGAGAGATAGGAATTATGGTTCCCGTGTAGCACCGTAACTTTTTGAAGCGTAATAGTACTTTACAGGTGTTGCTACTGACGCATGAACATACCTTTTTTAGCGACTTGAGGCTCGGCTGAGTCAGTAGTTCCTCAAAATAATGCCTGAAGAGAGAAGATGGTAAGCACATGGGAGCTCGATGGCAAGCTGGGGCCCCTGCAAGTTGGTTTCTGGGATTCATCACCAAGAATATAGGTAGTATCAGATAGGAAAGGAAAGTTGTTGCACTGAAGATGCACTGCAGCATGTTTACAGATGGACCTCTCGGTGATATTGGCATGAGGCTTGGGCAATTTCGGGTTAAGAGTCATGGTGCACATGTTGCGTTACAGTCATCTCCATTCGCTCATATTCGTCACTTAATGGACATTTCCACTTGTATGACGCTATGCGCCTTTCAGGCGTCACCGGAAGCCTCTAGCAGCTCCCATAGGACGCCTATCTGTTTGCTATTCTCCTTGACTGTGATGAGTTGCATTTCACAATATTCTGCAAATCCATCATGTGAAACAGGGCCAGAGAAGTCAGCCCTGCCGTTCGGCGACTTGAAGTCCATCTATTCAACTCTTGTGTGCATCCACGTATCCAGCCCATCACAGTATGGCCTCTCCTGCACGCTCGCCTTCGAAACCATACGCTTGTAGCCGGGTCTGCTTCCGCTTTTCTCGTTTCTTGGTTTTCTCCTCCTCGGCCTTCTGCATCAGGAAGACCTTCTCAACCGGGGCTTGTTCGTATCCGTCCGGGATGTCGTCGTCTTTATCGAGGTCCTGAATATTGTCAGCATGAGCCGATCGAAGGAGCAGTGAGTGCCGTACTATTTCACCCAAGAGTAGAATGTTTTCGCCGCGAACGAGGAATATGCCGCGCTTGATATCGGCGAAGAACTTGGGGACGAATAATCGCTCAACCGTATCTTGTAGAACAATATTGCCTGAACCGCCATTCCAATAAGCCTATGACCTCTCCGATGGCCTGCGACGAACTTACCATACTGATCCCAGCTTCTCAGCACGCCGATCAATTTCCGTCCATCGCGAAGAACGACCATAAGTTTCTCTGAAATGGCGCGTATTGCAGTCAGCCTTCCAACAATCAACACCAGTCCGTCTGCCAGGAGGGTTAGGGTCGCATCTTACTGTCGGTCAGGTCCAATAGCTGCGCTGCGGTCGTGAACATTTGCGGTGGAAGCTGAGGAGCTAGCGGTGGTGCCATCGCCGGTGGGGGTGCATTTTGCTGGGTGGAAGGACCGCCCCCTGGCGGCGGTGGATCATTCAGCGACAGATCCTCCATTGATTGCTCGGGTATTAATTGCTTTGCTTGTTCTGCCGGTCCATGATAGTAGAGAGCGCAGCGAGGATGGACTCAGCAATCGGAGCAAGATTCGATGAGGGTTGTGGAATGGTGATGCACGTGACCTGTATGTGATTGAAATGGCCAATCAGATGGCGCTAAAGGAGCCAGCCGATTTCCCTCACTTCGATGACGAACCTCTCAGCCTCTCTCTTACTTCAGTTGTAATACAGATTCTTTCTTGATGCCACAGATCCGGGTATCACTAACTCAAGCCAGGTCGATCCTATTGTTTATAGGGAGAAATATGGGAATTTGAGGAAGCTGCCATGGCATGAAGCGGTCGATGCTCCTCAAGAAGTCCTTGAGGTCTTGAAGCGTCAATGCAACCACTGAGCATGATGAGTTTCAATCTACGGCTAGAAAGTATAAATCATATCTTTTCGTTATCGTCTTTGAGGTCTACCTTAAAGTGTAATTAGTGGTATGCTAAATCAGTACTGTCGATGCTGGGAACTGATTTCTATTCTGAGTCCCATTTCTTCTTTCTTTTCTCCAGGCGAACACATAAACTTGGATATATCCTGACATATCATCACTGGGGCGCCTGATGCTATTGTTTAAGGAGCATGGAATATTGAGCTAAGTATTTTCCTGACGGCCTTATCTTTCGGCCGTGGCATCTGCCTGGACACAGTTGAAATGCGTTCACCCCGTGAAGATAGTAGGTCCTGGAGCATTATATTCGATCTTGTCCTGATATATGTTGATGTCGATGCCCGGATCACTGTTTCAAATTAGCGAGCATCCATCATTTATTGTCTGCGCCCTCATACCTTTGGGAATAGGCCCCTGGAAAGCGCACACCAGGAGGATTGGCAGACCCTCCGCCGGTCACCTTGACTGTGCTTAGAGTTAGCTTGATATTTTCCTTGGAATGGCGGGTTGCGGACCTTGGTAACAGCCGGGATAAACTTGTGCCGGCATCGAGTGCAGCGCAATTGCCTCCGCACGGACAAGATAGTCGCCTGATGCGATACTCTTCGGGACTAGGAGTCATCAGTCGCCGTCACCCATATCTCTGCCAATGGATGGTCTCACCAGCGAATTCCATTTTTCCGCAGTTCTCGTTCAGAATTTCCTTCGCACCTTGTCAGCGGATCGAGGCTGCCCGAGCCATTGTCGGACGTACTGTTCCCCACGATGCATCGGTGCCCGCATACGAATTCGAAGCCACCTTGAACCAATTACAGCCGCCGGTTGATGATGCTGCATCTGCAACCTTGCACATGTAGACCTGCACTGGACCGAAATGGCGGCCGCCTATCGCGGTTAGCGAAATAACCCAAAGTGGAAGTACCAATGCTTGAATTCCAATATCCAATATCCAAGAATTATGGGGGTTTACCAATCGCTTCTTCAGTGCACCCTCGGGTATCGTGTTGGTGCATCTCGACTGTAAGCTTGCCTCCGGCTGAATTGAGAAGTTAGGTCAGCGTTTCTGGTACTAAAAGAGCAATTGGAAGATTCCACAGTATCGTTCATACCTTGGACATCACAGACTGACTGAGCGGGTCCGCTGTTTGCATTGCATTCGATCTCGGGGGCAGTGACATCCGTCAGGGGGGAGTTATTATTCGTGATACGTGTGCATTTCGTTTCTACCCGCATTGTTAGACCATATCACGAACTCTCGTTTGCTAGTTCTACTTGCCCATATCCTGGCCATTCACCCAAAGTTGCTGCCATGTCGCGTGGGCAGAAGCGAATCCAACTAGGGACAGAATTGTTGGTAGACTGGCGTAATGCATTATGAGGCTATTGAAGACTTCAACCCAAGTGAAGAAAAATACTTATGCAAGTCGGCCTGCGCTTCCAAGATATTGATATGGTTTTATTGCCCTCACCCCTTCCACGCCTCGTCAGCGCTGGACTGGTCGCCCGCATCATAGTCTGAATTAGAGTACTACGTAGTAGCAGCACATTTATCCTCCGCTCATTTCATTTCTTATTTAGGCTCGCACACCTCGTTCGTGTTGATCGTGCAGTCCCAAATTAATGATGGCGTCGGATAATGACCAATAACGGCACGGAGGGCGTCGAGGGAGTGGTCAGGTTTTTTGAAACACGCCAATTGGATTGCAAGGTGGAAACCACCATATGAGCGAAACAGGAATAAACTCGAATATATCCCGGTTTCGACGATTAATTTATTTAACTTAGGCCCAAGGGACCTGAAAATGAGGGGAAGATCATTTTACGTGGATAAAAGTGTCATTTTCTGCCATGTGCATGCACTGTATTTCGCGTGTCCAGACAATCCCCGGTTGATCCTTCGAGGCGATCCTACATACTAGTAATCAAGTACTTAGCCGATGGCTTTTACATGATTTGTAACGAGACATGTCCAGTCGCTTGAGCCGTGATAGAGGGTGTGACCATCATCGTGCGTTTTCCCCGAGCTGAGGGTCTCCCCAAACTGCCAGAAAAGATCCCCAGCTATGCCATTCGTGCTCCTTGAGGTTTTCTGCCACGGAGCCTCAACACCACAGTGATCTTTGGTCACACCATATTCCTCCAACAGGCATGGCTTCTTCGCTGCCGCACAAGCTTTTGCATGGCTCTGGACCCAACCGTTCCCAAAATCGTTACTTACACCCCCTAGACGATGGATTAGTGACGATCGGCGAGAAGATGTACTAAAACACTTACAGCCCTCTGGATAGAGGTGAAAAGTACCGAAATCGAGCGTCGGAATGGCGAGATTCTTTACGAAATCCACCCCTTCGCCAAATTGATACGGGTAAGAGCCATCGCCCGGCAACCCGAACCCTTCATCTCCCAGCGTGACCAGGTGCTCGGAGTCCAAAGATTTAACGTATTTCGACGTCTCCGTCGCCCACTTTGTGATAACCGACGTGTCGCAGCCTTTGCACCGCGGCTCGTTCGCTAGCTCCCACGCGAACACCGCCGAGGAAGCTTTGTAGCGATTCACCACGGTGCGGATGTAAGTGCGGTATTGATTCTGCGCCGCCTCGTGCGTATACCATCCCGTATTGTCCGCGCCGTTGGCGAAGAATTTCATGTATGATTTGAAGCCACCGTAGTCGTCCCAGTTGTTAACGAAGTTGATGATCAGTTTGACTCCGCGCGCTTCGGCGGCTTTGACGATGTAATCGAGGCGTTGCAAGCCGTCGGCGCCGGTGTTGATCTGAGCTGGCTTGCCAGGCACCAGCGCTTGGAAGTAGACGGTTCCTGCCGCTACCCGTTGGCACTGCTCGAACTTGGAGAACGGGTGTCAAGACATACCTGATCTTGGTATGGCATTTACGTCGTTAAACCCCCAAATCCGCAAGATTTTTAGCCCGCTGCTCTTGAAGTCATCCAACGACTTGTCAACGTCGGCATTGTTTGTGAGGAAGCTAATCCAGTACGAATTGGTTCCTGCAAAATACTTGGTTACGCCATCGATATTGAACTTCAGTCCATTAACACTGGAAATACCCTGCGCAGAGGCAAGACCTAAAATCGAAAAGAGCGGGAGCCACCTCATTGTCAAAAACTGGGAGACGAGAGCATGAAAATTGCGTCTCGGACTCACAGGCTAGGAGGGGCATCTTTAGACAACTATATAATGTCTGGACGATTCATAAAAATGACCAGTGAACGTCGCCAGGTTTCTAAAGTCGCAGATTGGCACCGTGCAATTTTGGAGCATGATGCCGTACAAAGTACGGAGCACCGTAATGAGTAAATCTGTGAAATCGCATGAAACCGATACCCTGGTCGGCCTGGCCTAGTTGTCTAGGATAATTAAGGTATTTGATTCTCGGGCCAATGTCGGTTGATCGAATTTCTCTCCAGGCAAACGATTAAATGAAATTCTATATAACGAAGGCTAAAGAAATGCCAGGTTCATGGAAAGTCAGGAATCGAAATATCAACTGACCACAATCTTGTTCGAGAAACGGAGCACATCGAGTCCGTGCCCCATTAAGCCTAGTAGAGGTTGCAACTCAGACCATAATTGGAGCGGCGTTTCTGCGCATTGGAGGAACCGGAGGTTCCGGAGCATGCCAGCCTTGAACAAGATGATGAAACGAAAGGAATTCCACCGAGCGACTGGCCAAAGCGAGAGTAGAAAATTGAAGCCGTGTGCCCGATCTGGGGGCTGTACTGCTGCCCACATTCATGTTCACGAAACATGACTTGAGCATAGAAGAGACTTGACTGTAGGACGCAGAAATAACAGAGAAACCCGATTCGGGCCATGGCGCTGATCACCTGCAAATATATACTGTATAACGGCCAAAGAGGGCGTCAAGAAAGGTGAACGAAACAAACCAATCAGAGAAGATGGCTTGGGTATGGGAGCTCATGGTCTCATGCAGGGACAGCTCTAAGGTTTCGGGAAGCGACACAACCAGCAGGATACAACCGTACCGGCAAGAAACTGATATAAACCATATAACTCCCCTCATTTTGACGACATCTGCATCAATATGTCCTCACCGCAAGACGAAGAGCGCAGAGTCGCCGAGGCGCGGGCAGCCGTGACGGCATCGCTCGCAGCGGTGGGCAGCTCCATCGACAACGACATGAAGACTCGAGCGGCCGACCTTCACGCGAACGCGGCATCGATCGAGAAGCAAGAAAAGCAAGTCGCCAAAGCCACGGCCGCGTTGACCAAAGAGACGGCCAAATTGCAGAAAATGGCGGACACCAGCACGAAAAAGCTGAAAGAAATGGGCGACTTGCAGACATGGGCGGAGACGATCGAGCGAGACATGCTGGTTATCGAGGAGACTATGAGGCTGGTAGAGGGGAAAGAAGATGCGAATAATGCGAGCGGAACCAATATCACGTCTTCGTGAGCCAATTTTTGTCGGGCGCAATGGCATGGGAGTCTTACGCTTCGAGCCAAGTGCATGCCGCCTAGACAGTGACGGGACAAGCGATTCCGACGAATATCAGATTGAGTACAACTGTATAATCAGCACCAGAGTAGGATCAACATTTCTTCGAGGATGGGTTATCTCGGAGTTCGGCGGAGGGATTGTAGGTAGGCTGCAGGAATTCATCAATAGGCACCTGGGTCCATGATCCATCGGATTCTGGTGGTAGGTGACGCAAGGGAGCGGTATACTTGTATCTTAAGTTAGAGCGACAGAAAATGAGTTCAGTTGAATGGTCCCGGATGATGTACTCGAGTTGCCGAGCGATGTATTGAATCGTTGATATATACAACCCGATCCTCTTATAGAGTCGAATATAATGTTATAATCGAACTCTGACCGGTACGGTGTGTGTCAAACCGTTGGAGAGCGTAACTGTTGGACGTGGTTTAACTCAGGTACGACCCGTCCGCTCAGGTTCCGATGGCCCGAGCGTCTCAGTATTCCATCATTCAATCAATTGCGGCGGCAGCTTTGAAGCCTTGCAGAGGTGATGATTTCACTTCCACCCCGTTCACACAATTATCAACACAAACTCCTCCCACAAACCTTTCTCCGCACTCCTCCATCTAACCTTTTCTCCAATCTGACCTGGACACCATCTTCAGAAAACTTTGAGCACGATTTGATGAAGGAAGTTGCCTGCACCTTCGCCCTTCACCATCTCGACGTCTCCCGACCCACCTTCTGAACGGTTTCCGATATTCGCCATCCCCTTCACATTTCCCCTTCTCCAGCTATTACCTGAGTCCGTTCACACGATCTTAGAACACGGAGGAGGCTTCATTGTGATATTTGCCATCTCCAGATCTTGGAGTTTACATTAAAGACTACTTTCATCCGCCGACGCCGCGATTAGCAATCCGACCTGGAGCTTCCAGCCCTGCTATCAGTCAGGACCACGAACCCACGACTGGTGACAAAATCAACACTATTCCGGGGACTTGTTCCCTAGGTAGTTGTGAGCATGGGGAGGATCGAGAAGTCGTCGACGGCGCGCCACGATGCAACCCTGGTATGTCAAGTGTGATCGATCATGGTATGGTGTCTATATGCTAACCTCCTCCAGTCTCCGATCATAAGCAATTTCATCAGTGATATCCAAAAGTGTCCCGTCCATCAGATACCGGCGAAAATCGCCACATTCCCAGGTTTATGGCCTTTCCCGAGAGGCGATCTCTACCACTGGATTCCTGCCCTCGACCAGTTCGACTCGATCTTGGAGCGATGTGTTAAGGAATATGGCCTGGATAAAGGACCTCAATCTCAACCTTTTAGCAATCGAGTTTCATGTGGGGCAGATGAAGAAGCATCGGATAAAAAAGAGCACAATGAAATCCCCGAGGATGCCGATTTCCGCCTGCTTCACACCATCTTGCGGTTCACAACGCTGCTGCTTGAAAACTGTGGAAACCGAAGCATCTATAACAGCAGCAGCCATCTGAACAACCTCCTCAACACCACCGACCTTCGAATTCTCACCGGAACACTCGAAGTCGCCGTCCGTCTTTCTATGCGATATTTCTCATCACGACAGCGGTCAGCGAACAACTCACTTGTCCCGCCTCTTCACAACCTGGTTGCGTTCAACTTGGATAATATCCACAAACTTGCATCACCGTTTTCTACCGGTACACCGACTAGCGCGCACAGCTCGTTGCTAAGCTTTAAAGGCAAGGAATCTAGCGATCCCGTGCCCGGAACGTCGACGAAGCAAGCCAAGGTCAGCGGATCGGATCTGTCAGCTTTCGTCGGGCCAGATAGCACGGAACAACTGCGTCAACAAGATTGGACTACTGTTAGTTTGAGCTATTATGCAGAGTCGAAGTCCCACGCGGATTCGTCATCTGAACAGAGAAGGCGATCCAGAGATGATGTGGCATCACCTTCTGCTTCTCCCACGGCCCAACGAGCTTCAAACATCGCTGCACGGCAGAGTGGCACCAACGAACAAGCAATTGCCTTTGCGAATGAACACGAGGAGCGGAAACGATCTGATCAGCAGTCCATAGAGATCTCTCGCGATGAAATCTCCTCTTTACAGGTCGAAGAGCTAGTTGCCAAGCATGTCGACAATCTTCCTACCGCCAACAAATACGACTTGCTCCACAAGATCCGCATCGCCAAGGCCATATCATCCGGCCATGAAGCTCGAGAATTGCTCATAGGTGTTCGACTACTTGCCGTGGCGAATCTTGCCTACATTTGCGGAGAGTCCGTCTTCCAGCAGAAGGTTGGCCAGAATGACTCAGATGAGCAACGCCGGCTACAGTTGGCTTATCAGACCAGCGAATTACTGCAGCCCTCGGTAGATGGAAAGGAGGTCGTCTCTCGCCGCCTTCAGACTATTGCGATCCAGACCCTGGAAGCACTGACGAAGCAGCCAAAGAAGAGCCCCGAGGTCAACAATGCCTTGATGAGCAGCCAGAATCACGGCGTTCTCTTCTACATGGTCCGTAAAGTGGTCGCTCAATTAGCCGTGGAGGATGGCGAGGAACCAGATTACGAAGAAGAAGACTGGCGGGAGGCACTTCTTGCTTTGCTCGTCGCTCTTCCAACTTCTGCACATAGACAGGCTGATCATATGGTCCAAGCTGGCATGCTTCAGATCCTCGTGGACGTGCTGCAGCTTCGGACGGCAAAAGCCGATCGGTTTCACGCAAGAGTCCTGGGCTTCTTGGACTCGTTCATATACAATGTCCGCGATGCGTTCCAGACATGGGCCTCTGCGAAAGGTTTGGATGCCATTGCCGAGTTGACGCTCTTTGAAGTGGAGACAGCATTTGACGCTGCTCAACGGGGCGAAGGCATTCCAGAGAACCACAAAACTTCTCTTACCGACTATTCAATCCCCTTTTTCAAGCAGCAGACGATTCGGATGAACTTCAAATTCATCAACCACATGATGACGCATACCGGCACCAACATCGACCGACTGCTCCGGAATTTGATCGACTCACCTCCGCTTCTGAGCGCCTTGCGCACCGTCCTGCGGAACGCCTCGACCTATGGGTCAAATGCGTGGAGCAGTGCGGCCACGATCCTGAGCAACTTCATCCATAACGAACCAACCAGCTACGCTGTCATTGCCGAAGCTGGGCTCAGCAAGGAACTGCTAGAGGCAGTGACTCGTCAACCGATTGGTGACGACCCAGAATCCACAGGCGAGGTCGAATCATCGGCTGTCTCGGCTGGAGCTGCAGGTGACCGTAAAACCGAAGCGACTGGCATACTTCCGGTCGCGGAAGCAATCACAGCAGTGCCTCAGGCTTTTGGCGCCATCTGTCTGACCGAAGCTGGCATGAAGCTGTTCAAGCGGTCTGGTGCGCTCGATGCATTCTTCGATATCTTCGAGAGCGCCGTTCACGTCAAGGCGATGGGCTCGAACGATCGGGACGTTGCAAGCGAGCTAGGCCATGCATTTGACGAGCTTGTTCGACATCATCCTTCTCTTCGAACAATGACTCTAGTCGCGGTCCGGCGAATGCTTGAGAATTCGCTGCGATTGTGTTCGAAGAAAGCACGCGACGAGGGCTCGGGCATCAAGCTGTGGGTCTTGGATGAAGAACAGAAACTAGTCGTCTCTGGTGGTCGACACGCTCTTGATCTTGTTCAAGACCAGGACTCGATTGATGTCGAAATGGCCAATGCGGACGATGCGGGATCAGAGAGCGCCAAAGAGCCCGTCTCATCTGATGAGGTCGAGAAGTTTGCTGGGCGGAAAGACAATGTTGATGCATCCGAGATAATTTCGGTTGTCTCTCGCTTCCTGGTTGGCTTCTTCTCCAACTCCACCATCTGCACCAACTTTATCGACAACGGCGGCATGGAATATATCCTGGATCTCGCTACTCACCCAGGACTTGAACATGACTTCAAGAAGCCACCATTTCCCCTGCAGCCGAGCATTTCGCATCAAGCTTACGATGTCATCCGCCTCCTGCAGATGATCATGGAACAGAAACCACATTTGGGCCTTCCCCCTCTCCTGAATCGCATCCAGCGTGTCATGCAATCGCTCGCTCCTTTCACCGACTCAGCGGATCCATCCTCGTTTTTCAGCACCTTTGCCTATCCATCCATTTCCGGCAAGGCACCCGCAGATTTCACGCTGAACCAAGGTACCCTTTACGTCAAGCGTCTGCAGACAATCTATGTCCTCTGCTCCGCGTTGATGTCTGCATTGATGCAAAACAAGACCTACACGCATCGGGCGTCATCGACCATCGCCAATCAAGTAAACCTGACGGATGTGTATATCACGATCCTTGAAGGGCTCGGCAAACTCCAAAGCGCTTGTGAATGGGAATGGACGATCCTTATGAGGCGCTCCATCGAGACTCTGAAGGAAAGGAAGCCAAAGGATCCTGATAGTATACCAGGTCAGGACAGTGAGCCAAGCAATGCTGCCGCAGGCTCTAGCTCGGAAAACCCTCAAGTCGAAGTGACCGGAACAAACGGCCAACCTGAACGGCCAGAGATTCATTCTGTACCCGAGAAGAAACGGGGTCCGGCATTCAACAAGAACATCCCATTGATTGAGAGCCTTCTTGACAACGTTTCGCAAGTAATCACACCTCTACGTCTTGCGTTCGGAAAGATTCTCTTGCTTCGACCGCGAATTGAATCATATCCGAAACAAAATGCGATCAAGGTCGCCGAGAAGCTGGCTCAATGCGCAATCTCTCAGCTCCAGTACAGCAAGCCGACTTCTCAGGACGATATGGAGTTTAGGTTCAAATATTTCATCACCGTCGTTCGGTCATTAGAGGATGCCATGATTGAGGGATCTGCGACCGATGCTTCGGGCTCGCCCACGCAAATCCTTACCCTCGTCATCCAGTCGTTCAAGAACCAAGGTGGATTTGATGTTCTGCGCTCGATCCTCGAATCTTGCGCCGAGTACGCCCGGTCCAATGTGCCCGAGGGGAATAATGAAGAGGGCAAAGTCGACGGGCCGCACTTCATCCACGGTCTCTCTTTGGCCGCGATCCAAGCTATCGTCGCGTTTTATGCGCAGGTGATCAACTCGAAGAACGTCAATGATGCCACCCAAAGTCAGGCACTGCTCTCACGGGAGCGCAACCGCGACCGCGAACGACCAGATTATTTTTCACCATCCCAGTTCTTGGTGGAGCTTCGAACATTGACAGCAAAGCCGGTGATGGGTTTATGGGAGTCTGATTTCATGAATCTTGAGATTCGGGAGACCGCTCGATACATTCTTGACATCCTGCGGATCGTCCTTGAGGGCGACTCTGAGAATGGCGCATGGGAGCGATCGAACAAGATTCCAAAGAAGAGAGAGTTGACTCCTAGGACATGGTCCCCTCGAGATCAGGAAAACCTTAGACTTCTCGAGAACGACTATGGGGCCGACCTTGCAAGAGAAGCTCTATTCCGATGCAACGATAACTATGCGAACGCTCGGGAATATTGTTCGGTACGCAGGACCGACCCGAGGTCAATCAGGAACCGAATCCCCCAGGAGGAGCTCACAACTCCGACGCGAACCCGCTCCCCGGCGCAGCAGCCCGCGAACGGTGATGCCCAGCAGCCAGAGTCTCGACTAAACGAACCTGCGGCAGACAATCCACTGAGCTCATCGGTCATCATGCAGGATGTACTGGATAGCAACGACATCCACGGATCAAACGTCTCGCCACCCCAGCTGCCCGCCTTGGCTATCACTGACGATCAGATTCCGAGACTGCTCGACTTTACCGGGGCTCCTATGCCACCGCCGCTTGAACGCGATACTTCCACCCCTGAGAGTCGAAACTCGGGGGTGGAAGCTGCGAAGCAACCTGATGTCATCACCGTGGATGATCTTGATGAACTGCGTGCAAGTCTACGGACGAATATGATCGATCGCATTCTTGATGTTCTGAACGTGCATCCGGATCTTACGTTCGAACTGGCAGATCTCATCAACGCAACTATATCCAAGGCTGCGGATCAGACGTCGCTGCGTCAAGAGATTGGCACCATTCTGGTTCAGTCGCTCATTTCGCTGAAGATGGATGATGATGAGAAACCGGAGGATTGGCGTGCTCAAGGAAAGAAGATTGCGTCCTGCGCACATCTCTTGGCTCTTACGCTTCAAGACCGACAGTTCTACAATGCCGCCCTTTCCGATCTCAAGGACAACTTCGAGGCCCTTATTGGTTTCATCCGAATCTATCCTGTTGGTGCAGACGAGGAGTCGGTGACTTGGGTTGGACAGGTGCTCCTTATCCTGGAGAAGCTGCTTTCCCACGACCTTCAACCCAACCAAATCAAATGGACCGCTCCGAGCGAAGATACCGAGGATTTCGATATTGCTCCAATTTCTCCCCCGGAACAATTTCTACCGCTGGAAGAGAAGCAGAAACTTCTTCAGTCGCTCATCAAGATCCTTCCGAAGATTGGCAAAGATGCAACGCTTGCTCTGTCAGTGATCCGTGCCTTAGTCATGCTGACGAGAACTCATAAGCTTGCAAAGCAGCTTGGGGAAAAACAGAATATCCGAAGCTTGTTCCTCATGGTTCGGCAGTTGAACGGGTTGGGTAGTAACAAGCTGCAAAATGGTTTCATGCTGATTCTGCGCCACATTGTGGAAGACGACGAGATCATCCGGAACATCATGCGAAACGAGATTCAACAAGCTTTTGAGTCACGGTCGCAGCGACCGAACGATGTTGCCACATATGTTCGCCAGATGTCCCATCTTGTACTCCGATCGCCGGATATTTTTGTCGAGGTGACCACCGAGAAGCTGCGATTCACGCGGTGGGATACGCGGATGTCTTCCCTCACCCTGAAGAAGGACGAGAACACCGAAAGCGGCGAAGGCGAGAACTCCGAGAACAAGGAAGAGCCCAAGGAGCAAGCAAAGCCCGATGCATCTGCAGGGAAGTCCCAAGAGATCAAGGCCCCAGTTGTTGGGCATCCGGATGGTGTGATTCACTATCTGCTTTGCGAACTTCTCGCGTACAAAGATGTCAAGGATGCCGAGCAGAAAGAAAAGCCAGAACAGGAAGAACGACCTGCCGGGGACGAGACCGCTACGAATTCTCAACTCCTCTCTGTTGACACCGGCACTTCAGACGATGCTGCATCGGTTGCATCGGCGGATGTTACTCCGCCACGGACCGACCAGAAGTTCAAACCGGAAGATCACACGATTTACATGTACCGTTGCTTCCTTCTTCAATGCCTTGCGGAGCTCCTGTCCAGCTACAACCGGACCAAGATCGAGTTCATCAACTTCTCGCGGAAGTCCGATCCCCAAAATTCCACTCCCTCAAAACCGCGAGCGGGCATTCTCAACTATCTTCTCAATTCCCTAGTTCCCACGGGATCGATCGCTCATCCCAATGATATTGAATCAAAGAAGAACTCCTCTACATCGGGATGGGCCGTTTCTGTCCTCGTGGCTCTATGCTCAGAGACAGGCGAGACCGGGACGACACGAAAAGCAAAAGATGAAGCAGAACCCGACTCTGACCTGATATTCGTTCGGAAGTTCGTGCTGGACCATGCTATCAGAGCCTTCAAGGATGCCCAAGGTTCTTCGGACCCTCTTGAGATGAAGTACTCACGACTCCTTGGCCTTAGCGACCTCTTCCATCGAATGCTCGTGCGGCCACCACAGGGATCGAGCGCGCCTGGTGTGATTCCAGACCCATCGTCGCCAAAACAGTTGGCGAAGATGATGTACGAGAAGAACTTTGTGGCGACCTTGACGAATGCCACAACTGAGATCGACTTGAATTTCCCCAACGCGAAGCGTGCCATCAAGTACATCCTCAAGCCTCTCAAATACCTGCTTCATCTGTCTATCCAGCTCAGCCAGAGCTCGGAACTCCCACTCACCCCAGGGTCAATGGAAGACGATGCGATATCGTCCGCGTCTTCTTCTGTCTCGGAAATGAGCCATGATCGCGAAGAGACTCCGGATCTCTACCGCAACTCGACATTAGGCTTTCTTGAACCCAACCATGATGAGTTCGACGAGGCTGAAGACATGGATGAAGACGTCGAGCTCTATGATGACGGCTACCCTGACGATATGGAGTTCGATGAAGAGCAAGAAGATGAAGACGATGTTGTCAGCGATGACGAAGATGACGGCGTTGGTCCCATTGAAGGCATGCCAGGCGAGGGCCCAATCGATGTCGAAGTTGTTATGGATGATGGAGCCGGCATGAGTTCCGATGATTCGGACGACGACGACGACATGGATGAAGATGACGACATGGACGATGAGGACGACGATGAAGATGATGAGGATGACGAGGGTCCAAATGAACACATCGAAGAAGACTTCATCGATGACAATGGTAGCCTCGACGACCACGACGCGGGTTGGGAGGAAGAGGAGGCGGAATATGGCGATTTCCATGACTTCCAGGACGAGAACGGCGAGAACGGCGTCCACGGAAATGGACTCGATAACATCGTGTCATTGCTGCAAGGAGATCAACCCCCTGTCCAACTTCTTCAACAGCTCGGTGGCGATGGCGACATCGGAATCGATATGGGTGGTGATAACTACCTAGACGAGGAAGACATGGATGACATGGAAGGTGACGAGGAAGACGAGGAAGACGACTATGATGAGGACGATGATCTGGTGTATCGTCCAGATTTCGATGACGATGACTCCAATCTTCCCCCCGGCGCCATGTGGGGTACATTCCCTCCGGCTGGCATGCGTCTCGGCCACCCACATCACCACCACCATCACCATGGTGACCCTATGCGCCTCGACCATTTCCGTTCCCACGGTCGCGATCCTATCCGAAACATATACGGCGCTCCGCATCGCAGTCACCGACCTGGAGCGGATCGTGGTGCGACCGATGGAACCAATCCTCTACTGGCTCGTCCTGGCCCGGTCTCCCCGACTGGAGGGCGCAATATCCCCCATCCCGTTGCCGTGGACTTGTTGAGCGACTTCCCTTTCGACTTCGACCCCCTGCGACTTGGAGGCCGCGGGCCTAGTGGCATGGGTGGCGAGATGCCGTTTGCCCTGATCAATCAGATCCTTTCCGCCGTCCAACAGAACACGATGCTTCATGGGCGCACTGGGCCAATCCGTTTCTCTATTACAGGAACGGGACTCCCAGGCCAACGAATGCCAAACGCCTTGGAGGGAGCCTTCCGGATTTCTGGATCTCGCTCTGACCCGACCTCTCAACAGCCAACTCCGTTCACAGCAGTTTACTTTGTCCCAGGTACTACGATCGTTCGTTGGCAGGAAGAAGCCGCACTCTTGTTTGGAACCAGCTCCAACGAGAAAGCCAACAATGTGATCAACTCCATCCTTCGCTTGATGGTTCCTCCTGCTATCAAAGCCCAACGGATCGAGGCTGAGAAGGCCCGGAAGAGGGCGGAGGAAGAAGCCGCGCGATTGGCTAAAGAGGAAGCCGAGAAGAAAGAACGCGAGGCTAAGGAAAAGAAAGAGCAGGAAGAGCGAGAGGCCGCAGAAGCGGCTCAGCGAGAGGCCGAAGAACGAGCACGTGCTGAAGAAGCTGCCCAGCACGAAGAGGAACACGAGGATGAAGACGAAGCGGAAGAGTCTGATCAGGAAATGGAGGACATGGAGGCGACCGAACCTTCCGGTGTGGACCAGGCAGCGGCGGCGGACGATCAGCCTCGCGTTACCATCAATCTTCGTGGCCGCGAATTCGATATCACCGGCATGGGGATTGATCGAGAATACCTTGAAGCCCTTCCCGAGGAATTCCGCGAGGAAGCCATCATGACACACGTCGCATCGCAACGATCTCAGGCAGTTGCCCAGGGTGAAGAGCCTAGCAGTATCAGCCGAGAATTCCTTGAAGCTCTTCCACCTGGGATCCGACAAGAGATCCTGGAGCAGGAGGCACAGGACCGACGACGTCGTGAGCAGGAAGAGGAACGTCGCCGTAGAGCTACTGAAGGTGGTCCTGCCGCGCCTGGTGCTGAGGAGATGGACACAAGCAGTTTCCTGGCTACACTTGATCCCCAGTTCCGCCAAGTGCTCTTGATGGAACAAGACGATGCCACCATTGCCCAACTGCCGGCTCATATCGCTGAAGAGGCCCGATTGCTTAACGGAGAACGCCGACTCAACCAATACAACGATTTCCCACGACTCAGTCGCACCCGTGCGGCCTTGCAATTACCTACTGGTCGAGATGAGCCACAGGCCAAGCCAAAACCCCGTCCATATCCTCAGATGTTGGACAAATCCGGCGTCGCGGGATTGCTTCGGCTGATGTTTGTCCCAATGCAAGGGAGCGCGCGGCAGAGCTTGAACGACATCCTGCGAGACATTTGTATGAACAAGCAAAATCGTGCGGAAGTCATCAGCATTCTCCTTTCGATCCTCCAGGATGGCAGTACGGATATTGGAGCGGTGGAGAGGAGCTTCGCTCAGCTGTCCCTCCGGGCTAAACAGGGCGCTGCCGGTCCCAAGTCACCTCATCCTTTGAGGCGTACCTTAACTGGACAACTTCCAAATGGGAATGATCTTTCTCCATTGACTGTTGTTCAGCAATGCTTGGGGACCCTGTCATACCTCACAAGTGGTTCCAATTCAAGCATGGCATTGTTTTTCCTCACCGAACACGAGACCAGCGGTGGGATCCGTCATCGTACACCCAAGAAGGGCAAGGGGAAAGAGGTCAAGGCCATCAAGTTCCCACTCAACGCACTCTTGAGCCTCTTGGATCGCAAGGTCATCATGGACAGTTCGCAGGTGATGGAACAGCTCGCTTCTTTGCTCCAGATTATCACCAACCCCCTGAATCATCTCCTCAGGAAGGAAAAGGAGGCAGCTCAGCAAGAGAAGCCAGATGAAGGAGAAGAAGCTCAGACCAGCGGACAAACCGAAACCGAGACCGCCCCTGCGGCAGGAGATTCTGATGTGGTGATGACTGCCAATGACCAGACTGCTGCTGGAGCCGAAGCTGCAACCAATGACGGACAACAGCCAGCTGAGACCACCGCCGAACAGGGAGCTGCGTCCACATCTACGCCAGAAGAAAAGCCAGAAGACAAGCCCGAAGAGAAAGAAGCGGAGAAGGAAAAGAAGACGAAAACCTTTTCCCCACCTGAAGTTCCAGAAGCCAACCTTCGTCTTGTCGTCAACATCTTCGCGACGCGAGAATGTGGTCCAAAGGCGTTCAGAGACACTCTTGCACTGATCACCAATCTCTCAGCTATACCTGACGCGAAAGAAGTCTTTGGACAGGAACTTGTCCGTCATGCTCATGACCTTGGGATCGTCATACTTCAGGATCTCGAGGAGTTGCTGGTTAAGATCGAGAATGCCAAATCTGGTACCGACCTTCAGGGTGTTGCGTTAGCCAAATTCTCCCCGGCGACCTCCGACCAAGCGAAACTTCTTCGCATCTTCCTTGCGCTAGATTACTTGTTCGACCCCAAGCGTGCGGAAACGCCAGACAAGCCATCCAATTCCACAGCGGCCGAACTCAACTCTCAGCAAAAGGAACACATTCTGGCATCGATCTACGACAATTCAACCTTTGGTCCGCTCTGGACAAAGCTCAGCGAGTGCTTGACATCCATTCGCGTCCGTGGCGACATGTTCAACGTTGCTGCAGTCCTGCAACCCCTCATTGAGGTCTTGATGGTTGTTTGCAAAAACACTACCTTGAAAGATGCGCCTCTCAACCGACAGGTGTCGAAGGAGTTCGCAGTGTCAAGCCCCCAACCGGAAGCCGCTGGAATGGAGAATTTGTTCTTCACTTTCACGGAGGAGCATCGCAAGATCTTGAACGATCTTGTACGACAAAACCCCAAGCTCATGAGCGGATCGTTCTCATTGATGGTCAAGAATTCCAAGGTGCTTGAATTTGACAACAAGCGGAACTTCTTTAGCCGTGAGCTGCACCGTCGTACAGACGCCCGACACCCTCACTCGACCTTGCAACTCCAGGTCCGTAGAGACCAGGTCTTCTTGGATTCGTTTAAGTCGCTATATTTCAAATCCGGAGACGAAATGAAATATGGCAAGCTCAACATTCGTTTCCATGGCGAAGAGGGTGTTGACGCAGGCGGCGTTACCCGAGAATGGTTCCAGGTTCTGTCCAAGCAGATGTTCAACCCCGACTACGCGCTGTTTAATCCTGTGGCGTCTGACCGGACGACGTTCCACCCAAATGCGCACAGCATGATCAATCCCGAGCATTTGATGTACTTCAAGTTCATTGGCCGCATCATCGGCAAAGCCCTATACGAAGGCCGTGTACTTGACTGCCACTTTAGCAGGGCGGTCTACAAGCGCATGCTAGGCAAGGCAGTCAACGTCAAGGACATGGAATCTCTGGATCTGGACTATTACAAGTCGTTGCTCTGGATGCTTGAGAATGACATCACCGACATCATCACGGAGACGTTCAGCGTTCAAAGTGAGGTGTTCGGAGAGACCAAGGTTCATGACTTGAAGGAGAACGGCCGCAATATCCCGGTTACAGAGGCGAACAAGCACGAGTATGTCCGTCTGGTGGTGGAAAATCGATTGACGGGTGCTGTGACTGAGCAATTGGAGCACTTCCTGAAGGGTGAGTTCCATCAACCCCTACCCATCTACCAGCTCATGACTAATGATTGATTAGGATTCCATGAAATTGTCCCCGCAGAGCTCATCTCCATTTTCAATGAGCAGGAACTCGAGCTGTTGATCTCCGGTCTTCCGGACATTGATGTCGACGACTGGAAGAACAATAGCTCGTACCAGAACTACACTCCTACTTCCCCTCAGATCCAGTGGTTCTGGCGAGCCGTCCGATCCTTCGACAAGGAAGAACGAGCTAAGCTTCTCCAGTTCGTTACGGGCACCAGCAAAGTGCCTCTCAACGGCTTCAAGGAGCTTGAGGGCATGAATGGATTCTCCAAGTTTACCATTCACCGTGACTACGGGAACACCGATAGATTGCCCAGCTCACACACTTGCTTCAACCGTAAGTCTCGTGCATCCCAAATGTATCTACTGCAACTAACACATTTTTCAGAGCTCGATTTGCCGGAATATGACTCTTACGAAACCCTCCGTCACCAGCTCTACACGGCAATGACTGCTGGCAACGAGTATTTTGCCCTTGCGTAAATTTGAGCTCTTGCTCTTTTCTCAAATTGAAACCCGAATACCTTTAGCATTGCCCGGCGCTTGGGGTCTGCATGCTTTCTCATGGGCCTACGACACGGATGACGGAAGCGGCATGACTAGCAGCCGCACGGATGGGAAGTTCTCGTTCGGTGCTAGCGGTTCGACACGAGTTGCCCTTTTTTTCGTTTCGGAATGTATGCTTTACCTTATTATGCGCTTTGGTTTGAGATTTCCGCCGCCATGCCTACCACGCCTACACTCGAGATACAAGCGGTGGAGGCGAAGTGCAGATTGGCTCCACTGGGCGTTCTCGATGGGCTGGACCGTTGGGGACATGGGCAAAGGCAGTCTCGGCAGCGGCTAGATGGCAAAAACTATGGGATCTGGGCTGCACTGTACATAATTTTACTACATCAGATAATCGAGTGCTTCAGGTTCATGTTTCGTTGTCTTTAATTGCAGCGAATTACCTTTTCCACGTGATGTAATCCAATCAACGTCGATGGCTTGGCGTGCTTGGGCAGCCACCAGGTTGCATAATTCTATGGTCTACCATCTTACAAGCTTTCCATCCTTCATGCAAGCTTCGCCATTGAAGTCGAGGATAACCCAATCAACGTAGGCAGGAATTACGGAACCAATCACTAATCATAAGACGCACCATGCAAGGCATGCTGCATGGCCATTATTTGACAGTTAGTGATTGGCTGGATCTTACCAGTTACCCGTTTACAACGCTTCTCGCTGCAACTAATTTCATCCGACTCTTCCTACCAAAGGCGGACAGGCAGTATCCAAGCTTAGGCTCGGACCGGTGTCCAAGACAGCACTCGGGCTTATGGTTGTAATGTCGTCCGGAGAATCGCGGTGAGAATTCAAATCAAGCAGTTCCACTTTCCTTCCTGAATGTGAGTCTTGCTAGTATCAAAGTATGACCGCATTCTAACAAAGGTATGTACTAACTAAGTTAGTTATCACTAACTAGTTAACTAATTCATTATTTACTACTACGCCATGGACTTTAGCCTCTGCCGTAAGCTTATTTTACCGGCGATATATCGAATCCGGCCTTGGACGTCGAGGACAACTGACGCTAAAAGTGTTGGAAATCGGTGGACCATTCATCTGACCCACTTGGGCCACTGTGATCCGATTGAAGCAAGCCCCTCTGCGGCTCCGCCCCCAGACCACTAGCATGGAAGTTGGATGCCCGCCCAATGCCCATGCCTGGTCTGAGATAATCCTCCACAATTGAAGGAACTTGTTTCATGCACTAATATCCATGCTAACAATAGATCTCTTCGGCACCTACGGAGTATGGATTTTGTGTTCACTGGGACATACCGGCGGCACGGTTGAACCGATTAAGATCATTAAGAGGTTTGGTCCCTTTCGAGCAAATGGGTTGGTCTCTTCATGTTACACAGTCACATTGAGTCCTTCCAATTCCTGACTCCAATCATTTATGATATATGATACATATCCCAATGGCGCCATACGCGTGAAAGCGGTCGGAACATACACCAGTACACTAGCGCGTTCGCCTTATTCCACCCGTTTGGCTCTCGCAGGTCTCTAGACAGTGGCTGCACTTGAGCACCTTAGTTCCAACATTCTTACTTCTTAGTTATAACTTATATGCCGTCTTGCTCTATTTTCGGCCTTGGTCGAGCTCCTATGTCCGTGCTGACCCAAGCTGTTTCGTCGCTTCTAGCAAACCGCAAACATAATGGTGTGCGATCATTACAATTGTGTAACTCAGTTCTCCAACCGCATTGGCCTGCTTTCCTGTCCTTCAAGTTATACTTTGCGAGAGTTTGCTGTCAAAACTCCCAATCTATCTGAATGTGGTGCGGGAAGTCAACGTTTCTTTCCTGGAGATGGCCTCGCCCGGATCGAGTTCCCGTCACTCGCGCAACCGATCAAGATTCGTTGAGGAGTTTGGCGATGCGGTACCTCCCGCCGAAAATGACGGTACCTGGATGCCTTCTCCGCGACGTACTTTAATCGACAGCAGAAGAGTCTCCATGTCTTCACCAGACATTGGAGGGAACGGCTGTGCGAAGCTGAAAAGCAGGTATGAACGAAACGACCGCGAAGAGACCTAGCCTTACTTACAGCTTCAAAGGGACAAATCCAGCGCAGCGTATAGTCAGCCAGCCTTATCATATACGGAGCAAACGGCCGGTCTGGGAATTGAAGGAACGGAGAACATATCTCCAGTAGATACATTCGCCAGGGAAGGACAACCCCGACCTAGCTTTTCTGCACAATCTCCAGTCAGTCCGGTCAGGCCGGCTAGTCGACTCCAAACACCACGAAACAGCACGGATCAATTAACAGGAGTGCCCATTGTAACGAGGCGATCGACGATGGATACAGACCATCAATCATTATTACGGGCATCGGATGGGTTCATGTCAATCTCTGGCTCTCCAAACATAACATCCCCCGATACCGAAAGATCCAATACAACTCCACCGTCTCCAGGGCCCGCCAGTCCTCTCTTATTACCTCTATCCTTTAATCCTAATGACGACACATTCTCTGACAGGAGCAAGCATGACTCGCAAAACATGGAGTCAGGGCCGAATCCCCACGACAGGTCGACCCCAAGCTGGCATTTCAGCATCCCTTACGATGGAAGCGGCTATCAAGTGCCACCCGACCAGGCATTCGACGATCACTCCAGAGGTGACAACATCCAGAGCATTGGCACAACCGGCTCAGCGAATGATGGTAAGTGAAGTCACGCCTTTATAGTACGTGGGATCTAGCGGATATGTATCTGATTCCAGTACATTAGTCGACCGTAAAACCACCGATTCTTCCCAGGCCAAAAGCCCAGGTGCCGTCCAAAGTTCTAGATGGCTCTCAATAACGATCATCGTCCTTTGCGTAATCTCAACCATCCTCTCCGCAATGTACTTCATCATCGCAGCAAAGGGGCCGCGATACGGATGGATACGGACCAAGGGATCGTTGACATTCTCCAGTGCGTCCATCATCACTACTTTATTTGCGAAATTGATTGAGCTGTCGTTCGTCGCAATTTTCGTGACTTTCCTTGGGCAAGTGTTAAGCCGCAGGGCGTTTAGTCGTGGGGGTAAAGGGGTTAGTTTGGCTGAGATCGGAATGAGGGGCTGGATACTGCAGCCTGGGACAATGATTACCCATCCAAAGACCGTGCGATACGCCGGATGGTCCATCTTGGGGGTACTAAGTCTGGTTGCAGCACTCTTGAGCACATTCTATACCACTGCCGCGAACGCTCTAGGTCAGAAGACTTCCCATTAAAAGGCGGGATCATTACAGCTGACATGACACAGTTGCACCTCAACTTAAGTTTTCGGACTGGGAGTCCAAGGTGATGAAAGGTGCGATTCGGACCTCGTTCGGAAATGCACACTATCTAGCACAGACCTGCGAATCCCCACCGGCTATTCGATTGACGAGCGGAAAAGACGAAGACGTGGAGGCTAACACTTGCATGGAAATATCGTATGCCTCTCAGTGCTACCATAATTTCATCACGTATCTTTCCGAATGGTCACATTTTTCAGCCACAGGCGTCGGCAGGGTGGACCAGGGGAAGCGGCCAACGGGAGTTGGATCTCTCTACGAGGACACCACCATAAAGGCTCAATGGATCGATAACCGTAACCTCACATCCGATAGCGAGGCCTTTGGTCGCGTTTTGAACAATGTGAGCCTGGCATTCCCTCATGTCGGAGTAGTTCAATCCGCGCGAGACCAAGTCAATCAGATTCTACAACCGGAGGTCAGTGGATTTGGCAGTCATGATTGCCCTTCAAATGAAAGCTAAATTACAGCAGGATCTTGATGGAATAGGGTCGTATTTTCTGCAAGCCTCGGTCCTGTCTCCCGTCATTAATGTTCTTTGCGCGAATATGAAAGAGCGCGAGCTGGAGCCAATCGTATATGAGGCCTGGCCGAATGCGAATATATCGGGTCTTGCTCAAGGTTGGCATGAATCCAAACTGGCCAATATCACAGACTGGCCTCAGATTAATCGGACGGTTGTGGACGAAGTGTTCGGGTGGGGCCCTGAGAATGGCCAGTATCCTCCAAGTCAGTCTTGATAGCCGTCATGTGCAGCATTCAAGAGTCTAATATGGCACAGTTTTCCCAAAATATCCAGAAGATTACAACACTGTGAGTATAAGTAGCCGGCAAAATTGCTGTAGGATTGCAGAAGCTCATGGACACAGGTTCTGAATAACACCTTCCGTTACGGGCGTGACTCGATCTATTTGCTGGGACGAGGCTCTCCATCGTTCGCGACGAACCAGTCTTACGTCCTTTGTCAGTTGCGTACTTATCAGACTGCTAAATGCAGCACTACCTTCTCTGCTGCTTCCAGTGGCACCAAATTGGAGGCCGAATGTGCGGATGATAATGAGCGTGCCTATAAGCACTTCAACCCCCTTTTCCCGGCCGGTAACGCAACGGCCAGTAAAGATTGGCCGTGGGTTGCTTCAGGGATCGGAAGCGCTTTAGCTCTGAATGCAGGTATTTCGGATGCGAACGCCGCAACCGCTCGGCTCCTGATGCAACTCGCGATGTCTGATTCCATGACTACACTTGATCCCGCTCGACCGAGCCTCGCTGAATCCTTGGCTGTACTCACTGGCGCAAGCGTATTGATGGGTGCTAAAGATACCCCGTTTCACCCTGGCTTTGTACGTGCACTTTCAATCCCAACCCTCCGTCTATCACCTTCGAGCTGACATAACTAGGAATATACCCTTCCCCCGGACCTACACAACATCCTGCCGTCACCCATATACCAGGAGTTCATGGCCTTGATTCGATCCCAGCAATACGCCTCCGGTGGAACGCTTTCGGGCCAGCAAGCATTCCATGTCGTCCTCCTGCTGGTCTTTCTTTCAAACTTCACCATTCTCATCTACTTCCTCTTCCACCGTGGCCGCCTGATAAAAGATTTCTTCGATCCGACGAACCTCTTCGCCGTTGCTGTAAACTCACAACCGCCCAAGACGATGAGTGGTACCAGTGGTGACGGACCGAGTGGGGAGCAGATGAGGGCGCCTTGGTACATTAGCGAAGAAGAGAAGCATTGGTATGCCATTTCGGACGAACCAAAGGACGCGAAGCATGCATGGAGTGATGAACTTCAGGGGCGGGAACTTGAAAACGGTACTAATAAACGTAGATGGCAAGTGCCAAGCAGCAAAAGCTTAAAATGAAAAGCACGCCGTTGGATGACATTTTCCGCAGTGTTGGTATGGTTGAGGCGCTGCCGTCGTTGAGTCGGCGTAAGCCGTAACTAATATTAATAATAATTGCCAGTCATGGACATTTTCCCCTTAGTTTTGAGCACTTACCCGTATAAGTAGTTCAATTTGAAGAGATGGCACACATTTGTACAAAACTTCTAACCGAGCTTGACCAGCTTGATGTCTCATTATAACCCTTAAATGTTGTTGTTGACTCCGATATGGATGGATGGTACCAACTACCACTGAGTACATAAGACCACTATACGGAATGCATATAATAACCACCCCTACAATTACTCAGGTGCTTCGGAGCGATGAACCTACCATAAGTTCGGGCCTACTAATCAGTATTACCACATTTCGGAAGGATGGATTCCTCTTCCTAACATAGGCCCCGAGAACGCCTGAGGGCCGAAATATGCACGAGTTGGACCTCCTCCCATAGATTCCCCATAGGTCCAAAAGGCACCTCTCCACCAGGACTCATCTGTCTCAGATGAGGCGTGGGCATAATTTGGGGTCTACCTCCTGAAGGAAATACAACTGGATCATCGAAGTAACCCAACGCAGGAGGGCATACCGAACCCTATCTGCCGTCCAAGGGGAGCGCCGGTCCGATAATCAAGAGGGCCCGGATGTCTCATTCCAGGGGGGACTCCCATTGATGTCATTGGACCATTCATCCTCATACTTCCCTCTCGCGGCATGCGATCCAGTGGATGGCTGAAGGCCCTTCCGAAACTAGCCCTATTTCCGGCCATGGGATTCAACATTCGGTGGTAATGCGGCTTGAAAAAATGGTCCCCTAGTACCACAGTTTTTCTCTCTGTCGATACAATAATTTAAGAGTGATCAAGTCGTTGTTTAGAGCCCTTGCAATTCATATAGCTAAGAACAAAATCTCCAAGTGCCTGGGTACTTAGATGGGTGGGTGACAGGTATATAGTCCCCCTCGTTGCCCCTGACCCACTCTGGAGAGCGAAAATACTCGAACCAGTCATTTCAGCAACGAAATTGTGCGTAAACAAAGTTCACTTGCAAGTGTCATATATGGCATGACGCTGAATAACGTTCAATGACATTGGTGCTTCGAAAGGCACCATTAACGGGTATACTGTTTCCCATCACCTAACTCCAGCCCATGCATGATTCATACAGAAGCATCGTAACCTCAGCCCAGCTTGTCCAGCAGCTTGCGCCGTTTCCTGTCCACAATCTCCTCTTGGACTTCTTCTAGTGTGGGCAACCGCCATGCCGCTCCGTCACCAGCATCGCCTGGAATATCCTCCCAGTCGGTCTTTTTGTCGGCATCGGCCTGGGCCATGACCGCACCAAATGCCTCCTTCTCTTTCTCCGACTCATACGCCAACAGCGTTCCATCTTCCTCATCGAGATTATACCCATAATATGCCGCATCCACATTCCGCCTCAATTCCGCCCTGGTGGTCTGCTTCTCCTCGGTCTGCTCCGGTCTCGACACCGCTTCGAAAAGCTCCTTGACCCCCGGCAACTCCCTTGCCCGTCCAAAATATCTGTACCCCTTCGCCCCCGCCCCGACGATCTCCCTCCCCTGATCGTCAACCACCCTCCCCCCCCGCATATAATTTGGGCCCCCCAGATTCCGAATCTGCAGCTCCCACACGTGCTTCTCCCGCATCAGCTTGTTGATTTCGTCGTTCAGGTCGCGGATCTGGAAGTCGCTGAGCGAGTCCTCCTGGATCTTCGACACCTTGCGGGAGATCTCCTTGAGCACCTGGCCGCGCCATTTCTCGCAGACGGGGATCGACTCGATGGTGGTGATGGCCTTCGGGCGGCGGGAGCGGCCGACGTCGAGGATGCCTAGGTCGGCGGCTTCTTGCGCTCGGAAGCGGAAGAGCATGGATTGCGCCTTCTCGGCATTTCGGGCCTGGATGGTGGGAACAGGTGAGCATTTGACGTCGGAGTACTATGGGGAGCCATACCATGATGCGAGACTTGTAAGAGATGGAAACGGGTCAACGCTGGCCGGTCGCTCCAGCAATGGGTGTTATTCTTTCTGGAAAGTATCTCGAGAGTGGAAGATATGTGAATATGTATCAATTTCAGAGGAAGCTAGAGTTGCCTGCCGTCGAAAGTCCACAGCGGAGCCTAAACAAATGGATGTTCCAACTTCCAAGCAGTTCTGAAAGTCGAACCTTGCCTGGCTTGAAACCAAAATTGTTGCCTTAATTATGTTGTTTCATGTTATTCGGAGGGTTTTTGCTGCGTCGCACTGGCAAGATGTCAAGGCTGCAAGGCTGACATGGGGTATTGAGGTTGGCGCCTGAACCACTGCCCCAGTCCCAGCTCCAGCCCTGAATAATATGATCAGATACAGATGCATTGAATATATGATATTACGATATCGTCAAGCACTCACTCCATACAGGGGTAAAATAATACAGGGTCACGAGTACATATATCGTAGAGAACATTTGTAACTCCAAAATTCTGTTGGGTATTACCGTAATTGATGTTCGCTGCTATTCGCTCAGGAGTTAGATATCAGAGTATATCAGTTGCACAAAATGGATCATCCGCAATTGCATTTCATTTTGGAACACCAGAGCTATTCGTGCAGCTTCATAGACAGTCGAACCGACTTCAATCAGGCAGAAATTCGACCATCCCTTCCAAATATCACGTTGAATACCCATCAAAACTCCAGTTCAGCAGAAATCAACCCACACGCCAATCACTCATTGTAGCTAACATGGACATGATCCCTATTGTTGTAAGCAAACACGCAGAAATTATTATGCAGGGGGAACTCACCAATGGTTTGCAGTAACCGATCCGCGGTCCTCCATATCGCGCCATCCCGACCACGGCCCCTGATCATCGCGAGACGGACTCCAGATCTTCTGACCCCAGATGACATACATGACATTCATCGACGCGTGGTTCTCCATGACCCATTCCGCGATGGGTTCGCCTGCCTCAGTGCGGACACCGCCACCATCGGAGCACATGAAGTCCATGGCGCGCCCGCAGCAGTGCTCGCTCGTCCCAGGGCACGTGCAGTCGCGGGTGCAGAAGAGCTCTCGCACCTTGCCCGGGAACGCCTCGATGACTTTTTCGGCGCTAGTAACAGTCACCTGCTTGCACGACCCGGTCGCATCGCCCACCGCGGGATACTCCGGGGTAGGGTAGCCATCCTCGCCACCGGTATCGCCACCGGGTTGGCAACATTTGAAAGCGGCGGGCCCAGGGCACTGGTTGGCGACAGGCGTGCCGGTGCAAGAATCGGTCCAGCGGCAGTCGCCGTCAGTTCCACAGGCGGCCTTGGTGCAACATTTGATGTCTTCCGCGAGGTTGGGGCACGCGCCGGTGATGGATTTCCCGCCCGCCTTGCTGCAAGAGGACGTAGAAACACACACGCCTGGAGCGCCGCCTGCGCCTGTGCAAGCTCCGTTGAGCTCAGAGGCGTATGTCGCAGAGGCGAGGAGGAGGGTGTAGTTGACGAAGCTAAGGAGGTGCATTTTGAAAAGCGGATCAAAGACTGGACAGGGTTTGATGGAGTTGATAGTGGTCAAACAGAAAAGCGATGGTCTAGAGTAACATTACCTTCATACTTATACTTCGATGAAGCCTTGAGTACTGGATAGTGTAATGAGGGCATTTGAAATCCGGAATAGCAGCCATGAGCGGTTAGGCACACTCGGGACGCTAAAATGAACAATGTTTCAAGAGATCGACAAACACGACGGCGGGTAGCTGTGTGGAGGCTGGCAGATCGTAGATCGCGATTAGCACCACCTCAAATCGCATCCCTACGGTTCAAATGGAGTTCAACAGGAAGCAAGAAATTAGGTAGTAATGGACACGAAAATCCGCGGAATCAGCCACTCGTATGCTGTGAAAGGAGCTATTTCGCAGTGATCCGGACTGGAGAGTCGAGAGGCATCACAGGCGAGACGCATTCGGAGACTTCATGTTTGAGTCTTATCCCCTGATCTCCCATCTCCTGAGAAGCAAAAGAGTTGTGAGAGTAAGATGAAAGTTGTGGCATGTGGAGAGGTTATTACCTAGTGCCTACACAGGTACCATTACCTCTGGTCAATTGAAGGAAAGGGGAGTAGGGATGGGATTCGGTCGTAATGAACATAGCAAAGCAGGAGAATGGAGATGGATGTTTGGCCGCGGGACTTGGCGACGGGATCCTGAAACGCGACTGAGGCTCACCCCTGGTCTATCACGTGTCACTCCTTGGCTCCTTCCCTAACAATTGGGTCCCAGCGCCAAGGTTTCCGCTCCCTCCATTGTGTCCCGCAACTTTAAAACATCCTCATTCCCTCCCATATCATGCAAGATGATAGCTTTGATCGCCGCTGAATCGATGTTTGCTAAACCTGGGTTCTAATTCCCCGTGGTTGACTTCCCATTTCCCGGTATCCTTCATCGTCGAGTGGGACATACAGACTGCGCCACCATGCGATACCAGGTACCCTGACTGGATTTCCGGGAGACGACCTGATTTCTTTCCTTCTCGGCACCTTTAATACGAATGTCGCGTTTCAAGTGACCTTCAAGCGGCTTCAACGCCTTGAATGATCTTCACTCTTAGGCGGGTTTCTTGCCGATCTCGTGTCCTCACCTCTGAGCATGGCGTTGGGTATGCCCCTCTGTCGTGACTGCCTTCGGGCTTCAGCCTTTGAAACCGACATTTGAAACTCTCAGATCCAAATTCGTTAGTTGGTCGTCGTATTTCGTCCTTTAATTGGTGTTGATTCGATTCCAGATATTTGAACATAGAAGTAGCTCATACATGGCTGGCCCCGCCGGCATTCTCAAAGCGAGAGCCCAGAGTTTGGAACTGGTGTAACACAGGCGCCCCTACTTCATTGTGTTTCCAAATAATGCCTTGAATATTGTACAACCATATCAGACATCTCCTCCGTTCCCAGGAACTCCTTCCGAAAGAATGACCCTGCAGGGCCGCCTCCTTCACATGGCCTCCGATACCGACGTCAACGCTACCGATCAATCGGCCGACATCTCGACCTCACATAGCAACGGATCTCAGTCTCCTATGGCAGCGCGGAGTCATATTGCAAGCTAAGCGCCCGTGGGAGCCGGTGCGCTGCTAGATGACGGTGGTGCCGGCAGTGTTGTAGTGGTAATGGAAGCAGTTATTACCGGCGGAGTTGGAACTTCGGCAGAGGTCGTTGTGGAGTCATCAGGGGGGCAAGGCTATAGAGGGTGTCAGCGTCTTCTCTCAATCAGCTGGTCTCGTCGAACATACCTCAATGCCCAGAGGTAGCCCCCCGCAAGAGATCATGCATGCAAGAGCTTCCTTGGTACTACAATCGCAACTCTGAAGGCAACATTAGTCCTATGGATTCGACCAGACTGCCTTCAACACTAACCAGTTCCAATCCAGGAAACGGTCCGGCGATAAAGGGACACCGATCCGGCAAGCATGCACAAACTTGCCGCTCGTCTAACGAAGGCCGAGCAGTCACAAGAAGAGGTACAAAGGCAAGCAAGGCAAGAAGCGACTTCATGTTGATAGTATGGCGCTGCGAATAACTGTCGGCTGATGTCTGTTCGTCCTGCTTGGCAACATGATCAGCGGTTCATCCTTTTTATATCCAGAAATCTCCATATCACCCCGTATTATCCCCACAGCAACCGCATTTAAAACCTTGTTGCATAATAAAAATCCTGGGTCAGGTATCTTGGGAGAACAGTAAGCATTTTTATATATCATGATCCTCTATACCTGGTTGGGGAATCGCTATCACATGGATGCGGTTCATTAAACACCACTTGGTTCATCCATCTAGGCAGTTCGCTGATGGCCATGATCTGAACCAACAATTTTACTCCTTTGAAAGTGACCATATTCGTAAGTCGTACTGCTGTAATTTAAGTGTTCAATCCCGCAGCAAGAATAAAGGAATGCTGCTCCGTATTATTATTCTAATTTCTATAATGTGGGCCGCTTCCGATCATTTCCATATGTAGAAGCAGTGCTAATATCAAGCATTCTGCTCGGTTTCATCTCAACAGCAAAAGATGCACTAAAGCATCTCCACATCTCATATCAGCCCAATGTTCCCGAAATAAAGACTACAGTTGGTTTGCTTATGTAAAGAGCAGATCTTCCGGATATTCAGCTTTAACCAGGGTGGAGGAACGGTGAACCGGGAAAGATGCTCACGAACGAAACAATCCCTAATCCAAAAGTGCGTCTTACTCCACATTCACCGTTGCTTTCTTTAGATATCCTCAAAGGCGATTCCAGGTTTTGAAAATGTTTCTTGAATTACTATTTTGCCTAATACGTATTCCCATAAACCTCGTAAACCTCGAACTAGCACCATCATTCACTTTTTGCACTATCTTATGTGGTGAGATCGTGAAACTGAGGTACCTGTATGCTGAACTGCTAGTAAGCATACGTTGCAAATATCCTCGTCCGTAGAGTGCATAGTCCTTCATTTATCCCTTACTGCAATAACCGTAACTGAACCTTCGTGATGCCTGTTTGATAAGGCACTTATTACGAAATCGGAAATGCACCGCGTCCATTCTCAATCGGTCCATCACTCATCGGACTCTGCAGGCTCCTCCGCAGGCTCCTCTGTATCCGACATCCCTTCAGGCACATCCGACAACTCCGATTCGCTCCCATCATCCTCTTCTTTCTTCGGCTTCTTCTGCTTTGGGGGCTTCGGGCCCTTCCTCACCCCGGTCCTCGTGAGAAGGTGATCAATCGCACAGCCTTCCTCCCAGCCTTTCGCACCCTCAGATGTCGCAGCACGGCAGCGAGGGCACGTCTTTCCATGCTTGATGAACAACTGATGAAGCGGGTACTTGAGTTCATCAGGGATCTTCACTTCGCAATGCGAAAAGGTGTTGTTGCGGTTTGCTTTGCCCGGAGGCACCCAGCCAAGCCACTTGCAAAGGCGGAATACGTGCGTGTCGACAGCGAAGGACGGTCGCTGGAGGCAAAATAGGAGAACGCAAGACGCGGTCTTAGGGCCGATGCCGGGGTACTTGACCATCTCGGTGAACGCTTCTTCCGAAGGGAGGCTATGAAGATGGTCGAGGGAAAGCACGTTGGAGTTGGCACGGTCAATGTCTCTCTGTTTCTGTCCGTTGTTCAGGTACTCTGCACCAGCAGGTCCTTGGTCCGAATCTCCGGTCTGTTGCGCGACGACAAGAGCGTCCCTGCGTGCCTGACCTTCATCGTACACCATCTCGAGGATCGCTTTGATGTCCTTGCTCTTCGTCTCCGCCAGTCCACCACTCTTGATGGCTTGTTCAATCTCCTTCACGTCCGATCGACGAACATTGTCCCAGTCCACACTTCCTTTGCCGATGCCTTCGTCCAGAATGCCGAAGGTAGTAACAAGCCCTTGGAATGCACGAGAAGAATTTGTTCCAGTTGTTGCGGCGCTCAATCGCGTGCGAATAAGAGCATCAAGGACAGAGGGAACCTCGCCACATCCTGAAACAGTAGTCGAAGGTGCTGGGATTACCTTTGGAGGCACCACTTCACCGTGGACATCAGAAAGTAGCCTCGCCACTTCATAGCATTGCTCATGGCTAGGTGCCGGCCACTCAGGGAACGGAGTCTCGCCAGGCGTAAGACCGTAGTTAACCTTCTTCACTTTCTTCACTTTCGACGCTTCGTCCTGTTCCGCCTCGACTTTGGCTGCAAGATCTGCTGTGGTCTCTGGAAGAGCATCTTCGATTTGTGCTGACGCAGATTTCTTGGATTTCCGTACCCTCTTTTTCTTTGGAGCCTCGACATACTCATCTGCAGAATCGTCCTCGGCCTTCACATCATCTTCCACATCCTTGATCCCATTTATGACGGTATCTGCATCAGAAGCCTTAGATCGTCGGGTCCGCTTCTTTACTGGCGCAGCCTCGATCAGCTCCGTTGGCTCAATTGAAGCTTTCTCGGCATGTTCTTCACTCGTATCCCCACTATTAGCTTTGACAACTCTGCGGTTGTTGCTACGGGCTGACTTTTTCTTAGATGCCTCATCTATTTCTTCATCCTTCAAGGTGCTAGCATCATTCTTGCTCGGCTTCGTGGCATTCTCGGTGGCCGTAGCCCTGTCTCGACGGGGTCGTTTCTTCGGTTCTGAGAGCGGCTTGGCCACAACGTCTACTTTGACAGTTGATATGTTGCTGTTCACACTGGGCTCCGTCGTTGCAGTCTTTTTACCCTTTCTCACGCGTATCTTGGCCGGTTGGACAGTAGGAGACGCAGATGTTGAAGGCGAAGGCAAGGGTCCAAGATTATGCGGAAGCTCGTCCAGGACTTTACGCTTCTGCCCAGTGGCGGCCGGTTGGGCCTCAACAGACGCAGATGTTGAAGGTGAAGGCAAGGGTCCAAGATTATCCGGAAGCTCATCCATGACTTCACCCTTCTCTCTAGTGACGGTCGCAAGGGTGACGGGGGTGATCAGCATTGATGCCGCGGGTTCATCGACGGTGTTTGGCACAGCTTCCTTGATGGCCTCCTGAGATTCTGGAGTAATGGGAATTATGAGGTTCTTGGTGATGTGGAACCCTAGTTTGGAGACATCGTTCTGTTCGCTTGGAACTAGAGCCTTCGCTCGGCTTCGCGTTACACGTATTGTCATGATGGTTAGTTTTTGCGCTGGCGTCAACACCACGATAGGAAAGTTTAAGGCCAGTCGAGTTGCGTGAGGACGTGAAGAGTGAGAACGTGGAAAGGAATCGAAGTATGAGATAAGTCAAAGTGGCAAATCAAGGAAAGCGGGTTAAGTAGATGGCTCAATTTATGGGCCCAGAAGGTTCATTCACAAGGCAACAATGGTTGAATAATGAGCCGTTGTGAATAGAAGTTCACTCGAGGGCTCAATATATCTCAGATGAGGTATTGGCCCGAGTATTACCACGTTCTCGCAGGCCCTCAGATGAAGGCCCTCCAACAACGGGCTTTGTGAGAGATGTCTTTTCTCGGTGGGTTAATGAAAGGTCCCAAATCTCAATGCAAAGCTGCCTGTCACGCATTCATCACACACAGATTATGAGTACCTGTACCTGTGTCTGTACGTGTAGGAAGTCGGCAAAGATAGGATCTGTACGCCTCTGGTTGAAATAAAGTTTCGAAGACCTCTCCAACTCAAGGAAAGAGCGATACATCATACAGGCCTTTCGGCTTAATAAGCATATGCAGGACAGCAGGAACACCTCCACACCGGCAGGAACGACAAGGATTCCACATCCCAGTCATAATAGTCCGTGCATGGATGTCACGTGGATAAGGCTCGGTCCGCTAACTCTAAATGAACCATCATATCCTGTAGAATAAGCCTTTAGAGTGCATACTGTCATTGATGATTTCTGGAGCCCTTACATCGGCTATTTACCAAAGCCGATGCCTTTTCCATCTGATGGCGGTTGGGGCAGTGGAAACGATATCTGAATCATCGGCAGATCGGAGAGAAACCAGCGGGGACGGGAAGCCCCACTCGGCTAAACCTCGGTCCGGCATTCTCACTTCCATGTCCAGGGCCCACAGTCTGTTGTAATTGCATCTCTTGCAAGGTGCATCTTCGCTCATATCAACCCTTTGAAACTTGCTGTGGACCTTTTGGACTGCACCCTACCGCCATCCAAGGAGGCCTTGTCGTTAACCAATCGGTCTTTGGGACAATTCCACAATGTCGAAAGCCCTCGTGGTCCCCGCCCTCAAGCGGCATACTGCAACTGTACGTGTTGATTGAGGACCCTTGCCTTCAAATAGGAAGAAACTCACAAAGAATAGGTGATAGTTGCTCATGGCCTAGGTGACAGGTGAGCAGAAATACTCTGGCACAATTCTGAAGCTTCAATAACTGATATTGTGCGGCTAGTGGCGTTGGCTGGTAAGAGAAGTACGACCCTCACGCCATAGTGTGGACACTGACCCCATAGGGTTTGGCTGGCGGAGAACTGGAGAATGCGGAATAAGTTCGAGGAAGTGTCGTTCATCTTCCCCAGCGCGCCGAATATTCCCATCACCCTTGTAAGCTTCTGATGCATGTTTTTCGTGGACTCTGCTGACTGAGGATATAGAACATGGGCATGCGGATGCCTGGATGGTACGACATCGTATGTTGATAGCAACCCTCGTGATCCCTTTGATCATAGGTTGACCGCTCTCAGGCATCACTGGACGAATTGAAACGTGCGGAAGATGAGACAGGCATCAACCGCTCAAGGGCCTATTTTCACGAGCTCATCAACGCTGAGATCAAAAAGGGGATTCCATCGAACCGCATCGTACTCGGCGGTTTCTCCCAAGGGGGTGCCATGTCCCTACTGAGCGGTTTAACCTCTCCTCACAAACTTGGGGGGATATTCGGGTTGAGCTGTTACTTGTTGTTGAAAGACAAAGCGCAAGCCATGATTGCGGATGCGAACAATGCGAACAAAGAGACGAAAATCTTTATAGGCCACGGTGATGAAGATCAAGTGGTCAAACATGCGGCTGGAAAAACGTCTGCAGAAGTGTTGAAGCAGTGGGGATATGATGTTGACTTCAGAACATATGCGTACGTCTTTGACTTGGAGCTTTCAGAGGCATATCAGACTAACACTTCATGTAGGGGGTTGGTGCATTCTGCTGACCCAGAAGAGATAGATGACCTTGAGTCCTATCTCAATGACCGTATACCGCCGCTTGGAGCGTCAGGGAGTCTGTGACTATACCCGTCGACAATCGGGTTAAGTACATACTCTTTGCCCCTTGTTACCGGCCTCTTAGCTTTTCTGATTCTTGTTCTCGCTCTTTGGCGGAGACAAGTGCGCTGATCTTTGCTAGAGATATACCGATATGGCGTTCATAGTATCCATAGCCTGTTGACCAATACAGTCTGCTATGGTTAATTGTCGAACGAATTTCCTGCTTGTGATCCCCTTACCATCCTGAGAACAAAGAAGGGACAATGGGTGGAGGAAATATGTCTGCCCCTCGGGTTCGTACTGTGCGTACTGTACTGTATCGAATTGCTTCAATGTCCCCGTCCCTGAGATGCTGCTCAACATCGCGACACTGGCGCAACCGGGCGACCGGACTCTACCGCCACCCCTCATTCGTCTAGACTGGACAGTAAGTATCGCGATGATTGAATCGTGATTTATTTGTCGCTATCACTTACATCCCCTCCCACGCAGCCCACCTTCCATTTTACTCTCATCAGCAGATTTCGATCGTTTCAACTAGCATCGCATTACGTCAACTTTTGTTACTCCCAGGAAGAACATCATCAGGTTTAGCATCATATCCCCCCATCAAGCATCGTCTAAGCCCACTCGGAATGTCAGGAGAGCAACCTGGGGGAGGCAGCGCGGCCGCACCAAACTGGGTGACCGCACACTGGAATCCGAAATTCCGTCCCAGTGAGTTGATCCACTATAACTCTCCACAAACAGCATGTATGCCGTCGATGACCCGTTATGGGATTCGCCTACTTCCAAAGTCCCTACTCAAGAAATTACTAAAAATGTTTCGGTTGTCGTCGTCAATCACTGACCTGGGCCATAGACTCAATGACCGCGATCTTGGAGCTCGATGCCACCACCCCTGAAGCAACCATTGCATCTGGGGTGGCCATCTTCAATAATATCAATCTCGATGGAAATGCTACTGAGAAGATAGTTGGGCCTCATGCGTCAATCTTCAATAATGGCAAGGTCGATACCAATATCTCCAAGGGACATGTTTCGCGTCCAGTGTCAATCTTCGATAATTTCAACCTTGATGACACTACCATCGGAGACCTCCGACCTACAATGTCACCTAATAAAGGCAAGGGCAAACAGGGAGCAGATGTCCCTTTCACGGTCGAACCTCAAGGCCATGAGTTGCGTATCGACGATGCCGCCCCCATCCTTACTCATTCTAAAGGCAAGGGGAGAGCCGACGACGCCCCCGTCCCTACTCAGTCTAAGGGCAAGGGCCAAACCGGTGACGACAGCATCATCATCCGCGTCGTCCAGCGAGATCGTCCCGACAACGACGACCTGCACAAGGCATTCCAGCTGCTGCCGGTAAAGGACATGGACACCTATGACGTCGTTGCCCGCATCCTCGAGGAAGAGCGCCCCATCCCGAAGTACACTCGATTCAAGGAAACGCTGCCGGAGCCCGAAGAACTGGTGGAAGAATATGAGGATTTCTGGGCAATCATCAAGGAAGCGGAAAGCAAGCCGATGGTTCTTGGTCGTGAGTGCATGGACGACAACTACCAGTGTTGCGAACGTGCCCCGGTTGAAGGCCTGCCTGTGCCTGATGTGTTGCTCTCTGCGGCTCCGCCTCCTGCAGGGGCTTCCAACTCTGTGGATATGTCTTCTACCCAGGGTTCTTCTGCGGAGGCATCTAGCTCTGTGGGGGTATCCACCTCTACGGAAGCATCTAGCTCTGCGGACTCATTCGATCTTCCATCTTCATCCGTGAAAGACGAAGAGTGGACTGCGGACGATTGGAGCCCTGACTCTACGATTGAATGGACTGTTGACGGAGGACCTCTTGGCCCTTTCGAAGGGGAGTGTCTTCGAAAGGCGAGGGAGCGCAGGGTGACTCGCATGGAGTTGGGCCTTCACCAGGACTTCAAGGTGTCTAAGAAGCTTCTCACCACCACCCCCGGTGCCGAGTTCTTCGACATTTTGCTCAACGGACCGTTTGCCGAAGGCCAGGATCATTCTCACCCCATCATGATCTATTCGCAGGATATCTTCTGCATGAAGATCGTGTTCCTCTCAATCCACAATGCGGATTTCGAGGGGACGTTTGATTGCCCGCTCGACAAAATCTATGAGGTCTTGAGCACGTTCGATTCTCTCACCATGGAACTTTCTATTGGATCTACCTGGTTCGACCATTGGTATGCCTGGCGTCTGGGCCACGTTCCGCTTATCCCACCCCAATCCCGAGAATTGCTTGCACCGGCATTCCATTTCGACGCGGCGAGATCTTTCGCGAGATTGACCCGATATATCGTGTACTACCACGATACCTACGCCCAACAGGGCTACCAGAGGACGCGTCCCATTACCAATGAACGACTCGAATTGCCTGCTCGTATCATGCGTAAGTTCCTCCTCAGTGTCTTGGTTCAATTGATAATCCTAACGTTACTCAACAGAGCAACTTGACTTTGCCAGAGGCCGTGTCCGCAACCAGATCGTGAAAGGCCTGGAGTACCCTATGTTTATGCTTCTGACCTACGCGTGGAGTCCTGCTCGCAAGTTGACCGGTGCCGCCTCGCATGTTTACCTGCCTGATCATCGCGGAAACGACGCCAACTGCATCTACAAGAGCCAGACCGTCGGCTGCTACGTCGAAGCCTTGATCCAACACGGTGTCTTCCCGGTGCACGAAGCCACCCAGCGCATGTCGATCAGTGAGATCCTTCAGAAGCTCCGGACCTTCCGAATGCCCGCACTTGCGGGTTGCCGCACGTGTGCAAGGATGCTCGAAGACATGGTTCACCTTCTCGCCAGCCATGCCCATCGATATTTCGACGGCCTCTGCATCGATTGCATGGAAAAGGATCATGCTATCCATCCTTTTGTGGAAGATCTCAACCTTCGGGATATCTGGGTCAGGCCCACGAAGCGCATCAGGAAACTGCAGGCCAAGGTGCGCACGCATAATGATTGCAGCCTTGAATGCTCGTTCGAGCATGGAAACGCGTCTTGGTATTACTCCTACATGTGCCGTGAGGACGCTCAGTACCGTCGCCTAGCGAACTCTACGCTCCGCAGGAAGTTTAGGAGGCAGAAGACTGCTGCTACCTTATCCGCATTCCCTCCTCAGCAGCCCACTGGCTCTACGCAACCGGGCCCTTCCTCTGCCCAGCAGGCCTCTTTCTCCACCCAGCAGGCCACTTCCTCTACTCAGCAGGCCACTGCCTCTGCACAGCTGGGCCTCTCCTCTGCTCAGCAGCCGTAGGGTGTTGACGAATTGGCCGACCCATTGCTTGGGGATCTTTTCAAGAACTTTGTCTCTTGACGGCGGTGATGATCGATGAGGATCATATCAAAAAGCACACTGAGTGCACTATCACAAAAATGGGGTTTAAATGACTGGTCCAATCCTTTCCTTTGCTTTTCTTTTTCGAATAATGTACTCCTGCTTTCAACACCCTGTGGTACCACAATGGATGGCACTGCGATAGTTCTTCTTGTCCTAATTGTCTGGCGTATTGGGTGAAAGTTGGTTTGTGACCCAGCACCTGGTGGACTTTGCTCGTTTTCCCTGTTTCTTTCTGTTTTCCATTGCTGGATGAAAGTCGGTTTGCGACCCCCAAAAAGTGATTTCACTAAGTGATCTCACCCCTGCCGCTTGCTCCCTGGTGCCCCTGCGTGCTTTTCTTGTTTTTCCCTTTTAATTACTGTAGTCCATATCGCCCGCAGGTGGTGATACACAGGCTGGCTTCTCTTCCTATTTTGTCGGTTTGGCTCCGTTGAGTGAGAGTCGCCTTGCGACCCCCACAGCACTCGGAGCCAACCGGCCGTATCAACGTGATACATAAAAGTGCGATTCATTCTCTGCTTTCCCTTCCCCTTTCATGTGACTAAAATCAATTAAGGGCAGTTACCCCACACATGCGCCATCATTGACCGGTGATTGATTTGGTGGTAGTGGAGCCCATGGCGACTCCGCGATGGAGCGTTCAAAAAGGCAGGACTAGAACTAATGATGGAGAACTCAGGCACGTCGAGATGATCGCAACGATTTCATTCAATTGCTTCAGGCGCAGCATCAGATGAGCAATGTGCTTATATAAAGCGTATGGGGCCGCGAGGCCGTCGCATCTAATTGGATTATCCTGTGACCTAAATATATCCCGCCAATCATAACTTTTATCCACATGAGCCTTCGTCCCGGACGATATTCTCTCCAACAACAAGCAATCCGACAAATAGAAGCGTAAATAATATTACCACTGCCATCTAATTTTCCCCTCTCACTATTCCTGGCTGCAGGGGAAACTCGTCAAAAATCTCCCTGTCCTCAATCATAAATCCCCCTCTTCGTAGGAGACGAGGTGCCACCGACCGGCGTCGGCCCCGCCTGCATCTGCTGGAAGCTAAACAGCTGCTTCAAGCTCCCCGCACCCGCCGAGGCCTCATTTCTCCCCGTTCGCAGCGGTACCCGCTGATAGAAGATCTCTGCGTCGTCGTCGATCCCGGTTGTCGTGCTCGTGAGCGGTGCGGTCTTGAGGCTTGGGAGCAGCGCGTGGGAAACCGAGCGGGATGGGGGGGTTTGGGAAGGGGGTCGACCAGGTGTAATCGTGGTAGTCGATGAGTAGGATTTCGAAGCGGCGGAGGCGGAGTGGCGGGTGGTGAGAGCGGGTGCGGTGGAGGAGGTGAGGGAGAGAGAGGGTTGCACGAGGAGGTCAGATCGTGGATAGCTGGGTGTATGCGGGGATAAGAGGGGGTTCACGCGCGGGGGTAGCGGCCGAGCGGAGGGGCTAAAGGCTGATGTTGTCTGGTAGGGGAAGGAGAAGGCCACATTGGTTCCGGGGGTCGAAGAAGGAGAGTCGGAGAGGGATGGCGTCAGAGATGCGGACGTGGTTGAGCGATTGGGCTGAGGTCTAGCTATTGAACTGGATGATTGGAACTGCCGGAGATATCGCGCTGCTTCCGAGTCCTGACGGGAGACGGATTTTCTTGGAGACCGGCTCTTGCGTTCTTGTTCATGCGACTGCTCTTGTTCATCGGATGAGATCGATGTCTCGGAGACGCGGGAAACCAACCCAGGAGCGCGAGGTGACCGCTGAGGGACGATGTCACGGACTGGAGCCATATCCTCGAATTCGGTGGTAGAAAAAGGCGAGGCTGGGGGGGACTGGTGAACGTACGACATCCATGTCGAGTTGCAGTCCTGTTTTCGGCACCTGGATTCGCAATTGTATTAGCATGGATTCCACGGCGGTTGATTAAATGCGACTAACTTTTCTGAGCAGTACAGATAGCTGTGGTCAGGATGGACGATCTGATTTCCGCATATTGCACTACACGCCCATCTCGTTAGCAACGAACACTTTTCCGATGGTTTCATAATAATTCGGTATGTAGTAAGGAACATACCAAAAATTCAGAAAACTCATCACCATTTCGTCGTCGTCGTCGTCGTCAGGTTCGGACTGTTCTTGCTTCCGTGACGCCTTGGGTTTCCTCCCCGACTGTGCACCTCTCTGCTTCAGATGCGATGAAACTCGCGAGTGCTTCGGCAGGGCAGTCGCACCAGGGGTCGTAGATGCCGTCAGGGGATAGGGAGGCCTTTTATTTGACGAAGAGCGGTGGGTGGAAGTCATGCTGCCTACCAAATCTCGGGTACTCGCTTACAGATCGCGAATGTATGATAAAGGTCCGTATGATCGACGCAAACAAGAAGGCACGGACGGATTCGGCGTACATGCAGTCCACTGCGTCTTCACCGCGATTGTCTCACGACGGATGGTCGATTCGAGGCTCCGTACGATTGTCTAGAACCATGCGTATGTCGTAGCCCGGGATGGGTGGAGCGGTTTCGGAGATATGCAGTGGCGACGGCGCTATCGAAGCGGTGCGAATGAGGAATCAGGGAAGCCGTATCCGTAGTTCCGTCAAAGAAACGGCTTCGAGATGATAGCGAATGGCGGGGGTACGACGTCGGTGGTCGTGCAAAAGAGCGGTCGGTAGCAGGAAGGAGTCTTTGATGGGCGATGACTCGATGAGGGAGGGGATCCCTTTTCAGAAGTGGGAATGCAAGGTAAGCACCTGTCGGTACGATATCTCGAGACTGATAGGGATTCCTGGAGCGAATGTGGCGGCCGATAAGGTAACGGACACGGAGATTGATGGCTTGATCAGGAGGGGTGTTCACTCTGCAGCTGGGGATGCAGTTGACGTTGCTCACTCGACCGAGCTTATCAGATTGCGGAGGACAGAGTCCAATTGCGCCAATTGCCCCGCGTCTCTTCCAAGTTCCAAGTTCCAGCCCTGAGTTGCTCGCCGAATCGGGTTTAGCCAGGGGATTCAGATCGAGTCTTTGAGAGGGGTAATAAATGGCCTTTGTGCTTAATCAACGTCGTAGCAGCAATTCCCTTCGATTCTAAATTTACGGTCTTTGGTCTGATATCTTGACGCGTTCCTGAATCGGAGTCACACGCGGACTGATAGCAGAAGGTGTGTGCCCTGATGACAGCCGATCTGGTGGTGGTGGGGGGCGCCGATGAACCAGGATGGATTGATAAAGGGTCGAGCGAATGAAGAGCGGACAATGGGTGGTATTGGTTGATATCGATGTTGCACGAATGCTCAACAAGAAAGAACCTGGTAATATGTCGATAGGGTACTGTAGGAAGGTATAGGACTTAATGGAAGTATATATATGCCAGGCTATTGCTAGGCTTAACTGGGGGCTGAGGATAGGTGATGACTCGAAAGAATGCTTTGGAGCTGTAACCAAAGGAAGGAAACAGGAGAAGATGCGCGGTCAGGATGATTCATTATTATAACTCATCGGTATCCTCAAAAGCTAGATATATCTGTCCCCTAATCGTGATGAAGGCCTGTAAGCACGTCAAATGCCCTTTCACGGACCAGCCAGTCAGCCACATGGCATAAGGTGGGAAATCCCTCAGACTTCTCCAGTCTTCCAACTCACCACCTCATGCGGTGGAAGGTCGACCATCGACCCAATCAAAGCCGCACGCGCGTCATTTGGGGTTCTGATTACGAGACGGGCAACATATCCAGCAATAAACCACTCATCAGGCCCAGGGGTTCCACCATGACAACACCCGGTGAAAGTTTTGTTGAATGGCCCACCAAGGTACAACGGTTCTAGAACAAATCAACCTAGAACGGGCAGAAACGTGTTAGCGTCAGCTTGGGGAACAGAGAAGATTTTGTGCCCTTGGTTGTCATTTGTCAATTATTGAACTACCTTCCCAACTACCATGCATATAAGCTCAACATATGAGTCCATTGCTGGCCAATAAATGAATCTAACGACGCCCGATTTGATTATACTGGTTGCGATGTGGACGAAACCTCCTCTCCAGCTTGTTTGGAATGCTTGGACAGAAATCCCGCAGCTGTGCCATCAGGGTACGGAAATTTGCAACAGTACGCAATCCCAGCCTGAAATTAGCTACCGATATATTTAGTAGCCTACGGATTGAAATGGCGCAGTTTGTTCTCAAACGTTTGCAACCACACCTAGCTCGGTGAACCCAATTGCCCGGATTTTATCCCTGAACAAATCTACATCGATCATTATATCTCTCAATCGTACACCAGGATCATATGCTAGGTCCGCCTTGAGCGTTGCGCAATCTATTCCCATAAAAATATCCCCGATGAACAGAGGCATTTTTTTAATGTCATACGGGGCGAACGAAATCTGATGGCTATCAGATATGAACCCGTAGTTCCTTGAAACCTTCACGACGGAGCGGGGTTGCTCGTTACCAGGTTTCTCATAGCATAGTTGGATGTGGGAGCCTGGACTGCTTCAAGAATCCCCTTCACAATGTAGATGGGCTACATCTGATAATAAGGGAATCAATTGCTCCGATCTAATGGCCTGGAGCAATACGCCCCGCCCCTATTCGCTTAGTACGCGATTACCGAGGCTCTGGTGATGTGGATGATTCGGAAGGGAGCAGTCGTTGAATAGAATGGACCTTGTTGCAGATGCTCAGGCTCCGGAGTGTATGGGACGTCGGTCAACTGGTAACCCCCTTGTTCTACGCCAGAATACCAAAGTCAATGGACATAGACAAAATGCGAGCGAAATACTTCCGCGGTGACGGGGAGTACCTACCGCATCGCGCCACGAACTTCTCCAACGTTCGTTTGTTTCGAACCGACGCAGCAACTAGGAATTCCACTGTCGGTCGGAGGCGAGTCAGCTCGCGGAAGCCGTTGACTAAAGGAGTGATGATTGCATCGTCATACGTCTACATCGCATGAGCCCTACCCAAAGCAAATTGTTCGGAAACCCACAATGTCCGCCCCGATGACGAGATCGACTGGGTCATCTGCCATAATCCGCTTCTCTAGTAGAGTACCGACCAGTGACCGTCCCCATCTAAATGGGAATGATTTGATCGTGTCCGATTCCGGCATATTGAGAAACGCATTGTTCTCCAACGTTTCTAATACTCGCTCATCCCCATCCGTCGCAGTCACGGTCCTCGTGGCCAAATGCTTGGCGCACAGGATGGACAGCAGCCCGGTGCCCGCTCCGAGTTCTAGGACATGCTTGCCACGGACCCAGAGCTTCCCCGACTCTTGCCCGTTCGATGATAAATACGCGCCAAGATGAAGAGCCGCTTCCCAGGTTCGCAGCCCTGTGGTGCCAGAGGATGAGAGAATATGGCGCGACTCGAGCGTCGTGACGGCACCCCATGATGGTGACATGCTGGTTTTGGCCGCCGATCCCGAGGAACACGGCACGGGAAAGTGATAGGTGACATAAGACGGTTGCTGTGCAGCTGTAGACTCGAGAGGTGGAGGAGAAGAAACAAGGGAGACAAGCGAGGACATGAGAGACTCGGATAGTTCCTAGACACCTCCTTCAGCATTGAAGGAGCGATTGGAAAAAATCATAGAGATGAAAGTGATTCTAAGAGAGAGAAAGGCATACATCCTCGTCCGGGTCATCCATAGCCGCTTCAATGCTAGCAATCAACTTCTTCAAAACGAGCAGTCTGTATGGCTCCTGTGGCAAAAATGTGATATTCTGGTTATCGAAACAGCTCGCATGCAGCCATTCCTGTACATCGATCTTTTTCAATAACTCTTCTGACGGCCACGAAAGACTGGACAGCGGAACTCGCTGGAGATACTGTCGGCGAAGCAGTTCCAAGTCTCCAGCCATCATCCTGGCGGTTCGTGGCACCCGGAAAGGAAGCTGTAGATCGATTTCATCGGATACGCAGGCGCCACTGATTGAAACGGATTGAATTTAAATGTTATGCTTCGCTTCCAGGTGAATATATCTGAACAGAAGCAAACCTTCCCACTCGTGCCACCACATCAATTGAAGGTGACTCTGTCAGGTCTGTTCGGCCCGCTTCGTGTGGCTTGACCCCTGCATTGAACGCCACAGCCAACGCTGCAACACTAAGCCAATCAGAAGCGAGCACACGAATCTTCGCACCACTCACAGCAAAATTCGCGTGACTAAGCGCACAACCGAACTCTCTCCCCCAAGACCCTCCACATCTGCCATCACGAGTTTCACGACACTCCTCCATTCTCTCGACTTCACTGCCATCCTCGCGCACCGACCGTAATCTCCTTTACTGACTTTTTAGATTCGGGTATGCTTCCTTGCGCGTCCAGATAAATGGACAATTGATGGGAGGGCACGGGCTAACGAGCGAAAACCTTTGAAGGCATCATCCACGATCATCACGATGGCCGACTCACAAGTCACCCTCCGCACCCGGAAATTCATCCGCAACCCGCTCCTGGGGCGACGACAGATGGTCGTGTACGTCTTCTCCCTCTATCCCACCGAATCCCCCTTCCGAAATCCCCTCCAACCCCAGTCCACCATCCTGTGATCGTCCAACTAACCCGTGCCATTTTCACCCAGCGACGTCCTCCACCCCAACCGCGCGAACGTTTCCAAGGATGAGCTCCGCGACAAGCTGTCCGAGCTGTACAAGGCCGGCAAGGACCAGATCTCCGTCTTCGGCTTCAAGACGCAATTCGGCGGCGGCAAGAGCACTGGCTTCGCCCTCATCTACGACAGCAACGACTCGATGAAGAAGTTCGAGCCGCAGTATCGGCTCGTCCGGTTCGGCATGGCTACCAAGCGCGAGCGCGCGAGCAGGCAGCAGCGTACGTTTTGGATTGTTATTTTCCTTTTCGCCATTGAGCCACGATAGGGTGGAATTTCGATGGGAGCCAATGGGTTTGATTGAGAGGAAGCAATGACTGACACTGTCGTTACACAGGCAAACAACGAAAGAACCGATCCAAGGAGTTCCGCGGCACGGCGAAGACGAAGGGCGCCACCAAGAAGAAGGACAAATAGGCGCATCGCTTCTAGCACGGGGATGGGGACGGTGGCTGCAGTGGTGGTGGTCTGCGGTCACAGGGTTGGCGCAGAATGGATCATCCAAGCACACACGATATCAGGCGGTTTTCTCTACCTCTGATACGGTCATGACCGATGAAAAGGTTCATTCACCGGGGCGATGGCGGTGGGGATAGGTGTATCGTAGTTGCATCTGGACATACTGGAGTCGGGGCTAGTTCAACTCGGTGCTCTTCTCCTGGTATCGGGATCAAAATATATTGATTACACGCATTCGAATACCTTGTTTTGTCTGTTACGATTGTCCCACTATTTGGTTGACGAGTGATCTGGTCCACGGCTTGGCAGGTCACTCACTCACGCAGCGTGCAATCGTTCGTACTTTTTTGATTTGCTACGGAAGGAGAGAAATCAAAAAACCACAATGAATTGAGAGCCCTCACGCCATCCCAACCCAACACCGGTTCCGGAATCTCTCTCCCATTGCATCAGATCAAAGTCGTTATGTCCATGATGGAATTGGGTTCGGTCGTCGTCGCGAATGGAAATGAAGAAGTTACATGAAGACAAAACAAAGTGACGAGCGGCCCGGAAACCACGGCGGGGGCGGACGGATTCGTAAGAGCGAGAGAGTCTCGTAAAAACCGCGGACTAGTGGACACATGTGCCCGATGCGTTGCGGAAAAAGGCACCCTCGATGGCGAGGGAGCCGTCATGAGAAAGTAGAAAAAAACAAAAAAAACGAAGGGTACAGTCGTCCACCCACCGCCCTCCGCCCATTTCATGAATTTTGCAATCCCTTTTGTAGTATCGCCGAAGAAACCCAAAGCACCCAATCCGACAAGGAGAAACCCCCCGTGCCATGGCCCCGTCCGTCAACGCCGCCCGAGCAACCGGCGCCCGCGCGGGTAGCGAAACGGGGAACCACGCGATCGGAGGCGGGAAACAGCCGTGGGCACCGATACGATGGCGAGGTGCGTGAGAAAGGAAAGGTGAGAAAGTTCGAGACAGAACGCCACCCTGTTGCAGGGACCAGTGGTGGATGCAACATGCATCACGCGGAGAGGCGGGTACACGAGCGCGCCAGAAACATGCAAGTAGCTATCGGGAAAGGCCGTCACTTAGCGCTGGAGAAGCAGTCAGTCACCATCCTCAACTCACAGTATAGGATTCATCGACTCACCCGTCCTCTCCTCGCACCTCCCGCCTGCTGGGCCTGCTGCCCCGGCATATACTGCATCTGATACCCCGCATACATCCCCGGGCTCCCTATCATATTCCCCCCATACCCTCCCGGGGGGAATCCCGTCTGCGGTAGCATCGGGCTCCCCCCCATCGGCATCCCAGGTGCCCCGGCGGGGCTGCCAGACAGGCCGCGGAACTGGTGGGGATTCATGGGGGTAGTGGGCGTGGGGTAGCCGTTGAGGTCGACGGTGGGGTAGTAAGGCGCCCCGGGGCCTGGGCGGGGGGAGTGGGACATGTTGGGCATCATGGCGGGGGGGTAGGGCATGCCGGACTGGGGGGTCATGGCAGCGAGGGGGAGGTTGGCGGCGTTGGAGTACATTGGTCCGTTCATCGTGTTGACGGTGAGGGGGAAGGTCGCTTCGAATTGGTTGGAGTCCATGCTGCCCGTGCGTTCGAGGCCCATGGGGGCGTACCCATTCGGCGGCGCGTACATGGATCGGGTGTCCGGTGGGTGCGGGTTGACGTGCGCGCCATGGTTGGATCCCGGGCGGGTGTGCTCGGCGGGCTCGCGGAGGGGGGCGTCGCGAGCAGGGCCACCCGTGCGGGTGGACAGGCCGACTTCGTCCATGAGGCGCTTGTACCCCTGTTGCGGCTGGGCCTTGATGCGCAGCAGGACGTTGCGCACGTTGGCGACGACGTCGGCGCGGATCTTCTCGTCGAAGAACGGGGTGGTGAGGACCTTGAAGATGAGGGTGGCGCCGCACGCCTGGTCGCTGAGGATGTCGTCGAGGACCTTGTCGTTGGGGGAGAAGAACAGCGCTTGGAGGATCGTGTCGCGCGCGTCGGGCTCGTTCCGCTGGTTGATGAGTTTCAGGACCGTGAGATAGGCTACCTTGTGGGTGCAGAGGTGGACGAGATGCGGGACTAGGCGCGGAGCGAGGACGGTGCGTCGACGGGGGAACGTGCAGGTGTCCAAGAACCAGGTGAGCAGCAACGCGCCGTTCGCGTTCGTCGCCAGCTGCACGCTATGAACGGCGATGGCCGCCGCGACCATCCGCTGCTGGTCCTTGCTGGCATGGTGGCTCTCCAAGCAGGCACGCATCGCACGCGCACCGTACCGGCCTTGCGCTAGATCCCACAGCCGGCTCACCATCGCCTCGAAGATGAAGTCATTCAGTGGGGTCTGATAACGCAAGCAGCCCTGCATGACATAGTTCCCAAACTGGTCGAGGAACAACGCCACGCTGGCAGTCCGCAGCGAGTCGACGATCATGCCCATCAGGTTGGATGTACGCGCCACGTCGATGATCTTCTGCGCCGCCCAGGTGCCGTTCTTGTGCACGCCGATCTCTGCGAGGTGCGGCGCGATCTCGCGCAGCATCGCTTCCTTGACGCTGTCCGAGCAGAACTCGAAGAGCCGCTGCACCACCGTGTTACCCAGGTAGTCGGAGGCCAGTTCCGCGATCTCCGGGAGCATGGCGAGCGCAATCTCTTCCACCTCGACCTGGGAGCACGCGTTGTTGCCGATCCGCTTGCGGATCTCGCGCAGGCGCGGGGCGTCGTGGACACGGCTGTGGCTCGGTTCCGGGATCGGGGGGATCTCGCTCACGTAATGATCGTTCTGGATCGCATGCTCGACGAGCGCGGCAACGCGCATTTGCTCCTCGTCATTGGCACCGAGGTCCTTGACGATGCTAACAATGTCGCCTCGGATGTCAACCAGCGCAGGCGTGATGGGGGCGCCAGATACCGTCTCGCCAGCCCCAGAAGATTGAGTAGCGAGCGTGTCAGCGGCAACATAATCCTCGCCTTTCGCATACGGATCTGGGCTCGGGGAAGGATAGAGTCCATTCTTCCCAGGCGTGCCCGACGTACTCGGCGCTTTGGCATATCCGATCCGGATCGGGCCCGCACCGGGGAAGATTTCCTTCCCGTTCAGCTGCGACTTCGCGCGGACTGCGTTCTCCAACGTCTCGAAATTGACGAACCCGCAGTTCTTGTGCGTCAGGACGCGCGCCGACTCGATGGTGCCGAAGTTTCCGAAAATCACGTTCAACGACGACACCGTGGTGGACGACGGGATGTTGCCCAGCCACAGCGCGCGCGTTGGGCTCTCCGCGCTGAGTTGCTCCTCGCCGGGGATGTCCAGCGGCTTCATGTTGAGCTGGAGTCCTTGCACGGCCTCGGCCAGGCCCGCGTACTCCGAATGTTCGGAGATATCCAGCTCGGCCGCCGTCATGCTCGAGTCGAGTCGGGATGGAGTGGGGATATAGGAGCGCATCAACCGTGAGGACGGGGAATCTAGGACGCCAGCGGTCCTTGCACGGGGACGGTTCTGACTGGCGAAGTTGGCGAACGCTTGGACTTCGAGATTGTGTTGGCGGACGGCTTCGTGGATTGCAAACGCGGCAGCGGAGCTGGGATCGGGCGTGTTGAGGGCGCTGCCGTAGCTAGGAGTATAAGCCCCCATTTCTTCCTCGTCCGCGTATTTTTCTTTGGCGTTCACGGAATAAGAGCGGAACCGATTGGCGTTCTTGTCTCCGATGCTGCCCAGACCGATATGGTTGCGCTGGCCCTCCAGCAGCATTTCAATATCGGAAGGAGCCAGCGTCGCGCGGCTTTGTTGAGGGGTATCCACCAGTCCGAGATAGTCGAGGGTCTTGACATCTGTGTCCGCAAGCGAGTCTCGAGAAAACGCGGATTGCGGAGAGGCCGGGCCATCGGAGGATCGGATGCTCGCGAGCGTGCTGCCCCTCAGTCGGGATTGGCCACCGCCCCATTGAGAGAAGGGGGACGGGGCCCACAGCGAACCGATGGGGTTGCCTAGCCCACGCTGCGGCATGGATTCCGCACGGAGGCGCGACAGTTGGGCGAGTTTGGCCGCATTGGGGTTTATCGAGGCGGAAAACCCGAGGGGTTCGGAAGGGGTGCTGGATCCGGGCTGGAACGGGCTGGTGGATGGGGTGGGTCGCGACGTGCGAGGAAGCAGGCTCGGTTGAGAGAGGAAGCTGTTCGAAAGGCTACCGGCCGATGGGATTCGTGATGGCAATGTCCCCGCCCGTCCTCGCTTTGTTACTTGGGGTGCAGACCCGATGGGAGTGGTTTCGGCGCCGAAGGGTTGGTTGAAATCGGGGAAGCTTTCCCCGTTCGGCGACTCGGGGATCGTCTCACGGAGGGGCGTGGAGTTTCCGCTGGTCGGGGGACCCCATGGTTGGGGGTTAAGACCTTCTTGAGCCTGGATCTCGCGGGCGCTGGGGATGGTTAGTCGATGGCACAGAAATGCGTGGATACAACCTACCGCTTAGGGAAAAGACGGCCGCTGAACTCGTGAGATGGGGATCCGGAACCCAGCCGGTTCGGCGCTGGGACGGATCCCAGTGAGCTTCCAGAACCGATGGGGAATCGCAGCGATCCTCCCGAGGGCGGCTCGATGGGCGATGTCGAAGCGGTGGACGAGCCGGAGCGCGATTTGTTGGAGGACAGCTGAGGGAGGTAGTTGAGGTTGAGGTGGTGTTCAGGTCGAGTGGATGGTCCCATTATGAATTATATATTCGGGCTTATTCAAGCCAGGCGTCGTTGGGTGCGTGGTATCTCGCGCCAATAGCGCACTGGGGAATGACCCTCGACGGACGTTGGAAATGGCAATGAAACCGGCCAAAGGAGTGAACGGCAATGCGGGGAAATGCCCAGGTCGAGCGATGAAGCGCAATATTGAGGACCGAGGGATTCGAATTTCCGACCGTTGATGCCAGGGCGTCAAAACTTGCGGATCGGAGTTCGAGGGTTGTTTTCGGTCGATGCAACGTGATCAACTCGAGAATCGACGATCCGGAATCTCGCGTCAATCGGCTCGGATTATTTGAAGACCAGTTCTGCAAGGGAGATATGAACCGAAATGGGCGCCTCAGGAAAGGAGTGACGACGAAGCGATGGATGCAGCCAATGTGCCGAAACGAAGTGTTCTCGTTGCTCCGAATGTCGTTGGTCGAAGACGAGACAGGAACGATGGCGTACAGGCGGACTGCGGCGACGAGATGGTCGGAAGATGGGTCGGATAGCTACCAGGGAGCAGTCGAGTGAATCTTGGAATCGACGGATCGCAAGGGGTGAGCTGGAGAAGAAATGGAAGCTGAAAAGGTGGTGGGAATGACAGAGGAGGACGCCTCGGTGATGTAGAGCGTTGAAGTCTGAAGAGAGAAAAAGGAGAAGAAGTATAGGGAAATGAAGATGTGGAGGAGGAGAGAGAGGGAATGGGGTGTGAGAATGGAGAGAGAAGAGGGATGATGGTGATGAAGGTGAAGTTGGAGTTGAAGATGGAGATGGAGACGTTGGCGTTGGCGTTAGCGTTGGCGTTGAACGGATGGCGCAGTAGTTGGTCGATGTCAATGTCGTCCACCAGAGAGCAGTCCAAGTGAAAGTGAACTGTGCAGTAGTGAAGTTAAAGGCTAAAAGGCGTAAAGGCGAGTTTTGCAACGGGGATCCTGTCCACTCCGTATTTGGTAGATCCGCAGAACACTCCAATAGAAAGTCCTTAGTCCAGCTTCAATGAACTGTGCTGTATGGCTGTATCTGTGGACCGTCTCTCGATCTCTGGATCTTTTGATCTCTTGATCTTTTGATCGCTCCCTGCTTCTGTAGTCTATGATCTTTTCAGGAACTTCCGTCTCACTCTCAAAGCGAGCAATCGCAATCCCAATCCACCCTGAAGGAATTCGTAAACGTCGTGTGACAGGGCCGTCCAGGACGTCTAGCGTCACGCCGTGTCAAGTTCTTTTCGATTTGATTCAGTGTCGAGGGGACATCAAGTCCTAACCATCAATGGGATCTGTCTACGACAAAGGCGTGCATCTATCCGCTATAAACCCACCAACTTCCCTCATGCAACTCTTCGGCGTTTCCCACCACTGCCTCGACCCGACCGAGGCCTAGGTAACTCCGCGTCCAGACCCTCGATATATACGACCTACTCTATATTTATCTCCCCGTCTGATCACCTTGTAGGGCAGTGCCCGCGACCTCAATCTACCCTCTTCGCCCTTCCGCCCCATCGCTGAGGCCCAGATTACCTACGTTGCGCATCCCAGGTCCCATCTCCGCTCGTCTCGACTTAACCACCCCCCTCATCATTCCGATATCTCATGTCTGCCCCGTCATCCAGTACCTGACCCAATGGCCTGGTTGACAAGATTCGCCATCACCCACTGGTCCATACGCCCCCCTTCGCCAGCGCTTGTCGAGGTTCGTCACACAAACCCGTCGGCGCCCAGCTTTCATGCGTGCCTGGGTGGTGCCGGTGCTACGAGCTCGTTGGGCGTGGATGATGCACCCCCTATTTACTCTCAAACACTGGCGCTTCACTCCTTCCGTATAAACCATCCAGGGGTTCCTCCCAGCCTCGTCAGTCGTCGGTCGTCAAGTGACCAGTCTCAGCACTTCGGAAATATTGTGGGATCTAAACCATTAAGAAACGGTTTACAGTCGAGAGAATGTAGATTGCCCCGCTTTTGATGTGACGGGGTTGCTAATGTTCTGCTTGATTTGAAACCAGAGCGCTTGATTGCCGCATATATCGAGTTTTATGACGGACAGGATAGTCGATATTCCGATCTCCCATTCCGATCCTCTGATGTCTAGAGAACAATTATTCCGCCATTTGCTCTGTAGTACCACTAGCCAAAGTTAAAATGCCCGGGATCCTTACGACTGGTGGAAACACACTCCATGACTTCCCTCCCAGATAAATTTTTACGCTGGACCAACCTCGCGACCCAAAGCTGAGAGTTGCCTCAATCAATCCGGCGCACGCAGCGGGGTCTGCTGTTCACGTCGGACAGGGACCTGCACTCCTCCCTGGATTCGGCATCATTACCGAGCCATCGACGATGCTGATCCAGGCTGTGTGGTTCACCGACGTGCCTCGCTTATGGTAATCTCGAATGATGGCCTGCATGTCAACGCGAAGGCAATCAATGTGATTCGCGCCGTGACAAAGAAGGTTGAAACTTGACGATGTGGCTTTCCCGCGCCATGCTGACAACCCCGAGCTAGGCGGCCCCGGCGGGATTTAGCCGGTGTTTCGGAGAATATCCTGGATTGCTAGTGGTCCTCCATTCAATGCGTTGGAACTTGAGGACTCCGACCTCCGTAGTTAGCGTCAACTGTCAACTCTGTCTCTGTCAAGCGTGCAATGATTTAGGATTGTCTAATATGTGTGGATCTTGAGTTTTTGGCGGAGACCAGATGACGTGCCATCAATATTAGACTGGACTTAGTGGGCGCATATCGTAGATGTCAGATATGTGATATGTCCCTTGCATGAACATCGAAATGGAGGACACGGCCCAATTACCCAGGAATATTGGGAATTCAGGATGCATTCCCCCGCGATCGGTACTGATCATGGTCCAGTCGAACCGCGGAAACCTGGTGGACATGGAAGAGCATGAGCCATGAACTGATGAATCATAAACGAGTTGGACTGCTGGAGAGATGGAAACTGGGGAGCAAGAGCCGTGTTTCATGTTTCAGCCACTCTGAAACGGTCTAGTGTAGATTCTAGAATATCACGTGCAGAGGGGATCTAGCAGAGGCGCAGAGCTGGCTGAGCTGCAGAGGTGGCGTGGCTATTTACGCCTTGGTGCCTTGATGCCTTGATTCCTCGGCGCCTCAATATCGCTCCAGTTCCAGTTCCAGTTCCAGTTCCAGTTCCAGTTCCAGTCCGCGTCCAACGGACGCATTTGAACGACTTGGAGATGGCAAGCTCCCCTTCGCCTTCGATCAACTCATCCACGTTTCAATCCATTTCGGATCCACGTCACCCTCGAGCCATTTCCGAGGACGTCAACAACCTCGAACTAAAAATGCAACCGCTTCAGCGATAATTCTCCAACACAACAACTCCATTCCCTCCACATCCACCATTCACCATGTCCGACGACGACGACCGCTCCGCCTCTTCCTCTTCGGAGGAAGACAACGGCCCCTCCATGGTCGTCTCCCGCTCGCGCCGCTCCAATGCTGGCAACCTCATGTCCCGCCTCCTCGCGCTCGAAGAGTCCGAACAAGCCGCGCAGACCGAGTACGATTCCATGTGGCAAGAGGAGGCTGATGACCAGGAGTTCGGCGGCGAAGCGGCCGAAGACCAAGGCGACATCTCGCTCGAGTCGTCGAGCGATGAGGACGAGGACGAGGGCGAGGGCGACGAGGAGGCGGGGGAGCGTGAGTTGAAGAAGCAGGAGCGCGCGGAGGGGACGGGGAAAAAGCGGAAGAGGGGGACCGTGTTTCAGCAGGTGGTGCCACGAAAGAAGGTGAAAGCCGCCATGCCGCCGGGTACGGGGCCCGCGAGCGAGGGACCCGTTGAAGCGGCCGACGCGCCGCCGAAGAAGAAGCCGGAGCGCGTCTCCTGGCTGCCGACGGATGCGGACGGACCCAAGCGCGTGTCCTCGCGCAAACTCGCGCAGATGAACCGCGTCGAGACGCAGGAACGCCTCCAAGAAAAGGAGAAGCACCGTCTGCGCACCCTCGCGATCATGCAAGCGGCCGAAGCGCGGCGCGACCGGGAGAAGCCCAAAGCGATGACGCAGGCCGAGCACCTGGCGGAGGCGGCGGCTGTGGAGCGGCAGAACAGCAACAGTCTGAACCGGTGGGAGGAGGCGGAGAAGATGCGGATGGAGGAGCAGGCGGCGAAGTTGGAAGCGATGAAGAATCGGAAGTTGGAGGGGGCGTTTGTGAGGTATTGGAGCGGGCCGGCGGTATGGATGGGGGAGGAGATAAAGCATGTGGGGAAAGATGGGGATGTGAAGGCGATTGAGGAGGCGGAGATCAAGAAGCAGGAGGCGGAGATCAAGAAGCAGCAGACTGCTGTGACAGTACCGTCGGCTCCACCGGTTGCGCAACATCCGTTGGAATCCGGATCCGTCGTCGCAGGACCTATGGACATCGACGAGAATCCAGTACAACCATCCCACACGGATATCGAGCAAGCTACGACCGGGGCAGATCACGGCGCGACTGGCCCCACGCAGATTACAGCCGCCGATGAATTTCTCGAGGGGATCGAGTATTGGGCCTCACTTCCAGATAAGCAAGGACCTGTCCAACCGGTCATCGATCCTCCGCCAAAACCAGACTCGCCAAAACCAGACTCGCCAAAACCAGACTCGCCAAAGCCAGATTCGCCAAAGCCAGACCCGCCGCAACCTATGTCTCAGCCACAGAGTATCGAACGAGATCAAAACACTTTGGACGTACAGCAGCAGATGTCAAGCGCTTCTCCAATTGCTCCTCAAGCTCCCGAAGGACTGCCAGACGTATCTCTACAACCGCCTCAAGTCACGGAAGAACAGCCAGTTCCCTCCCAACCGCCAGCTCAAATCCCACAAGAGCCTTCCGCATCGACCCTACCATCCCCTCCACCCAAACAAGAGCTTCCAATCCCTCCCCCCCCACCCGCCATTCTCGCAACCCGCAACCTCATTACCGTCGTCACCCCCGACCTCCCCACACCTCCCACCCCCCCCTCCAAAACTTCCAAACCCTCCAAACACGAACCCCGCGACACCCTTGCCCTCCTCAAGCTACTCCTCTCCTACGACCCCTCCAACCCGCGCGCCCTCCCCCCCCCGACCAAACCCCCCAAACGCCCCAAAGCCACCGCCACCGCTGCCACCGCCCTCTCCGCCGCCGCCACCGACGCGTCCCATATATCAATGGAACCCTGCATCATCACCGGCACGCCCGCGCACTTCCGCGACCCGGGCACCGGGCTGCCGTATGCGGATGCGCGCGCGTATCGGCTGTTGAAGAGCGTGTTGGCGGGGGGGTGTCGGTGGAGTGCGTTGTTAGGGTGTTATGTGGGGACGGTAGTGACGGGAGGGAGGGGTGCGCCAGCGGCGGGGGTGCCGGGATGGTTTGCGGATGGGACGGTAGCGGAGGAGGGGGAGGATGGGACGGGAGGGGGGGCGGTTGGGGCGAAGGATGGGAAGAAGGAGGTAGTGGTGGCGTAGGGCTGGTTGATCTGGATAGAGAGAATACCCGAGTCGAGTGGGCTGGTGGATTGGAGTTGATGAACGCGAGCAAATGGTTGAGTTGAGACTATATCAAGTCACATGTGAAAGTTGTATAGCATGTATGGCGTTAATCATATATCATTGACGGTCGACGATCGACGATGGCTCTTGCACTATTCTTGGACACGTCGGAATCATCCTGGCAGCGATCCGAGTCCGCGGGCGCTGGGACAGCCGAAACACGATTTCCGTCGATCACCAAGCCCTAAGGTCCATGGCCCGCCCACCACCTCCACCGATCGGCGATTCGGGGCGTCGGTTGGAGGTTGATTGTTCGCCAAATTCGGAGCCGCGATGGTTTGAGAGCGCCGATTTTGGAGACTTGCGCCGATGGAAGCGGTCGTGGTGGAGGACCTCGGCCCCGAACGTGCGGATGCACGCCATCTGCCTCAAACCGGTCCTGTATCAAAAAATGCAGAACATGAGCCGGCTGGGGAGTTCGGGTGGAAGCCGAATCATGATGCGCGAGGCCAGGATGATACTTTGGGGCCACAAAGTTGTAGGGTTCTTGAAAATATGTTTTTGAAACCTGGGTAAGCGTCCGTGCGGTCTGATGTTCATGCGATTAGAGTATTCTAGAATCAACTCTTGGTCTCGAAATATTCTTCAACCGCGGCTACGATATCTGCTTTCTTGCCGGAGACTTTGATGCCTTTCTCAGCTGCGAACTCTTTCAAGGTTGCGACGGTGAGCTGCGGAGTATCACGTTAGCGGTTGTCCACCCTCGCTGTTGCGATGACACTCACGGACGCCAACGTTCCCTTCTGGAAATGTTTCGCCATGGCAGAGCTAGTCGTCCCACCGTCCTCCGCCTTGATCTTCTTCGCCGGTCCTTTCTCCGCGGTTCGATCCGCAATTCGCTTCCCCGGTGGCTTGACCTGCCCATAGCCCTGACTTGCCATCCATCCTTGATACTGTATCTCCAGCTCTCTCCCCCATTCCAGAACGTAGTCCCCTGCTCGTTTGTTGATCTGCTTGTATTTCGGGATGGTTTTGTCTTCCGGGGTTTCAGGGATGTCTTCGTCGAGTGCGAGGCATTGGAGGATCTTGTAAAACCACTGAAGCGATGGGTTGGGGTACTTCTTCTGGTCATACTTTGCGCCCGGAAGCTGAAGTTGTCGAATCACATCTCGCATGAGATCAATCAGTTTGTTGGGCGCGCGGATGAGATGCGTGTCTGGATTTTGCCGGATGTCATCGGCGAATGGGAGAGGCACTGCCCAGAGGCCAGGGGGCATGACCTGCTCCCCATCTTCATCTAGCCGTTCTTCTCCAGCGATGATCGCCGCAAGTCGAGGATGCGAGTTTCGTATGGGGATGAACCAAGCGAGACCGAATTTCTTGTCCCTGGCGAGCTTCTGGTGCAACGCGGAGAAGACTCGAGTGGAGCCGATAAAATCTTCTTCAGTCGGGTAGAGGAAATACGGGGCGCGCGTGATCGCCCAGAACGGAAGACTGTCGAGCGATTTGAAGCCGATGATTCGGATGATTGGGTCGCCAAAGTTCTTGAGCGCAGCCAGCTCCTCGGGCGTAAAAGACACAACCTCGCCACCAAACCGGAAACCTTTCCGGATCTCACTTTTATCAACAGCACGTGCCGTATCTTCTGCAATCTTCGTAGTAGACGACGTGACGATTTGCGGCTTCTCACCGCTCAACCAAATGTAGCATGATCGAACCGGCTCTTGACGTTTGATTAATGTGAATCCTTTCACTCCAATCCGGAGCCCAGGCCCCAGTTCGAGAGGTATGGTAAATTGGGCGCGTCTCGGTGCTGCTTTGGAGTTGATATTGGAGAGAAGGGACTGCAACAATGTGATCCCGTCTCCACTGACAGAAACCCTCGATTCGCCAGCAATGGGCGCAGGTGCTTCCGGATCTGCAGAAACTGGGCGATATACGATGTCCTATGTGAGTCAGCAACAGGTTCAGATCGGGCTTACGGGATGAATACATCGTAAAACTTGGTACGGTCGAACGTATGGTCCCCCCGGGATATGGGGAATAGCTCAATCACCACCCCAAGGTCGTAGAGGTCCTTCGCTCGGACCGCAGCGGACGCACGAAGTGCCTTGTCGTTCAGATGTGGATCGTCGTTATCCGTTACTAGGAATAACCGCCTCGACGCGAAGTTCGCGGCTTTGGTTGTAAATAGATTATTAGAGCAAAAGAGCACAGTGGACATAGAAACAGGCTCCGAGGATGGCTTCAGAAATTTCTCCGCCTCTTCCTCGTCCTCAACCAGGCTTTTAAGCTTCTTCACATCTGCCGCAGCCGGGACATCCAGATCGGTCAAAACATAGCAATGAGGGTAGTTCAGGGTGCTGGCGGACCCGGAATCTACAGTTTCCGTGAAACGGGATTCTTCGGTGCCAAACAGCAGCACGCCCATCATATCATGCGGATGGGATATGATCCGCTGCTGCATCAGCTGGTACGCGCATTTCAGAGCGGCGGACGCTGCGGTATCCCGGTCGGCTTTCCGGTCGCTGGAATTCGGTGGTTTCTTCAGCATGGACGGACTGACATCTATCGCGAAGATGACGGCGTCTTTGACGGCTTTGTATCCCGAATCATCCACCTCTTCATCCTCCTCCTCGTCCCCGTCTCTTTTCTCGGAGTCGTTGGTCCACCCGGGCATTTTATTGACTGAACTTCTAGACGGGTGTCCAATCCGAACGAATCTAAACGAGTGGTGTAAATCTTCCCTGTGTTATTTTCAAGGACGGTGGTATGTTTTTGACGACGACCTCGTTCCATGTCCGATGTCTGATATGCGATGTGATATGTCCTAGAGCGCGATCGACACGCGTGGCTGCCTGGCCCCTGGGCGATGATGACGCGCTATCACGTGCTCCCTTTAGAAATTGGTAAGTTCAGTAGTTCACGTGCTCTAAAGTTTGGATGAGCGAAATGCCCGAGATGGCCGATGACGCCGGACTCGCCTACACTCCGCCTCCGAGGACGAATCTTTACAAAGTCTACAACTGAACACTTCTTCCCTTCATTGCCAGTTCTGGAAACAATGGAATTGTTATAGCGTCTGGAACATATATCACTTATAATCCATCATGTCCTGTCGACTTCCGCCCGCCCTCAATTCCCTTCCGCGAGCTGCTGCTCGAGCGGCCAATCACAAGTCATCGAAAGTCAGCGCGGGACTATCATTGTCACGATGGATACCATCGCGGCATTATGCTGCTGTGGTACCGCCTGTGACGCAGGATAAGTCGGGGTCGAAAGGGCCGACGGCTATGGTCTTTCTGAACATGGGCGGTCCCTCCACGACAGGGGAAGTGGGCGACTTCTTAAGCCGATTATTCGTACGCCTTCCCTCTCTCGGACCAAGGACTACCAACTGACCGATATTGCACAGGCCGATGGCGATTTAATCCCACTGGGCCGGTTACAAGGCTACCTAGGTCCATTAATATCCCGAAGAAGAACCCCGAAGATCAAGAAGCAATACGCAGATATCGGGGGCGGCTCACCGATTCGAAAATGGTCCGAATACCAGGCCGCGGAGATGTGCAAGCTCCTCGACCGGATGTCTCCTGAAACCGCACCGCATAAGCCGTATGTCGCCTTTCGATACGCGGACCCGCTCACGGAAGATATGTATGCCAAACTGCTAGCCGACGGCTTCGGCAACGGCAAGGGCGGCCGCGCCGTGGCGTTTACACAATACCCCCAGTACTCCTGCTCCACCACGGGCAGCTCGTTGAACGAGCTCTGGAAATGGAGACACCGGCTCGAGGGGAAGAAATCGGACGATATGTCACCGGGGGGCGGATCAATAACGTGGAGTGCGATCGACCGATGGCCGGTCCACCCCGGGCTCGTCGAGGCCTTCGCACAGAATATCGAAGCGACGCTGCGGACGTACCCCGAGGACCGAAGGGATAAGGCGGTCCTGGTATTCTCCGCGCACAGTCTACCGATGAGCGTCGTCAACCGTGGCGACACCTACCCGGCCGAAGTGGGGGCGACCGTGTACGCGGTGATGCAGCGGCTCGGGTTCAAGAATCCGTACCGACTAGCCTGGCAGTCGCAAGTCGGCCCATCCGCGTGGCTGGGTCCGCAGACGAGCATGACGGTGTCTGAGTACGTGAAAAAGGGGCAGACGGATCTCGTGCTCATCCCGATCGCATTCACGTCGGATCATATCGAGACGTTGTTCGAGCTGGACAAGGAGGTCATCGCGGAAGCCGAACACGAGGGCGCGAAGGGCGTGAAGCGGGTGGAGAGCTTGAACGGGAGTCCGGTCTTCATTCGAGCTCTGGCGGAAATCGCGCTTGATCACTTGAAAAGCGGGCTAAGTTGCTCGCCGCAGATGCTCCTGCGGTGCCCCGCATGCACGAGCGAGCGATGTCTGGAGCAAAAGCGATTTTTCCAAGCACAGCAGCAGCAATTAACGGCTCCCGCGTAATATGGGAAGCGCCGCTCAATCGCAGCACCTGTAAATTAGATTCTTATATCCCAGCTCCCTAGCCAACCCTACTTTTACGATACCAATAGCTGGATCATGACATGATACTATCCCGGGGTATCGATTCAAACCAGCGCGTTTCCATCGCTACGCCGTGACCAAACTCCCAGGAACCATTCCTACCAATAAATCACCCCGTTTATCGCAGTGCTACCGCCGTAGCTCTTCCGGATGCCGCTGTTTCCACGCCTTGTACACCGCCCCTGCGACCTGCAGCAAGTCCTGCTCCGAGACCGCGTCGTCGATGCTCTGCATCACCTTGTGCACGGTGGAGATATGGTTCGCGTCCGACTTGTCGTCGCGGAATCGCGGCGATCCGTCCGACTCGCGCTTGAATCGCCACCGACCCTGCTCGGCTTTGTAGCACTCGATGATCCGGCCGTCGATCGGCTCGTCGATTCGCTTCATGCTCTCCCAATCGTCGTCCGTCACGAACAGAGGTGCGTAGCTCTGGTAGTCCTTCCCGCCATGGTACACATATAGCTCAAATGTAGGCTTTGCATCGTAGTCGGGGATCCGTCCCTCCCTCGGGTCGCTGGAGCTCATCAGTGGGAACTCGCCGAGCCGTAACCGGAAATCGATCGAGTTCTCGTGTGCGGGTTTCCATTTCAGGATGTGGTCGTCCGTGCCCATCACGTACGGAGTCTCTTTGCAGGTGAACACCAGGCCATCGTTTCCGTGCGGGAGGTTCGGTAGCTTATCGCGAAACATCATCTCGATGCCGTACGGTTTCTCCATCGTCTTGAACTTGACTTCGAACGGCATGGTCCCCAGGGCGTCGGTGTAGCGTTTGAGGAATTTCTGGTACGGTTTGAAGACGAACTCGCCAAATCGGCCGATCCGTTTGTCCAGCGGCTTTTGCAACAGCAGCTCGCCATCTAGCACGATGCAGTCGAAAACAAGGTACCGGAGCTGCTTCCGTCCATTCTCGAGCGTATCGTTCACCAGCTCGCCGTCAATCAAAGTCCCTCGGTGAAACTCCCGGAATTCCGGATCGTCCTGGTGTGGGAAGTGCAGGGTTTGTAGGAAATAGTAGTCGTTTTTCCGATCGATCAGATAATGGATCTCGTTCCCTCGTTCGTCCTCAGTGCAATACAGTAGGCAACGAATGCCATCGGTTTTCTCACACAGGTAATAGCTATTGCGCGATCAGCCACCGCACATCCCAGGAGCGATCTCGCGCGCGATTCACGCGCCTACCTACTCTCGCTTCTGCAGCTCGTCGAGGTGATGCCGCGCGAAACTCACGGGCTGCGCACCGGGGAACGAGCTCTGTCGTCGATGCAGCAGCTCCGCGACCTCCTTGCGGAACTCCTCGGCGAGCGCGGGCTCGCATTTGATCCCGGGGATTTGGGGGACCGGGCCGCTCATCGCGAGGGAAATCCGGGTTCATAGAGATGGGCCGGGGGGGAGACGCATGGTTCGCGCGGTTGGAGGGTCGCAAGAATGAATGAATGTGGTTTAAGGTGGTGCTCGGAGGAACTTCAGCTGTTGTATGTCAGATACGGGATTTGGGATCGTAAAGCTGCTGATGCTTAGTCAGAAATCAGAACAGAGGACCAAATGCACTGAATTAGCCACGAAGATCATTCATGTTATGGGAATCGGGCAATACTGAATAGAGTCAGGGAATATAATCAGGGCATGGAATTAGGTCTCCAGTGAATACTGCATCCGAGCATTGATCTCGTGAATCGTACCAGACCAACGTATGCCGCTGATAAAGGGCCAGGTCTTATATATCCCCTGGCAGCTACAAGTACACATTCCATGACAGTTACATGTAAGACTCGCTCGTCAGGCACACAAACGAGATGCAGATACCCAACTAGAGATATTGACGAAACCCGTATTGGACAAAGACCATCGTATAGTCCGAGTACATAAAGATCGAATGAGGACGAAAGGCCCAAATCCCCCATTCAACGCCATGCCTCACTCCGTTGCAGTTGCTCGAACGCTCCTACACTGTATCACATGAAACACGCTCTAGAATCATCCTGTTCACTTGACTCTGTCCTTCTATCTTCGCCTCGCTGCCCTTGCTGAGCGCCTCACATTTGCGGGTGAAACTTCTTCCACTTTCTCGGCTGCGACCACCTCCTCCTCCTCGACCACATCCTCATCTACGACCTCCTCCTCACTCTCCTGAGAATCAGCCTGGTTATCCTGGTCCTCCGCCTCTCCCTCATGAACATCATCTCCATCATCTTCATCCTCTTCATCCTCCATGGCAACATCCTCCCCTGGTCCTACACCCTTCCCCTCTCCATCCTCGTCACCAGATGACTCAGCGTAGTTCTTCGTGCCCGTGTGACGGCCGCTCCGCCGCCGCTCCGCCCCTTCCAAATCATCAGATTTTAACGCCGGACTGCTTCGAACGTGACGCGACTTGACTGATTTCTTTGCGGATTTCGCCCGTGGCGCGCCGGCGGCGGTCTGGCTCGCCCGTGACCGCTTGGCCGGTGGTTGAGCCGTTCGGTCGTGTTTGCGCTGTACAGGTCAGTCGAGTCGCTGGAGCGGGGATGTGCGGAGTTACCTTCTTCGGGCGGAGACCGGCCCGGACCACGTCCTCCATTTCCTCGTCGAGTTCTTCGGGGATGTACTGCTTGTTGGCAATGTCCTGCGCGACTTGGTGACTCGGGAGAACCGCGAACAAGGCGGCCGGCAAGCTGGGCTTCACTGGTAACGCTTGGATCGACCAACCCTTGATGTCTTCGAATCGGCGGATCACGGATTGCGCGAGGTCGGACAGCTGATAGATGTTCTCGCTCTTCGGATTGATCGCGTCGCGAACGGTCTTGATACGCTGGGCGATGGCGTATATCAGGGAGAGATTGTCCTCGTTCGCAACGCATTCCAGGTAGAACAGGATGTATTTGACGAAGTCACGAAGTGTTTCGATGCTCGGTTCGAAATCGGGGTGGTGCGCAAGGAGACTGATTATTCGTGCAATGGTGCCCTCCATCGACGTGTCTTTGGCTTTGGCAAAAGCAGCGGCACGAGACCGGATCCATGTTGTCGCGGTGTCCTTGATCTCTCTATCGGGTTCATATGCGAGCAAGAAGGTATAGGTGTAGTAGCGCTGGGGAAGTTTCGTTTGGCCCAAATATTGCATCAACTTGTTGGCGAAGCCGCTGCGCACCTGCGGAAGAGGGTCTTGAATCACGAGAGCCAGTCGGTTAAACTCGCGCAGCCCTTGGTAAGCATCAAACCGTCGGTCCGTGGTGAGTTTCAACAGGAGTTGAGCGGCTAAAAGTCGCATTCTCGATTGGTGCGCCTTTGGCGACGGTCCTGTCTTGGGGAGGTGGCCCTGAGATATGAGGGTATGCAGGACTTTGAATCCGCGGTCAGCAATGTCCTTGATGGTTTTCTCATCTTCACACGATTGCAACTGATTGACGAGGATCTTCAACGCCCACATCTTTGCCTCGCACGCTTCGTCGGGTACGTCTCGCCAATCTGGATCTGGACCAGGATCTGCGTCGGCCGCCTCGGCCGATTCTGGGTTTTGCAACACGTCTTTGATCGCGATACTGATTATCTGGTCGACCTCACTGGAGTCCAATTTATCGGAAGCAAGAAGCATCAGTTGGCTTAATGCTGCGAGTCGCGACAGAGAATGCTTCGAGCCATATTGGAAACCTGACGTGCACTTCTGGAAGATATCCCTGGCTAGCAGCTCCTTCTTATCCGTGGTCGTGAGAATGATCGTGACAGCGTGCTTCGCCGCTTTTGGCGGCGTGCCATACGTCGCATAGGCAAGGAGACATTGCATAAATTTCCGGTCCTTTGGGACCTCGTCTGCGAAATGCCGTGCAAATCCAGAACAGGCTTTGAGATTGTCGACGGCTCCCGGCTTCACCGGTGAATCGGTCGAAGGAACGTCGCTTTCAAGGGCTTGGCACAGCTCCTTCACATGTGCCTTGAAGATACTGGGAGTGTGGGACGATATCTCTTTGAGGATGTCGTGAGCGGTTTGTCCAAGACCTTTGCCGTTGCTCCGGGAGTAGTCGATAATCGAAGGGACGTGGCTCTTGTTGTAGACAAGCACGCTGACCCGATAGAGAAGGATGGTAAGGACATCGAGAAGAGAGGAATTCGGACCAGCCGCTTCGGTGATTCGTTTCGTGATCTCACGAATGGACCGAGACACCTTCAAGTAGTCGCTTTCCGGATCCATGCAGAATTTGATTAGCGCGTAACACCGCCGATCATGGATCTCGGCGAATTTCCACAGGTCGTCTGTGACTCGGGACGGTTCCGGGAGTGTCTTCGCGTAGAACTGAATGATCATTTGCAACTGGGTCTTGATCGCGGTATCGTCTCCGTCAGTCACACCACCGTTGTACTGCTCGCATCGCTGGATAAAGGCATTCATGTATTTGGCCGCGCTCCCCTGTGACGCTAGTTTTTTCAGAAGCACACTCTTTGCTCTGGATTCCAGGCCTTTGACCAGTACTAAGAAGCGCTCGGTACGTATTTGGTCGGGGCTCTCCTCTGTCGATCCGTTCGCTTGGTCGTTCTTCGCCTTTGATTTGCCGTTTTGTGCGGCTGAACTTTTGGACTTGATCGAAGGATATCCCAGCGGTAGTAAATAGTTATACGTCAACCGATCGACATTGGCTATGATATCAGGGTCATTGATGTAGTAGGTCTCGAAGAGTTTGGACGGCATCAATCCGAAGAGCTTGGCCATTCGCTCGCTCCCCTCTGCAATTGCGCCCTCGGCGACACCCCAGATCTTTGCAACCAGAACCATAGCTTCGGATCGAACATTGGGTTTCTTGTCCTTCAGTCGATCAGCCAAACGGTTGAGGATCGACCCAGGCTCATCAACCGGGCCGCTATTGCCCAGCCTCTGCACGATGGTCTTGAAATCGAACGTCTCAATTGCCCGAATCGCGCTGAGGCGAACCTTATCGTCTCCATCAACGAGCATATCGGAAAAGCACTTGAGCAACTGCCGCTCATCATCTGGAGCAAGGCCAACGCCGCCCGCTGAAGTGAGCAGAATCCGTCCAATACCCGTGATAGCTGCAGCGCGAATCGAAGGTATTTTGTCATTCCTTCGGCCGAGGAAATTTTGAAATGCTTGATAGTGATGGGACATAAAAGACTGCGGTGACGTCGGGGTGGTAAGGAAGTTGTACTCCTCTGGGCCATCCGCAGCGCTGGCAAGGCTCTGTGAGGGATAGGCTTGAGGGTTTAGGAGCGATATCGTCGGTGGCCCAGCGGCTCCGATGCCCGCCACCATATCGCCTATCGTCTCCGTCGCATAAAGGCGGAGGTGCATGTCTTCCGTCTGAAGCTCAGCATCAAGTTGCGGAATGATTTCGACGAGCGCATCTGGACAGGCTCGCCATAGCTCGCGCGCTAGGCCATGGGCCTTGCGAACCTCCTGAAGATCTTCCTCCGAAACGTGCTTGCCACCTGCTCCGTCTATGTCGTCCGAGTCTGGCGCCCTTTTGCTGGACTTGGATCTTGACGCGCTATTGGAACCTAGGTGCAACGAACTCAAGGCGTTATCGGCAATGATGGTGCTGAAATACGTCCCAACACACCGAGCCATGGGCCCAGCGCAACTGTTGCAGAGGTTCTTGGCCATGTTGTAGGCTGCGGGCGCATCTTTGATCAGTAACGTCGACTGCGTGGTATCCACTACCGAGCCCTTCTTTCCTTTAGCAGGCGCATTGTTAGATATCGTGGATGGATCGGCTCGGAGAAATTGGGCGAGGATGATCTCCACCACTTCCGTCGGGAGGGACCCGGACGTCTCATTTACCAAGGCAATGAGAATATCAGTCATATAATTCTGGACGTTGATGGACAGCTCCTCTCCAGAATCGGACTTCGACGGCCCAGACAAGACATCGAAGCAGGCACGGAAGCATGCTTCAAGAAGGTTATTAGAAGGATCGGCATCGATAAGAAGGACAATGGTCTGGTATTCGGCGAGGGATTTGAGGACGTATGCATGCTGTTCGTTATAGGAGTTGCTTGGATTGGCGAGTTCGGGGAGGATGGACGAAATGATGGCATTGAAGAGTGTCTGCGACTGTTTAGCATGTCAACTTCCCGCATAGTTCGAGCCGTCGAACCTTCAGTTGGGTTCCGCTATACGGCGCATCAGGGGCACATAGACTCAAGATGTCGACCACACAGCACAACGTCCACGCTCTTATTCCGCGATCTTTGTGGTTTAGCAGATTGGTACTCGCTAACGACTTCGCGACCGGGAGTAGAGAATCGCGGTTGATCTCGTGTTGTTCGACCGCCCGGAGCTCCGCAGAGAGAGCTTTGAGGCGCGTGAAGAGGTCGCGAACTGGAATTGTTCGGCCGGCGCGCCATGACAACTCGTCGTTGAAACGTAGATCCCGCTGGCCCTCCCATTGCTGAGAATCCATTTGCGCGTCGCTTCCTTGCGCGTCCCCACGAGCCATCTCGAACGATCGTCTGATGTATTCCTGATGTGGGGGGTCGAAAGCGAGTGAGCAGGTGAAATCCAAAGATCAGTGCATGGCATGGGCCGAAATCGGTTTCAAGTCGTAAGTTGTCACGTCCCACAAAGTACAACGCGTCCTGGGAGTCGGAGGTGGATTTGCTCGTGAAAAGCCGTGGAGTGCGCCGAGCCAGTTAACGCGACAGGACAATGAGATCACCTCGTGTTAAGCATTGGTTCGGAGAGGGCAAGTGACGTATGAATATGTCGCGATGAGATGTCAGGTTCGGAACAGACCTCCGGATTCTGGGCATGAAAAATGAATTTCGACCCCTCTTTCGAAGAGATCCAGTAAGATATCTGGACAGAGTAAGATGTCGCCAGACGTGGGATTGATTAACACGATAATCGACACTTAAGATTCAAGGGTTCACGACACGACAAGCTCTCACGGACACTCACGCTATTCCAAATCCGACATCCTTCTCCATAACGTATGGATTTTGGCATCAAGCCATCAATAGACCACTAAGACCAGTCCAACACCCCGACACGTTAAACATGCATTCGGGTATTTCTAATCCTGTTCATGGCCACTTTCTAGGCATAGGAATTGCTTAAATATACGGAGCTTACTTGTCATCCAAGAGGAATCCACATGGCTTCAAGGAACCCTCCAACATGCCCTTTAAGAGCCCACTCGATCTGAGACCGGGAATATATAAATAAATCCCACAGTATGGAACGCACAAGAGCTGTCTTTCAGCGGGTATGTGTCCTCCGCCGTTCCTTAAACTATTTCACTGATGGAACCGTGTATCAGTTACGTCCCTCATGCGTGTCATTAAGTCAGGCCGCCTTAGAGTTACGTGCCTCTGCCAGCTCGAAAGCGATACAGGATGCAGTCGTCTCTTCCTTAACTGCAGTACACCGCGAACTTGTAGAAATCATCTCCAAGGACCCACAGGCAGTCGACGACAAGATTGCCGATTATGTCTATTTTCCAATCGACCATGTTTTAGACCAGTTCCGCAAGGTTTCGGGTCGAGCCCTCGAGTTGGCATGTGCATCCGTCTTTGCGCTGCTCCAGTCGGCATGGCGGGTGAATATCCCCCCCGTACTGGCGATCCGGCTGCTTGATCGTCTGTCTCCTTTGATGGACAAGGAAAATGCCGACAAAATCACAGAGGAGCTGGTCTGTCAGACCTTGAAATGCGTCAACCTCACGTTCTCGGCCCTGGGAAGCAGCCCGGTTGGCTCAAGCATCGCGGAATCCAAGAATATTCCTCATGTTGGGCAAGCGGTATTTGAAGTGCTCCAGCAGATTGAGGATGGTCCGTCGGTTGAGATACAGAGGTTAGCTTTGACAGCTATCAATACTTTCGTTCAGATGTACCCGGATCGCGTCACCCTGGGCACGAAGTTCTTGCCTGGTATAGTCTCAACACTCAGCAAGGTACTTGCCCCAAAGGCCACCGGACGGCGGACTACGTCCGTCATTGTGGCGTCAATCCAGTTGCTTAGTCTTGTCCTTGTCCGGATGTTTGGAGAGACTGTGGAGCTCGCAGCGGCCTCGAATCATACGGAGATGACAACGTCCAAGGCACCAAACACCAAACGAGAACTGTCCCCTGAATGGACTACCAAGGCCGTATCGCAGATCAAGGTTGTCATCGGGAACGTTGTAAAATTCCGTAGTCATGAGCGTCGCGAGGTCAGAAGCGCGGTGGCAGAACTCTGTGCGGACCTGATCGAAAACTGCAGATCAGCACTGCAAGACTCGTTGCGGTTGCTGCTCGAGACCTGCCTGGCATCCATCGACACCGATGACAGTACCGTGCTGGTCAGTCGACTCAAGGGCAACCTATTACTCGACGACAAATTGTCAGGACTTTTGGAAGAGATCGCCCACGATTGGGTTCTCGCGCTTCCGAGGCTCTCACAGACATCAGACCCAGTATCACGGCTACGCTCTCTTGAAGCTATTAAGCTCACTATCGGTCTCTTTTCTGATTCAGACTCTGGAATAAGCATTCTGCAGCAGTCACTCATTACCAACCTCCTCGAGAGCACTTTACTATCAATTCCGAAGGCGCTGCCAAAGGCATCAATTTCAGAAGGAGTCTTTGGTCATGCTGCATTAGACAGCATCCCAACCAGTCATATTCGGGGCTCGACAGTGTTTAGCCCTGTATTCAGAGACTCCTCAAACGATCAAGATGCCCTCACGACGATATCAAGCTTCGTCAGCGGTTTCCCTTCATCAGAACTACTGCAAAACAACTTGGACGGTCTTCTAGCTTCAGTTGAGTATGGATCTGGGGAGGAGCAGATGGCTTCGTTCTGGCTCTCACTCAATATTCTGCGTGCGGCAATCGAATCCGATACAACCCAGTTCCTGAATATTGAATCTGAGTCTTCTCCTTTCGAGTCATTAGAGCAGTTATACGCTTTGTCTCTAGCTATCCTGGAGGAATCCGATGCAAATTCCTCCCCCTGGCAGCTCCAGGCGCTCGCGCTTGAGTGTATCGCCGAACAGGCCCACCAGGCAGGCGAGGACTTCTCCCTCGACCTGGTGGATGCGCTGTTCCCCGTGCTTCAATTGATCGGATCACCGGTCAAAGGGCTCCGAGACCACGCCGCAGCATGCCTCAACATCATCGCCGAGGCATGCAACTACACCGACGTCCGCGAGCTGATCGTCTCCAACGCGGACTATCTAGTCAACGCGGTCGGCCTCAAACTGAACGCGTTCGAGACCTCGGCAGGCGCGCCGATGGTGCTTCTGATGATGGTGCGACTGTGCGGGCCGTCGATACTTCCGTTTATCGACGATGTCGTCGACACGATATTTGCAGCGCTGGAGTCTTTCCATGGCTTTCCGGACGTCGTGGAGTTGCTGTTCGCGGTAATCAAGGTCATTGCTGATGAAGGGGTCAAGGCACCGCAGCTGGAGATTACCGCAGGCGGGGAGGATCACCGTGGTCATCCGATCGATGATTGCACGTTTGAAGATGTGCTGCTGAGTATTAAGAAGGCGGCCAGGCTGGCATCAGAAGAAGAGGATGCTATAGTCGAGACGAAGGGAAAGGATCTTTCAGCCTCCAATATAGACCACAGCGATGACGAGAACGATCCAACTTCCCTCGGGACAGAAGACGACGCCGGGAAATCAATTTCAGAGACCAAGACCTACCGCCTACTATTCAACATATCAGAGCTGACGCAACACTATCTCCCATACCAGTCCGCGCCCTTCCGACGATCGATCCTGTCACTCCTCACCATCACATTGCCTGCAATCTCAAAGCACGAGGATACTCTCCTGCCTCTGATCAACACGCTCTGGCCGGTTGTGGTCGTGCGCATCGGCGATCAAGAACCATATGTTGCCGCCGCGGCGCTTGATGTCGTGCGGACGATGTGCGAGTATGCCGGGAAGTTTGTGAAGTCGCGGATACAGGACGAGTGGCATCGGATTATTGGAGTCCTCAGGACCAAGACGCAAGGAGCCGTCGTGGGAGCCAACTCTGGAGTTGGGAAAGGTACAGACAGAAGTGGAAGAGACGACAAAAGCCTTGCGGCACTGCCGAGGGGTACATCGGATTTGTCAGCCCCCGAACCATATGTTGACCAGTCGATGAAGTCATTCAAGGATAGCGCTTCGAAGCTCATATTGAGCATTATTGAGAATGTTCGGGTCAACGACGATATCTTTGATGAGGCCCTAGCACTCTTCTCGCACCAATTGATGGACCTAGATATTCGAAGTGTTTTCGAGCAACGGAATGCCGATGCTGTGTGGCTAGCCATGATACAATTGGGGCAGAGATCGGAGAACAGTCATATATATGAGGTGTTCAAGCCGGAACTGGAGCGGGTTCAAGAGCCACCGGGTGATGGACGGTGGAACTTTATCAGAGTCGTGTAAAATGGGTCATTGTAAAAGAATCAAAATCGACGGGGTCAAGGAAAAGCGACAGCCAACTTGCTGTTGGAGTCAGAGGTCGATCTGTCATGTGGTCTATTTTCTAGTATCTTTAGGTAAATTGTAAACATGACTAGTCTGTTGACAACACCTCCCACCTCCCAGCCTTCATCTCCGTCTCCCCATAAACAAGCAAACCCAGACGCTCCAATCCATACGAAAATATAACTCTGGATACCGTATCATTGTTATCACTTGGCTTCATAAACATAGTTATCCACCCTTAACTCGGAGAACACAACCCAATTTCCCAAAGCCCCTGAACCCCTCACTATCACCATGTGCGGACAAATCTGGATCAAGCACGAGTACTGCCAATGCGAGCAAAATTCATACGGCCGATGCTCCGGCGCGTCTCGGCACATCATGAACTCCTCCACGAACCCGTGTCCGCATTTCGGTACGGGCCGGTTCCTCGTCAAGAACTTCTGCCCGGAGCATCGCACGTATTCGTCAGCCGATATCAGCCCGCCCCGAGAGCTGTTTCGTCCCGTGTGGGTGGGTCCGCCGCCGCCGCCTTGGGTCTGGGATTGGTATCATGACCGGTTGGCGGGATACGGACGTTGCGCGTCGCATGCGATTGGTAGGACTGGAGGGTGGTTGGCGGGATGTGGGCTGACATTGATGACAGCAGCGGCGCGGATGGAAGTGAATAGTCGATTACTCAATACTTTTCAGGGCGAGAGGACGAGCCGATCGAACCGCCGTTTTAATCCGAGACCGAACTGCAAACTGGGCAACAGACGTGAGTCGGAACTGAGGGATAGGGGTTTGGGATTTGCTGGGTCGAGCAAGCATTTTTTGAAGTGCAATACATGGAAGGACTTTGATAGGACAATGGCTGGGTTGGACAAGCAAGGTGGATGGAGCACTCGAAGAGATTCTGAAGGTTTGTTTGGTGTCCTAAAGAAGGTTGGTCGTAAGAGGCGACGTGACGAAGATCTCCTATATTAAGCCAATGGGCTTGCGAGATGGCTGTCATCGGATGAACGGTATGCCAACCAGAGTGCTGGCTTTGTACGCGGTGTAGTCCTTTCCAAAAAAGTTCGTCAGGAATTTCTCCTCTTCTATGTACTATTAGTGAACTGAATGAGAGGAATGTGGCAGGCGAACTCACGCTTGATCCGGTGGTTGAAAAACGCCCACAAGACCCCCGAAAACGCGATGGTGCAGAGCAGGTTTCCCAAGACCAGTTGCGTACCCACCGCATACCAAAAGAATCCGAAGTAACTCGGGTGTCGAAGCCATGCATAAACGCCGTAGGTGACCAACATATGGGTTTCTTTCTTTTTGGACTGGACAATATGGTTGAAATTGGTTCCCGCTTGAACCATGGCGACGCTGCGAACCGTCTGGCCAATTATCACGCAAGCAAGACCAAGTATCTGCAGCGCTGGTCTCGAAAAGTGGTCCTGCCAGTCCGGAAAGAACCACGCCGTAATGACCGTCTCCAGGAACGCCGACAGATGGCTGGCCTGGTACGCCTTCCCGTTGGTGAAGAGCAAGAAGCTGCTGACTTCGGCGTTCGGAACATTGGCGTAGGCATGCGTCCAGAATTCCAGGTAATGGAAACTCGAGAGTGTCGAGAGGAAGAAGAACGGGCGCCAAAACCGGTTCGATGGGGACTGAGTGAAAAGAATGATGCACGATAAGAGGCTGCAGCCAAAGACGAGACCTAGGATGAAGGCATTACGAGCAATAGCTGAGAGAGATCGTTTGCCGTTTGGAAGCAAATCAGAGTAGATAGCCAAAGGGCCTCCGGGCCCTAGTTGGTCGCTGCTACTGAGTTCGGTGTCTTCGGAATCGGTCTCCATTTGCGGCACGGCTCGGGTTCTACTCGAGTTCGAAAGTCCAGGGGCAGCGGATGTGGAGGGAGTCTGTTGTGGCCGCATCATCCTTGGATCTTTGCGTTGATGATTCCCTCTCTTCACCAATCTAGACAGCCAAGGGAAGGATGGAAGTGAGAGAAGGTGGTTAAAAGTCGGGGAGGATTGTGGAAGTTTATGTTCCACAGTGTTTGCTCACACCGGCCATATTACAAGATCCAGATTCAGATTAAGACACAAAGCGCAAACGGAACATATTGGACAACCTTGAACACCGGAATGCAGCCCTTTCATGGAAGAACAATACTAATATTTCCTTACGATTGTTCTATTTACTCAAAGAGAGGTTAAGGTTGAGGCTGTGGTATAGGAATACCGAAGTTATGCCGGTGCCCCCACGCAACCGTTGGGGTCCTCACTGCAGGCTCCTGGTAAGTTGTAATAGTACGAAGACCAGGAACGATCACCAACAATCTCACGATGCCACTGGAATTTTCATTCCTGAATCATTAATATGATAGTGGGGTTCCTGGTGAAACACATCGCATGGTACGTATAGGGATGGTGATGTGCCAATAAGATGGGTCAACCTCAGCGTGATGGTTCAGATGCTGGAACCTGGAACTCTTCGCCTTCCTTACTGTAAGCAACTCATGTAAGACTGGGTATGGATAGTTGGTTGTTGGACATGGTAGTGACTAGTCAGAAGGTCATTTTTTGAATATCGACTTCTTCACCCGGTGATAGCCAGGGAGCCTTGACGAGCACCAGTTGGCAATGAAATAGTATGCATTTTGAGATGTTTTTATGTATGTATGCATACCATACACCATTGGCAAGGCAACCTCAATATTTATTTGCATGTGGATAATTTAAAATTGGAGATCTTTGGGTTTTAAATATTCAAAATTATATAGTTAGCTAACTTTGAGAGCATATTTATTAATATTGGAGATTTCGCCCTGATACCAACTCACGTGCAAATATAATTTACGATGATGCAAGATTCTCATCCGAACGACCACTGCAATCTTCCGTCTGTATTAATCCAACAAATACAACCCGTCCGTTAGAGGAGATGTCATCATGGATATCCCATTCCGTATCAAGCCATAAGGCGCAGCTCATAACCACCGCCGTGGTCAGCGGAGCGTTTTTCTCATGCGCGATCCTCACATTTCAGAGCATTCGGCGACGACAGCGCGTGGAGGATCTAAAAGCATCCATTCCATCGATTTCGGATGAACATCTGGCGACAAAAGTAACCGCTCCCCCGTTGTCCGCATTGATTCGATGACTAATTTCGGTTTAGTTGACCGAGTTCGGCGCCGCATCGGAGGTCTTTGCGCCCAGCAAAGAAGATGAGCACAGTCGAGCGCTTGCCATCCGCGCCCAGCAAGGGGATTACGACGATGAGCTGATCCTCGAGCAATTGGCTCGCAACCGCGTCTTCTTGAACGATGAAGGACTCTCTGCGCTCCGCTCATCGTTTATCGTCGTCATCGGCCTGGGTGGCGTTGGCTCGCATGCTTGTGCTGCCCTGGCCCGGTCCGGCGTCAGCAATATCCGGCTGATTGATTTTGACCAGGTGACGCTGTCGTCGCTGAACCGACATGCTGTAGCGACGCTGGCGGATGTAGGCACACCCAAGGTGCATACCCTCCGTCGTCGCTTGGAGCAAGTCGCCCCGTGGGTGCACTTCGATTGTTGCAATGAGATGCTCACCGCTCAATCGGTAGAGCGGTTGCTGGGTAGTCTGCCGGATGGGAGGAAACCCGACTTTGTCATCGATGCGATTGACAATATTGAAACGAAGGTCGACCTGCTGCATTACTGCCATAAGAATGACATCCCCGTGATCTCTTCGATGGGCGCGGGCTGCAAGTCCGATCCGACGCGCATCTTCATCGGTGATATCTCCGCGAGTACCGATGATCCACTCTCGCGCTCTGTGCGGCGACGACTTCGACTCCTCGGCGTTGCGGATGGCGTCCCCGTGGTATTCTCATCGGAGAAGTTCGTTCCCGGAAAGGCCAAATTACTGCCGCTACCGGACGACGAGTTCGAGAAGGGAAAAGTGGGCGAGCTGGGCGTCATGCCGGACTTTCGTGTTCGGATCCTCCCCGTGCTGGGGACCATGCCAGCAATGTTCGGGCTCACGATCGCAAACCATGTCATACTAGAGATCACCGGCTATCCGCACGAGTACATCGCGAGTAAAGGGAGGGAGAAACTATACGAAGGAGTTCACGGTGGGCTCCTTGGGTATGAACAGAAGCTCGCGAGGCATTGGGGCTTTGACCAAGAGGGATTGCGAATGCCTCTCAGCGCCGCGGATGTTGGATATCTCATTGAGGAGGTGTTCCGCGGCAAGAGCGTGGTGAGCGGTCTACATACCAAACTCGCGCTGGTCAGATGGCGTCCACCACCGGCCGACTTTGTGGATACGAGCATTCCGGGGCAAAAAGTGACGAAGTTGAACATACAGGATGTCGTCTGCATGACGCGGGATGAAGTAGCAGTACATGAGAAGGAAGTCCTGAAGCCAGGCAAAAACCCAGAAGACTACTACGATGCATCGATTGTTGCACTGGTCAAGAGGAGGCATGCAGAGGAGGCGGAATTCGCGAAATTCCGATATTAAACCTTGTCGCTCATGAGACTCCATGTAATTGTACCAAAGAAACCGCTATATACCCTGTCCATGCAAGATTTTGCGAACGTGTACATCGGGGGCCTACAGGTTGGTGAGGTAGTCTTCGACTTCTTGAGAGGTGAGGGTGCGGAATCGGGGCCCAGTGGCACCGGCAACGCCTTCGTAACCGAGTAATCGCTCCTCGGGTGGACCAACGATACCTATGGCGACTAGTTAGCTTGGGGTATTGGTATGCGCGAGCGTTCCTTACCAATCTCGACGGTATCGCCGTTCATCTCGCCCTCGATGGTCTCCTTCAACGTCAACAGCGCGATGTGAATCGCGTCCTCCAGTTCCAGACTCTCATTGTATCGCTTCTCCAAGAACGTTTTCGCGCTCGTGGCACTCTTCCCGATCGCCGTTGCCTTCCACGGGAAGTAGCTGCCGCTTGGATCGACTTGATACAGACTGGGCCCGCCTTTCAGGATGCCACCCGTCTTGCCCGACTTCGCCTTCTTCTCCTCACCGGTCTCGCCTGCCTCGCCATCGTCTTCCTGCTCCGGTTCGATACCGTCGTCCCATCCTGCGACCAGCAAACTCACACCGTAAGGTCGGACACCGCCAGATTGGGTCGCCTCTTGCATGACGCGCGCAACGTCCTGCACTAATATCCGCGTCGGAGGGTATTCATTGTAGATGCGCTTGTATCCGGTATGGGAGACCTTGCGGGCCTTGTCGACTAATATCCTGTAGTCCGGACCCATGCCAGAGTAGACCATACCGATGTTCGGGGTGATGAGGCTGACTTTGGAGGAGGATTCGGAGTCGATGAGGGGAGACGAGAATTTCTTCTCGGTGGCTAAGACGATGCCATTTGTTGCTGGGAGAAGTTAGATCAACTGCAAGGGCCGTGAGTCGGATAGCAGTACCTTTGATACCCAGGGACGTAACTCCTTGGTTGACGGCATTGAGGGCGTACTCTGTGGTCGATCAGCATGAGTTCAGGTGCAAAATGGATGAGCTTGTAACCGACCGATCTGAACCAGTTTACCACTTGGGAGAAGTCAGTACATTTGTCGCCATTTTATCGGGGAAACATGTTTACCTGGGAGAGAAGGTAGTCAATGAGAAGGAATAGCGGTCCGCCATGGCCTCTTGATTGTAGCAAAGGCGTGGGTGGGAATGGCCAAGTAGTGCGAAGACAGTACCGGAATTCTGGGTATCGAAAAGTTGCTGAAGAGAGGTCTCGAGGAGTTTGAGATGTGAATACTTCTCGGGAACAAAGATGTCGGTGGTATCTTCAACGGTGTAACTGAAGCTCCATCGTCCAGGCAGAGCTCCAGCTTGACGCGGCTCCTTGATGTTCCTGCGCGCTGAGGCGTCAAGGCCGATACTGCACGTGACCCCTCTCCATACTCAAATCTTTCGACTTCATTCTTTGGAGCTCTTCGGTAAACATACCACGTTCAACATTCACTTCACCATTTGGTCTCCTTGTTTCTTTTAGACTCGCTTGATCCAATGCCGGTCCAAGGCGAAGATGTATCTATCCAGTGGCTCATGACAGCTGCTAGTTTGATTACTTGACAAAGGGAATCCCTGCGTTTGGGACGAATACACTAAAAGAGCTTGACCTACAGGTTTACAATGAGCGCATCTGCATTTGGAAGGGATCTTGGCAGCTGGGAGTGGTTAGATGACACCCCCCGACCTGCTAACAACGACTCCCGTCATCGAGCTTCTGGAGCACCCGGTCCATCCTCCAGCTCACCGGCGGACAGCGGCAACCGTGCACCACCGGAAGCTTCGGCTTCACCAAAGACGAATATCCCCCCCAAGCAACGCCAGTGGAAACCCAGGACGTGTCGGATATGTTTAGATACCGTCCATCCCACATACCATCCTCCGTCGGAGTCGCTGCCCGGCATCTTTCAAGCAGGACCGTCGGTAACCTACGACTCTGAGGAAGGGCGTCTCCTGCGCCCCTGCAAATGCAAAGGCTCGTCGAAATATGTTCATGAGAATTGCTTGCAGAAGTGGCGGCATGTGGACCCTGCATATGGTAGGAGGAATTATTGGCAGTGTCCAACGTGTGGGTTTCGGTACCACCTGCAGCGGATGTCGTGGGCGAGGATTATCAGCAGTGCTGGTTAGTATCTATGCTACAGTGCATCTCTCTGGCATGGTCTGACGATCACAGTCGCTCAAGTAGCGCTCACCATTGCGATCCTGCTGCTGGCCGTGTTCTTATTGGGCTTCATTGCGGATCCAATCATTAACCTTTACGTTGACCCGTTGGGAACTTTGTCTCAAATTAGCCGCACAGAACCCGATTGGCACGAAGTGGAGGAGCCATTCACTTGGACAGACCATTTCCTCAAAGGCATGGCCTCTTTGGGCCTGCTCGGATTCCTCAAGGTGTTTCTCAGCTCGCCTTGGAACTGGTTCAATATCCGCGTTGGGGGTGGTCGTGCGCGAGGTACCACAGGGCGGCAGAGGCTTGCTAATCTTAGCTGGATTGCTGTGATGGTCGGCATTGGTACAGTTTTATATGTGAGTCTTCTGGACCAACTGGTTGACGTCGTCTGACTTCCCACCTAGGCCATCTGGCGCGGTGTTCGTACGTTCAGCAAAAGAACCCTTAAGAAAATTGGGGAGCGTGTGATGGACGTGCAAGGTGATGATGATGACGAGGCGGATGAAGCTGAAATACCACCGCAATCGAATCCTTGACTTTTGGTCCCATTCCGACTTGCCCCTCGAGCTCTTATCGAGAACCCCGCACTACTTGAGTTGTCACGGCCTATTTCAATGCTGTGCCGATTAGTCAATGTGCGAAGAATCAGCATGTTCTGGATGTTGTTTGACTTTTGACATTCTGTCATGTCAGGCGATATACCAGGACTGACCGCGTCATACAGCGAGCCGGACCACATTGGGGCGAAGGAACTCGTTTAAAGCGAATTCGTTTACTCGGATTTGTTTACAGCGCGCGGGAAATACATTCAACGTATCTGACTTGAATTGACCAAGACAAGGTCCTTCTACACGTGGTGGTATGGTCGTCACCTGAGCAGTTGAGGTGTCGAGTATCACCTCCGAAATCATATGTATAGACCAGGCCCATGAATTCCTGTTATTGAGAGCTGTTTTGTAGAAATTCCAATTCCCCTTTACTCACCAACAGTCCTCTGATGATTTTCTAGATTGAGCAAATACGTATGTTGAATGCCCGATGAAGGCGGCACGGTGATTGGTAGATCCACAGAGTATGTATCATGCCATGAAAACCGTCTGAGATTGTCAAGAAGGAAGATAATAACTTGAAAGCCAATATCAAGCAACCTTTTTAAGACTTAACCAAACCTATAGTTTACTTCCATCGCCGCTCTTCAATACGTCAATCACCTCACTGGCAGCTCGCTTCCCAGACGTAACGGCACCTTCCAGATATCCTTTCCATTCAAATGCCAGTTCCCCACCAGCGAAATGCAAATCTCTAAACGGTGTCCTCAACTCCGCGCCGTACTTACGGAGCAGTCCCGGGCCAATTGTGCTCGTCGGTGCCCCTCCAATATACTCCTCCTTGGTCCACTCTACCTCATTCACCTCGAGCACATCTCTCACCTTATCAGCTAGCTCGGGTCCAACCAGGGTCGCGAGATGCTCGATCACCGCTTCTTCACGACGGAGCGCATTAAGCGCATGCCATTTGGCGGCGCGCTCGCCGGCGATGAAGAAGGCAAGGCTATATTGCTGATCGGGGACACTGCTAGTATCCCAGCTGAAGCAGATAGGCCCCAGCAGGGAGGAGAACTTGCCGACCAGTCCGGCGGTTCGCCACCACGGGGAGGTGTAAGAAATTACCATTTTGGCATATACGCCGGGCTTCGTGCGCGAGACGAGGGTTCGCTTTGCGGCGGGCAGCGGGGGTGAGAACTGGATGTTGCTGTAGGTGTTGGTCGGATTGGCGAGGATCACTTTCTTCGCGGTGAACGTTTGGCCGCCGGTGGTGGTGACGGTGGCTCCTTTTCTGTACTGGACGATGGTGTTGATGGGGCTATGGACGAAGACATTGCCAGGGCCAATTTCGGAAGCAAGAGCCATTGCGATGGACGATGTTCCTATGGGTCATTGTAAGAGCGTTCCACATGGCCGATTCACTCACTACTCGTACCTTTTTTGACTTTCAGGGACTGCGCGCCGAATTCACCCTCGCTAATGATGCTGGTGAGGCCACAGCCGGACTTGATATAGTCCAGGAAGTATTGCGCTCCGGTTTCGTGCGGCTCGCGTCCGACAATGGCACTCGTCAAATGTTGGCATTGTGCTCGAACGGTGGCATTATCGTACAGTCGCTTTTGCGTAACCCATTCTGCCACAGTGACGTCTTCGTGCTCTGGGAAACTGTCCCATTTTCGAATGTCCTGCTGGTTGGCCGCCTCTTCAATCAGATGGAAGAGCTTCTGTACTTTCTCGGTGGTCTCTGGGTCTGAGTCCTATGATGAATACTGTTAGCTGCGCAAGACGGTGAATGAATTGACAAGGCTATGGGTAGGATTCACATACGCTTATTCGACGCGACTGGGGATCTGGAACTTTCGTTACGCATCCGTCTAATCCTTGGAAGATTTCCTGACCCGTGGTGTACTGCTCGGCTGTCTCCAGACCGAACTTCTCGGTGAGAGCGTAGACGGCTGGCTGAGTCGTGCGGTTGATCCAGGTGGCGCCCAGCTCAATGACGCCAGGGCCACTCTTCAGAGCCAACGAGCAGCTTCGACCGCCAACGCGATGCCGAGCCTCGAGCAAGACAGTCTTTAGACCCGCTTGCTGACACTCATATGCTGCCATCAGACCCGAGAAACCTCCCCCGACCACCAGAACATCCACCTCTGCCGCAGGCACAGGGAATCGGTTGGCAACGAGAGTTTGAGCTCCGTTGGGAAGATGACCGTCTGCCAACACCCATGGCCGCGATAACCCGCCCACGCTTGCCACGGCCTCGATCTCGAATTTGGCTTCCGGGAACGCCAACTTCGGAACTGGGACGAGAGTCGTGAGTGGGCGATACGTTACCCCGTAGGTCTCGGTGAGCAGAGCGAGCACAGGAGTGACCAGATCGCCTCCGATATCCATGGACCAGTCGACGCAATAGAAGCGCAGTTGGACAACGTCGCGAGGCGCTGCGCCCGCCGCCCGTAATACATCGGCGAGGTTGGCGACAGCCTGCTTCACTTGATCGCCGAAGCTGAGTGGGAAGCTTCCATCTTTGTGCTGGCCGACCTGGCCGGAGGTGAAGATTAGGCGGCCCGCTCCGTTTATGGAGGCGGCGTGGGAGTACCACTGCGGATCCGGCAATGCGGGAGAGTCGACGAAGGTGATGTCTGGTGGAGGTATCCTAGGAGACATATTGCAAAGCAAGATACGGACTTAGGTGTAATGTTCGGACTGAAGTGCGTAGGGGAAGGCGCAGCGGGGATAGCAGAGGGGTGCAGAGAAAGATGGCAGGGTCGAGAAAAGAAAAGGTAAAGGCCACAGGCGCCTGAAGAGCATGGCCTACCTACCTACTTAATTTCAGCATCCGTGAGGATCCAGTTTTGAAATCTCCACGCCAGGGGAGAGCGGTGGCCGTCCAGGCCGGGCTTCCAACAACGCCCCAGGGGGCATCACTGACTTGTTGCACTAGACCGTAGCGCGGCAAGACGACTGCCAGATCAATAACAAAACATGAAGTAATACAAACCCTTTTGTAGCGCGGAGGTCGAGAGGAGTTGTCTGCTAGAGGGAGGTCGTATATCTAGCCGCGGTGTGATGTAAATCAAGCCGTCGACTGTACCATACCATGGTCCTGGGTCCGGATTAGCCGCCCGAATCCCTGCTACCGGGACGTGGCGACGTGCTGGCAAATGGCAATGCAAGGCACTACAACCCAATGCAGATACGCAGAGACGGATACGGGATCTGTACCTATGGTGGGCTATGGATATCGCTGCGACATGGAGACGCCACTCGTAAGTTTCTTTTAGATCAACTCTCGAGATGCTTTTATTTTGGCACTTAACCAACCCTCCATAAGCTAACTTAGTTAACTTAAAGTTCACTAACTAAGTTAGTTAACTAATTAAGTTAACTTAACTAACTAGTTAGTTAGGACACACACTAAAGTTAGAGTGTGGATCTCCACATGCCATTTCATTCGCTGTCACCACTGGGATTCCCCTTTCCCCGCGCCAGTGCTTCTCAACGCATGCCGTCGATGCCGACCTTTATGTTTGTCCCCTCTTAAACTCTTTGTTATCACCTCTCCATCGCCCGATCACCTATTTCCACGGAATGTAGACCATATACTCTTCTGTGGGCACTGATTGATCCCAAACCACCGCGTGCAGACCCCATTGTACGATGCTTGAGGATTCCGATACGAGCACAATCTTCGTTCATTTCGACATCGACCCCGCGCCTGCGGCCGCTCCACCTCCACGCGTCGATCTGTGCAGACGTGACAAAACCGAAACCGTGCGGCTTACCCACGCCAGTTCAACACCGCGTCTAATCAGCCGGCCGCTCCTGCGACCAAACTATCCCCGGGTTAAGACGGGCTGCTTTACGTGTCGTCGGAGGAAGAAGAAATGCGATGAGACGAAACCGCGTTGCGCTGGTTGTCGGCGGAATCATGAAAACTGCCAGTGGCCGTTGCCGGTAGCAGGCAGCGCATCTCACGACCAGCCCGAGAAGTCGACATCTTGCTCGGACCGGCCGCTTCAGCAACGCGAGGTTCCTGTCGAAAGCACATTAAGGGATGTAATTTCTGGAGGAGGCGAACTGATACCCACCAATACGCCCCCAATGCTTCCGCCAGGTTTGACTAACGGATTTGGACGAGCTTGCATCCTTACCCCGGACTCTAGCATGTTGCTTAGCCATTACTTGGTTCAGACGGGGCCGATGTTGGCGACAGCCCCAGTTCAGAAGAACCCCTTTGTCACGCACATTGTGCCGCTCGCCTATACGGACGATTTGCTCATGCATAGCGTGCTCGCCCTCAGTGGAACACATCTGGCCTTCCAAAGGGATTCGGATGTTCGGATCCAAACCGCAACATGGCAGCATTATTCAGTCGTTGTCCGCGGCTTGCGATCCGAATTGGGCAGCCTGGGCTCGGACGACTTTCAGAAGACGTTGAGCTTGCTTCTGGTCTTGATAGTGCTGTGCCACTACGAGGTTGGTCCCATCTGAAAATTCTTCAGTATCGCCCTAATTATATGCGTAGCTTATATCTGGAGACATTAAAGGCACAATCTTTCAACACCTGCGTGCAAGTCGGGAACTAATCCACCCGCTTTTGGCACACTTACATAACCATGGCCATCTTGGATCCAGCAACAATACTGCCTCACTAGGCCTGTGTCTAGAGCTCTACGCTTACATTCTGATAACCAACTCCTGCAAGCCTCATGGAACTGGATCAGGGTGTGCCGTTCATTATGATTCCTTTGTCACATGTCTGAGCAATCTCAGCTCGTATTCGACATTTGGCACCATGTTCGGTGACTGTCATGGACTGTTTGAGCTGATCCCTCAAGTTACGCTGCTAGCTGCTAGACGATTGGCGGAGGAGGAAGCCCGAGTTGCATCACCATCCCTGGATTCGGTGCGGATTTATGAAAGCCTAGAGAACCGGATCGACTCTTGGGTGCTCCCAACACCATTTCCAAATGACGATCCTGCCGACTACGAGGAGGCAGGATTGGCTGCCGAGGCTTTTCGATACGGCTTGCGTATTTATCTTGCAGCGGCGCTTGCGGGCTCACTAATCTCTGATCCAGAGACTCGGCACGCGATTCAATCGCACATTGATGCAATAATCGAGATTTCGCACTCCCTAGGTCCATCTCGATGGCAAACCATTATGCTGTGGCCTCTCGTCATGGCTGGATCGTGCATGACCAACATTACGGAGCGCTGCGAGTTGGTTGGAAGCTTGAGGGCGTCCAGATACCGCATGAAACATGTTTTTGCAATTTGCAACGTACTGGAGCTGCTTTGGGAGACGGATTGTGCACAAGCATTTGGACCATACGGTTTGTACTTAATGGAAAAGAAAGGATTCTGGATTCCAATGTTATAACACTATCTTGGGTCACTCCAATATACCCGACATACTAGGACAACTTTGCCCTTTCCAGGGTCCGACTCGACAGCTTCTGGATTACTTCTTGTGCTCCCCTTATGCCAGATCGAACAGCTCCCTCCATATATCCTTTCCATACCAGTGCTGTCTCCGTCCCGACGAAATGCACATTCCTCAACGGCTCTCGAATGGATTTGCCTGCATCTCCCGTCAAGGTGCCCGGCATCATCACCGCGGACGGCGCTCCACAGGCCCAAGGATCTTTGATCCATTCCTTTTCAATAATGTTGACCGCCGCCGGGACCGTCACTCCTACATCCCTTGCGGCCTGCCCGAAGTGGGCATCGAACTGTTCCGCTACTCGTCTTCGGCGCTCGGCCGCAGACCATTTCGACCATCGCCTTCCAGGATCGCCAACGATAAAGCAGGTGATGCTATACTGGCCATCCGCCTCAACACAGCTGTCTCGTGAAAAGCTTATCGGGCCTTCGTCGGACTCCATGATTCCACTCAGACCAGCTTCACGCCACCAGGGACGATCAAAGATGAAAATTGCCTTGGCGTAATAGCCCAATTGTGTGTTCTGAGAAAGAGACATCCGGGCCGGTGGTAGAGGTGGATCAAATGTGATAGAGGGCAGAACGCAGGTGGGCACCGAAACGATGACGGTTTTTGCGTAATAGGTTGATCCCGAGGTTGTTGTAACCTCACAGATATTGTACCCCGACTGCGTGATTTTGGACACAGCTGTCGATGTCTGGAGGGAGTTCTGAGGGAGCTTGGCTGCCATGCGGGCAGAGAATGCCTGGTTCCCTTCGCAGAATTAGCTTTGGTATCCGAAGAAAACGGGGGAGAATATTATCTTACCTTGTCGGTTCCGCAGGTACTGTCCTCCATCCTTCAGATCCGATGACATATTTTCAAGACCGGTTCCACTTTGGATATAATCCACCATAAATAATGCACTCACTTCTTCGGCATCCACACCGAGAAGCGCGGCTGACATCCTATTTGCGACATTGACACCGACCTCACTCTTCGATTCCGCCCTGGCGAATTCTTCAAAGGTCATCGAGTCCAATTTCAGTGCGTCCGGGCACAAATGCGGACTCTCATGATTCGCCACAGAGACGTGTTCCACCAGTGCTCCGTAAAAGGCATCCCGGGCAGCCTCATCTTGCGGTGACGCCGGGCCCGACGAGTTAAACGGAAACTTAACCAGGTTTCCGTCCAATCCCTTGGTCAGATTGAACCCGGAGGAGCGTTGTTCGACGAGGTCGAAGCCGAATTCGCGAGCGAGTTTGTACATCTCACTCTGGTTGGTGTCGTTGATCCAGGCAGCCCCGAGGTCGACCTTCCCACCTAGATGCGAGGCGGCGACGCTCAGTGTCTTGCCGCCGACGCGGTCCCGTGCTTCGAGCACGACGACCGAAAGTCCAGCGCGATGAACATCGACGGCGGCTCGGAGACCGGACAAACCGGCGCCCACCACTAGAACGTCGACGGATTCAGCGGCTGCAACCATTGTGAGAAGTCTGGGTTTGCGTCCGGATGAGAAGGGTGTTATGACGGCTCGTCGGTTCGACAGAGAAGTGCGAATCAATGTCTTTCCCGAACGGAGCATGAGGAGCGTCGGTCTTATACGCCCAAGCCGCCAGCGGCCATCCGTGGCAGCGAACAAATTAATTAGATAACTGACGTTATCCCGTATCCGATGGTTCATGAAGTCCTTCTCCGCATTTTCGGCATGCAGGGGTCGACGCTTAGTCGTAGCTGATCTGCCCTGATGGGGTTATCTACCCGCTAGTGAGCCGCGGTGTGTGCTAGCGCATTAATCGACGCGTGGTATCGTACAGGGTCTAGCAACCCCTACCTAGCGTATCGAATTAGCCGCGGTGACAGCTAGACTGACTGACGATGTAGTTTCCATGATTCCTTTATAACTAACTCGCACTCTCCAGTCCGGGATCGCCCAATTCCCCGCATTGTGAGGGGTATGGGCCCGTTGACTGGACGGTTCCCGGGACATCGCTGAAGCTTCACTGGCTGGATTGGCTGAAGGCCCAGGCGGATATTACCTCAGTATCTTCCCCTTGGGCTGTAGCGCAGACTTGACTCGCTTCGGGAGCCGTCTTCTGAGCAAGTCCACTGTCGACGTATCTTGTTCGATTGCGAACGCCCAACTACACTTGATAAGACTTGATAAGTGCCCCCCGGGCGGACGAAATTGAATAGCCTTCGCTCTATCAGTCCAACCAGTGGAAGGGATATTCACTTTCGTTCCCGAGAGGCTACATATGTATAAAAGCGGTACCTCTATGGGAACTTGCAAATTGTATTTGATCCTCCTTGAACATCCTTTTGTACAGTTTGATTCTCGGGATATCAAATCTCTTCCAGAACCATGGGGTCCAACACGCATATTGAGTTTTCTTCGTTGGGTCAGTATCCGTTATCTATGGCATCAAGTTCCCACACTAATGTCCCTGCAGAATCCGGCCAAATTGAGAAGAACAATGACGCCGCCGGACCAACCACCAGCAATGCCTCCGGGGATATTGTGCAGACGACGATGGCTGGTGGCCAGGGCCAGATGAAGAAGAGCATCGGTGCCGTGACCATGATCTCTCTATGCTTCAACATCTGCAACAGCTGGGCTGGTCTGTCCGCCAGCTCTCAAATCGCACTGATCCAAGGCGGCCCTGCAACGCTCCTCTACGGTATGATGATCACTGCCAGTGCCTACATGGCCATCGCCCTGAGCATGGGCGAGCTCGCCAGTGTCTATCCCACTGCGGGAGGCCAGTACCACTTCGTCTCGATCCTGGCGCCGAAACGGTTCAATCGCGGTCTCTCGTACACCTGTGGGATTCTCGCGAACCTTTCATGGATAGCCATCGGCGCTGCGATCATCGTTATCCCGAGCCAGCAGATCCCGGCTATAGTAACATATTACCACCCGGAGTTTGTGCTGCAGAAATGGCATGCCTTCTTGATCTATGAATCATTTGGTTTCATAGTCGTGCTTTACAACGTGCTGGCGCTGAAGAAGCTGCCGAGAACCCATGACATTGGATGTGAGCGCTTTCCTGACCCGCAACCTTTTAAAAGACTAACCTGGCCCCTTTGTTTAGTTGCAACGACCATCATCATGTTCATTATCTCGACTCTGGGGTTATTCATTCGCTCGTCGCCGAAAGCCTCACATACATTTGTATGGACGACCTTCTCGAACAGTACTGGTTGGCCTGATGGTGTATGCTTCCTCACTGCACTCCTAACGACATCCTTTATTTTCGCTGGGCTGGATGCTGCACTACATATGGCTGAGGAGGCTCCCAACCCCCGGACTTCTGTTCCCTTAGCAGGCGTCAGCGCCATTGGTATCGGCTTCATCACCGCTTTCACCTTTGGCATCGCGATACTGTATAGTATATCTGATTTTGACGAGGTTCTTGCCATTGAAGGGTAAGGCTGCCACACACTCCAAGGCGGATATGCGTTGACCATATTGTCTCTAGTTACCTGCCCTTCGAGATCAACCGCGTTGGACTGCGCTCAGACGCCGGAGCTGTTGGCCTGCTGATTGCCGGTGTCATCATGACCTTTTTCGTTCTAAATGCAGTGATTCAAACTGCATCGAGAATCACTTGGGCGTTGGCGCGGGACAATGCACTCGTCTTTTCGGGACTGTTTCGTCAGATCCATCCTACCCTCGAGGTCCCGGTATCGTCCATCCTCGTCGTTTGGGGGGTTCTTGCTGCCTGTGGGCTGCTCATTCTCGCATCGGACACTGGTAAGCCGAGTTTCCCGGGACGAATGGAACCGCATTTGTGCTGACTTTCGCATCCAGCTTTCAATGCTCTTGTGTCTTCATGCGTGACACTCCAGTTGCTATCCTTCATCATGCCAACGGCATTGGTTCTGTATCAGAGAAGATCCACGACGTACCTGCCGAGGAACCGAGCATTCGGCTTGCCGAACTGGGCTGGATGGATAATCAACGTCTGGGCTGTTTGCATGCCTTCGATATTGTGCATATTTTTCCTGTTTCCGGCGTTTGTACCGGTCACCGCAGAATCCATGAGTAAGTCCAGCGCAGCACCCACCACGAAGATCTATCTAACAGAATAGATTACAACGTTGTCATCTTAGGGATTGCAGCGTTTTTTGGAACGGTGAATTGGTTCTGTTATGCCCGGAAGCACTATCAGGGTCCAAGAATCGTCTTCCATGATTGAGGTCCTCGTTCCGGGATACTGGGGGACATGTTATACCATTTCAATAAAAATAACAATAACCCCGCCGACTGCAATTCCACTTTCGAATTATTGGCCTCCACGCTTTGGTAAACGTCAAATTTTAATATATGTCCTTGGCCGTGGAGCAGTGTTTGCTGGGGCACGGGTTGAAGCTTAAAAAAATTCGCACAATGACCAAACCCCTCAGACACGGACAGGTTTCGTGTACTTCAGGTTTCAAGGCTTCAGCAGAACATGGAGTATTAATGAGAACGAATTATGGCGCATCGCGACTCTCCTCAATTCGCAAGTAGTCAAGTCCTCAGTCCTGGCGGATATCATTACCGAGTTAGTGAATACGATGGAACCAGGGGAAACGTGCGCCCGAAGGATTCGATTATAAATTATTCGATTAATCGAGTTCCGAAGGGCTGAACCCTGGGCCTGGGGCCTTGGGGCTTCGACCCCTGAGCTACCAGCGGTCGACGTGATCGATTCTCAGGCGCGTGCTTCATCCTATTTTCCGCAGTCCGCTTCTCCAACGGCAATAAATGTTTCAATTGCTTGATATTGGATTTGGATTGCTTGCATATACACGGTGCTATTAGCTGTTTCGTTGTGTGTCTCGGTTGCCCGTGTCCTGCCCCTCACTTAACACGACGTCCCTGAGCGGTCTGCAACCCCAAACGCGCTTGTCCCTGAAGGGCTCGCCTAACGTTGGCTGTGAACCCCAACGCCAGCAGATCCATCTGTACGGAATAGCCTGGTGGAATTTCCCAGGCGACCTGGATTTAAGAGACAGATGTAATCAAATGAATAGCAAAGATGCCGATTGAGATCCCCAAACGATCCTCGAGCTACGGCTTGGGAACCCTTCACCAATCCATGGGAACCATTATCGCCGCTGATACGGCACCGACGTTGATGACGGCACCGCGGTCCCCTTCCCCACTTGCTGATCAAGATCTGGCTTATCAGAGTCAGAAAGAGAATCGATTGATTGTGGGGGTTGATTTCGGCACGACTTATTCTGCGTGAGTGCTGGTCCGATCGCGCGCCCAAATGATCTGCGTCCCCTCTTCTGACCGCCGATACGAGGTAGGGTGGCCGCCGTGTATAGCGGGTGTCCGGATGAAATTGACATAATAAAAACGTAGGTAATCATTCATGCAAACTTATTGAGTCAAAAATCTAAGTCGCTACCTTGCAGATGGCCTGGAGGGAACGGAATCACATCGGACAAAGTGCCGACGGAGATTGGATACTATGACCTCCTAGACGCCCCAGACACACCGCTATCACTGAATGATGATGGTACCGAACCACCTCGCCCACAAGGCATCAAATGGGGCTTCCAATTCAAGCCTGAGGAAACGCGCCTCCGCTGCATCAAGCTGTTTCTCGACCACAACCAGAAGCTCCCGCACTTCGTCTCGCCCTTGGAGACAGCCGCACAGCTGCGGAAATACGAGCGGACCGTTGGCGATGCCGTGTCGGACTATCTCACCCAGATCTACAAGCACACGGTCGAAACGTTGACCATGCGCTACGGCGAGAGCTTCATGGCGCGGACGAAGGTCGAGTTCGTGTTGACGGTGCCGGCAGTCTGGTCGGATGCAGCGAAAGCAGGCACACTATCAGCGGCAGAAAGAGCTGGGATGGGGAGTCGGCATGATTTGAAGTTGATTTCGGAGCCCGAGGCGGCGGCGGTGTATACGCTGAAAGCGATCCAGCCAAATCATCTCAGTATTGGCGACAACTTCATCGTTTGTGACGCTGGTAAGTAAACCTTGCCTCAGATTTGCTGCTACTACGCGGCATCTTGTCTGCGGTGGATGTTGAGTTGACTTTGTGATAGGGGGTGGGACTGTCGACCTAATAGCCTATCAGATCACCCAGCTTAATCCGCTACGAGTTGAAGAATCAGCAGTCGGCAATGGTGGACTCTGTGGATCTGCATTCCTTAATTATAGGTTTGAAGAGCATGTGAAGCAGCGCATCGGCGAAGAGCACTACAGTCGCATGCGGGAAAAGAAGCCCAAGACCTGGAACATGGGCCTCAAGTACTTCGACGAATTCGTCAAACGGACCTACAGCGAAGAAGAGCACCAGGAAGTCAACATCCCGTTCCCGGGATTGCCCGACGATGAAGACGCAGGGGTCATGGACGGGTTCATGACCATGTCGCCCTCCCAAATCAAAGAGATTTTCGAGCCCGTGGTGAAGGAGGTGGTGGAGCTCGTGGAGGGACAGGTGAGCAGTATCAGGGGGAAAGGGGGTGTCGTCTCCGGCATTGTGCTAGTTGGTGGCTTTGGGCAGTCAAATTATCTCTATCGATGTATGAAGGCCAATTTCAACGCCACACCTCCACCGCCGTACACGGAGAAACCCACGCATGCCGCCTGTACGGATTCCTCGAGCGCCATCGAGGTCATGCACCCGATGTATGCGTGGACGGCGGTTGTTCGGGGGGCGGTGCTGAGGGGGTTGGAAGGGAGTATGGTGATTTCTAGAAGAAGCAGATGGCATTATGGGACGAGTTACGCGACAGTTTTCGATGCCACGAGGCATCCAATGGAAGATCGATACTGGAGTCCGCTGTGGGAGCGGTGGATGGTCAGTGACAGGATGCAATGGCACATTGCCAAGGTATACTCATTCATTTCAGCCTGGGGAATCAAGTGCTCATTCAGCCATAGGATCAGCAAGTGTCAGAGCATAACCCCATCTCCTTCCACTACACTCGCAATTTCCGCCCCGGCCAATCCCTCATCGTCGAGGATGAGCTCATCGGCTGCAACGACGACGACGCGCCGGACGCGTACCACAAGGAGTTGACCACCGTCTGCACCCTGCGGACAGACCTCAACGCCGTCCCACGGTCCCTGTTCACGCGACTGACTACGACTAAAGGCGTGGAATTTGATAATCTGGATTTCACGCTCGATATGCGGATTGAAAGCGCTGGTTTGACCTTTGAGTTGAAGGTCGATGGCGTCCGTTACGGGGTCGTCGCGGCGAAATTCCACTGAGTCTAAGCGGCTGGGCTGCCTCTGCTTTGGTTTAGCATCGGCGTTTGAGAGACCTGGTGGAGAGTGCCTGCACAGGATTGGTATGGCCGGGCAATGAGACCGTGGAGGATTGAACCATATTGTGACGAGGTTCATGGTATTTGGATATCATTTGCATATCAACAAAAGCTCTGTCTACCAAGGTATATAGGATAAGGAAATAACACAAGCTGTAGTTACCACGAGGTCAATGGCCTCGCTAATTAGTCTTTGATAATAAAGCAGCTACATTCAGATCGAGACTTGTAAGGCACCAAGGCACTAGGGCATTAAATGCGATCCAGCCCTGTGGATCGGTGGGTCCATGTTTCAGTTCGGCCTTCGGAAGTTCACGTTGGCGCCTTCCCCATCCAGGTTGAGCCACGACTGACGTCTGCAGTCTGCAGGCTTTCCTTTGATCCATAGTGTAAATCATCATCACTCCAACTATTCAATCGGTTCCTGCTTTGTCTTCGCTCCCATTCACGTCGCTCTCTCTCCGAAGAAAAGAGACCGTTCCGGGACATCAGATGTAGCACACTCCCCGCCTACATGCCCTCCAGGATCGCCCTCTTGGTGGAGTCGAGCAACCATCTGAGCAATTCTAGATTCCGCCGATCGCGAGGTTCGAAATAACGACATGCGAACAATATACCTCACTGCTCTTCCTTCCCGATAGCGTTCTTGTGCCGCACCCACGACAAACACACCATGTCCAGTCCTTTGGGTCCCTGGGATCTTACCGACCCGACGCGTCTGTCCCCGTCCTTATACGAATCCGGCGTCACTCCTCAAGTGGTCATATCGCCTGCAAAATCCCGAGACCGAACGAATTCGGCGCAGAATGCCGACCCGGCTGTCAATGGATTAAGAAGAGTGTCACCAGGACAGGCACTGCTGGCTATACAGGCCGTGGAGTTTCGTGACCGCGATGTTGATCAAATACAAGAGAAAGAACCGGTGATAGCCGATGAGAGATTACTTGTAGCGATTCGGACAGCTACCGCGGCGGAGAAGGAGCTGGCTATTCGCGTTGCACAGGCCGCGGAGAGGTTGAGGGGATGGTGCAATGAAATCCAGAAATGGGGCTGGAGTGGCTCATTTAAGATGAGAGACGAGACGGATGACGAACATGCCAGAGAGGAAGGCATAAACAAGGCGGGCAACTTCGATACGGTCCTAAACGACAATGGTCCCTTTACCCTTACCCGGATAAATCTGCATCAAACGCGCCTCGATGACATACAAGGCTCACTTTCCGGCCTCGAGCTGGAAGACTTGAAAGATCGCGTCTTGGGCTACTATTCAAGCCGATCACGCCCAACCTCCAGTTACTCCCATGCAAGTCGAACGGAGAGTCAACTCGCGCGCCTCGAATTGATGGATGACATGCCTCTTTTGACGACACATCTTCTCATGCAATGCTTACCCGACCTCTACTCACTCCGATCATCCTTAGATACATGGTCTGTCCGATTGCGCGTGTTAAGAGGCCTGCCACAGTTCCTAGAGTCCCTCGACCATGCGACGAAAGCCATGGAGCTTGGCTGGGAAGCTATCAAGCCAGTTGCCAGCTCTGGCCTCACGGATACATCCATTACCCAACATGCCGAAGCGTTGACGGTTATCAAGGGCGTTCTAGAGCAGAAGATCACCTCGCTAGGCCGAAAGCTGGATGACATGCTCGATGCCCTGGAAGGGTTGGAGGACTCCCTGCCGGACCAGTGGATCGATGATTTTGAAGATCTTGAAACTGAATATGGACGGTGGGCCGTTGAGAGTCGGAATGGTGTGCTCGATCTGCAGATGCGGTTAGTAAAACAGCAGGGACAAGACGTTGAGCAGAGCTCTGTGCCGGATGAAACTCTGTCCCCGACCGATATACAACACCACGATATGCTGGCTGGAGGCCCTGCTATTCTGCCGGACGAAATAGCGGTAACGCAAGTACAAGACGGCGCCAAAGAGTTGATCGAGAGTGCGACCACCCAAGACGTTAATCGTGCATCATCCCTAGAACAACCTGCCGCGTCGAAAATCCATAGTGCGACAGACACTGACCAAGAAGCTGCCGATATTCCAGCGTCACCCGAACCTATTGGTGAATCCAGTACTCGGCTACCTGAGCATGAGCCAGTTAGGGAGCCATCAGGTGATGACGACGGCGGTAAAGCCGATTCTAGGCCTCCGTTTCCACTTAAGAGGGCTTCGGTAACATCTATTGGGTCCCTTCCCCGTGCTCAGGTACTGTTGATTCCCCCTTCCGGCCTATATCCACCTCTAACGTCCTATCTAGGTCAAGAGCATCAATATCCGTCGCAACAGCTCTGGCTCGATATTAGGCATGCCTCAACACACCTCTTCACAAGGAGCCTCCACGGCAACTTCACCTTCCGCTCTTTCAAACGGTCAAAGTCGCCGTACATCCGAGTCTGACCCCATCGGAGGTCCTACTACCCAACAAGAGGGCGCTCCACCTCCGGCCCCGGATCGATCTGAAGAAGAAGGGGCGCCTAGCAATGATCTGAGGCCCACCGAAGGTAGCCGATATCGAGCAGGCAGCATCTCATCTATTGCCAGCTCAGCAGCTTCTGACCCAGTCGGTGCATCATTCGCTACAGTAGAAGATTCTCCTCTACGCCAAAAGACAGATTCCCAGGCGCCACCGTTAGCACTCCGGATTAATAAAGCTCGACAACATAACGAAGGAATGCGGAACGGCTCCAATTCCAATACGGCTATATCCAATCCTAGTGATGTGGCCTCTCCGCAAGCGTCGCCAACGGAGACAGTATTTTCTAAAGCGGATCTGAACGCGCAGATATCAGATATCCTCAGCAGTGTATCTGGTAATATTAAACTACAACCCGTCCCTACCTCCGACAGAATATCCACAACACCTACCACTCCAATCGGACCTAAATCCAACGCCAAAGTTTCTACAATCAATATCGCTAAGCGACCTCCAGGACCACGCACCAGTGGTTCGAGGTCGGCTTCCACCCCGCTCAAACCCCCAATTACCCCATCACATTTACGATCTGGTAGAGCTTCCCCGTCGTTAATGCCAGAATCAGGTCGAAACTCCCCAGCACCAGATTCCGAGCCATCTTCAAAGCTCCGACCGGTCGGCGCTCCCAGCGATTCGCATCGCCGACCTGCTTTCCGCTCCGTATCCGCCGCTCCATCCACGCTAGTTCAAGTCCCCAACGCTTCCGGTTCCTCGGACTCCGACATTCGCCTCTATCACCTCCATCGGCCGGGAACCTCCGCTCCTCCGCTCAAGCTCCACATCCGTCGTATCGGCGATCGGGTGATGGTCCGCGTCGGCGGCGGCTGGGCGGACCTCGGGGCGTATCTTCAGAACTACATCGAACACCATGGTCGGCGGACGAGAGTCGACAATGCGGAGGGGTCAGTCGGTGGCGGGGTGGGGTTCGAGGTGTTGACTTCCAGCCCGAAATCCCGAGAGCCGAGTATGGCTGGCACGCCACTTAGCAAGGAGCTCGGTACCTCCACGGAGGTCTTCCCGGGGGGTGGAACGGATGATCATGGGTCACGTGAGACGACCCCGTCCGTCGGACCGCAGTCCGCCAACTCTAGAAGGAGCGCCAGCACTCCGTTCACATCTGCACAAGAAGTGGGGTTGGCGGGTCCGGCTGTGAAGAAGCTGGAATTGAGCGGGGAGAAGAAGGAATGGGTGGAGGGGATGGTGGAGCGGGCGAAGATGGCGAGTTTGGGTGGCGAGTTTGGAAGTTTAGGGAATGTGGGCGGGGTCAAGCGACTGTTTAGGAAAGGGTTGGAGTGAGATGCTGTGGGCTTTTGTGGCATGGAGATATCGGACGTCCGGTCTGGTCTGTACTTTGATGGGAGAACACATCAAATCATATTTGCAGCGGGGCGTTATGCGACGCAATGCATGGGTCGGGTCTGTTGGGCTTACGTGCAGGAGACATATACCGATTAGTGCCCATGGTGAATTCCGGGAAAATACCTATGAATATAACAGAACATTTCTTCGTTTGCCTTACTACGTAGTACGGCTCATTCTCGCTTTGCTGAACTTCACCAGACCAAACAGGGACTTTGTTCTGTGGCACGTGACATGGACCTCTTACATCAGGCATCAAGGAATCAACCGCTAGAGGCAGCTAAGCCCAGCCATCCATGTCATATCTTATGCGATTCCATATTATCCCGCCGGGTTCGTCGTGACTTTACTGTATACGCCTCTTGAAGATGTCGCGGTGATACCCTTTGGTTGGCACTACAGGTTAACCGTTTCGTACCCACCCTCATTTGTATCTCAACTCAGAACGAGAGGGACCCGCCCACAACACTTTCGCAGTCATGCAAACCATCCGCTCATTCGTGTTTGGGCCGACTCCAGAGGAGCAGCGGCAGAAGTGCAGTGCGTCATGGTCCTGAGTACTGACTCGACATGTTATGGTTGCTTACGACACGACAGATGCCCTCGTACGGAAGAACGCGCGGAAAGTACGCATTCACCCTTCCAAACGCGCCGCCAGTGGTTGACATTCACGCCAGCTAGATCGGGACATACAGAACTTAGGCCTCCTCGAGTACGTCCACACAGCTCGGGCTACCATCTTAAAGTCGACCTTTCTCACAACCAACACTAGATCGAAAACCAAGACCTTCATCCTCCAATCCTCCAAACGCGCCGAACGCAATCCCTCTCAAGCCGCCCAAGCCCAACGCGAAACCCGTACCTTCGCCAAAGAAATGGTGCGCATCCGCCGGCAGAAAGCGCGCCTCGCCACCTCCAAAGCGCAGCTCCACTCGGTCCAAATGCAAGTCAACGAAGCGTTCGCCCTCCGGCGGATCGAGGGGTCGATCAAGAAATCGACGGGGATCATGAAGGACGTCAACCAGCTGATCAGCCTCGGGCAGCTGACGGGGACGATGCGGGAGCTCAGTCAGGAGCTAGTGAAGGCGGGGATCATCGAGGAGATGGTAGGGGATTCGCTGCCGGAGGAGGACGAGTTCGAGGAGGAGGAGGCAGAGACGGAGGTGGATAAGGTGTTGACGGAGGTGCTGAAGGGGCGGTTGCCGGCGAAGGCGACGCCAGAGGAGGTGCCGAGCGTGCCGGTGCGGGAGGAGCCGGTAGAGGAGGAGGGGGAGGAGGAGGATCAGGAGGAGATGTTGGCGCAGATGAGGGGGCGACTGGAGGCGTTGAAGAGTTGAGAGGGGGGGGTTCGAGGATGGAGCGACGTGGATCTTACGAGGCATATGCGTTTGGCGTTAGGGGACCACGGGTGTTCGGTTTGGTGTGGCGTTTAGTGGTTGGATACAGCTCTTGCAGTGAAGTCTAAATGCTGGTGGGATTTATTGGTTGTGATAAGGGAGGTTGTTGGTGGCATCCATGCCATAGTATTCTCGGCACAATATCTCCCCGTCAGTACAACATTAGAATAGGTCTATGGGACATGATATTCTGCTTAGATCGTGGTATCGCACAGGACCCCAAGACTGCAACTAAACCATATCGTAGACGCGGAAACGACTATACAGTCAAGGTTGACTCAAGGCTCACCTTGCCCCAGGGCATCTAGTGCGTCTGGTGCAAGGTCAAACCAAGAGCAGCTTCAACTATTGGCCACTTTCATTTGCCAACATGATTGGGCGCTGAAACAACAACGGAGAGTAAAAGGAGAATCAGCATCGCCTCGGATTTCAAGCCACAGCCAACAAGTTGGTTGATGTGAACAGAACCCTTGTGGAAATGTGATGTGATAGTGACTGGACAACCTGTTAAGCATGGGTTGGTAAAACAGGGCGAGGGCATAGTGCTTCTCGGACAGCAACCTATGAGACCAGACCTGAGCTGGGCGGACCAGTGAAGAACTGGTGCACGTCACCAAATGTGTTTGGGTTCGTGGACGTCGAGCATTGGGCAATAATAGCAGATAAGGTGCTTGAAGGAGACGAAGTGATGCCTAACTAGCTCTGGCTTGCTGATAATCCAATTCTCCAGCTGGTTGTGAGATTTATTTTACTCATGTACATAGCCTAGACTGTAACTCATTGGTAAATCTACGCCAGACAATAAGGCTGGAACGGTGGATACGCCCGGGTTCGGAGGGAACGTAATGGCAGAACTGCATGCTCTTTGCGGAATATAGGGCGTGATAAATGAAACGATGTCCAGCAACATGGTCCACACCGGCACAAGAATACCACATGACCTGGATCCGTTACCTTGCTTCCTGAGAAGACGCGACGAAACCTGCGGAGCTCCCAAGGCATTCATAGAATAAACAGCTGTCTCCCGGGAGATAAGGGCGTGGATGCCATCTTGAATGCCCCGTGGAGATATAAGACACGTTCGTTATGGCTCTGTCAATAATCCCCGATATTTCTTCGTCTAGCCAGCGCGGAACTCTTCTTTGACTTTATGAAGAGGGGATTTGAAACGCAACTCGCAACCTGAAGAAAGAAAGACTGTTTAAAAGAATGGAACGCCTGACGAAGGATTGAAGTTGAGATGTTAGAGCCCAAACGCCAGTTGCATCGAAAGATTTAGATTCTCGTTTTATACCTATTATCCATGCGGCCTAAGAGGCGGCCACCACCCGTCGAGTGGTATATCTTCGAAGGATACGAAGTGTGATATGTCGCTTGTGGGGGCGTGTTCGTTGATTGTGATGGCAAAGAGTTATTGATTTTTTCTTCTTTCAGGTTACAGTCAGGGGACGCGAGTCAGTGTGTTTGATATTTTTCGCCTCCGACGATCTACCCGGAGATTCCAGACTTTCGGTGTCATCCTTGATTCTCTCATGTTGCACACACCTGTGATGACACCATTATTTTGCTACGGGTGAGGCGATACTGAAAGGTATAACTAGAGAAATCTGATGTCCTAACTTCCAAAAAGGCGAAATACATTCTAATATCGTCAATACATTTTCTGCCCATTGTCGGTTATAACCCCAATCTCCACATTCCTCATCCCTTTCCTACCTCTTACACGATCCCTCGACTCCCTACGGCACATTGCTGCACAATATTGACAGCATCCACCCTAAACTCTCCTGGAGCAGCTCGTTTTCCGAAATTTCCAACTGTATGCATTCTGGAGACCCGTCGAGATGCTCCGCAACATGGAATACCGACCACCTCATGCTACCGATATGAAAGGCGGCTCCCCAAAGCGGCCGGATATCTTTCAGCATTCAACGAGTGGACCTTGACCGGCCAAATGTGTCTTAATGTTCTTTTTTAAGATGGGGTGAAGCGTGGGGGACACCGGGAACCGCAGTCCCTTCATGATTCCGACAACGGTGCGGAACCGCCACGAGTGAACGAAATCGAACCTGAATTTTGTTTACTACAAACAATATACAAGCAATATGAAACTACACACACGAATAGAGAAGGAAGCAGCATTCTGCCTGCTAAGAGCATCAAGGATTTTTGAGAGGAGAAGGGAACGGCACCATAACCGCAACGAGTGAACGGAATCGAGTCTGAATTTTATTTTACAAATATACAAACCACATGAAACCACACACGAACAGAGGAAGGAAGGAAGCAGCATGCTGCCTACTAAGAGCATCAGGGATTCCAGAGAAGAGAAGGGAAAAGCACCATATATCGAAAGCAGGGAATCGGAAGAAAGAAGATCTTTTTGGACGCAAGACCTTCCGAGCGAATTGGTGTGGACATCGCTGAAAAAGTTTGGATCGGTTTCAGTCTAGATACTGGTGGTCTTGGGAAATTTCGCGGCCATGCTCATAACATTCATATGGCTGCCGAGGTTCGAAAAGATCGTCGGATATCAGGCATCGCCTGTTTAGTGGTGATAGGGGACAAAAACACGGGTTCGATTCTGACTCCAATTCTTTGGCGATGAGTTGGGTCCGTTTGTCTGAAAATCCAGCAGGTTGGTTTAGACGAACACAACTGAAGGGTGGGAGGGGAAAGCGCGTCGACCCGGTGGCACTAATTTGGTTCGGTCCCACCGAATCCGGAACTCTATTTCAATCTCCTGGTGACCTTGAAAATGCCATGACCATCGGTTATGGGAACAGAAAGTTGATGTCTTGGTTAAAGGGGAACGCCGACGAAACGCCCAACAGGCGCCTTCAAAATGTGTCTTTCAAGAGTCTGCGAAACTTGACCTGAATCGACAGTGCACATTTCCGAAGTTCGAGATGCCGTACCATCCAGGTCGCAACCTAAGCCGTATACTTCGAAGCATGATGAGGTATACGGCGCCTTCTTTTATTGCGGCACGGTTTCCCTCCCTCTGCGGCGGAGTCTCTTTTCCGCCTCACCACCGTGGACTCGAACATTAGACTGCATCGAGGGGGATCGAGTCATGTTCCAGTCCTCGTATAAGTCGCGGAACTTGACGCGAGTGATCAAGTTGTTGTTGTGGAGGAAGTGAGCGAGATCATACTCGGGTTTGCCATTCAGCTGCAGGTTGTTCCCATTCCTCAAGTGAGCTTCGATGTGCTCCAATCTGGCTCGCCAATGAGCCCAGTCGTCTTCGACCGAGAGGTTGTTCGACTCATCGCCATAAATCCTGCTTTCTGTCCAGTTGCAGTCTCGAAAAGGGCAGGATACTCGGTTGGGGGGTTGGACGAGGTGCATGGTGTGTGGATTACACTCGATGTTTTCCATATAGACGTGTCTGGTGTCCGGACTGGGATTTAATGTCCCTGGCTCGCGGAAGTGCACTAGTGAATGCAAGAAGCACTGCAAGAGGTTGTCAAATTGGCACCGCAAGCAGCCCAGGAACCAAAATGGGCAGATTGAAAGGACTTCAGCGTCTGAAGCCGGCTCTGAAATAGCTGAAGCCGACCCCCAAATGTCTGTAGTCGGAGCGGTATCTTGATCGGAAGCAGACAGCACTGCAGACATGTTCGACGAGTCCGTTTGCGACGGTGCGGACGGATCTGTGCTCGAACTGGTGGGGGTTCTCACTAGGAGCGGGCCTTCCCGTTCGTGATCGGGTGGTCTGTCGATCCCGGCTAGATCATTCTCATCAAAATGTACGATGAGTGATTCAGAATCGTCTAGCTCGCGGTTCCGCAAGTAAGCCTCATGCGGTAAAGAGCTTGGATAAATGTCAAGCCTTCGGTTTTGTCGACGCTGGCGGAGCTGGTGGTCGGACAAGGAATCGTCGATCCTGTCTGAAGAGCTGGGATTCCTGGGTGCCATGGTTTTGATCACGATTTCCCAAATACGAGTCTCAATGGGGGAGGTGGTAGGTTCGCTGGTTGGCACGTCCGCGGCCCCGCTCGATCACCAAGCTCCATGAAACCACGACAATCCCGTGCGCCTTGTTCTGTCGAAAGGAATGGACTGCACGTGATCGCGACGGTATTCAAAGCGTCAACTGGGGCTTTGGGATACCCTGTTCGGATGGTTCCTGGTGCTTGAGTTAGAGCCAATATCGTCACCGGGGGAGCGCTGCTCATGAGATTCGAAATCTTACCAAGATGGCCACGACCGGGAACAAGCGACTCTTTAATATTACGAAACACTCTCACGTTGTCAACCAGGGACGTGCAACAGTTGAGGATATTGCCGATGCTAATTCTCTCCGGCGGTTCCGTGGTGTTTCGAGGCGCCGACGTGGACCAAGGATAGCGAGCGATCGCCCACCATCCCCGAGGAAATGTTGCCCCTTGCGGCTCCAATAGGACACTTCCTGCGAGAGACGTTCAAGTAATGGAGCCGAGGAAAATGTTAGCGGCGTTCCTAGTTGAAACTGCGGACGGCCACAACTTTGCTTGCAAGAGGGAGAAGAGGATGGGTGTAAAGAGGAGTTAGGAGACAAATGATTCATGTTATAGATTTCATTGGGTGCGTCGATCGGTCTGAACAAGGCCCGTTCGGACGTATTAACTACCACACCAATGCAACAAGGCTCATAGGCAAACCCGGCACCGTGGTTAACAAGCAGCAGCATGGCATCGATGTCACTTGTCTCACTAGTGACAAAGGCTCAGTTCAACTTTGCCGCTCTATGGCCAGTCCCGAATACCAACACAAGATCCTGTCGACCGTTCGACGCCCAAGGCCGGCGGTAAGACATTTTCCAGAACTGCGGAGATTTCCACTAGACTTTTCCCACCCGTTTTGGGCCCGCGTGCTTTTTCCGAGTCAATCACACAGCTCCATTCTCTGGATTGACCGTTCTCCCAGCGGAATACTATTCTCTTACCGGTGCTACGCGTCAGGATGCGAAGATATCCGCCCATGCTGTGGTCCATCCACCGGCCGCTTTCTTAACCGAAGAAATTGGCATCGATTTATGCAATCGAAACAAACATTTCAGGGGAATAATTAGAGCCAGCAGTTTTCACTTTCTACATTCACTCAGGTAGGACATTCGGTCAGTGTGGAAATGACTGCAGCATCCTTAGGGTAGAGCCTCAACATCACACCCTCGATTCTTGTCTCTTGAGGGCGGCAAGGGTCCACTTCTAGACATGCAAGCGAAAACGGTCCCCCGTCACCATCTATTCTTAACCAAATGGTTCCTGCCGCCTCATTCTTCATAGCCCAGCGATCATGCCTGCGTCTTTGGCGCTATGATCACAGCTACTTGACCGCCTGTCCCCGTTTGAACCAAACGACACGTCTCCTTTCGTCACCTCTGTTAGACTCGATTTATTTCTCTTCTGGCCCGACATGTAGCAAGTCTCAGTCCAGCGAAGTCAGTCATACAAGGCCAGTTTTGTAATTCTATGCCGTCCAATCCTTCATTCTGTTGTCATTAAGTCCCCTTCTCACCCACATACTTGTCCGGTGGAAACATCCGATATACATCAGCGACAACCCCCCAGTTCTAATTAGTATGTCGTGTCACGCAATTTGCATCATCGGATTCAAATGGAAGTTCAACGCTCACACTCCATTTGTCGAGGCTATGATTGCGTTCAATGTCATGTGAAGCCGGTGTTTGAGACGGTATCACTCAATATGTCAAGTCTTTCACCGCAACTTGGTCTTCGATCTGATCCAGACATCCACGAGTGGAACTGCTAGGGAGTGTTTAGCTGTTCAAAGATCCGCGCTCGCATTGATGCAATATGATGCCATAATACAGTGTCAGACAAATGAGCTAGAGACACGAGATTTCTGTCAACTTTAACCGTATCATGAAGGTCAAATTCCAGGGACCCTTGATATAGGGCTCCCTGCACGTAGCAGTCCGCGGGTACATGTACCTACCCGCTATGAAGCGATTCCGCCAAGCAGTAATTCAGCTATTGTCACCCCTCTCAGATTTTATGCTCTCCGGTCCCCCTCACTTCGCAGCTACAGCAGTGACGCGAAGTCTCGACCGATGTCACCAAGATAACCCACCACAACGGCACCTATTTTCACCAGCACCAATCTCTTTCAACTATTATACCCACCCGCCGGAGCGAAAGCCGCGTGGATCAAAGCCTCGTCCAGAAAATATTTCCGTAAATGAATATGCCGTCGACTTTACGGCTAAAGTTTATCGTATGGAAGGGGAGCTTTCAAGTAACGTACGACTTCGTAGCAGAACGGCCGCTGAGAAACGAGGAAACAAAGGGGGCGACGGCAGAGAACACTGCGACCTCTCCAACACCCTGACCGAGTCGAGGTCGGGGGATGAACAGCACGGTAAAGATAATAACGGGAACGAACAATAAGCCTCCAAAAGTAACTTTCCAGTCCGGCATGGATGAATGAGACCCCTGGGCCAATTTCTACCTGCGACACCAATCGTTCTCGAGGAGAGCGAAGCCAATGATTATGGTTCTGATTCGGATGACTATCTGCCTTCGCACCAGGAGCTGTTGAAGCGCAACACGCCAGCAGTTAAGAATCCCGACCAGGGTGCAATGCGAGCCAAGACTACGGACCAAGCCAAAGGCAATCTAGGTGCGCTGTCGAAGCCTATTATATCAACGTCCGTGAGCGGCTTAGATGGTAGGAATCCAGGTGATGGTATCAAAACAGCTGGCGCAGGTAAGTCACCAAAATCTAGCATCCCTGGACAAAAGCTTATTGTAGGTATAGGACGATCTGCTTCAAGCAAGCCAGATGACTGAACCGAATACCCCCCTCAACAGTTGTGCAGATCGGACATCCACTGCAAACAACTCCCCTGATCCACCACCGCCCGGAAAGAGATCTGCTTCAGTCGAAGACGGTCCAGCCGAGCAGCTTTCGGAATCCCGTCATTAAGGCGGCACTAGTCGACTAGTCATGACGATTCATCACCAGCCTAGATGCAATGAAGCGTGTCGGTTCAAGTCTTCCACGACAGAAAGAGCAACGAAGATGTCGGTGATGATGGCAGCAGCAGTCGATCTATTCAGTTTCGTCGCTCTTCGCCTACTGACAGGCTCGACACTGAGGATTTTGGCGAGCAAGAGTTGAGTGGTTACAGCAGCAGCGGCAATGATAGCGACAGCGGATTCGGCCAAGACGAACGCCCCGCATTCTGATTCGCGACATCGCTCGCGGGCAAACGGCATGCCCGCTCATGTGGCATTCTAAAGGCGGCGACAAAGTCCAAGCCACGAAGGCGTTTCGTCAACAAGACTACAATCTCAGCCTCAACCTCCACCCCAGCCTCTATCTCCAAACTCAAGGCTTCCACTGCAATTCCCCATTCCATAGGACATGGAGAGCAAGCCCACTCCACCACGTCCGACACTCCGAACCAGTCAGCGGACATATCGGTTCGTCTCGAACCGATGGGGGTTCCGTCGGCTACCATCCAAATCGAAGTCCGGGGCCCGCTTCAACTACCTCGCAATACCGCGACGACTCCGAGGAATAATGTCATGGGCACTCTGGGAGAGTATCTACGGTACTATCGTAAAATCTGTCCAGGACTTTAGGTACGCTGCCTCTTTGGGTTTAGGGGGCTCGTCGAACCGCCTCTGACTTAGCGCTATCTCTGCGCCATCGTTTCTCAGCTGCCCATCCCCCGTCGACCCCACCTCGTTCTAGTCATTTTCCTACATAAATGCGCCGTCCTCCCTACCGCTCCCACACCCTTCTTTTCCAGATCTATCACCACTTCCTGGCCTAACTGGAACCGCCGGCTTCAACCCCGCTTTTCGAAGGCATTATGGGACCCTCCAGAGCCAACCGTCGGTACAATAGTCGGCTTCGCCTTTGGATACGAATGTCTTGTTCGGAGCCAGCCCACGCATTTCCCTTTCCCCGATTTCTCTCACGATACCGCTGCTCCTTTAGCACGGACTCGAGGGGAGGCGCTTGACGAATGCTGAAATGGCCTGGGTGGCCGCAAATACTCACTCTCTTACTGACTACCTTTTTGACCACGCACGGCACCCTCAACGCTGGAGCTGTCCTCCCCTTCGGCAACACGATCAGCGCAATCTGGCCTGGTTTACCGGTTCTCCTTGATACAGGGCAATTCCACGTCGGGCTTGCGTTTTGTCCCTCAGATATCCGGCTGCTCTGCCACGCCACGGTCCACCGCTGTGGTCCATTCACGTATTATCAACATATCCGATCTTCTCTACCCTGGATTCTGGAGGCGCAATGTTATATGAACTGGCCGCAACTGAACATATGACCTCCATCCGGATTCATGTTGGGCCACGTCGGGCTCCAATTACTAAAATTAATGCATGCCGCATCCTGCCGCACCCCCTTATCGCCAGCGACAGTACGTCTCATGAGTCGCAATCAAACCACGGTCCACGGCGAAACGGAAATAAAGGCTGTGTATTGTGCGAAGTCTCCAGCTGCCCCTTTGGAAGGCGCCTCGCTCGTCATTGCGGCAGTCGTGAGACCTGTCCATTATACGACGTGGCTGCCCTTCCAATAAAAAAATCAGTGGATATGACTGGATCCTGCAAGATTCCGCTCTATCCGGATGCTGCGCGTATCTGGATCGCCAGAATATTCGGATGAAGAAGCTGCCTGAATCAGGATGGTTATATCAGTACCCTATCCACGACTCTTCGAGCGGACTCCGCTCCAGATTCGAAGTGAATCCTCTCAGTACAACTGTCAATGAGCACTTCTTTCTAGCGCTAGGCCGTTCTAGATTACAGACACTCAGATGGTAGTAGCCAGCAATGCGACCCGAAGATTGCATGACACGGCACCCAGCTTGCGCCACTGTCGACTACCCAACTCTTCCTACATGAGGTACAACGTCTCGATGACGCGGCTCCTTATTCGGTGATTAAGCGAAGATATGAATGGGCGGTGCACAGTCACCGATCCATGTCTTTAGCCCATTTACACCGCATAGAGAGATCTTGTCTCTTCGACAATTCGGCTGGCGAATTTGCTGATGATGTATTCCTTCACGGAGTGTCATGTGATGACCAGGCTCCACCCGCGTCTTCTTATCTAAGCCCCTTTTCAGGAGGGATTTCTGTGAGAAGTCCTGCGTCACGAATAGAACTTTGTTTGAGCTGCGCTGCTCGTGAATCTGGCACGGCGCTTCATCCCACGGGAATACCAGCGTTTCGTTTATGCGGCGTGGGATTTTGGTACTCGCCCTTTATCCTCGGATACCACAGCCTTTGCCGTAAGCCGTGTCCCTGGGACGATGGTGGAATGGTAACTGGAGTGATAGGTGCACAGAAAGACTCAGAGGAACTAAGTTCGAATCTGTGCAAAGTCACTAGTTACAGGAAATCTTCTGTCACACCGCCCAGGGATGCCCCCCGGAACACTTTTCCACAAGCCCTCACGACGACTCCTCAATTGACCAAAAACAAATACAGTCAACCTTTGCTATAACGATTGAATCTGTACAGGTGAATCCAATCGGAATAACGCGGATATCGCTAAAACGAATTTTATTAGCAGCATTGATTGAGAATCCGTGCAGGGTTTCTTATCGCTATAACGCGAATATCGCTGTAGCGGTAATCGTTATAGCGGTGTTTGACTGTACAACGGACATTTTCGGCAACAGACATTTTCCAAAAACGAAAAAACCAAAGCGGAGTGAGGGATAATAACCCCAACGGACAAAAAGGGCTCAGCCAGCCCAAAAATCAACCAAGAGATAACTTGCGACGGGGAGCAATATTGCTGTATTGCTCCACCACGCCGCGGAAGCACCGACCAAGAAGGAGAGCCACGAAGGCAAAAACGAAAGGACAATTACTACCACAAAGGAGGAGGTGGGGTTTTACGTACCCATAGCCCTGGCAATGGGGAAACTTTTACCCGCGACATACTAAATAGTCAAATGTCCGTGTTCATAGACCATAACGGGAACCGGATAGCACGTTAAATTGAATTATTATTATTATTTGCCGTAAGCCGTAATTCGCCAGCAACTCAATTCAGCTGCCAGATCCGGGGTCATCAACGCGAAATTCTGTGCGCCCAAACACGGGAAAGGGATTGCAAGTGCTCGGAGAATGTCCCAAGGTCGGGCACTGCTGCATAATGATTCTCCCAACTCGTCTACAAACAGCTATAGATCATACACAGTTGCATGTTCCAAAGTCAAAACTCGCGAACGAGTTTCGGCCTCTACCATCTTCGCTGCTGCCTCGGTTTCCACGCGGAATGGTTTGATTGGAGCCTTATCGTGCAGACACCATATAATTTTTTCCGGCTCACCCAGCCACTTGATGATGTTCGTCGCACACTGTGCAGCTGAGCCATCAAAAGGCCGGCCATTGATATTGCCGCGCCCAGCGATGCCCATAACAAGAATGTCGGGTTGTGGTTCGAGCTCTTTCAGGATACCCGAATATCCGCCTAGATGTGACATATATAATAGTGTCTTTTCGCCGAGAAAAAAGTTATACATCATTTGGCCTCCGTCAAAGTTAGAGAACTTGTTTCTCTCATCCGCTATGTATTCGACAAATGGCCTGAAATCTGGAGGCATTTGAGCACGGGCGCTCAGAGGAGCTTTCGCAGCAGCCAGCAAGCCATATCGCATCCCCATAGTAATGTCGATTGTGCCAGCATATGGATCAGAGCCGCCAATGTACTCAGTTGCTGTGTCGATGAAATCGAGATGTTGACCTGGCGGCCCAGGCATGAGGCAGTGAAGACTGGGGTATACATGCACCGACAGTGAAGCTTTGGATACATCTGGCCTAGGCGGACCTGGGGGCCCGCGACTTCTTGGAAACTCCCTGAACTGCGATCGCACTTCGTCCCTGATAGACTTTGAGAAAAGAGGTATCCTTTCTCCGCCGGCAACGGGCAGAAGCTGTTCTTCTGGTACGCCAGCCGCACGCATGACACTCACGGCCTCGCCGTTTCCAACTATAGTTGCGCCGGTCTTTTTCGCTAGGCGATCAGCGCCAGGGAGACTGCAAAGAGTCAGTTCAGGGCGTCTTGCGTCAGTTCATAATTCATACTGATCGAAATGCGCATGGCTGATAAAGATGTAATCGCATTCATCAATATCGTCAATGGAGGCATATGTTGGTATGTTTGACGGCCTCTCCAACCACGTGTCAAGAAAGATTGTCAAGCCTTTAGCTCTAAGTCGAAAAGTGGTGGCGCCTTGGTTTCATCAGCAATGACGGCGATATAATCAACCCATATCAGCCATACCAAACCATTCGATTGTTTGCTTTTCGACCATTTTTTCCGAACCTGGGGGACGGACTGATGTCTATCTTCTCGAATGGTGAGCAGGATGCAACAATTTGTTCGTGTGAAGCCGACCGTCCAGGAGTTAAGAGCTCAAGATAGCGCACGAGCGCATGACATATAACTAGTAGAAGCGGTAGGGTGCTCCACTCTTGCTTGTGACAATTAACCCCAGCTAATGCAGAGTGCACAGTAAACACCAGCACGTCGGATTTTGGTGGCGTATGAACGCGAGCAATAAAGATCATACTCCCCGCCAGATATCGGCTGTGCGGGGACAGTGAGTATGCCCACAATGCCGACTTCGATATCCGACCTCGCCCCAATTCAAGGCCATCTCTTCTCGGAAATCAACCCTGGCCTATTGCCTGAGACAATGTGGATCTTGGATAGAGTAATTTGTGCTTAATCGACCGGCTCATTGCCTCCGTATGGCACCAAGTTAAGTGAGGTACGGATGATAGCTGATCGCTATGATATGAAGCGCCACAAATATTGCCCTTTTTCTATCCTTTGGCCCATAGGAATACAGAGGTGAACCTTGTGTCAGGTTAGAAGAACGTCATTAACACCTTGTACATAAACATGATATGTACCCCGCAAAGGCCGATCGCTCAGTGCTGCGGACTTGGGTCATAGAGAACATCGCATATAACTCTCGTTGGTATTTTGGCTCATTCATTCTCTTTTACCGTGGTGGACAACTTTGACTTGCCGTTACAATGGACCCCGAGAAAGAACCCAGTGTGGTCCACCAAGAGGAAAGAACTGCATCGGCAGGAAGAGATATGACCACGCGAGGCGATAGGGAGGAAGTTGCTGATGGCACTATCAACCTCTATGACTCCACGGGAACCATCCAGTTGATTCCAGTTCCATCATCGGATCCCAATGGTACTACAGCGCGGAGATACCACGATAGAATTTCAGCGACCACCATGCTGACAAAGTCTTCAGATCCATTGAGAATCCCAGAGAGGCGCAAGTGGGCGGTTCTATTCACGATTTGCCTTTGTAAGAGTATCATCATCTCTTGGGGCGCCTTTCTAATAGTCTCAGTTGCTGCTGCTGGATTGACAGCTGTGCAATCTATTGCAGCCATCTTACCAACCGTTAGTCTCTATTATCAAGACTTAGATCCGAACATGATGTCCATGGGTTCCGCTGGCATGCCGCCAGGTGGTCTTCCTCCTAATGGTCTGCCCCCTGGTGGTCTGCCTCCTGGTGTTCTGCCATCGGATGGTCTTCCTCCGAGCGGTCTACCCCCTGGTGGCATTCCGCCCAGTGGTGCACTCATTCGCCGCGAGACTCATTACGAAGGCATATCCTTTCCATCTGTGCCTGGAAAGCCGAGTCAACAGACCATTAGTCAGCTTGGGACACTTCCATCGCTATTTGTTGGCCTGGGCGGAATATTGTCGATCCTCGGGGCACAATTAACTGGTACAAGGTTGATGATGGTCCTCGATGCGGCTATCGTAGTCGTATGCCTGTGCTGGGCAGCAGCATCCAATGGCAAAGATCACGGACTCTACTCTCATATTGGAGCACGTTGTGTACTAGGTCTCGGTGTGGGAGCAGTCGAGTCACTGGCGCCGCTCATTATTCAAGACATCAACTACGTTCACAATCGTAATTCTAAACTCGCCGTCCTATGGTCCACCGGTGGGATTGTTGGGACAGGACTTGGTATTGCGTCCACGTATATCGTTTCCGCTCTATCTTGGAGGTGGTATTACTGGATTCTGGCTTTCATCGGAGCCACTGCATTAGTGTTGATAGGCCTTGTTATACCCGAGACTAGCTGGGCTCGAACGGAAGCCGACCTTGGTGAGTTACTGCAATTTATCGGCATATTCCGAAGAGCTAACATATCCAGCGGGCCTATCTCCTAAAGGAACGGATGGCTTCGTTGAGCCTGTACGTCCGAGCGGTCGGGATCGGTCCTACCTCTACAGCCTTCGACTTACTTCGAGCGAAACTGGCGCCCAGAAAATGTGGGAGACTTGCACGGACCTTCTCCGGTGTGCTCTCTTCCCGAACATCATATGGGTAGGCGCTCCTTTCGGCTTTGTACATGTACTTATCTAACAACATCGTAAGCTTGTATGCCTAAATGCATGCTTCATTGGCGTGGTTCTGTCGTCTGGTCTTGTCCTAGGCAATGTTCTTGTCATCAACTATGGCTGGAGTCCGGATAAAATTGGGCTGTCCACTATCCCCCTTGCTGTTTCTAGCTTGGTCGCGATCCCTGTTATAGGTTTTGGTGGGGATAGGGTTATCCAATTCCTAGCCAAGAGGAATAACGGGGTACACGAGGTCAGTACTTAACCTAGCCAGTTGGTCTAAATACTCCATGCTGACATTTTTAACGACAGCCCGAGCATCAACTTCCAAACTTGATCCTCCCCGTCATTTGTGGCGCTGTTGGCACGCTCATCTTCGGAATATCATGCAGTCACGCTGATCGATTCCATTGGGCTGTTCCGCTAGTCATGACAGGGGTCCAGCAGTTCGGATTCATAGCAGCTAACGTAATATCTACCACGTACGGTATCGAGTGCTTTCCAGACTTGGCTGGTCCAATAGTTATTGCCGTCGGTGCTTACCGTAACATCGTCGGGTTTGGTATCAGTTATGGCGTTGTCGACTTTGTCACCAGAGCTGGGTTCGATGGATGTTTTGGTACATATGCTGGTATTATGAGCCTTTTGGGCCTCCTTGGAATTCCATTCTATATCAAAGGCAAAGCTCTTCGCCAGTCGATGAGCACTTGGCGGTTTCGGCGCTCGCGAGGTGCGAGATTTGAATCAGGTCATGGGCAAACCAGGCGCTAGTTATGTCCTCGGTGAGACGGTTTGATCGCAGAAGTTACGAGAACCACTTTCATTTACTGCAAAGCTAAAGAAGAAGAGCTATCTACGACGCGTGCGCGATGTCGAAGACTTCGACAGTTGACTTAGTCACGTGACTACCATTCAGGAGACAAGCCACAGGCCTGGAACCATAACACTCGGAGATAATTGTAATAATAGCTTGCGCAAACATTCAAGAACTCTCTAGAGAGTTCCATCGAGTTTCATTTTCATATAACACGATATTAGTCAACTTGGTTTCCACTTCAATATAATGTTAGCGAAATGCTGCTATCGTAATGACCGCCTACCAAGGCAGCAGAATATCGGTCCAGTATTACCGTCTATATACGTACATATATTTCGCGATTCTTCCTATATTAATACTTGTTGAGATTGGAAACTAGACATCTAATTCAGTCAGATCAGTGGGCTTAAAGACTTTATGCACAAGGAAAAAAGGGATAAAGAAAATAACTAGAGGAAGACGAAAGAATAATAAGTTAGTTAGTTCCCCAAGTGGGCTAGCCGATGTTGGCCCGAACGGGTGCAGGAATCAATCAATCAATCAATAGTTAACTAAGTTATCTGAATATTATAATTAAATATATATACCGGGTTATCTGCATCTACACTCTATTCTCTTGTCTCTTCTTTAAAGATGGGAGTGTCCTTCCGTTTTACTCCACTGCGGCGAGCTCTTTGTTGCTTCCTACACACCACCCCACACAACCGAGGCACTATTTTGGAGCATGTTTCATGCTGGTTTCCAGCAGCGGATACAAATGTGTATGTTTCTTCTTCACAAAGAGGCGTGAAAATATATCTTTGTTCAATCTTTCTGAGCCATGGCGCCTCTCAAGGTAATAGTCATTGGTGGCGGTCTTTCAGGATCTCTTATTGCGAACGGCCTTATCAATCACAGCAAAGCCCCGATAGATGTCGTGGTTTATGAACGCGACGAGTACGACGCCAATCGAGGGGGATATCAAATCCGGTTAGGTGCTGCTGCTTTAACTGGCTTTCGAGCATGCCTTACTAAGGAGCAGTACAATTCTGTGCTTCAGCGTTTCGGAAGATCGGGAGGTGTCGTGCCATCCGCACCTGTGTTCTATGACTCGCAGCTCAGTCTCGTTCTCGACCTCCGCAAGTATTCGGCGTACACGAAGTCAGCCCCTATCAATCGAGCACTTCTCCGAGACTTGTTGCAACAGCTGTTGAGAGAAAGAAACATCCTACAGTACGGCAAAAAGTTTGTTCGCTACGAGGCCCTCGATAGCGTTACGCAAGGTCTATCGGGAGTTAGGGCACACTTTGCGGACGGAACGACGGATGATGCGGATATTCTCATTGCAGCTGATGGCAACCGGAGCAGCTCCAATACACAGATCGGAGCGTCAAATCTTGTCGAGTTGACTGATAGACAAGGCTTTCTATCGAAAGGAGCCCTGCCGCCGTCGTTGTTGAGCACCCTGCCCCAGCAATTGATCGAATCTGGGAGCATTGCATGCGCTTCCAAAGGCGTTATGGCATTCATGTCCGGTACGAATATACCTCACACTTACCCAAGCCCCTTAATCTGTTGCCAGCGTCTTACTGACTGCGTAGTCTATATGCCTGACAAACAAGTGAACATGGATGACCGGGGGAACGACACTGACACCTTGAAGAAGCAGTCAATTTACAATGAAGAAGAAGCCTCTATCATGGTAGGGTTCAACTGGGCATCTACACCAGACATCCCCAACCTAGAGGCAGTCGTGGATAGAAAGTCTCTGATGCTCGAAAAAGTCAAAAATTGGCATCCAGGTTTCACCGATATCGTTAACGTCGTGAGCGAAGACGACATCTACATTGTCAAACCCCGTGTGTCCACTCCTATCTCTCTAGGGTGGAGAAAGAAAGCTAAAGCTGCTTCACCGGGAAATTTCGAGGTCGGGCATCCTCAAGTGTGGCTGCTTGGTGATGCAATCCATCCAATGCTACCATCTCGTGGCATGGGTGCAAATCAGGCTTTACATGACTGCGCAGATGCTCTGGAGCCCCTTTTACAATTGGCAGAACTTAAATCGACTAGAGCACTAGAATATGAGGACTATGAGAGGGCTGTCACAGATTACGAGGATAAGATGGTTCCCCGTGCTTTCGAGTGGGTTAAAAAAAGCGGAGGGACATCTCAAAGTGTAAGTAGCAGAGCTTCATCTGTGATGAATTTGCTGACTTCATATAGTTCCCAGACACAGACTCAGTCTGCGGGAAGCTATTTCTGTACTTTATGGCGGCGGCATTGAATGTTGGAGGTGCATTCACCACGATATCAAAAGCAGTGGGCTGGTCCAAGGAGTATGATGCACCCGAGCTTCGCTGAGGACGACTGTTAGTCACTCACATAATATAGTTAGTTATAACTTAGTTAACAACAACCACTAGTTAACTTAACGTTATAGTATGAATATGCGCGCACAAGCAAACTGTAATCCCCGGCTCTACATGAATTATCCGATAAGGTACCCAGTAGGTCGCTCTGCTGTGTGCTTCACTGAGTAGCCAATTCAATAACATTGTACCTTCTCCACTCAATCCAAAATAATCTGCATATATGTAATATACTATGAAATCGTACAGCTTGAGCACGCTACCTGGTACAAAGCTAAATTCGTCCATTGCGGCACCTAACGAGAGCAGGTAGGTCGTAGCGTTCCGATCCGATGGGTTTCCGTCGCCAATGTTGGCAACTGAGGTAAGGTCGCGAGACTATTGATGTCTATGCAGCTAACTGTTCAACTCTTGGATCGAATCATGGAAGTTTGATGAATCTGTAATAGCAAGCCTTTAGCTCAAGTAGTGCTTCCGATCCTACACTAGTCTATTGGGTGACCATCTTGTTCTTGATGAAACCTATACCCGAGATAGCACACTCGACCACGTCGCCATTCCTTAGCCAAACAGGGGGTGATGTTTTGAAGGCTGCAACTCCTGCTGGAGTACCAGTCATAATCAGGGCTCCTGCTGGAATTGTGGTTCCCTGAGATAAGAATGATATAATCTTCGCAACGCTGAAAATCATATTACATGTAGAACCATCTTGCACAACCTCTCCGTTAACCCTAGTTACGAGAGCCAGATTTTGAGGATCCGGGACGAGACGAGCCGAGACGATTGCTGGACCAAATGGCAGGAAACCATCGCACGACTTCGCAAACGAAAACTGACCACCACTACGCTCCTGTTGCTGCCATTCCCGGGATGACACGTCATTGCCAACAGTATAGCCCAAGATATAGTCAATGGCGTCACTCTCAGCGACATCTTTTGCATCTCGTGCCATCACAACGCAAAGCTCATTTTCGTAGTCCAGGCTCTTACAGTGTTGTGGAACCACAACATCAGAGAAAGGTCCATTCACGGTGAGTTTCGGCTTGTAGAATAGGACTGGATAGCTGGGTATAGGGCGGTTCTATTGCCAGAGGTTACCAGACATTCAGTTGTTGGGTGTTGGGAACAAGAGCCTTACGCATTCTTTTGCATGATCTAGGTAGTTGAGGCCTATGCAAAGGATCGAATCGGGTTGATAAGGCGGCAAAAGCTTGGTACAGTGAGAAAACTGGTCATTGTGTAATTGCTTTGGGAACCTACAGCTGCAATCCTTTCGACCCGGTCAGTTCTTGCAAGGCTGAAGAGCGAAATTCCTTCCCAGACTTTGGCGTGACTGAAGTCATCTGTCGGCTCTCCAAAATGGATATTGCCTGCTAAATCCGTGAAACGAACTAGCTTTGACCAACTTGCCATCGCGTAGGTTTGAACAAGAGCAAGATTTTGTTCAGAGTGATTTCCGAAACTAGAATGTGATTGATGACTGCCAGTATGGGTCGAAGCTGGAAAGGAGCACCGAGCAGTGAAGAGCAGTTAGTAAACAATGTGCCACCCCACCACTTCCGATAGGCCGGCCCCACGCTTCCGATCCTGATTTGCTCATGGCTTACCATATTCCTACATTAGTATCTAGCCATTAGGGTCTAGTTCAAAAGGTTTGTTTTAGCTAGCATTTCTCAGTCTGATTATTTCCCTCTACTTCGGCTTAAATATAACTGATTTTTCATTCAAGATCCACAAGAATGGACAAGATCGGTGAGATTGATATTATTCTGAAAGAGTCCCCCTCAACTACTCAAGGCCATGCCCTCTATCTGGGGTTCAAACAAGAGACTGAACTCCTTACAAAGGGTTCTATTCTGAAAGATGGAGCATTGGCGCTGCCTTGCGATATCCTCTGGGAAAAGGATGTCGAGTTGAGGCTTCGAGACGGGACCACGATATACACAGACGTCTTTCGGCCACCCAATGGCGGCAAAATAATTCCTGCGATCATATCGAGTGCTGGTTTTGGAAAGCAGGGTGGCTTGAACCGCATGGGGACCGACCGCGCTCCGTGGCGCAATGGAATCCCTCAAAAGACTGTCAGTTCATTGGAGAAGTTCGAAGCCCTAGATCCGGCATACTGGTGTTTGCATGGCTATGCTTTGGTTCACCCAGGTAAGTTGCTATCCTACTCAAACAGATCAGATTCGTATTAAGTCTCAAGTAAAGATACCCGGGGTACGTGGATGTCCGAAGGTGATGTATACATCAATTCCACATTAGACGGCAAGGATGGATACGACATTGTTGAATGGATTGCTGAGCAGCCGTGGTCCAATAAGCGGTTAGTAATGACAATTCCATCATATTTAACAAAGAACTTACGACATGTCAGAGTGACTATGGCTGGCAACTCATATCTCGCACAAACCCAGTGGTGGGTCGGTGCGGAATCGCCTCCTCATCTGACCTGTCTGGCTCCGTGGGAAGGATGGAATGATTTGTACAATGACACCGTCCAACGTGGTGGCATTCCAGATGCGGAGTTTCAACAAAATCTTCTGGATAATTGCTTTGTAGGGTTAGGTCGCACGGAAGACGTGTCCGCAATGACTGCGAAGTACCCAACTTGGAACGATTATTGGGAAGACCGTCGAGCTAAGGTGGAAAACATTAAGATACCACTGTACGTTGTTGCAAGCTGGACTAATATGTTGCACACACGGGGTACATTCCGCGGATGGTCCGAATCGAGTAGCCCGAAGAAGTGGTTGAGGGTTCACAATAGTCATGAATGGCCGGGTAGATCCGCATGCTCTAACCAAGTTTAGCTTGACGCTAACGATCTTAGATCTGTACTACCCTCAAAATGTTGAAGATCTTCGAAAGTTCTACGACCACTTCATGAAGGACAAATCCAACGGCTGGGAATTTACACCCAAGGTCCGCTTGTCCATCCTCAACCCAGGGAATCAGGACATTGTCAATCGGCCGGAGCTTGAATTTCCTCTCACGAGGCAACAATCAATACCTCTCTACCTGAATGCATCGACATCCTGTCTGGAATGGGGGAATAAACCAACGAACCCGGATACAGTTAACCTAGACAGCAGGAAGGACATTGCCAAGTTTACTTACACCTTTCCCTGCAAGGCTGAGCTGACAGGTTATTTCAAACTGAAGCTTTGGGTCCAGGCCATCGGAAACGACGACATTGATCTTTTCACGAAGTTCTCGAAGTTGGACGCCAATGGCGGCCTTGTTGAAACTGAGTGTGTTGATGTTGGATATCTCCAAGATAATCCCGAGGTTGCCAAGGAGAAACTTCGAGAGATGCATGCAGCAGGAGATCCGCGTGTAAATGTATTCTTCTCTGAAGGTGCACATGGTCGCCTCCGGGTCAGCCATAGGGAACTGGACATCGAGCGATCAACGCCGCACCAGCCCCACTACACTCATCGCAATATCCAAACCTTAAAGAGCGAGGGTGAGATTGTGCCAGTGGAGATAGAAATGTGGCCACATGGAATGATCTGGGAGCGAGGCGAGAAAATGCAACTCTCGGTTGCTGGCTTCAACCTGCGACCTGAGTTGTTACCCTGGGTGGATGCTCCCAAAACACTGAACAACGGCAGAATCTTAATTCATGCTGGCGGCGAATATGACAGCCTTTTACTTGTACCATTCATTCCTCAGGGCTGATAAAGTCAAGCAGTAGGTGGCATTTTGGTCCAGGCTCAAAGGCATAGGGCAGTTACAGCAGTTGGATAGCAAAAGGGTATTGGCATATTCAATGTACGCAAGAAATTGCATTCCGTTTTTGCCAGTACAGATTTTTAAGGTTCAAGAACAAAGTTCTTATAGGATTGTTTATCTATCTCGTTACTTTGCAGCTTGGGCTGCTTCCATTTGTCGATTCAATTCTCCGGCATCAATGTCGCTGATTTCGACACCGTTCCACTCATTTAGTCTCTTCGCAGCCTTCAATATAGCCTTGGCTGCAGCCACTGAAAGCCCGAGGCCCAATGCACCTGTCATATGCGACCTCGCTTGCCTTGTCGCTCCGCTTGAGGCAATGGACGCGGCAAGAATCAACTGCGACTGGTGGGCTTCGAAAATGCCTCTATTCGTCGTCTCTGCAAGCGAATAGCCGAACACGACCCCCCAAGTCGTTAATGTAAAGTCTGCAAAACAGTTCTGGAGCATGGCTTGCACTTCGGAATTCTGCACATTTGCGTAGGTGCGCTGTTGAAGCTCCTGGCCCATGGCGATGTGTGCATCGCTCAACGGAGGCTGGGCGCGACCGTACGCAATTGAAAGCAGGTTATACTTTTCTAGGACATTTACCATGCCCAAACAGGCCGGGACACACCATGGAATGCCAATGAATGGCCAGCATATCATGACCACGGCCCTGAACTGCTCAAAGCACACCTTTGATTTCTCGATATCTTGGTGAATGGTCTGGAGTGCGGCATCAAGCAATCGTGGCACGAAATCCGCTCGATGCGCCCCAATAGCGCAAGATGACTGATACAGGATGTAATCAGCACAATTTCAATGGATGTCTCGTGGCTTGTCAAGAACATACCAGGACCGCGTCGGCTATTAGCGCTAGGTCTGGTGCCTCCGATAGCATATCTTCTTTCAACGAATTGACGAATGCATCATCATACTGCGGTGCACCTGGCCGGTTATTGGTAGTGACGTACTTGGAGTCGAAATCGGACATGGTGCTGGATGTACTTGGAGGTGGGAGCTGCTTTCAGTGCTATTTCGATTTTCGAATCGCCTGAAGAGCAACGTATCAGTACTCTACCAGTCTACCAGTCATACAAATACCTGTGTAGAGTCAATGCTAGCATCCCATCGGAAATGAACGGATAGCTGCTTCGCTCGTTCTCGTTCTTGATTGCCGACATGGCTCGCCGTTGTCGGCTCTGTGGGGGTTTGATCAAACCTTGAAGCCGGTACAACCTACGACTTGCGGCGCAGCGGGGGCCGACCTCCCCCAGACAACCGGAAATGGCCAACATGCTAATCATGACACCTCATACCTGTTTCTGAGGCAGTTTCTCAAAGGGATCCTCTGGCCTACCCTTGTCATCTATAATTCGGCTATGATTCCCGGCATCAAGGCCCTTCGGATTGTGACTGTCTTGTGGTTCCAATAGCGTTGCTAAAATTGCTCTAATCTGTTCCGTACACAACTCTCATTTTCCCAAATCTGGCTCAAAGCGGACCAGTTGCGAAGCAACGCAACCAGGCGAGCATAGTTTACTACACCACTGCATCTGGTACACGCGCGAAGTCCGCTGTGCACGCAGCTACTTGTTATCAAAAGATGAAGGATGAAAGTGTTGATACACGCCCAACGGGCAAATACCGTGCTTACTTACCTGACCTGACGAGCGGAAAATTCGAAGCGTTGCCGCATCATGACGCTCATACGTGGGCAGACGAGTTCTACAAGAACCCCTTTGCGAAGAAGCTTACTGAGACGTGGCTGAAATTATGGGAAGAACCCTACAAAGGCCTGACTTCTGACGGTATAAGTTACCCGAGTTCCATGTGTTCGCGCTAAGCAAAGCGGCTAACACCCTATTGAAGGAAACCTCGTCCCAAACTTGTACGAATATGAAGATCAAGGTGTCCAATCGGAGACCATTGTCACGGCTGCGGAGCAAGCTCTTACGTTGTGCACCCCCGCTGAGTCAAAGGCATTGACATATCCTGTCAATGCTCGACAGTGGAGGAGCTGGTCGAATCCAGAGATATATATCTCGAAGTACGGGCTTCGTTTGGACGAAGTTTCGGAGCAGCTTAGCGATGCAATCCTTGGAATTATCAAAGCTACCTTGTCACCTGCGGGATATGCCAAGCTAGTTAACGCGATGCGAGCCAACCACTTCCTCGGACAACTGACCCATGGTCCAAAAGTACTTAATCAACGATCTTACAACTTTATCCTTTTCGGAGAGCCATCCGCCGATAAAGCTTGGGGATGGAACTTCTGGGGCCACCATGTTTGCATGTGTGTTTATCTGGACCGACGTTGGATGATGGCTGCACCCGTCTTCATAGGGGCGGAACCCAACGAGATTGATGAGGGTATATGGGAGGGCACTACCATGATGCGTCCAGAAGAGCAGCTTGGGCTTGCTCTGATGCAGAGTCTTCCTGATTCCCTAAAGCGCACAGCGCAAGTGTACAAAGATCCACGCATGGAAGGTTGTGAGCCAGGGCGTTGGAACGAAGCTGATCAGCGCCACTTATGCGGTGCCTTCCAGGACAACCGCATTGTTCCATATGAGGGTATCCGGCTAACAGCGATGTCTGAGTCACAGATCTCGCTCGTGTTCTCTATCTTGCGCGAAATGCTCATCTACCTACCCGATACGGTTTGGGAGAAGAGAAAAGAGCAGATACAAAAACATCTCCAGGACACATGGTTTAGCTGGGTCGGAGGCTACGGTGATGAGGATCCTTTTTACTACCGAATTCAGAGTCCGGTAGTAGTTGTCGAGTTTGACCACCACTCTGGAGTTTTCTTGAATAACAAGAATCCGGAAAAGTATCACATTCACTCCATCCAAAGAGCTCCCAATGCTGGCGACTACGGCAACGCGTTGCGACCACGCGAAGCTAGACTGACGTAATTTTTGGGTGAGCAGTAAAGAGGTGACGCTCTATAACCCTATTTTACATCAGGGGGCCCGGAAACCAGATTGAAAGTGTGTTATTTTATGTTCGAGATATAGAACTGTTTAGAAGCATCATCGCGTTCAAATTCAAATGCTCAGACTGTCTGGTTGATAAGCATATGATGGCCAATAGGGATTGCGTGCTCAAATTTTCTGGTGATATTTCAAGGGGATAGTCCACTATCTATGTCTCCGATGACCTAAGTTAGGGAACGCTACCTATTGTAGAAAAGCTGATTGAGATAGCGTGGTGATATTCCGTACTCCGTACCATATAGGGCGTTCATTTCTCGGTCCGCCTTTGCCCTTGCCGAATGACGTCCTTCCACGCCACTCTACCGACGGTGCTCTCCCGGCACGCACCTACCGGGCGCTTTTACCCCTAGCCAAGCGGCCCGCCGCGCTGCCTCGAAGCTCCGCTCTTGCTCTCTGCCCCGTTTTGCCGAAGCTAGCCCAGTCGCTGGTGCCGCGAAGGCGGAAGGCTAAAGGTAGCCCGCGAGAGTGCACAAGCCAACAGGGGTTTATATAGTAATTCCTCGCCCTTGTCATCGAATGCATGTTACCGCCCTGCGATACCTCCAAACAAGAAATCATGGCCTACTTTGATCCACTTCCCACGCGGGATGAAAGGCTCTTCAGCAAATCGCCACTGTCTACACCTGTGCTGGTGGTGGGACTGGGTCCTGTTGGATTGGTCACTGCACTACTGCTGGCGAGACAAGGAATCAATAGTACCATTGTTGAACGGCATGCCCTTCGACTTGGGCAGCCTAAGGCACATGCTATCAACGCGCGATCACTCGAGATATTACGGCAGGCTGGCATTGACCTGGACGAATTGAGACAGAAGGGCGTTCCTGTGGAGGAAGGCGATCGTGTCAGGTTTTTAACACACCTAACGGGAGATGAAATAGGGTGTTTGCCCTATGAGAGGCAAGATAAAGCCGTGGAGGAATTGACTCCGGAACCTCTTTTCAATCTTTCACAGCCGATTCTGGAGCAAGCACTGCAAGAAGAGGTCCTTGGAACTGGCCGCGTTACGATTCATCGATCTCACGATTGGCAAAGCTATGAATACGACGCAGAAAGACAGATTGTGAGGTCCAGAATCAAGCAACGAGGGCATAACGAGGTGTTGGAAGTGGAGTCGAAGTTTGTCGTTGGAGCAGATGGCACGAATTCCACTGTTAGGTCACGAATCCCTGGAGTCCAGCTGGAGGCGATCGACGACGATAGAGGTCTGATGAACTACGTTTCCGTACATTGCACGATGGACCTCTCTTCATATACCAATGGACGAGTGGCTCAGTTGTACTTCTTTTGTTCGCCAGATACGAGGCATGGCGGTTTCATCGGATACAAAAATCCGGAATGGGTATATGCTCGGCCAGTTCCTGATATAACTCAGGAACCTTTGGGCTACTTTACCGTCGAGAGGTGCAAAAAAGAGATTAAAACTGCCATCGGTCCGGGCGTTCTGAGCGATATCAAGATTCATTCTGTGCAAATCTGGTCAACGTGGCCGAGAACGGCGAGCTCCTACTCTGATAGTCATCAACGAATTTTCCTAGCGGGAGACGCAGCGCACACATTTCCACCGATGGGAGGGCTCGGAGTCAACACCGGCATTGCCGACGCACATAACCTCGTCTGGAAGATGAGATTTGTTTTGGATGGCTTGACAGCTACTCCTCAACGTCTTCTTAAAACTTACACCACCGAACGGAGACCCGTCGCGGTGGCCAACTCTATTCAATCTGCCGTAAACGAACAACATATGCGGCAGCTGGATGCGGTGGTTCTGGAGACGGTCTCAAATATGTCAGCGGCATTACCCGAGCTTATGCTCCAATCTCAGGTCAAGAACGATATCACCACGGCGATTGAGCGGAATCGAGATCATTTTGACAGTCTTGGTCTTCAATTGGGATACGTATACAATGATGTCGAGGCTTCGAAGTCTCCGCAAGAGCTTCTTCGCAAAGATTGCTCCCTATACGAACCGAGTTTCGAGTGTGGTGCACGATTACCCCACGCGTGGCTGCTTCAGATCGATGGCGTTGGAAGGAAGGCGTCAACGCTTGACTTAGTATCCGAAAGGAAACTGACGCTTTTTGCAGTTAAATTCCACTCCTCTTGGATTGAAGATCTGAAGGATCTTGTGGTAGTTGTCGATGTGAAGGAGCGGCGAATTCCTGCGGCTTGGATAAGGGCCGCACATTTGTCTCCATCGGCGGCGCTCTTAGTGAGACCAGATCAACACATCATGGGATTCATTGGATCGAAAGAGGACCTTGTAGAGTGCTTGAGTCTCTGCGTCTAAAAATTTGTATCAATAGATTTGCTTGCCGCAAGAGAAAATCCTTTCCCGAAGTTGCTTGAACCAGTGACAAGTGCGATAGGACCCTGCCGAGTCCCAAACATGTCACTTCAATACGGCATCAACTCGACTTTACTATTTAAGACGACTCATTGAGTCATTTCATGAATTGCCAGTTATCATTTTATCTGTCTACTCTCTCTCTATCATGGGCCCAACTTGGTTTATGTATCTGGTTCAGCTACTACCAGAGCTTTTGATAAGCTAGGAAGCTGTCACGAGAAGGAAGGAGGATTGGGGACTTCGAGGTTGATAGACCTGAAAGCTTGAACCATAGATGATGTAGAATCAAGAAGGCTGGCGATATGCTGATCTGGACGTACGAGCACTGCCCGATTCCTTTGCGTGGTAAAAAGCATATCGAGCCAGTCGGTATTGTTGGTGGTAAAATGACTACCGAGAATCTTGATTTGTACCAATTCTCGTACATTTGCGGAAAGTCGGGACTCTAGCTCATGGGCAAGCACGAGGTCGGGGCATAGTAGAGTGAGGTCCGAATAGCCCACAAGGTCCAGGGATGAAGCATCAACCTTTCCACCAAATTCGACCCAAGCATGAGGCAATCGGGCTCCAGGAACTGCTTTTTGAACAAATTTGGAAACATTCTGGTCCGTCGGTCGCGGCAGCTTGTTGTAAATCATGCCAAGTTGCAGATCAAGCGAGTCAAAGTGGTCGGCATTGTGCTGGATCGCTTCTCGAACTTTGTACTGAAAGTCTTCATTCTCCCATTCTTGGCTACCATGGCCGCGTTCGCTCGCCGGATTGATAGTCTGTCCTAAAACATCCATTTTGGCTTCATTGACGGTGCTTTGACGTGCGTTCGCAACTGCTACTGTTATGCGCTCTTCGTCATATGAGTCCATCAGGATATCCAAAGCATGGCCGTTCATGACCATCAGAAGCTTCCATACCAGGTTATGGACATCGCCGAAGCCTGTGTTTTGACCCAGTCCACCGGTTGGAGAGAATGTGTGCGCCGAGTCGCCAGCAAGGAACGCATTTTTGACCAGGGAGGAGCGGTAGGACTCCACGATGCGAGGCGTGGTGGACCAGATAGTGATGCTCAAGATCTCAAACTCAACGTCTTTTCCTAGAGCTGCCTGAATGTGGCGGGAACACTCTTCTTCAGTGAATGTCGAAGGCTGAACTTTTTCGGGATTGAACCTGTAGACGAGCACCCAGTCAACCGCACCATAGCGGATAAATGTTCTCAAGCCATCGGGCTGCATTATAAAGAAGAGAATACCGGAGCGCCCACCCGACAGGTCGGCTTTGAAATGAGTAGTGACATAGTCCGTTGTTTTGCACTCGACATCGGGAAGAGGGTTGAGCTTGAACTTCAAAACTTCTCGTGCGGTAGAGCGCGATCCATCGCAAGCAATAATGTAGCGTGATTGGACTTCAAAAGACTTGTCCGTTTGTCGGTCGTACAAGGTTGAAATTACATCGCCGTTTGCGATGCTTCGAGCCGCCCTCCACTCGACTGGCTTTTGAATTATGACATACGGGGACTCGAGAGCTTCCGAAAGCAGGTACTCTTCCAGACTGGGCTGATCAATGTTGAACAGCGGCTCAGGGGTAACATCCTTGACGTCGTCCAACTGTCGCTCGTACGGAAGATTACCGAACTCCCACCCGTAAAAGGAAGAAACAAAGCGGACCAAGTCGACATCTTGTGGATGAAGTCCGGCACGACGTAAACAAGGAACGTCCAGGCCGGTCTGACGAAAAATCTCCAACGAACGTGGATTTATAGCATGGGCTTTGGGTTGACCCCTTCTTGTTACGTGTTTGTCGATAATCAAGGTTTGAACTCCGCGCTGTCCCAGAAGATATGCTGCAAAAAGGCCAACTGGACCGCATCCTATAACGAGGACATCGAAAGAGGGAATATAAGGATCCATTTGGATGGAAGCAGTCGTGATGAGCGGCAAATGACAGCTGCTCTGAAGGTTAATTTTCCTCGCCTGAGATCTGAATCGTACTACGCACCTCCTGCTGTATTTCAGCCTCACGGTGCCACACCTAGTACTTAACTCGAACTGACCGCTTATTTGCTCATGCTTTTTACTCTGCTCCACCGTGAGCCAACAATGGAATCGCCCATGCATGAGACCCCCGTTCTTCCGTAGCACAAACCGGGTCCGCTCCCCGCACTTCCGTAGCCCAGACTCACTCACTCACTAGGTCTACGTCCCACTCCGCGAGAATAAGGGACCGCCTCTCAAAGAGAAAGAGTGCACTCTCAAATATGCGCCAAATCATCCCACTAGCCTAGCTACTACGGGATATTTTCTGGCCTTTCCCATGTACATTTAGTCGAATTCCTCGAGCTGCCACATCTCCACCACTGCAACAATTAGCAAGGCATAAAATTGTATGCTACTTTTTCAACATGGCACAATCAAAGCCAACTGGCGATGAGCAAGCGGAATTTGAAGCGCGGTATGTTTCGGCGAATATCAGACCCGGGGCACCTGGTTTTTCATCGGAATTGGTGACGTCGCTAAGGAAGCGTCTGCTCTCATTTGGAGAGGACGAATGGAAGTATTACAGCTATGCTGTCTTGGTACGTTTTCACCAAAGACAAGACAACCTGCGGTGATATGCATCCCACTGACAAGGAGATATAGGCCGCGGTCTTTGTCGGCACGCATAGAGGAGACTGTGCGTCCAAGCTTTTTGAAGAAGCAATTGAAGGTACGACAGATATTGAAGAAATCAAGGCGATATTCTACAAAATAAGAGAATGTATCACGGTTATCTGGCCATTCGTTGGCATTCCATGGACAGTACCTGCGGGCCTGGGCATTGTAAATGTCCTCCAGCGAAGAAATATTGAATTTATTGGGGCTCAGAAAGTGCGGTATGTTGAAACGAAAGGCTAGGAGCCGGACTATCGTTCAACGATTCCCTGGAAAAGTGTTAATTCAATTAGGGGCGACTTGGATGCGGGGGTACATCTAGAAGAAGGAAAAGCCATGATTGCTAGGACATACGAAAAGGTCAACAATCCTGAAGTGCGGGAACTGCTTTCGATCGGGTTTCCTGAGATGAGGCTGGCTACAAACACAGTGGTATGGGGCTACAGCGTTGCAGGCGCAAATAAATCGGGTGTGCTCGCCGAACATCAAACGCAGCTATTAATTGCAACAGCTATTACTGCGAGTGGCTCCACCAGACAAGCAAGAAGCCATCTTAAAGCTAGCCTTGCAATGGGAAACGGAGAGGGTGTTGTGACCGAGGTGGCCAAAATCTGTACTGAGGTTGCGGAGTGGGCAGGCAATCCACTTCCTCACCCTCTAGACGTTGGTGCTCTATCAAATCAACTGAAGGCTTAACTAGTTAGTGGAACGAAACAAGCCTTAGTCTCATTAGACTTTAGTACTATTGTAAGGGCAATGACCGCTCGCGCTTGGACGATCAGGGTTAGGTCTTTTCATTCAATGCTGTTTGCACCTTTGCAGTCTTATCTAGAATCTGTCACACTGAGCACTATTCATACAATGAAATGGGAAGCATTACATCCGCACCCTATCATGTAACATAGAAATCCTACCCCTGGTTAGTTCGTTTATGAATTAGTGATTAAAATGACTTTGCTTTTAGCCCACTGTAAAGAGTAACGTATTCCACAAGCGAGTGGCCCGTACAAGCGAGTGGCCCAGCTCATTTTACTAGTAAATTCGACAAAATTCGACATCAATATCTCAACAACCACTGGGTAATATAGTCTGAAAACTTAGAATTAGGTTTTCCTATCGATTTCTAGCTTATTATTAGAATCTTAGAGCTTTATCTTTTATAGTTATAAAGATATAGAGATTTGGTCTCTAAATCTTGCCAAGAAGTAGGTATCTCTATACCTGTAAAAGCTAGGGTTTTAAGATTTCAATAGTAAGCTAGAAATGGCTAGGAAAACCTAATTCTAAGTTTTCAGACTATATTATCCAGTGGTTGTTGAGATATTGATATCGAATTTTATCGAATTTACTAGTAAAATGGGGTGGGCCGCTCGCCTGTATGGGCCGCTCGCTTGTGGAATACGTTAACTAATTAGTTATACATTGATAGTTAGTTGCTTGGCTTAGTGTAGGCCCCTGCGTGAGCCTCCGTGATTGCCCGGTCTGTGCCTCCCTTACCACCTGCAAGCCCCCGAACAGTCCCCCTCATCGCCTGTTCTACAGATGCCCTCATAGCCTGCATCTCCGTGACTAGTAGCCCTGCTGTCTGTATTTTTCTAGGTCCATGCCCGCATATATGTTCTACCCGTTCGGAATATGATGGTTTTCGGGTGCCTAGATCTGCAAAGGTATTTGTTGGGATTGGAATATCTGGTCATTTTTTATAAGAGGAAATATTAAATTGGGCAATCCTCGATCATTTTAGTGACGAATACTGTATGGCCACATAAAGAACTTGTAATGGCCTATTGAAGGATAGGATTGCTCAGTGTTATTTAAGGTTCTTGAAGTGTTAAAGTCCAGTTTTATTTTCCCAATCATCCTCATTCGATGGCTTTCAGCCTCGACATTGCTACCTGTAATTAGTGTTCGAAATTAAAGGTTCTAGCCCAATTAACACAGAAGTTCACCTCCTAGGTGCTTTTTAAACCATTTTGAGTAGGTTATTATTCAACACTTGCTGATTAAATCACAATAAATGGCGTCAAGTTTCATTATTCTCATATTTCAAGTTGTGAATCTGAGATTTTCCCGTTAGTTGCAACGCCTTCGTTACCAGATCGATGTTATCAACAGATTTCCAGCACCAACATGGCTAACTTAGTGTTGCATCCTTCTCTCTTCTTTCCTCCATCTCCTAGGCTATCCCAATCGGTTACATCCGACCCTGATTTACAATTCTACATTGATCCTGCCAGAGTCCACAGTCTCGACGTTTGTGCCCTCCTCCCAGTCCATCATGCTCAAGGGACCTCTCTTGACCATAATGGTCATAACCTCGTAAAGCACATCCGCAGCAGCCATGGTGGTCAGCTCTGCGTTTGTGTCATACGCGGGCGCTACCTCGACGATATCCGCACCGATGAGGTTGATGCCCTCCAAACCCCGGACGATGGTCCTTAACTCCCTCGTGCTCCAGCCCCCGGTTTCCGGGGTACCCGTGGCCGGGGCGAAAGCGGGATCGAGGGTGTCGATGTCGATGCTCAGATAAACCGGGTTCTTGGTGCCAACGCGCTCGCGGATCTTCTGGATGATGCCTTCGGTGCCGATCTTATCGATCTCGCGAGCCTCGACGATCTGGAAACCACAGTAGCCATCGTTTTCGTAATCGGACGGGCCAGAGAGTGTGGTTCGGATACCAGCGTGGATATTGGAGTCATTACGGAGAAGACCCTCCTGAGCGGCGTGGAAGAAGTAAGTACCATGGTTGATGGAGGCTTGAGACGAGGGTGCTCCACCGAAGACAGTTGGCTTCCACGTGTCGCTATTTTAAGCGCTCGGTCAGCCACAATGCAATCACATCCGGATTCAATTAGCAGGTCACTTACAGATGGCTGTCGAAGTGAATAACGCTAACAGGACCGTACTCCTTGTTGATGCTCCTCAGCAGGGGCAAAGTGATAGTATGGTCACCACCCAGGGTGATCACACGAGGAAGAGTCTTTCCATGCTTGGATGGTCCCATCTCGTTCGCATGTGTAGCTGGAGCGCGGGAGAGGATAGAGTGATGGCCCTCTTCAATCTGCTTGAGCGCATATGCGTTGTCGTACCTTCGCCAACACTGTCAGTCGATACGCTACAAGGATCATGGCCATATATCCTGGTCTAACAAGTGAACTTACGAGGTCACAGGAATGTCTCCGCAATCCAAAACCTTGGCCCAGCTGTTGAATGGGTTGGCTTCCATTGGGACATTGTAGCCTCCGCTAAACCCGAGTTTTCGTGAGCCTTCATATTCAAACATTTGTAAGCAACTTCCTCGAGCGTCCAAACGTACTAAAGATTGAGGCGCCGAGAACCTTGCCTGATTCCAGATGGGCCAAAGCGAGCACCAGGACGGTACGAAGTGCCAGTGTCGAAGGGAGCGCCTGGCTACATTAGCTTATTACCCGAAGCTTTGGGAGGGTAGTGGTACCGATGAATGCTATGTCGTACTTGGCCCTGTCGGTATTCAGGCAGGGTTGGTAGTCGAGGCGGCCGAAAGTTGAGATTCCAGAGAAGACTGAATCTGCCTATTGTTCATCACGTTAGAGCCACCGCCTACCAAGACTTCCAGCTCGCCGAGTCTAGGGTATGTCTGGCTACCTATACTCCCCAACGCCAGTCTACAGAAGCCTCATGGGAGAAATTTATCACCAGGGGGCTGTCCGCGATCATCGTTTGGTGTTGGACTTAGGTGCGGCAATGCGCCCACTGCCCCGCGCCACTGGGTTTTATTCACGTACCTGTTTGCCGCCATCACCCGGCAAGGTATTATACCACAAACCCTTGTGCGGTCCCTCCATTGGAAGTTCATGATCATCACCGTGGCCATGAGCAGCAGCAAAAGCAATCAAGCTCCCAGCGACTGCGAAAACCTTCATGATTGCTCAAAGTTCTGTTCGGAAAGAAAACGGAGCGGTTCAGTAAGACTCAGAAGAGATTGATATGGCGACGGTATCTGCGCAATCAATTGGAACAATCAAATATTTCAATAGATAGTGAGATTCTCATAAGTAGGAATGAAGAAGGAGGAAAGCAAGACAGCGAAAGCGAAGTGTCGACAACCTGTGGGTCCTAGATCAGCGCATGTGCTTACTACGTATGAGGGGCATTCCCAGCCAGTACTGGAGAGATCGAATTGTCTGGATCTTGTGTCTCGCCGGCTACGGCATGGCATGACTCTGATCACTCTGATGGCTTGCCGCAATCATCGTAGCGTTTCCTGTTATGTAAAATCGCTGCTGTAGCTCCTTCGGACCATGCTCGGCGAAGTTCTACTGACACCATTCAAAAGAACTCTCCGCAGTAGTCTTGTTGACGGCCGCGTTCTCTAGGTTACCAGATCCGAGCTTTTCTCTTTTGAATCGGAGCCGAGCGCATTAGGCATGAGTATGGCGACTCAGACCGGGTATTTCAATTGCCACAGCCTGACTCCGAACGTTCAATCTTTTCCGAGTGTCGATAGCATTCAAACGGTGCGATATCGGGGGGGGGGGTAGGAGAGGGCGAAGTTGACACGCAGCGGAGATGCGTCTTCACATTGTTTTATCCGACCACGATGCAGGCAGATACGGATTCACCTTACACTGCTGACTGCAGTCCACTTACCACGAGTACCAACCCGGAGTAGCGTACCCCACACTGAGTCGAAAAATTACGCATAAAAAGATTATGAGCTCACGCTAAGAGTTCCTTGGGCCATTAGTGCGATATGTAGCGGTTAACTTAGTGTGTGTATAGTGGGAATTCTGATAAGGATATGCCCCACCAATTGTTAGCGGAATTCTAATATGACCACATTCATTGTATCATCTCGAAATTCCGCGCCGGAGGTGGGATACGCACATGCTAATTTTCGGAGGACTTCTTACAATATTTTTATTCATTCAATATGTAGCCCAAAAGTCCTCTGATTTTCGACCTATGTGGCACCCATATGCTGGGCATTATTCAACCTGCTGACTCCTCCGGCTTGATCTCCTGATGTTGTTTATGGTTTGCTGGACGAATCAACGAGAAGAAACTTAATGGCTCAGGAGAGCCAGTCCGGAAATGATAGTCAACTTCATATTTCCAATACTTGGATTTTTGTAGTGGATGCTACTGTCAGCCTTATATGTGCGCAGTTTATTTTACTTCCTCCAAAGCCGTGATAATACTTTCATGTGGTTATCTCTTCATATATATTAAATGGATGCTCGTCTTTGTTAGAGAATAGCTGGGCAGCACCAATGATTGGTCGGAAATCGTCACTCGAGTCTAAATTCCACCGAGTTTCCACAGTGCCACCGCAGAAATAGGTACTACGTGTTTGATGACTACGTCACAGTAACAAATGGAGTCTAGAATGCTTCTATTACCTCTGGAGAGCCTTCATGGATATCAAGGAAAGCTCGATTCTCTAATTTATCTATAGCTCATAGTTCGTAACACATAAGATCCGATATATGGAGTACCATAGATATTGCCATCTTACTTCTCAAGCATGTCCGTTTACCCCGGACTCCGGATCTAATCGTTCGTCCTCTTCGGCAATTGCGCTATCAACCCCCAATGGATCATGATCCAACCTCCCCAATGCTTTGACCACCTCCTTTTCCCAGTTACTCCATGCAACGATCACCCATTCCAGTGCTCCCACCAAGTACAAAGCGATGCACTGGCCGACCCATAGCCCACCCAGTCCCCAGCCATGGAAGGCCAGATAGATCCCCAGGGGCAACGCTCCACAGTAATAGCTGAGGAGATTCACCGCCGCACCGACATGTTGCCTTCCCATTCCCCTGAGCGCCCCACCACACGATCCGTTTAACCCATCCGCGATCTGGAACAGGGCGACATATGGCATGACCTCGGCAGTCAGCCGGACTACCCTTTCGTCATCGTTGAAGATCCGCGCGTAGAAGTCCTTGACGCCCATCAGCCCAGCGAGCACGATGGCGCCGAGGATCATACTGAGCCATGCGGCGGTGTTGGCCGCTAGTGCGGCGCCCTTCGCATCGCGCCGCCCGAGCAAGTTCCCGACGCGAGAGCTAGCAGCAACACCGATGCCAAAGGGGATGGTGTTGAGGACTTGGTCGGTGGTCATGATCACTGACTGCGCGGCGAGCGGGATGGTGCCAAGTTGGCCGGCGACGATCGCCACGACTTCGAATGCCCACCATTCCGTCCCGACATGGATAATGCCAAGGAAGGCAAGGCGAGCGAAGGTTTTGAGTCGACCGATATCTAATGCGGCCTTGTTGAAGCCACCCCAAGCATTGGATCCGGAGAAGAAGCGTGTGTATAGGACAAGGAGGATGAAGGACACCCAGTAGGCAATGCCGGTTGCAAAGGGGGCGCCTAGGAGACCGAGTTTAAAACGATATATGAAGAGGTAATTGAGGGCGGCAGATAAGGGAGAGGTGATTAGGAGAACATATGTTCCAGGTCGCATGATTTCTAGAGCACTATTCAGTATTCGTTTAGAACCTGTTATTCCTGCATTCCACATACCCTGCGCCTGCAAGTACTTTTTCATGCACTCGAAATAGATATATCCTAATCCACCCGGGGCCAACACCAGCAAAAACCTCGCCGAGTCTCGCGCGATATAATCCTCCTGACCTAAGGCCAAGAATATCGACTCGGAGAACCCCCAGAGTATGACAACAGGGACATAAAACAAGGTCAACACGAGCAGGGCTCGCTGCAGAATAATCCCTAGATCCTTTGGATCGCTGCTCCCGGTGAAGCTCGCGCTCGCAATGGTATCGATCGCCGTCGTCCCTCCTAATGCGATCAGCCACCCCGTCGCCATGGCGAACATATAAGCAAATGCCGCAGTGGCGAGCGCTTCTGGGGAGAGGCGCCCCACAATCAGGACGGAGATGGTCTGTAGGCTGTTTTGGAGGGCGTAGGCGAGAATGACGGGGAGGGAACCATTGAAGAGCACCCAGAGCTCGTGAAGGACGGACCTCCATGTTGTTGTGTCCTTGTCATCATCTGAGGAGTCAGTGGGAGGGAGGAGAGGAGTGGTTTCATCGGTGTGAGGCGGCCAGTGATCATGAGGACGAAGATTGCGTGGAAGGAGATGGGCGGCTCCCGAGGCATCGCTTTGGCGACGCTCCATGGCGAGCAACGAAGCAACCGGGGTCAATTGAGACTTTAAAATGATTAGAACCGACTGAGATGCGGCGGGAGGAACGGTACTGCAAATAGGAATTCTCGAAAAGATGCAGCAAACAGGACTTGCGAATTAGAGGTATGACATAGCTTCGAAGACTTGTGGTGGATAGTCAAAGGAACAATAAATAAGGTACCATAGCTCAGTCATCATTACCTTAGGTATGCATAGCAAACTATCCATTATGGACTACGAGTCTGTGGCAAGCCGGATTCGAGACGAAGCTCTCGTAGCTCAGCAGCCGCCCACGATCCACAGCGTCCGCGGCGTCCTCGCTGTTCGGATCGCCTGCGTCGTCCATTATCCGTTGACCCATCCTAGAACCATTCCGTTTTGCTCGGCCGAATCATGGAGAGTGGGATGATGAGGTCCCCGCCATACTCCGATAGTCGGACGTTGGTGCATAAAATGTGAAGATAGAGCGTTAATCCAGGCCAGAGATTTAAGCCATGGCGAAGTTTAGTAAGCTAAGGGCTAGCGTGAGGCTTAGCAGCACATTACGCTACTTATGGCGTATGCCTGGTATCTCGGCACGATGATTGGCTAATGCAGAAGGGGCCTTAGTGGGTCTTATCACGACCACTCCATTGGTGGCCCCTGAATTGACATCAACCTATCCGTAACAACAACTTCAACTTTCGATCCGTGGTCTGTAGATCAGGTATTTACCGTATGCAAGAGATGGAACGAAGCTGCAGTTCCGAATCCATATGTTGTGGAGGGAAAGCTATATCTCGCACGCGGTTGATTTTGGGTTGAGACTCTCAATCATACGAATCGGCGAAATTGATTTGTTTTTTTTTAATGCAGGGAATAGGAACCGAGCGAGTGGGTGGAGGGATCAAACCAGAATGTTGGAACAGCTGTATTGATCCTGTGGCTTGGTTTCTGGATCAATCATCGCCATGCGGTGCCCTGGACGCACTCAACTGGACTGTTACTTTCTGGTAATACTTGGTGATTGCAATCGGCTAGTCCACTCGCAGTATGCTCGGGTAAAAGCATTGGGAATGGAAGATTGATGATAAGGATATCGCGTGGCTTTTCCTTACAGGGCCATGGACGTTGGGTTCTATGACCCTAAACAATGACCCCAGCGGATAACCCTGGACAATGATCCTGGACCATTATCAGAATGAATGGCATCCCAACTACGATAACATCAGCTTTGAAGATAAGGAGTCATCCTCAACCCATAGAACGTATGATCGAGGCGTCTGACGCTAATGATTCCTCCATTCAGCATTAAACATAGAGGGATGTGGCGCTATAAGTAAACTGAATGGTAGTGAGAAGATGATACCCCCACCCGAGCAGTGGTTCATGCCGTGAAACCGATGTGATGAAACCGATGTGACGTGCAGCGAGCATCGCCATTTGCGTTTCCTATATTCATACGATGCACATTGCCGTGGCCGACACGTCCCTCGATTGCTCTTTTCTGGATGTTTAGAACCCATAATACGATCTCTGCTCTTTGGTCACGAATTGCTAGAGGTGAATTCAAGCCATCGGTCGACTTTCCACTTACAGCCTGTGAGAATTGATTTCCATCCACATAGGAGGATATTAATTGCCAACCTTGTGTCTCTATGCCCACTTCGCATCTGTTTTCTTTCGTGTTCCTCCATCAATTGTCCTGTTCTTCAAAACATTTCCCCCTGGTCGACAACGTGCGCCCCGGACCAATTCTGACTAGAACCTTTCTCTTTTGACGAGGAAAAACAACGACAAAATGGCGAGTGAGCAGCCTAACCAGAACGAAAAGATACCCGCTCGGTCGAGCGCAGTTGAAACGACCGAAGAGAAGAAGGCCTTAGACTTGGAAAAGCATGGCGACATCGTGGTCGGGTCTTCCATCCCTACCATCATGAGAGATGGGATACGTCTGCATCCCCAGCCGACGAGTGATCCTCTGGATCCCTTGAACTGGTCGAAGTGGAAGAAGGGTCGCATTGTTGCCATTGTAATGGGACTGTAAGTCTCGACCCATCTTCCTCTGTAAACCATCAACCTAATATGGACTCACCAGGTATTTCATGTTCACATATGTGACCACCACCACCGTCCCAGCGTTCCTCGAAATCCAGGAGCTCTACAACATTACTGATGAGCAGCTTAACTGGACCGTAGCCATTCCCGCGCTAGGTCTTGCAGCCGGCCCTCTCCTGTGGTCTTCTCTTGCGGACATATTCGGTCGTCGTATCATCTTCATCATCGGCACCGTCGTGGCCTTGGCTGCCACAATTGGGGCGGGCCTCGCTCCCAACTACGGCGGATACATGGCTGCACGATTTTTCCAGGGATTGGGAACATCACCGGGCGCCACGGTTGGACTCGCGATCATCAACGATATGTATTTCGAATACGAACGCGGCCAGAAGGTCGGGCTGTGGGTGTTGGCCATCGACATGGGCCTCCTTGTCGGTCCGCTGATCGGTGGTTTCGCTGCTATGGCTGGCCAAGCGTGGGTCCAGTGGCTCACGGCAATTCTTTTGGGAGTGCTTCTCATCGCAGAAGTCTTCTTCCTGACCGAGACGCTGTATCCGCGAAACCAAATGTTGATCCAGATGCCATACACGGAAACGGGCCCCGAAACGATCGAGGTAGATAGCGAAGCCGTGGGGGCCATGGTGGACATGGAGAAGATCGAGAGGAAGAACAGTGTCGCGAACGAGGTCGACCTGAAGAGGACGACGGCATTGCCGTTCATCAACATAACGCCGGTCCCGGGAATGAAGCACCCCACACCTTGGGACAGCGCGGTCCGATTCTGTCTCACCTGGAAATATCTGCCAGTCACGATCACCGTCGTCGCGTTCTGCTACGTGTGGTACTGGTGGGTCCTGAGTGTCATCACCTTCATCCCGTTCGCGTACCCAGACTACAAGCCGCACATTCAGGGACTACTTTTCATCGGGTTGATCCTCGGAACCTTGGTCGGCGAGATCTTCTTTTCCGGCACCTTGAGCGACAAGATAATTCTGAGGCTCGCAAAGAAGCAAGGTGGTGTTCGAGTTCCGGAGATGAGGTTGTGGTTGGTGTATCCTGCCATCTTGAGCAGCTCCAGTAAGTTTCGTCCCCAAGCTCTTGCATCAGTCATCGTGTCCTAATATTTTTGAAAGCTGGTCTCATCCTCTGGGGAGTCTCGATCGACAGAGGGTATCACTGGATGGTCGGCCAGGTTGCCTTCTTCCTGTTCGCCGCTGGCATTCAAATCGGCAACACCGTAACGGCGGCGTACATCGTCGACTGCTATCCTCTGCAATCGATGGCCATCATCACGTTCTATTCCGTCCTCCTTAACTTGAGCGCCTTCATCAATCCTTTCTTCATCGCTCCGTGGATCGACGCGAGTGGGTACACATGGACCTTCGCAGCTCAGGGCATCATCACTTTCTTTGGCTGCATCCCACTGTTCGCCGGAGTACATTTCTTCGGATCGAAGCTTAGGAGGGCAAGCGGAGCACCAAATTGGGTTAACCCCGAGTTCGATTCAATCCTCTGATCCCGTTCGCCTGGGACACTTCTATTCAACGTTCATATATCTAGCAAAGTTAGTAGGATAAGTAGTGTAATGAATATCATCCAATGCAACTATATACCTAGAGCACAGTCTCGTTTGGGCGATACTTGGAGATGCCCTTAACCAATGCAGTACTAATTAAATTAGCAAAAGTCTGGGAGCTGTTTCCTGATGCAGTCGAAAATGTGAATGAGGTAATTTGTGGAATGGACCGATTCGATATTCCGATCAGTGCTGAGCTGCAGATCTCTACCTAAATGGCAGGGACTATGTATATGTAACTAAGGCAGCCACTTCCGTTATTTTGGCGGTTGTTTTGACTGGAATGCAAAGCTGCGACTGACTCAAGACGGGCTGTAGGCTTGTGGCTGGGAAGCTTACATAATCCATCTTCCTTCCCCTCCATCCCTTCCTGTCATTCCAATAATGCTTCATCTATTATTAACACTGTATTCCGTACCACCTACATGATACAATTATTGTTATTGAGGACATCTCCCCTACTTCCTCTGCGGGTATGAAAAACAGTGTACCCATCCCCCTTGTTACCGCTTGACAGATCGATGAACAGGAAATGCAAATCTTCAGATCAAGCTCGTACAATGTTCTTTATGTGTTGCATCAATCATGTTGCATCTGACTGCCGTGCACCCTTACCTGACACATTATGGAGTGAACGAGCTCGGTCTTGTCTACCGAATGGCCGTGGCTCGTCGGCCTCCAGGTCCGTCATAGGCTAATGCACGTCATCGGCATGTCAACCTGGCCAGCGGGAAGCATCTGGACTGCAATGTGTTGATCGTCCCCGTTTCGAATTGCAGCTGTCGCGAAACCCTCATCTACCAGATGCCTGGGACATTCGGATGGCTGCAGCGCCAAAAGATCGTAACTTGCGGTGAGAGAGCCGGACCGTGGATCGTCCAAACGGTCTCTACCTTGTCTAGCTCTGGGGGGACGTCCCAGACGTTTCTTCCCCGATGAGGCCATTCGTTGTACAGCTAGATCTCTGGCAACTTGGTGTGCCGGTAGATGGCCATTTCGGGCTGCAATAGCGGCACGATTTAACAATAGCGCAGATCAAGCACCGTACTCCTGCTCCCCTCTTTCAAATTTCCTCTCCACCGGTCCCGCGAGATGCTCGCATTTTGGTAATTAGTCAAAATCTAGGTCCCGAGGAGCCATGACCAAGTCTTCCGTTTGTTCTCTTTGTCCTTGTTCCGCATACCCATTCGTCGTGGTCAATCGAAACTTGCATTCCTTCGCATTTCCTCTCAATCTTTGGTCCCTTGCGTCGCCCGCCTGTCCGTTGGGGGGAACAGAAAGAATGTCTCACGACCTCCACTGACTGCTATTTCTGCACCCGCCACCCGTCTGTTCGAACAAAGAAATTTCCGTCGTACATCGTCCATAGGCCCGCTCATCCCGGTTTTATGCCGGACAATTACTTCCCACGTCCAGCGGTACAATTGCATACACGACTCAGCCATTTATCCCACGCCGATGTTTGGAACGATTAGGTGGGCTTCTTTCTTGCAAGGGACAAAGCAAGGCGATCATACTTACTTGTTGCTCTCCCAACATGAGGACCGTTCGGCGATGCGTGGCATAATAGGAACAAAGGCAACCTCTTAAAGGATGGCTCCGCTATCCTCGCCGCTCTGTCATTGCGCCTCGTCCTATTGATATTGGTCGACCACGGAGTCAAAGCCATTCAAGAAGGCTCAAAGAACATAATAGGTCAATGAAAGTTCTTTTACAGGACTCAAACTCATTATTTTCTACCTGCGATCGTTGCGATCGAGTGTATACGAAGCAAGCCAATTCAACATCGACATTCCTGCGGAGCTGCAAAAACCAAACGGAACCCGCAGGACAGGTCGTTGGTTAAACCCCCTTTCCACTTCACTAAGACAATAGATATTGGGGAAATGAGAGCCATTTCTCCGGCAAATTGCGGATATACGTCCTTCAAACGCAACCGTTCATGATAAATCAAACAGAAACCCGATCCGAAACATGTCAGCAAGATCAATAACTTCCTCTCATCACTCTTCCACTCTTGGCAAAGTTTCACCTGGAAGTATCGCTCCCACTCGACACTCGTCTCGGCGATCTCATTCGAGCGAATCCAATCATTCCGCCCGCAGCGATACGACCGAGACACCTACCCAACTTTCGTTGTCGCGGTCATTGATAGCCACCCGCTCTTCCAGAGGACGCGGGGACGCAATCTCAACAGAGTCTAGCAATGCCTCGCCCCCCCTATCGCAGTCGCCTTCGTTTCGTTTAACTAGGAAGCGAGCCGCAGAAGAATTCGAACGAACCGTGGAAAGCAAGCCGGTGGAAGTGGACGAAATGGACATGGAAGAGATCAGTCCGACACACACGAGAGCGAGCTCAGGGGACAGTGGTGGCGGACAAGCTGGACTCCATGTGTGTCTTTGTCAACCAGATCCCAAAATCCCCAGACCCAGAAATGGTGAGTCAAATATCTGTCATGTCTGTAGTCAGTGAGCTTTCTCGCTCCAAGCCCTCACATATGATGTGTACTCATTTGGTTCTATGCACAACTTCGCGCTCTCTCTCTCTCTCTCATGGAGCCTCAGGAGTCCTTGGGAGGCATCTTTCAAATTGCTGACAACGGATTAATAGCTTTCATTCTCTATCGCCAACATCATCAAGGGGCAGTCGCCTCGCAGTATCCTGGTTTACCAAATCCCGAAATTTCGAAAATAATTGGCGAACGGTGGAGACGAGAAACCCCAGCAGTGAAAAATCAGTGGAAGTTGCTTGCAGAAGTATGTACAAAGTCCAATCGCCTAGAACCAGTTTGACGATAGTCATTGCTGGTCCAAATCTATCTGCTCCACGTTTGACAGGGCCCAAGTTCAATGCTGACGGCCCATGATAGGAAGAGAAAGTTCGCCATCAGCAACAGTATCCGACCTATCGCTACCAACCTCGTCGCGCGGCTACCCGCCGTGGTTCCACAGACTTTGGCACCGCGTCAACCAATGCAAGCGACAAGTACCGCTGCAACAAGTGCGGCGGGCGAAGTATCATTTCAGCAGGTAGCCCTTTCGCAGGCAATCAACGAGCCCTAGTTCCCGCCGGACCTCCGTCGTCATCGACAAACAGCAGCCTGCCATCCGCTGGACTATCCACTCCAGGATCCGCCCACTTCCGTATCCCTGCAGGGCTAAATACTCCTCTCACGCCGAGTTTAAATACTCCAACCACCAGACTCCCTCCCATGCTTTCAAATCTGTCCCTAAACTCTCCTTCGTACTCACATGGGAACCGTCCTACTCTTCCTCCTCCTTCGCCGGCCGGCTCGGAGATGAACACTCCACCTCGCCGCGTGCGTACCCTCGCTCATGACCTCCCCGCCATCCACGTGCCGCATCATGCAATGGGGCCTCCTCCTGCTCCATCGGCCCGGTTTGCTGCACGTTATTCCACATACGATGGCGCCTTTGACGATCCAAGCGAACCACCGCCAGGACCTCTCTCACCAGATCCGAAACGACGCCGATACAACACCCAGTACGATGTCCGTCGAGACAGACAGTCGGTCTATGTTCGTGGGGATGTTGGTATTCGAACGCCATACCCGTTCCCTCAATCCTCTCGAACCACCGCTGGGCCAGGTCCTATGCACCTGCACACCACCAGTTCACCGGGGCTAGGCTTAAATGGTAGGCGCGAATCGTTGCCGCCTCCACTTACCATCGTCAACCGTGGAAGTGTTGCAGGGCCGGCACATTCAATGGTTCGAACAGCACCGCTTACAGGGCTGGATGCTGAGAGCCTCACGCTTCCTCCCTTACAGACATCGGCCTTCACCTCGAGCAATGCCACTCATGGAAAAGTACCACCATCCAACGATCGTCCTCCGCCTGATCAGGTCCGAAACAACATGCATTTCCTGAACCGAATTAAAATGCTTCATTACATTACTCCTTCAGCGCCGTTTCCAGACCACGCCAGCATTAAACCGGCGTCGTCCGTTTTCTCCCCCCCTTTACAGCCCGAGGGCGTCGCGCTAGAGAATAATTCATTGAGGTCTACTGCCACCAAGCCGTTCCGTGGTGCTCTTGTAGCCATCGAGGGCGACGACATCGAAGCTGTTGCGGCCCTTACGCGGTGGCTGGAGACCTTCCTCAGCAGCGATGGTGACTTCGAGGTGCGTGCTGCGGAGGGTACCGTCATGGCGGCCCGCCGTGGGAGCACTACCGCGGACGGTCAGAAGAGCGGTGCGTCGCTCGCAGAGTATATCACTTTGGTGCAAAATTGGCATTCCAAGGTCAACGAGATGGTCACTTGGGTGAATCGCACCGTCCCCGATATCACTGACGAAGGAAGTGGTGATGCCCCAGGGCAGCGGGGACAGCAGAGGCATGACAGTGGACAAGGGGTAGTTGAAATTGGAAACGAGACGACCGAGCGAGACACTGCGCAGCAGCCGCCCCACGAGACCAAACCCCCGATTCCGGTCCTCCTGCTCCCGACCTACCAACTCGCCGCATCCGACCACTTCGCCACGCGCGTCCCGATCCGCGACTCCTACGCCGCGCCGGACCACTGGCAGTGGATGGCCAGCCTCTGGCGCGGGGTCCCCAGTGCAGACATCACCGTCTACATCAAGGATCTGCCCCGTGGCGCCGCGTCGTCGCCGCCGGGATCGTCCAGTGGAGTGGGCGGCGCGGCGGGGGGGCTCACGCCTGGAATTGGGGTCGAGGTCAAGGAAGAGATGAGGACGGTAGTGCTGAAGCGGGAGGCGGGGAAAGATGTGGAGGAGAAGTGGTTGAGGAGGGTGGGGTTTGAGGTTGGGGAGTGGATGAGGGGGATGAGGGTGGCGAGCGAGGAGGAAAAGAGGGGGATGAAGGGACTGGACCAGGGGAAGACGGGTGTTGGAGGATGTGGGGGTGACTCCGAGCACGGTTCTGAACTAGTGTCCAATCAGGAGGGCTGGTTGAGAGAGGTTAGGGGACGGATGGAGGAAGTGGGCACGCAAAGAGGGTAGTGAGTTGGTGCCGAGATGATAGACTCGGAGAGTTCTTGTATTTGTTCGATACTAGAAAATTGTTGGATAAATTGGGGTTGAGATAATACGGGCAGCGTATGCTTGAATCAGAGCTAGCGATATCAGAACCAATCGAATTCATCGAGTGTTTGTGGGTTGATCTGGATACTATGGTATGGTGAATTCGACGTATCAATGCACTGCCACATCATGTTCCATGTTCAACAGCGTTAACACCTTAGGCACCAAATCTGACGCTGCGCCACTTGTGTACGACGTCATTGGCCGGATTCGTGGTCTAAACAAAGGACCTGGAACAATCACATGGCAATCCGTAGACATTCTTTCATACCAATCTACCCCCTCCACTCGACACTCGACCCCCCCCTCGACACTTTCTCACATGTCAGCCTGAATAATTTCCATCATGTCTTACCTGATCAGCTGCTCCAATTCCGCTTCTTCCGTCTTCGTTCCTCGATCACTTGTGCTGTTTCCGGCTCTGGAGATATTACAGTTCATGTCGACTTCTATTGTTAGTTTGGGATGAAGTAGTTTGGTTTGTGAATGGTATGGCACTTTAATACCCATTGCACGGTGCACGGTAGATAGGTGGATATGATTGGTACGTACAGCATAGAAAGAATTGCAATACTGAATGAAAGACACGCGCTGACTGCCTCGTTCTGAATAGACCACGTCCTTGGTCGTCCGTCCGTAAAGTACCGGAAGTATGAGGTGCTTGCTGCTGTCTGCTTCTGGTCCCTCTTCCTATACAAGTAGGTTGTCCCAAGACACCATATTTACGAATCGAAAGAGTGGCGCTGACCGTTTCACAGAGGCGGACCCCACGGACCACCGGTCATCCGACGTATCTCAAACTACCTCACCCCGCGGATCACTGCGTACCGAACCGTAGTTCTCACCCTCCTCTACCTCTACACCTGCCGCAACCTCGCCCCCCTCGCCGGCCTCGAGTCCCCAGAACCCCTCGCCAACCTCTACTCTCGATCCTATTTCCGCGCAACATGGGTCACGACCGCCCTCGACGCCGGGTTCTGGACCGCGATGCGCATCCGCCGGAAATGGCTCCGTGACTCGCTGTCCATGGTCTTCTCGGTGTATTACCTGATCTGCGCGCAGCAGGCGGACGAGAAGGTGCGGAAGGTGAGGGGGGCGCTCACGTTGGATCATCTGCGGGTAAGCTGGAATAAGTCGCAGACGCCGTACTTGAAGTTTTTGGGCGACTTGATGCGGCCGCGGTTCACGCGGTATCCGCCGAGGGCAATTCGGATCCCGAGGCCGAAGCAAAGTGTGTACAAGGAGCCCATTTCCGCGTGGCTGTACTTCGATGGACCCGTCTCGGCGTTGAAGAGGCAGACGAAGATTGTACTGGATATCCCAGGGGGTGGCTTTGTTTCGATGAGTCCGAGGACTTACGATGATAAGCTAATTGCTTGGGCCGGGAAGATGGGCATTGCGGTTCTCAGTCTTGATTACCGCAAGGCACCGGAGTACCCTTACCCTTATGCTCTGAACGAGTGCTATGATGTGTATCATACACTGATTACGTCGAGAGGACGATGTGTGGGCATGTCGGGCGACGACGTGCCGCGGGTTATCGTCTCCGGCGATAGTGCAGGGGGCAACTTGGCTGCAGGTATGGTGTTGATGATTCTGCAAGCCGCTTCGACGGACACAAGACGGCTTTTGGGCGAGAAAGTGCTTCCGCCTCCGGAAGGCGTGGTCCTCGTTTATCCCGCGCTTGATGTCAACGTCGGAAATTGGATGACGGACGAGCAAATGTCTCTAATTAGGGACCGCCGGTCTCGTCAGACCAACCAGAGCATTCTAAAACGCAAAAGTTCGGAATATCGGAAGCTTGCGCCAGACACGCCAGCTCCTAGCGACGATGAGGATGATGGTCCAGAAACTGACCTAGAGATGAAACCGGCCAACAAAATCGAAGATGCGGGCATTAAGGAGAGCGAAACAGCCATCCATCTCCCAGCTGCTCGCACAAATACCGATACCCAGGCAAAACCACCAGCAGATCAGTCAATCGAACTCGACCGTACAATAAAGACCAGTACTGGTGAGATACAAGCACAACCCAACAGGATCCTTCGGACCCGCGTTGCAACACCGTCTCTCCTTTCATACTTCAATGACCGCATCCTCACACCCGAGATGCTACGCGCCATGATCATCCTCTACATCGGTCCGCACAACCGCCCCTCCTTTTCTACCGACTACCTCCTCTCCCCCGTCCTCGCCCCTGAGACTCTCCTCCGCCATTTTCCCCCTTTACGCATCCTCACCGGCGAGCGCGATCCCCTCGTCGACGACACCGTCATCTTCGCCGGACGCGTCCGCCAGGCGCGTCGGGTCTGGGGTCGCGAACGACGCGAGCTCGGCCTCACCGCCCTGGCCAGCTCGTCGCAGCTGACGAACGGCGTTCGTCGCGGACGGCCACCTCCAACGAAGCCCGACATGGGATCCGAGGCGGACCGGCACGTCCGCGTGACGCTCATCCCAGGCATTTCGCACGGATTCCTGAATTTCGTCGGGGTTTTTCCCGAGGGGTGGAAGTTCGTCCACCGGTGCGCGCACTGGATGGAGGAACTATTCGCGGAGAACGACCGCGAGATGTGGGCGAGGGAGAGTGAAGCGGGGCCGTGTAGCACGACGGCGTATCCGCATCACTTTGTCAATGGCGATGGCATGGTGACGGTGACGCCGGGACCCGCCATGGGGGAGGAAGCGGATATGCAGAGTGGGTATTTTGACAGTCCTGAAGAAAGGGACCGACGGCATCACCGTCGTAAGAAAACCGAGAGCGAAGGAGAGGACGACCTCCCTCTTGAGATGAGCTTTGTGCGACGACCTGGGTCGACGGCTCCTCAGGAAGAGCCGAGGAAAGCGAATGGAGTTCCTAACGGAGTAGGAAAGAGCATCCAGGAGAGGCAGAAGGATGCGAATAGGAGGAGAGGAGGAGATGATAGCCTCGGAAGGAATAAACGCCGGAGTTTGGTGAGTTTGGCGAGCGAGGAGGACTTGCTGGGTCGGCGCATGAAAGGTCTGACGGGTGGATTACTAGGCGGGCAGGATGATATGCCGCCGACGCCTTGAGGTTGGAGTGCGTGTAAATTGCATCTAGTGGTGTTTGGTCCTAATAGTCGTCCCATGTTAGCCCGCAAGTTTGTTAGAGCCACAGTGCTTGATGATTTCCTCTAGCACGGCGCCTTTGGCAATGTCGACCGCCGTCTCTCCCGACGAGTTTCGAATGTTATAGTCCGCCCCCTTTTTGAGAAAGTACGTGACGATGTCCTCCTTTTCCAGGTGCACCGCAAAATGCAAGGGTGTCTCGGCGTGGCGATCCCGGCCCTCAAACCAGTTGTCAGGAGCACCTTCGTTCATGATTTCGTCGATCGGGGCACCCAGTTCAACCAACAACTCAATGACTTCCAACAGATCGGGAGTCTCGCGGAACATAGCAAAATGCAAAGGGTAGCCTCTACTAAGTGTGCCACCATGTTCAACTAGAAACCGAATGGTGGAAGCTGGGGCATCCAGCGCTGCCATCGATATTAAGGTGGAGTTCCCTCCAGAGCCGGCGTTGGGATCAGCCTCATGATCAAGGAACCATCTTGTAAGATCTTCATCCGGAACAAAATATCTACTCCAGGTTAGTAGTCACTCTGGACTTAATGATAGAGTGCACGTCACGTACTCAAGAGTTGGGGGCTTGGTGCTGTGAAGGGGTTCGTCGATGTCCCACCCAAAATCGAGATAGACTTGAAAAACGGCCGTACACCAAATCTCCAATTCCGCATGGATTGAGAGGGGCGGGGAATTCTGGTGTGACAACAAGTAGGCAAGGAAACCAGGATGATTCGTTTTAGCCGCATACGTGCAGGCGCTGGAAATCACGGGCTTCGCATGTTTCGGGTCCCCTTCCAATGTCTTTTTCAAGATCCGGTGGAGCTGTATCAGATTTCCTTCCCGAATATACCGCTTCAGGTAATGCAAATGGGTAGGGAATCGTGACGGGGCCGGAGGAGAAGGGTAGTTTGGTACCCATTGAAGGATTGGACCGTTGCTACTCGGAGGCGGTAACGGCAGTGGGGGAAGGCCGTCATCTTTATTCCGTCGTTGCTCTGAGCTTTTCAAAACCAAGAGGTCGATAGCGAGTTTTAGACTTTGACACCTAACCATCGCAAACTCATGCGACTGGTCGCCGGGTGATAAGCCGATGGCTTTGTTCAAAATGTAGGATAGCATTTCCTCGTCTCCACTACTCTCCGCACCAGCCAGCGCATTTAGGATGAAAGGTGCGTCTGTATCGCAGTTTTGATTGGCTAACAGATCAAAGGCTTCTTTATCTCCACGGCGTCCTGCCCAAAAGAAGCGCTATCGTAGCGGCAGTTGGATTTAGAAGTCAGGAGAAACCTCAGAACCTGATGGTACCCATGGCGGCATGCGAGGTCCACCGAAATTTTGACGGCAGCGTCCGAGACAAGGGCACATCGGCGGAGTGCATGGTCAACAATCTGGATTTGGTTGCTCCGAGTAGCCAAAGGGAGGAGACGTTTCCAAAAATTCTCTTCATCCGGGGAGGTTGAAAAGGATTGTCGATGCTTGAGGAGTAGGAGCGATGTAGAACCGTGACCATTTTCAGTTGCGGCGTTGATTGCTCGGTCGTAGAGAGAGCTTGGATAGATGACAAAGCCATCCATGCTTAATAACACCGATACAAGATCATCGTGTCCATTTCCAGCGGCCGCTTCCAAAGATTTCATCCGATGGAGCTCGAGTAAGAGTGCTGGGATATCTCTAGAGTTCAGTCGTTTGAGGAGAGATTGCACTGGGGTTTAGGAACCTATACTGGCAGCTGCTGATAGGAATTCTCCGAAGAATTGAGTCTTTGCTGAGAGAGTACGACATCTCCCTAGAAGGCACTCTACAAGGCCGCTATTGCCGGCATATATTGCAGCAATGATTGCATCATTGATACTCCCCTCTGGCTCAATTTTGATACCGCAATCCGGCGATAGCAAGCGCACAATCCGTGGAAGAGGAATCGCTCTTGCAGCCGCCGTAGCCAAGGCTTCGAAGTAAGTGGTATGAGGAGTCCCCGCTGTTTGGTGCGGCACATCGGTAAGGATTGCTACGGCTTGTTTGATTGCAAAGCAAAGAGGGCGGTTCATGGAATTTCCGGTTCTCATCCTCGTAAGGATCAATCCGGCGGTCATCCGGACGCTCATTGTGCAGTCTCGCCTGAAAAACTTGAGACCCGGTTCATGCTCACCCTCGAACGCTGGCAGGGCATAAATAGCATTCAACATGAATACATTGAATTGTCCTTTTCAATTTTAGTAGGGGTTGAAGTAGACGAAAATGAAAGTGGACTGACTACAGACCACTCGGAGTTTGGTGCCTTCACGCAGCCCAATCGTGTCCAGTACATCTTTCATGATGGCGGCCACAAATTCCGAGGGTAAAACAAGAAGCGCCATCTTCGTGAACTTGGGCAGGCAGCACCGTATCTGTGATGGGATGGAAAGTGTAGAAACTGGAAGGGATGGCTTCGGTTTGAGACTTGAGTGCTTGGATTATGTTGCGGCGTCGGATGAGTTCCATTTCGATATCCGTGCAAATACTGCCAAGGCGAGGTGCTGTGGGCCACAAACTGAAAGGGTGGTTGCATAATCCCCTTTTCAAGAATTAGCTTCAGTGTTTCCAGCACAAAACAAGGGGGCTCATAGTATCTTAAGATCCATACTAGAGGTCAGGAGCCTGTGCAGTGCAGACAGCCTCTTAGAAAACTCGATATATTTTTCGGAGTTCCCAACTGAGCATTTTCTCTATGAGTTTCCACTCCGTCAGATGACGTGCGACGCTCCGTGCCATGATTTGTGTAACCGCCTGCTTTTCACGCAGTCTGACCATTTTTCTGCACGACCTCACGTCCGCGGGATCGCGGTTCAAGGCGTAATCATACATGACCTATATGGAGCCGTGAACCGTGATCCCGGCATTGCATATCGATGCGTGATCAACCAGTGGACCATTACCCTTTTCCGTATAAAAGCGGTTGAACCCATAGGATCCCGGGTAGCCCTAAATTGGTGGTAGAGTGTCCAGGGCATCCAGAGTCTGCCCAGACTCTATCACCGTATAAGATGGTAGAAGCGGGAGGTATTTCTGCTGATCGAAAAGACTGTTGCCCTTGTCGTTCACGCAGCAATAACAGAGTCGCTCAAAGGCGAAGAGATATATGTACCCTCTAAAGTCGCCGCATTCGTAGCATGTGCATTCGCTGAGCTTATCAAATAATCCTTGAAGTGATTCTGTCAGCTGCCTTGCTCGCTCGGAGGTCACGGAGAACGTTTTGGGCCTTGGAATCAATGAATTTGAACAGTGGATGGGAATGAATAACATCAAAAGCGTGTCTGTTGGTAGCTTTCAACCCTTTGACACTAGATATATCAAGAGCGGAGATGATCGTGTTGATCTCCAGAGGCAGTATATCCAGGTTGCCCAAAGAAGTCCTGTAGGTTCCAGGCATTAGGCCATAGATGGTATGAATTTAACGGTCGTGTTTATTCCAGATCGCTGGAAGGCTCCAGTCCAGTGTTCCCAGCGTTCCGAATTTGCCTTCGGGAGTAAAGCCAAAATATGCTTGCACAGTACGTTGTAGGGGCTCCTGGTTCAGTGATGGGGTTAACAATCCATCAACGGACTTGAGGTCTGAAAGTGAGGAATTCTAAAATCCAAAGATACATAACTAAGACATACAAAATATATCAGATGCACACGATACATAAGATGCGCAAGATGCACGAGATGCACACAGACGCACAACACGTAGAGGTTTTGAGGTTGGGTCGCAGGCAGACACTTTATGCAAGTATCTCCCTGTAGAATGGCATCCTGAATTCCGAATATAATAGGAGATACCTCATGAGATAGGCAAATGAATATTGAACTGAAGGCAGGACTGGGGCTGGGATTCACATCAGATTATGTTACGTTACTTGACTGTTAACTACACGTTACAGTTACAGTTATGGTTATAAGGATGAGGCACCAAGGCACCAAGGCACCATTTGCACGTGACAGATGGTGTCTGTCACGTGCAAATTCGAGAAGCCAGTCACGTGCATCTCTCGGCGTATGCGGGCGTCTCTCACCAAATCTGCCCATTGTCACTTTCGGTCCAGTGCAACATCTCCGCCGTAAATACTTCGTCACTTTTCGTCCTCCGCCTCCTGGTATTTCTGGTGATATTCCGACTTTTACCATAACCGCCTTAGATTTGACTTTTGGAGGATCCGCTAGTTATTCAATTTGGAGGACTCTCTATCTACCCGACCCGTCCCCATACGAATTCCAATCCTCCTCCCTCCTACACTGGTCCCCTAACTGTTCGAGGCTCTGCACCCCACAACCTTAGGAGTCCACTACGGCACACCCCATACAACCGAATCGCCATCCAGTCCATCACCGCCAATCCCACTTCTTCGTCTTACTATTCGTTCGACACGCCATATCGGACTCTAGCTCCTGTCCAACTAAGCCATTTCAACGGGGTTTGTCTGCTACCTTTTGCCTCTACAATGTCTTCAGGCGGAGCCAAGAAAGGTACCTTCGCAACTACCCACCGACATGAGAAACGTATTGACATATTGCAGCTCCAGCCAACACCGCACCCAGGTATCCGGGACATGGACTCGTCGACCCATCAATCTACGACAGGCTCTTTACGGACGATGATAAGAAGCCAGTGAAGGACCTGAAGATCAAGAAACCTGCTCCAAAACAGACAAAACCAGGGAACTGGAAGGATACTGAAATCATTGGTATGTCCAAGACACTCCGATATTACTCTAGGCTATGGATGTGTGCTTACTTCGGGCTATCTAGAACCTGCAAGCAAGAAGTCTGACGCCAGCCGAGCAACCTCCCCTTTCATAAACCCTCCAGATGATCGTACGCTGGCCGCCTTTCCCAATGGCAGACCTTTGGATGACACCCCCGACATCGTCCAATGCAAACACTGCAAGAAACCCGTCGCCCGACTCTTCGCCCCTGCCCACATCCGCGACTGCCTAAAAAAGAAGCAAGAAAAACAGCAACGGAAGAAGGAAGCCAAGGAAGCCAAGGACGCCGCGGCCCGCAAGGAGAAAGGCGAAGACGACGATGCCGGTGAGAAAGGGAAAGGCGCCCGGAAAAGCGCGGTCAAGGCCAATGCTGACGAATCTGGAGCGAAGAAGGGGAAGAAGCGGAAGGCGGACGGGGATGCCGACAAGGGGCCCAACTCCAAGAAGAAGAAAAAGGACGAGCCCAAGGCCAAGGTGCCGAAGCCGAAGCAGCCTGTCGATGTCGAAAAGCAGTGCGGCGTTATCCTGCCCAACGGTGCGCAGTGTGCGAGGAGTCTCACGTGTAAGAGCCATTCGATGGGTGCCAAGCGGGGCGTGACGGGTCGGAGCATGCCGTATGATATGCTTCTCGCCCAATACCAGAAGAAGAACCAGGCCAAGCAGCAACGTGAGTTTTGGTTTCCGTCGACTATTACTCTCGCATCACTGACAACCAATTTAGGGGCCGCGATGGATGCCAACGCCCCTCTCGCCGACGAGTTCGACAACCAAGGCCCCGTCGACTCCGACGAAGAGAAGGAAGCCGTCCTCAACGCCTTCCGCCGCGCCCACCCCCGTCCGATCTACCAACCCGCCATCGTCGACATGAAGCGGAAATATCAATACAACCGCGTCAAAGAAATGCTGATCAACGCCCTGGGTGGCGCGCGAGGGTCCACGCTCTTCAACACGGCCCGGGACGACGAAAACGACGGGGGACAGGCGGGTGTGAATGAAGCAGCGTCGGGCACGGGGAGTGTTTATGATAGCCAGTCGCGGCGGCCGAGCGTGGGGATGAGCTCGGGAGGAGGGGCGTCGAGGCAGATTGCACCTCAGCCGTTGGCTCCAAGGAAGGCAAGTGTGTCCGGTGCGGTGGGTTCACATGTCTAGTGGGCGGGCTGGGGAGTTATTTGCGGTTATACCAGGATAAACAGACTGGTATGCCGATAGGATTTCAGCGAGGGGAGAAGAGGAAGCTGCCCATTATTGGATTGAGATACCCCCTCGACAAACAATGTCGAGACCTTCAGATCCGGTCTGGAAGGAGTTGCTACCACGGAGAGCAATATAGCAAAATACAATACAACCACTATTGACACCGCTACTTCTTAATTGCCTATATTTTGCTAATGTGTCCTTTGTATGCCATCTTCATCGCAATAGACAGCTGCTTACAATGGCTGGCGACATTTCATGTAACGACGTCATGTTCGGAAACAGCGCCGCTAGATCCACAGCTGACTCATGTGTTCCTGATGTCGATCAACGTCTGAGTCATTCCCACATGCCGGTGTCCCAGAATGTGTTCGGCAACGTCGAAGAATTGTCTGGACTCACTCTCCCATATCTCCTCTAAGGCTAGAATTTGCGTACTTTATAAACAATCATCTACATGTGTATTCAGCTAAATTTTCACCCTGATCATTGAGCGGATTTTCCTATGGCGTCACCGCAAAGTTCCAGGCAGGACGATTTGGTCCGGCGCCACCTCTACCGTTCAGTCTCTCATGGCCTGTTGGACATGTTCGTTGCTAACTCTGTCCAGTGTTTGATCTACCGAAGGAGCTCCTTGAGACGTTGACCTTGGCGTCCACATACACAGCAGTATCACCGACGACAGAATATCACCCGAAACCCAAAGCAGATCCCTTGAAATCGGAGGCGGCAGACCAAACAATCAAATCCACATCATGTGGACTCTGCAGCCAGACGTTCGCTAATCTACAGGAACAACGCGAACATGTTCGGTCGGACTATCATCGATATAATCTCAAGCGCAAAATCAAAGCCCAGCCTGCTATCACGGAGGCGGAATTCGACCGATTAATCGGGGATTTGGACGAAAGCATATCGGGAAGCGAGTCCGATGAGTCGGATGCAGAAGAGCAAGAGGAGGCGGACAAGACGCGGGATAATTTGAGTCTGTTGTTAAAGAAACAGGCGAAGATATCACCCGAGAGCAGCGAGGACTCCACGAATCATACCGTACGGTTAGGGAAACAGCCAGTGATATGGTTTTCGAGCAAGATTCTACCAGCGGACACCAAGCTCAGCGTCTATAGAGCTGTTTTCAGCCAGGCTGAGCAAGATGAGCCCTCACATCTAGTCGACACCATCCGCCGAAAGCAACTGGAGCCAAAACTTCCGCCCAAAAAACCGAAATCCTCAGCTACCCCGTCCTCTGCCGACTCTCCCACCTATTTCCTCTGCATGATCGGCGGCGGCCACTTCGCCGGCATGGTCGTGTCCCTCCGCCCCAAGCCCAGCGGCGCCAAAACCCACACCGGCGCCCCCGACCGCCACGCAACCGTCCTCGCGCACAAGACCTTCCACCGGTACACGACGCGCCGCAAACAAGGCGGCGGGCAATCCTCCAACGACGCCGCGAAAGGCGCAGCGCACTCTGCCGGGTCCTCGCTGCGCCGCTACAACGAAGCGGCGCTGATCGCCGAGATACGCGCGCTGCTGGTCGAGTGGAAGCCGATGATCGATGCGGCGGAGCTGCTGTTCGTGCGCGCGGCGGGGACGGCGAATCGCGCGACGCTGTTCGGGGAGCATCATGGGCAGGCGATCCGGAGGGATGATCCGAGGATACGTGGGTTTCCGTTTAGTACGCGGAGGGCGACGCAGGGGGAGTTGATGCGGGCGTTCGTGGAGGTGACAAAAGCGAAAGTGGCGAAAGTGGAGGAGGAACCCCATCGGGACCAGTTGGCGGGGCTCGGTGCGCCGCAACGGAAACAGTCACCGTCGAGGAAGCCGGCACCGGAGAAAAAGGTGTTGTCAGAAGAAGAGCAGATGCAGATGCATCACACGACACAGATCGCGTCATTGATTCGTCGTGCACGCGCGCCTGCTCTACTATCCTATCTCTCATCCAATTCTCTCGACGCGGATTACAACCTCCACCCCGACGTCGCCATCCCCGGCATCCCATCCCACCAGCGCGCTTCCCTCGCCGCACCGCTCCACCTCGCCTCCAAGCTCTCCATCCCCGCCATCGTATCAGCCCTCCTCGTCAAAGGCAACTCGAACCCCACCACCCGCAACGCCGACGGCAAAACCGCCGCCCAACTCGCCAGTGATCGCGCTACCAAAGACGCCTTTCGGATCGCACGCGCCGAGATCGGCGAGACGAAATGGAACTGGGACGCCGCGGCGGTGGGCGCTCCGCTGTCGAAAGCCGAGGTGGTAGCACAGGTGGCGCGGGAGAAGGCGGAGGCAGAGGCAGAGGAAACGGAGCGGCGAAAGGTGGAGATGGATCGGATTGAGCAGGAGCGGGAGGAGGAGGGGAGGCGGGAGAGGGAGAGGGAGGGGGCGCGGTGGGGGAGGGGGTCGACGGTGGCGGGGAAGGCAGTGGGGAAGATTGCGGCGGGGAGGAATCAGTCTGGGCAGGAGAGGAGGGAGGAGGAGATGAGGGGAATGGATGCGCAGATGAGGATGAGGGTGGAGCGGGAGAGGAGGGCGAGGGCTGCGGAGGAAAGGATGAGAAGGTTACAAGGGGATTCGTGACATATAACTACAATGTTCAAAGCGAAAAGACCAAGCAGAGGCTGAGTTTGGGACTATGATCAACGCGTCATATTTGGTTGGCAAAGCTCATATACACAGTGATAGCTTTTGGAAGCATTAAGAAAGGAATATTTGCGTCCTCGTCTCGTTCCGTATACAGCGCTCAACTATTATCTCTCACACTTATATCTTCCCGAGACCAACGCCAGCCTTCACTGTCCACGCCACAGCTTTCAATTCCGTCAGTTTATACTCGTACGGAGCTTTGGTGAAATTTCCCGTTTGCGTAATGTTAGTCGTCGCGGTACCGAAGTCGTTCTCTATCATTTGATCAGTCACCTATATCACTAGAAATCCATTTGAACGGAGTGGATCCACTCACCTGCGCCCAGATTCGCAAACCCATCAATCTCCGGATCACCGTCGGGGCTGGTGTTCGGGCTGTCGGCCGGAATCACCAGTCCATACGTGCTCAACGCCTCCTTCGTCTTCCCCGTGAACACGTTCCCCTCCACCAGCACCTGATTGTCCGACCGCGAGTGGATCGCCTGGTACAGGAAGTCCTCGTACAGATTGTTGTACACGTGCTGGTGCCCGAACCGGCCCGCGGGGCCGCGGGTGCCGGAATTCCTCCAGTAGTTGTGGTGGTACGTGATGTGAAGGTGGCCGAAGTCGACGTCGCGGAGATTATCCGCGTTGCCGATCAAAGAGGACTTCCAGTGGTCGTGGAAGTAGGTCCAGCTTACGGTGATCCAGTCGGAGGCGCGGACGATGTCGAGTTGGCCGTCCTGGTGTGGCTGTTAGTGGGGTTCGCTGTAGAAGCTAGATGACCAGACGTACGTAGAAATCAGGTCCAATTTCGGGTGAGATCCTGGATTCAAACTCGCAGTGGTCGACCCAGACTCGGGTGGTATTCTGGATAGTGACATCGTCATTATCTGGAACGTGCCCAACTTTCAAGTTCCGGATAATGACATTGGTTTGGCCGTTCACAGTAATACCGGCATTGACGATCGAGGCTCCACGCCCATGGCCAAGAATGGACTTGTTTGATCCGACCTTGAGGCGCTCGGTGAGGTTGTAATGTCCCTTCACCAAAACGACCTTCTTGTCGTCACCCTGGACAAGATCAGTTAAGACTTAAGAGGGAGTGTTGCGCTTGGAGCACCACTCACCGCCACCGCAGATCTCAATGCTTCTTCCGTGGAGACGGTGACCGTTGGTCCCCCTGCTCCTCCTGTGGTCTCGCCAAGAGGATTGTCCTTCCCAAACCCAACGAGTGGATATCGTTCTCCATCTCCATGGCCTCCGTCGCCTCCGTGGCCTCCGTGGCCTCCATCATCTCCATGTTCCCCATGGCCGTTACCTTTACCCTGTGGATGGGCGACACTCCAGCTGGTAAGTGCCACCAGGCACAGCGACACTAATTGACTTGTTTTCATATTGACGACGTTCTCTGACACGACAAGAGCGCAATTGAAAGACTGACTTGCTGCTCGAGGAGAGGAAAATGAAAGGACGCGGGAGGAATTTGAGGCAAGGAGATGCTGGCATCCATGACGAACCCGCAAACTATTATACAACTTTACTCAATTTCGTTTCAATTCAATTTCTTCCGGAGAGGATTAGAGCTTCGAACTCGGATGTACCCTGGAACTCTCCTCGTTGAAATTTCCCGGATATTAAACCTGGTCTGTGTTGATCCCTACCCGCATCCAGATGGTGCCTGGCAGAGCGCTGAGGTTCTTCCACCATTGGGATGACGAGGAAGAATGTTGGGTCTGTAAGTGTATACGGAACATGGATCGGCGTCATCAGGTACTCCGCAAGATGAAGACGTGTTTTCATGGATTATACGACGTTGACGTGATATGGTGAGTGATGAAGCTCGAACAAAGCTGCCATTTAATATCAAAAACAATATCTCAAGAAAGTTCGTTTCCGCGCGACAGGCGCTGCCGATAATCGGAGAGCTAGCATAAGTATGAATTATATATGCGTTGACATGAAAATCATATCGGAGCTTCAAAATAGAGAGACCGACGATACGGACGTATCGCCTCGACCCAAGGGGGCTCCGCAGAATTCGATTTTGACAACACGTGAAGGAACAGAAGGATTGCGAGATGTGGGGACGGGATTGAATTCCACCAGGACACAATTGAACCGAAAAGCCGTAATTGGAGCCTTTTATGAGATTACTCCAGACTAATGTATGTGCATGGCATATCGGCTAAGACAGTACAGCCGGATTTAGGGCCTGGTTGAATACTATCGCAGGCGACTCGCTTGTCTAACAAAAATGATCTACTTCGACGCAATGGCTTCCCGTTCAATACCGCTGACCGCTTCCCGCACAGCCGGACAGTAATGGTGCCTCAAAATCTCACCTTCCCACACGGTACTCGCAAACGGATTGCTGGCCTCCAGCTCCGGCTTCAGCGGATCAAAAACCCCATCACCTTTGCGTTCCTCTGTGTGCCACAACGGGGCGATCTTCCGTCCATGGGCCTTGAGGATCTGCGTCCCCAGACCGAGCATCGCCAGCGCGGACTTCTCGGGTAATTGCAGGGAGATGGTCAGCAACTGTTTGACGAACGCGGCGATGCGAACGGGCGGCACGGAGCGTAACGCAGTCTCAGGGATGAGGGTGGAGGAGAGGCACCGGATGAGCAGGACAATCGTCGTTTGGACGTTGACTTTGTCTTTGCGAGGACGGGAGGGAGTTTCGGAACCGGGGTCGTCTAGCCGGAAGGACTTGGAGCTGTACTCGATGTCTGCATCAAGTGAAACCGGGTACAAGGTTCGATAGAGATGTCCCACGAAGAAACTGAGGTCAAGTCCAAGAGATGAGGCTGAAGCCGAAGCATCTTGGCCTTCGAGGAGTGCGAACGCCGTGATCGAGCACAACAGCGACTCTCGGGTGGTATTTCTTACCGTGGCGGAGCTGACTGCCTTCTCTTCCTCATCTTCTTCGTTGTCATCCGCAGCAACCAAAGCCTCTCTCTGAGCGATCAGTTCCCGCAACACCTCCAGAATATCACCGAAGAAATCCTGGTTGATGAGATGCGCATATCGTGCGAGCCCTTCAAGAACCGCACCCATTAACCGTGATTCTCTCGTTTTCAAGATTCGGAAGTAGATGCCCAAGACAATCTTGAGCGTTTCGCCTTGCATCTTGTCACGATCTTCATGACTGACGGCAGCGTCCGCTTCCTTCATTTCATTATCGAGGGTCTTTTGCTGTTTCAACACCTTCCGTTCACGTTTTGTGCGAAACACCTCCTTCTGTCTCGGCTTCTTGCCATGTATTCTCCCCTCGTCGTCCTCCTTGTCGATCCTGGAGTTCGACGCCTTGGACGAGAATTCGGACAACAATCGTAGATGGAGAAACGTGTTGAGGATCTCCTCGTGAACGGCGTAGAACTTCCCTTTGATCATCTTGCTCAGCATCTGTACCGCCTCGAACGATTGATGGCCATCCTCGTCTTCTCGGAACAATTGCTCAAACGCATCTATGCACTTGTACCATTCCGCATCTTGACGCATCATGGCTACTTTCCGGGTCAGGATCCTGATGAGCTCCGAGCGGAAGTTGAAATGAGGAACGGAGACGAGCAAGATTGTCGAGCAGTGTATAGCCACGGCGGAAAGCGTACCCGCTGGCGTGTCCGACGCCGCTTGGGACCTTGACAGGCGGGTCAAGTCGTCGATGTATGCCTTATAGCCAGACATGAGCGACTGTTCGTACGCTCGCAACTTCCTGATATCCTTGGTGACCTTCTCTTTTCGTTCGGCCTCAGTAAGTGCTCGTATGCGGTAACCTGGAATCAAATCCTTGTATATCGACAACTGTGCCACGAGGACCAGCCGCTTCACATGTACATTGTCGGTCTCTCCTAATGCTGCCAGGGGCTTCAAGGATCCAATGTGCTCATCCGGATCTTCGTTGATCTGACTTGCAATCTTGGCCAATTCCTCCTTCGTTTGTAATATGAGCTGTTTCAACGGGATCTTTGGCTCCTCCGGAACGGTTTCCTCATCTTCTGACCCAGTCAGCACTCCTTCATCAGCATCTGGCAGATCCGATGATTCGCCTTCGGAAGCTGGTTCTGCATTGGGTTGGGCTACCCATCCCGAATCCGTCCGGATTGGCAGCCTCGCAGCTTTGTCCTTTTTCTTGAGAGCTCGCGGTCGCTGTTCGTAATCTTGTTCGGTGTTCCACAGGTTCGTGGCAAAGGAGAACGATGGGTCGCCAAGTTCATCAGGAAGGGAATCATGTGTCGTAGGTTTAGATGACTGCTTTGCGGCGCCATTGAGGCGTCTGCGCTTCGTTGATCGTGAAGACATAGTGCCGCTGTGTTATGGAGATGTTTTGTGAATCCTGTAGGACGATAAATTTGACGGCCTGAAGTTTGAGAGAGACTGATCCACACGCAGGGCCTTCACCACCTCAAAAGGGCAAAAGTTCGCGAGCTTATCGGTTAAACTTGCCCCAGTGCCTCCCCACCTAAATTTTCATGAGCAGAACCAGAAGATCGTGATGCGCCTTCGGAAGTCTGAACAACTTCACAGCACCCCGAAAGAATCTCAGACAATCGTAGTCCTATCGTTACAAGATGCGTCCCCTCACAGAATCCGAAACCCAAACCCTCTTCACCAAACTCGCCAACTACACCGGCCGATCCCTCACCAACCTCATCACCGAAACTATCACCACCCCCAACTCCAAAACACCCGACCGCCATGTGTTCCGCATCCAAGGCTGCCGCGTCTACTACGTGCGCGAATCGATCGCGAACCTTGCCACCAGCGTCGCGCGCGACAATCTCCTGTCGCTAGGGACCTGCATCGGGAAGTTCACCAAGACCGGAAAGTTCAGGCTGCATGTCACGGCGCTCGATATCATTGCGCCGCATGCGCGATATAAGGTGTGGGTCAAGCCGAACGGAGAGATGCCATTTTTGTATGGGGGGAATGTGTTGAAGGCGCATGTTGGGCGGTGGAGTGAGGATTGTCCGGAGCACCAGGGGGTGGTGGTGATGGCGATGAATGATACGCCATTGGTAAGTCGTTCTTCACGCTCAGGTTTCTTAGGGAATGGGTATTAACTATGATAGGGCTTCGGTGTCACCGCGAAGGCGACGGCGGATGCGCGTCGTTTAGACCCCACGGGCATCGTGACATTCAGACAAGCGGATAATGGCGAATACCTAAGAGACGAGGACACTCTGTTCGCGACTTGAACCATCTAACCCCGAGTTACCCGTACTTATATTCAAACGGTTCGATTCGGTGTCACACCACACCGTCGGAAGTGTCCCAACGACACCCCTCTGAAGCGGGCACGCCAGCCATGCTATATCTTACCAGGACGTACCTGGAAGCACCGCGCCTGGAACTAGATAGAGAACCTGGAATCGACGTTTTGAGGCGAATCATTACCTCGTGTGGGAGACAGATCAGCACAAGTCAGAGGAAGTGGAGCATCGCATTGTAATAGACCGCTGAATTTAGAATGCACTTGCTAGCTCTAAGAGACGCATTGCATTTTCATAACCGTACCCTATCCCTTTCATAATCGTGATTCGCCGTAACTCGACCCTTCGCGTGTAGTGGTCCCACGCCTAATATCCCCCGGTGCCCTCCGTCCTTCCATGTATTATCAACCCTCCAGCAGCAAATCCATGCGTTCCATGCCGCTGACATGGAGAGTGCCTTCAGTCGACGCTGTTCAACCCCTCGTTCGGAGCAGCTGCCGCCGTAGCTTCTTCCGAGCTTGCTCTGACCTTCCCATCCTGCGCAGAGAAAGCTTCAGTCCCATCTCTATCACCCTCGGCAGACGCATCGGTGTCGAAGCCAGAAGTGAAAACTCGTACCTATCTTATCTGTCAGTAACTAGGTTACTCGTCACGTTGGAAGTGTGATGGTGTGGTTAGAACGTACCCTCCGCTTGATGGAACGACGGCAAACCGGACACTGGTTCTTTCCCAGGAGCATAGTCCTATCGGTGTCGCGGGTCTTGTACATCAGCTTCGCGCACCACTGGCAAAGAACAAGGTGACCGCAGGGTAGTAGAACGATATCCGCCATCTGCGTGAGGCAGACACGGCAGCAGAGCGTCACGGTCATCTGCTCATCGGACTTTGGGGGCGGTCGGGCCTTGTCGTCGTCGAGTCCCAGGACCGGTGCGCTGGAGGTAGTATCGTGTCGACGATTTAGGTCGCGCTGTTGCCGATATATCTCCAGGTATTGCTGCATCCACTGGTCGGAAATGCCGTTAAGGCCGTCACCGTACTGCCGAAGCAGCTCAGATTGTCGCGTAAGCTCGGCAGACCCAGCCGTTCGCTCCGACAGCCTGTTCTGCAACTCTCGTCGACGGGCATCCAGGGTAGCAAATGCTTCGACTCCTTCTCGGTTGAGGATGGTTGTGGTGGTTGAGGTCACGCTGGAGGGAGTAGCGGAGGTAGGATCAGAGGTCACGTTAGGGGTGGCACTCGAGGCGGCATTGGAGATTACACTTGAAGTGCTCCCGGACGCAGCAATCCGCGCGCGACGCATGCTCGCAAACAAAGGGCGATGGTCAAGGGCGGGCATTGCTGGGATATCAGCGGCTCGTGAAGGAGTGACAGTTGATGAACCGAGGAAGTTCTCCGCCCTCGCATCCAACCGTTCGATCATTCGGGCGATTTCATCGTAGCCAACTCGAGGGTCGAATGGATTAGGACCGTGGGTAGTCGCTGCCCCATTGCCCGTGTTGGAGGCATTGGTGACGGCAGAAGTTGACGGAGGCGTTGCAGCTTGAGTGTTAGTTGGTGAAGTCGATGGTTCACCGTCCTGACGTTGCGCTTCAGCATCTTGGTATCGAGCATATGCCCTAGAAAACATATCCGTAATCGGACTCACGTAAGTATCCGACTGTACATCTTCACGCGTGCCGAAGACACGTGCCATCTGCTGCTGGTTGCGGTCGGGTTGAACAGTGGCTATTTCCAGCCGGTTCATGGCTTCATTCAACTGGTCGGAATCCATCTCGGATGGGTTCAGTTGTTCGATTACCTGCTCAATATCGGGGAAGGCGGCCGTGATGGATATGGAATGGCGTAAAGACTGAGAGCGACTGAGGAGTGATGTTAACCGCTGACGGAGCTGGCGGAGATGGCGGTCTTCTCGGCGAGAGGGGTGATTTACACCGTCGTTGGTTGTAGTGTTGGGATTCATGGAATGTTGAGCGGCAGACGAGCTGTTGTGGGAAGAAGGTTGTCCAGAAGATGTTGAAGTGTTAGTGCCTGAGGTTTGAGGGTGTGATTCACCATCGGCTTCTAACATCAGCTGGTCAAGTGTATCTTCGATTGAAACGCTCGGTTCTTCCGCGGCATTGATAATTTGATCTTGGTGAAGATCCGGTCGAGGTGCATCCATGTTGACGTTATGTCGTGCAGTATGAATTTCTGCTAGAGTTCGTGGAAGAAGTCCAGGAGAAACGTCTTCTAAGGATTCCCCAAGGATTGGATGGCGGGTTTGGTCTCCGTTTGGACCGGTTCTCACACTGTATCCCTGGTGAAATTCGAACCATGCAGTCAAGAACTCGGATTGATCGGGGTATTCTGGAATCCTTGATAGACTTGGGGTCACTCGAGGATGGGCGGCAGCAACTCGGTTTTCCCAAAAGACTATGTGAAGACATCAGTAAGCGAAACCATCATCACATGAGTTGATAGCTGATTAACGAGAAGTGTGCCTAGAGGGGTCCATGCAGGCTGAGTGTATTAACTGGTGCTCAAAGATATATTTCACATGAGCTGGCTGGGACGGCTGATAAGTATTCATGGAGCGATGCAAGCTCGATCCTACTGGTGTACTGGGATCGATCCTCTTGATGATGGCATTCAACCAAGAACTGCCTAGTTTATCTGACTTGTCAAACCGATCAATGCCTCCATGCGGCAGTCGGGCAAGTGAGCAATGGAGCCAGGCCTAGGAACGCAGTCGACCGGGAAGGAAATCAATGTGAAGGAGAAGTGCATGGAACAAGGTACCGGATAGGAGAAACGCTATGTATCAACTGATTACCCTCATATGGCGTGGCACGAACGTCAACCCGACTCCCATCCACGCTCGAGTGTCATCCATCCTATGGTGCGGACGATATCCTGAGCAATACCGGGCATGGGAACGAACAGAACGGCAGTCAAGGGATCGATGCTGAGAATAGTTCGCGACTAACCTTTACAAAACCAACAGTAATTCTGCCACCGCGTCCCTCGGTAGACGAATCCCACCCCATCCACGTAGATGCGGTATGATCCCGCATGGGGTCGCCGGTCGTCACAGGCGCAGCATCGCGGCGTCGCGGTAAGTCGGCAGGAGGAGGGGAGTTTATGAGGGCAATGTTCCTCGAGGCGAGGGAGACCGGCGGTCAATGTGCCCATGATGACTAGATTGCCTTCTATAAACAGTCCGAGATTCTTGCTCCGACGAAGCAATTAGATGATGGGCCAGGTCATCACCGGATAACCGTAGAGCCGAGCAAGAGCCTCAGGTGTCGAATTTGACTCTATTATGAAAAATCCAAAGCCCCGAGTACCTCAATACTCAGTATGTAGATCCTTCAAGGATAACCACACAGCGGTTGGATGTAGAATTATTGAACATTTGTGAAGAGTGTTGACTTGCATAGAAGCGCTGATGTTGGAGGGGGGAGGATTGTATCAAATGGTCCAATGAGAGCAGCGTTGGTCAGACGCCGCAATCGCATGCACGAATTAAGGTTAATAAGTGGGTCTCACGAACATCATCACATATGGTAACTTACAGGAAATATATTAACCATCCTGATGACTGGAATCAGCTGGTTGTGGATGGGAGGTATTAGATCAAACAAAAATGTGCCAGGCACCTAGATATCAGGATCGAACATCTATTTGCCGTTGTACATCTATCTCTATTTAACTTGTTCTCCCTCGCCACAAACAAGCTACCAGGTTTCCTGTTTGTATCGTCCCTCTTTCTCCATCCTTACCAGAACTGCCTCCGCCTCTTCTCGAGATCGCGCGTTTCCTCGCTGAAACACTTCTATCAGTGCCTCTCGAATAGCTTGGGGCATTTTCCCAGATGACCTTGGAAGCGTGAGCTTTGGTCGTGCGCAAAAGGAACGGAGAACTTACCCGCAGATGTATATTAACCCGTTGCATTCTTCCAGAAGCTTGTATACTAGCTCGCCTTGCTCACGGATAAGGTCCTGCACATAGACTTTCTGCCTCTGTGTCGTTGTTAGCATATTTCGGCCATGGAATGCGACCTGGTTTACCTGGTCCCTTGAGAACGCTGCGAAGACGTCCAAAACACCCCGCTCCTTCATCCGCTGCCATTCTGCCCCAAAGAAATAATCCGACCTTTCGTTTCGACAACCAAAGAATAGCACATCATTTGTCTTCAAGAGACCTGAGTTACCATTGTTATGATTCGCAAGGAGTGCCTGCTTCTCCCAGATCAGGCTCCGACATGGCGCCACTCCCGTGCCCGGCCCGACCATAATTAACGGTCTCTGCATCAGTTCATCCGGCTTGATGGCCAACGAACCCTTTTGCAGCACCACGTTGAGTTTGTATCCTGGCGGCAGGGACGAAATGTATCTCGTACAGACACCTTCTCGTATGCGACGGATCACAGTCTTGTACTTCACGATCGCCACCAAAAGCTCAAACCGCGTTCCGGTGCTCGCAACACCTGCCGGAACATGTCCCTGTGATTGCAGATACTTGAGCTGGCCGCCACTCGCGATACTGAACTGCCTCTGTCGGAGGGGCGGGAAGACCGCGCATGCCCATTCCCATGGGAGTTTCAAGGACGGGAAGTCGGCGAGAGACTCTAAGATGGAGCGACGGGGGCGGGTCGTGTAGTCGTATAGATCGTCTAGGTTGATTGGATCGGCGAATTCGAGGAGACGCTCCTGGTGGTCGGGATCGTCGGTGAAGTGCGCTAGGAGGGCAAAGAATGTACGACGGGGGATCGAGATGGGGTCGAGGTAGGAGGTGAGAAGCGTGCGGAGGGTCATGAGGGAATCGGTGCGGATGGGTGGCGGTGGATAATTTGGTGGGAGTGGGATGGAACCATTCGGAATGAATTTAAGGGACTTGTCGGCAATGGATGACCAACCTAACAGCTCTAGGAGACGGGAGACGTCCTCAGCGAAATTCTGGGGCTGAATCGCCAAAACGTCTCCTGGACCATACTCATACTGTTCGTCAGTAGAAAGAATCAGGTGTCGAACATCTTGCCAATGGTCGTCCGGAGTGACACGATCATTGGAGACCACTTCCACCGGCACACTCCCTGTAATGGGCAGTAGATCAGACACTAAGAAATTTGCCTTTCTGTTCGTCGTGCTCTCGGGTGCATCATCCAGAGCCAACAACCACTTCGGCTGCAACAGCACTTGATCGGGTATCGCGTCCACTCCGTTAGGGAGAGGAAACAGCTCTAGGAGCGTACTGCGGAGGCCAGTCAACCAGGGAACAAATGTTCCATCCACCCTGAAAAGATCCGTCAGAACTCGATCATCCCAAATCCATCATGTTAGGAGTCTACGCACCCTTCGGGGTGCTGCTCATCCGACTCCCCTCTATCATAGAGCGCGATTGCGCCCAGTTGCGTGAGGCGATTGCGCAGCTTCCGATGCGCCCAATTGAACCTGCCTTCGTCAACGACCACCAACTACTTCACAACGCGGCAGGGAGCACTCACTTCGGATAGGAAGTGTCTCCTAGCCCAAAGGAGATAAATTGAAGCGGGTAGAGACATCCCGGCTTGAGCCGGGCGCTGCGGAGCGAGCGCCAGAATTTCTGGGCGTTGGCGGGCAAGTCGCCCTGGCCGGTGGTGGAAATGGCGAAGAGGACGACCTGGTGTTTTAGGAGGTCGTTCTGTGATCGGTCAACTCCGGACAATCAATGCGGTGGTCGGGAAGGTGTCGAACCAGATTAATACTGTCCAGTTCGCATAGATGACTGCTGAACCGTAGGCGTTCGGCGGTGTCGCGGATTTGCTCGGCGACATCGTGGGCATTTCCGGTCTCTGAGCCATAGAGGATGAGGGCAGTGCGATTGCGGAGAAGGTCTTCTGATGAAGTCATCACGATGGGACCCACGGTCACGTAGTCCCAATCAACACGCGCAGCGGTTCAATTCCTTCTGCAGCTCCTTTTGCAGTTTTGCTATTGTGCTCATGGAGCAATGACGGCGGAAACCATCTTGTGAAGCTGCAGTTGACGTAGGGCAGCGAGTAGGGCGGTATTCTGTCATGCCATAATGACTAGAAGCGGATAGTCAATACTGCAATCCTCCAATTAGATCTTATAGACGCCCTCTAAAACTAGATCTGCTGTATCCGTAATTACGGAATATTATCTCCACAGCAATACTAATTATGGCGCATGGCTAGTTAGTGAGGATGGCAAAAAGTTGTGGCCTTGCAGCCTCAGGTTTTTTGGGGGTACGGGGGCAATGAGGGTAATAGCACGTGACAAGAACCAAATCCATAATTGACCCACAGACCCGCAGAATCTCGACGTAGCTTCCCTGTCGGCCTGGATTCCTGCCTGAATCGCCGCCTTCACTCTGACGCACGCGTGCTCCTGTGGACTGTGGCGAGTGCAGCCGCCCCTAACAGAAACCACCAATCACTCGCTGACTCGCCCTTCCCTCCAGCCACATTAAGGCCCGTGCGCACACTCCCTCTCCAAACAACACCGAATTATTATTTCAGTCGCCCTTCCGCCTCTCGCTCTCCTTCTCCCCTTTCTCTTCCATCATCCAAGATCCAGTACAACTTTGCTGATTCGCCAGTTTCTACTTCTGCTCTTCAAGTTTCCTTCGGGCACCTAGCTACCCACTCAAATTCCAACTCCTCCTCGACAAGCCTTTTCCCACCCTGCTTGCGGCGGTCTCTTCGGACAATCCATCCAGACCACCTTCTCAATCCTCCCTTTACCAGGCAGACCATTTCGGCTCTACCAGGACAACCCCGTTTCCTCAACCTTCCACACGGCTCCTGAACCCTGCTCCTTCATCCCCGAAGCAGCAGATCCATAATCCAGTTCTTTCAGAATCTCGTGTCAGAAAATCCATAAACGTTAATCAACATGTCCGCCGCTGTCGAAGCTGTTACCGCCCAGTTGGCAACCGCCTCCATCGAAAAGGCCAATGGCGATCATATTGACGCTTCCAAGGATGAAGCCGTCATCGCCAGCGCCGCCGAGGGAAGGCGCCTCTACATTGGGAATCTCGCATATGCGACCACCGAGGAGGAGTTGAAGGAGTTCTTCAAGGACTACCTGGTGTAAGTTGCTCCCCTCACTGATGTTTCCAGATCTGTTGCTTATCGTTCTTTGCTAGTGAGTCGACTTCCATCCCGACCAACCCCAGGACCCAACGTCCCGTTGGCTATGCCTTTGTCGACCTGTCGACTCCTTCCGAGGCTGAACGTGCCATCGCGGAGCTTAATGGACAATCCATCTTGGATCGCAAGGTGTCCATTCAGCTTGCGCGCAAGCCTGAGCCGGCTGGCGAGGGCGCCATTGGCGAAGATGGTACTCGTCGTTCGTCCCAGCGCGGACGTGGTCGTGCACGTGGCCGTGGAGGTCGTGCGGCCCGTGGTGGTCGAACCGTAAGTCTGACCCACTCACTTCATCAGATTGTCGACTAATGTCATCCAGGTCCGCAATGAGGCTGGCGAAGTCATCACCACTGAAGGCGGCCCCCAAAATGTACCCGGACAAGTCCTTCCTCTCACCGACGTCACGAACACAGCACTCACAGAATCCAAGGGTACCGAGGGCGAGGCTATCGATGCCGAGAACGCTGGCAAGCCGCGAGTCCCCAGGGAGCGCAAGCAGCGTGGCCCCCCGGAGGACGGTGTCCCATCCAAGACCAAGGTCATGGTCGCCAACTTGCCATATGACCTGCGCGAGGATAAGGTTCGCCATGATGTCACGTTCCAACATTTGAAATCGCTAACCCGTCTCACTAGCTGATGGAGATCTTCGCGGAGTACTCCCCGTCCTCCGCCAAGATTGCGCTTCGCCCGATCCCGCGCTTCATGGTCAAGAAGCTCCAGGCCCGTGGCGAGCCCCGCAAGGGACGTGGCTTCGGCTTCGTCACCCTGGCCACCGAAGAGATGCAGCAGAAGGCTTGTGATGAGATGAACGGCAAGGAGATCGAAGGCCGTGAGATTGCCGTCAAGGTTGCCATCGATAGCCCCGGCAAGGAGGACGACGATCTCAACGGTGAGCAGGTAGCCGCCGGCGAGAACGTTGAGCCTGAGGCCACTGCCACCGCCGATGCCCCGACCGAGGCCCCGGCCACTGCCACTGCGTAGGGTCATCGTCGGTGCTCGACATGTCAAGTCTCAGCTTCCATCCAAGCGCTCGTCACCCAGTCCCCTTTTCCCCACTCCCAGTCAATTTCCCACAGATCACCCACATGGTACCCCCAACGCTACGCTCCGACCAGGTTGGAGAGTGATGTTTCCGGAGTTTTCGCAGCACATGATCCACCAAAACACCATATGCTGCATTTCCTACCCTCACGGTCTGCCTTGCTTGGCGATGCAGGAGGACAGCAGATCAGCAAACACAAATATGAACGGCATGCTTTTCCCCCAGCTACTCGACAGGTTTCCAATCAGCATATCTGTAAACTAGGATGGATAGTTAAATGAGACAAAACTTGGGTGACACATGATTTCCCCATTGCGTATGTGATTCGCGTTGTTCACGGATAGAAGTGAAATTGTCTACCCGAGTCCCAGTCGTGGTGGTTGCTGTTAAAAGAGCTGTACTTGATGGCATAGCAGATAGTTGATGTGATCTGATCCCTGCATATAATACCATGATCTGAAGGATGCATCCAATCTTTCAGTAAGAAGATTGCTTTTTGCGCTTCAGTAGATGTTTCCAGTTGGCATTTCCCACGACCAAAGGCCGCTCAACAGCCCCAGGCAGTTCACACTTCACAGCTCACCGGCAGGTTGGCGGTTTGGTGGAGTGGTGAGGTTGTCCTAACCGTTGTGGCTCCGCATGACTAAGGCGAAGCACCTTTCCTAAAGCGACTAGTGCCGATGTTCCTGGTACTTTGGTCGGATGGACGTAATAATATTCATGTGCAATTGAATGCGTTAAACCTAATTGAATGCGCCTTATTATAGCTGCATCTGAATGAGAAGCATACCAACTATGTACTAATATGATTTGACCGTTGCTGTATTCTGCTATGAGGATTTATCGCGAACGTGAACGAGCATTCTCCTTCACTTTCGTCATTCACCATGCGAGGGAGACCCTTGCACCTCCATGATTCCTGTACCGTATCCACCTGGAACCACCCAAGCCGCCGCCCATGACCCAACACCATTCCTCTCGCCATTTTCTCTTCCTCTTCTCCAATCTTCCCAGGCGTACCTTTCCACCTCCCGATCCCTCCACCCCGTCGACCGCACATCTTCCACCATCCACCCCTCCATTTCCGCCAACACCCCGCGACACGTCGACCGAGATTGGAAAGACGCGTTTGATATTGCCCCGTTGCGGACCGCCGTTTGCCCACCTTCGACCCGACCCGACCACCACGCGAACCGGACGAGTTGCCATCCACGCAATCTTACCCAGACCGGTTCGGACGGGCGAGAGACATCGAGACACGACATAAAGGCGTTTGCGACACGCCAGGAGGACGCGTCGCATTCGAGACCGCGCGGGATCGTGCGCGTAGAAGCTCCTTCAGCAGCGGGGCGGGCTTGCAGGAGGCTCGCTCGCTGTTGGGGAGTCGTATGGGAGACTAGGCGAGGATGGTGAGCGAAGTGCAGACGGGACGCGGTGAAGGACTGTTGCTGATGGGGTTCGCTAGGTTCAATTCAAAAGGAAGCCGGTGCAATACGTGCCGCACCCCAAGCGGCTGAAAGAGAATGACGAGGTGCGGAGCTCATAGCAGGTGTGGAGATGCATGGAGGGCTAATGTGTGGTTAGGTGTTCTTTATTCAGCAGACGGGGGAAATCTTTCGTGATTATGAGGCATATCTACAGAGGTGCGTTCGCATGCGATGAGGTGGTGGGAGAGAGAAAGTGGCTAATACATCCCCCTCCAGGCGCGATTTCTACCTCCAAGTACGCGTGGTCCATACCCTCTTTTTCACTGTATTATGTCTCTAACCATTATTATAGAAGAAATTCACCTGCGAGATTACCGGCCGTTCCGGACTCAGCTTCTTCGATGCGCTGGAGAGCGAGGTCGGTTGCCCCGCCCAAAATGGCCACCCACGTCTGACCGTGCTACAGATGGAAGAGACACGCATCGTCGACGACAATTTCCCCGAGCCGCTTCGCGAGCCCGTTCTGCGCCGGGTCCAGTTCTCGACAATCTCCAGAATCGATGATTTAGGTGGGTTGACATGGGTTTTCTAGGGTAATGGCAAGACTAATACACCCTTGCAGTGACACTGGCGTATGATGAGTTCAAGGAAGACTTCTTCCCCGGCGAGACCGTGATTGTCCTCCTCCCTTCCGGCGACCGGACCGTCGGTCAGGTGCGCGAGAAGACTACGATGTCGGCATTGACGAATCCGGACGGCAGCGTCGAACGACCGGCGCAATCCCGGTACTTCATCCGCGTGCTCGCCAACCGACCCGACCTCCCGAAGGAGACATACCTGGACGGATCCAACCTCACGCGCGACAAGAAGTTCTTTACCAAAAACATGCTCCGCGCGTTCCTGAAGCAGACGCTGAGCCGTGCGTCGTGGGTCGGCGCTCCGTGGAACGTTAAGCCGGGCATCGCCAGAGAGTACAGCATCAACATCGACATCCCTCCCCATCTGGCGCAGTCGGAGATCCAAGCGATGCGATTCGCGGAGCGAGAGAGGAAGCTGGGCAGCAAGCGCGCGGGCATCCAGAACCACATCACCATCTACCAAGGCCCCCCAGAGGACCGATCGCCGGACTTCTCCACCCATAGCGGGAAGAGCAAGCACCGCAGCGTTTCGAATCCGAATATGCATCCGCAACAGCACTTCCACCAAGGTCATCCTATGCCACATATGCACGGCCAACCTCAATTCGTCCCCTACCAAGCCTACGGAGCCCCCCCTGGTGCCATGCTGCACATCCCTTACTCCCAGTTCGAACCTCCCTCTGTCCCCGTCCAACAACTCTACGGCAACCAATACGCCCACCAACCCATCCAAGTCCCGATCTACCAGCCCGAATCTCCACGATCGCCGCGTGTGCCGACACCGCCACGCAATCCGACACCGCCACCTCCGCCTATCAAATACCCGATTGAAGACCTGGATATCACACCCAAGGAGGATGTAGTTGCGCGACCGCAATTGAAGTACTTGACGACGGAGACGGCGGAGATGAGCTCGTCAGACTCGGAACATGAGGAGCGGACCGAGTTACAGCCTAATTCTGTCGGCCCACTCCTGGAAATCTGGAATACGCTCAACGTCCATAAAGAAGTCTTCACTCTAGACTCGTTCACGATCGATGATTTTCTAGATGCGATGGATTTTTCGTCTGACGAATTGGACTGCGAGCTCTTCGTCGAGATCCACTGCGCCGTGCTGTCCATCCTCGTAAATCCACAAGGTCACGTGCTCGCCCAACTCCCGCAGTTCGAGGAATCGTCGGACGAGTCCGAGTCCGAATCCGAGGAGTCTGATGAACCAAGCCCGGAACCGGAGCCTGTCCCCGTCCGGACCACACGAGGCAGTCTCAGGAAACAGGAGATCGAGCGATTACGAGCCCTCCGCACCCCAACGCCCGACCCCAACGCTCCCACGCACCGCGCCCCAGAACTCCTAGAGAACTACGGCTGGATCGAGCGATTAAAGGCCCGTGACTTCCGCGCCGGCGGCTGGGAAGTCATCATGATCGGCGTGCTCTGGCAGCTCTCGCTCGACGAGCGGGAGAAGAAGAACTGCGAGCCGGTCCTCCGGTACCTCGCTCCTTTGGATGTAGAACCGACGCAGGAGACCACGCGCGAGCATTACGCAACGATGGATATTAACCTACGCATCCAGGCGCTCGAGACCATCACGATGCTGGCGGTGCGGACGAAGCCGATCAGGGAGTATATGGAGCAGATGAGCGAGCAGATGACCGAGTTCCGCAAGCAGAAGATCGACTGCCAGCGGAAGCGGAAAGTATTGTAAGTGATTATTAACTGTTGAGATGGGTCGGGCTAATGGATGCAGCATGGAAGAGCTCCGGGAGGTTGACGATAAGCGGAAAACGCTACAGACGGAGATCGTCGAGAAAAATTTGGCTGCGGAAACCAACGGTGACGCGAAGCCCGTTAACGGTGCAGCGGACGAGGAGAAATCACCACCCCCAGAAATAAAGGACACCGATTCCGAGGAGACGGAAGACGAGATGCCTACACGGACGCTCCGACGCGCCGACGAGCGCAAGCGCAAGCGCGAAGAAGAAATCACGCGCAAAGAGCAAGAAAAGAAGGCGAAGGCGGACGCCAAGTCCTCGAAACAAGACACGGCGCTCGCCAAGCTCATGAAGCAAATCGACGGCAAGCGCGCCGCCATCAAAGGCTGCGAAGACCAGATCGCCACCATAGACGACCACCTCCGCGAAACCAACATCCAGCGCACCAAACAGCTCGGCCGCGACCGCTTCTGGAACCGCTACTACTGGTTCGAGCGCAACGGCATGTCCTTCGCCCCCTCCGACGACGAGTCCTGCCCGTATGGCTACAAAAACGGCCGCCTCTGGATCCAAGGCCCCGACGCCTCCGAGCTCGCCGGCTTCATCGACCTCCCCCCCGCCGACATGGCCGACTACAAGAAACGCATCGGCATGACCGTCCCCCAGCGCCGTGACAAAGAAGAAGGCGCCACCCGCCTCCCCGACGCGAACCACTGGGGCTACCTCGACTCCCCCACCGACCTCGCGGCCCTCATCGACTGGCTCGATGACCGCGGCCTGCGCGAGAAGACACTGCGCAAGGAACTCGTCACGTGGCGCGTTAGCATCGCGCAATGCATGACCGCGATGCACGCGCACCGCGACGCCGCAGCGGCCAAGCGCGCTGCGGCGAGCGAAGACGGTGCGACGCGGGTGAGCACGAGGACGAAGACGTATGCAGACCTGGGGGCGACGAGGCATCGGTGTTTGATGTGGAGGAATGGGGCGGCGGTGGAGAGGTTGGGGCATCGGCACGGGGAGCCGGGGGGGAAGAAAATAGCGAAGGGGAAGAAGGGGGAAGTGAAGGCAGTGGGGAAGAGTGCAAAGTTGGTGACGAGGGGGACGAGGAGTGGGAGGGGTTGAGGGGTTAAAAATAGGAGGATAGGATGATGCGACGCACCGTAGTTCGTCGATTCTTCGAGTCGACGATGACTTCCATCGTCGTTGACATCAGACGACACACATTTCTTGCTTTACGGAGTTCGGCGCACACACATCGGAGAGGGAAAAGTCTCACTCGTGGATCTCATGGATGATGAAGTCACCCCCCACCACATCGCATCACGGCCGCCTCTTCTAGGATTTTTTCTCGATTTGCATGACACGCGGCGATATGACGGGGCGGCTCTGGATCATCGATTGTCTGCGTTCACGAACGAACGACCGCATCTCGGGAGTGATCTAGCTACAGTTGGGTCACGTGCACGACATGACGGGCTCGACGCTGCTTCTTCGGTGGCCACGCAATTGTCGATGGTGCGGCTGGCGTTGGAAAACGGATCGAGGAGATGGGTTCCGGAGGGATTCGATATGGCGGTTTATTCACATACTGCATGCATGCGAGCGGAGGGCATCGGTGGAGTCGTTTGATTTGTAGATACTGAGACGGTGGTTCGATAGTAACTAGCCAGGCTCGGAAGCAGTGCGGACTGCGTATTCTCATGGTGTTGATATTCCATGTTCACGGTGACTGCGATGAGTTGAACACGATCAGACGGCCGTCAGGTGTAGAGCGGAAGGCAAGGCATAATACTACAGTCGTTGTTCGAGTTCTATATTGTCATATTGAGCCAACGTAATACCAGAGGCTGAATATCCAAGTTCCATGGCATAAACGCGCTAGATATCACAAATTTCTACCTATTTTCATACCATTTCCGCTCCTAACCGAGCCACCTTAAATATCGTTGCAAATTCAAGACGGAGAGATGTAGAAAAAAGAAGAGGGATGATACATCGGGCCTTTATGGAGAGAACATCCAAGATACAACTCCAACTCCACTCGATATTGAAGAAACATGTCCGAACTTGAGTGGACGCGTTGGAGCCTGACCTGGGGCCTGGTCGGCCAACCGCATCTTCCGCTCCCAAGTCAGTATCACGATGATTAGTTTTCGGGGTGACAGTGGTTGAACCCCCGGAGTGTAAAAAATCTCGCATCTTGCCCAAACTGGCTCGTATATGTCTGTCCAACCCCTACGTGGATGCCGTCCCACCACCCATGATTCCCTCCCGGCCGCCTGGACAATGGACCCCCGGAGAATGCATCGGACTTCGGAAACGGGAGAGATTCCCGCGCACCCGCAGGTGTCAGTGTCTGCAAGTAATCGTCGCCGGGGCGCGCATCTGCGGACTGGGTGGTCTTGCATGCTCCTACGCAGGGTTAGTATCACTATGAATCTAGAACGTCCTTGTGTGCGTCGATAAGAAGGCTGGAGCACAGGAGGCGGCAGGACGACCCGTCGTCGGACGATGCTCCGTCGCTGGTGCCAGATGCCCATCCGTAGCGGCAGTGCTTCATCGAAAGCACGTCACCGCCTCCCGTCACCTCAGAGTCGAATAGTACGCACGACTAGAGTCCCGGACGAAACGCAACATCTACCCCAGGTCCTACCTTCATGTTGTATAATCGCTTATCCGGGATCCGCACCGGTCGTCCTGATTCTGTTTCCCTGACCCGAAGCAAAGGCAGAGAGCTACGAAAGCAAGACATGCATATCATCAAAGGCTTGCAGCGGATCCGTGGCGTGTAGTAGGGGTACCGAGTCTGGCGCAGCGTATTGAAAGTGCCATCTGTGATACCCAGAAATCGCCAGTATCGATCCCTTGGATTCCATAAGGTGGTCCTACAGCGGAACCAATCCCTTCACTTTGACCCATGTGATCAATGGGTATCACGGTCACGTAATTCGTAGTCTACGTAAAAGTGAAATTGTTTAGTATCTGGAAACAGATCGTATATACAACTTAGGAAAGTCGTGACGTCGGACGCTGGCGTGGGCAGTGACTCAAAGACAGACACAAGTGAAGCCCAACACCCAACCCCGCTATATCCAAATCCGCTTCTATGAATGAAATCAGAAGAGAAAGGCGTCCAGAGCACTTGGAGAGTAAGGAACAAAAGGCACGCCAGTGTTGATATGAAACACCAAATTGGGCACTTTTCAAAGGCCAAACTGCGAAGCAACTGGTAACAGCCAATTTAGTCTGTCAGGCCCATTCCTTCTTTGATTAGCTTGCAAAGGGTGTTGCCCTATGTATTGTTAGAAAATGCTCAAGATCGGTCTCTCGGAAGCTGAAACTCACATGCTCATCTCGCATCATCGTGAAGTGGTTTCCTCCCATCACCCGGAAAGTTAAGGCCTCATCGCCCAATAGTTGTGCCCATCCATTGTCACCAAAATCAGTTCGATTGTCCAGTAACCACTTCATCGGTTTGGGATCCTCTCCCTCGGCCGGCGGTGGTCTTGGATCACCAGGCTTCCCACACACTCCATCAGTAGCCCAGATGGCAAGGGTAGACGGCGCGATTCCTTTCGGCATCGGCGCCGGTTCATAAGCTGACAGTGCCTTGATACAAGATTCAAAGTGCGGTAGTAGCCAGCCTGGAGTGCCACCTGCTTTGCCGGTTCCCAGCAGTCCAATGCTCTCGAAGAAATGATGCAAGCGTGCGGGAAGAGGCTCGAGTTTGACTGGACAAGGCGAATCAAGTAGTATTAGGCGCTCTACCTTCTCGCCCGCCGCCATCAGTTGCAGGGCGACCTCGTACGCAACCACGCCCCCGGCAGACCAGCCGCCGATAAAGTAAGGGCCACTGGGTTGGCGGCGACGCACCTCCGCAAGATATATGGCTGACACGCCCTCAATTCCGCAGGTGAACTGAGCTGGGGTTTTCATGAAGGGACAGTTGAGGCCAAAGACAGCGACATCGGGAGAGATGTTCGGGATACTGATGTACGACGTTGCAGACCCCGAGCCGTCAGGGAAGAGGAAGAGCTTCTTAGTTGCAATCTTGGCGTTACCTTGGAGGAGGACAGAAGTAGCGGGAGGGAATTTCGACACATCGTAGGAATTGGCGTGCAATTTACGGTTCACCTCAGCTAGCTGGGGAGAGGTGGGTGCAGCATTCGGAGGCTTGGCTTCAACTTTGGCTTGCATTTTGATAGTCCCCTTCGGTTTCGGCCGCATCCCAAGCGCGTTCTCGATGTCCTCAATGGTGGGATTAGTGGTGAGGAAGGTTGATGGAAGATCGACACCCGTCTTCTCACGAAGAGAGCCGAGGATAGTCAAGCTCATGAGAGAATCCATGCCCAGCTCAGCGAGGTCGGCAGTATCGGTTATCTCCGAAACGGTGACACCCATTTCTTCCGCAACTGTCTGGCGCGCAATGCTGGGAGCTCCGTTTGAGACCTCGTGCGTCCTAATGACAGACACTTCCACAGCAGACTTTGCTGTTGCCTCAAAGCTGGGAGCGGAACTGGCTGGAGTACTGGTTCCATCGCCCTCGCCTTCGAATGGTGTAATGGCATCCTGTTCAGAGATATCTGAGTCGTCGGATTCGATGAGGGGAGCATCACCATCGTACTGGCCGAAGAACTTCTTCATGGCACCAACGGTGGGGTAGTCAGTGAAGAGGGCTGAGCTGATCTCGAGATCGAGGTCCTCCCTAAACTTGGCAGAGATGGTGAGGGACATCAAGGAGTCCACACCAAGGTTATCGAAAGCAGCTTCATCAACAAGTTCCGACATGTCAACGTCCGTCTCCGCGGCAATAATCTTCATGACACGAGCTGTAATAGTGTTGCCACCGGAAGGCCTCTTCTGCGCGACTTTGTTTTCGACCTTGGGCCTTGGTGCGGGTATAGCTCTGACGGATGCAGATAGAGTCTTCACGGGTGCTTTTTCGGTAGCGGGAGCAGATTTGGCAGGCACCGATCCACCGCCTTGAGTCATCATCTTCCTAACAGCCTCTTTTGATGGCAGCATGATAGCCAGCGCCTTTCGAGGAATCTCTTGGAATTTGAGTCCGGTGGTCACAGCAATGATTTCATCGCCCTCCAGAATATAGACGTCCCCGACCATGGTCTTCCGGGGTCCAGGAAGCAGGCGGACGTACGACTGGTAGACACCATCAAGGGAAAAAGGCTTACTGAATCGCATGTTGCTCCAACCGTGAGAGATGAAGCCGCTATCTGGGTTGCAGAGGTCGGAACCGTTCACGATGAAGCCAGAGAGATGGCAGAGAGAGTCAATCCAGAAAGGTGCACAGAAGAAGTCTCCATCCTCTTTCGTGTTCTGGAATCGGACCTTGGCGGTTGCCTCGGTGTTGTGCGCATCAAGGATGACTTCTTCCATGCCTTGATATGGTTTCTCGTATTTGCACATCGATGCAAATAGTTTATAGGCCATGCCACGAAGAATCTTATGGGCATTTCCGGACGCAAGTTTCGATTTGAGGAGGTCGATCTGAGTCTGGACCATGAACTGTACGCGGAGCCATTCTTCACGCCACGTTTCCTTGTTTTCGTACTTCACAAGACCATGACCATGTTCCAATATGAGTTTGCCATTGGCATCAGTGCTGCGGTAGGTCAAATGGACCTCGCCAACCTCCAGGTCAGCTTTAGCCACAAGTTGAAGATGTTGGCCCGCATCAGGTACGGGATCCAATGGCATAAGCGGTTTGTGGACTTCCATAGAGCAGCAGTTGAGTCCAACATCAGAAGCACCGGGTCGAAGCTGCTTGTACAAGTAGTCCGCAGCGGTGAATGCCATGTCAGCATAGATGGATGACGGGCAAAGGGGAACGCCATTGATGATATGACCCTCCACGGCTTTCTTGAATGTGGGTTCGTGCATGTCAGACTGGAAAATGACAGTCCCCGAGTTGGCGTGGAATTCCTCATTGACAATCTTTTGAAGTGATGTGGTAGAGAGCTTCGGTTTTTGCTCGACCTTCGGAGCCTCAATTTGCTGAGCTGGCACGAAAGGCGCTTCGCCTTTAGTGAGAGTCCAGTTGTGATGATAGTCGAGCCAGTAGGTCTTGTTATCGAACGAGTAGGTTGGGAGAACATATAGCTCATGGGCGTCATTGAACTCGCGGTGATACTCATTGAAGTCAAAAGCCACACCAGCAAGGTACAACGTGGAGATATTGCTGGTGAGACTCTTCCAAGGGTCCTCATTGCGGCGCAATGAATATGCAGTGGTTGGGGGGCTGAGCAAGGACGATTTAACCATAGCAGAGGTAACCGGGTGTGCACCAATTTCAAGCCAGGTGGTTTTCTCGTTGAAGGCCTTGCTCTCTTGCCCGGCAGTGAGAGCAGTCCAGAAATTGACAGTCTCACGAGCATGGCGTGCAAGATAGTTTGGCCCAATGACCCCTTGCTCCCTAATCACCTCACCGGTGAGAGGAGACAGCACGGGTACAGAAGGTTTGTTAAAGACGACGGAGGCGGCAGCAGACTTGAACGAATCCATGATTGGGCCGACTTGCGCGGAGTGGAAAGCGAAAGGAACGTTAAGCTTCGTCGCCTTGAACCCTTGAGCAGCAACAATATCAGCGGTTGAGGCAATGACGTCCGTGCTACCGCACAGAACGGTCTCCTCGGGGCTGTTGACACAGGCGACTTCGGTCATCTTCGAACCCAGGACTGACGAAAGAGTCTCAACACTTGCCTTCACAGCAAGCATTCCATGAGTATATTCGGTACAGTTGGCGACCAAAATCTCGGCACGACGCCCAACAAGCAGGATCATGTCGCTAGCTGAGAGTACACCGGCGACGTGGAGCGCGGCATATTCGCCGAGGCTGTGGCCAATAACAGCAACAGGCTTGACGCCCCAAGAAGCCCACATGCGAGCCAGGGCAACTTGTATACAAGCAAGGCCCAATTGGACCACCACTGGGGACAGTGTCGCGACATCCGTACCGTCGAGTATAGGTATGAAAGAGGGCAGACCCTGAATGCGAGCAAGCTTGTCAAGTTGTTCAATGTCCGCACGGAAGGAACTGAGTTCCTCAAACAGCTTCTTCGCGAGGGCAGTATATTGAGAACCCTGACCAGTGAAGGTGAAAGCAACTTCGGTCGGTACCATGGCGATCGGGCTGTACGTGTCTTTGAGTTGGCCCCCGAGACCTTCGCTAACTTGGCTCATATCGGACGCGGTGAATGCAATGCGGTAGTTGTGCTGAATGCGGCGAGCAGTAGTGGTGTAAGCAAGGCTAGGTAGAGTCGTACTAGGGTTCTCGCGGAGCCAATTCATCAAATTGTTGAGATTCCTCTTCAATGATGCAATAGATCGAGCAGAAACTGAGATGAGATGTGTGCCTCGGGGATCCACGCCCTTTGGAGCCTCGCGAAGGGGGCCATCTTCGAGTACAATGGCAGTGTTACCACCCGCTGCACTGAAGTTGTTCAGGAACGCCCGACGCTTCTCTGCGCCTTTGCGTGGCCAGGCAACCTTTGATTGTGAGATGTGGACATTCCGTTCGGAGAGGTCTTTGGGGAAGGTCTTGTTGATTTCACCCTTGATTCCCACATTGGCCGGGATGGCGTTCTTTTGCATCATTAGCATAACCTTGATCAACGAATTGATCCCCGATGCAGCCTCAGCATGGCCAACGTTCGCCTTGATCGCGCCGAGATGCAGAGTTTGTTCCGGACGTCTCCGGCGGTGGCATGGGGCGAAGGAATTGGTAACAGAAGTCATCTCAATTCCGTCACCAGCTTGAGTTCCGGTGCCGTGCATCTCCACATAAGAGATGTCATGCGGATCAACGCCAGCTTCGGCAAGGACCTTCTTATACAAGAACTCCTGCGCACCAGCGTGAGGATGGGTGATCGAGATAGCCTCAGCAGAGTGGTTCGTCGAAGCACCGAGGATGCATCCAAGGATGTTGTCGTTGTCGGCGATAGCATCCTCGTATCGCTTGAGAATGACGGTCCCGCAGCCATCTCCACGGCAATAGCCATCTGCATCGTTGTCGTACGTTTTGCAGGACCCTGTCTTGGACAGGAACTGACCCTTGGAAAGGCCGGCGAAAATGTCCGGATTGGTAAGGACATTCAGACCGCCAGCACATGCAGTATCACAGTCCCCAGCCCAGAGCGAAGTACAGGCGAGTTGAATAGCGGCCAAGCTGGAAGAGCATGCGGTGTCAATGGAAAATGACGGACCGCTGAACTTGAAATAGTAGTTGATTCGCCCTGTGGCGAATGCTCGCACCCCGCCCGTGATAAAGTAGGTGTCGACATTTTCGGCCGCGTTAATTTCACGCCAGTCATCACTTGTTTGACCATAAAACGTGCCAATCCGGTGTAGCTTCGTCGATGGCGTTCGGTTAGGAACACATCCCGACATCTCGAGGGCCTCATAGGCGGTGACCAAAGCCAACCGACCCATAGGGTCTGTCTGCGCTGCCTCGCGGGGAGACATGTTGAAGAAACGAGGGTCAAAAAGACCAGGTTCATCAATAAAACAGCCGTAAGGTGTATGCGATTTGTTCTTCCCTTTGCCAGACGGGTCGCAGTGAGCCTTGGCATCAAATCGATCTTTAGGAATCTCTCGATGAACATCCAATCCTTTCATCAAAAGATCCCAGAGCGCTTCGTGATCCGCAGCATTGGGAAAACGACCCGACATGCCGACAATGGCAATCTTGTCGTTCTGTGTGCGCCCGGTGTGCTTGTCGTTCTCTACCCAGGAAGCGTGGTCTCGGACGGAAACGTGGGTTTGTCCACCAGCTTTCAAGCCCGAGAGCAAGCTGTTGGCGATATTGGTGATGCCAATGGCATGGATGGTCGCTTCTGACTTAGGGAACATTGTAATTTGAGAAACCATGTCCTCGAGAAGGTAGTCCCATCGAACTGGCTTCTGAAGAATCTCTTCCAACGCAATATGAACCAGCTCAAGGGCATTGGCCGCTGAATGACATTTTCCAGTGGCAGCAGAGTGGATCAAGCAGTTTGGGATGAACTGCTTGAGCTGAAAGGAGTCAGTTCCAAGGATATTCGCTCGTTCTGCATCACTGTAGAGGTGCGGTGCATGATACGGTGCGAAAATAGGGATTCCAACTCGATGGTTTTTGTTCAAAGCCTCAGATTCTTTGAAGATTCGCTGGGTTGTCGCAGGCGGTCCGCTTATAGTCAAGGCCATGACACTGATCGCCGATATGTACGCTCGGCTGGAGTTTGGTATGCTGTTCTCGGCATGGAATTTATCCAAGGCTTTTTGAGCGGTTTCGTGGCTTGTGCCAGTCACGATCGTGGACCAGCTTTCATTGGAGTCTGTCAAAGCGGATTTCGCAACCGCAACCAGGGTGCCAACGCGGAAGGAAATTCGCAAGACTTGAACTGATAGCGGCAAAAGATCGGAGAGTGAACGCGAGCAAGCAACAGCCGATCCAGCCAGGAGACCTGTACAGAGACCTAGGATTCGGGTGTTCGAGGCATTAGGCAGTTCAGACGGGTTCTCTCCGTAATAACTAAACTGTTGTGAGAAGTTGTCCCAGCTAGGTCATTTTAGGTTGTACTTACCCGATGAAATGCGCAAGTTGAGCAACGGTAACGAAACAACTCTCAATCTGAGGAAGTCGCACACCCTTCTCGTAGTATGCTTCCACTAGCTGGTTCATTGTGAGAAAATCGGGAAATTCCTCACGTTGACTACGTGGAAGCCGCTGGATTTCCTCTCGAAGAGCTACCGCAGCTCGCTCGAGGAAAGTAGCGAGGAGAGCATTGTCCTTCCGGGTGGTGACCTTCCGCAGGAGCGGATATTGGTCTGCTGTTTGGTCACCGAAAACAAGGGTATTCATCGTGACGACTACCGTGCTCGTAACGGTAGGAAAAGGAAAGGAAGAGAGGGCAAGACGAGGAACAAGACAGCTTGACTTTAATTCATGAGTATGGACTCGATTCTCAGGAGCCTACCTCGAGTGTGGTATCCCGGTCAGTATGAGGTATGGAAGGAATATCCAATATATATGCGGCTCTTGTCGGAAGGTTTTGAGAGGAAAGAAAATACGAGTCTAAGATAACGAGGGAGGTGGTATGTCTATACAGAACAGAATGATGAACCAGAGCATTGATGGAGCAGTAGAGGAGAAGTGATAAAGAGAAAGCATTGGCGACGGCGGATGAAGCCGAGATATTTGTAGATGTGCTCGAATAATAGTTAGATCACCAGGAAAGGTACAATAGCAGTGGGATGGTAACAATGGCATTTCCCAGTGCATCCGGGTCGAGACTCTGCAGAGCACTACGACGGGGGACCTTGTTTTGCTCATTCCGAACGCGCACCGTAACCGCATACTGACGTTACTGTGAGCAAAGTGGATTCGCGATAGTATTCCTGACAATGCGCTCAGCCATGCTTCCGATCAGAACTGGTCCTAAAGGTCGATACGGCAAGCAGGTTGACTATTTTGAGACGCCATACAGTAAAGATGCCGCACCCATTTGAGCGACGTGTCCAAATCCCCGTACTGGAAGATCAAGAGTTCAACCGATGAGTGAGCGTCCTCTACGGATGATAGTGCATCAGTCTCAAAGTTCCGGCTAGACTTGTCGGGTCCCCTCGATTGTCCGTGGATATGGAGAGAGCTGGGATTAGGTCAGCTTCAGGTCATGAAGCAGGTAACTAAGGAACGACGAACCGTAGAACACACTGCCGCACTCTTTCCCGATTTGCATCATTTAATCGGGCTTTCCGATTCTGTATTACGGCGTAGGAAATAGTTAAGCGTCGAAGTTAGTTGAAATCGACCAACTTGGTTGGTTACTGTGGTGGTACACAGGCGAAGAGCCGAAGACTGAAGGTCCGCGCTCCTACCCATAGGTGCCCTCTCGGATACGGAGGTTACACAATACTTAATGATTAGATCGAGGAATGAACCGCCCCAACGAACGTTTCAAACAAACGTTCGAGAAGTACAGAATGCGTACTGACCGGACGACGGTGGATCGAAGATGGGGAGTCCGAGTACCGGGACAACGCAAATCCGAGCCTGGTTTCTTCGAAGAGAGAAAACATTTCATTACCGATTCCAGCTTGCAACTGTCGTCGGCGATGCTCGTATAACTGATGGGAATAAGGCACGATTACCCGCCCATCGATATCTTGAACGAGGAAACCTCGCCACGGGGCGGCTCATGGCGGACGTCAACAAAAGTTGGGTCGCTGGCGGCTGGCCCAGCAAGGCGGCCCATAGCGCGTAAGCTGTACCTAGAAATGCGGATTATTTTCGGTTTTGGGGAGAATCGGATCCAAGCATCTAGTTCATGGTTGGAAGGCCTAGACGGAATAGTGTAAGGGGTCCAAATCTGGTTCCTGGTAGAGTAGATATGGAGGGATTTCAAGAGAAGCTGTTGCAAACTTGCAATTCATATTTTAGTGAGATTCGCAGGTTCCTCAGAGAGGAGACTTGGCGGAGAGGAGATGAAGCCATTGAATAGCAGTGAGGTTTCCGCCAAGATTTACACCAAGGTTTCCGGCGGGATGGCACGATGGGTGCTGGGCGGGCCATGGCCCAGCGGTGAGCACAATTAGCAGCACGCCAATTCCCGAAGTACACCCGCACTCACACCAAATTGTATACAAGTCAATGTCACTTTACAATAAGTCATCTGAAAATGGATTTAACGCGAAATCAAGCTCGAAAATATGCTACACAGCCAGAACACCCTAAAAAGCATTATGATACACCTAAAAAAGCCCGTATACGCGGGGCTGTGGAGTTCAACATTGCACAGAATCGACTCCTGTTAAATTCTGGTGTGCTGCTAATTTTTCTCACCGCTGGGCATGGGTCGAACAGTCGTATTGGCCGGGAACTGCCAAGCGGCCAAGTGTATTTCCCAACCCAAGTCCGAGCCAATCAAACCACCAGAAACTTCATAAATGACTCCCGGCACGTGGCTCTCCAGATCGATTGGAATTCCCCGTTAATATTATAGGAAATGCTTCATGTACATACATCACTATTCCCTTCCGCATACATCCCATTTCGCCTCTGCATACATCCCAATCACGTGTAGTAGGAATCTTGCGCTCTGATTGGTCCTTTGGGATGCAGTCATTAGCACGTGACATATTTGAATAAAGTTCCTGTAGAGCGGGCAAGCCCCCGCCCGTCTTAGGCACCCTCTACCACCCATTTTAGGCACTCTCTACCACCCATTTTAGGCATCCCTATCACCCATACCACTCCACTCATTTTAGGCAGCTCTAGGCACCTCTACCACCCTTTCTGATACCCGTGCCCAGAAACCGGTGGTTGGAGGTGCTCAAAACGGGTGCTGGGGGGCGCCTAGTATCGGTGGTAGGGAGCGCCTGAGACGGGCGGTTGGGGTGCCTAAGACAGGCGGTGGGGGTGCCTGAAACAGGCGGGGGCCTGTTCACGCTGCAGGGACTATATTCAGATAAGTCACGTGTTAATGACTGCATCGAAAAGGACCAATCAGAGCGCAATATTCCTACGACACGTGATTGGGATGTATGCGGAGGCGAAATGGGATGTATGCGGAAGGGAATAGGGATGTACATGAAGCATTTCCCTAATATTATATTATTCACATAATGAGAATTCAGCATGAACATGGACTAAAGGCTTTCGTTGCAACATCATGAAGGATGAACGGGATTGAGTTTGATTTGGATTATCTTCTCCCTATAGAACCACTGGGGTGTTCGCAAGCTCGAATTTTCAGCTTTGCAAGCAATCGAAAACGATGACGATGAGACTTTGACAGGGATGATGCTCCCGAGTCACGTGAACCGACCCTCCGAATTATTTCAGCCTTAAATCCTTACGACTTTCTCCTGCTCTCTCCTATCTCCATCACTTCTATGTCTCTCCACATCCACTCCCTCTCATAGGAACTTGGAATAGCATTCAGTCCAATGATATTTTTGCTCACCCCCGCAATTGTACTATACGCTCTAGCCATATTGATATTTCCGGAGCGGCCTATGGAGGCCTAAGCGCTAAATCAAGCGGATCACCAACACCATTCGGGATCCCTCTCGGAACCTTGGCCGAACTCAGCCTCCACCACATTCCCGGCCTGTTCTCTGGATTCCACCGGGCCTTGCTGGGTAAAAGTGTGGTCGCCGTTCGCCAGCGTGTTCCGCCTTCGGTATTTTATATAAGTGAACAACGCATACATGGTGCTATACTTGTCCGCCGCATTGAGAGCCCCAGGTGCAGTCCATGTATCGTACCAGATTCGTCAGAAGAAGGCTCGCTGGCTCATGAGATGCATGATATGATCTAGACTAGGTCAGACCTGCAAGGCAAGATGCCGCCCTCCTTCAGCTTGGTCAATGTTGGTTTTGGATGATAATTCATTCAGTTAGTTGTGGAGGCCTTTTGGTCCCCTTTGCCGAGAATCTGTTCGTTTTCAGGGTAGTTATGCGGCACTGTTTGGCACCTTAGCTCGTCTTTTTGCAGATGAAGCATTCAATCGGCTTATTGACGTCTATCTTTGCCTTTCTTGTCCTGGGAGACTGTATTTTTTGTAGCTGAGGCCATTATGCGCTCAAAAGAGCCTGCTATAAGGCAGTGGCTCTCTCCATTAGCTGGAATCTTACTGCTCCAGATGATTCTTCCCGTCTTATTTTCTCCGTTATTAGGCGTGTTATATTCACCTTATCGAGTTGGTACTGAGTCCATTCGCCGAGCTTCATCTTCGCTATGGCCCCATCGGTTTGGAAGACTATCAAGACAGGCGGCAGGTTGATCGCTACAGTGTCTTCTGCCCAACAAAATGGTGCGACTTCAATATGCATTCCATCCTTAGGAGTGGAGCATTAAGGTTTCATGGGCAGGGAAATCCTTCTGGGGCAACCTAGATGCACCACGATTCCCGTCGGCACTTACTAACAATGTATGTTCACTCAATCTGGATCTACCGGGCGGAGTCTATGCGACATTTGTCGTTGGTGCCTCCGGAGGATCTCCTATATTTCGATTCAGATACAGACGCTAATAGGGCCACTAGCCCATCCCCGATGGGTCTCCGTGGGGCCCCCGGTACGCAGTTGATGCGGCTCTCCTCCGATGGCGAGCATTTGATAACCCTTCCATGCAGGACCTGCGAAAACAGCAACCCCGCCCATCTGCCCGACGTACCCAATACAGGAATCACCAGGAAATATGATTTCACTGTATGCCAGTCCGGAGTTAAGCGGCTGAAAACACTATTAACAACCTAAGGTTGCCCGTGCGGTTATTGCTCCGGATGGTGTCGAGAGGGATGCGATTTTAGTCAATGAACAGTTCCCTGGGCCCCAAATAGAGGCAAACTGGGGTGATTGGATTGAAGTTACCGTGCATAACCAGATTGAGTCACCAAAGGAAGGCACGTCCATCCACTGGTAAGAGATCGTACCCAGCCTTGCTGTGTAATTGGACTAAATTTTCCGTCAGGCATGGATTCCTCCAGACAGAAACGCCGTGGTTTGATGGGGTTTCCGGAACTTCTGTACGTCCTCCACCTTTTCCGCAAGAGTAGCCCGCGATCCTGACCACGCTTCCTTTTCAGCAATGTCCGATTGCGCCTGGCGCTTCACTCACATATCGCTTCCAAGCCGAGGAATACGGAACTACATGGTGGCATGCTCACTTTTCTGCTCAGTACAATGCTGGTGTGGTCGGTCCTATCATCATCTATGGTCCAACGCAACACAAATATGACGAGGATGTCGGCCCTATCATGCTCTCCGATTGGTACCATGCACCTTATTTGTGAGTTAAGTGCGTTATACGCACAGATTCCGCAGCACGAGTCTGACAGCACCACAGCAAGATCGTCTCAGATATGGTCGGAACGGATGTAATCTACTAAACCACCCTTTAAATTGAAACGTTGGCTAACAAGCGTGTCAGTTATCTAGAATTCCACCGAAGAGTGACAATAATCTTATCAATGGCAGGAACAACTTCGACTGCAACAATATTCCTTTGAATTCAACCCAAAAATGTACCCCAAATGCCGGGCTCTCAAAATTCCACTTCGACAAGGGCCAATCATACCGGCTTCGCCTCCTGAATGTCGGATCGGATGGCGTGCAGCGATTTTCCATCGATCAACACACAATGACCGTGATTGCCGAAGACTTTGTTCCGATCAAGCCATACGATACTGATGTTGTCACACTTGGCGTAAGTTTCATGCCCCTAATTCCAATTGGAACTGTCATTCATCTTTCTTCAGGTTGGCCAACGTACCGATGTCATTGTTAAGGCTACCGAGGGCAATCGAGACTTGTATTGGGTCCGCGCCACTCTTGTTGGGGGCAAACCTTGCGGGGAATCCCGAAATCCGGAGGCGCTCGCGGTCGTGTACTACAACCGTGCAGATACCGAGCAGGTGCCTGCCAGCACAGCCTCTCGTATTGACACCACGACCTGCAATAACGACCCCCTGATGTCGTCTGTTCCAATGTTCCCCATCGTGCCTGGAGAACCTAGCTTCACCCAGGAGCTAGTCCTGTCCCTGGCCGTAAACCAGATGGGTCAATTTGAATGGCGCATCAACAATCAGACTTTTCGCACGAATTTCAACAAACCAATCCTCGACCTCGCTTCCCAAGGCATCACTTCTTACCCTGACGATCCTCAGTTGAATGTCTACAACTATGGCACCAACACTTCCGTCCGCTTCATCATTGAGAACAATGCTCCTGCGGTCCATCCATGGCACCTTCATGGCTACGACTTCTTTGTTCTTGACAGCGGCAAGGGCAAGTGGAACGGTAGCATTGTGAACGCACATAACCCCCAGCGCCGCGACGTTCACATTATTGAGGCGAACGGATATGCCGTCTATCAAGTCACTACTGATAACCCGGGTGTTTGGCCATTCCACTGCCACATCGCTTGGCATCTCTCAGGAGGTCTGTCCATGAATGTCATGGTCAAACCTGGAGATCTGAAGCCGATTCCGGAAATGATTTCCCAGACTTGCGCGAAGTGGCAGGCTTACATAGATACCAACCCTGGCGGCCCCATTGATACGGCGTGAACACCTCCCATACCCTGTTTTTGAGCGTCTTTAATGCTTTTGTCAGTCGCCTTTCTTCCTACCACGCCTACGGGTCCCAGTAATAAGCCTAGCGATTTAAAAGAGCATCGAACTGAGTCCTGGACTAGTCACCTTGGTGCCATTTATTGAGTATTGGTTTTTGTGAGCCCTGGAGTTGGGGGTCGTTGCAGATGTGGATTCCACTAGCTAAACAATGCTTAAAGTCATTCCAAAGTTACTTACTTCTTTTGAGTCTGGAGTTGTACTGCCATAGACAAGTCTCCAAAAATTCCCTGAACCTGTCCAGGCATGTCTTTTGAAGAACGGTCTAGGCTCATGTCCGCCCATCCTGCAGTCTTGAGATCTAATTGTGCTACGGTAATCAACACCAGCTTTGCTTTCCTTCCAATTGGGACAGATTCATTCGAAAGGCGTTCCATTAAGGACGAGAAGTCCGATTACAGCCAGCCAGGCCCTCCGATGTAGTACCATCTAAAGCCACCCTCGCACCGCAGGGCAGAGGGTTACTTGGCAGGCAGCAGCAGCTGTGAAGCCCTAGTGGAATGCTACTACGACTCACCGTCGAGTTCGTCGTGTCAACTTGTCTCTCGGTTGCATTTTACTTGTTGCTTGGTTGCTATCGATCTTCGCAAAGGTCGCGGTTCTTCCCCTCATAGATTGTAAAATTTTATGCGTCACAATCTCAAGCGCTTCTAAGATTAATTCAACGCCGAGTCAGTATCCGTCACTCTATCTGATTCTTCTTACGAGCATCACAGAATTAAAACATAATCATTAGATGTGATGGAGGCGCCACACATTCAGTATTTTTTTATTCACCTAGGTAGATTTCTCTAACCACGCCTAGGCCCACGAGATGACCGACACTCAAATACTGGAGTAAACACCGAACGCCAGTGCAGGTTCTTGCAGTGGACAATATCTCTCCAGCATAGCCCTCACATGCAGGCACCACCGTCAATGCCGAGGACCTTGCCGTTGATCCAGGCACCGTCCTCAGACGCCAAAAACGCGACGACTCGAGCAACGTCGTAGGGCTGGCCAACACGGTTTACTGGGGACCAGGTAGCAGCATACTCGTCAACTTCGTCGTTGTTGAGCTTGTCGCCTCCGGGAATATACTCGCGGCAGACAGCGTGGTACATGTCAGACTTGATGCCCCCTGGGGCAACGCAGTTGACAGTGATTTTCTTGTCACCACAGTCTAAAGGTCTGTTAATAATTGAACAGCCATACCCGGGAGGCGAGTGTGCGGGGACCTACCGATGGCCATGCAGCGAACAAAAGTCTCGATGGTGCCCTTAGAGCCGGAGTAAAGCGCATGCCTAGGAACCCCCTTGGCCTGGCCGGTGATAGATCCCATCATGATAATGCGGCCGCCGACCTCAAGGTGCTTGTAGGCTTCACGAGCGACGAAGAATTGGCCACGGGTATTGGTGGCCATGACACGATCATACTCCTCCTCGGTGACATCCTTCAGGTGGCCGAAGGAGACAACCCCAGAGTTGGAGCAGACAATGTTGAGCTTGCCGAAGTGGGCGACGGCTTGGTCCATCATGGCGATGGTCTCAGATACGTTGGCGACGTTAGCCCTGACGGCCAAGGCATCGGACCCCAGGTCTCTGATCTCATTAACAACCTTTTCAGCCGATTCGGCGCTGTTAGCATAGTTGACGACAACCTTTGCTCCACGACGCGCGAGCTCTATGGCCATCTCACGCCCAATACCACGGCCTGTTAACTATGGTTAGAAATACTAATGCTTTACTTGATCCAGTATCTTACCAGAGCCAGTGACAAGGGCGACCTTCCCCTCCAAGCTCCAGCTTGGGATGCATTCGGAATCACGGGTTGTCTCAACGCCAACAGCCATTGTGTCGAGGCTAGATGGTGATATGGAGGTTTAAATGGAGGTCTGAGAAATTAGCAGTTTAAGGTTTGTGGAGAAAGAAATGAAGTAATATGACTCTATGAAGACTTATCCCTATGGATCCCATTTATATACGTCGGCTTTGAATTGTCTATATTCGAGTCTCTTAACATCGGCCTTTCGGACTTCGCTATTTGAGACAGGGTCCATGAGATTCGCTCTATTGGCCTCGAGAAAATTGCGAGAAACCATCTGCAGTCTGAGATGGATTGCTGAATTGGCTGAGCGGCGGATCTTGGACGGATAGTAAAATTGGGGCCCGATTTGGGATATGAGACTCCTGGTTGATACACAGGGGGCAGATTGGGGCATTCCGGCCGTGGGGCTGGGCCCCCCAGTTTCTGATTTTTGGGGCATTCAGTAGGCAAAGGTTCTATGAGCTAGGTTCTCTAATTCTTCCGTATTCAAGCTTCAGTATTCTGCTCTCCGGTTCCCCAGTCTTGGGGGCTATACTTAACTTCGGATCCCCACCAGCCGTTATTTTCGTTACACGGCTCCACCACCTGCATGTAGTACCTATCCAAATCGCTATATTCCGTCGCATTTCACATTTACCTCCGGAGAAAAGAGGGGACGAGTAACATTCCATGTCCCGAGACCTTCTCGTTCCACCAAGGGCAACTCACTGCTTCGTGCTACGAGGCTCGAGTCTCTACGTTCCGAGATCTCCCTTGCTCAGATTTAGTTGTCCTCACCCTCTAATTGGGTGCTGCCAGAATATTCCAAGCTGGAAACTCAAAGGTTGCGGTATATTGGGGGATCCCGGATTCATGACTTGCTAAATGGCGGTCTTGGTAAGGAATCGATGGGTTGTACACCACGGCTCGGTGGATCTGGTATTCAAGTACCTATTCCTGGTATGTACTCTATCTATGTATGGGAATCAGACTCCGCTACCGTCATGTTTAGGACATGCGTTTGCAAGTTCAGCTCCTGTACCTCTAAATGATACACTGGTAAGGCCTTCATGTTGCCCCGATGGTGTTCAATTCTTGTCTCCCCAAGCAGATCTTCTTCAAGAATCGGGTGGTTGAATCTCCATCGGACATTGGCATCTTGTTGTTTCTCATAATACTCCCAGAATAGTCAATCATTTCGGCCTATCACCACAGGAATGGCCCGGACTTCAGTAAATGGCCTGACTCCTAGGTCCAAGTAAATTTCCAGTATCTTACATGTCCCCTCCATTCTTGTTTTTTTCTTTAGGATTAGGTTTGCCTCAAATATCTCAATTTTACGACGTGTTCCCGCCTAAGTCAATGCTTCTTTCGCCAGTGCCCTGTTGTTATGCCGGCTGGGTGGCTGATACTTTATAGCCAGCTTGGTGGGAGGCCACTGAAAAGGGGAAGCGGAGGTCTTTAGCCTCCCAGATATCCCAAAATCATTCCAGCACCTCATTATGTCCTCGCTATTGTTTTAACTGAGCCCTTGGAATTCTCATGACGGCAAAGGAGCATCCATTAAAATGAAGTGACGAAGGTCTCCGGGCAAAGTGGCTGTTTCGCCGTTACTCCTGCATCTTTCTGTTCCCCAAGACATCTCGAAACGGTGTCTTGGGAAGCACCGTCAGCTGCTTTTGGGATCAATTTGCACAATAATGTGGTTAAAAATGTCAGTCCTTTTCATTACTTGAACATCCAGGCCGCTGCTTAACTTTTCAATGAGTGTATTTGCCGTGACAGAGGTCAAAATTATCCACCACTGTCTTGAGTATGATAATGTCCAGTGGAACGAAAACGAGCAGAAACGGCAGTATGGCAATACAAGCCTTGATGGTTTATTTCAGTCATTTCTTTGAAACTGGTTAAGATGTCGTCACAATAACGTCCTCCTTAAATCTCCTTACTAAATACTCCGATGTCCTTGTTTGGATTGAACTTGATCGCACTTGTGTGACTGACAGCCACAATTTCCTTGTTTTCCATATCATTGAAGTTATATTATCATGCATCCCTGATGCTTCTGTCACTCACTGCGCTTAAGTCACCTAAATCGGATGTCATAGCTCCTACTATGGCTGCGGCGAGCCAGTGAAATCAGTTGTTTACAACATAATTGGGTAAAGAGTTGTACCTGTAGCCCATCACAGAGGGAGTGCTAGGAAAAAGTGGTCGTGCAATTAAACGGCCGTTACTGTGCCTGCATTCCCCATCTCCGCTCTTACAGACTTTGAGAACCGAATTGCTGGAAATGCGGTCCTCGTGGATACGAATATCCCAAATGCATCGTGATGGAAGCACGGTGATAGGCCAAGCCTCTTGCAGAGCCGCGTCAACACATGGCACAGCAGACACGTTGTGGGTGTATACAAGGGTATATGTTTGGTGAAGCTCAAAGCAATGAGCGTGGAGTTCCCACTGAACGCACTGGTATCAGAACAGACTAAACATGGTACAATCCCTGATGCAACAGGGGACGCATGCCAATTTCCCGCCTAAGAGACTGGTACAAAAACAAGCCATTCCACATTCAATCGCTCTTCCTCTTAACTTGATATATTCTTCGGTCTTCCCTCACAAATGGCTATCAATTAATTCCACCGCTCCCTCTGATCGAGATAAGATCTTCAATCGACACCATCGATGGTTTCAGTGAATGGTCCGCATGTTGCTATCAGCAAGGCTTAATAACGCTCACAAGGAACATTTACAAGACCATACATGTTCTTTGAGGTATGCCGCATCTTATGCGTGATAGAATCAGACTGGTTGACATCGTATCATGCAAGAAGGATTTAAATACTACCACCAGGAAATGGTTTTGAATCAGCCACATCTCCAGAATGGGATATATCTATCACCTGATCTCCTCGTCTCCTCATACACGTCATATGTCGGTTTCTCATCTACGATCCAATCATCTCCACGCTCTTAACCCGATCCTCACCTCTTCGACTTCTATCAACGCAGCCATCGATTCAACAACTTCGCTCTATAATCCCCAACTCTGTTGACCCATATTCAATATCAGGAGCCACGACCGACTATGTCTTATTTTTTATCGATTCTCAATATCATCGTGGAATCATACTGAAATGACGAGGTTGGGACGATGAAAGTTGGTTGCGGACCGGAATACAGTTCGTGACATCCTGTCCACTCCTCCACCGCATGAGTGAGGAGCCATGATGATGGACGACGCGTCAACGCTGGACTGTAATTTGGCCCAACATGGAGAACTCTACCCTGTACGGTGTACATTCGGGATTTTTCTTCAAGCTTTGAGTCTGGCGGTGCCGTGAACATGAGATCGACCGTAATGACTGAAAGGCGTTCACTAACTTAAGCACTCACGGTCAGCAATTGGTGGGAATTGCGAGACCTGAACTTTTGAGTTGTGATGAGAAATCAGCCATGGCCCTCCAATGTGTAAGGCCACCCTGACAAGACTACTTTTTGGCCATTTGATGAGCCCGCAGAACAAGAAATAGCTGACAGGTAATCTAGGATCATTATTATGTTCCGCACACCACATCAGCTGTGGTATTCCGCGACGACGTCGCCGAAGGACTCTATCTTTGTCCCTGTCTGGGCTCTCCAATTTCCTGTATCTCCTCTGACTGGTGCCGGACAAATTAACCCGTGAACGGCCGTTACCTAAGGCAAAGGAGCGTTTCAGTGGCACCCATATCTCGACGCAAAGTTCGCCAACCCCTCCGATAGCACGGCATTATCCCATTGCCACCACTCTGCCGTCCCATGAAAGAAATATGGTCGAGAGTCATAGGAATCGTTAATAAGGGTGCAATCCCCCTCTAAGTCATCCTTCCCTGTCCTGTCATTGATGGGATCTTTCAACCTCGAGAGAGTCTCTCGAGCTTGTTCCTGAGCCCATCTCCGAATCGAGTCGATACGCCCTCGTCAATGATGTCTACGCAATGCGTTAGTACTGTGTATGCATGATCCAATAGCACAGTACTGCCGTCGCGCTTTGTCAACGCCGGCATACCTTCACGCTTCGTCAGGTATTTTACGACAAGCGGATGTTCCAGAGAGAGGACATCGACAGCAAATGTTGATCCTGCCACGCTAGCGAAGATTCCACTGCTTCCTAGTGTAGTTGTCAAACTGTTCTCCGTGTGGGTCAGACTATCCGCCCACAGAATCAACCCCGCCCGATAGACAGCAGCCTGCCACCACATAGGGCGGATTGCGCTAGGCATTCCTCGAACAAGTCGTAGCACTTGTCCACAGTGGACTATGGCCTCTTCGACGTCAAATATGCACTGTTTATGGTGCCAAACAAGCTGGGCATATGTTCCGTCGAAGGCCTCTCGGCGGGCTAATTTCTCAATCTCGTGGAAGTTGGTTATCGCGTTGAGAAAGATAAGATGGAACAATACTAGGTTGGCTTGCATCACTGGGCATAGTGGCTGCGATTTGACGTATCCATTGGCTAAGTCGTACCATCTCTGCAAGAGCGATTGGACCTCTTCTAGGCGTCCGTGAGTCGAGGCTGCAGACATTGGACGACTGTGCCGCCGTTGGCCACTTAAACTTTCCGAGGAGAAGTAAGAGAGCAGTTGACAGTATTGGCTCACGAGCCCTTGCAAGGGATGCAGAAGGAGACGGAAGTGTAGAGGCGTAAGCTCGCAGCCTTGCTGTAGCTCGTCGTCTAAGAACTGGCGAAATACGTCTCGAAGGCTTGAGGGGCGTACGCCAGACCCCACGGAAGAGTACCCGCCACCAAAGGAGTGAACTTGCTCAAACAACGTCGACCACTCCTCCGCGGAGTTGGCGCGCCAGAGATGCTCTGCATCTGGCATGGCGGCCGCGAACTCGGTAACATTGAAAAGAGGAGCAGTATCGTGGAACAGTGACAGATCTTGGTCAATCATCGCCCAAGAATACATAAGTCTGGATATCGATACGACAGTCAGCCTCAGAAGAAAAACAATGCCACTTGCGAAACGCCGGAAAATATGGGGGCGAACACTCACCTGCTTCTGGCCTCTTGCTCAAGCCAACCCTTCCAAATCGCCTCGACATCCATTCCTTGAATGGATGGGCTAACCGGAACAGCGTCCAAATAGCCGCTGTGCCTCAACATGGCGGTATACATACCACGTTGACCCATAGAAATATCCATCTGCCATTTGTCGCCGGACCATGCGGCTTGGCTGGTGAAAAGCAACGCCGAGTGGAGCACTGTTAAGTCTCCTGCCATGATGATGTTCTTCTCAATGAGGTCGAAAAGACTAATGCGACAAGCTTCGACGAGTCCACCAGTAAGAAACCGAGCTTCTGGGTTAGGCAATGTCGAAGCGCCGGCGGAGATCATGAGGAGTAAAAGCAATGCAGAAGCCTTATCTGGGGTTTCCTGACGGGATAACAATGCATTGCAGTCGAGAGTGGAGCGAGGAGTCAAGGGAAAGAAACGTTCGACACTGTTAGAGTAGCTGCGGAGCAGGTGTTCAAGTATTCGACCCGGAGGTAGAAGAACGAAGTTAGAAGTGCCGGGAGCCGGAGATGCCGCGCCGTTGAGGTTGATGTTGGATAGATTGGGAGTCCCTGTCGGGTCTTTGTGAATTTCGAGTGCCTTGTGCAGGAAGCTTTGGGTGATCGCGAGAAGCTTGTCCCGAGTGCATTCATGCAAGCCAACGGCCTGAAGATAGTCCGAGCAACCACCATACACCTCAGACTCATCCCAACTAGGGCCCCATTGGCTCCAAATTTCTGGATTCTTAAGGCTTTGCTCTAGCTTTTCCAGATTCAGTCTAGCTGTTTTCGGACAATTATGGTGTGGGGTGGTGGGGAGACACCGAAAACAGGTCCAAGAATCTTGAGCCGCGATGATAGCAGGTAGTTCAGAGGATGAGGAAGAGTTGGATCCAGGGGTTGAGTTGGAACTGGCATCGGTACCAGTGTTCGAAAGTGAAGGAATCATCGGGCCCGGAAGTGAGATGGAGGTTTGACGCGAGGTGGCGTGAGATTGTGAGCGTGAATGAGTGTGAGGCGTTGAAGATGCATAAAAAGCCGAACCGGGACCCGAGCTGCCACCGCCGACGGTGTCCTGTTCCGAAATTGACCCCTCAAGTATCGGAGGGGTGGTAATCGGCGTTTGCACTGATTGGAGTGCTTGGGTGAACTCGGGGATCATGGTATACATCCCATCAGCTGCACTGGTGCCGGTCATTCCGTGCATATCCAGACCGATATCTCCCGTCAACATCATGTTTCCCGTCATTGGGTCGAATCCACCCGGGATATGCATTCCAGATGCCCAGTCCAATAGGAATGGAGGGGATGAACCATCCCCGGAATCAGGGCGAGTTGTGCCGATAAAGTCTTCGTATCCTGAGAGCGGAGTCTGTTGAATAAAGCCGGACGTGGGTGTCGGCAATGGGGAGAGTACACCAGCAAGCATGGCTGAAGTCGCCTCAGGTGAATCGGTGTCGAAGTATGTTGGCGCACCGTCAATCGTCCCTTTCCCTTCCTTTGGTGAAGGCAACGTATTCTCCGGACGGGAATGTGATTGGTGTGTCTGAATTGCCTGCATAATCAGAGGTTGGGGGATGGCTGTCTGTTGAGATGGCGGAGAGCTTCCAGAAGAGTAATTTGGGGACCCTTTTGATCCGTTCTGGGCAGTACTTGACCCATCTCCGGGTGGTTGAGGCTTCTGGAGCATCTGCGAGGTTTCTTCGCCCGACGGGACTCGGGGTATATTCTGACGAGAAACTCGGCGAGTCGGTCTTAGAGTGCACTTGAGATTCCTTCCAGCACACCGACTGCAGGGGAACTTCTTGTCACACTTGGTCTTAGTTTTTGCACAGTTCGAGCAAGCGATTGGTGTCCGACCAGCGGTCCTTGGCATCATGGCCGTGTTTGGGAGGCCTTCTTGATTGTTGGCATCCCGTCCATGAACGGTATAATGCCTTTGAAGCAAGTCCCTGCTCGCACATGTCAACCAAGCTCATATGATCCCCTAGGCTTTCGATCGGGGGATGAAATCATCAAGGTGGAAACCAAAGCAAAGAGCTAGGCTATCAGGAATATATGGCCGCTTACCGTCTAGCGAACGACATATGGCAAGTGAGGCATTTGAAAGGCTTCACGTTCGTATCTGTTCACCCTTAGTTAACCCTGACTTAAGGATGCGAGCTAGTTCGACTAGCTAGTTGGACGATGGGGCAGTCTGAAACCTACGAGTGAGAATGTGCCGTTCGAGATGTTCGTCCCGAGTAAAGGACTGTCCGCAGTAGGTACAGAACACCATGACGGGCAATCAAGCCGGACGAAGTGGTTGTTTTCGCACGCGGAAGAAGGTGGACGTTCAAAGAAGGGGGAGGAGAGCGGCCCAAAGGTAGGAGATCGGCAAAATATTAATGGATTAGATTTCTTGCTGAGCAATCCGAAAATCGGCAATTCCTATTTATTCTCAGAGGCGAAGCAGGGTGGCACCGATCCAGGACGGGATGCAGGTCATCGGGAGGGAGATTATAATGGCATATCAGACGCCATTATCGACATAAATGGACTGCAACGAGAAAACAGGGCAGGGCAAGGCGGTCATTGATATTTTCATATTGAAACAAACGAGAGAAGAACATGGACGGGGCTTCCAGTGCCCGGCTGGGGAGATATATGTTCTGTTTGTTCCACGCCCAAAAGGCGAAAGGCTTACAGATTCAAGCACAGGCAGCCTAGAACCCTATGGTTGGAAAGGCGGAAACGAAGCAGCTGTGATTATGGGAGTGCAAAAGACAAGAGCAGAGTCTGAATAGGTACTAAGGGGGGAATTGGCGCGGCGGTAACATTGGGGGCGTGCATTTGGGGGTGTAATGCGACTGTGCGGGACGAGGTGCAGTGGAACACGCCCCAGAGGTAGGCAAGGACAGCCAGACGGGGAACGTGGAAGAGGCGCATCATAATCGAGAAATTGAGAAAATAAGGGGACCTGCTGGATCCATTTCAGAACACAGATATAGATCCAAGAAAGGTGCTGATACCAATGTCGCCTCTATTCTTACTCACGTAAACCTGATACCCGTGTTCAGGGCCAGCGTTTCCACGCCCATATTAGAATCAATCCTGCCAGAATTAGCAAGTTTATCGAGGCCAGCGCGCGTCCCTCTAACTAAACTCACGCAATCTTTGGGCGGCCTGAGACACATGGGGTGGTACGACGAGAAGAAGGCTGACGAGCTCAACTTTTCTTCCGCAGTCTAACTCGAGCACTTGTTCGATCGCACCCTTAACAGGTTGAGCACGTACGGTGGCATCTTCAATGACAGCATAAGCATTCCTGAGACTCGGGTTCCTATGTAGTATGTACTCAGTGCCCTGGCACGGAGTAATGTACCTGAATCAATTCAACTTTCTAGCCACTTGCTCGCACTACCCAGTGGTTCGCGCAACCAAATTAATCAAGAGGTGGGTGCAGATGGAATTCTAATAAGGAGGAACGAGAACGGCGGTCCTCTCCCAAACCCTTTCATTCTCTTTCATCTTCGCCAATTTCCCAGTCGTCCACTTCCATAACTCTCGGAACATATCCCCCGGCTAAGCTGCCAGACAAATCATGATATATGGTTTCTTTGTCTTGAGTTTATTCAATATACGGTCAACAACCCATCTATTCTGAGATTTTGGCAAAAGAAATTCAGTGACCCTGAATGAAGGCTGAAGCTTATTTTGGGGTCGAGAGCACCAGGTCAGGCCCCTGGGGCCGGCGGAAGCACGCCTGGCGCGCAGAGCTATGGGATGCCTCATGATGCCTCAAGTACACACTGCACTGCTGCATGAACCAGTATCGTATATTATACCTACCATACCCAAGTTCTGGAGCAATGGAGATAAAGTGCGGTTGATAATGCAGAATTCAAATTCAAAAACTCAGAGATCCCTAGGGGGTATAAAATACTGGTATCTACATGTATTATTCGATCCTCCGCGATTTCAGAAGGAACAGTCTTGCAAGGATTCTTGATTGTCGAAACAAGGGCTTTGAGTCTCCAGGCTCTCAAATCGACCCCAATTTCGCTCGCACAATCCTCCGCGGAACTATTCATGCCAGTGATTTGTGATCCCACTGACGGAAGGGCTCGATCAGGAAAATGGTGATGCCATGCATAATCAGGTCATCGTCAGTAGTCCAACTGCGAAGCAAGTTTCACCCGTAGCCTGGAAATAAGACGTTGTCCAAACTCAAGCATGCGGACTAGTCGCTCAGATGAGTTCCAAGAGATTAGGGGACATCCTAGAGTCATGGTCCTGAAGGCCAATCGATTTCGAATTTGTCGATCCGACTCCGAGACAGGACAATATCGTTGGGACGGAGCTGTCTTAAAGAATGATTGACGATCTCCCGAATCGTCGCGGATCCCCACCTAGGAAGAAACAACCGTGACAGAGGAGGCGTCCGCGTTTCCTCTTAATATCGTAACCATACTCATAACTGTGAGCCGAGTGTGCTGCCAATGCCTTCCCAATGAATCCAATGCGGGGATATATATTAATGATCGGGACGCTTCCACTGATACATCCTGCCGTCGGATAGGGAATAAGTGGTACCGATATTAAGAGACGCCCTGGAAAAGTCGGGTACGGAACAGCATGGATGACTGGTGCTTGGGACAGCTCAGTCGGGACGCCTCCAGAATAGCTCCGGCTCGATTGGGACTCCTCATCGTTGTACATGATACACCTTGATTGCTGCTTACAAACATGGCGCCGTCTCATGGTGCTCAGTAAAACCCGACAAAAATGGAAGTGGAAACAGGTTGACATGGCGCCCTGGAGAGCGTCCGAGAGCCTGGATCCGGTTAGTGGCCTCGGAGGATTTTTCTGGAATCAATCCCTACCAACATCCTAGTAGCCATCCTGGTACCTAGAGGGCTTGACATTTGTTGGTACTTTGGATTCACGAACACCAACTTCCAGCAGCGGTTGACGTCACTCAGCGTGGCAGTAGAGAGCTGAGGACTAGGAGTTTGTGGGAAGTTGACTTGTCGATCAGCCAAAGGTTCCTCGCCGGGCATGGGACATCTGACATACCCATGCAATTCGAGAACCGATTGCCATAAACAGTGAACAATACGTACACAAAGCGCCACGTTGAAGCCCTAGAACTAGCATGCGAAAGGGAAAATGAGGACGACACCCAGTCAGGGGAAGGTTGGAGGTCATTGTCTGGGGTTGCACCCAGATCAGGACGAAGGGCAGATAGGAAGTCCACCTTTGGGAGAGATCGACGCTTCGGCTAGGTAACTGGAACCTTTTTAGGAAGTTTCGACGTTCATCTTCTCTGCCGAGCGTTTGTTGTCTGTAAGACGAAAGTCTGCGAGCCAATCGAAATACTAGCACTGTGCGCTTGTCATTGCATGTTCACCAATCTTCAAATCCAGCTCTTATCATTCGCGGAGAGCTTTCAAAATTCAAGGTCGGTACACTGCCTCAGCTCTCGCGCTTGTTTGTTGATGGAACCGGCAATGCATTGGGTGCGGGGAAAGTCCTGCTCTTCCTGCAAGTATCATGTACACATGGTGTGGTTTCTGACCATCCGAGCTACCCAGCCTGCCCGCAAAATCGGATGAAGTTCGCGATATCAGAGTTCACTCGTGCGCCAGGCGTTCAACGTTCTGCGAGACGCTTCAACATCTAGGCCACTCCCTCGACCGGATTATTCGGAGAGTTGGCTACGTGATGAGTGATTTTATTAAGCATGTTCCCTAGCTCCCAAGCTAAGATAATTAGCGTACCAAAAACCGCACTGTATGCGGTTAATTTAAGAGGCCATCATTAGCGTGGTGCGGCCCGAGGCTTGAAATCGTCCCGAATGGAGCGGCACTGGGACGCTAGCTTGCTAGCTCCCGGGTTTTATTTCTAGACCTGAAAAGGGCCATCGTTATTATTATTCCGTGCATATATCCTTCAAATCGCCCTGTTCATCAAGGGGATACCATCACGACTTTGGTAAATCAGTTTCTGCGAACGCTTGCTGGCAAATTCTCGAAGTACTCTCTACCATAGACGACATCTGTCGCGTGCGTCTTTGGCATAACCGAACCTGCCTGGTTAATGCCGTACCAACCACTAGGTAGGTATCTGGTATCGCTATCAGACAAAATTCCCCCAGCCACTCCGCCTTGCGGAATTCAATCCTATGGATTCGCTTCGCCATCCCAACGTCTTCTTGCTGAAATGTTCCAGGCCTTTAGCAAAAGATATAGTCTGTTACAGCTGCTGGTGCTAAGGCACGATTTATTGAGTGGCGAATGCATCCGTCCATTTGCAGCCTGGAACGTAGCAGAGGGGTGTCTGTATCCTTATCTTCCACCTAATTATTGGTTGCTCCAGCCTGAATGATCGCGATTGTATTTTCCGCTTTGGACCATGAGAACCCAGGAACGGGTTGTCTAGCTCTAACAGGGAACCCTCTCGATATGCGAAACCAGGATCCGTGATCCAAACCAGTGCATCGTCTAGGACAATGCAACAATGCTAGTTGTCTTGCAGGCTGGTGACGGGATCCCAGGAACTCGGATACGGGATTGGACGGTGTCCCCGACCCAAAAACCAGGCCACAATCTGTTCGTTTGAGCCACCCGATCGAATATGCGGATAGATATACTGTACTCCAGTGCCAGCATCATCAATTGAATTCCCTGGTCGCAGGAGAGTTCCCACCAAACAAGGTCAAGGATGATTCTGCGCGTTGGTAAAGCTGTCAAGCAACATATATTCGCATGCGCTTTTGGTTGGACCGTCTCGGTCCGCTGCAGTAGGATATGATTGCAGCTTTCAAAGCACCAAAGAAACAGGAGTCCAGCACAGACACGGCATGGTGCCCATGACCACAACTCTCCCCGATTCTACATCAGGTTTCGTCATCCTCGGACCCCCTTGAGCCCCCCAAAACCAAAAGTTTCTTCAATATCGCCATGGAATTGTTGATATCTGAAACTTCTAGGGTCACATAGTTCCGATCTGGAGGGCGTCATAATGGTACATCTTCCAGGAATACCACGATATCCGTGGATCGGTACCAGTCCCAGAGCTAGTAACTCCCTGCACTTTACCATTCGACATACCACCCCACTACTGATCCATGTCGGTTTCGTGTGCTATCAGGTGCATACGATGCGGGGCAGCTGCGGAACTTGAGCTCCCACTTCGCGTATTCATCACGAACTCGAGCTATGACCGCATATTGATATCGTCACAACACTGAGTCGACTGGTTACCGCGTCTCGCCAAGCTTAGGCCCGCTGACTTGTCTTCATCCGGCCCTCCGGCAGAATAATGATCGTTGAATGTTGAGACGCAGTATCATTGCACCCCGTGAGTAAATGTCCCAGCCACCTCAGCATCTTGGATAGAAATCCCGGAACCGCATTGCAGCAACCTAGTTTTGAGGCGTCTTTGCAAGTCGTACGTACCAAACAAATATTCTAATGGAACCCCAGAAACCTGGCGTATATCATATGTGCCACCAACAGGTACAAGCATCTGGTAGGGCTGCTAGGTTGATGACTTATGACTGAGGCTCTTCACTGGAATCCCAGCCTCCTAGGTAGGGTCTCACGGGGTCAGGGGGTCAGGGGATCAGGGGGTCTGGGCACGATGTCGAGAACAAGCGCCTGGATCTTCTAACCTCAAACAGGCACATTAATCTCGCGTTGACAACAAAGCTCAGCTAGGCGTTCCTGAAGTGCGATGGGCTGATGTTAGCTATGCCAGTGGTGTGGGTTAAAGTGGGTAAAATTCAGGACGGAGCGATGTCCGAAAGGTTGTATGGGAGAATGGATATCAGTAGTGCGCGGTACATCAACGCCATAAAGGCTTAGGCAGCCGGGTAACACCCAGAGCTTCCTTCATGCACGACACTGCGGTCCACAGCAGGTTCCAGACCGTGGCGTAACCACCACTGGTTTCCAATTGTTAGGTACTCAACTTCAACATTGTCCAACGTCCATATTTCCAGCATTGGACGGTTTATTACTTCTCCTCTACACCAGCGCCACACTGCCTGATATAGATCGTCGCACCTTTCATGGATCTCTGCTGTCAATGGCTCTGTCAGCATGATCCTGCATGCTTGCTACCAGCCCCTCGTACGGGGTAGACAGTGGACCCAGCTCGTGCTGTGAGGTTGTAGTAGTGCATCGTATACGGCTGTATCCTACATTATACGTGTGGTACCATTCGTCCACGTAAGGGACTTCGTAAACTTGGTATGAGGAATGGATGGACTTGTGAATGGTGCGCAAACTACTTCTTGAATTATAAACTTCCCGGAACAAACATATTGATTATATGCAGGACACCGTAGAGTATCCAATAACCAATCCCTTGGGGCTTTCCGGATATGTTTGACAGCCTTGAGCTGATTCTCCCATTGGCTTGGGGGATATTCGAAGTGTTTCGAGCAAGCCGAGTGTCCCCCGCGATGTAGTTTAGGCAAGGTCCCGCCAGAGATACCTCAGGTATTTCTATGACATAATGTAGCCACAAGATACATATATTTCTTTCCTTGCACCTGCCCTCCACTACATCTTGTATTCATTGATAGCAAATCAATACGTCCCGAGTTTGAGAACAGTGCACTCGTTGCGTTCGGGTCCTTCGATGCAACAAGTCTGTCTTGCATCAGTACCGGAACAGGAACCGAAAGTGACTTTTCCTTGCTGCGCAAACCGACAGATCCATGATTGGACTGTGTTTGTGGCTATCTTTAACCTTGATTCCAGCTTAACTCTGACGGGCGACAGCTGATGCCAGCACGCCTAAACGGCAAAGGTGGTTGGATATTGTGTGACGCTTTTGGATCACTTCAATCGCTCACTTCTGTTCCCGGTTTCAAACGGACTGGATGAATTTGATAGATTCATAATGCCATTGTCTCTTTTAGTGCATTCTAGCACCCGGCCCTTCGAATAGCGCGGTGAGTCTCGTACCTGTAGTGGTCTAGATTCCATCTATTTGCAAAGAAGTTGATCTTCAGGGGGTTCTTTCATTCTGCCAAACCAACTGTTCCGTTTCAATATGTTTGTTCCTAGATTACATTTCTCAGCTTAAAATGCCGCGCGGGAGTCTCATAATCCGTACCTCAGTCAAGACATTGGACCCTGTTCCATAAGTCAACCTCTTCTTTGCTTGGCTAGGTCCTACTCAAGTCACGATAATTGTCAGCACAGAATTTGAGACCGGAAGGAGCGGTACTGGCATGGTTTAAGCTAGATAACGTCTTTCCCAAGATCGAGCTCGTACATTTGTGGCTTTCTCTGGGGAGTAACGTCGCGGATTGTCTTGTATCACAGTACAATACTTAGTGTTGGTCCGGCCGATTTATGCTGTGCGCTGATGTGCTACGCAATGGTCCAAGACCTGGGGTTCCCTCCTCCCGGTTCGCTGCCTAGTCCTTGGTGTTTGGCATGCGGTGATACTGTATCGTCGTGTGTGTCACCATCGGAGGAGTCATGCTAGGGAGGTACCGAGATATACACGACGCATTGGAACGTCACTGACAAGCGGTGGAGGTATGGAGGCACAGCGTCAATACTCGGGGCGCAAGAATCCGTCGCGTTACGCGGGAGCTTGCCAAGCAGTCATCACGAAAACGAGGTGAATGGAACCTTGATGTTCAATGAAATGGAATTCAACTTGCAATACGATGACCACTTATTCGAGACCTTCTAGACCCTGTTGCAAACGGTACACCAACTATGTCTTTTGCCGAAGAAATCGTTCGGCAAGATTTCGTTGCATATGCAGATGCTATGGTTCTCCCAATAACCGATTATGTATTTCCTTTTCCGAGAGCCCATTCCCAGATCAAGGTAGGAAATATGATCATGTACTGGAAATGGGGTTTGTATAGGTTGAAATACCACGGGCAACTCCACCCATGAGAACAAGAAAGTGGTGCATCTGCACTAAAATTCTTGTAGAAAATATAAAAATCGAGAGAAAAAAGAGTCCATCCGAGAAACGAACTCTGCACCCGGGGCTGCCCCAGCCGACAGATATTGAGGAATGGCTAATTGACCCCTATTGACAGGTTGTATAGGCACAGTGAACGGATGTGCTAGATGCACCACGATTGCATGACTACACTAAGAACTCCTGATTTAATAAACATAAGTGCATTGAAATCGAGTACAGGAATTCAGTCATATAGAAATTGCAGCAAGACCACTGCTGCTGGTTTCACACATTGTCCTTGGGATATCAATCATGAAAACTTGTCGTCGTTACTGAAATCTTGAAGGATCGATTCGTGAGACGTGATCGGACATAGGCACACCTTTGATCTATGTCTCCCCGGGTCAACCAAGGCGAGAAGTTGCAGGACTACGCGGTCAGCTACGGACTTGTAGATTGAAGTTCAATGTACCCCTATATACCGGCTATAGTACAGGAGTCTCTTCCGCGTAGTGCCAGTTCCGGGACTCTGTACTGTTGCAGGCAGGCGATATGATGCAGCGCCGAAAGTGAGCCTGTAGCTAAAGGTCGACTGATCAGAAGCAATTCAAACCGAAGTTTGGACTGGAGTAACCCGTTATCCGCTTGGTGACAATCAACATCATCGCTAAACTTTGCATCAGTTGAACCCGGGCAAGGCACTTGATCTTATACGAGTTACAACAGAATCTACACAAGTGCGGGTACAATTAACTAGCCATATACACAACAGCCCTACGGAAATTGCGAAAGGGAAGTACTGAACCCACCCACATTTCTCGTCATCGGCAGTCGTCTGCTCAACTTCTTCCATGCCTCTGGGAAAATTTCGATACAGAATGCAAGGTAAAACCATATGTTTGCCTCAGCGCAATCTTACCTAAAGACACCCGTCTTGTACTTCTCAAGTAGTTGCAATGCAACGGAAGCAGAGAGAATCCAGAAAGATTCCAGCTTTCCCACGCCTTGCCACAGAGTCCCTTTTTCTTTCGTACTGGCCCACAAGCACGCGAGCGCACGACGGAGAGACTCCAAGGTGTACTCCGGATGTTCCACGCCCTGTTCACCGCTGATGATCCAGTCGCGAATCCACCAGCACTCTGAATCGTACGCCTGCCGAAGTTGGATGGTCGTTTCTCGGACGACCCGGCCTTGCTGCCCATCCGACCTTCCGAGAATCTTGCCCGCAACGATTTCGAATTTGTTTAAGGGGGTGGATGGCGACACGGAGAAGGTGAGCATGAGGTCAACCACCATTTCTTCGTAGCTGGAAGGAGTATTTGGTCAGTCACTGTTGCTACGAAGGCTGGCAAGGGGATGCCGGGACCTACTATTCTCGGATTTCTCGAGCCAAGTCAACATGGCGGCTAAACATCAAGTATTTCGTCTCTTTTCTCATCAATTCAAATAGCTTTTCTTTGAGCGTGGCCTGCTTGGCTGGAGTAAAGGCATTCTCGACACGTTGTATGGACGCCTTCTCATTAATAGGCCGAAAGAGTTGGCCTAGAACTCGATCGCTTGGGTAGTATCGAAACCGTTGTGTTTCGAATTCAACCAAATCGCTCGGCTGTTCCTACACCCCTATCTCGATCGCCTCTAGCAGGGTGACATCGCTTAGCAGTCGTATCGGGGGAGCTGGTTGCATGAAATCGGGTCGGAACGATGCGAGTTTGTTGAGTCCTCGAGGGATTTTCCGCATCTCAACCTGCCAAATGTCAGTTTCAGCAGTATGCGGTTGACAATGAACGTGAACTGTGGCCTATCTAAGGGATTATCCCCACAGCATATATTCATCAGACTAAAATGACGCAGGACCGCTCCACCGCAAAGGATACCCAAAAATAGAACTTACAGGAACTCCACTCTTGCTATAGTCAACTGCATCGGAATGTAGTTTGGCGAGCATCTCACAGTATCCATGGCGGCTTCCTTCAGGTTTCTGATCGCAGAGAACCTTATGCTTCGTCGCGATGCTGCCGAGTTTATCACTGGTCATAAACCGGACAAAGAATTCGGCCATATCCTGATTCGTGACCTGTTGAAGATCGTGAGCAATGGCTCTAGGGAAGTCCGCCGGTTGTTCGAGCGTGGGTGGTATCAAGTGAGAGTCCCAGAACACGGTGAACTCGTCGCCATCAAGGTCTCCGCCAGAGAGCATGCTAGGAATATCCCGCGCGCCTTTCCGTGGGAAGACGATACAGTTAGAGAGCTCTCGAAGTGGGCAATCCTCTGGCACATCAATAGCGTCGACAACTTGGATGTCTCCCGGAAACAGTGTCGGTGCGCGAGTCACAACGACTGGGACACCGCTAATTACTTCTCAGCCGGTATTGGGACTCTCGAACACCACATAAACCTGGCCTTCCTCCAGGACCCCGTACTCATCCATAATGCCAAAAACGTGAGACCCTTCTTTGACCGGAATACGTCCACGATACTTCATTTCGCGGACCTCGAAAAGGATCGCAAACTCGATCAACTTTCGGAGCGTTGGGTCCTCGCCGATTTTACAGCCCATGACTTGGCAGGTCTCGAGAAGAGTCCGGACGCCACCGGCCTCCGAGAATGACCGTTTCAGCCAAAGGTCGGATGCTCTCCAGGCAGTGCAAGCCACAGCCTGGAGCTCGGCCATCGCGTCGGACTGGAGCTTCAGGAAAGAAGCAGTGGGAACACCCAGATCTTCCAGAATTTTGATGGTCTGATGGTTCAGAAAGGCCGGGCCGGGCCTGAAATTTCCTTCGCAGATTTCGATATCCCAATCGTGAGGTGCATCGAATTTCCACATTGAAGGCCGAAGAGTCAGCGTCTCTTGGGGGTTCGATGAGTCGAGACTGACGACACCCTTCGCCCCTTGCGACGGCATTAGTGGAGTGTACTCGACAACTTGGGGGCAGACATACCGTTGAACCGAATTTGAAGAATCGTGGGTTTGACGGGCTGCCTCAGACCGTACGTTTTCCAGACCTTGGAAAGCAAAGACGGAGATATGGTACCGCACCCGTCACTAAAGCAGTACCCATTCCGCTTTACGTCAAGGGCGCGAGAGTACATTGACTTAGGGAGTGTGAGAGCTTTGGTGGTGTCTGAAAATGCCTGTCCAATTCGACTTGCGCATTTCGCAGGCGATCGGAGTTTGGAGAAGTCGCCTAGCTGGGCAATGATGTGTGGTGTATGGATCAATCCTCGATCATGGATGAATGGTGCACTGAACCAGCACGAAGCAGCCCTGAGGGATGAATGGGAGAACCCAAGGAATTCATACAAGCTTCCGCCCCAGATCTTAACCCCCTTAGTCATAACCGAGAGGAACTTCCCGGGGATATCAGACCTATCATCGTAGTCTGGGTCGACCTGTATGCGCCCTCCGTCTTCATCACTGAAGACGACCCGTAGGAAATGGTTTGTCGACTCAGCATACTTTCGCAACACTCGATTGGACGGCTCCACAAATGGCCCTTCGAGGTATATGCCACTGGGCGTCACTCTAGCGCGGTGAATCATGAATTCGTTCTTTGCTCGGGATACCGTTCGACTTCGAGTGCTAGTGGTTTCTTTAGCTTTCTCTTCCATGCGTTCGATCACCATGTTTGTTGTTTTTTCTCTCGTCACACGCTCTGTGCTATTGGGTCTCGGCAGCGGCCAGGTTCGATAGATGTGATGCAGTGCGTCTGCCACGGCATCGGCACCGAACTGGTTCACCAGCTTAGGCATAGCTGCGACGAGTTTCAAAACAACCTCAGGGTGGAGGGTTCCGTTCATTGCAAGCTTTTGGATCTGGAAGCGAACGGTGACTGGAAGGGGATTGGACTCCACTGCTTTCTCAAGACGGCGCTCGATCATCGCAAGCAGTTTGTCCAAGGAAGAACGAGGAGAAATATGTACAAGTTTTACACTGTAACAGTCTGGCACACCAACATTCCTCTCTAAGATCTCCTGGATTGTGAGCCTGTCTTGTGCGGATCAAAGGGAGATGCGATATACCATGCACATTCCGGCTACGGAAGCATGTCGGTTATCAATGTTTGTCATGCGTGAGGGACGGGGTGCTCGTGGTTTTCGCATTTTAGGCTCGATCGATAGGAAACTCATTGTCGCCTCCAGAGCCGCCCGGTCAACGGGAGCACTCATGCCGAGACTAAAATCAGGGGTTACAAAATGTATCTGAGGGGCGCATTTCAGGGATACAATAACCGACGGATCTGCACGATCCGGGTTGAGTATCACACAATCCACACTTTGGTAGGACATCTCGATGCGATACACCGACCCACGGACATCCTGATTCAGCTCCAGTCTTAGGGAGGACCTCCCGAATGCAACAGATCCTGTACGATTGGAAGCATAATGGTCTTCGAAAGTCATTCGATCGGCGTCGCCAAACTCCAGGTAACCACACGCGAGGGCTGTGAGAGGGAACTCGCGGTTTTTCGTGGGTTGATTTTCATGTCTTCCCGTCGTAGACTCGAATTCTCCACACCGTATTTCCAGCGGCGTCGTGTCATCGTCCGAGACTTTGGCCCGATTCAAGAAGACCCGGAACTTTCTTGTGTCGGTCCGAAGGTCTAATACCGCATTTCTCCGTGGACGATTGATAGTGGCGGCCGTCCAGGTTCTTAGGAATTCGTTGCCTCTGTTGTCATCGTAAACACAGAATGTGGCGGACGTCCCATTCGAGAATCTGGAAAGCTTCCTGCAGTCGATGCCAAAGGGTCTCAGACTGCCGTTGATTGCCTTCTGGAGGTCCTCATTATGGATGTCCGGTGAGATAGAACCGAGCCACAGCTTCATCTGTGCCGAGTGAAGTGATAGGTGTATAGATCTGTTATAAAGACCAGGGATGGTTGATGGATTGAAGTACAGCGAGCCAGTCGAAGGAAAAAGAATGAATAGTACAGCATAATGACAAATACTAAAGAATACTGAAGGAAGTGACAGCAAAAGTGAAGCACGAAGCTTCTAGAACAGAACGGCTTTCTACACCCCTATAGTGAACTGTCACGTTTCGCCGATCTTCCAAGGTGAAGTGCCTTAAGCTCATGGGAATACGCCTTCAAACGGATACAAATGACAGTCCACATGCAATCCAGACATAATTATATTTGCCCAATGAGAAGAGCTTTCAGGTTCAATGTGAATCCGGTCATGCTCATGCTGCAGCTAGGCTACGAGGACAGGCCGTGCCAAGGAGAATAGCTGTTTGCTACTTTGATATGGAAGTACGAGAGATGAGCATTGCTTAGTAGCTGTTTCTCCCCTAGTATGCTTACCTAATTCGGTATTAGTTCAGCATGCTCTCTCAGTCCTAGGGGATGCATTGACGAGAGGATATAAAAAGTAGGAAAGGATGAAGCTGTGGAAGTGAGAAGGTTCAGGCACCAACGTAGTCAGGGCAGGAGTCAGGGTGGCGGCTTCCCCAGCTCCTCCGTGCAACCTCCGTTCTCCCCACATTCACAAAAGACCAGAGATCCTCTATCACCTCTTCTTTCATTTCCACTACAGCTAACCTTTCTCCCCTATCCATCCACCGATTTTCCTCACCATGGATCAATCTCGAGCTGTGAACGCCCTCGCTTCCTACCTGGCCCTCGCCAAATCCGTGACAGCTCCTCGAGCTGCGGCAGATATCATAACCCAAGCCACATCCGCCCTGAACACCTATGTGTTTGCCGAACTGCTCCACTGCCAGTCAATACAGGGTCTCCAAGGGACGCAGTATGAAGGTCATCTACGCCTGCTGGAGCTGTTTGCATGGGGAACTTTAGCGGAGTATCAAGGTACATGAGCATTTGGTAATTGTCCATGGAACGGGGAAACATGGCTAATGCGTGTTTCAGAGAAAGCTACTACCCTCAACCTCCCCTCCCTCTCCGACCAGCAGACACGCAAGCTCCAACTATTGACCCTCCTCTCATCATCCCACCGACATTCCTTTCTCACCTACCCCGCTCTCCTTCACTCCCTCTCCCTCTCCTCAATCCGAGACCTCGAAGACCTCGTCATTGCCGCAATATACGAAGATCTCCTCGACGCGAAGCTCGACCCGGCTTCCCAGCGCGTGATAGTCAGTTCCGCCAGCTGCTGCCGCGATCTGCGACCGGGGAGCTTGGGCGGTGCACCTCCCGGCACGGAGGCGATGGACGTGTCCAACGACACGGCGACGCCCTCAACGATCACCCCACAAGACACCATCGAAGTCATGAGCGAACTCACCGCGTGGCGCGAGCGCACGCAATCGGTAACCACGAAGCTGGAATTGGAGATTCGGGCGGTCAAGGTCGCGGCGGCGCGGAGGCAGGAGGCGGAAATGGCACGGAAGGTGGCGGTGAGTGAGAAGATGGCGGCATTGGATCGGGAAGTGGAAACGCGTCGGTTTGGGAAGACGAAGGCGAAGGCGCGGAAGGCGGGGGAGGGGATGGAGTTGGATGACGTGGACGAGGGGATGGAAGTCGATGCGAGGGAGACGGAGACGGCGAGAGGGGGGTTCAATGCAAGAGGGGGGAGAAAAATGCGGGCAAGGGGCAGATGATTGCAGGCTGGAAGCTTGCATATCGATCTCGACACCTTCGCTATCCGGATATCTAGTAGGTCGTGGTAAAAGTCGCGAGAGATCGCCATCCTCCCGTCTACAGGCAACTTCATGACCGTTCCATGCCGCCATGAAGAACGCGAGCACCGGACCCCAACCGGCAGCGTTTTATGACCACGCGCATCAGCGATGATGGTAATGAAGAAACGACGATAAGACACGCCGCTATCCGGCCATGTCCTAAAATGCGAAGTAGAATCACAGCTCCTCCTCACTATCCAACTGTGATTCGTCTGGCTTCCGCTTCCTCGTGCATGCCAGCTCGCCCATATCCTCCCACGCAAGTCCATCCCTGCCTAAAGCCGCCTCATATGCCCATTGACGTGTGGTTCGGAGCTGCGGTGGTGTCGGTTCTTTTTGCTGACGCGTTATGGTGCGTCCGCTAGACTCCTGCTCCTCGTCATCGGAGATCGGGATGAACTCGCCCTTGGCAACAGCCACTGAAATCTCGCTTCTCCATTGACACCCCGATCTCTCTGCGACGCCCGCATTCTCGGGGTTCCGATCTCCCCTGCTGGCCTGTATGATTCCCTGGCCCTCACGTTCGTTCTCGAGGACCGGGCTCGAACTTTGGTGCCGTTCTTGTGATGTCTCCCGCAGGCGCTGTCTCTTACGGCTCTTATCAATCCGATACTCCTCCTTTTCCTTGATCCGCGCCCTCATTTCAGCGTCGGCTCGGAACTCGGCGCCGTCGTCATCGCACAGGTGGCCGAAGAGGGCATCGATGCAGACATCTTCCGTCCAGGCCGCCAGTTCCACCGTGCATGGGTACACTTCTTCGGGCCGGAACGCAGAGACGAAATACTGCAACTCCGAAAGGGAGCTGTGTCGAGAGTATGGGAAACTGATCGTCCTTCGCTTCCGTGACTGTTCCCCATTGCCTCCTGTTGAAATATTTTGACCTTTCTTTATCGCATCCCCAACCTTCGTAACGCCTTCAAGCCCCGCTTCGACCGATCGTGGGATGATCTCAACAAGATGCTTGAGAGGCATACCGTCCAGCACCAGTCTATCTAGCTCGATTTGTGTTGTCGATTCTTGGAAGATGCGGGCCAAGTCGAGCTTCGCTCTTCCATCAGGAAGCTTCTCCAACGACTGCTCAAGGAGTGCGAACACCTTGAGCCTCTTGCTTTCATTCTTAAGCTTCTCTGACAGGAGTTGTCTGAGCTTGTCCAAAGATCCGGCATCCAACTCAACTTCCAAGTTTCCTTCTGCCTCCTGATCCAGGTCCCCTATCCCGCCGCCTGCACCCACTTCCAGAATCTCGGACCCTTCATCTATCCGAGAGATAATCGGCACAATCCCCACCACTTCCCCGCTGTCTAGTTTCTTGCGAATAGCGCAGCTATCCATACCAATCTCGCAGGCATGGATTCGTACTCCATCCGTCGTCCTTGTTAGACACCCCTCCACCTCATGATTACCGAGTCGATATCCTGCTAAACAGGGTGCTTCGTTAGTGGCGATGGAAGCCTTGGAAACAGACGTGTATAGATTGTAGCGATATTTGTCCAAGTGAATCCTTGAGTTGAGCGCGGTTGAAAGAGCCTGGAATACATCCTCATAACCAAATGTCCATGCTCGTAGATAGAAGATGGTTTTCGGAGGGAACTCTGCACATTTTCGGAGCAATTCAGATATCCCGGAAGCTTTAGATGGAAACTCTCGATAGAATGGCAAACTCGTGGTCGCAAACGTCGTGTCCAGATACAGTGTTGATAGTATATTCGGTCGATATACGGCTGCCCCGTTTTCTGGGTCAGCAGCATCATCCATAATTTTCCGGTCACTATGACGATCGTTCGTCGGTCGACCAAAGGACGGCGATATATAAGGAATCATGTACGGCTTTCGCGCAAGTGAGTCGACCCACCACCGCTCCGCGCGTACATCTCCCGAGTATAGAATTGTCTTCCCGGCATCCTGGCCCAGTCCTTCGATCAGAAAACCGACGGCACCGATGCAATGATTGGCATCGAAGAGGGTTACCCGAATCCAGATTTGGGGGGTCAGTTGGAGCACGCACGACGTGTCCAGCGGGATCGGCTTCAAGAGCTTCTTCAAATGACCATAGCTCTGTAACCGCTGCTCGAGTATCCCCTTTGCAAAGTTCAGCCGATGAGGATATTTCTCGAGCCGAAGAAGTATCTAGACCATGTTAACCAATGCGCACCGCATTGGTATGGAATCCAAGGGGGTCGGTGCTAGGAATGGAAATGAGGGATGTTACCTCTCGGGTTGCCGGCGAGCAGTAAATGAAGGGGGCTTTCAAACTCTCCAAGCCAAGGAGATGGTCTGAATGCACATGGCTTAAGAAACATGCGAGAGGAGGTGAAGCGTCAGGCCATTTCCGGAAGTTGTCAATTCGGATATATGGGAACTCTGTTCTGAGTGAGCAACATAGTTCATTTCAACACCATCATGTTAAGGATAAATACCAACCTTCGACGATTCCGTTGAACGTGGACATTGAATCTACTTACAAGCATACGTCAAATATAGGTCAAATATAGGTCCAATATCGTGGCGTTCAGGCCTGTAGGAATTAGGATTCGAGTCCTATGGTTCCTGAGAATTTATTTAAGAGCTCAACATTCACAATTTCCTATTGGACGACTCGAAGCCCTAACATCTAAACCTAGAGGCTGATTCTCGGGGCTTGAGAAGAAATATTGCACTTGGTGAACTCCGAAATTTGCTGATCTATTGTCTTGAGAGTGAGTTGAGGACACGAAAGGGATGGTTCAACTCGATCTAGAGAGTACGGAGAATGGACAGGCAGGAGGTTCAAACGAGTTTATCCAGTGATAAATCTTAAGGTAGGTTAGCATATGACTGCGCATTGATATCATCTACATAGTTTCCCTCTAGATTTAAATTACGATTAACCGTTATCATATTGCACGCCTTGCCCTAAACTAGCCATGCCTACCACAGCAAGTAGGTATGTACATACAATACAACAATCTCGATCTCTCCGTTTGACCCCGAGTCGTCTCAATCGCTCTCAAGTACCCGAACAATTCGGCTCACCTCCATGACTCAATTCTCATATAACCATACGGCTATAAACATGCCAGCCACAAATGAAACCGCTGAACTAATTGCATGTCAGATTCAGTCTCAAAGAATTGGAGTTCAGTCGGTGTGGTGTGTGAGCATCCCAACCCGAAGGTCGGATAAGGTGTCGATATAAAAATAGGAATTCCCCTGCCAGGACTGGTATAGAACTCAGTGCGGTATACTTAGGCACTTGGGCTATGTTAGGACATGCCAAAAACCGTATCAATATAGAAACCCGCCTCATCCGTCATTTCATCATCCACCACCGGGAGGACGACATGCCGAACCGTTCGCACTTGCTTGCCTTCCGGCAGATGAAGTCGATGGAGAATATGTACCGCACTCATTTCACACGTACCATATGGCCATAATGAACCACGGGTCTTCTCCTTCATAGAACCATGGCACCGTAGAGGCGCGTCTCCCACCGATCGGCCGGATATCTGTCGCATACGATCCAGGCACCCTGAAATTCTCTCGTTCACCCAGTCGTCGAGGTGTTGCATCACTCGAGGTGGTCCTTGCCTCGGACGTTGATATGCTGGGCGGTTTCGACCACAGCTCCGACGCTGGAGAATCGACTTCATCGGTGACTGCTCGTATGCGTCAATCGAGAGTCCCAACCCAATCCTTCAATGAACTCAACGTACGCCTCCTCGCGACAAACTCGCACGCCTTCAGCTCCGTCAACGCTCCCGTCTCCGTATACACCTGCGTCGCCACACGACAAGTGATCGCTGGTGGTACGTGGTTGAAGAATTCGCACGGACTGGCCGCACGCGAGGGCGTCTCCGACTCGACGATGAACGCGTCCTCGAATCCCAGCTCGAGCGCGTTCGTGATCGCGCGTTCGATGATGAGTTTGTCCACGTGGCCCTGTAGGACGATGGTTGCTAGGTTTTCGGTGTCCATGGCGGGTGGCTAGACGAGGGGGATGATAAGGTCCATAGGGAGAATCGGGGGAATCGATCGAAACGACGAGGATGAAGACGAATAGGACTGGAGGGAGTGGATGGGATTTGTGAGGTGAACGGCGGAGTCAGAGTTGATCGGGGCGTTTGTATGAGCGCTAGGCTTCCGTGGGCATTTTCACGCATGCGTAGCTGGAATGCCAGCTTCAGTTCATCAAGTGAAGTAGATCCTCGAAAGAACGACACCTGACTTACATTATTACCCTGCAACTGAGCGCTGCAAGACCCAGCTTCATACATGTGGCAATAGCCAAATTCCAATCACGTAGCTCCACGCTGTGGACCAAATCCGCGTCCTCCCTAAATCCTATGATTTCCAGATATCCTAACGACACCCACGCGGATCCACGATCCCGCTCCAAACATTCCGATAAGGTACTTTTACCGCCGACCGTTCCTATCGCTGTCCTCATTGCCCCATTACCCCGACCCACCCCATCCCCCCCTCCTCCAACCGATCTCGCAACGCCTGTCGCTGCACCTCGTCGACGCGGTTCATCTCGTCTGCGGTCAGCGGCTGCAGCGGCGAGGGGAGGTCGGCGCGGTTGATCTCGCCGGGGGCGGGGGTGGCGTTGGCGGGAGCGGTCGCAGGGAGGCCGAGAGGGTGGAGCGGTGGGTGTTGGTGGGAGTGGGCGGCGGCGGGGCTGGGAGGAAGTTAGTTTCTGCGGTGGGTGCGATGAATGTTGTGGATGCGAGAGGACGGCGGAATGCGAGCAAGGAGATGGAGAAATCAGCAGGAGGCCGGGAGGGGAGGATCCAGAGACGGACGGCCAGAGGAGGATCGCTTGCCGGGGCGGTTGAATGGTCGGACGGATAGAGGTGACTGCAATGGCGGCATTTTCCAAATCGGAAGCGAAAGGGATGAATGTCAGAATTTGGACTGCGAGGAAGATGGAAAAAGGACAACGTGGAAAGTGGGAAGAATCTAAAGGCGACGACGCAAGCGCAGAGCCCACACAGCGCAGGCAAAGAAGTGGGATCGGCGACGCGGATCCGCTCGAGGGGGTTCATCGCGAAAGGGAACCGGAAAGCGGAAGTCAAGGTCAAATGAACGGCGTAATTCAACAACGGCAGACAAAATGGACTGAGAGAGAATGGTGAAAACGATAGTAGCACCCCAGTTGCTGGTGTGGTTCACGCTAGTTACATGCAATCGACCTCGTTTTTATTCCGCGTCGTGGTATCTTCCCCCATGAGAGTTGAGAGGTCCACCATTCCGTCGGCGCCCCTCATCGTGTCGGATAATTGAAAGAAAGAAAAGGGGTAGTGGGGGAGGGGGAGGATCTCGATAGTGTGATGTGTGTCCTCCGTCGATCCGAGAAACCATGAAAAGCATCGCTGCCTGCCCAGCATATGAAAGTAAGGAAAACGGGGAGGCTCGCCCTGATTGGTATGCTAGAAATCCCTCGCCACCTGCCACTTGTCGGACCGTTCGTCTTGCACTGCGAAAACCGTCGAAACGATCTCCGCCGCAAATTCGACCCGGCGACTGTGGAGGAAAGAGAGGGGAAATGACATGATCAAAAAAGGGCATGAGGATTGCTCCCTGCATCGATATTGCAAACCCCGGGATTCAGCGCTTGAATTGGGGTATAACACGGCCGTTAGGAGAGGAGGAAAGTAAGAAAAAAAGGGGCTTTTTTCCTTCACTAACTGGAATTCAATTGGCTGAACTCCTTATACACGCCATGTTGCTGGCCCCTCAAGTCTAAGCTATGAGTGTGTAAAGAAAGGTAGGGTTGCAATCGTGTGTCTGTGTGTGTGTGTGTGTGTGTGCGAGTGTTCTGATCCGGGTGTCATGGGTGTGAAAGTACAGAAGAAAGTGAGATGAAACAATTGGTGAAACGAAAAAGAGGGGAAAACCGAAGTGTGAATGCGGTGCGCCATGAGGATGGCGCGTGCTTTTGCTTCCAGGCGCTCGGTGGTCGTGAGGGCCGTGAAAGAAAGGGTGAAAAGCAAGAAGGTAGCAAATAATGGGAAAATAGCAAGGTGCAGAAAACGAAGAGAAGGCAAAGTAAAAAACGACGAAAATGCAGTCACCGCCCATCCGATCCAACCGTTCGAGCGTATCATAGCGAGTCCGGACGTTCGTCATGACCTGGGGTCGGGAAAGGGAACTTGAAAGGAAAGGGAGGGCATGGGGCAGTTAATGTGTGCTGTGGGGGCCAGGGGAAGTGCGAGTGGCGGGGTTTGCAAAAGAATCAGCATGGTTTCGCCCTTGCTTCCACGCGAATGGGAGCGAGCAGGCAAGGGAGGGGCATCGACGGAATGAATTGACGTTGTGCGCTTACTGTTAAGACATCAGCATGATATTCACCGGTTGGGGCACGGGGTGGTGCTGATACATACCTTCATTGGCGCAAAGCTTCCATAGGGATGCTGGGGAGCCATGCCCATGGACGGATAGACCGGTGGGGGAGGTGCCGGACGGTAAGGGGTTCCGGCCGGACCGCTGTTGTTCTGGGAGCGTCCCCAGCTCAGGCGAACGCGAGAATTGCCAATCGGATAACCTTGCATCTGGTTGATCGCCATCTCGGCCGCGTGGCGTTGGACAAACTGCACGAACCCGCAACCCTTGCCCGGGGGGATCTTGACGTAGGTGATCTCGCCGAATCCCTGGAAGAATGAGCGCAACTCATCTTCGGTGACGTATCCCGAAAGGCCGCCGACGAAAACGGTGGTGTTATTGGGATCGGTGAACTGGTTCATCGGCTGAGGAGCTCCGTAGTATCCCATAGGCGGGGCACCCATCTGGTACATGCCGACGGGACCGCCTTGCATTCCCATGGGTGGACCTCCGGGACCGCCGGGACCACCGGGACCGCCAGGACCAGGCGCAGCAGGACCGCCCTTGTTCTTGGGGGTGGCGGTAGAGATGCGCATGGGTCGATTGCCGCAGAAGACGCCTTGCATCTCGGTGAGCGCGCTCTGCTGATGCTTGGGGTCAGAGAAGCGAACGAAGCCGTAACCGCGCGACGAGCCGGTGATGGGGTCGGTCATGATTTTCGCGGACTTGCAAGAAGGATACTTCTGCTGGAAGATTTGGAAGAGCGAGTATTCGTTGACTTCCGGGCCGAGATCACCGACGAAGATGGAGTACTCGGGGCTGCGGTCATCCCTGTCGCTAAATCGTTAGATGTGACCACGGGAATGGGAATTGGCGTCGGATAACTCACCTGCGATCGGCAAGACCGCCACCAGAGGCCCAGTTGAGCTTGAAGGTCCGGTTGGAGTTGGGGATGACAGTGCCGTTCAAGGACAAGGCCTTGGCCGCAGCTTCGGGGCTGGTAAAGTCGACGAAGCAATAGCCCGCGTTGCTGCTATTTAAGTGTTATTAGAAATGATATTTCATCGCATTATCGACAGTAAACTCATCAAGGGCGGGGCATGATGAGTGGGAAGAACGTACCCCGAGAACTTGTCGCGGATCATCTTGACATTGACCTGCTCGCCCATGCCGAACCACAAGCTACGCACGAAGCTCTCATCAATCCATGGTTCAAGTTCGCCCATCCTAGACAGCACATCAGCATTTCCTATTTGCGCGCGGCAATTCCGACCAAGTGGGCCACAAGAACCTACCAGAGAGTGGTTTTGCCATCGGCAACCGGGTTGCCTTCCGCACCGGGTCCAGTAGGAGTCATGTTGGGAGCGCCAGGGAATTGACCAGCGGCGCTCTCAATCGGCTGACCGACTTGAGGTTGCTGAGGCGGCATGCCAACAGAACCAGCAGCAGAACCGTCGTCCATATTCTGCTGACCTTGGAAGGGTGGAGCAAAGCTCATAGTAGGGATATTCGATGGTGAAGAGCGATTGGATGATGGGACGCGAGGGCTGAATGACAAAAGAAGTGGAATTCTATTGTCAGAAGCGGAGCAGATGCGCAAAGTCAATGACTGATTGCTGGTGTCTGTGATGCGGAGAGGAAGATGCAGTTAGTAGAGGCGCACAAAGAGAAAATATTGGAAATCAGGAACCGGGGAAGAATGTCGAACGGAAGTAAAATATTCAGTTGGGGATGTGGAGGTGAATGGAACAAAGGGTGATGGATTGGGGGGCACTCACTTTTAAACCGACAGGCACCGACGTAGATAGGCTACGATGATAACAAGCGCACGTGGCCGAGGATTCCTCCTTGAGAAAGTGAATTCGATGCAGTAGTAGGACCGAAAATCGCTGGTTCGCAATGGCTCTTTGCACGACAGACTCCAGTGAAAGGACCGAAGGGCAGGCGCGCAAGAAAGACACCGTCGAGGGAGTTCTGCAAGGAAGAAATATTCGCTGGTTTCAAGACCGATTCGATCCAGGAAGTGAAGGGAAAATTGCCGATGACGGAACTCCGGGATTGCACACGGTCGTAGACTTCGTGAGAGTGAGAGCGAAAGATGGAGAGAGAAGGATCTGCGTTTCAGAATCGGTGATGAGCGGGAGTTTGTTTGAAGAGCGAGAGTTTGTGGATGTGAAGTACCAGTAGCACTCGTTCAACCTAAAATTTTCCGAAAACAAGCCACAGGTCAGCGGGGTAAATTCACGAGAACACACGGATAACAACAACAACAACAATGTCGCAAATCACATGTTCAGGGTAATGGTGGATTTCACATGGAGGTTGATGGGAGTTGGGTAGGGTCCTGGGGGATCGTGGAACCAGATGCTCGCTGAGCGCACCGTTGCGCGGTTGTGGTTCTGCTGCAAGGCCCAGCGGCGCGGTGCGGATGCGGAGACATGATGTTTTGGTGATGGATTTTGGTGGTGATTTTGGACTCTGCGCCGAGAGTTGCGCCGAAGCGCGAAAATCAATGTGAGAGCTCTCTCTGCTCGGCCTCTGCTCCCACATGGCTCCACGCGCACACGCGTCTCAAGCGGAAGTACTAGGACGACCAACAAGAGAGCACGATGGCATGGCGTCAAGTCATGATCGGTTACGGTGGTGTATCGGGTCGACGGCCGTGTTGTCTGTCTTCGGCTGGACGGCATGGCGCATCGGAATGAATGGGAATATTGAAGTCGGGCGTGGTGCGCGCTGGGCCAGGCACATGGGGAAAGCATCAAAGAAAGTGGGATGTCACGTACCTTAACCCTGATGACGAAGGCAAGTAGTAGATTCGGAGCACCGAGCGGAAGCAGGTAGGTATGATGTAGGAAAGCCCGAGGGGAAATCCAGAAAGCAAGCAACACCCGCTACAAAGTCAAGACGGAATGCGATGTGAGAGAGCAAGTGCGCGAGAGTGGGAACCGGAAAGCGATGAAGAGGGAAGGGAAAGACGGAGGATTTAAAAGAGCAGAGGGATTTGACGATGGATCGGATGGGTTGTGGCCTTGTGTGGGAGGAAGAGTGGGAAAGGCTGGAAAAGGTGGAAGAGGGAAACGGACAGAACGCACAGAATTGGTCCTTACTAGGCACTGTACGTACCAACCAACCTGCAAAACTATGGGAGCTTAAGTCCTGGTCGACCACCGGGAACACACTCGCCGGTTGGGCTGTGGGCAGGCCTTCGGTAGCGTCGCCCAGAATCCTAGTGTTCCTAGTTCCCTCCTCTCCCTAACTATTAGAGCGTATCTGTCACCTTCGTCTACAGTTGTCTCATGTCTGTTGTCTGTGTGCGCTTAGTGAGGTAGATCGGTGATGCGTGCAGACCTACAGGGAGCCTAGTCTGTGGTTTGTGGAGCAAGGCGAGTGGCTGGCTAATGGCTGGCAGTCGGGTGTATCGGGTTCCCTTGCCTTAGTGATCGTGACTCTTGAGACTTCCGTTCCAGTTATCCCCGATCAAGTTTTGTGCGGTTTTGCGCGTACTGTGGACCCCTTGACTACTAGCCTGTTTTATGCCAACCTGCTGAACCTGGACCAAGAGCTTACCTCAAGTTGCAACACACGTAGAGAACTGACGAACTGTGGTTGGGTTGACACGGCTGAGCGTTTGGATACCATAGCATCTACTCCGAAGCTCGCGCCAAGACGCTGAAAGTTTGGAGCGATCGCTCAGCTACGATTTCGGCTGCTCTTGAGAATAAACGAACACCCGTGGAGATTCAGATACAGCCATCGAATCCCCTACGGTATATCATGGCAAAGTACCAAACTCCCTCGACTTGGCATCGTGATGTCCATGGACCATGTATCCAGCCGACCTATACACAACCGCAAAGCAAGGCAAAGTACGAAACCCCCGTTCCACCGCATCCAGTGCTCCTTGTCTGATCCCACCCCTCCTCGCGAGATGGTCGATGGCTTTCGACCGTTCCACCGCAGGGTCTCCTCTCCGATTGCTCTCGTAGTCCTCAGACAAGATGCCGACGAGCTCGTGAGTTGGCACCGGTCAGTCATCCTCGGTCGTCAACCTGGCCGGGATAGGCTACCAGGGCATCGCTCCATCAACCATTGCTTCAGCCATTCAGCTGGCCTACCGTTCCAAGCCATTTGACCATCAGCGGACGGGCGGACGGGTTGTGGGAACGGCATCGGGCACGACGAGCTGACAAGTCACACCCAAATCCAAATCCAAAAGGAAAGAAAAAAGGAAAGTTAAACGATGCTCAATCCGGGAAAAACCTAGCCGACAAGGACTCAAGGTTCGGCTTTCGCTTATTGTGAGGTTATGACATGACCAAGTCGATCTCGCGTCTGCCACGCGTTAGCCCTGCAGTTGGGGCAGCCTCTTGCATCTGACGCCGGCTATCCGTCCAATCATCCGTCGCTGGAGCCCAACCCTTTCCTTGTCCACTCGGATAGCCTGGGTGATGCTGGGAAAGGGTCTGTGGAGGCTCAAGCCCTAATCCGATGGTGATTGGTGATGGAGACTGAGGGAGCCGTGGTATGCCGAGAGGATGTCATATCAGGGATCTATATCCGGGATAAGAGGATTCCTCAAGAATACATCATTGATGAAAGCCTTCGATGGTGACAGATCTTGATCCAGGCTTTGATCCAGGCCTTCAGGTCATTTCAATTGCGCCACAGGACTTGGTCGGGATCACATGTCATTAAGCTAAAACGTCATTTTCCTGGCCAGGAGATCTGTGCAGTTAAGAAGCGTTTCAGTTAACGGATTCCCGATCGTCGGCTTGCTCGAACGTGGACGTTGGAGGTTGGACACGATCACACAGCCTTGCCATTAGGAACCCGAATGATGAACCGCCGAGGTCGATACGATTATATGATACACTGGGAATATGGTAACCACCACACCTTACGCGCCCAAAAATTCCTCGACATCCATCGGCTGCTTTCCTTGACGCAGTTTCGGTCGTTTCCGCAACGAGTCGCCATGAGGATTCCTCTCAGGAACAATCCCATGTATGACTGATCCTTCATTCCTTCGCGCGTCGAATTTTCGCACATACCAGTCCCCAAGGGTTAAGCTCAAATATCTTTCCCCTCCCCTATATCCGAGCTCGGATCGGAAACCCTCTAACGATTTATCGTTCCATTTCACCACCGCCATCGCTTTGTCGAAGTCGCGTGCCCAGTCCTCCTCCGCTTGCAAGACGTCTCGGTTCATGTCCATGGCGCATCTTGCAAATGCAACCAACTCCTCGGACAGCGTGTCTTCCCTCCACCTGAGGTCACGGTTCCTCTGGGATGAGTGAGGTGGGAGGAATTGGGAGTAGTCTTCCTTATGTACCGGCACCCAGATGTTCTTGGTCGCGGCAGCGCTCACTGGTGGCTCGTCCCATGTCTGGTAATATAGGTACAGGCCGATCAGTTTTGGCAGCAACTGGAGATTTGTGAGGCCAAGTGAGGTCACGCTGTAGGGACTCTGTAACAAGAAGACTCGCAGTGATGGAAAACCGCGTGATTCTTGAGAGGATCTTGCCCAACCTGTGAGGACACGGTCGTCGATCAGTCTATGGCCGCTACGGATTCTAAGAACCAACAGGTTCGGCAATTTTGCCAGTGCTTGGATGGTCTCACTCGTTCCATGGGGGAGTGTGGATCGGAGCTTAAGGTCCAGGAATGTCATAAAAGGAAAGCCTGTAATTGGTGCCAGGCTAGCTAAGACCATCGGAGATTGGCATGATGGCCGGGAGGCTGCTTTGAATATCGTTGCCTCTGGAGCAGTTGAAACATCTGTGAGGATGCGACATATTCCGCTCAATACCAAACGTAAGTCGATAGAACGATCAAGTTTCTCGGCTCTAGTCCTTGAGATACCATCGAAGCTGCCATAGGCGCTGATGAATAAGGCCCATGTTCGAAGAGAGTCGCTATCGCTGTAAAGGCACAAGATCAGTTCCCAATGGACATGGTGGAACGTATCCAAGCTGCCAAAACGAAGCTTACCTTTTGGTCGCACACTCCCATACGGTCCGCACAAGGTGTTCCGGCATGGCTTGGAGAACTTCGAGATCCAGGTAACGTAAATTGGCCGCCAGGCAGTTCGCTGCCAAGGCAGATAACGTATTTACCCCGGTTTTATGCGCTGGTTTCGCATAGAGCGAACCATAGCGGCTCCCCCAGGACTCATCTATCCATGATTCCATTCCATTCATCGTTGTAGGGGCGAGGATTTCGGTCTCGTAGTACACAGTACCCGATTCCTTGTCATAACTTTGCACGCCGGAGGTCTCCAGATTTGGACCACGATTGGAGGTAGATGGGTATCGACGCCTTCTCTTCGTCTAAGCGTCAGCCGCTTGTGTATCAACGCTGCGATAGTTGAACTTCCAAGGGGCTAGGGCGATATGAATAAAGAAGATTATGGTGTATCATACCTTGCGTGATGGTCGATTGACATCCCTCAATGAGGAGACATGTCCCCCTACCGTACCCTAAACTACCATTCAGTACTGAGGCCATAACGGACGGCATATGTGGGAAGACCGAACCTTGATCATCTCGCCTATCGAAGGGTTCGCCGATACCGCCGCAATTCCAACCAATGAGGGGCTATCTCATTTATGTCCACGATTGAAGGCGATTGTCGCCAAACCAGCGAATTTGTTCATGTACAAGGGGTCTCGGCTCCGCGTAATGGGAATGAATTCACACCCTGCTGCCAGAGATCGAACGTGTAGCGGCCCCAAAACCATGCTCCTATGTTTATTACTCGGATTGGGAAGCCATTGACGACACCTTTGAAAGAATAAAACGCGTCATTCGGGTTTAGATTCGCTCGGTCTCTTTGCTGGCAGCACTGAAAGACGCGTCGAAGATCCGAAAACTTCAGTGTGGCTGATAAGAGGTGAGAAGGCTCATCTAAGACCAAACCATTGCTGCCTAGATATTATTCATTCGGATTACTGAACAGCTAACGGCGACTTTGGTCCAGAGCATCGAAGCAATTCGTATGAGGGAATTGCTAGTGTGGGTTTGGTTACGAGGTCAACTCCACGATGTAATGATACGCTGTAATTACGAGTCAGGGATATGGCGCGCACGGATCTCTGGGGGAATCCTTGTCAGGCAGTGAGATTACTGATCTTTTCCAGAATTTCAGCCTCCAACATCATCGCCAAGCATATACGGAGTAAAGGAGTATACGGAATAATATGCATCGTCTTCATTTTCTGAAGCATTACGCAGAGAAGACGAGGATTTCCTCACGGACCCCCCGCGGTCTATGGCCTCATATGGATCTTATTCGTTCGTGCCGGTTCTTGCATTCTTGGCCCTGGAGTCCAACCATTTCTAGCTTCGGACTGCGATTAATGTAGCGATTAGCTGAGAGGGTGGTAATGATAACACCGGAAGGGCAAGCATCTCTGTCCTGGCTCACTCTTCATAAGGAATTTGTCAGATAAGCTTCGTTTTGCGTCGTATTAGACTTGGCGTATCGCTAACCTGCAGGAAGTTACAATGTCCTCTCTCACATCTAGCTGGAGAGTCGACGGCGAGTCAAAATATCGCTTCGTATTCAAAGGAATGGTGTGGTCAGGCCGCGCAATGTATGCAATAGGTGTTTAGCTCATGACTTGGCAATAATATGTCGCAGGTGTTGTTTACTCTCTCGTATGTGCTCATTCAGATATACTGCCTCCTGTCAAGTATATAAAGATGGCCGTGCCATCCCCTTCAGCATTGATATAACATCATCTGTTCTCATCAGTCTCTCAGCAATAGCCAAAAGAGTCCAATCTTTCTAATATAACACTTGCCGTCTTCCTTTATCTACCCACCCTCTTCAGAAATGTCTTCCAAACTCATCACAGTGTTCGGCTCCACGGGTGCGTATCAATGTCGAGTTACTTCATCCAGAGATCACTAACACTGATCATCTGATCAGGAGCGCAAGGAGGTTCCGTCGTCAAGTCCATTCTTCAAAACAAGAGCGGCGCTTTCAAAGTCCGGGGCATCACCCGAAACCCCAACTCTGATGCAGCGAAGCAGCTCGCGTCTGCCGGCGTCGAAGTGGTCAAGGGAAATGGCTTCAACAAGGATGAGATGTTGGCGGCTTTCAAGGGAAGCTATGGTGTCTTCGTGAACACTAACTCGGATGACCCAGTAAGTCCTCTCGGCAAGAGAACGGGACCGGCCACTGATTTCTCTAAGGCGTTTGATGACCCTAAGAATCCTACTGAGTTGGACTTGGGGAAGCTTCTTGTCGATACGGCTGCCGATGCTGGTGTCAAGCATTTTATCTACAGCTCCGGCGCATCTCCGTCTGCTTTGACCAACGGCGAACTTATGATACCCACCTTCGAAAGTCAGCTTCGATGCATCCTGTAGTATCAGCTCATTCTAACAGCTTTCAGACAAGAACCAAGTGGGGACCTATGCCCTGACCTCTGGCAAATTTGACTATGTCACCATCGTTGATGCAGGCTGGTATCTGGAGAATTTCCTCGTCCCAGACTTGGCTCCAGTTCTAGGCGGTTTTCCATTGAATGCCGACAACGAAGGTTACATGTCCTTGGTTTGCCCGAAGTGGGGTGGCAAGGAGGATGTTCCCTTCATTGGCATGATGGACGACTATGGTGATATCGTCCATGGCATGTTCCTTGACCCTAAGGCATGGAACGGGAAAACAATCCAAGGAGTCAGTGAGGCAGCATCCTTTGACAAGGTTGCGTCCGACTTCGAGAAGGGTATGTTAACCCAACGCCCCTTACCGATCTTGACTAACCTGTAATCCAGTGACTGGGACCAAGTCCCGCTATGTTCCGCTGCCATCGTGGAAAGACTTGCCAACTTTCGGAGTGAAGTCGCTAGAGACTATCCGGCACATGTTCGGCTATTGCCAGATCTCTGGCGGGCTGTACTTCGGCGAGCCAACTGAAACCCACACCGCAGCGACCTTGAAGAGGATTGCGACTGAAGCTCAAGGCAAGATTGGAAGTGACGCGGAGCTGATGACAGTGGAGAAGTTTTTTGGAACTCATTTTGCCAAGTAATGCTTGGTTGCTACTGTAACATTCTTTTCTTTTTTTAATTATTGGACAGGCATGATGTTGTGCGAGGTTCAGTTATCATATACAGAGATACGTCTTCAGAACACTGCAGATGGAGCCATAGCTAGTGAGTGGGCTTCATGAAGTTCTTCTATGGACAGTCGCTTCAGGCTCTTTAGCAACGTTTCATTTAGTGATGTAATGCAGCTTTTGATTTTATAATTTTATCCATGTATTTGTGACAATCATTGCGCAGCGTATCAGCGGAGCATTCATTACGACCAGAAGACTATGTTTCCAGACTCTAAGTAGGGACAGAACCTGCTTTATACTGATTGGCGAACCTGAAGCCTCTGTGATTAAATTTACAGGTTTCGTCAGATCGCACACGTCAAGTACCTAAGGAGGCAATATTATCATGCAAGAATACTCCTAGCCACGCTGTGCTCTCCTGAGGCCCATTCATGACCCTCGGCGTATTTCAGTAACCTCATCTTTGCAACGCCCGACCATCCAAATAAGTGGTCTGTGGGTCGTGTGAACAGAGGGAGTCAAAAGCTTCGATTCATATACTGGCATTCGGTAGAGAGCAGAGACTCGTGCCGCATATCAGCCGCCTACACTGGGTTGAGGCACTGTCCAAGCAGTCCTGGCGTCCTGGCTCTCCTTCCCCCAATCTACAATGCGTATTCACAGATCATCGAGAAGCACAACTTCTTCGGCGAAAACACCCCGAAATACTTCAATATATACTATGTACGTGATTTCAAAGACTTGGCGTGGTACATTTGCCTAGACGTCAGGTGGTCCCCCGTATCCATGTCAACACCACGAGCCATATACACCTGTCCGAGAGCTACATGTCCAGGAAATAATGAACTAACGATGCTCCATACGGGGAAAGGTGAGGTATCCCAATCCAGTCGCCCTGTAGTCAACTGCATATACGAATGAGTCCCAAGCTGATAACCTGTGCAGACCCCTGTACCGCACGAATCAGGTTAGCGCGCCGCCAAGCCATCGCGGCCTCCGTCCCATTATAAGAGCAAAGCCCCCCACTCCGACATCCCTCCATCCTTCTGGTTTCTCCTTCTTTCCTCTTAATTTCTCTCCCATGAAATATCAACTTGTTCGTGCATCTAAGTCTCCGAACATTTGGAGGCCATTCGAACCTTCAGGGGTCCCAAGCATCACGTGCAGTCATGGCTGAGCCATCCACTACCCCCCACCGTCGCTGTCTTGGAGAGGAGCAAGCCAACACCTCATCGTCTTGTTCCACCTCTTCACCGTCCTTATCAACCATATCACATTCCTTCAACACAACCACTCGCACATCGCTGTCGGACCCATATTCATCGGTTGGGTCGAAGTACGATTATGCTAGCCAGTATCGCCGTCTTGAAGTACAAGACGGCGATATAATCCGCGTTATCGAATCCATTCGACAATGTGAGCGTCGTCACTGGCTACACCATGATGAGGTGCTGTTCCCAGATGAGAAAGATGATACTGCCCACTGGCAATGCCACAACGTCGCTGTTGCCAAGACGCCGTCGAAGCGAAGGCTTCCACGAGACAGTCGATGGTCGGCAAAACCCGTGCCGAAGCCTGTCATCGTGCAGGGTAACGACCAAAATGGTTCGGCTGACAGTGCTGAAATCTTAGAAGGGTTTGACGTGTCGCCGATTCAGAGATTGGAGGTGCCGCCAACGCCAAGGATTCAGAGGCTGCCCACTCCAGACTTCGACAACCAACGAACACAGCGACACGACTTGTGCAACTGCTACACAAGTAGATATTCCGTCGAAGATGACCATCTTCTATGCCAGCGAAAATACGCTTGACAGTTGCGTACCAGTTTTCGTGAAGTGGCTGAGTTGTCAGTCACGTGACGGATGACGGAAATGGAAAGCGGGAAATATGAGTTGGAGCTTTTGTGGCTGGCGATGATGACTCGGGAATGAGGGCGGCTGTTATGAAAAGTCCCCCTCGCTCCGGATGATGATTTGTTCTTTTGGCGTTTTTAGACGGAGGCGTTAAGGATCAGAGATTCCCCCATGATGTAATGTAACGATAGCATGCTCCTTTTGAGTTGAGTCTGTCAGTCTAGAGCAGCTGCAGAATGTTCACTATTTAGCTCCATTGACAACGAAGAATCGGTTCGACTTGCGTGTCGCGCACTGCAGGGGGTCCCAATCCTCTGCTTCTTTCGTTTCGGCTAAGGTTGAGGGTCGTCGTCGGATCCGGACATAGTGTTTGCCAATCCTCTCTTCGCTATCGAAGTTCTCTTGCAATGAGTCTTTTGTGATCTCGGCAGCTGCCCCTGCTTCATCGGATTCGTCGCGCAGTGACCGTAGCGGACGTACGCCGATAGTGTCCACGTTCCGGATTGCTTGGACAAAGTGCAGCTGTGAAGCTAAAGTGCCAAGAAGCCTGGACTCTTCGTCTTGGTCTTTTGGTGGAGGCAGGGCGGAAAGGCGAAGCAGTTTCCGGAGTTGAGTGGGAGTTATCTCATCCGCCGTGGTTGAAACTCCAGAGGATAGCAGGTCTTGGGCCGACCACGAGGGCTCCCCCAGTGCCTTATCAATGACATCGTATTCATTGCCGCTGTATTCACGCAAATGCAGCACGCTGTAACTGCTCCGTGGGACAATCCTAGCTCTTATGGACCGGAAGGCCTGGTGGCGCATATACGCTGCCATCATTGAGTCGAAAAGTTGTGATGGTCGACCCGACCGGACATAAATTGTTGTTCAGAGGTAACTCGGCCGTACCAAATGCTCAATACGTCCAATTATTGATAAACACTATCGAACATAGTGTTAACCATTGTAAATATAATAGTCGAAAAGAGAGTTCCGATGAAGTGATGTTGAATGTGGGTCGTTGTAGCTAAGCTCAATTAGGTCTAGTCTACCCGTCGTCGTTTATCGGCCGACCGCGAATCCGCGATGGCCTTTGGGTTTTAGCCTGTGTACATCAAAGTTTCAACTGTCGGTTTCTCAACTTAGAGAGAGTTCAAATATTCCCACCATAATCTTGTTTATTACACAAAGGCTCCAGCTATCTTGACCACCTGCGATATACCGAACCCAAGATCAGGCATCCGCCAACCCCCTTCTGCATTTCCTGAACCATGGCTCACAGCAAGCGGAACACGACGCTCCCATTCTCCACGGCCCACGAGCGGGCGTTACTGAAGGCTCAATGGGGGACCAAAACCACTCAACTCACACGCGAATCTTTCCTCCCTCTCCATTTCTGCCGGCTATGCCTGAACGCTCTCCGAGACCCGGTCGCGTGCCCCTCCGGTGACCTGTTCTGTCGCGAATGCGCGATCACCAATCTACTTGCACAGCGCAAAGAGAAGGATCGATTGGAGAAGGGGAGGGAGCGCGACGTGGAGCAAAGGAAAGATGATGAACTGGAGCGGGAGAAGCTGGCTCAGGAAGAAAGTATAAAACAGTTTGAGCGTATACAGCAAGGCTTTGGCAGTTCGAATGGTCCCCGCAGCGAACCGGAGGAGCGCCGATCGGAGAAAGAGACGGAGAGAAACCGAGGAACCAAGCGTAAGTTTGAGCTGGATGAGTCGGAGCTCTTGCGGATCGCAAAAGAAGATCAGAATCGGATACAGGAGGGGATGAGAGCGGAGAAGCGAGCCAAGAACGCCAAAAGCCAACTACCCAGCTTCTGGGTGCCGTCACAGACGCCGGATGAGCTCGATCGAGTGCGAGGTGGCGAACATGAAGCCGCTCCAGACACTAAAGATCGTAAATGGCACGCAATATGCCCAGCTTCGGCATCGAACGCCAAACATGAGTTCTCCCTCAAGACGCTCACGCCTGTCCATTTCCAAACGGACGATAGGGATAAAGCACAATCCGGTACATCGAACGATAGAGAGGCGGCGCCATCGTGTCCGAGCTGTAAGAAGCGGCTCAGTAACGCTGCGAAGGCGATGATAGCCATTCCATGTGGTCATGTTGTGTGCAAGCCCTGCGTCGAAAAGTTTGTAGATCCGACGGGCAAGGAGGCGCGGGACCTCTGGGATCACAATGGTGAATCAGGAGGACTTCTGAGGTGCTACGTTTGCGACGCGGACCTGAGTAGCCAGCAGCAGGAAGGCAAGAAGGGGAAAGATGGAAAGGGTCGGAAAAAGGACAAGGGTCGAAAACCGGGTCTTGTGCTGATTAGAAGCGAGGGCACGGGTTACGCAGGTGGAGGAAAGAACACGGTCAAGAAAGAAGGGGTAGCGTTCAAGTTCGGATGAGACAGTATCTTAAGGCGGAAATGCACGTGCCAGACGTATGCTCAAATCATGATACATTGGCTCTATCAATCCATATAAACTCCAAGTGTGTTGGTGGGTATACGCCCTTTTCGCCTCTATGATGATGCCTTGAACATATCTGCAATCTAGTCCTCATCCCAATTCGCGTTGGGTCCCGGCGGCTTAGGTCCACCAGCCTGTCTGGCGACGATGATCTGGTCGACGCTCAAGACAGTCCGCGCGGCCTCGGTCGCAAGCTTGATGGCCCAACTCTTCGCCACAAGCAAATCCAAGATGCCCTCATCGGCGGCATCAAGCGTTCCCGTTCCATCTTCGTTCTCGATATCGACACCGACGGTCCAGTCTTCGTCGTCCTCCTCGGCCTTGGAGGCGTGGGCAGAGTACAACCGACTGAGGACCTCCGTAGCATCCAAGCCCGCACTTTCCGCAAGCGTCCGTGGAATGACCTCGAATGCTTCAGCATACTTTTTGATCGCATACTGAGCCAGTCCCGGAGTTTTCTCGCCAATGGCTCCTATTCTCTCAGCAAGCTGCATTTCTGTAGCTCCCGCGCCAGGCACCAAGCGAGGATCTTTCGTGATAGCCTTCACCACATTGACACCATCATCGACCGCGCGTTCGACGTCGTCGAGATGGTTTTGGGTCGCACCACGAAGGATCAGGGTAGCGGTTCGTGTCAGGTCGTTTTCTTGGCGGAAGACCGTCACCCGATCGCCACCAATCTCGAGGGTTTCGACAATGTCGATGCTCCCCATCTCATCAGGCATGGGGGCCCCAAGACGGGCCAACGGGGTCGCTCCAACCACCCGGCAGAGGCGCCGGAGCTCGAACTTGGACAGGATTTTGATGATCAAAATGCCGAAGCGGTTCAGGTAGTGCATCGCAAGTTCGCCGACCGTAGAGCCGGCAATAACGACGCGAATACCGGAATCGTAGAGCTCCTTGACAATGGCTTCAACCTGCGTCTCCTCGCCCTTGGTGAAATCCAAGAGTTCTTTTGAGTTGTGCAGCAACACGGTCCCCTTTGTCTCGGTCTGGCTGATGTCAACAGGACAAGTGTAGACTCCGACTTTGGCCTTCTTGGCCTTCTTGACATTGCCCTCGGGTTCACGACCGAATACCATGCCTTTGACGACCCTGCTTTGTTCGAGACTCCCTCCCATGATCTTCACAACACGGACGTTGTCAACGTTGAAATTTATGGGATCCTTGGGCAGGACGGCAAGTACGGCCTCCGCAACCAAATCGGCGAGCAGGTCTTCGTTTCCGGACTGCTTGGATGCAATAACGGTTCGGATGGCTTTGCTGAGCTCCTCTTGGGATCGGAGGTCGGTTACCTTGTCGATTTCAAGATCTTCCAGTATATTAGCGACGTTCCTGGGTATCAACGGACGATGATGCGCTCACCTTCGAGGATTTTCAAGGCCTGGTTCTGTGCCTTCTCGTATCCTTGAACAATGTCGCTCGTTTTCAAACCCATCCGAATCAGTTCTTCGGCTTTCTTCAACAGCTCGCCAGCCAATACAATGACCATATTAGTGGCATCACCCATCTCCGCCTCTTGCTGCTGGCTTGCCATGACCAGAAGCTTTGCTGCTGGGTGCACAACCTCCAGTTCCCGCAATATAGTCGCCGCATCGGATGTGAGGATCATCTTCGCGAGGTGGTTGATGACAATTTTATTCCGTCCATAGGGACCTAGCGAGGTTTGCACCGTTGATGCAATCGTTCTGCATGCGTCTATGTTTCGGATGACGGCGCCATCTTCGGCGTCGTAACTATTAGAACGGTTAGCCTTCCGTCGATATTCGAGCCGCTTTCTGTTGCCTTGTACTTCTGGTAGCCGGGCTTGAATAGCCCAGCATTGGGAGCATTTGGTATGGTGAGCGACATTATCTGTGTGTTCTGAGAAAGAAAATGGCAGATGGACTTCTCAGAGTGAAAGTATATTCGACTTCATGGAGGTATGGTGGAAGCTCAAATGTTGTCGTGCTGGGTTGAAATAAATTCGGAGCTCAAAGCGTGTTCCGCCCCACCCCCGACAGTGCGGAGCGGAAACCCCTGCCGGAGTATGGAGGATGACCCAGCGGAAACTACATGAGCTAACTATCATACAGGTACTCAACCGAATATTCGAATGAAATGAGAGAGGATTATTATTCGCATTTCTGGATTTGAGTACTATATATTCCGATTGCTCATAGTATAATAAACATGGTCTTCGCCTCAGCTTCTCAGTCGCAAGATATCACAGAGCAACCTGATTTCGTCGTATCCTCGAGCATCTAATGCGATCCCACCAGCCTTCCTCGCTCCTGCGATGCCCAAGGAATCCCAGAATTCATCAACCGTCCTCAATGCAGCAAACTGATGGTGTGTCATCTCACGGGCCGGTTGATGACGTAGTATCTCGATGATCGAATTCGCTGGAATACTCCGATCAGGTTCGCGATCTTCAATGGTCTCCGAGTACAGGCAAATCTCAACCAACAGTCCTCGACCATGCTCTTGATTCGATCCGCGTGCCGTCTGGCGAAGGTCTCCGACCCGAATCGTAAAATCGTCGAGCTCCCAGGTCGATCCATTCGCGAGCGCCAGACGTGGACCCGCGTCCCAAAGAAGCCCGAACTGCCGCCTGATCATACCGATATAAGAGTCCATCTGCGGTGTCGGAAGGAAAACAGCCGCGGAATTGACATAAGCTGGATCCAACGGGGTAAAGGTACCAACCTCACTGTCTTCGCCATTCTGTGCAAGATGCGGTCTGGAGATGCAGATGAACGCTTGATCCGGAAAGTGGCTCATGGAAACGATATGCTGTACTCGAGCATTTTGATCATCGGCTGGATTCCGTATACGCCGAAAGAGATACTGTTGCAGATGCCAGGCTCCAGTAGGGGTTGCATTACGGGTCACGAGAGCGTCGGTGACTGTCTGTAGCCGGTTCGACTCTACAGTGTCGGGCAAATGTAGAACTCTGGCGTTTATTAGAGGATGGTCAGATCCAGCGGTATCTCATCTCTCACAATATTGCCGCCATCGACTACCGTAGGCAAGCTGCCCGACAAAGACTCCCCACACACCCGATGTCACGATGCGAATTTCGAACTACCTCACATTTAAATCGTGTTCCATTTCCGTGGATCCGCAGAACGCTGAATCGCTGAATTGCTAAATCGCTGGAGGCTTCTCGAGTCGGTGATTGCGTTGTGTACTAAACTGTACTTCGGCTCTCAAGATCCCAATTCGATATGCTGTGCTCTCGGAGTCTCGGGACCATCCTCCTCTTGACTCGATGCAGTGCACACTGGATGTTTTGAGAACTTGGTTTTCGACCTTAGTATAAATTGTGTGATGATGGATTGGCAGAACGTAGGGTTGGTGTTCCTACGCTGATCCTAACTAGATTTAGTCAGGGGGCGGGGCTTTCCCCATCTGCTGCCGCTTCGTATTTCGAGTTGGCAGTTGTACGTCAGTGACATGTGGATCCTTGCCTCATTGTGCTTTCAACTTTATCGACGCCACGCCCATCAACAAATATCACCACAATTCTGTCAATGCGGGTGTAGGATTTCTCCAGTTATTTGTGCCTGTTTCATCCATCTTCCTTTGTGGTTCGGTTCAAGTTTATCCAAAGTCGCCATTTTTAAGCATTGATTTACCTTTCCTTGCTTCAGTTCGCATTGATATCATATTGTCGAGATTTCCTGAGTTCTTCGTATTAGCCTTGATGGTCACCCCTTATTTCTTTCCGTTCCTTGTCGCTCTTGCTCCCATTGCCTCGGGATCGCTCCGGTCAGAGCTCCGAATGGACGGCCTACAATAGAAGTGGTTCCTTTCATTCCAATCTATGTGTATAACGTAGGTATCTTACGCAATTCTTGGGTCACACGAGGCGTTGAACCAAGATGCTACCCTTCGGTCGTCGGCGTGCTGCTGTCTTTTTCATTGTCGTTTCAGGACTCCTTATCTTCTCCCAGCTTGTCCGCTTGGACCAATGGGATCTCTCAAGCAGTCTTTGGCAAACAGAGCCACAGGCCCCCGAGCGAGCAGAACCGCGAATTCACTTCCAAACGTTTCCGGAGGTCTATCCAGTGTCGTCACTCATACAGCTACCAACGTCCACGCCCTCTCCGATCCCTAAAATTCAGCACGATTTCGAACCGGAGACGGCAAGTCAGTCGAAAGAGCGTTTAAAGAGGTTGGGCGCGGTCAAGAAGGCCTTCTTGCATTCATGGAAGGGTTACAAGGCTCATGCGTGGCTGCAAGATGAGGTTGGCCCCCTTTCCGGCGAATATAAAAACGATTTCGGGGGCTGGGGCGCCACGTTAGTCGACAGCCTGGATACATTATATATCATGGGCTTGCACGAAGAGTTTGTGCGTTCTCTTCGGGCGTTGATAACAATCGATTTTTCCGCATCGAATCTGGCTACGCTTAATGTTTTCGAGACCACCATCCGCTATCTTGGTGGGCTTTTGAGCGCGTATGATCTCAGCGGAGGGCAATATTCGCTGCTGCTGGACAAAGCCCGGCAGTTGGGCGACATCTTGTACGGAGCTTTCGATACGCCCAATCGAATGCCCCTCGCTCGCTGGGACTGGGCAGCGGGTCAGCGATACCATGGTCAAACGGCGCAATCACACATACTTGCTGCGGAACTTGGGTCTCTATCCCTCGAATTTACACGCTTGTCCCAGCTCACCGGGGAACCGAAGTACTACGACGCGGTACAGCGGATTACCGACGCACTTGCAGAGCAGCAAAACGACACCCATATCCCTGGACTTTGGCCCGTGGCGCTGAACGCCAAGAAGTTACGATTCACCGAAGACCGCAGCTTCACCCTTGGTGGCATGGCAGATAGTTTGTACGAATATCTGCCGAAAGAGCACCTCCTTCTCGGTGGAACCACGCAGCAATATGCGCAGATGTATGAGTTCGCGATCGAGGCCGCGAAAGAGCATCTTTTCTTCCGTCCGCTCACCCCGGGGAACCAAGACATCTTGATCTCCGGAAGTGTGAGGAAGAGCTCGTTCGGTGCTCTAAAGCAAGATCCCCAGGGCCAGCACCTCACCTGCTTCGTGGGTGGCATGGTTGCTCTTGGTGCCAAGATCTTCTCTCGGCCTGAGGAGCTCACCACTGCTCGCCAGTTGGTGGACGGTTGTATCTGGGCGTATGAGTCGATGCCCTCTGGAATCATGCCGGAAACGTTCCGAGTCATGCCTTGTAAAGATCCGCATGACTGCGAGTGGTCAAGGGAGGCGTGGCTGAAAGGCATCTTTGATATGAATCATAAGGCTGCTGGTCCTAAGGATGACGAAAATAAGGTCGCATTCGCCGAGAATTGGGTCGTTCAGGCCAAACTCAGCCAAGGATTCACGGAGGTTATGGACAAGAGGTACATTCTTAGGTGAGACCGCGTTTTCTTCTTCCTCTCCCTTTTCAAATCCTCGGACTTGCTAATACGTCATAGGCCGGAAGCGATTGAGTCGATCTTCATCCTTTACCGAATCACAGGAGATCGCAGGCTCCAAGACAAAGCATGGCAGATGTTCCAGGCCATCGAAAAGGCTGCGAGGACTCCCATATCGTATGCTGCCATTGCGGACGTCACCGTGAATGATCCCGAACGGCTCGATACATGCGAGTCGTTCTGGACAGCGGAGACATTGAAGTACTTCTTCCTCATCTTCAGCGAGCCCAGCATTGTCAGCCTTGATGAGTTTGTCTTGTGAGTTAACCGCCAACGGGTGGGAGTCCTGCTTCTTTCTAACAATTTGCAACAGTAATACTGAGGCTCATCCGTTCCGACGCCCAGCCTGACGGCTGTTGGAGCCACCAGCTACGGTCAGCTAAAAGGCTATCCACGAACCTTTTTAAACTTAATGCATCAATTCGGCGTTACATAGGCAGAGGCATATCAGGCATATCCTGGCGTTTGGGTAAACTTTGGACTCTTGAAGGTTAAATAGCTTTGTTCTTTTGGATAGATTATAGTATATGAAGATAGAAACCCAGTAGTACCAATACAGCATCTACCATTTTACTCGATTGATTTATCCAAAGCATCCCATGATAGCTGATACCGTATCTTCGTTCATCACTAAGACCGCCAATCCAATGCCTAAGGGCCGCTAATACAGGGATGAAATCTGTGGGGGCGCCTGCACCGGAACGTCACTCCACCTGCGTCGCGTGTTCAACGCTCCAAAGTCCAGTCACAACTACATCTAATCAACACCAACGCAAGCCATACGTATCGCACCCACCATTCTATCCCGCAGCCTGTCCCGCGTGCCCACGGCGCAAGGCGCATGTCTGAGACATGATCACCTAAACCCTAAGTGGTCAAGACACTGGGCCTTATCTTGACGCACCCGTTCGATCCCCACCCCCCATCAATCGGATCGTCATATTAAGGTTCGGGCTCCCCGGACTTCCCACAACTGTTGTGATGCCGGATCGGGAGCCTGGAGCATATAGGAGCATCATGAATCGATTAAATGATGCTCTATCTCGGCGGAAGTCGTACGAGCCGCTGATGGGGAGTCAGTCGGAGGTGTTGGACACGTCCGTGGATGAAGACGATACGGGTCTAGATCCGTTTTCGTGGGTGGACTACAGTATATTCTTCTTGCTTGGAATCGCTATGCTATGGGCCTGGTGAGGCACTCATTTCCAAGGTCCGCACAACAAGGACTAACTTCCATAGGAACATGTTCCTCGCCGCCGGGCCATACTTGCAAGTCCGCTTCGCCGACAACGACTGGCTATTGACCAACTTTCAATCGGGCGAACTCACTGTGTCTACAGCCACGAACTTAGGAACGATGATCATCCTTTCGAAAATACAATCGAAAGCCTCATATCCTCGACGTATCGTCATCTCCCTCCTCATCAACATGCTCGTCTTCACCCTCCTCGCGTTCTCGACGAAGCTGTTCCTCAACATATCCCCGTCGGCATACTTCGGTGTCCTGATCGTCATGGTGTTTTTCGCAAGCCTGGCCTCCGGGTTCTGCCAGAACGGAGCGTTTGCATTTGCCTCGAGCTTCGGTCGGGACGAATACATGCAAGCCATCATGACGGGGCAGGGGGTTGCGGGACTGCTTCCCTCGATTGCCCAGATCATTCTTACATTGTCCGTTCCAGATGATGATGCGGATGAAACCGTCGGAACTGGCTCCTCATCCGCTGCTTTCGCCTACTTCCTAACGGCAACCGGTGTTTCGTTGGTCACGCTGATCGCATTCGGATATTTACAAAAACGACACCACAGAATTAAACACCTACGGCGTTACCGTAAACATCAGACCCGGCACTCCGAAGATAGAGATGACCTCTCGATCGAAGAGCATGACCCTCTTTCGTCCTCCATAATGGCATCTTCGGTCATGTCCCGAAGATACGTTCCTCTCTCCCGGCTCTTCCGAAAGCTTCTGCCGCTGGCCCTCGCGGTCTTCACGACCTTCCTCATCACCATGTGTTTCCCCGTGTTTACCCAGCAAATATTCTCCGTTACCGATCCAGCAAAAGCCGGCCCGCTATTACAGAATGCTGTTTTCATCCCCCTTGGCTTCTTGGTCTGGAATATCGGCGATTTCCTTGGCCGCGTATCATCCGGGTTCACTGCCCTCCGCACACCACTGGTGACGAGGCCATACATGCTCTTCGTCTTGGCCCTGGCTCGAGTCGTCTTTATTCCGCTGTATGTAAGCTGTAACATCAACGGACGAGGCGCGTGGATCGCTAGCGATGCGTTCTACCTGCTGATAATCCAGCTGCCGTTTGGGTTCACAAATGGCCTCCTCGGAGCATCTTCCATGATTGGTGCGAACGAGTGGGTTGATGTGGAAGAGAGGGAGGCCGCGGGTGGGTTTATGGGCATGTGCTTGGTTGGAGGACTCACTGCAGGGAGCTTATTAAGCTTCATAGCTGCGAGAGCCTAGGTCCGGGCCTTGAGTACGAAGATCTAGCTGAAACGTAGAGCATAAGCGGGCGACATGGGTATTAGATGCATCGGATGGGAGCATGGCGTTATCGAGGAACCGGCTTCTCCATGCCATCGGTAGAGTTTTTGATATCAGAATCCGGAGCTACGATATAATACCACATGACCATTCACTAACCTTATTCAAAATTCTCTGGTCCATATCCATCTGACATAGTGCTTATTAACTTCGATGAGTTCGCCTAACTGGACTATTCCCCTCTAGTATGTTTACGCGAATTGCCTAGGTACTTAGCCAAATCCCGTACCCGCTGCCATGGCGAATTCTCATGGATGTTGGGTCTACCAAAGTACCTGTCCAATGCGTCCATCAGAGAGCCACGGCCAAGCTCAAAAAGGATACTCTCATAGGCCTTGATACAATGATATCGATGCTAGCTCTTCGTAATACTCTCGAGTAATATTTCCGGCCTCATCACGAACTTTTGTAGCTCCCATTTTGTAGACGGAGAGCTTCTGTAAGCTGATATCTTCCACCCACACGTGGTCTTTGTATCGTTCTATCCACCCAGTTGCATCCAACTGGATCGGGCGATTGTGCCGTGACTTGGGAGTCCCGCTGTCTTTCTGCGTGTTCACTAGTGGTTTCCCATCGACTTCCGCGGAGGATTCGGGTTCTTCATCCTCATTCTTGCTGGCCATTGGCCCGCCTGTGCTTCTATCCTGAGAAGCTACTTTGCCACCCGCTCGACCACCGTTGCGAGCATAAATGGTATTGACCACCGTTGCGTGCAACTTCAAGGGACGGTTTTCGTTGGCTATCCGGCCTGCTTCCATCATTTTCTTTTGGATGGCCTGGCAGTATCTATATAGGCGGTCCGCTGGGTCATACGGAGCTGCGTAGAGGACTGTAGTGGCATTCGGTTTCTGCATAGCATGTAATCCGCGAAGTGATACCACCAACGGAGGGTCCCCTCCAGAATTGGGCGGGCTATTTGCTTCTGCTTCGGATGCTGAACGTTCGGCGGACCCAAATAGATCGGACCATAGATGGCCAATTGGAAAGCCGTCCAGGAAGTTCTTCGCTTCAGAAATTTGCTCATCGTCCTTTAGGGTCATCATTCCCAGCGTGAGGTGCAAGGTATCAACGGGTCGAATTGCTTCTGAGGGAATTTGCGTCCACCCTTTCGGGGATTCATTCGACTCATTTTGCTGAACATCGCTGCTGATATCCGTGTCGGCCCTCTCACATGACCGCTGGGTTTGCTCTCGAAATAGATTTAGAGATTTGACAAGCTGGGGTCTTGAAGACTCGGTGATCAGGGGAACGCAAAGGAAATGTGTAAACGGTTCTTTTTTGGGTTTGGAGATGTGCCCGCCTCCTCTCCCCTTGTTACGATGCCTTCCTTTGGTCATCGTGTCCAGTCGTCGAACGAAGAACGGCTTCAGGCTATTTGGTAGAAAACAACGAGCTGAAAAGGATGGTATGAGAGTAACCCAAATTTGATGGCGCATTTATCACCTCATAGCAACATAACTTGGGCACACTGGATCTAGAAACGTACGAGAAGTCAATCGGGAATGGAGTCACCCCCTTAGCCCTTGGGGTTTGATAGTAGATACGATACGATCGTGATATCAGACTGATGCGAACTGTGGGGTCTCCGCAGTTCGCAACCCCCCAGCCACCTCAGGGTCCATCACTCCGCGTTCTTGAGTCTCGATTTCTGGATCTCTCTGACTCGTCGACTTTCATGTTCCAATTCAATTCCCAATCAGCCTTTAACTTCTCAAGCCCAATACGCTGTAGTAGCACTTGGCGGCTGGACAACACCTTATGGATACCCGAGGCTAGATTGGGAGTACCTTACCAGTTACTACAGGAATGGACAAAGGCCATTCGATATCGCAGTGCCCCGTAATGGCCATGTGATGCACCCTTGAAGGGCCGAGAGGCGCGAACGAGGGAATACCGTCCCTGCGGCCCCTGTGAAGCAAGCTGCAAGCATAGTAAGTATCTGGCCTCCTCGCACCGGAAGCTCTGAGTTCCTTGGTTCCGAGACCCGAGTCGAGTGCTTATAATACTGCTCTGAGTTTGAAGCAATTGAGCGGACTTCGTATTGAATATTTTCTTGTTACACTTAATCTTTAGATTTACGCCCGGCTATCTTTGGAATATGTCCTCTTGATGCCCTTTCCTTCTGTACAGTACATACCCAATGTATTGGTCTGCCTCGTGCTTAGCTGGTAAAATAACATGGAGGTAACCCATCCATATATCGAGTCTCTCCACTCGCTTTATTCTATTTCTCGGTCCAAAGCTCTCCAGATCAGCAGCCCTGTCTTTACTGAGCTAGAGTTGCTCTCCAAGTCTGTCGATCCGTTAGTGTTGCGCGCAGGCGCATTTGGGATTGCCGCCTTGGTTGGGGTAAGCTGGGTGTTCATTGCGCGATGGCTTCGTGCACGCCAGCTCCAACGGTTTCAGAAGGAAGACGCCCAATTCGAAGGCGACATCTACCAGAAAATGAACTATAAGAATGCCCATCCGATTTTGAAGCGCGTCTTCTTCCAGGAATTCCCCTTCAGCGCCGGCTTCGGCACGCAATGGGCCCTGGTCAAATCGTATGCCGTGCCTGCCGGGACCAAACTCCTCGTCAAGACCGGTCTTCTCGCGTGCCCGGCAACCGCTGGAAAGCGGGCAGAAGACACTGGCGCAATCATCGGCGAATTGATAGCGAACGGTTTGGACAGCGACCGGGCGCTGAAAGCGAATGCCAAGATGAACTGGCTTCATCAACGGTACGGCACTAAGATCACAAATGGCGACACAATCCACACTATGGGCCTGTTTGTCCTAGAACCGATCCGATTCATCGAGGAGAAAGAGTGGCGACCACTGAGTTATGTTGAGAAAGTAGCCATCTTCGTTTACTGGCGGGAACTCGTCCACCGCATGGGTGCCCACGACGTTCCGGAGACCATCGAGGGCCTCCAAGAATGGATGGATGAGTGGGAGCCAAAGAACATGTTCTATGATGAATCGAACAAGCAATGCGTTGACGCAACCTGGGCGCTTTTCCTGCGGGCGATACCTGGTGCCTCTCTCGGGATGCATTCCTTCTTCAAGAAGTTTACCGCCACTTTCATCCAACCGCATGTCCGCCCTATGCTCGGCATGCCCGACCCCCCGAAATGGATTGAGGCTGCTACGGATGGGGTCTTTGCCATCCGCCGTTTCCTGACCAGGAACTTTTTGCTGGTTCGAACGCACGACATCATCGCTGAAGTCATGGAGGAAAAGAACGGACGCATATATCGAAAGAAGTTCCTGTTTGAGCCATGGTATGTCCCGGAGACAATGCTCACGAAAATCCTCTCCTACCTTCCATTCGCGTCAAAGAACCTCCCTGGTCCACAGTTCAAGAGCAATGGGTTTTCGCCGGAGGAGTTGGGGCCATTGGAGTTTGAGGAGAAGTCTAGGGAGCCTGCGCTGAAGCAAGCTGAGGAGTTGAGGAAGTATGCGATGACGGGCGGAAGTCAGGCACATGGATGTCCGTTCGGAAAGCCGTTGAAGGATCAGAGCCCATGGTATAGGCCGCCTCCGGGTGCGGAGCCTGTTGCCGCGTAGATGTCACTTACCGAAAGACATGAGGGTCATGTACTGGCAGGTAGACTTGGAAGTCACGCCCGGATTTTCAATGCAACTACACGAGAAATGTACATATATTTACTTAAATGTACGGAGAGATGAATCTCCTTGTACTTTGGCCGAACTCTCATGTACTAGTATGCCAAGATTTATGTGACGTATATCTGCGAAGACATCATCAACCTTTCCACGTGTTGGCCACGTCTCTTTGTCGATTAACGCAGCATGTGTTTCTTCCTACCGATATCTTAGTGTTCATAAATGACAATGATCTGACGGACTTTGGATATCCTCTCCCACACTTATCAACTGAAACCCTTTCGGTAATATGCGATTAGTCGTTTCACTACAACAAAGCTGGCCACAGCAGGTCAGACCATGTCGTCACCGATTCCAGAAACACCATCCACTATAGCAGAACCGTCGTCACTACTAAGAATAGAAAGCGAATCAATACTAGGCGGTGATGCGGAATGGAAACACGCGGAGCTTGATTTGAGCGAATTACGGTCTATCCACGTTCTTCATACCCATACCACGACCCTGGAATTACATGATCTGGAAGACAAATTGCTCGAATGCAACGCGCCGCTGACCTACGATCCTTCTGAGACGAGAATATTCCTCACCAAAATTCGATCCAAACGCCGAGTAGAACTGGAGCTTCGATCCCGTGGAGTTTATATCGAGTCAGCAGAAATAGCGCACGATGAGCCGCCCAAAAAGCGGACGAAGTTAGATTCTCAGGCGACGCTATCTCAGCTCTCTGTGGACCAGAGCGAGGTGGACGAAGGTGTTGAATCCAATCAGGACGACTATGCCCAAGTGCTGAGAGTCGATTGGTTGAAAGATTCTCTCGCTGCCCAGCGACTTGAAGCGTTTGAGCCTTACCAGATATTGGCAGGACGCATTGGACGGGCCGCTGAGCACGATATTGTTGCTGGATCATCTTCTTTAAAACCCGCACCAAAGCATGCGACGCAATCGATACTAATACGTGCTCGGGATGACGCCCCAACCGCTTCTGGGAGAGAGCATCAATGCCCCTATCGTGGCGGACATTTTCACTCCCGAACCAAACCTACTATATCACAAAAGCGTCCTGCCCCCCCTCTCTCACTCACTCAATCCACCACTGGCTCCGATGACGAAGCAGCCCTTCCTCCCGCCCCTGACTGGGTCAGGGAGAAGCTCATCTACGCCTGCCAGCGGCGCCATCCACGCAGCCCGCCGAACACCGAGTTCATCGCCCTCCTCAAGCGGATCAAGCTCGCACGGATCCTCACATCCGACGAGATCGGCGTGCGCGCCTATAGCACGGCGATTGCGTCCATGTGCGCCTATCCGCATGTCATGCGGCGGACGGCGGAGGTTGCGCGGTTGCCTGGGTGCGATGGGAAAATCTCCGCCTTGTGGCAGGAGTGGCATGATACTGGGAGCTTGCAGGCGGTGCAAGAGTTCGAGAAAGACGAAGAGATGAAGGTAGTGAGGCTCTTCTATGACATTTGGGGGGTGGGCTCAACGACAGCGAGGCAGTTCTATGCGAGAGGCTGGAGAGACTTGGATGATGTAGTGGAGTACGGATGGAGCACGTTGACTAGAGCGCAGCAGATCGGAGTGAAGTTCTATGACGAGTTCTTGATTCCCATTCCGTATGAAGAGGTGGAGCGGATCACGGCCGTGGTTTTGGAGCATGCGAAGAGAGTGAGGGATGAGGGAGTGGAGGCCATCGTGGTCGGGGGGTATCGCAAGCGGAAACCGGACGTCATGGACGTGGATATCATTCTGACCCACCGAAAGCTCGACGTTACCGCTGGCCTTGTTACAGACGTGCTCGCCAGTCTCGAGGAGTCCGGTTACGTGACACATACGTTGGTTCTAAGCGAACATAATACCTCCAGAGGCCAATCGACGCTCCCATTTCGAGGAAACCGTGGCACCAGCGGCCCACTGGGAACTGGTATAGGATTTGATACCCTTGACAAAGCGTTGGTCGTTTGGCAGGATCCGCATGCTGCACGTGAGGAAGGCGAAAGAGACGAAAGAGTCGTGGAATCGGCGGACGAGAAAGTTATAAAAAACCCCCACCGTCGAGTCGATATCATCATCTCGCCTTGGCGGACGGTCGGATGCGCGGTTCTGGGATGGTCGGCCGACACGACCTTTGAACGCGACCTCCGGCGATACGCCAAGAGCAAGAAGCACTGGAAGTTTGACTCCAGTGGCATACGGAGCCGAGAGAACGGCGCCGTAATCCGAGCAGAGGGACCAGAAGGAGTTCCGGATGGCTTGGGATGGCTGGATGCGGAGAAGAGGGTGTTTGACGCGCTGGAATTGGATTATATACCACCTGAAGAGCGATGCACTGGATGAGGCCAAGGGAATATACGAGACTGGTTACATACCGAATCTCGAAGCCCAATTTCGAATGTCCTGTGGTGTCTCCTTTCCCTGTGCCATGAGTGGTGAGACGATTGGGCGTTCGCCTGTTTGCGAGCATCCATGAAGACGGAAACTGGCGGAGTAGATCAGCCTGATCAGGATAAGAGTCACATTAACCGTTTAACCAGCAGAAGACATCTCCAGTTCTCGGACCTTGCTCCTTTTCCCCAATGCCGTATTACGGTGAGGCCTACGGAGTAAGGTACTACCTAATCGCTCCGGGCATGGTTGTCGACCGAGCCTCGGGACCTGGATTCCTTCAAGGGGGAAATGCAGTGGTCGCATGGATGATGGATTGAAGAAAATACATTTACGCCTTTAGGGACTCCATTTTCCAAGCATCCCATCACCTATGTAACCCGGTTGGGACCTTGAGATGTTTAAGTCCTTGCTTGAGTTGCTTCGCGATGTTGACTGCTGTACTTAGTGCTGAGCTGCTTTTGATTCAATATTGATGTTACAATATTATTACTTAAGTTCCTCAGGGAATGTGGTAACCTTGGATCTTTACTGGGGACTGGGGGGTGGGGAGGCCTGGGAAAATCGAATCATATGCCAAAGCCGATCAATTTCCCATTTGCTCCAAGCGAGATGGCTCTCCCGAATCCCGATGCAAGCGCAGATTCCATGCACGCTTTGGCCTCCATTTCCTAAATCCTCCCGCTTTTATTGGTGTGGCGGAAAATCAGTGGTTCAGTGCGTGAGAGAAATGGCGTCCAACGCCTGGGGTTTGACGTTTGCGCTATGTTTGATGAGCAGGCGTCCCGTCGATGCTCTAGTTTCTCCACTGTCACTGTAATTACATTTATTACTGGCATCCGAATTCGTCAGTCGAATTGTTGATGCGGCGTGGACGTTGAACTTGAACTTCAAGGGAGTAGAACTCCTTCCACAGTTCGCCTTGCCCCGAAGTCTTATCCTGTCTGGGACAATGGTATTTTGATATTGGAGTCTCGTGTAGGTGCGATGTGGTGCAAGGCACATGTCCAACGGTCCAATGCAGTGCGTACTGGGTTTCGTCGTCGACCGAGAACTTAGGAGTAGCACCAAACCCAAAATTATTATTAGTGCTACCACTTCGGAGCCGTTTACGGAATCCTCTGTACGCGTCAAACTATCTCCACGCCGCCTCGCGAGACACGCCCATAACTTCATCAAAGTGATCAGACAAAACCGGCTCGAGGATAGGAACGATCAGCGCATTGGGCATAAGTCTGGCACATCGGTCATAGCGCGTTTCATCGTTCCGTTTCCTGTTCGCCATATGGTACGACGCGGACCCAGCAATCTGAACATTCCGAAGCTGCCAATGGCCTCAGCGTTCTCTCTTATAATCCTTTGATTGGGTACCCAGTATTGTCGGACAAAGTCTGGTCACTAGAAGGGGACGGATTGTTCTTTGTGCAAATTGTAAAATATTAGGTGTGGAATTGTGTTCCACCAGTGATTTGGGACTTTGGGGATCTCCCTTGTGGTGGACTCTGGTCTCATCCATGCTTGCATTTTCGCGATCATCATGCAGTGGTTGATCCAATCCTACAGATGAATCTGACATTCTGACTGGACATTGTACACGGTAGAACTGCCCTTGCGGAGAAAAGAGACAAAGAGGGGCGTGGAGGGAGTTGTGGTGCCGGACTTCCTAGCTGACCATGTCCATGGCTCTTTCATCAACTGGGTGTATACAATTATATTCGAACTCCAATATAGACAGGTTGAATCAAGCACCGCTTAATGAAGCTGCAGGGCAGTAACGATGGGGATTAGGATCCTACCAAGCTCAACGATATGGTACCAGAAAGATCATAAATCATAATACATATTGCAAATTCGAGGGAGCCCCTAAAACTTAGGAGTGGCCTGCTCGGCGTAGTGCTAGTGACAACTGGGAAGTCGGAGGTGACTAGCTATTCCCAGCAAGATCATCCTTGTTTCCTTGCATCTGATGGGCCATCAGGCCAGAAAAAAAGCCCATCCAAGACCAAGGCCCCTGGGAAAGTTGCACACTCATCACCAAGGTGCGACAAGCCTCCTGTTTTTTGGTGGTCCTCTCCAACACGTTCCCACACATCTAGGCGGGCGGTTTGTCAGGCACTCGGGCATTGTCGTGGAGAATAGAACTGGAGATACTATCTCCCCAGCTCCCCAGGCTTTGCTCATGTCCACTGCTCTCTACACCACCTTCGTACTCAGATTATTGTTGTCTATAGTTACCTGTTGATAATCGTAACTAGCCTTTCGTTTGAAGATCAGTTGCCATTCGTTTTGGTATCGCACTCGTCGGGTTCGATTGATTCGAGCTATATCGTAACCTGGTTGATCCGGTGCCCTCTCCGCGCTGTCGATCCTGTTGCTCATGCTGGTTTTGGGCCTTTAGATTTCGTTTCTAATCTTCTCGCTTCTCTCTACCTCGAAACCGATTTAGTCCATTCCTCGACGCTTAAAATGGGAAAAAAATTGGGGTTGAGCCTTCCGGGCCTTGTAAGAGCATCGATTTCTGTACTGGTTGCTAGAACGCGACCGCTGATCTTTGTTCTGTAGAAAGTCTCCGATCGCAAGAACCCTAAGGTCGTTTCCAAGGCCGACGAACACTCACCTATTAGTCCTATTATATATATTCCCCGATTGCTCGATCCACAAACAGAACAGGAGCTGCGAGCGGCCTGCGCTGCTATCGCGAAGAACTATGAGCCCGACGACATTGACAACCAAGTTCTACGTGATCTCGAAGCTTACACGAAGATTGTGCGAGACAAGAACGGGTTGTCTTCCTCCGAACCGCAGCTATCAAACCACCCTCCCGCACCATTAGCCATTTTCCCCAACGCGGGACCTAAGCCGACCAAATCGGCAGCCAAACCAGGTCCATCTGCGAAAGATCTCTTAGAAGAAGTAAACAAGGGGACTGCCAATCTCCGTACTTTCGGAATCGAACCCCCGCCGGAGAAGGAGAACGGGCCACAACAGGCCCAAGTTCCACCAACATCGAAACTCTCAAGGCCGCAGCCATCCGGCGCTGCTCCACCCATACGGCCAAAGACGGCGCCTACGGCCGCCATAGAGTCGAGCGAAGATAGCTATGCGACGCCGGCGAGTGGCTCGACCAAAAACGTTTCCACAGCAATCACGTCGTTGGCGATAACGCCGGCCAGAAGTTCGAATCGTGGTTCGGAGCAAAAGCCCACGGACCCGAACGCCACGTCGAAAGCCGATGCCGCGGCGACGGAATGGATGCAGCAAGAGCTGGAGAAGAGACGGTTAAAGCTGCTAGAGTTGATGCCAGATACAGCGGATCCGAAGCAGACCAAGCAGCCTCCGCCGAGCCGATCAACCAGCCGTGTTCGTACCATTAGGGATGAGATTAAAGAATACATCCGACCACGTGGTGAGAGCCGCCCTGAGTCCCGTAGCTCTGGTCGTGCGCGTTCTCAATCACGCACCCGCGGGGCCTCCACCGAAATCGATCGCCCAGGCTCTGCCCAAGGTTGGCGGAGCTGGAGTCTGCAGCGCAAATCCAGCACTAGCAGCCTAGCGGGAAGCCGACCGGCGAGCGCTCGCGAGCACAACGAACCCCGTGATCGCGAGACGGCGAAGAAGGAGATCAACCTGAACCGTAAACTGCCACCCCTCCCAGGCTTGGATCAATGGGATCGGGAAGAGAAGAAAAAGGAAGAGAATAAAAAGAAGGCCATGGGGCTCCACATCGCAAATCTCATGCAGCCGAACGTGGACTCGAAGGGCAGACTCGATACTTCTCCGTCAAATCACAGGTCCGGTGATGCCAAGCCAGAACCGCACAATCGCACGTCTGACACCGAGGATGCCTCACCCATCACCGACGTGGAATCCCGCCCAAGAGGCCGTTACTCACATTCGAAATCGAGCTCGCATTCGACGCAGTATACCAACGCTACCGCCGACGACTCCTCCGCCTCCATCGCACCTCTTCCCGAATCTGTCTCATCTCTCCCGACCACCCACCGCGATGCCTCCCCCTTCCCCGTCCGCAAGTCCTCTATCGCCCACCGCAACGGCACCGTTCCCGTCCCCCTACTACTCTCACGCCCGAACCCCGGCACGCGCATGGAGCCGGTCTCCCTCACCTCCTCTCCCATCGACCGCCACAAGTCCCCCAAATTCCCCCCGTCGCCCCACAAATACACCCTCCAACCCAAGGAGCAAGTCCATCGCACCGTCCACCAAAAACCCCGATCCTTCACCCCCAACCCCGTTCCCCCGGGCCGCAAGTCCGAAGGTGACCTTCTGCGCCGGCCGAACCTCGGGTTCGGTATCCGTTCGCCCACCACGCTGGATATCACGGCGCTGCCCCCGCTGCGGGCGGACGGGACGCGACCGACCACCGCGAAGGGCAGGGAGGGCGGGTTGAAGAAGATGTTCAGCATGCTAAGCCTGGGCGGGCGGCGGAAGCGGGGACATGGCGAGGGAGATGGGGACGGGAGTCGTGGCCAGGGAGCGGAGGCTCCGGTGGTGAAGTTCTAATTGCTGCTGTCGGCGGACGGATGGATCGGAGGCTGACCGAGAGGCGTCGTTTCCCCCTCTCGACCGAAACGCGTGCTCTACCGCCCACGATCTGGGTTGGGTTATCATTTATCGTCGGATATTTTCATGTGTTTCTACGCTGGCGTCAATGCAGAGGAATCGGCTCATCGCCTGGTGTCACGGGGCGTACTCAAGGAACAACTGCAATTGAGGATTTCGGGAATACCTTCCGGCCTGGACAAGGTGTGGGCGCCAGGGGAATGGAATGGTCCATTTTCGTGAGGAATCTACTGGCTCTTGCGTAGGCAGACTCTGCCAGATCCCATTTTCTCTCAGGGGCTATCATCATCGTTGAACGACTTGGTCATCGATGTTTTTCCCCCATCACCTGACTGGATTGATCGTTGAATATTTACTGCCAACGAATTTAGCAGATAGATACCTTATCTCCGCAATAGATACCGTCCTCGACTCCAGCCTCCCTTCCAGGAAGAGATCGTGATGTATACTTCGGTTGGATACAACCAGTGGGAGCTTGTGTGATTATTGATCCTCACTTTCGCGAGCAAGCTGTCCTCTCGGTCCCTATGCCATACCCTACGCCACCTTACTCTTCATTCACCATCTCCATATCTGAGTCATGTTTGCTGGCTAGCGGATGTCGCCATTGCTCGGTCATCATTCCACGCAGTCATCATCATTCTCGTGGTCACCGGACGTTGATTCAGTTTCCATACACTGATTCCGTCACATGTCAAATGACAGGAGACCTGAGTGACTGAGGAGAGGTTCCTCTTGCTGCCTGCCTCTTGCCGAGAATTTCCATCCCGACTGCGACTCCCTTCCTTAGCAGTTCATGTCGTACCCGGCCATGACAGGCTCTCACGGAGCAGAGTCTCCATCAAACACGTGATGGGATCCAAGGTCTCCAAGACACGGACTTTGTAGTGTCAGTGCCCTTTCCACGTTTTTACACACTTCACCTCATATTATCTCCCTCGCATTACGCTCGGCATAGATATACAGCCTTCGGTTCCTCTTCCTATGTGAATCCTTTACATGGATTCTTGGTTACTTGCTTCCATGCCATTGCTATTGGCCCGGTGAGACCTCCCCCTCTATATCTGCAAGTCACACTTCCTGGGTGGCATCTTGCTCGTGACGGAGCCAGGCAGTAACTAAGCCCCCAGTGCAAGTGAACGAGAGAATGATCGATACAATTACTTTATGAAAGCCTTTATCAGAGCCTTGTCTCCCCGAACCCCTTCCACGCAGTGAAATCTTCCTGGTTGCCCTCATCTTCCTCTCCGTTTCGCCTTCATCGCAAGTGATCAAGAATCACCAACCTCACTTTCTTCATCCTGCACTTCACTGCTTAAGTGTTCGCTTTTCTTCGTCCTTTGCTTCCTAAATTTCATTTGTACTCTCTTCACTTTACTTCTGATACTCGTTCTGCCTTTTCTTTTCTTCACAGCGCTTCAATTCGGCGTTCAGCGTTCTCATCCTCGTCTAGTGTACTTGCTCCTGCAGACTAAAATTCCCGCACAATCATATGCGATCCGCGTTCCACACACTAATCGGGTTTGCTCACACGCCTTCATCGCAAACCTTTAGTCAGAGCAGTGTACCTCGGATTAGGCCTTGAATCGCCAGTAAGTTGCTCACAACCCCTAGGGCCAATACGAGAAGCAATACATAATTGGAGCTACAGAGGGACAACTGGATTCAGTTCGTAACCCGTTTGACTTCATCAAGTGCCTTGAGAGTGAGTTGAGGCCACATCTCACAAGATTGGTGGTGACTCAGTGCTGATTATCAGTTAAGCTTCCCAACCGTCTAACCAACCCCCTTTCAAACAAGGCACCATAGTCCCAAGAGCCCATCGCGATGTGCAAATACCGCTGGCACATCTACTCCTGCAACCACATCGTCCGGCATCGCATCTCCTACTGCCTCGACCATGGCTACAGCCAGAAAGGGTATGGTCCTTGTCGCGGTTGGGATGACCCACTAGAGATCCTCTTCCAAACCAAATGCGGCCCTTGCCTCAGGGAGGACTGGTTCGACTTTTGGAACCAAGTTCACAATGATCACACCAAGACACTCGAGGATCTAGATGCGGAAGCGAATACCATTGCGGCTATGAAAGACGACCCCCGCCTCGCAAAAGGCACCACCCAGTTCAAGCTCCTCGGGTTCAACGCTCCAGAATTCAAGTGCAACCTCTGCGAACTCTGGAAGGTCGAGGGCGAGTTCTGGACCAAGGAAAAGAAGCGTGGATATGCCACCGGTTCCTACGATTTCGAACCTGGCAAGCCGTCTCCGTTGCGTAATGAGGTTACCCCTGAGGACCTGCCAGAGCCGGAACCGGTCAAAGAATTCGAAGAATTCAATGGATTCAGGCCGGTGGCGGAGGATGAAGACTGGGACCTCAAACTGGCGAAGGAGGCTCACCGAGCGGCTCGCCGGGCAATGATGTGAGGAGTTGTGGCTTGACATTGTTGCTTATATGCTCCCTCGATGCATGCAACTTTACGGAGGCTAACCTTGATGGATGCCCAATTGGTGCGTCCTCTTGTGATATATACTGATTTGACAGATGCTGATTTGACAGATGCTGGCTCGAGGGATCCTGATGTGATGAGTATTGCTTTCACCAAGGGCATCTTGCGGAACACTTGCGGGATCTGATGATATTGAGTTTGAGACACAGGCGGCTTTCCCCTATCAACGCCAACTCGTTGGAGAAGGAAACTATTGGAAGGGCGTCGACGTTAGCGGTTCTCGGCGGAGCAGTTGAGGGATGGATTTCGCGATAGTGTTGTCATGTTCAATCGATCACAAGTTCCTCAGGGCGTCGTTCTTGGTTCGATTTTTATAGTATCGTAGCCACTTTGATGACTCATTTGTTTCACAACCCAAACTTTCGATTCCCTCGGGTTGACACCTATGAAAATACACTAGCGAGAGTTTCGGAGGATTCGTGCATTAGACCCAGGGGTTATGATGTACGGATCAGGGCACATACTGCTTTATCGTGCCGCTTATCAGCTCATATATACTACCATCATATCACCATGGACGCTCATTCATTGGGGAGTGCGATTTGAAGTGCATCTTTATTCCCTTCTACAGAGCAGACCGTTGGTCTTCAGGACCACGTTCGATTCTATAAGAATGTTACGCCTGCAATACTAGGCAGAATGCTCGCTGGTAGAACCTCTCAACGACGAGCAACTCATGAATTCCCATCATTATTCGTCAACGTCATGTGAGTCATGCTCCCTTCACGTCGGACTGTCGAATGCCGTGGACGGCAGTTCCTGTAGACCCTGCATCCCCGACCCCTTCCGTCCAAACGACCGACCAATTTCCACCGCCGCCACTTTCTTGCCCATTTCGCGGCTCTCATTGATCGACTCGGTCACCTTCGCGAGCAGGTCGAGTAGCGTCACGTCTGTGCGCTGCTCGGATACTTCGCGCTGGAATTCCACGGTGGATGGTGGCGGGAGGATGGGCAGGCGGCGGATGAGGCCCGAGATGGAGCGGAGGATTTGATGGTTTGGGAGCGTCTGGTCGGTTTCGGGGTCGGAGGAGGTTTGGATCGGAAGCGAGGGATCGGTGAGGTAGGAGGGTGGTAGAGACGAGACGTACGATCCGAGGAGAGAAATGCGTTGGTGGAGCATCTTGCTCGCGTTGAGCTTTGCGGTAAGGGACGAGATGACTGTGCTGTGTTAGCCTCGGGAATCTCAAGTTCGGAGCCAAGACCAGCCATACGATCTTCTTCCGCGGGAGAAAGCTGGACTTCCGGTGCCTGTTCTGCTCCGTTTACCAAGTCGTCTACGGAGAGCGCTTTCCCCTTGCCTTTCCCGCTCGACTCACTCGCCGGCTCGTTGGGCCGTTCCACAGCCGTGGCATTCCCTCCACCCTTAGCTACGAAGTCGATCGCGATCATTTCCGCCTCGCTCGTCTCGATCGCACACTCCAACCCCCTAAATCTCAGGCCCTTCGCTCGATCACCGCCGTCGACATCCATGGCGTTCGGTTCGTTGATAACGACGCCTTCATATACCGAAACTGGGAGCTTCCCCATAGCCAATTCGGGTTCGCCGACCGCGGTAGGGTGAAAGAGGAGCAGTAACGCATTGTCGTGTCCCAGTCGGTGCTGGAATTGATCCTGGATCACGGAGTGATACAACGCGGGTCCAGATGGGAGCCCGAGGCCGAACCAGCCCACCAAATCGAGCTGCGGAGACGGATAGACTTCTCTCACTTCATGTTGAATTAGTCATGGTTCCTATCTGTCCAGAGTATCCGGTCACTTACAGTGATCGAGCCGCACCCTGAGATACTCCTCGTCGAACAAGACCGTGCCCTCTGTGGTAACCGTCTTACACTCAAACGCAGCTTCCATGGTGACTTCACGGCCATTCTGCTGGCCAAGGATGATTCCCACGCTTAGCTCCTCGCTGTCGCGGAGATTGTGCCGGGTGATGGTGTCGGAAATCGTGAGGAGGACAAGAGGATGGAGCTGGACGCGGGGACTGGTATCCGATGCTGGAGCATTGTGTATTAGAGGATTCGGGGATTCGGTCTGCATGATGGGTGTACGTCGGCCGGAGTCGTGGCCTTCTAATAGAATGAATGGTTCATGCCCATCTTTTGTTTATTACTGCTTGCCTGGAGAGACTGTCAGAGAGCTTGCGTTCAGTTGGAGGTTGAACCAGATATTGTGGCCTCAGGCATATGGATATAAGGCTAATATCAAATTAGTTAACTAACTAACTTAGTTAAGTTAACTAACGTAATCCACCAGCGAGTCGCCCAAACCACCGAGTCGCCCACCTCAACCGTGGCCCACTACCGTAACCTGAATATCTCAACAACTACTGAAGCAATTTATTAATTAGGAAGTAGGCTAGGATCTACGTTTTCTGGTATAGCTAATTGAGGCATTGTACAGGTCTCAACGCGATGTCCTGGCTCGCGACAGCGTCCGCAACGTCGCTGGCGCCTTGCGGGAACGTCATTAGAAGTACCATTTTCACTGATTATATCTTGATCCCGACGTTGTACAGCTAATTCAAGCCCATCAGTAATTGAGCGCGTATTAGCGCCCTTAAGCACCTTTTTTTTGCGTTGTTTGCGCTTTGATAGCGTCTCGTTTGCCTTCCGAAGCTTTCCTATCTCGACCTCCATGATTGAAGCTCCGTGCGCGACCATTTGAACACCCTTTTCAAGGCTTGAAAAGCTTTCTAAAAGCGGTGTTGGGGAGGTATTTTGATCTCTTTGAAGGCGCTGTCGTATGTACTCTGTTTGGGACCTTATTTCAGCGACGTTGCGTGGTGTTTGCGACTCCCATTGAGTGATCTCTGGTAATGGCGTCGGGGTCTGTAATCGGACATCAAGCTTTGAAATAACAGCTTCTGGATCGAAAGGCACTAATCCTGCGCCTTTGAAGGCGCCCTGGATATTCTCCGTAGCAATTGCTTTTTCGAAGGCGGTCTTGAAAGCAGGTAAAAAGTCCTCTTTCGTGATGTGGTTGATGCGGCACCGGATAAAGTCCTCAATCTCCTTGCTATACGCGCGCTTTAATGGCCCAAAACAGCCAACGTCGAGGGGTTGTAGCAAATGAGATGAATGCGAAGGCATGCAGAGAGTAATAATCTTCTGGTCCTTGCAGAAATCCTGGAATTGGATAGTGTCATGGCTGTTATGGCCATCCATAATCAGAAGCCGATAGGCGCCAGTCGTACGGTCTTCTGTGAAGCGATTAAAATGCTTTAACCACTCAAATCCATGCTCAAGGGACGTCCAGCCCTTCTCGCTAACTGATAGAACCCAATCAGGCCTATCCGCAATCGCCTCGTACCAGGTATTGTAATGTCGAGCGCTTTTGAAGATGATGAAGGGTGGGACAATCCAACCTTGCGCGCTGGCAGCAATGATCGATGTCACCCATTCTGTATTGCCTGGCTGCAAGGTTTTTGGAGTCTGACGTCGTTCGGTACCCGTGATGACCATGCGCGTCCCGATTACGCCCATTTGAAAGCCAACTTCATCAAAGTTGTATGTATCTTCATCCAGGATACCGTATTTTGCCTTCACGTTGCGTACGAGGCGAAACCACGCGCCAATAATCTCTGGATCTTCGTTCAGGGCTCTTTTATAGTCGTACTTTCGATTAACACGTGTTTTGAGCTCTGGAACGCGTTGTACGAATCTTGACGGCCAATTGATACCAACGTGAGCCTGACCGCGATCGCTGAGTAGCTTGTTGGCTATATCTCGCAACATATCGTAATTGAGCTGAAATCCGCGCGCGTCGACATCGAGGCAGTAGTCGATAATCACCCTTTCTTCCATATTTGAGAGCTTTTTCGAATTCGGGACACAATCGCTTCGTGCAGTCATTCCGTTGCGGCGGTCACGTAAGGTACTCCACGGGACGTTGTAAGCTTTTGCAGCTTCTCGAATTGATTGAACTTGGTCTTGTTCGATAGTCTGGATGGCTAGGTTCATTCTAGCTTCATTTGAAGGTAATTGAGGGCTCTGTTGTTGAGACATTGCGAAAAAATCGTGATGATCGCTGTTACGGAGATGAAGTGGGCGACTCGGTGGTTTGGGCGACTCGCTGGTGGATTACGTTAGTTAACTTAAGTTAACTAAGTTAGTTATCAAATTGTTCTATTAGCTCTCTCAGCCCCCACCAAATTCACACCAATTTCACAGCACAGCAACTTCAACTTCTGCACACTCGTTGCCAGACGATGGTGGATTTAGGTGATTTAAAGACTAATAGTGCTCCCCTTTGATGTAGGAACCGTGGATTTATCCATGACCCAAAAATCGTATGGTCATGCCATTCCTGTCATGTTCCACCTCACTCCATGTAGCGCACCAGTCTGTTTCCTTTTTTGTAAACCGAAATGTCCAATTTCTTTCCCTTCAGCATAATGCTCCCTTATTCCGTAAACCCAGTTCCATCTATTTGTTCGAGTCTATTCCTTGATCTAGTCTTTGTTGATTGAAGCTCAATCCCCGCAACTTCTGTCATTAAACCGTCTTTACGACAACCTTCAGAACCAGTCGACCTTGGTCGTCCGACGTTCTCCCAGCCAGCTCAAATGCCTCTTTCACGGTATTCAGCCCTTCGAACCGATGAGTCACCAAGTCGTCAAGACAAGGGATTTGGCCGCTTGAGAGTAGCTTGATACCGGTGGGATAGGTGTTGGCATATCGGAAAATCCCAATGATATCCACCTCCTTGAGGTGCGCAGCGGACATTGGGAGCGTTTGGATGGGTGTACCCATACCAACCATCACAAGCTGTCCTCCTGGACGAGTCGTCTGAAGTCGTTAGCTTGGTCTTTGACATGTCGGTATCGTCGCGCTTACATGTAGCCCGGCTTGCATGCATATCTCCTTTCCGGTACAATCAAAAGTCACATCAGCCCCCTCAAAGTCCATTTCGCCCGATGACGCAATTCGCAAGACCTCGTCTGAAACGTGTTTGGCCGCTTGGAGCTGCTCTGATAGATGGCATGCATCGCTGTACTGATTCACGACGACGCCTTTCGACGCGAACCCCTTCATGAGCGCGTATGCAACACGACCACTGTCGATATCTGCAATGACTACATCGGCGCCACCTAGCTTAGCCATTGCTGAGACGAGGAGTCCGATCGTGCCCGCTCCGAAAACCACAATCGTATCTCCAGGTTCGATGGTGGCTCTTCTTGTTGCATGGATCGCAACAGACAGAGGTTCTAGCAGAGCGGCAGCTTCGTCGGAGACGTGTGGAGGGACACTGACGGGATTAGCTTTGCATTGCAATATTCAAGGGGATACCGTACCGGTGACACCATTTCGCCGGGTGATTTATCCGGTCCTGGAGCGTTCCTTGATAGTGTGGAAATGACTTAGCACTGCTTCGAAATCGCATCGATGGGCAGAGATTATATCGACCACGCTGACATGACCGACAGTTGTCGCACGGCACTCCCACTTCAAGTGCTACTCTGTCACCGATCTGGAAGCCCGAGACGGCGCTCCCGATGGAAACGACGACACCACTCGATTCATGGCCAAGAGTCAAGGGTTCATGGGCCTGCAGGTCTCCGTTGCGGAACTTGCTATAATAGGAGCAATCACTTCCACAGAGGCCAGTAGCCTTGATCTGGACCTGGAGTTCGTGGGGTGCGGGATCGGATATAGTTCGTGTTTCCTAACGTGGAGAATGAGCAAGGTTGACGCAGGTACACATGACAAACCCCCACGAGATCGATGCATGGGATTGGAAGACGAATGTTCACGATGGGGTAATACATACCAGCGACAATTGTTTTGGACCACTTAGCACCGACGCTTGGACTTGATTTTTGTTGTAATGCCGGGCTGGGATTGGATACAGGTCAGCGAGAGCTGTGGGAGCCATTCTGAATCGAACCACGCCTAAGCGACTAGAAGGAGCGGGCCGCAAAAAGAAAAGAGGTAATGCGGAATACAAGAGGTTGAATTCGACTTACGACGTCCAAACCCCACGGAGGGCGTGGGAGCAGATGATATAAATTCCTGTTGGGCTCAACGCAATGACACCGTGCGAGCCTTCATTCTGAACTCCATTTCTCATTCCCCTTTCCTTGCTTCGATGAGCCTTCGGGACTTCGGGAGGATAGCGGGATTGCAGACGAGGACCAGCGTTCGCGCAAATCTACATGGTCCATCCAAGCTCCCTGGCAGGCTGGAACGCTACAGGATGTAAGCGGGCTCAGTATTGGCCCGATGCTGGTCTCTGTCCGCTGCTCTGGGAATGAAATCGACAAGCTTTCCACGTTGGCGAGGATCTGAGCTGACCTTGTTGTTTTGGTAGTAGCATGCATTGTACATCCGACGAGGGCAGACCCGGCAGAAGGTGGCTAACTACAGGGACTTCTCGGTGGTTTCGGCCCTCACTTGCACTTGTCTATCAGTGTTCTTTGTGAAACAGCGATAAGGTAGTGTTGCATTGGACAGCGCTTTCGGGAGCAGCATAAACGAAGCGAAGGCTAACTCTATTGGCCTGATAGTTCCTCCACCATACAAGAGAAAAATAACGGATCTTCCATGAATGCCACCAATATTTCGATGGTGGAACTCTTAGAGTGTCCGTGTCACTACGATGACGATCAAAGCCCACTCAATTAGTGGAAACCGACCGCCTTTTAGCGTCTTCGAGGCTTCGGCCGTTCGACGGTTCAACCGGTAACACCCGCCGGGAACTCGGTCCTGCTATCGGCGGTGTTTCGATTCGTTGCGTCTACAGTAATGTTCCCATCGATACACGTCTAGAAACCGACATATAAGTGAAACGCATTATGCGCTAGGGAATGCTAAGATGGGTTCCTTCGGCCTCACGACAGGGACTTAAAATGGTCATGTTCGAGACCATTTGGCTTTGTCTTGGGTGCTGAAGTAACTGATGAGAAACCGATTGCCGAGGCCCTCCAAGGCTCAAACCAGAGGCGAGTAGCTCCCTAATTAGAAACATCGAAGTCTGATTTGGCAGAGACAACACTCAGCAAAGTCAGTTGTCGACAGTCAACGCTTCGACCTTATCATCAAATCAGAAAACCCCAGTTGATGGACCAGGTTATCGGGAGACATGCAGAAGCCACGGTAGCAAACCCCCCATGTCGAAACCCGCTACACAAGAACATCCACAAGGTCTTACTACTGGCTGCTGTGTACTCTGTACAGAGAACCACTTGCCTCGAGCTACAGGTTGACCCGAATCAGATTTAGTCCACGGTTCGATTTCATGTGAATCTGGCGCACAAAGTACCTAATTACTACCGTGCCTACTGCGGCTATAAGAACATCGAGTGGCTGAGAGCCGGGCCGTGATTCCCATCTGCCCGTGTAAACCTGCAGGATTGGAGTACAGGATGCCGCCATGAATCCGCAATTGGACCCTTAGCATTGGAAACGTCAGATCTTTCCTCTGCGATTGGGAGATAGCGCAGTAATACATCGTGACCCATCAATGACCTTGTCGATAAGGCTCGGTGAGATGGCGGAGAGGGATCGCTGGGGAACAAACGGTGGACTCTGACACAGAATCCACTTTCTATCCCAGAGCATGGCGCTCACTACGGATTGCGAAACTAGATGCTCAGGACTCGGGAGTATAATGGATGATTTTCCGCCCAATGAACGGCGACTCCGAACTGCTGGCAATAATGTCAAACGAGGCTGCCAAAGAGAACGGCTCCACATGTGGTTTCGAAATTACCCGGACCAATCTGGACAGGGGGACTCCAATATTCCGTATCAGGGCATCCCTTGCAACAAAGCTTCCAGAAGTTGCATAACCTCAATAACCCTGTTGCCAGGTACGCGAAACGGAAGACCGCTCCGAGTGATGCGAATTCGAACTGTTTCGAGCCTTGCCTGCGTTGGAATGGCAAGCTAAAAAGCTGATATTGCACCATCGTCATTCCGTCCAGTGCTTCCCGTTTGATCTCGAATCTCAGCAACATGAATTAAGGTATGCCGCCGAGGCATGGGAGCTGTCCCACTGTTTGATACTGCTCTAGAGGAAGATCGTCAATATCAAGTTATACTTCTTCACTTCATCTATCGACATTCCGCAGCGATGAGGGCAACGGGGCTCCGTTTGTCATTCCATCCTCAACAGAGGAGAGTACCTGTCGGACAGCCTGGCGTCAGATACGATCATGATGTCGACTTAGCTTCGCGGCACCACGACATAAAAAAAGACCTAGCGACCATTCTTCCGCAAGTCTCGCATGCATTTGCATCGGCATGCGTCAATCGCTGCCTTTCTTAAGCTAAGGGACTGCCAAGCGCTAAACCACGATCCTCTCCGAAAGATTGACCGCTACGGAATGTATTCGAGTGCTCCCAGACCGCTCCCAGATCCTTTTTGAGCATGTTTTCTAACCCCTGAGGAAATCTATGATGCCGCCTAAGGTACATGCCCCAGCTTCGCTAAGCTTCATTCTTCACGAACATTATCCTTCAGAGCGAACCAACGGTGAATCATGATCTACTACAGAATGTTTGAGCTCCAATCAGCTGTCGGACTTCTACCATGAGGTACCATTATTCTACTATATTCTCGAGCCTCGCTCCTAGCCCCCTATTAACCCGACATCGCAGTACAGCACGGTCATTCGATACGACCACGTGGAAAGCCAACACACCGTCCGTTTCCTTGGTACCACAGGGCACAGGAATAAAGTAGCGGTACCTGGTCGTCGGACCGCAGGCCTCCCTGTTTGACTGGAAGCTCTGAAGCTCTGAAGCTCTGAAGCTCTGAAGCTGTCAAGGTCTGTCCCTAGCTTGGTGAGTATCCTGCATTGGCACATGCCATTCGCTCTTACGAGCCCCCGAAAGTCGAAGGGGTCCACAGTCCACCGCATCCTACCGCAGATTAAGACCGTTAGAACTCTACTCAAGCCGATCATCTCGCTCTCTATTGACGTCACGGAGATGGAGATGATTACCCCCGACCACAAAAGCTCACCGTCACCGCTTCGTTTCTCGTGGTCCACCGGACGTGCGCGTGTCTATGGCAATCTGTGCACCACCGGCGGAAGCCGGGAACCATAACTGCCACACGAATGAAAGAGGTTGGAGCAGAATTATGCTCATCGTGGGTTATACAAATCAGGCCGACCGGCATCCTTCCAACATCGACCTCAACAATTTCAACAGCTTTGTTGGGAAGTTTAGCTCTCAATCCAAGTGGTCCGGGTTCAACCATTGGTGCAATGGGAAGCTTCCGACACGGATTTGGACGGATATTATGACAAATGCAGATCACGGAGATATCTGTATTGGCACGCTGCATTTGCACGGGGAGACAAGAGTATCTACGATATCCCCGGCCCGAGATGGGCTCCTATCCTAGAGCCTACTTTGCTTCCCGAGCACGACCTCCTGGATCCATTGCTTGATATGAGCATTGCATTCATCCGCCTTCTGCCACAACGCCCAGTGCTGGGCCTTGACCTCCCGCATAGTGAGGTTCGTTAAACTCCTGGACATGTTCTTCGCCATGGCCGGTGTGAGGACGGCATCCCTAACGCGGTTTTCAGCAGCCTGCAGTACGATGGTTGTTCCATGAGCCACTTACTGTGTCGCACTAATGAATAGAATAGGCATGTCCAGTGTAGCTTTTTCCATGCTTCCGAGATGTCAGCGAATTCAGAGTTACCTTAGCTTCTTCATCCGAGTCGCCGCAAACTTACGACAATTCGTCTCTCCAGTTTGGTTCCCGCGTCCTTTCAATGCATGTGTCAGATATCATTTTCTTCCTGATGATGAGCTATCTCCAACTCACCTATACCAGCTCACAGGACCATTGAGCCCATGTTTGGAGTACTCTTGCGTGTAGTAGTCCATTTCCTGATATCACATTAGCCCACCATGCTTTCATCATCGATCTATAACTCACTCGGTCCGTGAGCAGCTTCGTCTTCCCAACCTTGGGAAGGTTTTCGAACGAAACTCCGGTGACAGGGTCAAACGTCGACTCGCGGTTCGGCCCACGAGCACCGTACATGCCATTCAAGAATTGGCGGATGCCCTCGGGCGTATTGATGTTCTTTTCGATCTCTCCAGAGGCGAGATGGAGCTGGTAGCCAAACTGCGGGAGGGGTCCCTTCACGAACTCTTCCGTCGACCAGAACGTCTTGTTGGGACGCTGGTAGGGGGTACAAACCGAGAAAAGATGCGAGATGAGGTTTGGATACCAGTTCGCAAAGCGGTACACGATCTGAAGGACAATTTGTCAATCTCGATTACTTACGCCTCTCTTGATACCTGCGAAAGGCTAAACTAACCATTCCACCCCTGATGGTCGGTTAGTCCTGTTGTTTTCTCCAGGGGTTCATCACAGGCAGAAGACATACCAATCATGACCTCCAAGAATGATCTGGGTTTCTCTCAATTGCCGCGCCAATTCGGCCAAATCATCTGCGGCTCGTTTGTACGTATATTTATCTAGATTGGGAGGAACCTGGGGAGCATCGGTTCCACCGTAGCCCATCATATCTGAATCACTGGTATTAGTCTAGGTGTCGCGGGAGCACGTTACTGAGGTTGGTCTAACCTGGCGCAACAACGCGCAGCCCCAATTCAAGCAGGACCGGAATCTGATATCGCCATCCCATAGAAATATCCGGGAAGCCATGGATCTGGTTCGCCAATCAATATATTATCGTCTTTTCCACGGACAGGAGCCTGAGGTTATTGCACAATGGGCCATTCCACATACCAGAAAAATAGTCCTATGCCATTTCCCCGACTTTGGCACTCCATACAGATAGTGATACCTCTGCCCGTTCAGCTGCGCATATTCATGGGTAATGCGCGGGTCCGAGAACGGATCAATCGGCTTCACGCTCATGATGTGGAACTTCAATGAACTTGCTGGCTTTCGATGCACGTCACGCAGTCGATTCAAACTCGACTTGTTCCGATTAATTGATAAATCGGGCACTAAGAACTTAGCTTTCTACAACAGCGATTCGGTGGTCTTCTAAATCTTGGTGATCACCGCAATAGCTGCAACCGAGGTCGGTTACCTTTTAAGTATTGCGGGGCATTGGAGATGTCGAGGGAGATTACAAATATCTTGACACTTTCCCTTGTGATTCGGACGAGCAGTTAACCGCATCGTTTGGCCTGATTCTCTTGCACGGACGAAATACGAAGCTCTCCAACTGCCTCGAAGAGAGCTACGTAGATATGCACTGTGAACATCGTGATCCTACCGGTACCTCGGGCTATGTGGGGTTAGCTGGGTCTGGTTGACTCCGTGTCCGGGGGAATCCGACTGTTCCAGACCCCAAGGTCATAGGTATCGCTATCAGAATCTAAAGTACTTTGATAAAAGCGTGTGGTTGTAAACTCTGTAACGCGAGTGAGGTATTGATATTGCTTTTGGCCTTTCGGGTTCGCCGGCTCAATGTAGCGTCCACCATTAGCCCGCCCCTAAGCTGCTAGAACTAGGTATGCTACAAGAATCTCCAAATGGACCATCCCCCTGCGATATAAAGCCGGCCGATGCTGGGGTATCTATTAGTATAGTACGGTATCTTCTTCACCTTCCATTATCTCCTCATCGTCGTCATGCTCGTGTTTCGTCTCTGTCTCAACGACAGCCTCCAGCTCAACTTGCTGCGGCTGCTGCGTGTCGAACTCCACGTGCTCCCCTGAGTCCGCTTCAGCACCCTCGTCGTTTGGCTTCTCGGCACTATCGTGGTCTGCGCCAGTTAAAGGGTGACCATTCTGCTGACCTGGCTCTTCGGTTTCTAAATCGGCCTCTGCCTTTGTTCCGGGAACGCCATCCTGGTGTGACCCGTTCTGTGGTTCATCTTCAGCAGGTCGACGGGCCTCAAACTCCTCCAGCTCCCGGTCAATGGTGACTTCCACTTCGGCAACTTGCGACGCGATTATGTCCTCCTCCTCCGCGCTCAGTTCCCATGGCTTGTAATACTGTTCTAGTCAGATACTGTGACAGCCGTGGAAGTTGAATGACCTACCAGCCTCGGTTCCGTCTTTGTCTGCAAAAAGTGTGCCATCGCAAGCATATTCGAATGCCGTACCCTCATCTTCAACGTAGAAATTAGCGCCTCTTCTGCATGTCCCACCCAATCATGATAGACCAGCGTGCCCAAGAGCTTACCGATTGCTCTTCGAACTTCCCCTGCTCCCGCTTGCGCGCCTCCAGTATGTCCCCCAACCGTTCTTTCCGCCTCTGGTCGAAATCCGCAGCTTGCTGCCGAAGCTTGGCTTGCTGCTTCTTGTCGATATCCGCCCGTCGTCGTTGCGCCGCCGATGCTGAGTTTTGCGACAATGTCCCTAGCAAGGCTCCAAACAGCCGTTTCCCGCGCCCTTTCTCTGCCTCTAACCCGGATCTTCGTCGATTTAGCCGGTTGTCGTCGGGTTCATCTGTTGGCGTCGGCAGCCCGTTCGCGGCTTCGGATCCGTCCCGCCCATTGCGACGTGGACCGGCGTCGCCGTCAACGGACAGTCGTGGACGCTTCGATGAGGTATCGGAGATGGATGATTGGCGTCGTTTGAGGGTTGGAGAACATGGAGGTTCGGACTTCGGTGTGTCGAGGTGGTTGGGGGCGTCGGGGACAATGACGGCAGAGGCCAGTAGGCTGGGAGGATGGTTAGAATGCGGAGGCGGTTTCAGGAGGATTGAGCAATCGCCGAGTGATGGGGACTTACGGCATGTCGTCTGCCATACTGACTAGCTGGCCCGAGAATCGAGATGTAGCGATTGGGCTGCTGCAGGCGTTTGGAAAATTCGAGAATGTTTAGGTACGGAAATAATGAAATATCAGGGTTTGGGTTGAAGCTCGAAAGTTGCCACGACGGACTCCTGCAGGGCTGAGTCCCCAGCACGTGCGGTGGCACTTTTTCTACATTCTATTCTACTTCGCTTGTCTCTTCACGAACATACACTTGGCAATTCTTGTATTCCTCTATATCCTTTGAAGAAGGACATAGTGTTACGAAACATCTTTTTCGCACTTGAAAGCTCCCGCGCGCGGACGTCAGGGCATCCTTCTCCGCTTCACCATGTCTCGCCATCATCCGTAAGCTGCTCTCTCATCCTCCGATATATCCAGCAGATCATTAACACGAAACTCCTAGCGACCTCGTCATGTGCCGCAAGCAGCCCGGAATCGCCATCGGCCGCCTCTGCGATAAATGCGACGGTAAATGCCCCGTCTGCGACAGCTACGTCCGCCCCACCACTCTCGTCCGCATCTGCGACGAGTGCTCCTTCGGCAACTACCAGAACAAGTGCGTTGTGTGCGGCGGTGAGGGTATCTCCGACGCCTTCTACTGCTTCGAGTGCACGCGTCTGGAGAAGGATCGGGACGGGTGCCCGAAGATCATCAATCTGGGGAGCTCGCGAACGGATCTGTTCTATCAGAAGAAGAATTTTAGAAATCATTAGGGGAAGGGATGCGGCGCGGTTATGAGCCAGATTATCCTCTTTAGGAATTAAGAAGCGGCGTGTTTTCGGGCCAGATCACTCCTAAGGGAGCGAGAGCGCATAAGAACTTCGACCTGTGCGCCTGGTGGTCTGTCGGAATCGCCTGACAATGCGCAGGTCACAATACGAACCTCGGAGGAGTGTCTAACGGTTAGCTACAAGCTTCGTGGAGGCCCGCATGGAAGGAGAAGAAGACGAAGAATACAAGGAGGAGGAAGCTTAGGTTGAATGAGCCTACGTCACGATTTCTACGAAGTGAACGGAAAAATGGGTTTGAGTCTAGATATTCGCCATGTTAGACTATCGACAGTTGTCTCTCAGTTTATGGCTGCTTCATTTCGAGACAAACTACGCTCAGTACAGGATATGTTAAAGGGAGCCATCCCAATGGAATTGTTGTACAGAACTCGTAACACCTTGCAAATGCCGCACGTCTAGTCCATCAACCCCTGATTCGCACCGAACTCTCCGTAGGAGCATCCCCCATAAATCCTAACGACGTCTTCTGCCTCCTCCCTCTCCGGTCCCCATATTGTTCGTCGAACTTCCGAATCGCCTGCACGCTGGACATGTCCTCGCTGACACTCGCGCTGATCTCCGCGATCGCCGTCTCGAAATGCCCCTTCTTCAGCACGCGCTTCTCCGAGGTCTCCGGTTCCTGCTTGACGCACGCCATCGCCGCCGCGACGCAGAGGTTCTTCAGATCCGACCCGGAGTAGAACGCCGTCTTGGACGCGAACTCCGTGAGCGAGACGGAGTCATCCAACGCTTCATTTTTGAGGAGGATCCGAAGAATCTGCTCGCGGCCCTCCTCGGTTGGCAGGTCCATGAGCATCTTCCGCGGGAGCCGCCGCATCACCGCGTCGTCCATATCGAACGGACGGTTCGTCGCCACCATGACGAACACGTTCGCCCCCTCCATGCCGTCCCACTCCTTCAGAAACTGATTGATGATCTCGCGGTGGCTCACGCGATGCCGACCGCCGGAGCGCGAGGCGAAGATCGCGTCCGCCTCGTCAATAAAGACGATGCAGGGGGACAGCTTACGCGCGAGGGAAAAGATCGCCCCGACGTTCTTCTCGCTTTCGCCGACGTACATTTCGTTCACGCTACTTCCGCTCACTTCCAGGACGGTGGCCCCGCTCTCTTTCGCGACGGCTTTCGCGAAGAGGGTCTTGCCGGTCCCTGGAGGGCCGTAGAGAAGCAGGCCGCTTAGTTGGTTGTGAGCGAGCACACCATATTGGAAGGCGTCGGGTCGGGTAAGTTGAAGCGAGGTGATGGTGCGCAAGGCATCCTTCGTCTCGCTGGGCGCATGGACATCGTTGAAGGTTGTATGAATGCGGTCGGGCTCAACGACGCCAGCCATGAGCTTCTTTTCATATCGGTTAGCGGTCTGCTTGATCCGTTCAAGCTTCGCATTGTTGATCTTGTTGGCACCATCTGGCTGACTTCTCGATTGCAAAACTGGCTTCGCGTTTTGCTCGCTGGCAAATTGTGTCATCCATGCAACTTTCTCCACTTCGGACTCCTTGAGGAGAGTCACGGCCGCTAGGACATGGCTTATTTGTACCTTGTCTGTTGTGATGGAGGATGTTCCGCAGATGCCCAAAGCAGTGATGAGGATCTGTTGTACCTCATCCGCCGAGAGCATGCGATGTTGAAGTATCCGAACATCCATAGGTAATGACGGATTAAGTCCCTTTGCCCATTCCACTCGATCCGTCAATTCCGAATTGGTTGCCAAATGTTCGAGCGACTGGTGCAGATGTCGTAGATTTAGATCCAGAATCCGATCGGCCTCATGATTATCCCACAGGCTCTCTTGACCACGAATGCCTATTCTCCCACCGGTTTCGCTTTCCGGGGTCGCCAGGGTCGACTTAATTTGTTTCTGATTCTGTTCCTCTGCCGCTGTGGGCTTTGGAAGCTCTGTAGGCCCTGTTTCCGTCTTATTGGGCCATGGTTTCGAAGTATTGTCGCTCTGTGGACTGCCGCTGGCTTCCTCGTTGCTCCATCGGGTCTCGGAGCTGACATGGTGAGGAGTCAGTAGCATCTGCCTAAAAAGTCCGAACCGCACGTCTTCAGTCGGGGAATCCAAGTTTCGAACCGTGGCTTTCATATCGCCCTGGACAGGTCCTTTGAAGCATGAGGTTCCGACGATCAGGATCTGGTGGCCTTCCTGTCTCCGTCTTTCCACCACGTCCACCAGCTTGGTGACAAACTGTTCGCCGAGTTCGGTCATGGCAAGTTCTTTGATGTCTCGGACACAGATGACGGTGCGCGGACCGCGCTTATCCAGCGACGGACGGAGGGAATCGAGGCCTTGTCGATCGGTGATAAATGATAGTCCCAGTTCAACCTTATTGCCTCCATGTTTCACTACACGTTGGTGAAAAACTGTTGGCCGTGGAATGCCGTTAGAAGATTGCACTGTTTTGCTAGAGAAAAAGGTATTCTCGGTTGCGGGGGGGGTTTTCCGCTTCGATCGCTTCTCGGCCGCCCCGTCTAGCATCGCCTCAATGAACGCCGTCAGTCGGAGGTCGGCACTTCTTTGGTTCATATCAAACTGCTTTGGCACACCGAGTGCTTTGGGTCCCTGGCCAGAGAATAGGCCAGACTGCAGTTTCTTGCCCAAGTCGGCAATAGATGCAGCAGAAATGGTCGCGAAAGTGGGCATCACCGATCCAAATGGGGATTGCGCTCTTCGATTCGATCGAGATTGTCCGGTTGTGTCGTCGCGGGCAAGCCTTGGGTCCGAGGACTCGTCCGATTCTTGATCGTCCTCCAAATCCTCGGTTTCTTCCTCCTCCTCCTCCAGGAGCCGCGAAGCCGAGTAAGTATCATATCCCAAGTTTTGAGCCGCGGCGATCGAGCGGGTGTCATTGGGGTCGAGGAACATCCTGGCCATTTGGGAAAGGTCCAGCGCATCCAAACGAATCATATCTGCGCCGAGGATACAGGCAGCATCCGTGATCTCCTGTTCCAAGAACCATCCCCCACCTGGATGGGGGAATTGTGCAATAACGTGAGCTCTGACGTCCTCTTTGTACCTTCCGTTCTCTCTCCGGGCGATAGCAAAGGAGCCTTCCATGGCCGTGCGTAGCTCCAAGGCCTCGACAATCGCCGGAGGTTGCCAATGTTCCCTAAAATCTCCAGGCCATTCATAGACACCAGACGTTTCCGGATATATACGATCGTCACTGAGCGGAGCGTCCTCTTCCTTCAGCATGTTTTTGGACACCCGAATAGGCATCTGGGAGAGCATGAGTCCCGGCTCGTTCAAATTATGGCCAACGGTTAGAACGCCTAATCGTGCATCCTGGCGCCGTATAGGATCGTTGTCTTCCCGTAATGTGACGTTCCGCTTCCAGAACCATTCCGGAAACTCCACCTTCGACACCTCCTGGGCCCACTCATCGTTTCGGAGGGACCGCCTTAGAGCCGAGCCGTGCACTCGAACTCCACGCCTCGCAGGTCCATTCCTCTCCAATGGACTGGGTCCTTCTCTTTCTGAGGTATCCGCTGGTGTGCTTTCCGGTGCTGCCTCGCTGTTCGGAGATCCTGATTTCGGTTCTGACTCCGTTTGGTCGACTGCTGAGCTACGCGGTTCGCCCGGGCTAGGTGTAGCCGCTCTCCATGATGACAATCTTGAGAATGATCGACGGGGGTATATGACGGTTCGGACATGGTGAAGTGCTATCGGGACCAGAGGTCGCGGCGCGAGGGTAGGCATTCGGCACCGTGGAGGGGCAAGGGGCGCCTTATAATCTGCCAATTGGAGATAACATCGGAGGATAGCCCAGGCAGAGTATATTAAACAGGCTCGGGACGTCGCGTTTTAGACAGGTAGCAAGAATTCAGGAGGGCCAAAAAACATTGAATTCGTTGCGCGCATTTGCCATTTCTTTCTTTGTCCATGGAGGATTGAGTGCACGTGACTAGGGAATCTTTTGCCTTAGGCAGTAAGGCAGTAATTCAGCATATTATGTCAGCACGGCAGCTGTTAGATACCGTCTCACGTCTGGGGCATGGGGATATTATTGCTCATATTAGCAAGTTCAGTTCAGTTGGTCTCCATCTCCAAACATTCCTTGTCCTATTATCGCGGGAGGCTTGCAGCGTCGGCTCTAGTTTTAGTCTTACATCTTCTCTCTTAAGGCTCTGAACATTTCAGATTCTCGGCCATGGATTCCCACGATGCCCGTCCAATTAAGAGGGCGAGACACAGCAATGCTGGAGAATCTGACGGCGATAGCTCCGATTCATCGCATTCATTCCTGGAGCAAAGCAGGTGAGTGGCTAGGGATTATGGAGGGTGTCACCAGCTAGCCGTGTGTGTGTCCTTGTATCCCGTCACCTGTATACGGTACCTGCATCAGCAACCTGATTGTCTCTGGTTTCATTGGGAATCGCATGGCTGCCCACTCCCCTCCCACATCTTTCAAACACCCCGATCGTATCGCTTGCCTTGAACTTCACTTCGCCCAGCGGCTCCATTCACCACTTCCTGACTTTGGTCACTTTGCAAAATCTCACCCACCCATAAAGATAGCGATTTCCGTTGCACTTCTTCTCCGTCGCAAACAGCTCTCGTCTCATTCTACAGTCTATGCACAGCCCTCTCTTCATTTGGAGCTCTTAGACCACGCATCCAGACAAATGTCGTCTCGACAGCTTCGTTCCCGTCCTGAGCTAACCTCAAGTGCAACATCCAGCCGTCCCCGACGTGGTGTAGCAGGTCCGTCAGCAAGCATCGAGCGAACCAACCCATCATCCGACACCTCTCGTCAATCCATCAGGCTAACCGTCAAAGCTCCCCCGAGCAAGTTAAGACAGGTCATCAATGGCGGGGACGTCGACGCCGGGCCCATCAACCGGCCCGTCCGTAACGGACGTCGGAAAGCGATCGTCGAGTCGTCGGACGAAGAAATGGACAGCGAGCAGCCGACCGATGTCTACGGCGGCGAAGACGGCGATGAGGACGATGCGGACGACATCGAGGAGAAAACTCCCGACGACGACGATGAGGATATGGAGGACGCGGAGGGCGAGGATGCCGAGGATGATGCAGACGGAGACGACGTGGACATGGATGACCTTCCACCCCGGCCACCCCCATCCGCACGATCTCGAGCTCCCCCAGCCAAACCGACGGTGAAGGTCACTCCACCGGACGCGAAAAGTGCAGTTCCGAATTCACGGGTCGTGCCTGATGATGACGATGACGAGGACGAGCTTTCCGAGTTAGACTCCCAAGAAGATCTGGAGGAAGAGGATGACGAGGAGGAGGACGACGCGGAGGGTGAGGAAGCTGAAGGCGATGAGGATCTAGCCGAAGAAGATGTCGAGGGTGAAGACGACGACGACCTCGATTCGGACGGCCGAACGCCGGCATCGAAGAGTAGGAGCAATACCCCAGATCTGACCAAGTTGACACGTCGACAACGGGCCGCTTTGATCCCCGACGGCGTTTTAATGGCCCTATCCAACGGTAAGTTCCGCCCCTACCCCATCCCACACCCCCGCCTCTCACACCCCCCCCAGAAGCCCAAAAGAAAAAACATCTCACCGCCGAGGAGCACGCCATGCGCCGCGTCGAAATGGCCCGCCGCCGCAAGAACCTCAGCGAGAAACGCAACGAGGAGGAGAAGATGGACACGATCAACCGCCTCCTCAAGAAGCAGGCCCCCAAGCGCCGCAACAAGTCCGCCGCCGAGATCGCCGCCGAGGCCGCCGAGGAGGGGGGCGAGTACGTCGTCCGCGCACCGCCGCTGTACGCGCGCTTCGTGCAGAGCGCGACGGGGACAGCGGTGGCGGCGCCGGATGAGTGGTTAGAAGCGCCTGTGGGGAGGGTCTTTACGGGTCCGAGTGGGAGGGGGGTGAGAGGTTTGAGTTCGCGTATGGTGGAGGAGGTGGCGTAGGAAGGAAGCGTCGAGAGTGTCCGTTATTTGAGCGAACGGCGTCAGAGTTCAGACAGGCAAATGGGGTGGACGGTACAAATCCAATGCAGAAGCGATGACTTCGCTATTCCCAAGTTTGTCTAGCCTGGCGTTTTCTATAGTAGTATGCTTGCACAAATGATGCGTCCATTGCTTCTATGGTCTGCCCATCGAATCCCAAGCCTTCTGTTTTAAGCACATATCGCCGATACTATTGTCACCGGGCTTTTATCATGATATTGTCCTCTAGGTAACGGTATTAAGTACTATGAAACTGGAATTCGCTTTCAGCACCTGTCATACTGTTCATCATGTTCGTCGATTCGGTGCGTGACTTCGTAGAGATAGGTATCTCTTACCTCCCTTGATGAGGAGGTTCCAGCCATGCAATATAGCTGCGAATAGTGACGATTTACAGGGTCATTCGAGGTAGTTTTAATACTATAATTCCATACCGCTCCCTCTCAGTATACCTGCCTACCTACTACATACCTATAAAATCATACCTGTAATAAAGTAAGAGGATTTACCTGGAGAAGACGCGTTGGCAGCGAAACCCTTATTGTAGTGACGTTTATGCTTCCGCTTTCAGTCGGGGGATCCATGCCTTTGATTGGCTGCGCCAAGCCCTGAGCCCAACCTCCGCAACATAATCGGTCAACATGATCCATCGCATGTGCCTGTTCCCCAACTTGATCATTCCAAGACCCAGAATCACAATCACATTTAAGTTATCGGAGAGAGAATATTGTATAAATGCCACTTGAAGGCCTTATATAACACCAGCTCTCGACACACCTGTACCACCCTCGACCAACCCCGATCTCCCGCATTCCCCGAGCCAGGCAACCTCTCCTCCCTCGGACAGCATCCACCTTCCCCAGACGCCTCTCTACCGAACTAAACCGAGCAGATCCTCATAATGTCAGGCCTCATCGACTCCGAAGCCGGTTCCGAGCTGTTCGCCAGCTATGAAGCCGAACTCAAGCTGGTCCAAGCCGACCTGAACCAGAAACTCGACCAGATCCCGGAGCTGGCGGGCGAGCCACGCAAAGCCGCCATCTCCCATGCGGAGCGGTCGCTAGAGGAAGCGAAGGAAATCGTGAGTCTCTCCTTCTCTGCTGGCCGGGCACTAACCCGGGCCGGTCGACGTCTGTGAAATGCCCAGGACAACCCGGCATGCTAACGTGACGCACCCAGCTCGACCAAATGCGCATCGAGAAGCAAAACATCCCCGCGCCCGCAAAGACGAAAGTGAACACCCGCTTCCGCAACTACCAAACCGACATCGACGGGCTGGGCGCGCGGCTCAAGCGGGCGTCCTCCGACCGGCAAGCGCTGTTCGGCGACCGGTACACGGACGACCCGACGGGCGACGCGCACGTGGAGCAGCGGCAGCAGCTGCTGTCGGGGACGGACCGGCTGGAGCGGAGCAGCGGGCGGCTGCGGGACTCGCAGCGGGTGGCGCTGCAGACGGAGGAGATCGGGGCGAACACGTTGGCAGATTTGAATCGGCAGCGGGATACGATTATGCACACGCGGGATACGCTGGGGGAGAGTGAGGGGTATACAGACCGGAGTATCAAGACGTTGAGGTCGATGGCGCGTAGGTAATGGACCTTGGTTCCCTAATTACGAGGAGGGGTTTGGATGCTAACGTTACGATAGGATGGCTACGAATCGGGTGATTACGATTGCGATCATCACGGTGCTGGTGCTTTTGATTATTGCCGTTATTGCCAGCAAGTTTCGGTAGACGGGTGGAAATGGCTGCATGGCGTTCTGGGACGGGATGATTTGGTCGGGATATTTTGCCGGGATAGCAGGTTTGATTAAATGGTGCTTTATGCCCAGCGATGCCATAATACATGAAGTCATCTTACTCCGATGCTGGAATCCCACTCGATTCCCGCACGACCGTAACACCTTGCTATAATACATACCCACACCCATCGCCCACGCCACTCAACTCGTAAGCTTCACAAAGCCAAACGCCAAATTGATCATAATCCCCGTAAACACCGCAATCCGCTTCCGCTGCGTCCATACCCCCTCCTCCCGAAAGCCCCACACCAGCGCCCCCATCGGCCACACGCACCCCATCACCGTCCCTCGCAGCAGATCGTCCAAACCCCCGCCCTCCTCTTCGCCCGGTACCTCTGTCGTCGCGCCCCCTGCCCCCGCCGCGCCGCGCCCGAACGAGTCCGTGTCCAGCCATCGGTCCTCTAGGGATCTCAGCGCGTTGCCGGTGGGCATAGTGTCGGGCGTGTGGGTGTGCGAGAGGATGGTCTGGAACTGTGAGCGGAGGGAAGCGACTTCGGTGGGGGAGAAGCCGGCGGTGAGGAGACGGTCGAAGCCCTGCGGCGGGGAGGTGGTGATATCCCCCGGTGTGGCTGTTGTAGGGGTCGCGGCTGCCGCAGCGGAGGAGCCCTCTGAGTCATCGCGAGTGGATTTGGAGTGGGAGGCGGCGGTAAGGGCGGCTTGGGCAGTCGCCTCGTTCGTGGCTTCCGCGGCGAGCTCGGAGACGGATAGTACATCGCCCACGGAGCAATGAATGTACACCCTCGCTACATCATGCGATGAACCCGAACCCGAACCGAACGGATCCGATAATACATCCAGATGTACATCGCGAACGGGCGCCTTCCCCTTCCCCCCGTGGTCTGCCCTCCGCCCTAGAACCCGATCGTTCGGCGGCGGCGCGGGAAGCGAGGAGGCGAGTGGCGCGGTGTCGGAGAGGACGCGGCCGGCATGGATCAATCGGATGCGGTTGTGGGCGAGCAGAGGCGGTAGATGGGAGCGGACGAGGCGCTTTAGGGCGAGGCCGGAGGTGGAGTGCGGGAAGGGGATGGTTAGGGGGAGGTCGGGGATGGAGGCGGAGAAGCGGACGACAAGATGCATCGTGCGCGGGGGGGAGGCATTGGGGTTAGGAGAGAATGGATGTTATCGCATATTGAGTTGGCGCTTTATGGTTGCATCTTCTTTCTTAGTTGGTTGGAAATATCACAGAATCGAGATGCTGAGGGGGATATCGACTTTGTTTGACAGGGGATAGGTACGAGATTGGTGATACTCCCATGTCAGATGCAAGGTCGATCTTCACAGCCAAACGTCTCCCGCGCTGCTTTGCGGGCATCGCCGCATTCCAGACTTGTCCCCACTGCGCTTCTTTGCCTAGTTTGAGGTCCCTGCCGTTGTTGCGTCAGTTGCTCTGCTCCTGGAGTTGTGTATTTTTGGATTGGTTACCGTATATCTACTTTACATAAGCCACCGTTTGTTGAAATACCGCAATCCTATTCTTACATAATTCGATATGCCCCTGAGATTGGTCACGATTTGTTTTAAAAACCGCCCGTCCAACATCCAGATACCGCAGGATATCTCGTCCCTGAGGAGCAACAATCTGGTGTCAGTAAACATACCGACACAGCGCTGGATATATTTTTACAGCATGCGGGATTGCCATATTCTGTACTCAAACTAAGCAGATCCTCTTTCGTTTCGTGAGTGTTTCCCAACTGTCCCAGCCACCCTTGATGCCAGCTTCTCCAAAAGGGGATTCCAAGTATCCAAGCCGTCTGAATTTATCTCCGTCCAGATCCTCGATGACCAGACCGCAAAATGTCTTATGGATCTCAGCTCCTGATTCCGATTTCTTGGCCATCGATCCAGCGAAAACGAAGAATATCCTCTTGCCATCCATGTGACTCCAGTCATCAACATAGTCGACCCTTGGATCAAGAAGAACTGAAGATTGGTGGATTGGGCATTGGAGAGATTCATCGTCGTAGCCTCCGCTTGAGTAAAAGAATGAGCCCCCGGAGACACGAAGTGGAATTATGTTCCCTTCGATGACAAGCCAACCGCTGCCAGGCCCGTATAGATTGGTTCCACTGGGATGGAATTTCGCATCCACCACCCTCCAGAACCACCGAAAGTTACGATGTAGGTCAACTCCTAAGTACATGACCGCACCGAAAACGGATGCCCATGACCAAGATGGAGCATAGTGATCTCCTAACTTGTATGGAGTCATGGACGTCGAGGCCTGCGATGAAGGTCCGTGGTTGACTTCCCAAGAACTGGACCAAAGTAGGTGGGCGGTAAGATTGCTTTCCCACATGCCAGCAAGGTATTCACCTCCTACATGATGGTTGAACGCCTTAGCTAAACCAGACAATGCCGGAAGACGGTCTTTTTGATAGGACAGATCCCTTTTAGTGAACTGGTGGATGATTTCTCGCCAGGTTCTCATCCATTCAGACGAGTCATGTTCTGCTGAAGAGGAAAGACATACCGTCGGTTCCATGAAGGATTCGCGTTCCAGGGGGTTGCATTCGCATGCACAGCTTTTCCAACAAGTCCATCCAAGCTCGCTCGATGTAAACCATAGCACTCTGGTGGAGAGGGTTAGCTCCTGCAGAGTCCAGCCTCGAGTTTGGAGTATGCCATCATTCGGGAGAATGTCATAATTAGACGGGTAGCCGTGTATGAAGCCTAAGCCTAACCTGCCGCGTAATCTTGTTTCTCGAACGTACACATGAGCATTCGAGTGGTCTTGCAACTGCACATTCATTTCCACAGTTCGTCTGAAAGCGGGCGACGTGAACAACCCACTATCACTGCTCGGCGAATCCACGGCGGCAAACGTGACCAATGCATTCTCATATATATCACACATGTTCGCAGCTTCAAACTCCCAATCCGGGGTGGAATCTTGGAGGATACATAAGGAGTCGATCCAAAGATTAGGAATCGATAAAGCTCGGGCGACGAGGACGGCATCGTGACATGTTTTGGGGAGTTCTTCGATGGAAAATCCCGTCTTTCTTTGGGAATACGAGGAAATCGTCGTGATAAATGTTCTTGCCGCTCCCCAGCAGTAACTAAGAGTCGCGTAACAGCCAGTTTCCCCAGGAGCTGATTCGTGCAAGTAAGGACGGGTAGAAGCGTCGCCGACTTTAATGACCCGGGTAGGGAGTTTGGACCTGGTCCCTGATCGACACAGTTGGAGACCGTGGTTCTGAATGCAATGGTCCAGCCACTTCCGAGCTTGATGGAGACATCCGGGTGAAGAGGAGTCGGTAGAGATATGGGAAGCTATGGGGATGAGCGGCCAACGATGAGTTATTCTAACTTGGGGGTCATCAGCCTCACACCCACGGAAACATGATGTAACAGACGAAATTGCTAACGAAGCATACCATCTGTACTATAGAATTCCAGGTTTGTGTCATCACCATTGATATCTCTTGTTGTGACACGCAATAGCAATCGTTCTCCGAGTCTCTCCTCCTGATGCCTCTCAACCGAAGACGAGATGTCCAGGTCCACGATATTGGCTACATGTTTGAACGAATTAATACCACTTTCGATTAAGAAACAGGCCTGACAGCCAAGCAAGACGGAACTTTGCAGCCCTGTAAATAAAATATTGTCAAGGCGGAGCACGTCGGATGGGGATTCTACTGTGAGATCGTGACAGATTCGACATGGCATTTTCGTTACTGCTGAAGCATCAAATGAGAGGGGAATGGAAAAGAAACTACTCTCCGGTGTGCGAAACCTAAGTCCGTATTATCTGGAAAGGTCGTGGAAAGGCAGCTGTAGGGTGAATAAAGACTTGCAGTTGAAAAGCGACTGAACAATTCCAAGGTTGAGATATCTAGCACTACGAATGTTTCCTTACAGGATCACAATAATACGGTACTATCCATGTACGTTACTATCCACATGCGGACTTCTGCTGCTATGTAGCTATTATTGATGTGACGTTGCACCTGACGGCTGATAACTGGAGATCGAGATCGCCTCCATCCAATGATGATGTCGCCAATCCATCCCACCGCCGCTAGAGACGGCACAGATAAGGCTAAAGACAGCCATGAAGTCCAAACCGAGCCCATATTGAACTTTTGGAATAATAAGATGGTGCCGCCTCCTCCAGATTGATCGGGAATTCTTCACCTTCCTTCTATCGCTTCATTATGGCCCCGGGCATCGTGATAGAACCAGATCCTGCCGTGCAGCAAGACGTAGCACGTAGCTTGTCCACCGTGACGGGCAAGTATGACGACACCCTGCGATTCTACCTGAATGGGACTAAGGTGGTCCTGGACGATGCGGACCCGGAGGTTACCCTGCTGGAGTACCTGAGGGGGATTGGGCTTACAGGAACGAAGCTGGGATGTGCTGAGGGGGGCTGCGGGGCTTGCACGGTGGTAAGTGGGTGGTGAAAATTGGGGGTGAAGAAACAATTACTGATGGAAGGGAAGGTGATCTCACAATACAACCCCACCACCAAGAAGATATACCACGCCTCAGTCAATGCTTGCCTAGCTCCGCTGGTGAGCGTAGATGGCAAGCATGTCATCACCGTCGAAGGCATCGGCAGCGTGAAAAGGCCTCACCCCGCCCAAGAGCGCATTGCAAAGTTCAATGGCAGCCAATGTGGTTTCTGTACCCCTGGCATTGTTATGGTGCGTAACCCGTGCGAAGATATGGATTATGAAGACTAACAGCCGGATAGAGTCTCTATGCTTTGCTTCGAAACCACACTGATCCGACTGAGCACGATGTGGAAGAAGCTTTCGACGGCAACTTGTGCCGATGCACCGGATACAGACCCATCCTTGACGCCGCTCAAACCTTCAGTGCTTGTGGCAAGTCTAGTGCCAAAGGAGGAAGTGGGTGCTGCATGGAGAAAGGAGGCTCAGGGGGTTGCTGCAGAGCAGATGGCGCCGATGGCATCAACGGAGACAGCGAACCGAAGAAGAGATTTACACCCCCTGGCTTCGTCGAATACAACCCAGAAACCGAACTCATCTTCCCTCCGGCCCTCCGTAAACACGAATTCAAAGCCCTGGCCTTTGGCAACAAGCGGAAGCGATGGTACCGACCGGGCACATTGCAGGAGCTTCTCGAGATCAAGAGCGTATATCCCTCCGCAAAGATCATCGGTGGAAGCACTGAGACACAGATCGAGGTGAAGTTCAAAGCGATGGACTATTCAGTGTCAGTGTTTGTTGGAGATATCCCCGAGTTGAGACAGTACTCACTCGAAAAAGACTATTTGGAGATTGGCGGCAATGTCATCCTGACTGACCTTGAGGATATTGCAAAGGAGGCGATGAAGCATTACGGCGAAGCAAGAGCCCAACCATTTGCTGCCATCCTCAAGCAACTGCGGTACTTTGCTGGAAGACAGATCCGAAATGTTGGAACACCCGCGGGCAACCTCGCGACTGCGTCACCCATCTCTGACCTCAACCCAGTGTTCGTCGCATCGAACGCGATTCTCGTCGCGAAGTCGTTGGACAAGACGGTTGAAATCCCCATGTCCGAATTCTTCAAAGGCTATCGTGTAACCGCACTTGCACCTGATGCCGTCATTGCGAGCATTAGAATACCCGCTGCGCAAGAGAAGGGCGAGTACCTACTCGCATACAAGCAGGCCAAGAGGAAAGATGACGATATCGCCATTGTCAACGCCGCCCTACGCGTCACGATCAATGATGCATATGTTGTTGACAGCGTTGACTTGGTCTACGGTGGTATGGCCCCGACCACTGTCGCTGCGAAGAATGCGAAGGAGTTCCTCACTGGCAAGGAATGGACGGATCCTGCTACCCTCGAAGGGGTCATGAATGCTTTAGAGCAAGACTTCGACCTTCGCTTTGGTGTACCTGGAGGCATGGCAACCTACCGCAAGACGCTTGCGCTAAGCTTCTTCTACAAGTTTTATCATGAGGTCATGAATGAGCTGAAGGATCAAGAAGCGGAAGTCGATAAGGAGGCGATTGGAGAAATTGAACGGATGATATCGACCGGACAAAAAGACCACAAATCAAGTATCGCCTATGAGCAGACACATCTCGGAAAGGAGCGGACGCATGTTGCGGCGATGAAACAAAGTACAGGCGAAGCACAATACACCGATGACATCCCAGTGCAAAAGAACGAGCTCTATGGCTGCTTGGTGCTCTCCACCAAGGCTCATGCCAAATTACTCAAGGTTGACCCTTCTCATGCTCTTGATTTACCCGGAGTGTACGCCTGGGTGGACCATAACGATTTGCCGAACCCCGAAGCCAACTGGTGGGGTGCGCCCAACTGCGACGAAGTCTTCTTCGCCGTCGACGAGGTCTTCACTGCCGGTCAGCCGATCGGTGTCATCCTCGCAGACAGCGCGAAACGAGCCGAACACGCGGCCCGGGCGGTCCAGATCGAGTATGAAGACCTTCCTGCCATCTTCACGATCGAGGAGGCAATTGAGAAGGAAAGCTACTTCGACCATTACCGATATATTAATAAGGGAGACGTGAATAAGGCGTTTGCTGCGGCGGATCATGTTTTCACGGGTGTTGTACGGATGGGTGGTCAAGAGCATTTCTACCTCGAAACCAATGCTTGCGTTGTTGTGCCGAAGCCTGAAGATGGGGAGATGGAAGTCTTCAGTAGCACCCAGAATCCGGCGGAGACGTAAGTGAACAGCGCTAGGTATTCTACCCTGTACTAACTGCGATACAGTCAAACCTATGTTGCCCAAGTCACTGGCGTCGATGCCAACAAGATCGTGACAAGAATCAAACGAATGGGTGGCGGCTTCGGAGGCAAGGAGACAAGATCGATCCAACTGGCGGGAATCTGTGCTGCTGCTGCGAAGAAGGCCAACCGACCGGTCCGATGCATGCTAAACCGTGATGAAGACATAGTGACCTCTGGCCAACGCCATCCGTTCCTTGCGCGATGGAAAGTCGCCGTGAACAATGACGGCAAACTCCAGGCGTTTGATGCCGACGTATTTTCCAATGGTGGCTGGAGCCAAGATCTCAGCGGTGCTGTCGTCGACAGAGCTCTCTCGCACAGTGATGGCGTCTACAAAATCCCCAACGTCTACGTGCGAGGCCGTGTCGCGAAGACGAACACCGTCTCAAACACCGCCTTCCGCGGCTTCGGCGGACCTCAGGGCCTGTTCATCGCGGAGTCCTACATGTCCGAGGTCGCGGACCATCTCAAGATGCCAGTGGAGAAGCTGCGGGAAATCAACATGTACAAGCGTGGCGATGCCACACACTTCAACCAGGAGCTCAAAGACTGGTATGTACCGCTCATGTACCAGCAAGTACAGGAAGAGTCGGACTACTGGCGCCGCAAAAAAGCCGTCGAGGAGTTTAACAAGACTCACAAATGGAACAAGCGCGGGCTGGCTCTCATCCCCACCAAGTTCGGCATCTCCTTCACCGCCCTCTTCCTCAATCAAGCCGGCGCGCTCGTCCACATCTACCATGACGGTTCCATCCTCCTCGCCCACGGCGGCACCGAGATGGGCCAAGGCCTGCACACCAAGATGATCATGGTGGCAGCGGAGGCGCTCAAAGTCCCACAAGACGCCGTCTTCGTCGCCGAGACGGCCACCAACACCGTCGCCAACACTTCCTCGACCGCCGCGTCCGCCTCGTCCGACCTGAACGGCTATGCCATCTGGAACGCCTGCGAGCAACTGAACGAGCGCCTGGAGCCGTATCGCCAGAAACTCGGACCGACTGCGACGATGAAGGAGCTCGCGCACGCCGCGTACTTCGACCGCGTGAACCTGTCCGCGCAAGGCTTCTACCGCACCCCGGATATCGGCTACGTCTGGGGCCCGAACACCGGGCAGATGTTCTTCTACTTCACGCAGGGCGTGGCGGCGGCGGAGGTGGAGATCGACACGCTGACGGGCGACTGGACGTGCCTACGCGCGGATATCAAGATGGACGTCGGGCGCTCGATCAACCCGGCCGTCGACTACGGCCAGATCGAGGGCGCCTTCGTGCAGGGGCAGGGGCTGTTCACGACTGAGGAGATGCTCTGGCATCGGGGGAGCGGGCAGATTTTCACGCGGGGACCCGGCGCGTATAAGATCCCGGGCTTCCGCGACATTCCGCAGGAGTTCAATGTGTCGCTACTCAAGGACGTCGAATGGGAGAATCTGCGGACGATCCAGCGGAGTCGGGGGGTCGGGGAACCGCCACTGTTTATGGGGAGCGCGGTGTTCTTTGCGATTCGGGAGGCGTTGACGGCGGCGAGGAAGCAGTTTGGGGAGGAGGAGGTGCTGAGTTTGAGGAGTCCGGCGACGGTGGAGAGGATCAGGGTTAGCTGTGCGGATCCGATTGTGAAGAGGAGTATGGTCAACGCGGAGGAGGGCGAGAAGAGCTTTTTCGTTTCCATCTAGATTGGGATATCTTGGTCAGGATACGATTTCAGGGAATTGAATTGGCCTATTGGTGAGGGGGGTCCGACACTGTTATTTGGACTAAATTTGTTGGAATAGCTATGCGTGAAGGGTATCTCGCAGACAATCATTTCGGCATAAAATCATAAACAAAGCTCCCAACGACAACCCCCACCACTCTTCAACTTGTGAATCAGTTTGCTCTATGCCACTTAGCCCCTGAAAATTGGGAGCCAATCCAAGATAATAAAGGGCCCGCTTCAAGAACCAACGGCCACTGCTTTCGGCTGTCCCTCCACCCCCGGCCTCGCTCTCCTCGTCCCCACGAACCCTCTCCGATTCCTCCCCGTCCGGCCCCTCCCCAGCCAATTATGCTTCAACTCCTTCGTCAGCCGCTCCATCTTCTCCTGGCTGTCATCCCCACTCTGCACGCTCGCCAGCACGCTCACGCACTGCAGCATTCGCCCCACCATCTCCGTCACCTGTGTCGAGTCCATCGGCGGCGGCGGCGTCGGCTGCGATTGCTGCGGCGTGTTGGGCGCGGGCGACTGCATGCTGCTGGCGAAGGAGCCCGCGGACGTGTTAGAGGTGGCGCGCGAGCGCGCGCCGAAGCCGCCCGAGGAGCTCGCGGACTCGAGGTGGCTGGAGCCTTGGGAGTTGAAGGAAGAGAACTTCGGGTCGAGCGAGCTGGCGGTGCCGGGGCGAGCGACGGGGCCGAGCGCTGGGGGTGGTTGGAGTGGGGGAAGGTCCGGGGGGGTCTCGGCGATGTAGGCGTTGATGTTTTCGAGGGACAGGCGGGAGAAGATGGCCATGAGGGCATTGTGTCGCGGTAAGATGACCGTGTCGCGAAATGTCAACAGCGTCACACGGCGGACATCGAGTTCCTCGCCGAGGGTGGGAATGTTGCTGTTGAGCACTTCGGACGACTTCGGGCCGCCCTGGGACTCGGGTAGCATGGCACCCCAGAACTCAGCCGCATCCTGCGGTGTCATAAGCGGGCCGCGCCCTTTGAACTCCAGGTCGAGTGGTAGGAACGCGGCTTGCATGAAGGGCAAGATGCGCTGGAAGACCACAAGCCACATGTCGACGAGACTGGGAACGAGACGCTCGTCAGGCACGGCTCTGAGAGTTTGGTCGAGGGATGCAAAGCCGGTCTGCAAGAACTCGGTGAGATCTTCGACGAGAACGGAGGGAGCACGCCCCTGAATACAACGCCGCATATGTACCGAAACCAGCGCGTTGAAGTCCTCGATGGGCGTGCGGGGCTCCTCGCCTTCGAAAATATATAGGAGGCGCGCTTTGAGGAGCGGCCAAGCGTCATCAGACGTCATGCCGGGAAGGCCGAAGGCAGCGGCAAGGGCGTTCATGCCGGATTGGGGGATGGAAAGGTCAGAGCCGAAGGATACGGTCTGAGAGATGGAAGAGGGGCCATGGTAGGTGCTGACTGTGGTGGTGCTTTGCCAGAGGTCCGGTCTCTCGGAGCTCAAGGAGTCTTCCCGACCACGGAATGGCGGCTCCAAAGTGGTGGTGCTGCTATTGACCAAGGTCATCAGCGATGCTGCCGCGGCTTTCCCTTCTTTTCGCTTTTCTCGCAAAGCCTTTCCGCCGTGGCGCAAGTCGAGGCCAGATACCGACTTCGCAAAACTGCTCGAGTGGGATGGAGAGGGAGGCACCGCGAAGGAATAGAGCGGCTGCGGAGCACTTGGATCGGTCGGTCGGGAGTTGCTGTTCGCAGATGACAGTGCCAGACCATGATGATCATCCTTTTCCTTCAGCTTGTGCTTCTGTCGAGACAAGAAATGGTGCTTATGTTTCTCCTTCTCCCTTCCAATATCGAACGCTGTCGACCTGTCTGTCGGCACGAGCGTCGAAGTTGACGCGTTTGCCGACGAATACAAGGATGCCGAGCTGCTGGATATCGATGGGTCGACCAAACTCGTGGTAGATTGGTTCACTAGCTTCGAGAAGTTTACAGGCGCCTTGCCGGGAGACGGCAGGGCGGGCAGCCGCTTGTCCAGATCCTTATCCTTGATGATTCCAATGCTCTTCGGCTTGGAGAACAACTTCATCTTCGACCGTTCCTTGCTCGGCCGGTACTCCTTCTCCGGAACGGTAGGCGAGCCATGTTGCTCGGTTGCCGATCCCGGCGGATGAGGAGCGCAATATCCCGGGCTTCGGGGGAACGCAAGATTCGCAGCCGTGGCAGCCGTTCCGCGCTGAGTTGTCGTTGAGCCCGTATAGATCGAAGGTGCGTTTCGCGGGATCTGGAGCGCTGGAACAGGTGGCGGCGGGTTCCTGCTCCCAGATTGATTCCCCGAGGCGGACGGGTCTGGAATGGTCTGGGATCGTTTGCGCATATGCTGGGGGTTCTGCACATGCATGGCAGCCTTTGCGGCAATTTGCGATGCCGTTAGATTTGTAGGAGGCGCCATTTGAGGGGACGTGAGAGTGGAGGAAGCGGTGGGTAGAGATGGCTCGAAGAAGCCTTGCGAGTGTTGTCGGGGACGGTGCGTTTGCCAATGGGAGCGGTCCTTGTCGAGGGCAGGCGAGCGACGTTGCGACGGAGGGTCATCGAGATAGATGGACGATGGAGGAGGAGGGTGGCGGGATGCGGGATGGAGGCGAGGGCTCGAGGTAGCGGACACTTCACGGCGTCTTGGTGGCTGTTGGAGAGGAGTAGGAATGAGGTGAGAAGTATCGGATCCGGACTCGGAGGAGAAGGAGGAGGGATTGTGATTTCGACGACGGGAAGAAGGATGAGGAGGGGGAGGAGGAGGGCGCGGAGGTGAAGGAGGAGAGGACATGATTGTACAACTCGTGGTCTGTTTGATGCTAATAATACCACAGGAACCCTACTATCAGGATCACTTACAACCGCGTCCACATCCATGTACAATTAGGTACTTCATCATGGTATCAATGTATGGTATCAATATATCGGATCAAATGTATTATATGATGCTGAAACATGGACGAACACAAGAGTGAGATGAAGGACGTCGTGTAAATACCAGGCCCCGCAATCCGCTAGGGAAATGCCACAGTGAAGAGTGGACCGGAATGATGTATCCATAGGATCCATCAATAATTCCATCGTCAACGTCACAGATTACTCTTACCACTCTTATATATCGTTTCATCACAATCAAAGTCCATCAAGTCCATCAAGTCCATCAGTGTCCGTTCCCCAATCATGCCCTCCAAGGTCACAGCCACCTACTCCGGCCCGTCCGAGGCCAAGGACTTCTCCGCGCCGCTTCTCACGATGCCAGACGGTCAGGAAGGATCCGCCGAGCTCTCCGACTATCTCCAAGCGGCACGCCGTGAAATCGGCAATCTTCAGGACCAAATCAACACGTTCCTGACGCAGAAGATGGCGGACGAGGCTGCAAAAGGCGTGACGGTCGATGCGAAGGAGGAGGATCTTTATGGGGAGGAGAATGTTGAAGATGAAGGATAGAAGACCTCCAGTGATCGAAGGCAGCGGAGGTCGTGTCACTGTCCCTTCACGTGTCATTTCTTTCTATCAAGGAGCACCACATGTACAAGGAATCGTGCATGGTATTCTCGGTTCTCTACAGCATTATAATCCCCACCGCTGCCCCCGCTCTCCACCCACCCTCGCCGCTGCCGCCCCCGAACAGCCATAATGCACCACCGTATTGTTCGGATACACCCGAATCGCACTGCTGCCAAACCGCTTATGGCAGACACTACACAATCGCTCCTCCTGGATCACCACCCGCCGATTCCGCTCCCCCAACAGCAACCGATCGTCCACCGCGACCTTCTGCACGCCGCGCAACCGCGCCGCCACCCGCTCTTCGTTCGCCAGCGACGTATCCGACCGGATGCGGCCGCGGAAATAAGATTCGAGCTCGTTGACCGGTAGGGAGGAGGGGATGAGGTCGATGGTCGACGCCGCGGGGAGCCGCGCGCCGTGTTTGGAGACCAGCGCGAGGGCGGGGCCAAAGTTGGGTTTGTGCGGCGGGGGAGGGGTGAGGTAGAGGGCAAGGAGGACGTGGTAGATCGATATTTCGGGGTTGTCGGCTTCGGTGCTGGGGATGAGGGGTTTGGAAGGATGGTCGCTGGGATCGGCTTGACGGGAAAGGAAGGTCTGGTTGCAGTATCTGAGGGTGGGTTAGCCAGCGTTGAGGAAGAGATACGGTGGACGACTTACTCCTCAGCTCTGTCGTGGTCTTGCATCTGGAAGACGTAAATCTGGAGGGCCTGCTTATGCTGTCCCATCTTGCTGAGGACTATCGCGCGGCATTCAAAGAATTCCGGATCTGTACACGTCAGAGAAACGAACATTTCTCAACATCAGAATCACACTTACCATCCGTCGGCAAATGTTTGAACACCCGTGCCTTGCTATATTGCGTACTTGTTCTGAGGAACACCTGCAACCGTTCCACCCACTCCGTCCTCTCCTCCTGCGACGCAAATTCCTCCTGGCCCTCCCCATCTTTCGCCTGCAGCCTCTTCAAATACAAATCGATCAGCTGCTGGTGGAACTGGCTGGTTTGGTCGTCCAGCTCATGGATCACATGTTCCAGATACCGCACCGCGAGGCTCGTCGTGATCCCCTTCAAGAACTCCACCACTCGATCTCGCGGAAGCGTCTCGGCGTTCTCTGAATCCGCGAGGAAAACTTCCATCCCGAGCTTTTCGTCCGCACGGATGGGCCATTCCGCAAACTCGAGGATCAAATCGATCATGGATGGCGGGAGCTGCTGCAGATATGCGACAGTGCGGTGCGGCCCTTTGAGCGCCGGGTTGACCGCCTCGTCGGCCTCGTCTTTGCCGAATTTCTCGAGCAGCTCCAACGCCTCGCGATGGAGGCGCTTGCCGTGGAGAAAGTCGATGAGGTCCCCGTACCGTCCGCTCTCGTATAGCTTCTCCTTGACCACGGCGGGATCGCACCAGTTGGGCAGCCGGAATAGCGACCCGGCGAGGCTGGGGCTGGCAAGCATGTACCCGCGGAAGAGAGTCGTATCGACCAAGATCGCCGTCTCGTGAAGCTTGCTTTCGTACTCGGATGGTTCGAGCTGGTCGAATTCAAGGAGTAGGTGACGGAAGGGGGGGCGGCGACTCACGAAATCCGCCGGGGATTCGCCATTTTCGCGCCGCAGCGTGCCGTTCGTGTGTAAATATTTGGTAATTAGTTGGCCGTGAATGCCGACAAGGAAGCGACAGAGTTCCTTTACTGCCACGACGAGGTCCTTGCCTTCGAGGGACTTATCGGTGGGAGATCCTTTGCTCTTGTAAGGAGATTCGCTGGCCATGGATTTGACTGAGCTGGTGTCAGAGGAGTCGGGTTTCCGTTGCAGCCGCCCTAACATGGATTTGTTGGTAGAAGATGACGGTGTTTGACTGGGTACTGCCTTTGCGGCAACTTGGGTCGGCTCCGAACTACCATCAATGGTAACAGACCCCCCATCTGCTTCGTCGCTACCTTCGGGTTCCTCTTCAGCGAGGTCCGCAGCAATAGACTTGGGAAACGGCGCGATCACTCGCTGCGGAGGAGCAGCCGCCTCGCCGAACAGCTCAAATGCTTCGCGGTACTTGCGCCGGTTGAATAGCCCTTGGGCCTTCAGTATTTTAAATTCGCGGATCCGACCCTCCTTATCCTTGAGCAGCGTCTCTTCAAGCATGCCCAGTAGGCTGATGGCCTCGTCATATCGTCCTTGGCTCGCGAGCTCGTCGATTTGGGTGTCGTAGCTGAGCGCGCTCATCCGCCAAATTGTCCGGTCGCTGCTCACGAGGAACCCCTTCCCCGCGTGTGCCAAGCTGATATTCGGTTGCGGTACGTGCAGAGTCGATGCACTGGGAACCTGGACCGACTGTAAGAGGGACAGCGTATCGGGGTTTCGAACCTCCATGATTCCTTTAGAAGGGCTCTGCAGAGCGAGGAGATACGGGTATGAGTAGCCGATGGCTTCGGGTGCGTACGCCCAGGGCACTTGTCGCTTTTCCAGATCTTTCCCGGTTTCGTCGATGAAAAGCGTATTCACATCCTTCGACAACAGTAGCTGCCCTTCCCCAAGCTTCGTCGCCAGAGGCTTGGGCACCCAGCTACTCATTGTCATATAGCCCATTCCAGAAGAGCTGATGCCGCCAAACCGCACACCCTCTTGTACTTCACCGGTCGCGAGCGCATTGCTTCCCTTGATAATATCCAGGATTTCCATCGACTCGACATTAATCAACACGAACCCCGCATCCATACCCGCAATCATCTTTGACCCTGTCGCCCACGTCAAGCTCTTGATCGCATTCCTTAGCGTTATCTCCACCACCTCTGCTTCAAGTTCCATGTCCTGCCATATCCAGACCAATAGCTGCCTCTTTACCGCTACCGCGAGCTTCGACACGATGCTTGGAATTCCCGTGTTTGGATCCTTGACAATGTTCGATGTCACCGCGAAGCAGCTGGCGCCTTTGGTGCGCTCTAGCCGCTCGGAAAGCGTGTATGTCTGGAGGTCGTAGATGGAGACGTAGCTCTCCGAGAGGGAGACTAGGATGTTCGCCTCTTTGATGATCGCGAGCTGTTGCACGGGCTTGCGGGAGAATTTCTCTTCCTCGCGAAGGAGATCGACGGCTCGAGGAGTTGGATGAGCAGTATCCGGCTCGTTGGCTTCGGAGTTCGTGGTGGTAGGGACATTCTCGGGACCGGCATCATTAACGCGGTAGATGCGGAGACAGCCTGTATTTAGGCCGACAAGGAGGCGGTCACCTTCAGATGGTTAGTTAGAGCTAGCATATCCAAAGCATAATCCGAACCATAGGTTAATATCGATTCGATTTTGGACTTATCGCGCTGCTTGAGCTCGACAATCGGTCGAGCTGTGAATGCATTGAGCATGGTGGAAGGTGGGGATGTCGCATGGCAATGTCATGTATCCTCCATTATTCATGGACGCAGATTCCGATTATTCCAGCAGCGAGCATCATTTATATCGTACAGTTTCGATTTATGAGGATCGTGAGTTACAATTATGAAGAGTGAACCGTGACGTCCGAATCCCCGGAGTGAACCACGGCTGGAGCTCCATGTCCTCCACCCTTGGCCCTTGCAGTTCCCTCTCCACACAAACGACAGCGACATCGTACAGCATCGTACAGTCCAATACCTATCAGCACCAACCCATTATCTTACACCAATGTTCCAACCCGGTCCATTTCAAAACAGCATGCTCCGTATCATCAACGTCGACCCTCTTGTGGCTGACCAAAATGAAGATCATCGGCTAGGGACCATGACCTTCTCATCTATGATCTAGGACTTGGATCTGGCGGTCTTCGGGACCCAAACCAAATCCACATGGAACCTCGACACATCCCCAGTGCGCAGGGCCTCCTCCAGAGCCACCACCTGATCCGCTGGCAACGGGTGCGCCCCGACCTTGAACGCCGTTTTCCAATCCGGCTTTTGGTACTTGTCGCGATGCATCAGTCGCATATGCGTAGCCATCCCGTTACAGCCTCGGAAATGTCGGAGAGCACCATTCAACCTTGCACAGTGTCCGGCGTTGGCTCCGCATTCCGGACAACGAACCTCGTAGTAGACGCCATCTTCCTTGACAATGCATGGCCAGTCCTCGAGGTATTCCGGGGCAGTACGAGCTTTTTCGCCAAGAAGCTCAGGGGAGGCTCTCGATGATGGGGCCGCAGATGACAGGTCCCCGGATGAGGGGGCTCTAGAAGAAGGGGCTCTCGAAGAGGTGCTGGCGCTCCCACTGGATTCAGACCATGGAGCAACGTGCTCGAAGATTACGCCAGATCCATCGTTCTGGGGGAGGTTGAACGTATGCCCAGAGGAAGAAGATCGGTCGGTCAGGGCCGCATTTGAAGCGAGATCATTGTGATCGATATTGTTGTGGTCCAGATGGGTTCCCACGGTAGACTCCCGATCACCGTACTGGTAAACATCGGTGCCAGATTGAATAGCCATGGACAAGGCTCCCATCTCAGCGCGAAGTATGTCCTGTTATTGTATCACCGGTCAGTGGCTTTTCACCGCAAGTATATGTCTTACATACCTCGAGTTCTGCCATCTGTTCCACCGTCTGCTGGGCTCTCTCCCTCTTCACTCTTGCCACTCGCTCTTCCTCGGCGTATCGACTGATCTCACTCAGGGCCAACAATCTCGCCTCAACTGCGGCCTGGAGCTGTCCTTGCACGCGTCGGTGGCCTTCCATCCGGCTTACATCGTGAGATGCCATCGTTGATGCAGTTGATGTTTTCAGGTTTCTTTTTCTGCCGCGAAATCAGAAGTCAGCACCTAGACGTGGCTTTCTATGGCTAGAGGTAAACACCTCAGACTTGTTGCTGGTTTGTATTTGTGAGTCCCTTTAGTCTTGTAAAATTCAGTCCTGGGATGACTTTGGGTTCCGGTGCTGAAAAACGACTGAGCGACTTCGAGATGAAAGAGAGGAGTGCTAAATACTCACTGGACAAAGTAAGGTCCTTGATGAAGGTCCATGGAAAGGTTCCACCTTGCATTCATGGGGTGAATACTTGGTGAGATGCGGAAGTTGACTGTGGGAAAGGAATCAACAAAACGGGAAGAGGAGGAAAAGGGAGTCAACAAAACAGGAGGAGGAAAGGGAGTCAACAAAACTGGAAGAGGAAAAGGGAGTCAACAAAACAGGAAGAGGAGGAAAAGGCAGTCAGCAAAACTGGAAGAAGTAAACAAAACTCGGCAAGGCTTTATATCAGAGGGATGGTGATAAGGCCAATACAGACTGATGCCCAGGTGTTGAGTTTTGAGTAATAACACAGATCGCTGTGTCCCACGGCGATCGAGCGACACATGCCGACGAGATGATCGTCCTATGAAGTAGCTATCAGTAGTCGGCCGCTTGAGTGGTCTTACTCTGTTGTTTATACGTTGAAGAATATTACGGTGTGGTCTTGGACTGGCGGAATGATAGTTACATGATCTTTAACTATAAGGTAGACTCCAATTCCCGGAATAACGACGATTAGAAAGCATATAATGCTTAGGCACGGCAAGATACCTAGGTGGTCTCGATGACCTTGATCACATCATAGTAATTGTTTAGTATTAAATCCATATCTACATCGCTCATAGCTCGTGTTCCCACTCCCTCGTCGTGCAACTGACAAGCTAACGAATACCAGAACATGAACTGGACGTCCTACTGCCCTCTATCAGTACTTACTAGTATAGCTCACCTCCACCTTAAACTTCGACCTCTCCCCCGTCCTCAGCGCCTCCCACAGCGCCTTCATCGTCTCCACCGACAACGGCGTCCCTGTGATCATTACCACATGCTTCATATTCATGTACTCAAACTTATTGGCACGCATCTTCCTTAAGTACGTCGCCATGCCCACGCACCATTTTATATACCGAATCATCTCGCCGTTGAAATAGCGCGCGTTGACTTGACATTCAGGGCAGCGCAGTTCCTGGTAGAGGTCTTTGGTGATGATGGTAGGGGGATAGTCGAGGACATATTCGGGGTCGTAGCAGCCTTTGACTTTGACGGAGCTGTTCATGTAGGATAGCCCGGTGCCGCAGCGCATGGTGATCTGCTGCGGAGGGGACGCCGCTTGGGTGTCCACCGGCGGCGTCTCCGGCGACGATGGGGGTAGGTCGCCGCTCTAGATGGTGGTCGCTTGAAGAGTGGATGATGGGTCGACTGCGGTTGTCGATTTTCCATGATCTCCATGGTGATCGGCTAAAACAAAGAGGGCGGAGTCGACTTTAGTTCTCGATTATGGATGATCTCGATCTCAGTGTCCATGTCCAAATCGTCTATCTCGGCACGGATCCTCTCCTATGGTAGCCAGTCAGTTTACCGTAGCCGTGCTCGAGGACGGGGGATATTCCTACTTCGCCCTGTGCCATCCGGTCCGCCTTACGCTGCGCACGTTCTTTCCTCCTCTTCGCGTCCGTCTCTCCTTTGGCGAACTGATCCACCTCCACCAGGGCGCACTGCTTCAGCCGGATGGTATAGTGGAGCTTCTCGAGGAGCGCTTGCTCGACTCCCTCCGACTTGAATCGGGGCGTGACATTATGAATACGTAACTCTGATCGGCAAATTGGATCAAAAATAGACGGCCGAGGGAAATATACGCTGAGAATACGGGTGTGGACGCGAACTAAATCGAGCTAGATGCGGGAAGGAACTGAGCAAGACGGTAGATGATGAGCAGGGGGATGAGGTTGTGGAGATAGCCTCACATTGAGGAAACAAACCTGAGGCAGAGTAGAAGGGATCTCCGCTTCTGAGCACATGCCTAGCATACGCTATAAGAGTGCCCACCAGTGTCGCTATGACGAAACGGATCACAATCAGGGTCTCAGGGGCTCCCAAATGAAGCTTAATATGTCCATTAGTCCATCACTATCCCACAGTTACGCGAGTACATAGCATACAGTGAATCAGGCTGTGCGTTAGATATAGCTAACCTTGACCCCCATCCCGACGGTCTGGCGGAGTCGCTGCCACGCGTTCGACACAATCCGCTTCACCCGCTCCCGAATCTCCCGATTGCCAACGGCCAGCGCGAACGCCAACAGGAGCAGTAAGGTCTGCAGCAGAGCCAGCGGTCGGGCTCGTAGTCCTTGCGCGGTGTTGAGGAGAAGCGTCTGGAGCGCACCAAACATGGCGCCGAATCGCTTATAGAGACTCGGTGGTGCCTTCCTCGGTCTTCGCGCCGGTCGATCTTCCCTTGCGGCACCCGATGATCTTGATATTGGATTGGGTCTGCTCTCCGGCCTGACCGCGTCCGGCTGCACGGGCGCTCGTCGTCTCTTCTCATCCTGCCGCCGTCGCTGCTCGTCCTTCTCCAGCTGCTGCAGCCGCTTTCTCTCCTCGTCGGCCTCCTTCTCGGTTTCGCGGCGACGGGCTTCCATCTCTTCTTCCCGGGATTGCTCGAGCTCGCGCTCCCGTTCCTCGGCTTGCTCCCGTTCTTCCTTGAGGGAGTGGAGCGCCGCGAGGAAGGCTTCCTTGCGTTCGTCGTCGAGGACCTCGCTCATCATGATGAATTCGCGGGAATACTCCCATTCGCCGTTGCGCGGGAGGACGTGGAGGGTGTACAGTTCGAGCAACTTTAACCGGGTGTTGAGGTCTCGGGGCGTCGATGTGCCTCCGCCGGGGGTTGGGGGAGAGTATCGCTTGGGGATGTGGTGGAGGCCCTGTGACGAGGATAATCGGGAGGTGATGTCGAAGGTGGGATTTGCTGTTGCGGAGAGATATGTCTCCAACCGTTGTTGGTTGAGGGTCTGAGCCGGGCAATGTGTCAAGAGAAGGGTCGCACTGCAGAAGGGTCAGTCAAACGCCGCATATGAGTACAGTTCGGGGGCATTACAGATTGATGACCACATCCGGATCAACATCGCTTTCACTTCCCCCATATCCATTCTGCACCACCTCTTCCCATACGCTGCCATCTCGCGCCTTGGCGACCAATGCGCGCCATTTGCTACTGCCGAACGCATGCTTCCCCTCCTCGTGTCCCAGCTCCACGACCGCATTGAGGAAGGTCAGATAGAAGCTCCATACTTTGATACGAGTCCCACGCGAGGCCGACGCAATGGGAGCCACCGCCCTCGGCTTCTGCGAGTCCTCATGTGTATCGAACGGGACATCGGCCGAGCCCTCGGGAAGCTGAGGTGTGATGACGGGTTCGATGGTCGACAACGCTTCCGGCAGACGTCGAGTCAGGAACAGCTGAGCGGCTTGGCGATAGGTCTTCGCGATCTGCGACTGCTGATGTCGGGAGGAGGAGAGGGAGCCGACGGAGGTGGAGAGCATACGGGAGGACGACAGGTCGTCAGCGGGAGGGTAGTGGTTCGCGTATCCAGGCATGGCGCCGTTTGATGCAGTGGGAGAGGAATCAATCTCGGAGGTCATTGTCAGTGTACGCGAGCATTATCCCGGATCCATGTTATAGGCCGATGGTGGTGAGTTGGTCTTTACTCCTTTGTCGGCATTCCGAAGTGAAGGTGTTGGACGCGGAGGAATGAGGATTCGCGGGAGGTGTGCATGGAGGTGGAGGTGGAAGTGGAGTGGCAGGTGCAGTGAACGTGGTTGCCGCCAGTGGTGCAGCGGTCCAGTGACATCGGATCTTACGGGAGGAAGGAATCACCGAACCACAAGCCGAGGCAATCCATCGCCTCCCGTCTCACAAGCCTCAGGTCCCGAAGGGTTCAAGGGAAACGTACTCTGACGTCCACTGCACATGCATTTGCTCATCCTAGACCTTTTCAATTGAATGATTATTTCTTATAACCAGTCAGACATTTCCAGAGTTCAGAGTTGTTGAGAAATTCTAGACATAATCGACATGGCATTCTCCAAGAAAGACGCCGCCGGTATTCCGTCATGGCAGCGTGCCCAACCTGGGCATTCCGATGGTGAAGCAGCTGTGGCATCTTCACCAAAGGGCGATTCTCCGGAAAAGAAAACTGCAGAAGTTGCAGTTGGGGATGTGGATGCCGCATCCGCCGAAGCCAGTCTCCGGGACCAAGCTACGAAGTTCCTGCAGGACCCAAGTATCCAGGATGCATCGCGAGAGCGGAAGGTGGCTTTCCTGGAGTCGAAGGGGATTCCGCGGTCCGATGCAGAGACGTTATTGGGTCCAGAGGTTCAATCTGTGGAAGAGGTCGTGAAAGAGGCAGATAATCAGGTTAGTGCTCGTAGTATCTATTTTCAACGTCGTTTATCCTAACACGCTCCAGCCCTCGGCGCCGGCTGCGAAGATACAGACACCGGTTGCGAAGGTAGAGACGCCGGCTGTGAAACAATCGACCAAAGATATCCCTCCCATCATCACATATCCCGAATTCCTTACGCATTCGGCCAAGAAGCCTCCTCTAATCACTGCCAACTTGCTGTGGAACATTCTATATGCCTCCGGCACCACCGCCGCAGTCATATACGGCGCGTCGAAGTTCTTGGTCGAGCCGCTGGTGGAGAGCCTCTCCGAGACGCGACATGACTTCTTCAACCATACCCAGGAACATCTGACGACTCTGAACGACCGGTTGACCGACACTGTATCCACAGTACCGGCTATGCCCCTAACGCTCAAAGACCAAGTCAACCAGCTGGTCGAGGCGGATCAACTATCGGATTCCTCCAGCGATTCGGACCCCACCGAGCTGTTTCACCGGGATATTGGAGTTCAGACATCGCCGGCGCTGTCCCGTCGCGGCTCGGTTGGCCCCGACAGCCTAAGCGGTCTTCCCGAAGCAGCACGGGATGCTGTTACGGATCAGGAGGCCAAGTTGCAGTCGATATCGGACCGTCTCCAGCAGATGATCGAGTCGGCCAAGACGTCCAAATCCAGCAACGACGCGATGGACGAGCAGGTCCGGGACTTGAGTAGCTACCTGACTGGGATCACGTATTCCAGCCCCTACTACGGCATGAGCGGCCTGAACACCTTCAACTACTCCATGAACTCCACCGCAGGATCGGGGACGGGCAAGATCGATGCGGTCGACGCGGTGAAGGCGGATATACGTGGCGTCAAAGGCGTGCTACTGAGTTCACGCAATTTCCCATCCGCAAGAGCCGCTGTGCGATAAATTGGGTCGTCACTACGTATCATCAAGATCCGGATCGACCTTCGTCCCTAAATCCCGATCCTCCAGGAATGTTCGGCCCCGGATCGCCTCGGGTAAGTACTCCTGCTTCACCCTGCCATCCTCATAATCCGGGTTGTACTTATACCCCACCCCGACCCCCATCTCCTTCAGCAGCTTGCTGACCCCCATCCGCAGATGCGCCGGCACCTCCATCCCCACCCCATCCGACCCCACCTCCTCCACCATCGCCATCGCCGCCCCCAGCCCCCGATACACTCTCGTGCTCTTCGGCGCACGCGCCAACGCCACCACCGCGTGCGCAAGATTAATTCTCGCCTCCGGCATCCCGACCTTCTCCACCGCCGCGTGCGCCGCCGTGGCTAGCGGCAGCATCGAGGCGTCGGCAAGCCCGACGTCCTCCGACGCGACGACGATCAGCCGACGGGCGATGAAGAGCGGGTCGTCGCCGGCGTGGAGCATACGCGCGAGGTAGAACAGCGCGGCGTCAGGGTCGGAGCCACGGATGGATTTGTGGAGGGCGGAGATGGTGTCGTAGTGCGAGTCGCCCGCGCGGTCATAGAGGACGGTTTTGGTGAGGGATTGCTGGAGGGTGGCACGGGTGACGGTCGGTTGTTTGGCGAGAGATAGGGCCAGCTCAAGGAGGTTGAGGCCGGTGCGGGCGTCTCCGCATGCGAAGCGGGCGATGTAGGTTAGCATTTCTTCGTCTAGGAGGGCAGCGCTTGTGCCGTCCGGGTCTTCCTGCGCCATCGCTCGATGCAAGATGGAAAGGATATCCGTTTCCGAGAGTTTCGAAAGCGTAAATACGCGACATCGGGATAGCAACGCATTAATCACTTTAAAAGACGGATTCTCCGTCGTCGCTCCGATCAACGTAATTTGCCCTATTCCAATCAGCCCCATCCACCCACACATCCTCCACACCACGACTTACCTGCCTCCACCGGCCCCAAAAACACATCCTGCTGCGCCTTCGTAAACCGATGAATCTCATCGCAAAACAGCACCGTCCGCCGCCCCGTCATCGCCAGCTCCCCTCGCGCCTCCGCGAAAATCCGCTTGCACTCCCCCACCCCCGAGCTCGTGCTGTGGATCTCCACGCACCGGCCGCCCACCCCCGCCGCCACCAGCCGCGCGATCGTCGTCTTGCCTGTCCCTGGCGTGCCCCAGAGGATCATCGACGGGACTTTACCTTCCTCGAGGAGACTGGGGAGGATGCCGTGCGGGCTGACGAGGTCTTGGCCGGCGACGTCGGAGAGGGTGCGCGGGCGCATGCGGTCGGCGAGTGGGGCGACGCGGTCGAGATTGGAGAGTTTAGAGCGCTTGGTGGCCGTTTCGGAGGGAGAGGGTTGGGAGGGGGCGGCGGCATCGTCGAGCTTGCGTTTCGTGCCGTTGGGGGGACCTTGCGGGCCGGTGTCTGTCGACGGGACGCCGTTTGTGGGTGGAGGACTTTTGCGAGGCGGCTTTGCAGACGCCGGAGTGAAGAAGGTCGATACGGGGGTTCCGGCGGGCTTGGGGGGCCCGTCGTCGGATGGGTCGTAGATGAAGTCGGCGCAGTCGGAGTCGAGGTGGGCGTTGATGTCCTTTTCGCGGACGGGATGACCACATATCGGACAACCTACCATTATGAATTCGGTGAACCAAGACTAAGGACTCCGGGTATACAAAATTCAAAGCAGCAATATTAGGTAGTGGACGAGAAATAGGTGCAGGGTGGGCGGCGATGGTGATCTTGGAACCATTCTGTCGGATACCTGCATCTCGCGCCTTGCGCGCGAATCCCTGGAGTGTAAATCCAGGACTGGACGCGACGCGACCGAGAAGCGCCATCGGTTCCTGGAGCCGACTGGAGCCAATGCGGGAGTTCGGAGTTCGGCAATACCGGCACCAGCAGAGCAGAGGCTGGGTGGCTGGGGCAGGAGATCATCACATGCATTCATATTTCCGTGTTGTAACTTGTAAGGAGTACGTAGTAACGTTGTGCTACCGAAATTGGCTCCAACAACGGGGGATTCTAAAGCCGTTTTCAGAGGGCTTTCCGCTTAGGCGAAACGCTCTCACTTCGTTACTGGCGATATTACTCCAAAGCACTCTGACGTAGTGCCAACCGACGGCCTTGCACGGGTCGGACCCTTGCTCCATCGTCCATACCTACGGGAACGCAGTCTTTCCCAGGACATTTAGGGGTTCTGATTTTGGACTTTAATTCTCTCAGTCTTCAGTTCTCTGACCTTCGAATTTCAATGCCTCCACGCTATTTTCAGAAGCATGATGCTGTTAATCGCTACGGCTCCATAGTGGAGCCACCGTCCATCTTTGAATTGAATTTTAAGACTAACTAGATATATCTTCTTCTAACTAGAGCTCGCCTTGTATCATAAGCCAACTCAGTCATTCATGTTCAAATATATTTCGATTACATCGGAGACAGGGGCGCTGCGATTCGCGTAAGGACATGGGCCAGGAGGGCTCTTCTGATTCATCAAAGGAGCAAATGTTTCCGCTTAGGTTTGGGCTCCATGGGGCATATCGATGGACCGGAAGCGATGCGATATTTATCACTCAAAAAAGGACAAGTCCAACGAACCCGAGGGTCTTCTGTTGAACAGATATGATTGCATATGAATAATGTGTCGGCGCCATGTGCTCCTTTGCATAATAAGCAACAATCATCCCCCTTAGGACCTCGCCCGAAACTAAGTTGTGCCATACTCCTTCCACGGTTAGTATCTTAAAAACCGCTTTCATGACCAGAATAACAGAGGACTAGCCAGGTCAAAACACTCTAGTGGTCGGTAGTAACTTCCAACTGTCGGTCAAGAGTTATCTGCATTGACAGTGTTGCTATAAAAAGCGTCCGCAAGAGGGGGCCAAGGCTGCGGAAGACGGGGAACTAAATGATCAGAACTCAAGGGTTCGAACCAGAGGTACCAGAGGCCGCTACGGAGGGCCCGGCAGTCGGAGCAGTCGGAGCAGTCGGGGCAGTCGGAGCAGATGGAGCAGATGGAGCGGTCGGGGCGGTCGGAACAGTCATCGCGCCAGGCGTTTGAGCAACGGCTGAGGGCTGAAGCTGAAGGACACCGGGATTGATAGTCGCCTGGTGCGCTGCTCCATTATGGAGCAATATTCCAAGAGCATGGAGTCGTGAAGCATTTGCAGCTCCTCCCATATGCACTTGCCAGCCGAGCCAGGGAAGATTGCTAGGGGGTCGCGAGTAGCCAAGCGCACAATCAAAGCGACCGATAATAGAGGGCGGTTCAGGATAAGCTCGATGACGCTGCGCAGTCGCTGCAACAGGAGGAGGCACAGCAGCTGTGTTGTTCAAGTTGTGGTCCGCATTGCTGCCCGGGAGCACGAACTCAGCGCCGTTCCAGACGAATCCATTAAAGATCTGGCCAATGTGCAAGTTCGCCACACTCCCAGCAGCGACATTGCCGTTGGCTGCAGGAGGAACAGCAGATTGTCCGTTGGAGCTGAAGGTACAGGCGTTGTTGCCATTGGACGCAAACGAAGCCGGGTCAGAACCAGTTGATGAGACATCTGCTTCGATTCTGAGCGCATTCTTGACTAGGTGATTGCTCTTCGCGTTCTTCTTAGGCTTGGACGTCATGGTCAAGTTGCCACTATTCACGCTGCTCTCATCTGTGGCGTTGAGTAAGTGACTGCTTGCTTTAAATAGAAAGAGTGGCTTACCTATCACTGAGTCCTCCAAGTCAGTGTAGCCAGAGTCACGGTAGTACTTGATAACATCGTGGGCAGACATTGTGGTTGACTTGATGGATTCATCAAAGTCATTGAGGTCGGGCTCCACGACGCGGATGAGTTTGTGGTCTTCATTCACCTTGCAGATTTCCCAACCCATCATCTCTAGGTAGTCGTCGGGGTGGATGATCCCAATGATAGGAGCAACCAATTCCATGAATTCGGTGAGATTTGCATTCTGCTTCCCAACTTTGTCACGGATAATCGAGTAAGACTTCCCGACAATGGCCCACTTGGCTTGGAAGAGCTCATTGCTCCACATCTGACGAAGGAAGCTAGAGCGCTCTTTCTGAGGCACTCCATCAAATATGGTGCAATAGAAGGCTTTCATTTATGGTTAGCGATAATTCAAAACGAGAGTCAGAGTCGATGTACATCGAAAAGCCAACCAAGAATTCATGGGCCGTTTGGCAACCTGATCATCCATCGCTGCAGACGGCATTTCGGTAACAAAGCAAGAAATCGATTGAGGAAGAGTTGAGAGTTTGGTGATGGTAGGCTTTCGGGTTCCCCTGAAAGTCACAGCTATGCCTGGAGTAACCTATGTGAGTTAGTGTGTCAACTTTCAGTGGAGATGAGAAAAGACAAACCTCTTGGAATGAGACTTTGTGGTACCACAATTGAATTAACTTAGGAAGCCTTCTCCAGATGATGTTAACTTGTTAGAGGCGAGCGGACGTGGTATGGAATTTTGAGGTGACCGTGGGCAACGGATGAAGGTGGAGGACTGGAAGTGGTGGAGAGGAGAGAGCCGAAGCGAAAGGGAAGAAAGGGAAGAAAGGGAAGAAAAGGAAGAAAAGGAGATAATGCTCAATTCACCCAGCAAGAACAAGGTTGCCTAGGGGAGTGAGTGGTTGCCTGGGGGAGTGAATGGAAAACCAATAATAGAAGAAGTAAGTATTGAAAGCGGGAGTATGAGTGAAAGTAAGTAAGAAGTGATCTGAATCGCAGATTTATGTAGAGGGGTGACAGCAATTCACACGCGGAAAATCGAGTTCATGTGACCAGAGCTTCCATACGATACCCAGTATGTGTTTTAGTGTTTATGATCTTTGCTATCACTCAAGCTTCGACACATGATAACACACCGTTGCTCTAACCATTTGGGTGTAGCGAGTCGAACGCGAGCATCCGCCATGATCCTTATGTAGATACCCGTGAACGACTGGAAATTGGATTCGTCGAACTAAATCAGATGACAGAGAATTTCCAAGCCCATGTGAACCCCCTAAAACACCACAGAACAGCCAGCTCCAGATTATCAGGGCTGGTAGCGAGTGATCAACTGGGCCATTTGCAAGGCGCCTTGTACTATAGGGGTTTGAATGAATCTATACGTGCAAAAGACGAAGCTGGATTTGCAAACCATTAAGCCGATTGAGTACACTAACTCACTAAGAATTGATACTGTACGACAACCATAGTACAAGGACGGGAGCGAGACGGGGATTTTGATACTGCACAAAAGGAAGTTTTGAAGGAAAGCTCAAATAAGTGGTGGGTCCCTCGTGTGCAACTGATCTGCACGACCCATGGCTGACCCGGCTCGGTCCGCCGGAACTAGAGCCCCCTACCCTGTAAACGGAATTTACTGTGTACACGAATTGCGAGATTGCCTAAGCGAAAGAAAACAGAGAGTTCACCTTTACCGGTAGCAAAACGAGTCCCAGCTTCGATTTATCCGGAGTTGGAGAAGAAAGCGATACAAACCCGGGTAAGATCGCGTGGCTTATCGCGAACCTCAAGCAGAAGGGCAATTGGACCCATGGCCCTTCGAGGCGGTTCGAGCATGCATGGATGAGTTGCGTGCGGGAGCGTATCCGGGAGCGGTCACACTGCAAAGCCTTCATGGATCAAAATGCTTCGCCGTCATCGTCGCCGTCAATGTTGCCGGTATCGCCGAATTTACCAGGCTCAGCCTCACTGGATCCTTTGAAAGGTGTTGGGCTGCGCCTCGAAACTTTTCGTATGAATAGCAGGGTCCAAGGGCCCGAGGCTGGCGTCTTCAATTCCAAGTATTCAAGCCAGAAACCGACTGGCGGATAGTTGTCCACTCCAAATTCCTATTCAATCATAGAATGCCCATGCCAGTGTCCGTATAAAACCACCGTCGATTCGAATAAGATAAAGGGATCAGGCGATCACGTTCATCATTATGCGATCATGATCATGCGGTGCACGGGGAGATGTGGCCGAGCATCAAGGTTAGCCGGTTCGAGAAGGTGCGCCTCCTGTCTATGATTGGTGTAACTTGATTGATGATGCGGTCTGAGACGAAAGCGACGAAAGATCCGGAATAGTCGAGGCTCGAAGGTGTGTGTATAATGCATAAAGTAACGAGTAGGGGAGAGGGAGGGCGGTGGCTATAATCTATGGCATAAGCTCAGACCTCGGAGGAAAAGGATAGAGAGAAGCGAGTACGTTAAAATGAGTGGGGAAAGGGTCGACGGATTAAGCCTATCGAGTTTGACGTTCGAAAAGCCATGGAAACAAGAATGTAGAAGCGATTGTGACGCGCTAACCACTACGCTAAAAGGACACCAACATGACTAAACCAAAGTCGGTGTTGATTGAGGTAATTCAGTATATAAAGGTCCTCTGTCGAGGTAGCTCACGAGTGCCGTAGCCAACTCGTGACAGCGATGGGATAGGCCTTAGGAGACGGGGACGCCGAGTAAGGGATGCGCTCTAGGGACACAGATCGTGATGGTACTGTTAGGTTAAGCGAGGAGCTCCGATAATCTGTGAGGAAATGTAACATCAAAGGGGGAAGAAAAACCGCATATATACTCACTATCTAGAGGGTGCTATGAGGAGTGAGTGGTCAAGTATGGAATAGAATAGGAGGGAGGGTAATCTTGCGTAGGGCGCAGTGCAGGTCGGCAGGTGATTCAGCTGGTAAAAATGATGCAAGCAAGGGCCCGATTAGTAGGCAGGGCGAAGCAAGAAGAAAAGGAAACCGAAAGGTAGAGGCAGAAGAGGGTTATCAAGAGATTAGGAGGTAGGTAGTAGTATTTATATTTCGAGGATTTGAAGATTTAGAAATGGGAGAGCGCTATGCCTGATATGGCGCGCTATACCGTATAGGGAAATTCAGTAGCACACAGAGTACGAAGTGCATCCCATATGTAACGAGGTTCCCCGGGGTTATCGGTCCTATCAGGTAGATATCAGTACTTGATGACTACTGTACCGATTCGGAGAAATGCTAATTGAGCGAGCTCATGGTTTTCTTATTTAACATTTACTTAAGGGTTAAGACCCCTGGACTGTTGACTCATCATCTGTTGCGCTGATTTGGCGTCAGCACGTCATCTTATCATCTCGGTTGAATTATAGACTTAGAATTATACCCGAACCTCACCGTCGTACAGCAGTCGTCACCACTCATTTATCAGAGCTTGACATTCATCTTTTCATACCTTTTGCCTCGCTTATCAATTCCGGTTCATGCTCCCCCATCCACACTTGACCAAATCCACACCCCAGTCGTAATCCGTAACCACCCCGATATCGGGAGAGCCCAGAACCATCACCAGTTGATTCGATGCGACTGCGCTCAACCCGTCCCTTCAACCCTCTCCGACAGCCAGCACGCTCGAGCAACATCCGACCGTATCGATATTCCAGCTTCTTCACCACCATGCCGCGGTCCGACCCGTTCAAACCCGCTGCCCGCGTCGCGAACCAACCTCAGGATGTCTGGTGAGTCGACCGATCCCCCTGGAGGCTCGACGCTGATCATGCAGGTCCATAATCAATGAAGCGGCGGCGGCGTCGCCGGTGCAGCCGATTGTCAATATGGGACAGGGGTTTTTCGGGTATAACCCGCCGCAGTTCGTGCTCAATGCTGCCAAAGAGGCGCTGGATAAGGTCGAGTGTAATCAGTATTCTCCGACGAAGGTATATTGCCTTGCATCGTAGCAGTCGTGAGCGCGGCTGATTGAGATGTCAAAGGGGCGTCCAAGGTTAAAGAAGGCGATTGCGAAAGCGTATTCGCCATTCTTTGGCCGTGAGTTGGATCCTGAGAAGGAGGTCACCATCACCACTGGCGCAAATGAAGGTAGGAATCTTACTCCCATCATGAATTTCTCTAACTGGTACGACGTTAGGTATGCTTAGCGCTTTTATGGGGTTCTTGGAAAGCGGGGATGAGGTGATTGTCTTTGAACCGTTCTTTGACCAGTAAGTTCCCCTTGTGATGTGGCATTTCGGTCTCTCATCCACGATACAGGTATGTCAGCAACATCGAGATGCCTGGAGGGAAAGTGGTCTACGTTCCCATGCACCCGCCGGCTCGGGGAGCATCTGAAACCACTTCCGCTGGAGACTGGACAGTCGACATAAAAGCGTTCGAAGCAGCCATCACTCCACGAACGCGGATGGTCGTGATCAACACCCCGCACAACCCCATCGGCAAAGTCTTCTCCCGGGACGAACTGCTCGCGATTGGCAACCTCTGCGTGGAGCACAACATCATCATCCTCTCCGACGAAGTCTACGACAAGCTCTACTACGTCCCGTTCACGCGGATCGCCACCCTCTCCCCGGAAATCAACAGGCTCACGCTCACAGTGGGGTCCGGCGGGAAGCTGTTCTACGCCACCGGCTGGCGCGTGGGCTGGTTGATCGGCCAGGAGCATCTGATCAAGTACGTCAGTGCGGCGCACACGCGCATCTGCTACAGCAGCGTCAGCCCCCTTCAGGAAGCCACAGCCATCGGGTTCGAGGAGGCCGAGGGGCACAATTTCTGGGAGGAGTCCAAGAAGGAGATGAAGGGGAAGATGGACCGCTTCAACGCCATCTGGGACGAATTAGGGTTGCCCTACTCGGACCCAGAAGGAGGGTATTTCGGTATGTTTGCTACCTCCCTTGTCTACTGCATGAGCCTATACGCTAACCCACCCAATTAGTGCTGGTGAACATGGCCAAAGTGAAGCTTCCAGAAGACTACGTGTTCCCGCCGCATGTGGCGAGCCGGCCGCGCGATTTCAAACTGGCTTGGTTCCTCATCGTGGAACTGGGGGTGGCCGCCATCCCGCCGACGGAGTTCTTTACGCCGCAGAACGCGCACATAGTGGAGGATTGGCTGCGGTTTGCGGTGTGCAAAGACGACGAGATATTGGAGAGGGCGCATGAGCGGCTGCGGGGCCTGAAGAAGTACATTCAGTGATAGTGATCGAGGGTCATGGTCGGTGGCAGGTGTTTGGGGACGGAAATTGGATAGAGTAGAGTCTAAGATTGGCAGGATTATACATCATAGATGGCAGTGAACTCGGTGTCTATCATATTATCAGATCATCAACCAGAATCGAGCATATGGAGGCAGGTATATCATCCTGATTGAAGAGCGTGAATGCCTCCAACTCTCTATCCCAGCGAGCTTCCATGTCCTGCCCATCTGTACAGGGGTACTGTCGCCTCGTTGCCTAATCTGGTGATTAATTAGCCTTTCTGTGTTCGCAGTCCCTGCAGTGCACGTGACTCCTGCATGTGATCTGACATATTGATGCAATGATGCATTGATGCCAGATGCCGTCTGATGCCTAGATTGACCCCCGCACGGACCCAACAAAGTGACGCGTGGAAAACTAGTTGGAGCGACCAGACGCGGAGGGACCATTTTCAGCCGAGTTTTGGGGGAGGCTTTTTTTGTAACGGTGGAGGGGTTCAGTTGTCAGGCAGCGAAGCCCAGGCCCTCAGGCACCCACCATGTCCAGTTTCACTTGATTCTGTTGATTGATTCACTAGATCTGAACCAAGACCCGAAGTGATTTGTGAATGATGAATAAGACTATGGCTTTCAGTTGAACGTCCATGTCAGGTTCAGGTTGTTCCAATAAAATCTATTTATCAATTCTTCCCACTATTCCATCCATCCTGCAGCTCTGCTAGTTAGCTCCCTCTAGCATCATCGCCTTGCCGAACTTCGTCTCTCCTCTTTCATCCCCTGGACCTCTTCCATCCTGCCTTTTCTTTCTCTCCCCGATTTGGTCTTCTTCTGGTAGTTTCGGGGCCGCGGTTGACCTTGTGTGCGTGTGGGTTGTTGGTGTTTGTCGCTGAGAAGGGCTTAGAAAAGGCCAAAAAGGCTGCAGCCTACCACCATTCACGGTCTGCGCTCTGCCTCAAGCCACCCCATACCTCACGCTGCTCTCCAACTTCAACCGCCCCAAACACACAACACAATAATTCTATGCACTTTTTTTTCTTGACAGGATTGATCCGACTCCATCATTCACTTCCTACGCCTTTTCCCGCCATGGCTCTCAATCTTTGATTGCAACCCATTTCCCTCCCCACTCGTGCCGTGCCCCGCGTTGCACGTCGGAGCATCCCACATTCACTTGAGGCCTACCTACTACTATGGACGGATCCAGCGTGGCAGATTTTGAAATACCTCCAGTTCCTCCGGCTCCCAGCTCGGAGCCTTCGTTACCGCGACGGGATTCCTACGAAGATGCCAATTCATCACTAACCAGAAAGCGACCCAGATTGGATAGTGGGGGTCAGCGTGCAAGGAGCATGTCCGCAGACCCCGTGTCCATCGCCATGGACGATCAAGGAGAGAAAATTCAACCCCATCAACCGGAAGAGAAGAGAGTGCCCGAGCCAGCATCTGAAGAAGTCACCATGTCCCCGCCGTTGGCAAATCAGGTCACCATGACCGTTCGCACCCAACAAGGCTCGCCCATGGATATGTCCGACCAGCCCGAGCAACACGCGAGCAACGGCAAGGCCACCGAACCCGTGAACGGCGAGAAAGTAGGTATTGAGACTGTTTCTCAGAAAGAGAAGGAAGACGCGAGAAATGATTCCCCTCTGTCCCCCAAGCCGAGTCCTCCGATGGAGATCGAGGCAGACGAACCAGAAATGATTGATAACTTCAACGAAGGCCAGTTCATCCAGATCTCTGGGGACGAAGGTTCCCTCTCGGCCGACATCCTCGACCAGTTTCCTTTCGTTGACCGTTTTGCTTCCTGTGTGGAGGCTGCCAAAGCCATGGCCACCCATATTGATCGTGGTGAGTGCTCTCATCCCCCCAACCGTCACCCACGTCATCAGTTCTGATGTGTTTTAGACGATCAAATCATGGGCGATTTCTTCGGCTCACTCGCCCATTGGTTTGAGACTCAGGTGACAATCCTGTCTCAACATGGCGCCGACTGGGATGAGTTGTATCTCAATGAGAGGGATCTCTGGGAGCAGGTCGCGACCATCTTTATCAAACTATTTACGCGCAGGTAGGCCAACGCATCAAGCGCGGCGAAGAGTGAACACTAATGTCACCACAGAGTTCATTTCGGGACCAGAATCAGCGTCATCGACGCGGAGTCCGGTCTCACTCGACTTCTGCGGAGCTACGTGAAAATCGTCGCACGGCTACTAGAGACCGATGTGATCCTGATTCGAGAGACTCCATTAAACTGTGTCCAAAAGCCGCTGTTGTTCAGCCCCCGTCATTTGAAAGCCCTTTGGTATTTCTTACACGACCAAGAAGAACCGGTGCTTCGAGATGTGCTGGATCGTGAGTATCGGCTCTCAGTGGACGGCATTTGCCAGAAAACCCTATTCAGCTTCCTTGAGGACGGCACCGACGGAATGAAGTACCTGGCAAACCTGTGCCAAGAGTGCATGGCACGTATCTACTCTTGCCCAACTTATGGCCACAACGTCCTCTTTATCCTGCGACTTGCTGGAGAGACTAATCGGCTTGCCAGCAAGCTGTACCGCCCACGCTCGTTTCCAGTCGACGCGGCGATCGGTCCGTATCCGTCACAAGCGATTGCTCTTTTCCGAGCGGTACACAACAACCTCTTCGGATCCGTTCACAAACTTCCTTCATCAACGTCAGCAGACCTTCGTCGACTGTTCTACCTCGTACCTGGAAGGGTTCTCCATACTGCCACATTTCTCAACAAGGATATTGCCGGTCAGACGTTTGATGACTTTGTCGGCGTGCCTGGCGCATGCCAGCTGAATGACCGGGGCACCGTGGCCATGTATTTTTGGAAAGTGCGGTTCCTGAAGGAGTACATCTGCGGCGGGAAGATGGACACTCGCGTGTTCGGTATCGAGACCATGAGTCAAGAACTCGTGGACTTTTACAAGACGCAAGGCGAAGGTCCTGGTTCACAGGGAGCACTGATGCAGCTCGTTGCACAGCTTCTCCTCGATGAGAAAATCATCGAGTATATAGTTGGGGTGGATTCACACCCTCAGCTCATCCAACGAAGCAGCAATATACTCGGGTTCCTCGTCGTGACGAACAAGTACACGAACGAGACGGCCGACATTGTCTGGCAAGCCCTGGCGAAAAGTCAAGACCCTCGGGTAGCAGCAGCGACGGTCGAAATGCTCTCACACAGCATGCAGCTGATGCCGATATCAGACTTACTCTATCTATTCGGCAAACTGGATGAATTGCCATCGGATGCATTTCAAAACGAAATCCTAGGGTTCATGACTAGTCTGGCTCAGTTTTTCCCACAGCGACAGCCGGAGTGGATGCGAGACACGTCGAGGATGGTGCCTTTTCGACTGCTTGTCCGCCTGCTACAAGACACCAGTGCACCCAGCTGCCCCATCAAGAACTATCGGGAAGTCCATGAAGAAGCTTCGCGTTTGATTTGCCTTCTGGGTCGAGCGACGGATAGAGAAGCTCGTCGTGAGCTTTACACGAACTGTGCAGCCCGAATCAACACCAGCAACGATGGCGCAACCGGCGAAATCCAAGCGCTTTCCCATGTTGCCCGTCTATTCAAGACAGACCACACGTTCCTTACCGGAGATCTAGGTCTTTCATCACTGGTCTTGAAGGATCTGCAGCGCTTCCAGCATCAAGTCCGCGAAACCTCGAATGAATCCAAATTGGGACCTATGCAATCCCAGATCATGAAGCATTCGCTCAACCTCCTTCTCACCCTCCTTCTCCACGATTGCGATTCGTTGCCGCTTGAAGAATACAACGATCTTTGGGAAACACTTTGCGGATCCGGCGCCGTTAATGACGACGCCCGCGATCAAGTTTGGTCCAGGTTGGCCGATGTAGCTCGGACGTCGACCAGTACTCATCCGTTTATTGATCGATGCATAGAGACCCTCTTGCAGGCGCTTCAACCCGTTCATTTCACAACTGGAGCGTTCGATTTTGTTCATCATGCGGCGTACTACGCCACCCGCGCCTCCCCGGGCCCTCATTTCCTTGAGAACGGAATACTCACCGTTCCTTGCGAAGGTATCCTCTGGCGAATGGTCCTTTTGGCACGTGAGCATGAAATCGCGGAGAATGTTATGCGTCTGTTGGCGAAGTTGTATCTCAATCCTTTGCAGTTGCGTTCGGTTCCGAAGCAACAAATCGAGGCCATGCACGTCTCCGTTGTCAACCGGTGCCTCACATTGCTGTTGGAATCATGCGGACGAGACGGGAGCATGACCGAGTTCGAACATACGGCCATGCCATTCGACATCCCTATATCGGAGGAACCAACCCAATCCTTCTCCCGCGCGATTCAGTTTCTTGGAATCCTTCTCCATCAAGTACGGACCAACAAGGAGTTCGCGTCCGCTCCGCTCACGGCAGTTGGCGTGGGCAGGGTGAGTGACGAGATTGTTGGTGACCCCGTCACATTCAGCTACCAAGCTTTTGGAGACGATGCGAACCCTCCCGAGATCCGCACTGCGCAAGTAGGCGACTTAGAAACCCGTCGAGACTTCATCCAGCGTCTCGCGAAGTTGACCGGGTTCTCGACGTTCCAGCTAATCTGCGCCGGCCAGAAAGTTGAACCTGGCGCCTTTCCGACGCAGACGTTGAGGGACTGGGGCATTTTTGGAAAGGGGCTTTTACTTATCCGGAGAACGGCGGATGCCCCGGCGATCATCGAGCCGAATGCGCCGATTGGCGTCTATTCGTCCGCGATCGAGGCCGAAATCTGTAGCCAGCTGAAGTCGTTCTATCGATTCCTGGAAGCCGACGACCCCATCGCAGGCGCGACGTACTCGTTTCTGAAGAAGTTTGTGCCGACCGAACTCGCCTGCATAGAGACGATCCATACGGATCCCAGTCACGTCTTCGTACATGGAAAGCCCTTCAAGGTCCAGTATTCACTTTGGTGCCTTGAAGCGCATCTGAATCGCCAGAGGAACATGGGCCTCGTGGAGCAGACGTTTGTCACTCACGCCATCCAGCTACTGCTCAGTTTCATCCTCGATTTCCCACAATATCCCGCCATCATCTCCGGCAGCGAAGAGGTGGAGCAGCTCTGTCAAGTTAGCAGCCTTTGTCTGCGGTTAACACACGAATATAAACCGGACGGTGACGTGGGCATCAAAGTCCAAAATCCCGAGAAAATCACCTCGAACATCCTCCGCGCACTCAAGGCGGTACTCGCGAGTCCATTGGAAATGGCGGATGTGGCGGCGTACAATTTCTACAATTTCCTCGTCCAGTCGGTGAAGTTCTCGGCGGACATCTGGCACGCTTTTACATCGGCATCTGACGTTGAGGATATGCATTACCTGCTCTTAGTCCAGGATAACCGCCCCGGTCTGCGGTCCGCCATCGCCAAAGTGATCAAGATGGTCTCCGAGCAACCTTCGCCAGGATCGCGCGTCGATATCCGAGAAATCGCCCAGTTGTTCTGGAAGATGGCGTTGTCGATCATCCCACGGACGGTGGAGTCTCCCAAAACCTCGACGGATTTCTACGGTCTCGCCCGTGACCTTTTCGCCATTGTCATGCAGCGGCATGCTGATGTTGTCGATAAAGCCTCTCTTGCCAACCACATCGAGACTTGGCGCACGATCCTAATGAGCCATGCGCATGAAGAGATTGTCGGGCGCGACCTTCCCGACATCCTGATCTTTGGACTTGCTACGTTGATCACATACGGAATACAATGCCTGAATCGGCCAGGGGATCAATACCGAGATGACGAGTTTATGGAGCATGTCTTCTCAAGCTTCCTGTTCCCGCCGCATGCGTTCTTGGAAGTTGTTAAGGGCGGTGTACCTCTCAAGATCAATCATCCGGTGCTCGAAAGCACAACGCGCATGGCCCTTTATCAACTAGTGACCACGTTGGCCCTTGAACGCAGCCAGTTTCAGCGCCTAGTCAACCTTGCTGAAGGCGCTATGCTCTCCGAGGAAGGTCGGTACTACCTCTACGACCGATCAAGAACCCTTCGATCATCGACCGGCCATGTTGGGATTCGGAATCTAGGCAACACATGCTACATGAACTCGCTTCTCACGCAGCTCTTTATGAACCTCCAATTCCGACGCTTCGTCCTGAGCCTCCCGATTTCGCAGACGAACGGATCGCAGAATCTGCTAGAAGAGACGCAGAAGCTATTTTTGAAAATGCAGAACAGCTATATCAAGGCGGCCGACGCGGGGGAGTTGGCAAGGTGCATCCGGACGTACGATGACGCACAGATCGATATTGCCATCCAGATGGACGTAGAAGAGTTCTTCAACCTGCTGTTCGATCAATGGGAGGGGCAAATGGTTTCCGCGGACGACAAGCAACAGTTCCGGTCCTTCTTCGGCGGGCAAACGGTGAACCAGATTAAGTCGAAAGAGTGCGAGCACATCTCGGAACGATCGGAGAGCTTCATCGCCATCCAATGCGATGTGAAAGGGAAAGCCAATCTCTTTGAGAGCCTGCAGGCATACGTCGAAGGCGACGTCATGGAAGGAGAGAACAAGTACAAGTGCGAATCCTGTGGCGGAAAGTTCGTCGATGCGGTCAAGCGTTCGTGTCTCAAAGAAGTCCCGGACAACGTCATCTTCCATCTGAAGCGGTTTGATTTTGATCTTGGTCTGATGCAGCGGAGCAAGATCAACGATCTGTTCGAGTTCCCGATGACGATCGATCTTTCCAAATACACTGTGGAACACTTGAATGACCCCAGTCAGCCAATCGAACCAGATATCTTTGAACTGGTGGGTGTATTGCTGCACAAAGGTGTCGCAGAGCATGGACACTACTTTTCCTATATCCGCACACGGCACACCTCACAGGACGTGGAACCCGAGTGGCTGCAATTCGACGATTCGGATGTCACGGTCTTCAACCCGGCGGAAATTCGCGAAAAGTGCTTCGGTGGCCTATCGGACGTCAAAGAGTCGCACTTTGGGACGGAATACCACACGCCGATGCTCAAGGGCTATAATGCATATATGCTCTTCTACCAACGGGCCTCCAGCATCAAGAAGGATGAAGAAGAGTGGAGCGGTCGATGCGAGAAGATTCCCCCTCACGTCCCAGGACCCCCGGATTTGGAAGAACAAATGGCCCACGAGAATGAGCTGATATTACGGGAATATTGCATGTTCGATCCCAACCATGCGGGGTTCGTCAAGTTTCTCTTGGACCGGCTCCGTGGCGATGCACCGCACGACGAGGATCCTAACAGCCATGGTCTGCATATGCAAGTCATCGAGCTTGTTGTCTCCCATTTGCATCAAGTGTTTGGTCGGACTAAAGAAACCCCCATATTCGAGGACATGGTTACGCTGCTCAAAGATACACTCGGCGATTGCCCCACGTGCAATGCGCTGGCGTTGAACGCCTTCATGAAAGACCGAAACGGCACCTACGCTCTCACGGATCTGCTGATTCGCTCTACACTCCCTAAGGTCCGTCTCGGGATCAGGCAACTGATCATAGACCTGCTTAATTCTCTCCGAGAGTCGGATCCGGTCTCCTACGGGCTTCCTGCGGAGGGGACCTCCACACCTGAGGTCTCTGACGATGGTATATTGCCGATGGTCGTTCAAGCGTTGCACTCCTCTCTTCCCGGACTTTTCTGGAACGCACGGGCTTGGGAAGATACGTTCGGGTTGCTATGCGACATATCGAAGCGCGGCATCTTCGAGATCAGCGTCATCTTCCGTACTGGCGTGTTCAGCTATTGCTTCGACATCCTCGTTGCCCATCATGATTACAGGATCAGGGAGGATCTCGAGCGGCTGCTTCGGTGCATAGAGCGACGGAGCCCTCCTCAACACCGACTCTTCGAACTTTTCTATCATGTCTTGATGCAGATCGACCTGGACGCTGACCCGGTCGATACGGAAACCGAGCGAGTCCAGGAGTATGACGCCAACACTCACATGTTCCCTCCCACGAGTCATGATATTGAACGACTGCAGATGTGGGACCCGAAGGAGAAGTCGCTGATCTTCTTCAACCGCATGTTGGACAAATGGGACACGGCAAGGGGTGACGAGTTCTTCCTTGGCGAGCTTGTGCCCTTTCTCCTTGACGCACCAGCGCATCTTGGGATCACCAACCTTCTTTTCATGACCATCTTTGAGGGCATTGAGCAGGTTGCGCACATATACGTTGCCCCATATCTATTGGCGGGACTTCGCTTCTGTCAGTATGCCCGCGAGCCGGTTCCCGTCGTCGAGATCATCCGCGCAGCAGCACGAAGCACCGCGTCCCTCGACGGACAGGGCGGCGAGTTCCACGTTCGCTTCTTCAATGAACTTCGCAAGGTATCCAATGAACATCTCACCGCCTCAATCCCCGATGGCGAGCACATCATCCTCGACACAATCCTGGAACTAACCCCGAACTGGGGATACCGTCTATTGAGCTACCCCGATGTCGGCGTCCGCGAAGAATCCGTGCAGCTGCTCTCCGAGCTCCTCTACGAAACGGCCGCGGTTCCCGAGATCGTCGACGGCCCGGCCGACGGCGGTAATGTGGTCGATCCGCTGTTCCTTCGGCGGATGTGGAAGACGCGTGAGCTTCTCAAAACCATGATGCACAAAGCCGAGAACGTGATCTCGTCCGAAGTATTCTCGAAGCGGGGGATGCAGGAGCTCATGGAGGTAATGAACGGCATGGCGAACTGGCTGCACTTGGTGCATCAGACAGCGGTTGCGATGGAAGAAGACGGGCATGAGTTGGCTGCGGAGATTGAGAGATTCAGAGCGGATGATGAAGCCTTGGTCGAGAGGTGCATGAGTAGGCGCTCCCTCCTCAGTTGATCAGTAACGTATGGGCTCGTTTGCTAACCGGACGGGTCACAGACTGTACAGGCATTTATGAGCAGTGGCCGAATAGCGATGAGCATGAGGAGATACAGTCTGGTGGGTGACCACTCCGCAATCTACTGGCGACCGCAAGCGCTTACGCAACTCAGATAACGCCGAGTGTTGGGGAGTATCAGACATGTCTGGCGACAGCGACGATGGTGTCGAGGCGGAGACTTAATCGACCCTGAAATTCTCGTCTCTCCCGCAATACAAAATCCACCTGCGCCCGAAAACCTTCTTCCTTCGGATGCGGTTCTTTCAACCGGACTTTTCTCACTGCAGTCATCTTTTCCTTTTCCTTCTTCTTTTTCTTTTAGTTCTTGCTCTGCTTCCCATCCTCGCTTTTGTGGACAAACATGTACTAGGGAATGCAACGGAGTGAGAGGAGTGTGACGGATCATAGACAGGGTCGTTTACACGCTGGTTCATTGCCGGGGACGTAGTCAAACCTTCCAACCATGGACGCAAGGCGCAGGATATCAGCAGCAGTCACAAGACCGCCTGGGCTGTAGATGCAGGTTTACGCATTCTGGGAACTGCGCGGTGTGCATAGGGTATGATAACGAGTCGGGGGATAGGACACACCCGCCACGAAAGATGATACGTTTTCACGACTGGGATACGACACAGGAGCAATAAAAGAATTTGTTCGAGGAACACCACTGGGTACGGCTATATCTCATAGGATCAGCAATGGTTATAAATGGCACGGTATGAAGTGCTATCATGTGCTCAGGTCCGTGATAAGAGAAATCATGATTTACCGATGTCGTCCATCTCTGTTCATCCTCTAGAAGCAGTGGATTCGGCTGTCGCTCGTTCAAGCCCTTTGTGTCCCTCTTCATCTTTTCAGAACGGTAACATTCGTCCAATAAGCAATGGGTGAGATACAGCGTAGGCGAGTGATTTCAAATGCTTCATCAAGCCCGTATAGACCGCTCGAATATGCCTCACCGTGGAATCCACCACTAACCAGTGGTACCAGAGTAAATAGACTGTCTTATCGTCTTTATGCCTTTCTCACCGAACCACCTCAGATCTTAATGGTGAGTTCATCATAATTTGAGTTGCCTGTCCCTGTAGCCCAGTATCTGTTGAGTAGGAGTCTTGCATTGCTCCACCATAAGCCGACGAGATGAATGCACTTCGAAATCCTAGCCAACGGTACCATCGCCCTCCAGATGTCTGCGAAGGTAGTCTATCCTACCTTCTTTATACTTCGTCGCTAGAGCGTGTACCTTTCCTCCCAACAGCGTCGTATTGGACGAATCCAAAAGCATCACCCCTCTCGCAACGACGACATCCTTAACGAGGATTTTTCCGCCCATCGGCACATCGACGTTGATGCCCTCGATCGGACCAACAGTCACGCCATGCACTTGCGCTGGCGGATTCTGCGCATCGTGCAAATGGAGTTTAAACGGGCCTTTTGGCGCCAGCGCCTGCGAGCGGCCTTGCCCTATCGCGTTCGCTGGATGCGTCGCCTCGGCGGCATCATCGCTGTCGGCATCGGCCAGCCCGACGACTTTTTCTCTCCCCTCATCGCGCTTCGCCTGCTCCCATTCGGTGAGTTGACTCCATTTGCTCTTGCCGATGTCCTCGACCCAGGCGATCTGGAGGACGAAGGGTCCAGCGAGGTGGCGCTCCTGTGCGGGCAGGTCGTGCGGATTGCTCCGGGTCAGATCACGGGGGAGGAGTTGATTGGGGGGAGGGGAGAGACATTCGCGGATGTCGGCGTTTAGGATGCGGAAGCGAGCGGAGTGGCAGACAGCGTTGATGGGAAGATTGCGCGTCTGAGATGAGATGAATGAATGGAGAAATGATGGAGAGGGGTGAAGATTTAGGCGGACGAGGTGATCAGAAATTGCTTGGCCATTGATGGGAGGATGTGTTGTTGGCGGCATGGTTTAGAAGTCGCATTAATTAGGAGTCGCCATGGATTGATTCGTTTGTTTCGAGGAACCATCCGGTTTATATTGTTTGATAGAGTTGGTGTGGAAGTTGTGTTTCCCGGTGGTGAAATTACTCGATTTAGGTTTTCCCCCAGCAAATGTCTAGAGAATGAAGATACAATTTGCAATCTGAGCATGCAGAAGTAAGACTCAAATCCCAAGAAGGGACTTGCAGACTACTGAATATTTTTAGGTCAGTTCATGAGGGAACTTAAATTCATAATTTGATTCATTTGTCCATCTGTCCCTCTGTTTCTTCGTAAAACAGGGCTCGATGTCGCTCGCTCAAAGATATCAATTTCATACCTTCCATATTAAGCCCGTAGAAATATTGTCTAATGAACCCTAGCCACCAAACTCCTTTCAATCCGATAGGTTTCGTACTTCCTCAGTCGTTAGAATGGCCTGTCCATCCAACACAAGCTCCCGGAGAAGGATTGGAATAACGCCAGCACCCTACACAGTTCCTCGTCGCGACATTTTCCGACTCTCAACCTTTGAACCCAAATTTTGCTCCGATAGGCCATCTCTCTTCTCGGAGACGCGTTCATCGCGGCTTTCGCGTCGTTTTGGGACCCAGCTCGCAGTCTGTCGGCGGCTCCGCACTCGACTGATCAGAGACCGTGGAAGTTTCGTTAATGGGGCCAGTACGCCGAAGGTGGCCTCCCTTGTATTTCCCGCCTTGCCATCATGTTCTGGCCAAAGCGCATCAAATGAAGTGAATCGGCTCTTCGATGGGGAGGAATCTTGAGACAACTTCTTTTCGATATCTGCATCCGCAGTAGGTGATTCATACATTCCCGGCGCTTCGTTGTCGACGATGTCGTCATTCACCCGTCTGAGAGAACCGTATATTGCACCAGGTTGACCCGCCCAAATAGACCCATCGGTGTCTTGGTATGTATAGATCTGGGTGTCAGCATCATAGGCGATGCGCTTCATGCCTTCGGGGAGACGATATTCATCCTCGTCTAGATCGCCCCAGCGGCCCATGATGAAGGTCCGAATAGCTTGGGTGATGGATGCCTAGAGTATCAAGTGTTCGATCGCAAGGAGTGGATGGGACGTCCTGGAACGGAGTATGACAATTGAGTAGAATAGGTAGTTGGCAGAGATGATGCCGTATAGAGAATTTGACTTGGCAAGGCAGGATGAAAGAATAAAACACTGAGCTCAGAAGGAGAGGAAAGAATACATCAAGTTATAATGGTTACCAGTTTCAGTTTTGTTCTCAATGGAGGGGCTCATGTTACATATTAGACAGGAAGGCAGGAGGCACAGCTGGGGCTCTGTTGGCGGCCTTAAATTAGAAGCCAGCTGATTGACAACCAAGAAAACACATGATTTACTCCAGTTGATCTGATCCTAACAATCCATGTAGATTTATTCCGTAGATTCCTCAATATCGACATGAACCAAGAGGCATGCATGAGTGAAAGAGGAGGTTGAACAATCGAAGATAACCAGCCAGCCACTTCGCAGTGGAGCAGAGTTCCCCTTTCACTTCAGTTCTCCACAACACACACAGTTCAGTGTTCACTCGTTTCACACGTCTCACTTTCATAGCGATGGTTCCTAGTAGGAATTAAGTAAGGCCGTTAAGATATGAGATGGTACTCATATCCATACCCTAATAAGGCGTAAGCGTGAACCTGAACCCTGGTTTCTGGTTGCTCGTGGCGCGCTTGTCCATTCAACATTCGCCATCGCCGCAATGAAAGTCTGACATTGGCTTTGCGCCGTTCTAGTTCTCTCAATGCCTGATAGGTAATTGCCATATCCATATCGCATCAACACGGTGATCATGTCTCATTCTTCCCCTCAACTTGTCCACATCAAGCGGCGAAAGTCAGAACCGCACGTCGACCTGCTTTGTACGCCACGTCCCTGAGATGCGGTGTTCAACGCTAACCTTTAACAGATGTCGAACGCCCGAACAAGAAGAAGTTCACCGACCAAGGCTACTACTTCCGGCGTCTCGACCAGGAATCAGGCAGCGCATTTCCCCCGTCGGATGGCATCCTCCAGAAGGGTGTGTTCCGTCCCACTCAGCCCAGGAGTCCGGCTCCCGATCGCCCTCCACCCGTCCGAGCAACCGCGCCAGGCGACGAAGATCGAGACCCCTTTGCTCTCAGGGTGCGGAAACATCAGGGCGCGGATAATAGGAACCGGCTCGATGTTCCAGGTCGGCAGGATGCCGTCCTGCCAACACACCCGATTGCGCGGGAGCGTGTTCGGCGATTTCATCTTATGAGGCATCGGTCGCTCACACCCAGCGCTTTAAATCCGAGTAAGAAACGGAAGTCGGAAATTGCCACATTCGTAGAGAAAAGCGACCCTTCTGGCCAAGCGACCCCAGACGACAACACCTGGACCTCCCCACCAGTTCCCGAAGCAACTGCAACCGAACAAATGGCTCCGTCGCCGAAGAGGAAGAGACCCAACGTCCGAGCGCTGAGGGACCGAGTGAGGGACCAGAGTATCAAAAACGCACCGCCGACCGAGAACCCGGAAGAACTGCGCCAGCTTGCGGAGGAGATGTCTCGCTGGGCGCAGGAGGTGGAAACGGGGGTTGGACTAGTTTCGGATATCCGGCAGGAAGAGCCACAAAACAACGCAATGCAGGTGGACATGACTACATCTGGCCAGCAAGAGGGGGAATATGTATATGATACCTTTGTTCAGTATGAGGCGACAGATAACTTGGGTCTCTCGACGAACAACGTTGGTATCCTTGTCATTGAGGAGGAGGACGAAGAGTATTGGGAAAGCTACATGCATCACGAGCAGGGGGAATACGTGTATAGCGATGAGGAAGACGAGAACGGTGTGTGACCCAACTTCGCCACTGCTAAGGGGCCAAACTGACAATTACAGCCGAGGATTGGTATGGCAACGACTATCCCGAAGACGAAGTGGATTCCGACGACGAGTACAACGTTGATCCCTACAAGTATCGCGATCGGGGCTCGGACGATGAGCAATACGATGTCGATACATGGAGCGACGAAGAAGGCGAGCGGAAACGGTTCGAGGCGCTTCTCAAGAACGAGAGAGCCTTCTATGAGCAACCGCCTGCGTCGTAGAGTAAAGGTGAGGAAATAGATACCACTTGCCGATTATCAGATCGGTATAAATACAGTATACTCCGTTGCTTCATGGGGCCGCTTTCCGCAACGTAATGCCGCCTAGTATTTTATGCGGTTTTATTTCCCTACGCCCATATCATATCACATTAAATCCCCGGGGAAATCCAGCACGGTAAGCTATGGCAGTCCCCATGATGCTCCCTTGCAAACGTCCGTTACCCGCTCATCATGTAGCATCGCCGCGAGCAAGCCAAGCGAGCAGCCCTGGATTCTCACATCACGCTCTTTCTCGAGGTGCAATCACCAGACACCGGCCACGGTATCAAGCCACTCGGTGGATTGGAGCATACACATCCCATGGTTGATACCAGAGGAAGCGCTTGGACTTCAAAATCTTCGCTGCTTACCCGGGTATTTGCACGTTCAATTCGCTTTCTACAGACGCTACAAATTGGTCTCGCCTCATCACACTATAGAAGAGATGATTGGTTGCATAGGACGTAAGTTGCGGACGCTTTTCTCACCTTTCGTTTCCGAACCTTGCACTCAAAGCAGCCAGTCTTCGAGCGCGAGTTGGCATCTGGGTTGGTGGACTGAGATTTCGAGGATTTCGCACTGGCTTTCGGTGCACCCTTGGCAGGTATTGAGGCCGGCTTTGCGCTGCCGGGTATTTCTTGATTGGCAGATTCGAGTCTTTCAATGCTAGGGGGAGCAAAAGCATTGGGCTGTCCGGTTTTCGGTTGACTGCTACTTTTCTTCGGCGAGGTTTGAGGCTTGGATCTTGACGAGGATGGTGATGTTGCATCCTTTGATGGGGCCGACTCTCTTCCGTGGCGTTGGTTCCTGTGCACTGAAGCTGTTCATCCTCCGCCGTTTCACGGCCGGTACCCAAATGAATGGTACTGCCAGTGATGCGAAGGCAGAGAGGAAAACCGCCGTGAAAATCGCCGTGAAAACCGCCGCTCCCGAGCCAAAAGTGCTGTATCCTTGTGAATCCCTGGACCAGCTCCAGTTGTTGCTGGAGCATCTTCACCAGAATGCGACTCAGAGTTTAATCCCCGAGAGCGTGCTGTTCCAGGCATCCTTTACTACTGAGGTCGTGTTCGATGCCAGCAACCCGGCTGCAGAGGCAGCATCAACCACCAAAAGCCCGGACGGGACACCTAGAACCACATGGGACTTCGACATTCCCCCATCAATTTCGGTGGAAGATGTGGTCTCCGACTTCAAGAGCGAGGAACAGAAGCTTGAAATGCGGAAAGCAGTCTTAAAGTCGTTGATCGCAGGCATAGATAAGGGGGATGATTTTGCCTACCAAAAGTCGCACGAGTGGCAGAACCAAGCCATTAGCGCTTTTTGCTACAAGTTTCTATGCAAATCATCTCTAGTTGCACGCTCGAGGACCAGGAGGGCTAAAAGAACAGAGAACGGAGACTAATCTTCAAGATGGTGAGGAATACGGGGGCTTGGATAATACATATCTAATTTCATGGAATCGAACCCGGGTGACAAAACACTGTAATTAGGTGAAGGAGATCAGTTTGACTGCAAAGGAATCGTGGTCATCAAATTTCTTGAGCCGATGCAAAGAATCGATGTCATATATTCTCATATTCCCATTCATCAGGAAGAGGCGCCGGTCGGCACCCCCACAGTTGAGGAAACTACACTAAATGGAATGCCCCTTGAGGATCCTAGCCCGGACGTACCTTCGAAGCCAACCCCTAAACCCAGGAAGAGGAAATCTGTGAAAGCCGATCAAGATGAAGGATCCAAAGCTAGATTCTTCTCAAATACTGTGGATGCATGTTCGAATTCGGTAGAATACGCCGCATGAGGTTGGAATCGGCGCATTGGGAGTCAGATTCCTCTAGGTTTCGGACTTTCGGTGGGAAACTACGAAAGAATGCGCTAACGAAATCGATGCACGTGACGTGGCTGTGATTGTGGCTTGCCCCACTTGCCTATACTGTAGCAGGAGCCTAGAAATCCCTGTCAGTCACGACTCATAAGTCAGTCAGTCCAGTCGCACTTCAGGTTTTAAAATCTTATCGCCTTGTGGCCTTCCGGTTGCATTGCATTCGCTGTTAGCGCATCCAAATTCCCCAGTCGCAAGGACGCGTCGCATTGCTGCATCATGTATTAAATTGTTGGCTGATGCATCCCTCCACGCAGTGATTGATGCTCAGTGCTTTGTACAGTTCAGACACAATTTCTCATCTCTACCGTCAACAAACTTAGCATTTCCCAAAGGCCCAGATGTGGCACCCTTCGTCCCATTTCACATCCCTCCAATTGGAGTTTACTTGAGCTTCGTCATGTCCGGTTACGCAAAACTCACCGTCGTCAATCTCCGCGCCGTCCTCAAGGATCGTGGCATTCCTGCCACCGGTCTGACGCGCAAACAACAATTCATTGACCGCCTCGAACAAGACGATCGTGAAAAAGCCCCGACACAAGTCGATCCCAATGCGCCGCAGCAGCCGGACGAGGCTGTCGCCGCAGAAGCTGCTGGCTCGACCACCAAGGCTGCTGAAGCCGGTCCCCAAGGCCCGGAGGGAGCAGCATCTGCAGCACCAACTGATATCGAACCTCCTGCGGAGGTCCCTAAGGAGAGAGAACTGCCCGGTGCTGCGCAAAAACAACCTGCGGAGACTACTTCAGCTCCACTAGAAGGGAGTTCACAGCCCAGTGATGCTCCACGGTCAGCCTTGTCGCAAACTCCACTACCGAGTCTAGAACCACCGCCTACCTTACCAGAAGATGTGAAAGAGCCGCATATCCCTACGTCGTCAGCGCAAGCGTCGGATACTGAGGAGAGTCGGAAACGAAAGAGGAGAAGCGTAACGCCACCCATCCCTGCTGAGGTCGTCGCCAAGAAGCTCAAGCAGAGTGATGAAGAAACCGGCGCGGTTCATCTTGCTGAGGACAAAGTGGTGGAGACGCAGGTCGATTCCATGGAAGATATTCAACTTCAAGAACTGCAAGAAAACATTCCAGCCGGTCCTACACCAGCCGAACATGTCGAACCCAAGGCATCTGACGAATCGAAGGAAGCCCAAAAGGAACCCACCCCCCAGCCAGATACTTCTACAAAGCAACATGTGGATACTGCAGAAGAAGAACTTCGAAAAGTCGAAGACTTTGAGACCAGTACATCTCGTCAAGCCCTAGAAGAATCACCCAGAATGTCTGGGAAGGATGCACGTTATCGAGAGCTCTTCAACGCCCCTGGGGACCCTACTCTAGCTCCAAGCGTGGAACAGGATGAAATGGAGATCGCACCCGCGCTTCACCCGGCCACCCCGGCCATCTATATTCGGAACCTGATGCGCCCATTACAGCTGCCAGCACTCAAGAATCACCTCATCCGTCTGGCGACACCGCCATCCCATGGAGAGGATGTCCCCTCCGAGTCGCCATCAGACATTATCGTCAAATTCCATATCGATCCCATCCGCACGCACGCCTTCGTCCTGTTTTCCACCTCCAACCAAGCTGCCCGTGTTCGTGCGTCACTCCATGATCGGGTCTGGCCGACCGAGCGGGATCGCAAGCCCTTGTGGGTCGACTTTATTCCTGAAGACAAGGTCGAGCAATGGATCGAGATGGAGATTGCATACGAAACCGGCGGTGGACGAGGTGCCAAGCGGTGGGAAGTGACGTACGAGAGAAGTGACGACGGGACAGTGCATGCAGAACTGCAGGATGCTGGCGCAGCACCTCCACGAAGACATTCTGATCTCCGAGATCGCCTTCCTTTGTACGGAGCGGCACCTAATAAACTTAGCCCTCTAGGTGAACCCTCTAGTTCGAGGTCGGCCGCACCGCCTCAGCCAGAGGCGACCGGGAAGAGCTTCGTTGCTCTCGATGCGCTCTTCCCGTCGACCACTGCGAAGCCAAAGCTGTATTATCATCCAGTCGACGAAGAGCTGGCGCAGAAGAGATTGGACGAGTTTGATAGGGCCGAGAGCAGTCGTTGGGCTAGGGGACTCCGGGATTCCCCAGAAAGCTTGCGACGGTACACCTTTGAGGATGGCGACACACTGGTCGACTCCGGCGAACATCGTCCTCGATTTGGGGATCGAGCACCGGGCGGATTCCCTCGTGGTGGTGGTCGTGGAAGACGAGGACCTCCACACGGAGGGTATCGAGGGAGGTAAACCGCACGACTACATGTATCCATAGCAGCCATGCATTCGATCACTGCCTGTAAAAACAAAATGAAATTCAATCGTGCGATCTTAGAAAGTGGATTTACTCCTCCGCATTTGCGTACCGATGGTCTGCTGTTTATTTGCGCATTCGTTCACACGTCGTCGACATATTTGTATCTCTTTTATCTTCTAGTGATCCTCGCATCATGGCATGAATACACTATTTTTAGCTGGCATAATTGGTTATTGATTCTCACTGTTGCGCCACTTGACTTGTGGTGCGACTCATCATCATTTTGACAAGGTTCTCGGTCCTGAAACTTCCCCGAAGCACAAGCCGAAATGTCCAGTGGTTGGCAGATGAACGTGCCACCGGTCAAGTTGGGGTCAAGGTGCTGGTTGTCCTTGAAATTGCTCTGACTCCTTCTATGAATCATCTATTATCAGTCTATGATACCTACTGTGGTCCGTTCGAAGAACGTGAATTTCTTAATTGAAGTTGCATCTCGTACCGGCCCAGTATTTTGCGTCTCCGTCACCGACACGACAACCAGCGTTCAAGATGCAGCGAATGCAACGGAAGGTGGGCGCTTTCATGCCGCGGACAGCGGGCGACGCGCAAGTGAACATTTTAATTCATGAGTTTGAAGAGGCGGATCGTATGCTTACTACTGTACGTGTTTCCATCTCTATTAAATCGTTTTGCGATGGTGCTGACCAGCAAATAGCTCATCGATGCATCGAAAGCATGGCGAGATGCATGGTCCGACATCCTCATGCGACAATCGGCGATTCTAGCAGAGCTGGAGGCCATATACAAACCCATTGCCGCTCCAGACTGCTCCGGCCAAACTCACATCCCCGCCGAAACGCTGGAGGAGCAGATGGGGCGAACCTCGACCCTAAAGGAAACATACGCCGAACTGCGGCAAGAGATGGTGGAGGAGCTGCAGATGGTGGAAACCAGAATTGTCAACCCTGCCAGGGAAACGAAGGAATCGATCAAATTCATGAAGAAAGTCATCAAAAACCGGGACAATAAAAAGGTATGTGGCTACGTCGTCATATTAAGTCATACCTGGAGCTAATGCTCCTGCAGCTGGACTATGAACGATACAACAGCCGGTGTGAGTCTCTACGAAGCAAGACCAAGCGATCGGATCGAGAGAATGTTTCATTACAGAAAAATGAGGTTGATCTGGAACGAGCATCCGCCGTGAGCAACCAACCTTCTCATATATTGTTGGTGAAGTGCTCACATTATCCAGGACTATGAAGTCGCCGATGACAGGCTCAAGAGTAGCCTCCCTGGGGTCGTCCATGGGGCGTTCTCGATGCTTCCACACCTTCTCAATGCTCAAATACTGGTCCAAAATGCGCTTCTAGGCCACCTTTACACCTCGCTCCACAACTTCTGTCAAGATTATGGATTCGAGTCTCCACCCCCAGAGGTGGAAGTGATCCTCCGGGCATTCCATAGTGCATTCACGCCGATATGCAGGGAAATCGAATCCAATCTAATGATGATCGCTCACGGAAAATCGGTTCAGACAGGAAAGTCCAGGTCACATGAGAATGAAAGGGGAAAAGGTGGCTTCAACATTCGGAATGGCTTCTCGCGAAAGCCCAGTGACCAGCCTGCACAACCGTCGCCGCCATTGAGCAAGGTGAGCTCCTACGGCTCGCAGTCCGCTCCATCGGAACCTGGACCGAAACCAAAGATCCCCTCCTTATCGAGACAGGCATCCAGCAACCTCCTTTCACCGACGACTAGCCACCAATCGCACGCGTCCACGGGCACATCTCCTTCCACACCGTCCACGCTGGAGCAGCTGGGATCGTATGGCAACTATTACGGCCGCGTCCCGTCCGCTGCGCCCATCAACCGCATTCCTTCGGCCTCTTCCGTAGGCTATTTCCCACCTACCACCCCCGGAGCCACGACGTCGGCCGCCGCCGCCATTGCTGCGGCGAAGAAGAAGCCCCCACCACCCCCGCCGAAGAAGAAACCGAATTTACAGCAACCGGCGGACTATGTGGTCGCGCTGTATGATTTCGACGGTGATGGGAATGAGGACTTGAGCTTCCGCGAAGGGGATAGGATCCGGGTTTTGAAGAGGACGAAGAGCAATATTGATTGGTGGGAAGGAGAGCTAGGAGGCGTGAGAGGGAGTTTTCCGGCCAATTACTGCAAGTAACGTGGAAATGATACGCTGCTAACGCCTCGACTGCAGCACAGTCCTCGATGTTTATGAATGGCGGTTTAGGATATAATGTTTGGTGTATTCAAATCTAGGATACGTTGTTTGAGAGGGGGAAATAGTATCTGTTGTGTTTCAAGCTATTATGTCCATGCTGCTTTCTTATATTCATTTCCTCCGTTGACCGTGTGCTTGGCTTATTGCGGAATTTTCTTCCCCACATCCAGACATGGAGCGCCTTGAATCGTGTGGTTATCGAGCCATTGCAGAATGATGTCCATAATCTGCGCAGCATTGGTATCCAGCATCATCACATGTGAGTTTCCCATGATTCCAAGCTGGGGAAGTACTAACTCCTCTGCGGTGTTTGACTTGTAGCCGCTCTTGACCCGATCCCATGCAGCCACAGACCCTGGGAACTTATCCACCAAATCTCCCCAAATTACCAGTGTTCTGCCAATACTCGATGATTGCTTGAGCATGTCTCCGTCCCCGGTTGGACCAGGTTCCACCAGTACCACGTCTCGTACTAAGACTTTGCTGTCATCGTTCATCTCATCCATCATTTTCAGGGCGATCAGTAAAACCACAGCGCCATGACTATGAGCCAATACGTCACATTCGCCTATGCGGTTCACCGCATCTATAACGGCTCGAGCTTCCAGGTCATCTACACCAGGACCTCGCCTCCGCGCTGCCTGCATAGCTACTAAGTCGTCAAAGGCTTCCCCAGGGAACTTGCTCCGCTCCCACGTTTTACGGGACGCGAGACCTTCCGCCGGTCCGAGGCGAAACATGGACCATGCCTCCGCTGCCGTTCGATGCTCTAGGGGTCCGAAGCCTTCCTCAAGCGTGCGGAACTTGGACGGCGGCCGCTGTGAGTGGCCACTATCCGGGAAGTCTAGGAGATATGTTGGCCGGCCTGAGTCGGCGGACAGCGTAGCCCATGTCTGCGTCGAATGATGGAGTGGCGTTGTATAAACGGTAGATGTAAGCCCTCCACCATGGAGAAATAGCAGTGGACGCTGGGGATGTGCTTCATCTGGAAATGATAATGGCGTGGTAGGGCTGATGAAATGAACATAGCCTTGGTTTATAATCATGTACGAGTCTTTCTGCTCAACCTGGTTGCCAGGAGTTATGAACGAAAAGCATGGTCGCACCAGCTCAGTTACAGGTTCGTCCATACGGGGGGATGAGCGAGTCTATTTAGTTCTAATAGCCCACTATGTCAATCTTGATTCGTAATGCAGGAATGAACCCGAATTCTGTACTATGTAGCTACGTCCTCACAGCCTGATATATATGACGTCACATGACGGCTCTCAGCCGTGGTCACGTGCATGGCGGACTTCCGGTCCGATATCCGTTCGTTATACCGAGGTCCATTTCAAAAGTTATTGCTCGCCAAGGAAGTGGCGTGATTATATAAGCAGCTTCGAGAAGCCCACGGGCATTGGACTGCCTATCAACTGGGCATTTAATTCAGATTTTATAGAGCCTAATTCGAGGCAAGGGCGCCGGACATTCGATTTACCGCGTGTAGTACCCGCCCGTTGGCTAGGCACCCTACTGCCCGTGCACGCCGTGCTATCGGCTTTCGAACGGCTTATATAATCAAGCCCCTTTCTTGGCGAGCAATAACTTTTGAAATGGACCTCCGTATGCCTCCCCGTCTGCCCTCAATGAAACCGAAAGGTATGAGTAAAAGAACCCGACGATCATCTTTTATCCATTAAACGGCTCCACTGCTGTCCGCAAAATTTTTAATGATATATATATGGCGGACGCGATAGGTGGAAGTCCAGAAGAGTCCGGCGGCCGTACATATTAGGTGCGCCCTCTGGATACCCTCGGAACGGTTTCTGCTACCCTTCTCAACCTGTCACTGTCCGTCCCGTTTTGAGCACAGTGCAGTCGTTCTTTTGCAGGAGGTTGGGCAATCAAGCCCAATACGCTTGGCTTCGCAATCTATCTCTACAGCGAACTCTACTAGTCTCGCAAACTACGATCTTCCTATTCTTGATGGTTGTCTCAAATTGATCAAAGGTACCTATTGAGGTCTCTTCTACTATATACTACTAATAATTCATTAATTTCATTATCTACTCATAGAGAACACAAGATATTCTTTCTCTGTTCTGCTGTACAAAACGCGGCAGCCCTCTAGTGTCTTTGGTCTTCCGCATCGTGTACTACGATGCCACCGAATCATTATCCTAACCGTTTGGTGTGGACTGGAGGAGATATTATTCAAGTTTAACTCTTGTCGTCAAACGACTTCAGTGGTTTCCATCGTTGCGCGCACACCCCAGCAGTTACGCCCACGCCGCAACCAAAGACATTAAGAAAGCACCCAGAAATACCATAAAGAACGCAAAGCTACGTCGAGCCCCTCGCAAAACACGCCAACTTTCGTCGCTCAAAAAGTCTTCGGACAGAAGCTCGACGAGAGCAGCATAGATCAGGAGTCCAGATGAAATAGCATTGAAGATTCCGACCAAGATGAGCCCGGTGTCTGAGCTTGGGTCATACGCTGAATGAGTGGCTACTCCAAGTGCCTGGCCGACCGGCGCACTAGAATCATGAGTGTCTGGACGATGTGAAAGTGTGAAGCAGGGGAAGACTTACGTTGCTCCGTATGATAAACACATCAACCACGGCTTTTTCGAACCTTTCGGCCACGGCAATGCCGCGATTCGTGAGCCTAGAGCCAACCCCTCGAACAATTGGTGAAACCCGAAGGCAACGAGGAACATGTTAAATTCCATGCCAACTGCGACACTGAGAGACATTCCGATGAAGATCCCATGGAAGAGAACACCCATCTCCAGCATCGTGACTTGGACTCTCATCCTTTGGAACTTCTGCTCTGGTGACAATGGGATCGACTCAAAGTTGCTTTCAACCTCCGTAACCTTTAGCTTTCGCTCATTTGGCATCTCTTGTGGTTGGACCAGGTCTTCTTGGCTCTCGTTTATAGCTCCTTGAAACCTAGTTGACTGGCGGCTCTTCCTTGCCTTCTTAATTTCGTCCAATTCATAATTTTGTCTCTTCGCATTTTCTATAAAGTCATCTAGCCCTTTTCCGATGCTTGTTGAGTTCCGATTGAAGTTGCCAGTGCCAAGGCCACTTATCGGGGCCCGATGGGTGTGGTGGTGGCTCGATCGAGGAAGCGGGGGATGATAGGCTCCTCCGAAACGCGGATGGTAACTGTCACGCCATGCTGTGTGACTTTTTCGGATCCCAGGACCATGATTGATCCTGCTAAATCGAGGAAGCTCAAGGTGACCTCCAAATATGCCGCTGCTCCTGCGGAAAAAAGTTCGGCGATGGTGCGTATGATGCGTTCCAGCTTCATTTGCATAGCTTCTAAGATAGTCCGGAATTTCGAGTTTGTGACCAATATTGATCTCTTTTAGACGAAACACCGCCTCGTCCTGGCTGGATCTCGATTCATCAAGCTCCTCGATGTATTGGACTTTCTCTCGGATGAGATGACGATTCGGACTGAAGATCATCTCTACGAGTGTGACGAGAAGAATCGCCCCAAGACAGACGGCGCCTGCTGTTGAGGGGTACCTCTTGGTCCAATAGTCGGAGAGACATTTGCTTGTCAATGAGACGAACGCTTCGGTGAGGAGATGAACAAACGCCGCTGCGAGTAGCACTCCGGTCCCGAAGTGACGAGCAAAGAAAAGAAAAGACGTGGGAACCCGAAGTCTTGGGTATGTCTTCACAATCATAGGGAAACAAGCAGAGGACGTGCTAATGGCGAAGATGATCCCGACAGCAGCTATATGCCACGGCGTATCATAGTCAAATTCGTCCTCATCGTCATCATCATCATCATCGCTTTCTCCGCAATGTCCATGGGCTCCACCACTTCGCCTGATGCGGCGATGGGCAGCTGCAGCCTGTTTTGCCAGATCAGAGTCTACAAAGGTTAGCACCCATCCACACGAGGGAAAAGAAATCCATACAAGTGGATACCGTCTGCCTTGTTTGCTTTCCAGCAGCATCCAAAGCTCCAGTTACCCATAAGCAGCAGAATACGCCAATCATAAAGAGGCAAAGAGCCGGCCATGGTGATGCGGAAAAGGAGATGGCTCTGTGTAACCTTCGGCTCCACCTCTCTATGGTAATGGTGAAGCCAGTCGAAGTCGAAGGATCCCGCACTGTCATGTGGCCCAGGGTGGAAGAGGGATAAACCGAAGCTTCATAGGATGAAGGAGGGCAGTGGTGCTCTGCCTCTTCATCTTTTAAAAAGCAAGTGTTGCTGGGACTCACTTCCACAGTCGGTTTGTTCCAACGGCTCGTGATTAACTTTACTGGATTAGATCCGAGAATTGAAAACATGATCGACACGCCGGCGCTTGGGGAGAAGAGAAGGCCCTCTTGGAAAAAAAGGTGGCCCCTTGAAAAACAACCAAAGGCTCTGCCAACGGTAAACTAACAACTCAACGTCTATGGAGAAATGAAAGTCTAGGCATGAACGAGGAAAGTCTTGGAAAGGCCAGGAGAAAGCCAACCTGGAGCAATGCTAATTATCAGGAGATCAGATCTACTAAAGATGCGATGGCATCACTAAATGCAAAGCATCTCCCCCATGGCTTGTCCCCGTGTCCGTGAAGCTTGACCCGCAAAGCTTAACCCGTAAAGCTTAGCCCTCGTCCATCTCCAGATCACCGTAACGCCGTACCCACTGATGGATTCCATCTTCATTCTCCAGTTATTGCTGCATCAACAAAACATCAAACGTTCCGCAGATATATTCGGGCATAGCCGGCGAGACCTGGCCAAAGTACCATGCTGCGCATCAGGAGAGACATATGCTGCGGTCTTGGCTAATGTACTTGAGGGTTATGTATCCGTTCGAATGAGACGAAGCATGCCTAATCCTTCTAGAAGAACTTCCGAATCAGGTATAAACCCTGAGACCTGGCCTGTACAAGTGGAGGCTTGCCAAGAAACAATTGACCTCATGGTGGCCTTTCTCCACTACCGTCAACTTCAGTCACGTCAGTCAGGCAGTGTAGGAAGTGCCGAAATGGCAAGTAGGTGCTGTCCGGCGGGCGACAGGGGCGCGAAATGCAGCGATCCTTGGTCCGAGGCACGTGACCTTGTCCTCAACTCCCTCCTTGAGCTCCTTCAAATTTCAATCCACCGTATTCCCTCGTGTAGATGAAAGATCTACCCGAACATAAATTGCCATATATTATGGTCATTCTATATACAATCCCGCAAGAATCAAGCTATATGGCAAAAGCATGTGTTCCTTGGTACTACAGGGCATCCTGGCCGGCCTTTCTCTCGTAGGGTTATCCTTCTCGGCTGTTTCGTTCATCGAGCAGTAGTTTCGGAAATCTGGAGCGATCTAGACTGGTTGCCGCCTCGATGACACGATGATGCTGGAGAATACAGCTGGAATAATCGTATTGTCTCAGATTTTTCTAAAGAAACAACATCAGCAGAAGATTTTTGTCGGTACCGCCAGTGTTGCTTCAATATGTCTCTTAGATCGCATTTTCTTTTTCGTCATCAATGAGCGTCTATATTTAACACCGAGATCGTCGTCAATTGTGAAGTGTCACTCCTGAAGTTAGAGTCATGATATGCTTATCTGAACATGTTTCTGGCACCCATGGTCGCCTGCATGCGCGCATCGCGTTGTTGTTGTGCCTTCTCGCTTCCAGCCCTTGTTCTCGGGTTTTGGAAGCAATCACTCCCAAACCATCTTGGCCACAGCGTAAACAATAAGCTGAGGCTCCTGAACACAGCTTACATTGACCACCAGGGGTGGGAAGGGCGAATGAGATGCACGCACGCCAGCACGTGGGCTCGCGCGACTGATAGCCACGGAAGATTTATGTTGCCATCCTGTTGCTCCGACGTGCTGAAACATACGTCTCTAATCCGCAGATATATGGCCCTAGAACTTAATCTCATCGCTAATCTCACCGATCTCTCGGAATATGCATCTGCAATACATATACTAATCCATGGCGCCCCCACAGTGCTAAATCCGGCACCATTCCACCAGCGCTCGGAGCAACTTCCATACAACCATACCTGCCTCTGATCTCAGCCGCTAAACAAGCCAGCTGGCCAAGGCGGAACGAGAAAACTCGTATCCAGCGAGGCGGCATTACTGAGCAATAAGCATTGTCGCCGTGACGAGATTAAGCAATATTAAGACTAGGCGCCCAGCATCGTCTCGCAAAGGCAGATATATTTTGCTGGCCGAATTTCATGTACCTGGTACATTGTGTTATCTGTGAGGACTGCCAAAAGGTAAGTTATAGGAAAGGGTCAACTGACTGACGCCTGGTACAGATGAGGATGGATCTGACGTCTGGGATATTAGTGGTGCCCCCTATTTCTCCGAAATCGAAGTGAAACGAGGTACTACTAGCATACTGCAAATAGAGAAGCAATAACTACTCGAAGTGAACGGTTGCATCTATTCAATGTCCCTACGTTTCCTCGCCGGATCCTCCTCTAATCTACCTTGCCATCATTCACCGACAAGCACACGTCCCCTTTTCGCGCTATGAGCGTCTTCCCACGCTGTCCTGCCAACCCTGTCAAGGCTGTTCGATGCCTTTATATCGCTACGAGATGCTTGCAGATAACCACGACCAACTTCGAAAGACAATGCATCGGACATCACAAGGCCAATCCGTCGTCCCACAAGCACTCTCGACTACTCAGAGTCCCATCTTCCCTGCCAACATAGCACGTGGAAGGAATCGCTGCGTATCTCTGCGCTCCTTGGCTTCGTCACTCCATCTACTCCAGTGGAATCCCCTCGTACTCTCCGTAACCAAGCGCCAAATTCATATTTTCTGTACGAAGCAGGGGGGTCAGTCATCATATCCTGTAGGTCCGCATATAGGGGGTAGCGGAAGGTATCCTATGAGGTCAAACTTACGCAAACATTGTGTCGCCGCCCCCTTGAGCAGGTTGTCGATGGTCGCATTCACCACCACGCGCTTGCCCGAGCTGTGCACGGCGAAGCCGCCGATCTCAACGCCGTGCTTGCCGGCGATGTTCTTCACCAAGGGCGACTCTCCAATGACTTTGATCAGCTTCTCGCCGGCGTACCGGTCCTGGTAGAGTTGGCGGATATCACGGGACTTCATCTCATGTTTGAGGGGGATGTTGATGGTGTGCTAGAGGGGAGAACTGTTAGCCTGGTACAAGCGCAGGATCCGAAAACATCGGGAGGAAAGTCAAGGAGAACTTACGTGGATTCCCTGGAACCAGACTGCGACGTGAGGGATGAACGCCACCGGGGTTCCCAGCTGATAAGAGATTTCTCGCTCATGGATATGGTCCGTCAAGCTGTACGGAATAAGGTTATTCGTCAAGTTATTGACGTCGTTCTTGGAACTCGGTTTCGTTCCGGCGCCCGAGTAGCCCGAGACACCAAAAGCCGTCGGCTGCTCCCCGATGAAGTCCAGGATGGGCGCCAGGCCAATCTGCGCCGCGGTGGCGTAGCACCCCGGGTTCGAGATGCGCTTCGCCTCCGCGATGTTCTTGCGATCGACGAGTTCCGGAAGACCGTACGTCCAGGCCGAGTCGAAGCGGTAGTCGGCCGACAGGTCAACGATGACGGTGTCCTTTCCGGCCTCGTCGATGGCCTCGACGAACGGTTTGCAGACGCCGTTGGGGAGGGCCATAACCCAGCAGTCGATCTCCCCCTTGTCGGCCATGCGGCGGCAGTCATCGGGGGAGAGATTCTCGTAGACGATCTTCCGCTTGTTGTAGCCCTGCAGTTCCTTGCCGGCCAGCTCACGGGAGGAGACATGACGCAGGTCCATGTTGGGGTGGTTGTTGAGCAGATCGATGAGAGCTTGGCCGGTGTAACCACGGGCACCGATCAGGGCCACCTTGGCGGGCCAGTCCCTGGACTTGTTCTTAATGCCGTAGGGCGGGTTGGGGTTCGTGTCGCTGGTATAGCTCCGAACTCCGGACATCCGTCCTCTGACATTTCGAGGTAGTCGCCGAGACGCGAACATGGTGATTGGGGTGGTAAGAGAAGCGCTTGATCGAAGAGAGGATGCAGTGGTGGTAGAGTAAGACCGGACTTGTTGAACGTTGGCCGTATTGTTCTTCATGAACTGGCTAGCGGCCTGTGCAGCTCGTGCAAGCTGAGCCTCCAGGTTGAGGTCGCCGAACATCCTACGGCCGTGAAGGGTGAATTCGGTCATGAGGCTCTGCACCTCGTTCAGATCCTCGATGCCATACCAGAAGAGAACCTCGCCGTCTTTGCAGACGCTACCGTCCGCCTTATCGAAGAACCATGTCAGGTTTTCGTCCTTCTGGCTCACGGTCCATATCAGCTTGGGGTAGTCGCGCTTCAAATTAATGAACACGTTTTCGGCAAGGTTTGTGAGCCAGCCGGACTTGGTGATGGTGAATGTGGCGAGATGGGCAATTTGACCCGATTCCTGGGGCGGGAGGACGATAGCGAGAGCTTCCATGGCATCATCGTAGTATGCGTTGAACGGCCGGCTCGACAGGGTTTGTAGGTAGCGATCGACGATGCCTTTGGAATCCATGCTCTCACGGTCACGGATGAGAACACTCTTGAGCTTGTCGGGATCAGGGAATTCCGAGATCTTTGTGGAGACGTTCAGCTTGTTTCCCCTGCGGATCAAGGTGCCGGCGCCAGAATCGGTGAACAGCTCTTTCTGCAAGTCCCGTGGGTGTATTATGGCGACGCTCGATGCCTTGGGGAGCTGGTCCAGGAGGGTTTTAATCTCCTTGACCTTCAGCTTGGTACCATATCGGACCCAGGGCTGTTGCATGAGGTGGTCGAACTCTTCGTCGAGGTTGATCGCGGAGATGAGATCCTTCTGGTTCTCGTAGTAAAGACCGCCCTTCTCTGCTAGGTAGATAATTTTGATCGGCTTCAACGCTTTCGCGATCTCGCTGGCGGCGATGTCGGCATTGACATTGAGCACCTGTCCTTCCTGGTTTTCGGCCATGGTCGTCAGGATGGGGAGGTAGCCTTGGGCAATGGCAGTCTCAATGGGTCGGGTATTGACCTCGTTGACTTTCCCGACGAACTGATATTTCGGACGATCCAAGTAATCCGCAAAGAGGACTCCGGACGTGATCGGCCATGCGCGAACGCCTTTATCTCCAAGCTTCTCGACGAGTTTCATGTTTTCTTCCAAGAACAGCTTCCTCGCAATGCCCAATGTTTTGGCATCGGTGATCCGAATGCCTTCGTCGTAGTCCGAGGTGATACCGGCCGCCTTCAACTTGTTGTTCAATTGCGGACCCGCTCCGTGCAGCACAACCGGATACAACCCCATATGGAACAGAGTGGCCAATCCTTGCACCAAACTGTCCATATGGTCTTCCAGGACTCCGCCACCGACCTTGATTACTGCGAACCGCGGCGACGAGACGGAAGTGAATTGTGCCAAGTACTGCTCGATCTCCCGCTTCGAGCTAATGTTCCGCAATACGTTCATGATGGTCGAGCGAGCGAGCTGCTGGGTCTCGATGGGAACGTAGTTGCGCTTCTGGACCGGCACGACCGATGCCAGAGCCGTCGCTCGCTTGACCGTCGATGCAACATGAGGTCGACGTGCTGCGGTTCGGCCGACCGCCGTCGCGGCCGAATTGCGAACAGCGGACTGCATGATGGAATGGAGGGTAGAGTCAATTGGGAATGTCTCGCTACAGCACGGTCTTCCTGTCAGCGGCTATTCAAAGGTCCTTCTGGGATGGACGGTGTGTAGGCGAATTGTGTAGGTCTTACGTGAAAGGATATCAGGGCAGGCCAACCAGCAATTGAGGTGCGCTCAGTGCATAGTATGGCCCGAGGAGCTTGACTGGAGCTCTGGGGAGGATGGGAAAGGGAGGAGTAGAGAGCGGCCGAGAAAGGATTGCGACGGGAAGATATAGGAAAGGAAGGAAACCGGCACGAGGGAATTTTGACGAACAGGTTGAGGTTCGGTGAGTGATTTTGATCGGATGGAGTGATGGATGGATGGAAGGGGAAATTTTCCCTGTGAGAGTCACAGCGATCAGGGACCGGGTTTTGCTCTGACGCCACTCTACAGAATGACTGAACCGTGGGAGTGCCACTCCGCCGTTATCGCTCACGATTTTCCACTTCCCCCACCCGGTTTCAAGGAATTAAGATTTCCATCAAGTCCAATTGACAATCGGTCCTTGTCTCTGCCTCTCTCCTAACTGCCAGACCTTTTCAAGTTAGTGAGGGGCTGTTTGGACCCTCTTCTGAGTCGCTTCGTCCGATCGTGCCCCCAAGTCATACCCCGCCAATCAAGAACCATAGCACCCACGAGACTTGAAAATTGCAGGCTACGATTTACGATTTCGTATTTTGTTCCGCCTCCCATACTAACTATGCTTCCATATGCGTCATCGTAATAGCTAAGTTAAGAGGGGATCACTATTCTAACGCGCTTCATTCGAGCATGTTCCACAGCCAGGATGAGATGACAGATAGAGGCACGGCGCCCTCAGTAGTATAACTTTCATATCGTCCCCCAGACATCCGCTCGAAAACAGTGCATGGCCCTTTAGCCTTTCGTCTGATTCTTCTCCTGCTCTATCTCCTCGACGATGTCCACCATGAAGCCGCCTCCAAGCAAGATGGCCGGCTCGTCGATACTATGATGCTCGTAACTAATCGAGTCAACGACGACTCCCTCAATATCCAGGCTAACAACCATGACTCACCTCAGGGTTCCCACTCCGCCGGCCTCCATAATTAGAGACGGATTGGTCGCTACATCTCGCTTCACCCATCGAGCCGCAAATGCCCTGAGAATGTGTCCGTGGGCAACGATCAACACATCGCAAGGGCCGGCTTTGCCCTTGGGCTTTCCAATCGCATTAGCATGGAACCTGGACCGCAGATCATTGATCAGTCGATCCAGCCGTTCCGTGATCTGGTGGGGAGACCTGAGATGTTCAGCAATTGCTCCTCTTCGGTAAGTGAGTGCGAAACTCACGCGCCGCCTGGGCACCCATCTCGCCAGATATCCCAATTCTCGCTCTCCCCTCCCCGCAACCGCATCTCGCGGATCTGCTTGGTCGTCAATCCTTCATAGGCACCGTAGTCCCACTCTCGGATATCCTCCGTGATTTCCACTTCCGCCTGCGTCCGAATCGCGCCGTCGCTCTGCTCACGCTGCTCGTTCCATGGGTATCGCTCCTTGCAGCCGATCCGAAGCAACTCGAGCGTCCTTTGAGCGCGTTTTCGCGGCGATACGTAGCTGGGTCGCCATTAAATGTCTGTGTCTGGAATAGTGTCAGGAGCCGCGAAACGTACATGTGGGCAAGGTTCTTGGGTACGATCAATCGATCGTTGCCGACCAATGCCTTCCCCGTCTCCAACACACGCTTTTCGCCATTGGCAGTGAGTTCAAGCTCAGTGGTGCCTGTATGTTGGCCGTTCAAGCTCCATTCCGTCTCTCCATGTCGGACGAGAAAGACTCGGGGTGTTGTCATTATTTACGGTTACTTCCAAGCTCTTTCGACACACCAAAGAAAAGAGGAAGGGAAAATGTTCAAGAACGGTTATACAAATATCAAATGTGAGGTAATAATATACAGGTCTAAAATTGAACCCGCGAGATCGTTCTGATGCGTCCAGACCTCCCAGTCCTTCGCAAGAGCTGATATAAATGACGTGTAGATGAAGCGAAAGCGTGGGGCTAAAAGTCTCTCTGATTGATCATTGATGACAGATGCTGACCAAATCTTGTCGAATTTCTCAATAAGGCAATTATTAGTACCAGGTTTTAAGCTTAACCAATACGTCAGCAATCTTACTGGTAAGGGAAGTGTTTACAAAATTATTTCGCTGTTGAAGTTGCTGTTGGGTTGGTTGTCTCACTGTTGAATGTTGCGTTGGCGCATGGGTGGCTAATTAATTAGCACTCCAACCAGTTTCTTACTATTAACCCGACCTGGATTCATCAGCGTCCCGTATTTTGATGGAAGCCCTCTCCATTGTTTCATGCTTCCAGTCGTTGATTTAATCCATTTCATCGAGTGGCACACTATTTTCCACCCAAATTTCGCCCTCTCTCTCTCGATCTCTGCATTTAGGGAACTAGCTGAGATAGTTCTAACAAGGGACGACACATCTGATCACCAGGAGGAAATGGAGGTTCTATTTCCTCATCCAGGAGCTCGATGCACAGCTCAAAAACACCCAAGTGCCCCGTCATGCTCACCTGTCATCTCCGGCATCCGTCCTCTCTACACTCGTAAATAGTGTCGAGTTGACGACGTCATGCCACGGATGAACCTCCAGAAGTGGTCTCAGTCCTATATCAAGGCAGTGAATGGACATCTCAATCGTCTGTGATCACTTGCTTAGCATGTCTCGACCACGATAGCCCTCGTGGCAGATTCAAAGCGCCAGCTTACCGGATAGAGCAACGACCTCAACGAATGCGCGCTCCGGATGCACAGGATCGCTCCAGGGCGCATCTCCGCCGCGAGATTCCGCACCAAATTCATCTTCTCGCCCTGGTCCATCCCGACTAACGCGGCCATGAGCACGACGTCAAACGTCCGAAGGCTCCCACACTCTGCCGCCGATGCATGAGTGAACGTAACCTGATCGTATCCGAGCGCATTGGATAGTTTCTCGGCATGGCTGATGGCGGTCACGTCGTGGTCGATATTATTGATTCGCGCGGCGGGAAATCGGTCAGACAGACAGAATGACGAGAGAGGAAGGGGACCGCATCCAATGAATGCAATGGATGTTGGATCCGAGGGTAATAGCGTAACGAGATTGGCGCATTCGAGGCGGCTGAGCCTGGCATAGTTGTCGTAATAGGGGAACGCTCGCAGCGTCTCTTGTGCTGCGGAACTGTCCGTCAGCAGATGGCACTTGGAAGAGTGTGTATGCACTGTGCTTACCAGACTGGTTGCTCCCAGCACCAGAATTGACAATGCGTCCAGCCCAAGACAGTTCCAGCTCTGTCTCTCCAGCAGAGCACAGCTTGAGCAGGCTCGAGGCAATCTTGTTCAGGACCGGATCCGACAAGACGAGTTCGACGGTCTGTTTGCTGCGAGGCTCGATGCATGCACGCACGAGACGACCGAACGTTTCGGAAACCTCTGCACTTGGAGCCAAGGATCGGTGTGCGAGCAATTGGTGATAGATTCCAACCAGCCGCTCTATTATATCATGAGCCTCCTCTCGAGCGCTATCGTCATGCAGTGTCGGCGGACTGCCCGTGTCATCCGGAGGGGTAACAAGGCCAGAAGTCTCCGCCACAGATCCTCGATACGGCTTTTGAAACTGCACTGGAACCGTTGCGGTTCGGTCTGTTGGGGTAGTCATCGCTGGCGATTCTCTCCACACTACTGTCCAATGAAGGGAAAACGTTCGGCTCGATTCTGATACCAAGTGAAGCCAGTCCCAAGATACTTACGGCATCCCAATCTCCAGTCGTATAATAGGGCAACCTGGGGTGTCTCCAGCGTACCTTGATGGAAACCTTGATGGTTCGCTGCCGACAAACAGAATCTTTTATAAACAAACTTGCAAACGGTACGGTAAGACATTCCCATTATTCTGCTTTCATTCGGCCTTACTTTTACTCCGGGTGTCTTATTATTTTTTCAAAACCATCCTCGCAACCGGTGTGAGTCTACCAGGTGAATTTTGACCATGTCTGTCTTCGAAACACTTACTCCGTCTCCTTTCCAATCCGTCTATCCTCTGTGGTCGCTTTTCAGTCTTAAACCTCAACATCATCTTGCGGGAGTCTGCAGTGGTGCCGGTTCTGCTTGTATAACTCGTCAGATAGTAACACATGTACTGCAGATTCCTTACCGACAGAATCTTGGGTGCCCTAAACCCTGGGGGGATTTGAACACAGAAAATACCTACACTACATCGGTCTCACTAGAATTCTTGCATGGAATAGTTGTACAGATGTAATGAATCTCGCACCAAGTGATCGTTACTTTTCCCAGTGAGCGCTTCCCCAGCAGGTCATCGTGCTGATCACCTCGATTTGTGTCTCCTTCAGCGTCAACGCCAACCCCTGCCAATCCCAACTAGATTGACCCAAACGTTTGAAACGTAGCTTGGCACGTCTCGGAATATATCTATTCACTTTGAGCCGCAGCAAGTTGATAGGCTTTACTACGAAGTCCTCGGACCGTACGGAATATATTCTCGCCGTTCTCGGTGGGTGTTTCCAGCTTGTACAGCTTCCCTGGTTGCATGTTATATCAACCTACCTCCATCCACCTAGATGGGAGCGCTGCTATGGCATCGCGCTCCAATGCATTTCCTTTCTCAACTCATTCTTCGCTATGAGGCGGTTATTGTTTTCAATCTTTAGTATTTCTTTGGCAGTCAGCCCGGTCGTTTCGCAGTGTCATTGGAATGGCAATATAGAGTCTGTTTTATCCGAATTTCTCGAATAATCAACTCGCTAATGAATTCTAGATACTGTGAAAGGCCTACCGATCTGCCGCAAGTCACGCCTTCTGCAAGACCAGATTGCCATATTGAGGGGGGCCAGCTGTAAGGCAACAGCTCAGGGGCGGCTAATATCTTGACTGATTCCTCTTGTAGATTCTGCCTTGTAGATGGTTCCACTCCAACAGCTGCGTCCGCTCCGGGCCAAACAGACAGTGTACCGTCTCAAATCCAACCAGGGTAGGTCCATAACTTTCATGAGATGGAATGTAGCTGGACGGAAGTTGCGGAACTCCGCGAAGCTCAGGTTCTAAGAAATGACGATGACAGACACGTGCAAGATACTAGCCACAATGAGTCTCCTGAAGCTCCAGGCCACAGCCATGAGCCGGCTCATGGCGGACACGGTGCCGGCGAAAGCAGTAATAGAGAAGGGTCGTCTTCTATGGAAGAGAGCTCTGGAGGACACGGCCATGCCAAGATGGGTGGCATCGCAAAGTGTGATGCAGAACGAGTTGGAGACTCGGACCTTACCTTTCGAGTGGCTAGCATCTTCATCGTCCTAGCGACCAGCTCCGTCGGTTCGTGTCTCGATGGCCAGCCAGAAGTCTGTCCGCTAACGAGTTCGACAGCCGTCCTGGGACCTATCGGGATCAGAAAGTGGACCCGTATACGAAAAGATGGTCTGGTTTTCACTGCTATCAAGCAATTTGGGACGGGCGTTATTATTGCAACGATTTTTATTCACGCAAGTATACCTCCTGTGCCCCTCAACTCCCAGTACTGACAGTTGCAGCTCCTTTCGCATGCATTCTTACAATTCCTTAACCCCTGCCTTGGAGAGCTGTCATTTGAGAGCACAGCAACCGTTATTGCAATGGCGGGCGTCTTCATTTCGTTTTTGGTGGACTATGCAGGTCTTCGGTATCTCTCGTCCAGGGCAAAACACGGGACATCCACGGATATATATCCATCTCGCATCCTGGCACCTCTACAACAACGCGATATGAAGAGTCCGAGAGCGATTGAGCGGGACCTAGCAATATGGGACCAGGAAGGAATCGCTCAGCATGAGAAGGAAAAGCTACATGTTATGATCATGGAAGCGGGAATGATTTTCCATTCGATCTGTGGGTTGCCATTTTCTCTCACCACGAAGCGATAGACGATCTGACATAAGTATATCTAGTGCTCGGTGTCTTACTGACTGTGACGCCCGCCGCCAACTTTACGGTCCTCTTCGCCGTCATCCTCCTCCATCAACTCTTTGAAGGTCTGGCGCTTGGTGCCCGAATCGCTACGCTCTGGCATCCGACACTTCTCAGCAAACTACTCTACGGAGTGGCGTTTGCGGTGACAGCCCCGATTGGTATGGCTATCGGTCTCATCGTCCGCCACACTTTCAATGAGAACGATCCGAGAACGATCCAAACGGTGGGGGCGATGGATGCTTTGAGTGCCGGAGTTTTAATCTGGGTGGCAGTGGTGGAGATGTGGAGTGAGGACTGGCTACGTGGTGAACTGAGCAATGCGGACTGGAAAGAGGTGTCAGTGGGACTGATTAGTCTTGGGGGGGGAGCTGGAGTTATGACAGTCCTTGGAATATGGGAATGATGCTAAAGTGCAAAGGTTCTCTGTTAATTACCAGAGCGCTGCGCAGCTGTACGCGCGATCAATTCTAAATCCGGGTTGCAGCATTGCTCGACGTGATGGTGCTTCTGTATCCGTCAGAACTAGCCACTAATAATCAGTTTTCGTCAGACGCATGTTCATCCCCAATATCTCGCCGGGGCATGTTACTTACCATTCGGCTTCACATTCACTGTCCGATGCAGCTCATCGCACCGCTAATAAGGAAGAAGTGTAGTGCGTGTGAATTGTGCCACCATCCGTGCAACCTCAATTCACGCCACTGCCGGGGCATCGAGATCTTGATGTTCAAGACACCCGGATGGAGGCCAGTCTCTTTCATCGCGAGTCGACGCCACAAAATCAGGAGTAATACCCACCAGTTAATTAGAGTTTTCACATACCATCTCTCTACTAAGTAAGAAGTTTGGCGGCATGAAAATCCAGGTCCGCAAAATTGGACGTGTCACTTTCTTAGCCAGATGGCTCGTTTTGCAATTCGGATGCTATCCCATAGCTTCTGTACGCAGGCTTCCACACCCCTTGCGCTCTACGGCTTGCTGCATATCGGGAATACTTGCCTGGCCTACCTTTGTGCTTGACCTCGTGCGTTCATCCATATGCTCTCCTCTTCTTGAATCAAGCTTTTCTGCCATTCAGCCGTGCCTTTATGTAGTGGTACTTTTGCGGGGGTTTCTACCCCTCCTGCAATCGGTAATACATCTCGAGATGCCTGGGCAAGGGATGGATGGTTTTGGCGAAGCACAGCAGGTTATCCAGGATTCATCATATTGGTAAAGTCTGCATGTCCGAGGAGGCTATGTAACAAGACCGCTCAGCGACTTGATAAATGGCGACCTGCGTGTCTTTCCTCGTCCTACCTTGACCTATAGAAAGTTCCGCAATCTGACTACTTCTTTGATTGCAGTACATCTGTGTGAACGACGCTCTAATTGTGGACATTTCTAGCCTTGTTCTTCAACGGCTTGTCTATTGGACAACGATCCGTCAGCTCGATATAGTTCGGGGCGACGGCTTTTGTACAGCATTGTTTCTTGACATTCTTGCACTTCATGAGCCTTGACGCAACATTACGGCCTCTCAAAGGGGATCTTCGACCTCTACTCGGTGGCTCAGACGGATTGAAAAGCAGGTCTCAGAGTCCCCGATCCAGTCCGTTATACCATCGGCCTCCATCATCACTGTTGCGCCGTCGATCTTGGGCCTCCTTCTCAGAGCAGAACCATCGCCTCTTTGATAACAAGATGTCATTAGTAGATACTGGGAAGGACGCTCAGGTCCTCGCTCTGCCCATGTCCAATCCGTCTTTTGATATGGCGTACTTCTTGAAGAACACGGGACCACCAACGAAGCCAGGGCCAGAACCAAAGACACAGCAGAAGAGGGCTGCTTCTCCTAAGACTGGGTTGAGACTGTTCAGGACCAACAAGCATAGTCCTCGCACCCGGGTTCGCAGAGAGTAAGTTTCCGTGTATGAATTCGTAAATTCATGCTACCTTCTAACTTAAAGAAGATCAATCGCTCGAATTCCCGCAGATGGTCTCTTTATTCCACATGACGGTGTTGTTCAGAAAGTGTCCCAAGACGGTACGCTCAGAAAATGTCATTCACGAGATCCATAAGCAAGACACTTATTCGTACCGCACACTTAGGGAATAAGTATCTTCAGATCATCCCGAACACGCAAGGGTTTGACCAAAGATTGGTCGATTCCAATAACTTCAAGTGAGTGGGCAACCTCAAAACTTGGTGTGAATATAGCTTGACCAGGCATTAGATACAATCTAGCGGCCCCCACAACATCCCTCTTCTCATCCACGACGGAAGAAGCTGATATCGATGGATTTGATAGTTGGCTCTCGACCCTAGAGATGCAACAAGCGCAGTTCTCCGGGTCGACCTTACGAGCCACTGATGAACACGGTCACGAAAACACTGAACCTGGGGAACAAGGAGCTCAGAGTCGAGGAGAGTATGTGGACGTCTGCACTAGTCCTGGTGGATCGACTGGCGTTATGTTGAGCGATGATCGAAATTCTAGCGTACCGACGCCGTCACAGTCGTTCGTTTCCGCCAACACTGATAACCAGTCACTCATGGAAAGCCATTCCCTTCCGCGGAGCTCGGGATCTAAGGAAGCTGAGATGAATAGGGATAGCCTCAAACACAAAATAAGCGCATCGCACTTGGTGGAAAGACAAAATGGGGAGCGGCTCGCAGGCCAAGGACTACGACGGCCCAGTCGCGATCAGGCCTCATCCCGAGCCAGTGAGGATGGTACTGTTTCTACCATCGAGCCTCCTCTTCGGGATGGTCAGGAGCCATTGTACCAAGTTGACGCAACACATGAAAGCGCTAGCCGTTGCGAACTATTCCGAGACGATTCTCGCTCGGCGTCTAATAGACAAACCCGGAAGAACCGAGAAGAGAAAATCAGGGCTCGAAAGCTCCGAGATCTGCGTCGAGTGCGTGACAGCATCGATTCAGTTATGGCCCGGCCCCTTGACCTCACCAACAAGACTGATGCGGCAACTGAGTCGATTAAGATACCAGAAAAATCGCCCAAGAGGCTCGGATTGTGTCTCGGTCTCCCATTCGAAAATAAACCCCGCTGTCCGGGTTACCATGATGCTTCCATGACCCCGGACAGTATTGGTGGGTTGGCATTTACCACGGGACACGACTCGTCAGTCTTAGCCATTGCTGAGAAGGCCACTGTTGTTCCCGCAAGATCTCTCTCGACCTCGAAGGCACCGCATATCACTGCCTCAGGAGTTGAAATTGCTGGTCCTAGGCCATATTGCCTGGCCCCATCACGGGTTGATACACCTCGCCCTGGTGCGACGTCCCCGATCAACACTCTTTCCAGTTCACGCAACAGGCCTTCTCAGAAACATATATCGTCGCCCATCAATGCCTTAACCCACCCCAGCGCCCATTCGCACCATCCCAGCCCCTCTGACCCCACCCAGCCCGGTGCCTGTGCAAGTATCGGGACAGAGTCTCCACCACGTTCATTGAAAGGTAGTATCCTAGATGGAGAGAAGGATACAAAGATTGAGCGTTTAGAGAGGGAGAATCGTCTTCTAGAGGCAGCCTTGATGGCTGTCTTACGGACGGCTGGGAGACTGAACGGATGCCCTTGTGGTTCCGATAACGATGGGAGGGCAGGTGGCGTGCAGGTGAAGAAAGCGTTGGAGGCATACTTAGAGACGAGAAGGTGGACGGATTTTTCTGCTTGACTTTGAGCTTTGAGATGCAGGCATATTATTCTGGCAATAGTTATTCTTATGACACCTTGGGGAATTTATAAGTTGATAGCACAAAAAAATGATTAGATCTCTAGCCACCCGAATAGCCTCAATGAGTGAACAGGTCTTACCAAGAGGTTATTCTGATGTTCGTTGACAAGTTCAGGAGTGTTGGCTCTGATTATCCATCATCCGAATTGACCCGAAGACCAAGCTATCCTTTGATCAACAAACTTGTTCGCTTTCACACGGGTATAGGTCTTCTTCATATTTTGAATGAGAGGCTCGAATGAGACTCCAACTTCAAATCAGTGACTTGATAAGGTACATCGCGATATACTGCCACTGCGGGAAGCTAGCACAGCTGATGAAGGGCACACTTAGGCAGACTAACTTCGCCATCACGTATTGAGGAGGCCCTCTTCACCATGATGCACACACTACAGATCTAGGCCAGTGGTACTTTAGCCCCCGAGAAAAGTAGTTGTCTTTCCCATTTCAGCCTGCTGGGGGGGTTCAAGGGCGCCATCTAGTAGTCACCAAGAGCGTGGAGAGAAGCACAAGAAGGAAATATTGACTTATTGGGACGCTGATGGATGCAAACTCAACCCCACCGGAAGAGCAAAATAGGGAGTAATCGGATTCGGCAGCTTAGGAGGTCAAATCTCAGCTCTCAGAACTAGACACACCTTCGAGGTTAGCCCCTTAAGACACTAGTGCATCACAAATGAGGGATTGAGTGTAGTAACGAGTTCTTGACCCAGGCTCCTCAACCAATCACCGCCTCTTTGTATGCCCTGCTTCAATATAACCAGTTTAAATCCTATGACACTTCCTGCAGATGTCGCTTACGAGGTATGTATGTATATGCTAGGGGCGTGTGGCAACACTCGGGAATACCATGCGTCTCCATCCCGATGCTGTCTGGACATTCGGATGTACTTCCCGCTATGAGAATTAGCCCAGTAGGGGGCTAGACTTTGCAAAACACACCGAACTCGAGCGGCTCGGTTGAGGGAACGGATCAAAGAAACGCGAAACAAGGTCCTCCCTCGTAGGAGCAGATACGTCTCCCAGAGCGACCGCCTGGGACATTCAGTATGGTAGTTAACTGGTAAGACTGGACGAGCAAATGCTAATTTCAATTCGAAGAATAGACCGGACTGTCCTCGGGCATCCGAAATAGTCATCAATTGCATCGTATACATTATCTGACGGTCGGTGTCCCCACGCTCATCCACTGAATAGTCCTCTCTTTGTAGCGATGAGCGTCCTTGTTGCATTTTGCATGTATGAGGATGTAACTAGTTTACCCGTTGAATTCATCGAATGGCCTAGCTCAACCATGAGCTTTGACTATATTATGACATGATAAGGCTGACTGTTGTGCCTCTTCATTAAGGCAGCCGTCCTTGAAGCACTGAACCAGCACTAGGCTGGCCGATCCAGAGCACCAATGTGGCACGGTGGCAATTGTGGGCGTCTCCAAGGCGAAGAAGTTTTAAATCGTGAAGCGAGTTATAATACCTCTATCCTAAATTAATATCAGGCCATATCACGGTAAGTGGAAGCAAGAGTCTATTGAACGGGATATCCCCCGGCTGTCATACCGATGCTTATGTGTACAGTGTAACTCATCCTTTGTCATGAAGGTTGATAGATTATTTTCATTCGGATTTCAGTTCAGGACACTCGAAATTTGGGGGCATAGTGGAGCGGAAATGGGAAACTATTGAAACACCTTGCCAGTAGATTGAAGTATTTCACGACCGGCTTATCGTTCGTTTGACAGCAGAGGTTGTGGTTGTAGTGATACTGACTTGCTGAGGAGTGGTGAAGACACACAGTTAACTGTCAAAGCCACCAGTGAAGGGTATCCCTGTTGAAGGGACATAAAGGTCGTTTTGGCCAAATGCCAAACCGGAAGCTTGGGTCAGGGTCGCCAAACCTCGTAGAGAATGAGTACCAGAGCGAAAAGAGGCCATGGAAGGGAAATGCATGATAATTATCCTGCTTGGGGTCAATGCTGCCTTCATGTACAGCAGCGGCACGGAATTATTGGTCACATGTATTGTATCCCCAGTCCGTTTATCGGAGCGAATTGGCTTTGGCCACTACGCAGCACGCACCTCGTATTGCGAAAACATGAATGCAGAATTGTAGATTCTCAAAGCTGGTCTGGCCTGTCTTTCTTCACGACATGAACAAAGAGAATAGGGAGCACATACGTATCACGGAGAATTGTTGGTAATACGGTATGTTCCTAGTCTCTTATCTGTACGTCCGCCCCCGCCATCACCGAGTTTTGAGACCCCACTCCCCAGTACTGATTTCATCAGGTATACCCACCTTGTTAGTTGTATGGAGCTTGCCGATCTCGACGATCTCCGACACTGCCATGACGTTGAGCCTTGAGGAATTAGGAGGGCACCGAAACTCCAAGCAACATGAAAGGTACCTGCACCGTAGGGAGTCCGTGAATTGAACTCTGATCCAGACTTGCGTAACTGATCTCCAACAGCTGCCTATCCAATATATCGGTTATCTGTAAATTCTTCGTACGGTATTACTAATACTCCGTATTTCCCTCCTTTACAAACAGAAGGGGGATAATGAGCGGGAAGCCGGGAACTTACCAGGGTGTGGAGGAGCCACAGCACATTCCACTAAATGGATTATGGATTCTTTCACCAGAAAGACGGGAATATTGAACCAGGTTAAAGTTCAGCCAACAAGCGGGAGAGGCTTTTGACTGTTAGCCCCTCAAGGAGTAGCGAAGTTTGCCAGTTCTCACTGGTCGGTGGGGATGGACGCACGCAGGGGCCAGATAATTGCTTAGCACCCTCGAAATGAGCACGGTGCGACAGGTAAGGTTTGGACCTTGGAAATTGGAAAGGCGCTGTCAGATCCTGGTCGATCCATCATGTTCGCTTTGTGTTGTTGCATGGAGGTAATGAGGGAGATCGGATGCTGAAAAGGTTTGTCGAAGGTTGAGACAAGATTAGAACCAACGCTGTGAGGAGGAGAGAGTTCGCAGTGATGATTATCATAAACTGCCTCAGAAGTCAGAGCTAATTTCCGAGGGAACGAAATACATTGTAAAGACCTCCGTTGAACTTAGGAGGTACCTCCGGTACCAATTCCGGGGATCTCGTCTCCTGTATGCAATTGGTTATTGGCTAACCCTTGATGGGCAGGTTCAAAAGAAGCGAAATATCACGAGCGGCTGAGGCGGACGGCTGGCTGACCGACCGTCGCGCAGTAGTAAAGTGATAGCCAGGGTGGGCCTGGTTGTGATTTGTAAAGACAACAGATCACACAACGGAGAAATCCAGTGGCACTTGCGCTGACTTTCTCCAACGGCCAGGAGGCAAGAAGTGCCTTATCATTCGCTGCGGTCGAGGGATGGCCCAGAGTCCAGACCAGTCACCACTCACCAGAGACCAAAGTCGGAATCGCGTGGCAGCCTTGCGGCTCTCCACCATCCCCATTCCCCAGGTCCCAATGGCAAGTGCAGCAGCCAGCAGGCTTGAAAAAAGCTGAAGGCTGGAGAAAGCCATGTCGATCATCTGTTGATGCTTAATTCTTGCTCCTCCACTCAGATATGGGCGACTGAGAAACTTGAGCTGTGAGTCTGTGCCCAAGGCTTCAATCGTGCAAGAGCAGGTCGGAGATTCTCGTACAACAGCAGAGTCAGAGCAAACCCAAAATAGAACTGCCATTTAGATCATCAGAGTGGATCCCAGGATGTTGCAAAAGTCCCTACTCCAAAGAGCTACGTACTGTACCTACCAGTAACTTAACCAGATTATGTAGTTAACTAACTTAACTTAGTTAGTGTAGTTATTAGTTAAGCTGGAAAATGCTCTGATCCACTGTTGAGGCCTTGAGGCCTGAAGGGTCTCCTTTAAGCAGATCAACATACATACGTAGTACGATAATCCTTATGATCCGATACAGGGAAGCTGCACTGTGATACGGAATCGGGCACGACATGCTCCGAGACATTTACATGATAGTCAAGCGCTGGTCAACCAGATCAAGATATGCCTGCAGAGGAAAGACAGAGGAAGAAAAAGCAACGGGAACACGAGTGGACCAAGAAAGACTTAGGCGAATCTTCGAGCAAGGCAAATGCCGTTGAAGTGAGTTGAATAAAAGAGAATTGGATCAGGAAACCTCCTCCACGCAATCCCGACCATGGGAAATTAGGTGAATTGTGATGGATTGACGGTTCAAGCTCATACAGGAAGAAAATATTGGGAAAATCCTTGGTTAGCTGCCAGGGTCTCGCTTACCTCCCGGCTCCATTGGCGGATGTCAACCAGGATACGCGCTATCCCCGTCGTATTGTTCGCGCTTGTCCTGCAATCCTTCCATTGCAAATTAAACCAATCCGAGATGCGAGATGCGCGATGGGAACTTTGAAGGAAGGGGTGGGAATGTGACTTGTGATTTTTTAGCAGTGAGAATGTGAGAACTCAGGAGGAATGACTGAGGCCATCGTTGACGGTCTATCAGGCTGTCACTACTCATGCACACTCGGCTCATTTCGATACCATCCCGTCCATCAGTAATTCGGTATTTTCATCGGTCAATGAATCCATCCAAGTAGCGTTGAGGCAGCTAGCCGCGATGGGGCATTTCTCCTAAGTCGACCAAATTCGCGTGTCTTTGTGGCATGTCCTCTTTGATTGATTATATTTAGATCAAGAAGGGGCTAGATTAGAGGGTGTTTGCATCGGACGGAGCATCCATAATTATTTCCTAGGACTGATACTGAAGGGAAATCCGGAGGTACTCTGGCAAGCCCGACGGGTGCACCCAAGACGCCATTTCAGACTCAAGTATACCTCGACAGATTTGGGCGTACCTATTACAGAGTAGTGAATACTGGGTATCGCAGCCTGTCAAGACTCAAGAGGGATGGATAAAGAGTATCGGGCAATTCAAGACTTGAAAGTTGAACGAGAGCCATAGTGGACGCCTCACCCGTGATTTTCTACTCTTGACCCCAGAAGCGGCCACACGACAGCACTAGGTGCTTGCAACCAGAAGTCACTAGTCAGGGACCCCATGGCCTCCACCATCTCATTTCCTCCTCGGTCAGTTCCGGGTGACGCCACCAGCTGCGAATCTGATGGAGTCATGGAGGGTCGGTATCCTTGATAAACGAGCCCATGTCTGAATTCTGATGGGCTCCTGCATAGTGCATAATGCATGCTGGGTATTGGGGAAGGGACCGAGTTCGCTCTCTGCACCCAGCGCTAAGCAGCCCGAACCCACAGCTGTGTATCTCGTAGGCGAGGCGTTCCATGGCGTTATATTGGCGCTGGATTAGTGCCCAGTGGACCGTCTGTGGAGAGTATGATTTGGTGCCATCGCCAGCACTCGTCCAGCACTTCCTTTTCTGTCTGTGGGAACCGTAGACCAGGCCATCGGATCGCTGTCATGAGCATCGCCAACTTCACTGGAGTCTGGAGACAGAAAACGGGAAACAGATCGGGTGGTTGCAGATGCCCTCGTTCATCACCACCGGAACCCTGTTGTGGCATCCAGTGCCACCACTCTCCATTGACTCGGGTTGTGCATCCACGATCGCGAAACCACTGTTGCTGTCATCAGATCTCTGCGCAACACGCATTTCCAGTCCAACTCCATCCCGAATTCACGGTTTTGAGAAGCCATATGCGCCTCGTTGCACGGGCGAAAGTATTCATGAACGACGTGCGTAAGAATCGCCAGGCTCACTCGAAAATGAAGCATAAAACTTGTGGCGATATCCGAATGTTAGATATCGGACTTGGAACTCGTATATCTATGACTTTGATCCAATTTGTGATTGTCATGAAGCAATAATCTAGTCTACGAAAATCAACGGAGAAACTGTGCCAGCATGATGTTTAGTATTGGCGCATTTCCGCATCTCCACACCAGACATAGGTACCACAGCTGGACATTTGCAGGAAGGTCATTCTCAAGGCAACCCTCCCAACAAAGAGAAACAGTAATAATATCAAAATACTGACCAGGTTCAGGATTTCCCGTGGTCGGTGGAGAGAAATCGGAGACATTTGAGTTGCTGGGATGGATTTCGGAAAGTTCCGTGATTTGGAACCGCCCATCTGCTCATCATCCATGCTGATTGTAGCCCTAGCACTGTACAATCTCATCTGAAGTCATCCTTTTCTGGGCCCCAGTGAATTACTAGCAGGTATTTGACTTATTATTGAGAGCTATCATTACCGTTATTATTATGGATAACCATTCGTGATCACGAATCCATTGATTGTTTGGGCTTGGCGGCAAGAATGGAACGGTGGTTATTAGCGCAGTCACCGAAGTATTACTCTATCATTCCGGAGACGCCACTCATCATGTCAGAACTTCGAGGAGATCCGAAAGTCATTTCGTATTTCCTGGTGGCTCCTGCTTGAGCTGCAACATTACTGGTTATGGCCTACGGGGAAGCGAAAGCAATTTGTCGTCGAAGAATATTATTTGCTCCACAGCCTTGTCGGTATTTTCTTAGCACGCTTAATAGCTGACCCCTCCCTTGGTCGACTTTCGTGTCTCCCGAGCACTAAGCAGTCGGCTGTCGCAGCCGCCAGCACTCAACAATTTAGCATGCCCCATCCATATCGGGAGCATTGCGTGGGGCGACGATCGGATTCATCCTGGGGACAGCGCAAGGAATATGGGTGGATGCATCGCTCCTGTGCGCGACGATCAAATAAGATGAACGGGCGATGAACATTTGGTCCATCCTCACGTCCCTCAGATCAAATATTACATGATACCAATTCCCAGGACTGTGATGCCCCCGCGATCGGGTCCGGTTCAGGATCATCAGACCAATGATACTAAAATGCGCACCTGTATGGTACGCACTAGGGGTTTCCTGGGAAGGAAGTCGGCTGAATTCTCCAAATCTCCATGCACGACGAGATGGACTGACGTTTTGGGAGCGAATCATCCTGCATCTGTTGCCGCATGGATGGTTCCTCTCATTGTTCACAATCTGGGCGACTCTCGCTTATGCTGGAGGCTGCATGGCAAGCGGTAAAGCAATTCTTGACCTCTGGACCGGTCACAAAATATTCGGTTTGCACGAGGGCAAGGAACAAGAACCTCGAAAGTTCGTTACTTTGTCACAGGTGACAGGACATAGAACTCAGAAGCACCTCTCCAAATCGATCAAATACAAGAAACCTTAGCGGCACAAACCACCTACAATAGGTCTCTCCCTAATACCCTGATCCCAGGCGGAATACCTCAGCTCACACGAGACAAAGATGGACCTGGACCACAGACCACCGTACACCACTCGCTTGTTTTTGGCTCCCCCTAACCGGTCAACATCGCTCGGCGCATTTTCTAAGGTCTCTGAATTCTGACACCCTGTAAGGTGTAAGCCGACCTAACAGTCCGATGACTGAATTGTTGGATTCCCCCTCCGAGCCGGTCATTTGTTCGTTCAGCGACCCCCAGAGCCAATGATGAGCGATGGATCCGAGGTTAACGGAACCAAACTATACCCCGAAAACGAATGCATGGTCTTGATTTGGTATACTTGCTGTCCACAGAGGTGACTCTGCCCTCTAGGAACCTATTTTATGATCTATATCGGTCCTACGATAGGCAACATTCCGAGATCATGGTCGGTTGAACCTTCGCACCGAGAAGAGCACAGTGATCCTCATGATCGTTGCATGAAAGCCAACGCAAAGCCGGCCCGGTTAGGACAGGCGACTTCGATGACAAGACTTATTTAAGCCGCCCAAAGGCAGTTCCCTCGCCGTCCCAAGCTCCTGGAGAGTGGGGATGGCCGTCTCGTCTGGAGCTGGGGTCGAGGCAGCGACAGGGGAGGAAATACAGTTAAAGCATAACAGGGGTTTTGGGACCCAGGACCCTGTCTGTCCCGGAACCTGGACTGGGCTGCCACGGAGCCGCTGACGGTACCAGAACTAGCGGGGACCGGTTGACCCCCCGTACTTTTGCTTTGCCCCCCTTTTGGATTTGGCGCGTTGAGAAACACCACTTTCACCCCAATATGCTCCCGCTATTTTACCCCCAGTCCCATAATATCGGAGTGGGCGGGACGACTTGCCTACATCATGTCGAGTACTGGGTGTCCGCTATGAGAGCGGCGCATGGCTCAGGGCTGGTATTACGCCGGTTCCATCAGAAACCTCCCCTTCGCCTCTTCTCGTCAAAGACGACTGCAGTCCAAAATCTCCCTAATTTTCTGGAACCGCAGACATCCCTTCTCTATCATAATTTCTCAAACCCTGCAGCTGTACTTTGATCCTTATTTGGGGTTTGAATGCGCTTGATCAAAGTGGTGTGTTGTGTCATGAATCAGCCCTTTGAGGAGGATGAAGTTGTCCACTAGGTTGCTGTTGATAGTTTGCTTCTTCCATGCGGTACCTTGGGTCGAGTCTTTCCCCATGCACTATTATTCTGTTTTTGACCCTAGAAACCTCCCATGTCCATTATCCGAACCATTTGATCAGGCTTGAGCCATTTTAGTATCTCATCTTCCCAGATCCAGATCCCCTATGCCCGCACCCCAGTCTTTTCGCAAGCACGGACGGGACGAAGGCCAGCAACTGCCCTAACCCGTCCAAGAGCCACGCGAACAGTCCAACCTGCACCCCTAGCCCGGTGCACATTGTAGAAGCATACATCAACACTTCACTTCCTTCTCATCCACCCAGTCCACCACTGAGACCGCCCCGCTGTCTATCCCAACATCATCAACATCGTCGCGAATCCGCGACGTTGCCTTTTCATACGAATCGACTTCTTAGGGTGTCGCTTTCTTCGTCTGCGATCTTGTTCCGGTCAGCTTTGGATCCTGTACACCTCTCGTCAGCGGACATTCCTAGCGAAACCATCTTTAGCTGTCTCGATCACGCCCCACTAGGCTACCAGACTGTTGTTTGGATCGACACGCTTCTTTGAACTTAGTCCTACGTCAAACTAGATCCTCTTCATTGCGTCCTCTGCCTTGAAACTCCGGACCTCCCATTCAACGATCAAGCTCGTTTATTCTATCTTAACCAAGCAGCTGGGAGAAGAGTCCACCCAGAGCAGGCCATTTCCAAAACCCGCCTTCACTAAAGCCTCGTGCGACCTGAAGTCGCACAGCTCCCTAAGACCACAATTTCGGGACCTTACCCAATTACTGGTTCTATCTGCGATTCAGGGTCCTCGTCGTACGGGTGAAATCACACTGGTACCCGATCAGTCCGGCCTGGCAGACCAGATTCCTATTTTCTCACAGGACTTGAACCTAAGAAGCTTTAAGGTGAAGCTGCATCTTCAGTACCACATCCAGGTGGGCCTAATAGCGAGCGTTGTCGAGGAACCCTCGTGAACGCCCTGTCCGCCTATTGGACTCATCCTAGGAATTTGGGAGAGGGTCATCCAGGAGTACGGTTGTCGCTTCATTCATATGCCTTGCCATCGCCCCCTTCGGCTCTGAACTATCGACCATCAGCGAAGCCATCTGTCACCTTTCGAATTCATTTCAGTCACTCGGTACGACAGGAGACCCTGCAAAGAGCTTGGGAACATTCTTAGACGCCTCTAGATTGTTAGGGAGACGTCTCTACCTCCTGCTTCCAGCGTACAAGGTAGCAGGTCGGCGCTGCCTTTTGCTGTAGCAACTCCGACCGCTTTCCCGCTCATCTATCTCCGGCCGCCGGGCCCGTGTCGCGGAAAACACCGTCATCGTGGCTGCCGCAGTCGCTCATCCGACCCTTATGCATCCTGGGCCGGATCAATTGGGCGGCACAGCGCAATCGAGTTTCGCCTCTCGGCGGCCGAATGCTTCCAGCCTCCCGAACTTCGAACTACCCACGCCTCACATGTCGAGCAGCCAGAAGTTTCAATATTCGAATTCGCAGGCGCAAGGGGTCCCACCGGTGTCGAGTGTAGGGAACCTTCTGACTCCTCCAAGCACCGTCCAAGGGGATGGTTTGAGCCCCGCATCTGGCGTTGCGACGACCGGCTCAACAACAACACACGGCATACAGCAGACATATGCGCAAAATGGCTATGTATGGCCACAGTCGGGACAAGGAGCATCGCACCAATACACATATTCGCCAGCGTCAGCGCACAACTTCGGCCGTCCCATGGCATTCCCCCCTTCGATGCATTCCATGGTGCGCGGCAACGCACCCAATTCCGCCGATTCAGCACCGGGATATGAGGTTAACCCTCCACAATTTCCCGGATCCACGAATATCACGACCTCTTCCAGCATGACCACTATGGGACCCCAACAACCAGTAATGGCAGTTTCCATGGCACGGCCACATTCCCCACAAGTAGCGCCGCATCAGTCGCCCCAACAGTCGCAGGGCGAGTTCCACACCCCTCGTCTCCCTCCAACACCAACCTACTATCCCCCCAACTCCGCGCCACCTCAATATGCCTACTCCACTGGACCGCCTCCCTCGCAGCAAAGCCCTCTTTCCAACGGACCACGAATGTCACCCGTTTCAGCTGCGCATATGCCTACAATGTCGACCCCGACCGGCCAACCCCACCACACCTACCAGCGGCCGTATGGTTACCCTCTTCCTCCAGGACCTGTCCTCAGCAACATCCAGAACCCGCAAGCAGGACCTACTATTATTGGCGGGTTTCCTCCGGGGATGATGGCTCCGCCATATAATTCCGGGCACGCCGCGACCATGCAGCACATGTATGGAGCGCACCACCACGCCCCGGTCTCGGCGCCGGTGAACGATCGACCGTTCAAGTGCGATCAGTGCCCTCAGAGCTTCAACAGGAACCACGATTTGAAACGCCATAAGCGAATTCATCTGGCTGTCAAGCCGTTCCCGTGTACAGATTGTGACAAGAGCTTTTCAAGGAAGGATGCGTTGAAGGTGAGTTAATGAGCCTGATGACAAGGATCGCGACATAGGGCATCCGTTGCTAATACACATCGAACAGAGACATATTCTTGTGAAAGGATGCGGAAAGCCGGTCCCCGACGGCGAGAAGAAAGATCCCTCCAGCGATCCACACATCTCCAAAACGAAGACGGAGAAATAGGCCGGTGCCGTGATAATCGATCCGATGGACAAATCGATTTTTGCTCCTTCGCTTCATTTAGCGACTGTATTATATATCTAGGCGCTGCTAGGTGCCAACCATCACCGGAAAATAATGTGTATGTTGGAATGGGTTGGATCTTGGCTCGGAGTCACTGGATATCTTTGGCCTCATGGTTCTATGCTTGGAAGATTTGGGTCGATGTTTTATGGGTGCTCGTGGTTTGATTTGGCTTGCGTTTCTGGGTTTTATCATCTCGGCTTGGATTGGAATCATGCGACGGATACCACTTTTGCGATTGTCACAATGGGACGCCCCTGGACTTCTTTTGCATCTGTTTTATAACAGAGTGTCAGTTCACCGGCTCTTCAATGTTGCATTTCTCTGATTATGGCACTCTTGGTTTCTATCGGACGTCATCCTATAGTTTTACCTAGGGTTGGCAGATTCCTTGTTCTTTGATGCAATTTCCCCATCATACTTCTTACGTTCTGCATGTTTCCCCTGTATGAACAGTAGCAGACTTCTAGTTTCAGGAGCGGAGATTGTCAGCTGATGGACGAAGCTTCGTCCACTGGCTTTGGGAAAGGGGGAAAATCTAACGAATTAGGCATGCTTCGAGCTCAACGGAATTAAATATCTATATTGCTCTTTCTATCTATAGAGACTCGCATGCTCATTACTACGGAGGACATTGGTAATCAATGGCTCTGGTTACTACCTGACACTGCTCATAAAAGCGACTTTCGACGCCTAGACGGAAACTGTTTTGGGACTTCAATGCCTACACAAAGATTCCCTCCTGCTACTCTTTGGATGGGGAGCTAGATTGTAAACAGAAATGATTCATGCAAATTGGTTAAGTCTGTTAGTCCCTTATGGTATTTGCATACCGATTCCTTACAATGCCAAGCATATAAGACTTCATCTTGATACACATTAGTTGCAGCACTCACCAAAGGGAACACAACCCAAACCACGATACTGCAGCAGTCCTTGTGAAATCGTGTGCTGTTCTCCCTTGCTTGTACTACGCCCATCTCGCCTCTTGGGAACCAATCCATGCACCTCCCACTGAAAGAAGCCAATTCTCCTCTCCCACCGCACCACCACAAATCAAAGATCTGCACGACTGAACCGTCCTGTTCCCAGCCATCCATTTGGGCTGCCGAGTCTGATTTCTGGGCGGTCCCTTTGTTCCGGGATAGCGGCAGTCAGAACCATGGTGTCCTATACTGTGGTCCGGATGCTGGGATAGTTTTCTGCGGTGTCTATCCGATCGAGTTGTATGGGACGGAGTTGCATCTGGCTACTGTATGGGAGTGTGCAGAACCGCAGATCGGTGGAGTTCATGCCTGTGGGGAAGAGGACCTGGGTGGCGGCGCCCAATTAGTGCGTTCAAACTTCAAGCGTTATTAATGCGTTATGTTAAATCAAGAAAGTTGAGAGTCGATCACCACCTATCCTTGAACTAGGGACGGAAGGGAGCTGCACCAGGATCGGATGATGCGATCATGCGATCGCCGACAGGTAGGAAGGGTGTGCTTTGGCTGACATAATCGGCCCACTCTCCAGCCTGAGCTTCACTTTCCAAGTTTAAACCGACAACCATCGTTGCCTGAAATAATACCATTGCTCTTGTTGGGTCTGAACGCGCTCAGTTTGATGTTCCTTTGCCTTTCACAGGTATTAGCTTCGTATCCATGATAACTTTGAGAATTACTATGTTCGCTGGTCGCGGTTCGATCGACCACAGCCAATTCAGGTTGCCATGGTCTGAGAGAGCAGCGCTGTTGGGTTGATGGGACAATCCTCCAAGTAGTACGCTGGTTTGTGAACGTTGCCAAATAATTTGACTGTCTTAAAGTACTTAGTTCTCGATGTATTGCCTGCTCGGCCGGTCAGAGCGGATACATGGTCTGACAGTTGTCCCGTCTAGATGTGCTTCATCATTACCATCACTGACTGACATGTGGAAGACCTGTGCAGAAATGTAAGCCATCGGAAGTTGAATGTCAACTCTACCAATCCAGACTGAGTGAATTTCTTATCGATAATCTTGTGGAAAGAAGCCGTGGTGCAAACTGATGGTCTTTAAGTGCAGACATGCCTCTGAAGCTGCCTGGTGGCGTTCATTCCAATCATCTCAGCTCGCCTTCACTGCATTCCTTCACCCAATTCTGGCAATCAAAACAACCCTCCCTTTTCTTATTTTTGATCTCTTTCTCAGTTTAGTGCGTTGCCAATTCACTTCGGCACTAGACTACTGTTTATGGTGTGGCCCACTATCTTGTTCACGCTTCCGTTCGCTCTGCTCTTTCTGGACTTCACGATCCTTGTGCCCTCTGACCATTTCCATGCACCCACAATCACCTCCTCTCACGATACGTGACTGATCTCCAGCAATTGGTCGATTATCAAGCTTTATTTGCGGCTTCTTTTCCAATTGGCTTCTTGATACAATTTTTGAGTTTGTGGGCCGTTCAGACCTATCTCGGATGCCTCACATCTCATTGAACCTCCAAAACACCTTGGACTTTGGACTGGGTTTCTTCTGCACCATATCCCCCATATCCTAATCGCCCAAGGCTTGGCCTATTGAGTGTCCACAAGCTCTTTCTGACTCAAAATCGATCCAATATCAATTCGACAATGTCAGGGTTTTGCACCTCCTAATCCTCACTAGCATCTTGCAACAACCAGGTAGCTCTTCACTCTTTTGTCATGTCACCCACCTGTCACAAGTTTTAATTTTGTTATGTTCGAATTCTAGGCCGCAAACGCGTCGTCAAGCTCTGATCAGAAGCATGGCACACTTGGGACCTCAAATCCAATCTTCTTCCGGTCGGCGCCCACTGGAAGACGCGCCTCATCGAGCAAATTTAGCTGCACCACCTCGATCGGCAACAAATGGACATGTAAAGCCCCTGTCTCCGATGAGCACCCAGTCCAGGCCTTCGTCGCGTGTGTCAGCACGTCCCCCACACCATGAGAGTCCCACACCCAACGACTTGGCTATCCAAAAACCTTCTGCTCCCCCGGAAAATAAGAGGCTCTCTGAAGTCGTAGCTCAAGATGAAGCCAATGCGAAACGCGTATCCTTGTTCTCCACCTCTTCAGCGAGCAACAGGAAGACCTATGTCGGTCCATGGCAACTGGGTAAAACCATTGGCCGAGGCGGATGTTCCAGCGTTCGAATGGTTCGGAACAAGTACACGGCCAAGGTCTGTGCTGCCAAGATCATTTCCAAAGTTGCGGCCGAGCAAGCTCGAGCAATGAGCCTTGCAAATTTAGAAAAGACTGCCGGTGCGAAAGGCGCAAAAATGATTGCAAGTGGGAAGGTCATGCCCTTTGGTCTGGAGAGGGAGATTGTTATCATGAAGTTGCTGGATCATCCCAACATCGTTCATTTGTATGACGTGTGGGAAAATCGGAATGAACTGTATGTTGTTATAAACGGACGGATATGCATCCTCCCGCTATCAGACACGCTAACACAACTCAGGTACCTTGTCATGGAATATGTCGAGGGTGGCGAGCTATTCGACTTCATACAAGCCAATCCCTGCATTGATGAGCAGTCGGTCGTGTATATCTACCGCCAACTCGTCGGAGCACTCCTGTATTGCCACCGGATGAGCATCTTCCATCGCGACTTGAAACCGGAGAATATTTTGTTGGACAGGAACACATACCAGATCAAGCTCGTTGACTTCGGAATGGCCGCATTGCAACCAGAAGGCCGGTTCCTCAAAACCCCTTGTGGAAGTCCGCACTACGCTGCGCCGGAATTGTTGCAATACAAACCTTATGAAGGCACGAAGGTGGACACTTGGAGCAGCGGGGTCATCCTGTTTGTCATGCTGGCCGGCACGCCCCCATTCAACTATCCACCCAACGCTCGAGAGATGACAGACAGTCAACGAATGCACGCGCTCTATGATACGATAATTGCCGCTCGTTACAGAATCCCTGTGGGATTCAGCGCTGAAGCGGAGGACCTGATCAAACGCATCTTCGTGGCGGACCCGAATAAACGTATTTCCCTTGCAGAGGTGTGGGACCACCCCCTCATGCACAAATACGACGAAGCACTGGGCTACAAGCCTGATGATCTCGAGCGGTTAATGGGCCCACCTCCAAGCCTTGAGGCTTGGGTTCCTCTCAATCGTCACACAATTGACCGCGACCTTTTCCGCAACTTGCGAACTTTGTGGCATGATGTAAAAGAGAGCGAGCTTGCTGCCAAACTTTTGAACCAAGAGTAAGTGCTTATATTGTCACGTTTGGCCAGCTTGACTGATTCGAATCAAAGAGCAAACATCGAAAAGTACTTTTACTTGAGGCTCATGGAGAGTCGTGAGGAGCAGTTGGAGAACTATGCCGGGTATCCTGACGGCATCTCCTATTCTGCATCAGATTACCATCATCTGAAACCCTCCTATCCCCGTAGCCCGTTCATCCCGCCTAGTTCTCAAAGTTCTCAAAGTTCGGTATCAAGGCCAGTGCGATCAAAATCTCAGTATTCAATCTTGAATGATGAGCACCTGAAGTCGCGCCTCAGCCTCCACAACAATCCATCATCCGAGGCCAGCTACGACCCTTTCCGTGCTTCTAGGGATCCAATTGTGAGCTGTCATGGCCCTGGGCTCAAAGTTACTCTCCATCGAAACGATTCCAATACTGGTTCTGCAAGGAGCGGCAATGGCAGACCTAAGGTTCCGGTAATCAACTCCGGCCATTCGGGGTCTCTTCGTGTGGAGGCACTTAGACGAGGAACCCGCACACATTCAAGTATTTCCATGTCGAGCAGCTCCATTCGATCCACACAGAGACGTTTCCATGGCCCTGGCAGTTACAATAGCAGAAGATCGCACACTCGCAGCTCCCTGGGCAGCTCTCTCCCACCTAGCAGCCCTCCAGTCTACCCTGCACGACCAAGCAGCTTAGCCAGGCCAAAAGTGAGATTTTCTCACGTTCGCAGATCCTCCACGCTTAGTGCGTTGACGAAGAACTCCACCGGTCTCTCGACTTATGCACATGATGGCAATGAAACCCGACGGGGCGACTGTAATACTGAAGAGTCAGTCGTTGATTCTCCTGGCGCAATTTCAAGCCCGGCCCTTCCATCCAGCTGTGTGATGAAGTCGAGAAAGGAGGGTCATGCGGCCCCGCCTCGTCTCAAAATCCAAAAGCCAGTCAATCCCCAGCTAATCATTGCGAAGGAGGCCCGCAAAGTCAGCACAGAGCTTGAAGCTGTCTGCGACCAAGCCTTCTTCAAGTCCTCCCTTAGTTCGAGCCATGTAACCACTGCCACATCAGGCAGCCCATATTCTGATACTCCACCGTCATCTGTCTCCAACCATCCGGAACCTTTGACCACGGACGGGGATAGGACGGGGATCAACGGCGCAATCTTCAACCGACCACTTCCACCTGTACCCATGACTACACCTCGAACGTATGCCAAGAACGAAGTCCGACATACCCGTGACCGGTTGGCAGCGCGTGTTGGGGAAGATGGTACCGAAATGCCGTACTACAATGAGGTGATGGATCACTTGAACTACTTGGTGGGCCGCTCAGGTTCTACGTCAGGTTACGGACCCCGTGCTACCTCTGCGCCAACTCATTTCACGAAATCATCTGGAGATGCCCAGAAATTACCGGTCATCAATGAGGAAGACCGATGTGAGAACCCTGAGGACGAAAAATATGCGCAACTGCGCAAACGAGGCCACCGTGGAAAGAGAGCCGCGACTGAGCCATCGAACTTCGAGCGGAACGCGAATACGAAATCTAGCTATCAACAGGAGACCATCAGACTCGTCACTGAGACCTCGCCCACTCCCATTGCTCCCCTCAACATTCGCAAGAAGAGTAGTGCGAGCACATCGTCGAGGCATGATCAAAATGATTCTACTACTGCCGGGGCTCAAGGTTCTTCTCGAGCGGCATCAAACGTCCCTCAGCGCCCTGCCTCAAGGGTCAGCAAGAGCTTCGCTGGCCTGCGAGGGAAAACTTTCAAAGAACAGGATGCCGATGATATTACGATGACCAAGGCACCAGGTGTTGCGGTGGATCAGAATGCTGCAGATCTCCAAGTGAAGAAGAAGAAGAGTTTCTTCTGGCGAAAATCAAGCAAAGAGCTGGTGAATCCGACAACTGGCTCTCCTTCCGGATCCCAGACGGATGTCGACCGTCCGCAGAGCGCCGAATGGGAATCCTTGAGTTCAACTCCAGCTCGACATGGAAGACAGGAGACTGGGTATTACAATACGGCAGATCTGAGAGGCTTTGCTTCACAGACTACATCCGATAGCTCCGAGTTCGAGCTTCGTCAAGCGGAGGCGAAGAATCCGAGGAAGGGAAAGTTTATGGACTTCTTCAGGAAGAAGAGTGACAAGAGCTACATCAATACCAACCCGTCGGGTTTGGAACTTGGTTAGTTCCCAAATATTTGTTGATGAGCATACATCTGACAGTACCTAGGCTCCGACCCATCCAGCTCTACTATCTCACCCTCCTTCGAGATCTCGTTTGACGAGGGAAATGGGAGGGGTCTCACAAAGCGTCCATCCGAAGTCAACTGGTTCGCTAAATTCTTCCACATCAAACCAGCCACCCGTGTCCTCTGCTTCCAGATCGGCCGTGGCCGCACTCGGTCTGAGGTTGTGCGCATTCTCCGAGGTGCGCAACGAATCGGAGTCAAGGACCTGAGGTTCAGCCGGGAGGATAACATAGTGTCTGCTCGCATTGGGAGACACAATCGTAAGCCATCCCATCCTTGCGATGTTGACCTCCTACTAATCCAGCTGCAGAGCTCAAGATCAAGCCCGTTACTGTCGTCTGCGAGATCTTTGCCGTTCTGGAACGCGGTCACCGCGCTCAACTTTGCGTTGCCCGCTTCACCCAGACCAAGGGCGCAGCCAGCAGCTTCCGACATGTCGTCGGCATTATGGAGACGATTCTCAACACCAAGGGTCTTTTGGTCGAGGACGAAGAGCGTGCACGAGAGATGTGTGAGATCCTGGGTTGAAGGCTCGGGTTTGGCAACAACCCAGTGTGCCATTAGCTAAACGAACCATGGCTTCCTTATTCGGCCACAGATTTCATGCTGTATGCAGTGGGTGTGGCGGGATTTGGCCAGTTGCTGTTTTTCTTATATCTTCTCGCATCAGCATGCATGGCGCATTTCAATCGATCCGCTTTCTAGAGCAGGCTACTTCGTTGAACCCGTGGATGCTCACGGCATGATAGAATGCACTCCTCCCCCCCTTACGTACTGGGCGTTCCTGTACTTGATATGTCACTTCTCGAGATGCGGATTGATAGGGTTACTGGTTCGCTCGGAGGGTTTCTGAATTATAGATGCGGAATTCTCAAATGATGAATTCATCCAGCGTGGGTTTTCTTTTCTTCCCCTTTCGGCGCTGGTCTATATAGATAAAGCACTACTCCAGCGGTGACGATAGGATGGCATGTGGAGTTAGGGTATTAACCCAAAAAATTGAGAGACTTCAAAGTTATTCGTGCGCGAGTCTTGGCCATACTGTTGATACGAAATCTCGGGGTTAGTGACAGGCCTGCAATCGGCCGACACCTTGAAGGGTATGACTTTAATGTTGTCTCAATCTCGGAGACGTGGATTCATTTTATAAGCCCTTTGATGAATAACAGGCCATGCAAAGACGCCGATACCCAGTTGATACCCAGTTGTTCCGATGCATCAGCAACCGCTGTACGATCATGTAGCTTTCATCCCCACCACAACCCAAGCACGTCCAACCTTAACGGGTCTTCGCCTGCACCTTCGGTGCCGCGCCCTTCGCACCCTGCTTGCTCTGGAGTCGCTGTCCTTGGCCCCTCGCGGCGCCGGAAGCGCTCTTGGCCTTCTCCAGCTTCTTCTTGCTCTCGGTCGCAGCCTTCTTCTCCTTGGATTCCTTGATGGCGGCGGTTCGGGCAGCGGCACGAGCTTCGGGTCGCATGGAGCGGCGCTCCTTAATGACGTCGAGCGAGGCACCGACGATGGCGCGCTGGTGCTTCACGGTTCGGCGGGTGCGCTTCTTAGCGGCTTCCTATTGGGAGGAGAATGGTCAGATCCGAGAACAGTCAAGTTGATTGCGGCGATGCAGGATCCGCTCGTCTGGTGCATGGCGTCGGAAACACGATCGGGTGTCTACGAACCTCAGTGATGCCCTTCTTGTGCTGCCTTCGGAACAGAGTGGTCCAGGCAATGCGACGCGGGTTCTTTCGCTGGAGGAACAAGCTCTCGGTCTTGCCATTCTGGAATCGGAAGATCTTGCTGTCGCCGCGGATATACAGCTTCCCCTACAAGTGAAAAATGCCTCATTAGTATCTCCCATGTCGTTTCGTTCAGGCTGTCTTTGGGATTCGGAAGCCGTTGATGGGATGCCAGGTGCGGTACGAACCTTTCCAGGGTAGATCCGCTGGCCGGAGAACACGTCGTCGTATGTCCTCATGTTGACCGGATATGGGATAGAAACGGTGACTATGTGGTTGAATTGGAGAGGTTGAAACCGGTATGTCGTCAATTGGAGGTTTAGTGATGTGTAGGCAAAATGGGACGTTGTGTGCCAAGCCTACCCTTCGCTTCAATCGAGCTAATCCTCTTTTGGGAGGCGGGTCGTGCAATAAGGCAATAAGGCAATAAATGAGTCAGTAAGGCATAAATAGGCACGTGACTTAGATTCTGTGCTGCCCATGTGACGCAATTCTTGTTTACATTCCAACGCCATGCTCCTATCCGACTGCCAGAAGGCCCTAGGCATGGTCAAAAGACCGCAATGGAAAAAGAATAAACCTCTCCAGGAGATCTTCCAGAAACTAGCAGAGGCTAAGAAAAGAGGTTCACCTTCACCTTCCATTGGGTGCCAGCGCACAAGGGAATACAAGGTAACGAGAGAGCCCACGACCTCGCCCAACTCGCTACTACCACCGGATCTGGACCAGAAGAGCATACCATAGTACTGAGACACGCGATCAAGCAAGGAAGGAGCCACCCAGAAGCAAAGAGAAAGGTCTTCCTAGCCAAAAAGACCGGACGCCTCGCGAAGGACCTCGACAAAGCACTACCGAGCAGACATACAAGAAAGCTCTACGACAAGCTATCGAGAGCCCAAGCAGCCCTACTAGTACAAGCCAGATCAGGATACTGTCGCCTCAACAGCTACCTCTACAAGATCGCGCAGGCCGAAAGTAGCGACTGTGAATGCGGAGCAACAGAGAGCGTCCACCACTTTATACTAGAATGCACGAAATGGGACGAACAGAGACAGCAACTGAAGACAGTGGCGGGAGCCCGAGCAAGGGACCTGCCTTTCCTCCTTGGAGCGTACGAATCAGAACCAAAGGACGGCCCGATCAAACGATGGTCTCCGAACACGGAAGTAGTTACGGCAACGATACAGTTCATCCAGGACACTGGAAGACTAGACCCAGGAACATGATATCCCTCTACACCTTCTCTCCTACACCTTCTCTCCTAGTTATACATGCCCTTCTACTAACTATATGGTCTCAACCCTCCGATCCGACGCTGTGCCCGAGTAAGAGCAGCGTCACTCTAGTCAGAACCTAGAAGAACAGAGGCATTCAGCAAACTGACCATCTTATTCCCTTAACACAGTTATAATATTTCCCTATGTTAGCCGCAGATATAACTAGAAGCTAGTTAGAAGACCGAAGATAGAAAATCGTGAATGGGGGCACAAGGCCACAAGGCACCAATGTACGTAATTAGTCAGCTTAGGTAGTTCCCCACATGGGCCTCGCCGAGAGGCCTGACGGCTGACGGGCGTATGAATCTCTCTCTCCCAACGCCATGCCCACCCATCCTCGCCACCATCCTCAATCCTCAACTACCATCATGATTTCATTCGGTACGGCACTTATCACCTAACCTTTAGAGTCGGGGCTCGAGTGGAATTTTCTTTGAAAGCGCCCTCTTCTCATCGAACGATCGCAGGTAGAGTTGTCCTAAACATTCATCCACTAGACCCAACTGCATTACATGTGTCCTTGTCGCCCCTTGGAACCCAAAATATATGGGAACGACGCGTCTTCCTTCCCGTATTTCATTGCATTTTTATTCTTTGGCTACTGCTCCTCGAGTGGATCTGAGTCGTTTGGCCGTGCTTGGATTCCAGTACCATTATGGTCGCTAGGAAAATAACGTACGAAATATGTTATGTCGATTCCTTGCACGCCAGGTTCGGCCTTTCCTTGCTCTGGCCGTAGCAAGAGCGTGTCATGTTGGCTTTGTGTCTGCTGTCTTATGGCTTGCGAGGTGTTTGTCTAGACGGTGTTTTCCCAGATGGTGTTTGTCGACCCACAAGCATAGCTCAGTTTGTCCACATTCCGAACATTTGTTGGGCTTCGGTTTCTGCTCAGCATTCAGCTTATGTCCAGCCAGTAATCCTTGCGCCCTCGCCTTTGGGTACGTGTTCTTCGACGATTCCGATGGTGCTGATATGCAGGTATGATGTTCTACGATGCATCTCCTCCCAATACCGCAACCATAGACTCGTACGCTGTAGTGCATAATCCATGCGTGAGGGATGCGGAAAGATCCTCATATTTGTTGCCTCCCAACCCTCCGCAGCAAATCATACAGTCCCGGTTCTGTGTGCTTTAGACGTAAGCTCCTCCCTGCGAGTGCTCCTTGGAATCGCAAGTGGAGCAGGGAAGGCTTCAACATCGTCGTTTCGAAAAACAAAATGGCTTCCGACAAATGCGATGCCCAGGTTTGAAGAATGCCGTTCAACCCGTGTACTGCATACAATGTCCTTCAACGGGCCTGCGGAGGGTCCCCTGGCCACCAAAAATGACAGAGCCTTCTTTAGCCGAACCAAAATCAAGGGATTGTGTCGAGACTTTCTTGTCTAGGTGCTGGGCACGGTAGCAGACTGGTCCATGGTCGAATTCGCATGGTTCAAACAGCTTGCTTTGGGGAGATGGGACGCAGTGGTGGAACTCGGACAACTTGGGGTTGTCTTGAGAACACTTTCGCAGAATGCAGGGGATGCTGGCTAGGAGTAAGAATCGCTGTTCCGGGAGGGGGTTCCAAGTTCGACATAAACCGTGTGAGGAGGCCGGCCGTATTGGTTGCTTCAACCCTTGCGTGAACAGGACAATCATGCTTTTGTCCACTTCCGGTATAGTTACCCAGTTCCCGCTCCTGGTCGGGTCAACGTCGACAAACTTCCTGGAGCTTCCTCTGATGCCGAGCGCAACGTCGAATAAGTCCCATCCATACAGACGACGTCCGCTTCTAAGGAATGTTCTAACCCTTGCACCTTCTTCTTGACTCGAGAGGTTACAATCTTTGCGAAGTTCGATCTCGTCCATGATGGCGTGTACTTGATCGGCCACATGCACATCCTTTTCATTTCCCAAGCCTTCTACTAGAAGGGCGCCCCTCGATTCAAATATCGCATTGTATGAAGCATTCCCGCCATCTGGCGAAGGAGTTGCACGTGGGATAATTTCCAAAAGCGCCTCATCCTCCCGATTTTTGGCCCAGATATGGAGTGCCTCTAAAACGACACTGAGCTCTGACACGTAATAGGCTTGCTTCGTGCCAACATCTACAACGATTGTGTTGCGGTTCTTCGCATTTGTTAATCGATCCAAGAGGTTTTGGCGAATTGTTGAGAAGTGCTTCGTGCTCGTTGCTTTCGAGACAATAAATTTTGCTTGCAGATTAGCACCCAGAATACCCATACCTGGGACAACGAGGGTCGATACTGCCTCCCTAGCTATCCAGGTCGATTTATCAATGCCAGCGTCAGTCGGTCGGATAGTGCCGCACTCTGTTTCTCCGGTTTCGAGATTCCTGGCACCGAGGTACACCAAGGAGCTTGTGCTGTGGCCAAGAAAGGCTCGTTTCGTTGAAAAGTCGACAAATAGAGGATGATATCCATCCCTTCGAGGCGGTATATTCACACGATTGGTCTCGGGGTCGTAGGGAGACACATTAGTGCATTCCATCGGTTCCTGGACTGGGTTCCTTCGAAAGGCATCTTGGAACTGATCCTCGACGTCGGTAATCATGAGCTCTCCTTGTTTGGGATCTTTGTGGACGTAGTGCCATTGTACTCCGTGCCGTGTTTCCCGCTGAGGGATGAGAATAGAAGAGTAGCCTCTCATCGCCAACCCTTTCGGGTACTCGAACATATATGACATGCTAGAGAACTCTGTCATCATGTCGAACGGCAGTTCGAGGCCAATTTCATCACCGCGTTCAGGGGCTGGAAACCCGCGTGCAACCACACATCCATCGAACAGTGAAGCCCAGCATCTCCTTTCAGTGGAAGGTATTTGTACAGTGCTGTTGACTGTAATGCTGAATTCAGCTGCTTCGTCAGGGTCGCGCATCTTAGGATCACGTTCGGCTCGCTCGAACCCCTTCCACCACCTCTCTTCTGGAGACATCTGCACGTCGGAGTAGGATATCTCCGTATTAGGGACACGAAGTACTGCAGCAATCCAGACTAGTTGTTGCGCAAGTGCAGTAATATGTGCTTTTGGGCCCGCTGCCCATACGATGCTATAGCACTCTTCGCTACTCCAGGGATCCTTTGGAACTAATCTCAGCAAGAGTGTCTGGAAGGGGCTATTTACGGCTATGAAACTGCGTCAGCAATCTATATTTGTGAAACAAAAAAGACATCCACTGAAATAACTTCAGACACTGGTGGCCTGCTTGTTGTTGCGCTTGGAACTGTTTTTCTGAGGGACGCCGTTTGCACTGGTGGAGGTATCCAGTCAGTCCGGGTCATCTTGTCGTGGTCGTTCTTCGAAGCAGGGAGTGGCCCCGAATGTGTGAAGCTGTGATCATCTCTATCCATGTCTAGCCGTATTGGTTCGAGGTTCGAGGTTCGAGGTTCTTCACGCAAAAAATAAAACTCCACGAGGCCATTGTATACGCTATTCCTTTTGCCCATGAGAGCAGTAGTCATCCTAAACAGAAAACGCTACTCACCTTGAGCTTCATAACTTGACATTACTGCAGATGCCTTTTTGATTATATCAATAAGACTGGTACCCAGCTCGCTCCAGGCTTCAACCGATGCCATGTATTGTACACAGCTTGCTGCATATGCTTCATGCATTGTTCCGGAGATGGTCAGCCATTTATCCAAGTTCTCAGCGGTGCCATCCAGTTCCTTGCCGATGAAGTTTGTCAGATCCCAGTCGATACTAAAATTCGCATAGCAGATACCACCGGTGTCTTCCAACAAGTAGGATTCTACAACTCTCTGGATCTCTTCCCAGCTATCTCTACGCATCAAGTACATCTCAATGCTCGAACTGTCCACTACATTCTTGCTGTTGCGATGATATGACATCGTAACGTAATCGCCTGGATCTGTGGGGAGAGAACGATTGCCCAGATCCACTTCGGGTTTGCTGCTATCGCGATCTGTCAGCCTGGGAGTGACAGCTATAGTAGGTGTTATATTCCTTCCTCTCCAGTTCAGCTGTTCGGATGTCTCGTTCCCGAATCGTGGAAGTAAGTCGCTAGGCAATGGCGGCGGAGATGCATTCGGATATTTCTCGGGGCCGGCAAGGTACTCCTCCGAAGTGAGGGATACAGTTTCCCTATAGGCCAGTTAGAGTATTATTAGAGCATAGAAATAGATCCAGAGATATTCATACAATCACAGACAAACCGGCAACAATATCATCCACGGTCACATTCGTCCAATCCTTCCTTATACCGATATCGCGGATCCTTCTTCTGCCCTTTGTACTTTCCGGTTGTCTTCCTCGACCTTTCGAGTACTGGCTTCGCCTATGCGTATTTAACATTCTGAAGGTTCAACTAGACGTACTATATACCTATTGAAAGGACTACTGTTGAGCCTAACCTGGTCGAAAAGCAGAGAGAGGGTGTCCCAGCGCTGATGGATTAGGCCAAGATGTATGTCGATGCCAAAACAAGTGCCATGACTTCAGTCCCATGTATAGTAACCGAAGAGGAGGATGAAGACAATCTTCCCATTATCAAGCTGGGTACACTAAAGTATGATATAGGCGTTCGGGATGTTTCGAGGGGCAGTGGTTGGTGTTTAGTAGCGTGAGAGGGAGGTGTCCAGAATATGTCTCTCACCGATCAAGACGTTGGCAAGCAGGGCTGACTAGGTAGGTATGCCGTTAAGCCAATGAGGTCATGCGACCAGAAATGACTGACCGACCACCTTTATCCGGAATTCATTCCCTCGGGTAGCAAAGTGCGCATATCGCTATGAGTCGAAGATGATCCCAACCGAGGCCGTACATGATGGAGTCTTACAAGACACTGCATGCCAGCAATTGCACACCCTGATGATGATCACATGGCTGCGAATGAGTGGACTGGAGGTCATTCGTGCCATTTCGCCCGCGATATATCGTGTTTTAATGGTTGAATTGATGAAATCAAAACCGAGATGAATGTTGATAGATGCATCCACGGCCCATCTGCGAAAATAGGCCACTTTGGCGTTCGGCTATGCTGCATGCGATTTCTATTGCGGTAGGATAGGTACGTGAAATCGTCAGTAAGGCGCGGAATTCAAATCTATTCCGCCATAATGCGAGTGAACTTATCTAACATGCAATATATTTGGACGCTGACCGTTTTCGAGATAAGTACCCACGCCACCGCACCCGAGAGTGTCAGTGATTTGAGGTACTGACGCGGATTAATCTGCTCTTGGACTGGATGTTGACTTTGCTTGATTTCATATATGGGAAATGTATAGGTAGAAGGTCTCGTTGGCAGCGAGGCTGGACGATATTACCCACTGTGGAAGGGGAGGGTATCTCCAGGATACCAAATAAACCAGAATTGACGTCTAGAACCAACCAAATCAATAGATGAGGCGCAGAAATCAGAGGATCGGATGAAATTAGAGGGCGCGTTGTGGCTGTCAAGATCTGGAGCAGCACGAGGCAGAAACTCATGAGAACCGGTCTCCTAGCTCGATGTAGACGGGCAGTTCGATAACATATTACCCTCGTCCAGCCCACCCCTAGCTAGAAAGACGACATGGCAAGATCCTATCCGTATGCAACGTCTTTTCATGAGTGAGAACAACTGAACAAGATGTCAAATTGTCGATGTTGTCGTATTGAGCGATGATGGGAGGGTAAAAAAAGCGCCTCGCAAGCTGCACCAGCTCGATGACCAGGTGGGGTTAAGGGAGGCTGCTGGCATGGGTGTCCTGGATGGATGATCATGATTGGCTACATCGAGCTGATCTCCCGGCTGTGGGGGCGATTGCGCCTCATCGATCTATTTTCAGTTCCCCCTCGTACCCTTCCATTAAGTTTCCAAGGAACTTCTGACCTACATTCAAGTATTTGAGTTCCCTTCCACCACCTCAATCCTTGCCACATCATCGCTCGTAGCATGCCTGACGGTTGGTATTCTGACCTCAGAGTCACTCTCATCATCCGGAATTTAGTAAGATACATCATGCTCCATAATACCAGGACGTTTTGTGGCCCGCCGGCTACAGATCCCATATCTGGCTGTATCTCACCTCGAAGGCTGTACCGTAGCGTGGAGTTGCCGTATTGTACTACCATCATCGGTCTCTTTTTAGCCCCCGCTGCCCTGTCCGAAATATGAATCCGGCCCTCTCCCTCACCTTCCATGCATCTGATCTCGTTTTTGATATTGCGTCTGCCACATATCTGGATTTACATTTGCTTTCCGAGTCTACAACCAATGATCAGTCTGAATTCTGTTCGATCTTGCGTTCGCATGGTCTAGCAATCCATATCCTCTCGGCCTCTTGCGTCCCCTCTGTTTGCCTTGCCGTATATGAGTCTTTTGGTGGGCGAGGCACAGCCTGCTTTTCAGTTTATCCGTTCTATCCTCTCTTCCTTATCGCGTTATTTCTACCGCATAATATCTCGTTAACCATGGAGCAAGAAGGAGACTCCCCCTTTGCTCCTCCTCAACCGTCTTCTCCTATCCAGCTAGACAGCAGGTCGATTTTCAGTCAGCGAAGAGCCACCACTCCCGCTCCGATCCAAACAAATTTCGTCATGGACAACCTGCGGCGGTCACAGATCCATCCGCCATCGCGGAGTAAGTGGGCATCGAAGCTTGGCAAGAGTCACGTGGAATCTAAGACACAAGGAACTATTCTGCGAGCGGTCCCGAAAGCCGATATGAGGCAAACCATATCGGCCCCTCTCTACAACACACTAGTAACCCCGTCCAGTGGTTCGTCTAGTGGTTCGGATCCGCTCTCTGCTGGAAACCCACCTTTACTGGATTCCTCGTCGTCTCATGGCAACAGAACAACCCATTCCGAGCCGGACAAACGATCATTTTCTTTTAGATCGAAATCGAGAGATCAAAGCTGCGAGCCGAAACCAAACGTCATTGGAGTTTGGCGGGATGGTGCAGCCCATTGGGACGCTAAACAGGCTGAGCAACGGCCGCGTATTACTATCGCGCCTGCCACTCATGCAACACCCACCAACATCCCTGTTTTTGTTGCAGACGTCAATGAGCCTGAGCTACCACCAATTGTTCCCGCCAAGGATCCACCGAGGAGCGCGAGTGCAAAAGCACAGCGTCCTCGCATCCAGTTGGTCATCCCACCCGATCGGTATCAAACCCCCCTCCCGGCCTTAACATATAGCAGCCAACCGTCCGTCACCCAAGCCCCAAAGTCGGCACCTGTCGTCGCCCCGCCGTCCTTCCAGCCGCCAGCTCCGGGTACCAAGACGATGAACGCCACCCCACTAGGATTATATACTCCAGAGTCTCAAAGGTTGATGCAGACAATCACCCTAATCCCCTCTAAATTATTCAACAACCCTCTAGAGAGGCCATTGCGGCCTTCCTTAAGCAGCTCGACTTCTGAGGAGGACGTGAGGTCAGATGACGATGATACGTCAAATTACAGCCATCGTTCGTCAATGACAAGTGTTGAGGAGACTGCGCCTATTATTCCTCCAAAAGCCGCCCGGCCATTCAACTTTTACAATCGAACTACGAGTGCAGCATTCTCAATTGCAAATCCGGTGGATGCAGGAGTGTTCGAGAACGAGACTCTGTCGATAGCTGGTCTCGAATATTCACAATCATCGGCGAAGCGACGGCCTATACCTGCTGCGCAGCCAGTACCAGCAGCAGAGCTTACATACTCTCCAGCGGTGTCATCGGCATCGACAACCAGTGCTCCATTTAGCGGCGTTGTATCGCCCCTCTCCCCGGTCGCTCCGAGAATAAGGCGAAAGCAGGTGCCATCCAGTTATTCTCAACGGCCCTTGGCCAACACCAACACTAGCAAGAATTATACCAGAGGCGTCCCAAGCCCGACATGGAGCGAAGCGCAACACGATCTTGAAATCCACCTTACAGCCATCAGCGAAGTTTCGCCGTTCCAATGGGACGATTTTGTGCTCCCTGAACGCCAGAGCATCATGACGCCGCCCATGACTCCCCCAAGACGGTCGAGCAAGCGACTCAGCCATCCCCTCCACCTTGCGGAACATTTGCGTCCGCAACTGGCGACTCAACCTCCCAAGTCATGCCCAAGCCGCTATGAGGTAGACCATCGTCATCATTCGCATACTTCTATAGGAGAGTCGACGATCATTGGGTTCTATGAGCAGACCGCTCCGTCAACAAGATCCTTGATGCTTCAAGACAAAGTAGCCCAGCACGAGCGGGTGATCACTCCACCGGCTGCAGAGATCATTATCCAAAAAATCATGGAAAATCTGGACGACTTGGGCGACTTGTTCGCCGCAGCCCTAACCAACAAGGGCTTCTACCGCGTCTTCAAGCGCCACGAAATGCACCTCATTCGCACCGTCCTCCGCAAGCAGTCACCTGCTGCCTGGGAATACCTCGAGACGTTGACACCGGCCCACCCTCCAGCGGGTACGACGGAAGTTACTCATCCTGACGAGGACTTAATGTCTCCTATCTCGGCCATTGACCGCAATCAAGGATCTGAACCTGAAAGTGCAGCGCATAAATCCAAACACACCCCTACATCCTATATTCGCTTCTTCACTCGCGACACATACATCATTGCGGCTCTTAAGCTCCTGGTTCTGGAGCGCTGCCAATCCTTTCTTCGCCCGACGACTGTTGCCGCGCTCTCCAATCCGAATCCGTCGGATGCAGCAGCCATTGCGAATGCTCGCGCCATTAACGACGCATTCTGGCGAATTTGGACCTTTTGTCGAATCTTTGGTCGAGGCCGTGGTCGTGAAGATGACATCATTGCGCAGACGGACTGGCTGAAGGGCGGCGTCCTCGCACACCAGGTGACTTGTACTAGCTCCATCGTCTCTAACGATTCCTTCTATATAAGCTCAGTGCTACTGAGCGCAGCAGAGCATTTTGGCAAAGGAAATGTATCCCAATTCAATTCAGAGGAAGGGTTGTCAGCTGAGGAATTGTACAACATGACGGAAATCTGGAATTGTCTGGGAACATTACTCCATGGTCTTCAAGGGAGAACTGAACAAGCGAGGGGGTATGGTGTGTTTGACCCAACTGACGTGCGAGGCGGAGATATTGATGGCGAGGAGGCGATGCTTGGTAAGTCATTGACAAATTTCAAAAGGCCTACTCCTAACACGGCCCTCAGAAGAGTTCCAGTATCACCTCCTTACCCTCGGCCTCTCACCGCTCCTTACGTTGGCCACCTGCCCTCCAACTCCCTCCGCACAAGCGTTTGCTGTCGCGAAAGTGAACGGGTGGACCCGATGGACGATCCCAGCTCCTGGTGGCTCACGCTCGACCTTTCTGAAAGAAGCCGTCTCTCGCGTATACGAAGAGAAGCTCAGCAGCGTACTCACTCCTGCTGATAGCTTCCGTCGCGAGATGGAAGAAATCCGGCGCTTCCGCGGTAAGAACCTCGCCGTGGAGCTGCGCGACAGCAAGCGTAGTGTCGGTAGTTCCGACGGTGCTCCTTACGCAGCGTCACTAAGTTGGTCGAATACCGGATTCGAAGAAGAGCGACCAATGAGCGAATGGGAAGGGGCTTTGGACAGGTTTGCCAGCCCTATCGCCACCTCGCCTCTGCATCCTGTCTACAAGGTCAACAATGGGCACAACTCCCTCTATGGCAGTGAGCGGCACTATACGCCAGCTCCCCAACCTCCTAGCCCACCTTCTATTTCCTCTTCATCCCAGTCGCTCTCTCATCCCTCCGGAAACCCATCGTCTCCACCTTCTACCCCCCAGATTTCCCAGCTGCACCCTGCCTTCCGCTCCCGCCCAATTGGTCCTCCTGCCCTCCGACACATACCTCCACCGCTTTTTAGCCAGCAACAACGCATCCCCCGTAGCTCCCCAACCTTCACTCCGCCTCCGGCCTTCCACTCGGCGTGCCTCACCCCCCCTTTTACCCCCAACCCCACCTCCAACCACCCTTCAGCCGCCGGGCCACCCCACCGCTCACCACCGCCCACCCCGCCGGTGCCTGCATTACAACATCCACTGCAGCTGGCCATGGCACCGGACACGGATCCGGCGGCGAACAGTGCGGAGCGTGCCATCTTCCGGATTGTGGAGATGGGATTCACGGCGGAGGAAGCGAAATACGCGTTAAGGAAGACGGATCTAGGGGATGGTTTGAGGATGGATCGCGCCGTGGAATTGCTGTTACGGAACGGCGGACAGGCGTGATATGATTCTTGTCCTTGGCGTATATTGCATTGTTTTAGATACCCAATCCCTTGAGAGCCTTTTCTTTTGAATGGACAGAATCTGAAGATAACATTACTGTGCAACAAATCGCAGATTGATTCTGGTCAGTGAAAGCCCAAAATTTTGTTATTGCCAATTTGCGATCGCATATTGAAAATGGCCATATCGGACTCGAAAACGAATACAGTGGAACGTGGTTCAAACGTAGGAAGGCTTCATCCGCTTGAAAAGAGGCACAAAAATGGGAGACCATCAATGAGATCGAACGAACTGAGAATAACACTGCTGACACTTCAAGTCAAACGTAGACAAGCTCGCTATGCTTTCTCAAGCCGATCTCAGGTATTAAAGGGCACTTGCAGGCCAAGTCAAAAAGGACTCCAAGGTCTATGGCATGGGATGAGCTTAACGATGATCCTTGGTCTATAAACATCAGGCTCCTTCATCAATAGAAATGAAGAATGCAGATCTAGATCTTTGCTCTACTACATGTTGTAGTCTTGTAGAACATGTAACAAGTTTGAAGGCGGACAGAGCATAGTGATAGCTGACGCGTCAGACGCGTTCACGCATGCCCGACTTAGAATGGAAGTGACGGAGACCGTGAGGAACATCTGGGCCCTGGCAGTCTGGCTGGTTGTACCATAGATCCCAGACAACCTACGTCATCACCTGCCGCGAGGTGCATTCTGGACCTCAAATGATATAAAGTATCATCCAACCTACGTCGGATGGAAACGAAAGCACTTTCAACTTTCAAACTTCAAACTCCAAATCGATAAGTAACAACAACCTCGTATACAATCAGAAAGTTCTAAGCACCACCCCCGCAACCATGCCCATCATCCCCGATAGCGAGATGGCCAAAGGTCGGTGCCGATCAGTCAACGCGTCCCGGATGGCTAAAGCTAACAGGATGCGATAGATGTCAAGTCCGCCACCAACCCGGATGCACAATCAGCAAAGGACGTGCATGCGAATGCCCATCGAGCCAATCTCGGCCCCGTCATCCCTGAAAGCATCGAGAAGCCGGCGTCGAAGGAGGAGCTCAAGAAGAGGGCGGAGGAGTTGAACAAGAAAGAGAAGTGAAGGGTGACATATCATGTCTTCACGGTCATCTCAAGATGCGAGTTGGGTGTAATGTTTTACTAGTCACTGCCAGCTTTTCCGCTGGTCACGAATGCAAGAAATGACGAGATATCATTCCGATGTCCCTAGATTCGGTGCCGAAATGCTCCCCGTGAACAATCCCGCGCACCACAGCAACTATGGGAGTACCTCATCCCCTTTCCAATCCCAACACCGCCCTCTCCCTTCAATCCCTATCCTCCTTCCCCTCCCCTTCTCCATCTCCCGCCTCGACTTCTCCCCCACCTCACCACCATACCACCCCGCATCCTCCGCCCGTCCATCACACAGCCCCACCAGCCTCCCCGCAACCCACGCCGGATCAAACAACTTCTCCCCCCTCACCCTCCCCCAGAACTCCCGACTCAGCCCCGTACGCACCGTCCCCGGATGCAGCGCCACCGCCATCGCCCGGTCCCCCGCCGTCCGCCGCAGCTCCAGGTCGAGCGTCTTCGCTAGCTGGAATATCGCCGCCTTGCTCATCCGGTAGCTGTACCAACCGCCGGCGGAGCGGTTGTCGGAGATGGAGCCGACGCGGGCGGCGAGGAAGGCGATGGTGGAGGTGCGTGGTAGATGGGTGGATGCGTCGTCCGAGGGAGGCAATGAGGTCCTCGACGTTGGGAGGAAAGGGAAGAGATGTTTTGCGAGGAGGAGGGGCCCCAGGATGTTGGTTTGGAAGGTTAATGACGCGGAGCTGGCGGAGACGCGAGTGATCGTCCGTTCGGGATCGAGCCGGCCAGGGAGAAGGAACGCTAGCTGGAGGCGGTGGGAGGAAGGGGGAAAAGTAGACTTGAGGGATTCGCTGAGGGACGAAATTGAAGCGTCATCTAGATCATTGTATTCAGGCATTAGCTCTCGTCACTCAAGGATGATATCCTGGTAGGAGCCAGCATACCAAGAACGTCGACGTGATGCAAATGCAGCCTCTTTTCTAAAGCATCCTTCCCAGAACCCTCTTCTCTGGGACCTAGTCCTTTTAACAACGAACTCTTCACTTCCTCCAAGTTAGTCCTCGCTGTCACTACTACCGGCACATTTGTCGTCTGCAGAAGGTGCCGGGCTATTTCATGTCCGATCCCTCGAGAGGCCGGCGAGACGAAGGTCCAGGGCGTCATGTCCGGTGTTCGAGCAGCCTGTAGAGAGGACCGACCATCGATATCATCTGCAATGTTCGCTATCGCTTGGTTAAATTGTTGTTAATGTCCGTTCATAGTCCTGACCACAGCCGATTCTCTCCCGTCAGTGCCCAACAGTGGGAGATTTAAACTTCGGTTCCGAACGAGTAGACCGAATAGATGATTCTATAAACTGGCTTTGAAGGTAGCTGCCATCCCGTGCAGGTCAGAATCATAACAGCCCTTCATCATGGTTAAGCATTTGATGTTACACTTCAATGATTGATTCTAATGATGTTAATGGCGAAAGATGCGAAGTTGGCACCACTCGTAGTCTAGTAAACAGACACGAAGATATAACTAATAAGTGTATAGTTAGTAGCGGAGCAGGGATCCGAAATTAGAGATTCCGGAACGGTCTTCCAGACAAGAACCAACCAAATGTAGGCGAACTTGAGCCTAAATTTAACTTTAACTAAGCCATTATATCACCGCGTGCCAATATGTTGCATTTTTTACAAGTTCAGCGAAGGAAATTGCATGAGACGGCCTCTGTTTCACCGGAGGTGAAAGATGGCCTCACAATTCACAAAGGATGTTGTCGATCTGATTGATCCCCAGCGGCGGGATCATTCTAGCCTCCTCACTGCGGCTGCGGAATCCTATCGGTTCCGAGTTCCCTAGCAACAATCGATCCCCATCCATAAAATCCAAATAACGCCATGATGCGCCTTCTGATTCTTCGATCCGCCCGTTGCACCCATTTCCCATAGAACCTAGAAGTACTCGCCCGTGGGCACAGCACAGAAGATGCCCGTCGCCGCTCCACCGATGATCAACCCCCCAACGATGGCTTGGAGGAAGATGGTATCCTGAATCTGCCGCAACGCCGGCTCCTTGATCCATACCTCGCGATCGAAGACCTTGCGGACGACGGTGCGCTTCTCGTACTTGGCGACCCACGGCTCATCCTCGTACGAGTTCGAGTAACTGGACGTCAGAGACACGGACGAGATGCCCAGCCTTTTCTCCGATGCGGCCTTGACCTCCACGACGCCTGCAGCTACCATTGGTTCGTAGAGTTCCGCGTCGCCGAACAGCTCCCAAGGTCGGAGATGACGGTGATGCATGCCATGAAGAACCTGCGTGGGTTCCAGTCAGTCACTCCTGTTCCCTCACGCACACGGACGCGGATTGCGTGCGAGGGAAACTTACCACGCACATGCCCTTCCACGCAGCGATCGAAGTTGCGATTCCAATGAAGAATCCCACGAACGAAAACACCCTCCACGCCTTCCCTGCACTGCTCAGAGCGAGCACCATGCCACAAATGATGCCCCCAACAATCCCACCTACCCCCAGACCCCGCGCGAAGGTGATGCGCGGGGGGTTTCCATTGTAGATGCTCCAGAGAATGAAGTTCGGGTGCGCCTGGCAGCGGAGCGACCACTCAACGGTGGCGAGCACCTCACGGAACACCGTCGGATGGGTGGTGACTTTCAGTGCGTTGAGCAGGGCAGCACGCTCGCGGCCGGAAAGGTTGAGCTGGCGTGGTGCATCGTCGGCGATGTAGATGGTGATGATGCGGGTAATTTCTTCGCGGAAGGGCTGCACGGTGACTATGGAATCGAGATTAGCGAAGGTGCTTATCGCCATGGCATTCTGCGGTTCCTCTCGTGGAAAATGCCTTACTTTTTGGTGCTTAAGATGGAGGGCGACAGTGACTTACAAGGCTGCAGTTTCACGTCAGCTTCTCCGTACGCCGCCTCTGTTTTCCTGTAGATGCTCGTGCGGCTTGGAGCGGCGCTGTTTCCACTGACGTTCTCATTGTATTCGCTCGACGTGGAATCTTCAGCGCCATGGACCGGACTGTGCGAAGGTGGGTTGAACGGATTCACGGCGCTACAACCAGCGCCCATCGTAGGCACGATCGCGAAGATTGTGCTGTCAAAGGCCAGAGCGGCATCTGGGGATATATTCGTTTTCCGGGCAGTAGTAGCAACAGTAGCCTTGTAGGCGGCATCCTCCGCCTCTGCCTGTTGCGCGGTCCATTCCGGGGAGAGGACCTTCTCGCTTTCGGGAAGAGCGCTGAAGCGCTGGATGTAGGCCTTGAACCACAGGAAGAACTGAAGGTTCTCTGCGGAGCGCTCGACGTATTTTAGATAGTTGAGGAAGTCACGGAGGGTGCATGGCTACGCAGACAGTCAGCTGAGCCAGTTTAAAGTCCGGATGGTGGACTCACTGGGCAAGTTCCGTCGTTGATAATCTTGTCAAAAGACAAGGCGTCTGGAATGCCACGTACCAAAGGGCTCCGAGAATCGATCGACTCGTTGATGGGCTTTCGCTTCTTACTCGCGTCTATAGAATCGACGGGAGAGGAAACGTAGGAAGGCCTACGGTACGACAGTGAGAGTACCATGATGTCTAAAAGTTCTTGAACCCAGTTTAATCTCAACAATTTTAGTACTACAGAACCCAAAGGCTCGGTGTTGTATGCCTTGGACAGTTGGCCGTGGCGGTGAGGTGTGGGAGAGGCGACGAGAGGAAATGGAAGTGAAGTGGAAGTGAAGTGGAAGAAGAAGTGGGGATGTTCAATGAGTGAGAGAGGTAAGCCGATGATGAAACTTCATGAACAAAGCATACCGGTAGGGTGGAAGTGAACGTCGTAGTTTCGGAGGCTCGAAAGAAGTGGCCTTTGCATCAAAGGGAAGCATCGGGCCAGACAGTGAACGACAAACGCATTGCTCCATTCGGGGAAAAACGCAACGGAATAATGGTAGTGGAAATATTTGAGCATAGAATCAAGAACAAGCAACCCGTATTACCTGGAATCGGCTAGGGCTAGCATCATTTTCATGTTTGACGATTTTCAGAAGTGGCAGAGGCCTGACAATGAGATAAATCGGCTGGTGTCATGCGAGCCAGTGGACTTGGAACAGAAAGAAACGAGACTTGTTGGACTCAGACCCGATCAACAAGCCTATAGACTTATCAACAATGGTTTCTTTTCATCATCACATGGGTATATCAACACCAGTGCCACTGAGACATTGTGCAAATAACGAAGAACCCCCGCATTTTGGCCTGGGTTCTGAGAGACCAGTGCTACCGCATTGGAGAACAAGGGCTGAAGTTCAACATCTGCATCAGTGAATATGGGCTTCGATCGACAAGCGCCTCTAGGAGGATATGCCACAGCATGGTTGAAGGGCTACTATGGCTATTGAAAGTTGAACCCCTAGAGCCTCCCAGGGTAAGGTAAAGGACTGGCTATCAGGTTGCAAGTGGAATCAATCCTTTCACTTGTCCAAATATCCTTTGCACTTCCCAAACTGGACACAAACCTTCTTGCGGGGGCACAGGAGACGACAACCGTGTTGGCCATAGTATGTAGATCTACATGCCCTTCATTGTCCTTTTGGTTCCCATAGGCAAAGAGATATGAGGTTCTTTTGAATACTTCTCCAGGAAGACGTGGAGTCCTGGAAGGCGTCGAACCAGGCCGGATCACACATTAGACGCAGGGCTCCAAGCCACATCCTTGAGGTCCGTACATTGTAGAGAGCTAAAGGAGAGGCATTGACTTGAAGAGTTGAACAAGACAATTGAAAATAGGTACCAGTTGGTCCTCGAGAAACTTGGGATTGCTTGGGGTGAACATTGACATATCCATGGTTCATCAATCTCAGCAACAGATTAGCCAGTCCATAGCGTTCTATGATCCGACACCCCTTTTCGGCCAGATGTTGATTCTTCTCGACGGTCGACCAACAGTCGGGTCCCCCCAAAGGGAACATGCGGCTTGTCAAGCTGTTGTCGTTTGACGCGACTTCCTGCATCCGCCCACGATGCCGTGCTGGCCCCGGTGGATCCATTCATCTATCCATTACTCCGTATGGGAATATGACTTGCGTCGACGATCAACAAGGCTCGGATCGGCGTGGTATGGCCTGTGGTGCGGATCATGACACTGGCATCTCGATTTCGAGGATGAAGCTGAGAAAATCCTGGATCGGATCGGCGACCAGCAGAGCGATCTAAGGGTAGAGTTCTCACCGCAGATTGGTGCAAGGCGCAAGCCACTATCCCAAATCAATATCATGATATTGGGGTGCAAGTTCATGGAATCTGGAATTCTGGATATTTGAGTTAGCCAAAAGGTCGGGACATGAAGTCCGGGGTACGGGACGGGATATGTACCGGTAGTAAAAACAGGGTCTCAAATCCATTGTAATAAGGGCCAAGGAGTGAGGCTAGGAGCTGAGGACTGGACAGGGGAGCTGGAAAAGGGGCGAGGAAAATTCAATTGTACGACATCACATTCTTCCGCTATTAGTCCCGACTTTTCCAAACATATCAATGCTGCTAAACTACGAGAGAGTTTCCGGAGAACAGCCATGCCAATACGTGAGTGAGGGGATCTGCCAACCACCGGTGTTATCTTGGAGTAACATGAGACCGCGACAGCTTGGGCAGCTTGCAATTTTTGTCATGGTTATTGCTTCATGGCTAGTGAGGCTTAGGTATATTTACAATACTCTACATGCTTGGTGCTCGATATTGACGAGCCACTTGGGGTGTTTCATGATCCATCATCCCCCATTGGTGTTCATGAACATCGTTCTCTTCCGTCCTCCATCGTCTTCATGTTTTCGCCGAAGGTAGAAAGGGCGAAGCGCTTTTCATCCGAGTGGATGGTCGCACTACTAATCGACGGACTGGGAAAGTCCATTGAAATTCTCCGTGCTAAGGGGCGGATGTGATGCCACACATCTACCTGATGCGTTGAAAAGAAAAGAAGGGGTTTCATCGATCCCGGATCGATGAAGGCGGTGAGAACGCCGATGTGGTTGTGTTTCCTAACGTCCCCTTCATGTCCCAGAGTCCCCATTCCGTTGGCCTCCGGATATGGACACGCATCCCGGAGAAGAAAGAGGAGAGGGAAAAATCCACCCATCAGTCGTGGTATCTACACGCCGACGGTGTTCCTAAAATATGTTGTGATGCGAGAAATCCGGTCCAGGAGAAAGAGATAGGAACTTGAATGGAGCGTGTGGAATGAGTCGTGGGTGTGAGTAAAGCCCGGGCTCGATATGTTGAAGTCGAATCAAAGGGGAGCGAAGAGCGTGAAGTAAGGGACCTGTCCGACGGCGTAAGAGATCCATTGGAATGGTGGATCAATAATAACCTCGACGGGTCTCCTTCACATGCAGGAGGTACCGTACCCGGACCTGCGCAGCATCATAGCAGACGTACTCATTGAAGTGGAGATCCGATTTCGGAACATCCGTGTCCCCAGGCGGTTCCGATGTATCAGGCATCTTGACTCCTTTGAGCTCGTCCCACACGCCCCCGGCGTCTTTCCATTTGCTTGGGCCTTTCCTGCCTTGGCCCCAGGTCGACTGGCATCTGTTCGATTTTGCGACCTCAGCGGCATCGTAATCATGAACGGTACGCTCTCTCATCTTGCCGAGTTCCACTTCGCAAAGGAGCAACAGCATGTTGCCCCGCGCGAGTTGGGCATGGCAGTAATTTCCCGACTTCGAAGACATGTCGGCCAAGTACACCCCCTTTCCAAACATGTATCCGTTGACTGGAGCTTCAGGCGGTGCGATTCGAAGGCCTTGGCGAAGAATTCCAGCAAAGTTGGTGCAGCGGGAGCCATGCCAAAGGAGACGTCGATCGGAGGTCTTCATCGTTTTGCAGAACTTACCAAACCGTTCTTTTTCGCCGATACGGGAGACGCGGAAGATTGATTCGATGTTGAAAGAGACACGATGAACGCTATCCGAGGTAGCCACGAGGTACTGTCGAAGTGCGTCATATTCTGACTCGGGATCATCATCCTCGGGGACAAGTGACATTTCCTCCAGATTCAGTTCGTTGTACAACTGTTGCATCCGTCCCACGCTCCTGTCGTCCTCGTCTCCGCTAGCCATTATCCTTACGGTGTCGGCCATGCCTTCGAGACTCTCCATGAGCCTCACTTCGCCCTTCAATTGGACCATGGTACTGATGACTGGGGGTTTGCTGCGCCCGAAACTGTGAGGGATGAGGGTGAAATATCGGTCGGTGAGCATCTTGACCGCCTCATTGAACGTCGTTCCATATATGTTCTTGGCGAACTTGGGATCATCTTGTCGCTTTTGGATCAGTTCATTCAGACCTCTCAGCTGCTCGTATCCCTGGAGCATGATTTTTTTGCTCAGGTTGTCCAGGGGCAACGCCTTAGAATCGTACTGGAGATCTTTCACCACCGTGGCGAGTATCTCAGCGTTGAAAATCAGCTTCAGAACGACGTCCGTGTGCTTCTCGAGTTTGATCTCCAAAGCTCTTTCAACTTTTTGGGGCGACATGGGACTCAGGCTCTTCCTGTCGACATCCCTTTCATCGTCATCCGCTTCCTTGGTTGAGGACTTGTATTCCATCTGACAGAACACGTACTTGTTGTTGATCGACGACTCGTGGCGTTCATTCCATCGGAGGCCAGTCTTCTCTCTGAATTTGGTCTGGAAGCGTTGAATAGCGTCTGCACGACTTCCATTTCCGGCGGCTTGAGTCTGCCCGGTTTCACCCTGCCGACCCCATCGAAAACACACCCTGAAATCGTCCTCCTTCCACACCACCTGCATGCGGTAGAATTTGTTGCAGTTCAAATCGCTACGGGTGAGGTTCAGGGTCGCATCGAAGACAGTCTTGCTGTCGTTGATATAAACGACATACCCAACGAAAGGACACCCGTCATCCAGTGGAATTATTTGATCATGGGATCCAGCAGTCTGCTCATCAGTGATATTCTCGTCGATATTGTCACCATCGTCGTTGAAGGGTTTGAATCTTTTTTCTTCGGGAGACTCAGAAAAAGAGCTAGCCGACCTTTTCAGACCGAGAGCAGAAGTGAAGGAATCGCTTGGCTTGGGGGAGAATGCCGTTGATTCCGTGACGCTGTACAGGTACCTTTGATGGTCCACCTGTCGTCCAGCTTGAATACTATCATCCAGCCAGTCAAGGTCGACCAGAGGGATTTTAAGCTGAATAGCTTGCCTGACCTTCGAGGTCCTTCTGTCAAACTCGCACTTGGTCGTGACCAGGTGAGTATTTCGACGAGTGATGGACGACGTAAACTTGCCGCCGGCTTCCTTGGTGATCTCCGCGGCGATTTGAGCATGGGTGCGACTGCCCGTATGACCAGTTATAGCGATGATGCACCCTTTGAGAGGCGAATTGGTTTGCGTCATTGCCGCTTTGTGGTATGATGAGAATGCTCCACGAGCTGAGGCATTTGATTGTGCGAGATTATATGAGGAAAGACGGTGGAGGGAGAGATGGTCGAGCTAGTGTTCTAGAGGAGGGAAAGAAAGGGAAAGTAGGAGAAGAGCGAGCGAGAAGTGATAAGCGAGTGTTCAGAATTCAAACCGAATCTAAAGTGAAAAAGGAACATTAAGAACAGCGTGAACATGAAGTGAATGTGAAATGAATTGGCAGCATCATACTATTCCATCACGATACGTGAAACCCATACGGAATTCCGCTGTTGTTGAAATGATGCTTTATCACTTCTGGAAGCGGTGTTGCATGGACTGACCAACCAGAGACTGGGGATAAACCCACTAACAGGCAGTTGCGGGCTTTGATTGGTTCTAATGCGTTGGTGCCTGGCGGATGCCTGTATACAATCCATGTCAACTTCAACATCGCATAAAGATGTACAGAATACCAGAAGTTGAGAAACGGAGAAATACGGGAGCATCGGAATATTCATCCAGTTGATATCGAAAGTCGAATGATTTTCAGCCTCAAATGTCTATGATACTCGCGGAATATTCTCCTCCAGAAATTCATTCCTCTCATTAGTATTAAAGGGGACTGGTCCCTGTGACTGTCCAGTCTGTCCATCCATGGTCAATCTACCCGCACATAATTCACTTCCCGTTACCGTTGTTACGCTGTAATCACGTTACCCAATTGGGGCGTTTGTTAACGCCGTCTCCGCCTGCGCAGCTCCCATCCCATCCGATACTCCGCTAAAGGCTTCTCCTCTGAAGGCTTCTCCTCCAAAGGCTTCTCTGCCGATCCTCCCATTTGCGACGAAGGGGACGTCTCTCTGAATGTCGAATCCGTATCGGAGGCCACTCCTGCTATCCTAAGCATGTACCGACCAAAGAATTCCATCGCATCGAGCATTTCCCGGCCCGTCGGCACAATGTTCTCCTTCGGAAGCAAAAACCCATAACTCCCCGTATCCCGAAGCCGGATCTGGTACGCGTACCGGACGCCAAGCTCATGGTAAAACCAATCCAACGCGCTGCCTCCGCCCGACTCAATCCGCGGAAGTATCCCACCCGCATTGACATTCCCTTCACAAGCTGCTCGGACAGTGTAAGCCTGCCCGTCCTTGGCCAATCTTATTGCCTTGGCGAGGCCCAGCGCTAGCTCTTGGAGGTTCTCCAGGGTCGGCGGAGGGGTTGCGCAGGTGTATGAATAGGGGTAAAGAACTTCCTGGGAGTATGAGTGCAGGTCGATGATGCCCACAAACTCCACGCCGCTGTTCTCCGTCTCGTTCTTGGCCCAGTCGCGAAACGCTTGAGCTTCAACGGCGTCGAAGGGCTCTTCGCCTCCATAACTCTCCGAGCATGGATTCATCTGTGGTGCATCGCCGCCCCATTGGAAGGACCAGCTCCTGTCAAGGTCGATGCCTTTACAAAACCGTAGTGAGGTTGGCTGACGGTTCTTCCGCCACAGTCGATCGTTCTCCCAGGTATAGACATATCCATCAGGGTTCAACGTTGGAATAAACACCCAATCGAAGGCCTCCAGCAGTGAATTCCACACGCTTGATTTGCCGTACGACGTCACGAGGGAGTACGCAAGGTAGTTGACCGTGCTCGTGCCGATCCACTCTCGCGCGTGTGTACCGCCGGAGATAATTATTGTCTTCCTGGGACCCGCGGCCTTCTCGTTATTCGTTGGATGAACCCCCACACGCATCGCCAGGATGTCCCGGCCTTCATATGATGTGCCGATGCTGACAAGCCGGACGTGCGTAGGAAACAATGATGCAAGGAGCCTCATCCAGGGATGGATGACCGACAGTGGCTGGTAGTCGCTGAAGAAGATGTTCGATTCTTGCGGGCCCCGCTGTTCGAGGGAGAGGCGGAATGTGTTGGTGGAGGGGTGGGTGTCATGTTGAGGGGGGGTCGGGTCGCGGGCGGAAGGGAATGGGTAGGAATTGGAGATGGCGCGGGCCAGACCAAGGTCGAACATGAGAGGGCTATGTGCATGTTGTAATGACTTGGGGAGAAGTCCAAGGAGTGAAGGAACCTGAGGAGAGGATTAGCTCACAGTCCCATAATGTATCAGGCAACAGCCCCAGGAGACGGTTAGTATAAACTTACAACATCCTTTGCTATTCGAATATCTACCCAATCCTCCGTAAATGCCCAGACGTCCAGAAAAAGGACATTCGAAGCTTCCGCGAGCGCGACAGCCTCCTCTGCGGTGGTGACATTAAACCGCAGGACCATGTCCTGTCCGTAGCGCGCGAGGAATTTCGAGGCCACATCGTCTCCTTTCGATCGCGCGAAGTCCTTCCCGGCCGTCTGCGTCGGGTCTTTGGGATATCCCCAGATGGCGGAAATTATGCTATCAGAGACGGACCGCCATGCTGGCTGGTCGCTGCAGCCGGCATTGCTCGACGACGGGAAGAATCCCCACCCGCCGGCGGCCGCGAGAGTCCCCGAAGATAACAGCACATGCAGGATAAGGGCGAAGCGGGCTGTTAGCATGATAACGGCGACGTTAGCATGATGGTGGAGAAGAGAGAGCGGAAGTGAATCGGATTCAGATCCTCATAGAATTGAGGGCAATAGGATGCGTTGTGGCTATGCAGGCGATAATATCTAGATGGTCATTGATATCATTACGGTCCACGATATTAATAAATAACAACTAGTCCAGATGGATCAATTGATACGAGACCCAGGCGTTTGTAACTTTGTACTACTTTGGTAATGACTCCAAATATTTTGATTATCAATTGTCTTAAAAGGTAGGAGCTAGTCGTATGGGGAGTCATAATACGACTCCAACCAACGACCAGCCCCAAATTCTGTCCGGACTCCAGACCGCAAGTGACATTGGAGCTTACCATTCCTTTCAGATAAGACGTGGCTGCAAAATTGCTCCAGCTCCGAGTAAATAATATACGTTGCTATTTTGATCATTACCTCCTGGTTATTATCCTGTGCAGTGCAGGAAGTCACTCACTTAGACGGAGCTCGCGACAGCCGTTGCGCTTTCACCATTTCTTCCGTCTTACACGTCAGCGCATTGACTGCTCTGCACACACTACTCTATTCTACTGGGTCTTTAGGTATTAGTAGGACTTACTGCGCCGACCAAGTAATACAGTGGAGGAATCCAAACTAGCCTTACGATTTACGAACGACTTACGACTGCTCCAGACCGCATTGTGAGATCCGCCTTGAGCTGTCAAATCACTCAAATCTCACCAAATCCCTCCTGTCTTTCCTATTTCGCATCATATATCCTCTCGCCATGCCCATGAGCTAGAGTCGTGCGTCCCAGGCCATCAGTGTGTAGATGGTCCCGCCATACTCACATCGTCGCAATGCCTCTCAAAGGCCTCAAGTCCAACCGCAGTCGTCCGGATCTGGGACGGCGAAGCACACTGGACCCCTCGGAGCTCTTCCAGAATACCCGTAATGCTCGATCGGCGACTTCCCTCGACGCACCCGACTTCCGTTCGAGGGCTTCATCCCACGATGCCCGCCCCGAGCAGTCAATCAACGCCTTTAAAAGGATGTCCGCCTTTGTGGAACCACCTCCTTCGCCTCCCATTCAAGAACCCACAGCGAATACACGAAGGTTCAGTATACTTCGATTCCGAAATGCGTCCGACAGCCAGTTGTCAATGAGGGCTAGAGAACACCAGCGCGCCGAGATAGGGAAACAGGCCGTCCCTCCTGTTCCAACCATTCCAACCGGTGGGTAGTCCCGAGCATATCGCGACCTGTGCTTCAGCTAATTGAAGCAGATGTGAATGCGGATACTCCTTCGATTGTCATGACTGCGCCGTCTCCAAGCCCCCCGATCCCTCCACCGCCAGCGAAGAAGCAAAAACTTCGATTGTCCCCCAAATCGAAGCCCAACTTATTCGCACCACAATTAGATCGGGAAGAAGGCAGGAAATCTATGGACGACAGGTCGCGGAGACGATTCTTTGGCAGTATGCGAGGTTCCAAAGGTGCGGGGCCCATTATAGAATCCAATCACATTGAGAACGGCGGAGATGGTTCGTCAGTCGCGGAGGGCAGCGAAATAGACCCCGTCCATCTGGCACCTCCGACGCCTGCACCGGCCGACGATGGGACCGGTGACAAACAGGCGGGATCAAAGAAGGTGCTAAATCGCGGTCGCTCCTCGAAGTTTGCAGGCAACCGAATGTCCAAAGTCTTCTTGCCTCGCCGAAGTAGAAGTCGGACAAGGGTGCAGCCCGTCCCTGTCACGATCGAGCCGCCACCTGACGACAAAGACTTATCCAACACAGCTGTCGCAAGCCCTCGGCCTTCGACGAGCGCCAGGAGTTACATGTCCTCTAATGGATACTCCGACTCTGCTCAAGCCGACCATTGCGACCCTACTAAATCCCCTCCTGCTGTGCATGGCGACCATGGAGCCGCAAATTTCCCCTCCTCGCCAGCAACCCTCGCTGCAACTTCTGTGATCTACGCCGCCCCGGGCGCCTTTCTGCGTAACGATTCCATACAATCCGCACGATCCTCCCCGACCCTGATTCCTCCGCATTTCCACCGACTCCGCCAGCGCTCGTCCACCATGGGATCGACTCGGGCTGCGTCAGAGGATGGCACCCCTCCGACCCCGCTATTCCCACATGGCGGAGGCAATGCCGGCAGCGGACGAACGTCCACGTCCACTGCTGGTAGGAACAGCTTTAGCAACCTTTTCGGCTTAAGCCAGCGGTTCCGCCAAGGTTCCGAACCGCAATCCCCTGCTCATGGATCCTTGATGCACCGAAGCGAGACGAGTACCGGATTCGCATCACATGGGAATTCGTTCAGTATCAGTCGTGAAACCCTTCCCTTGCCGGACAGGGAGGAGGGAGAGTCCGCTGTCAAATACCTGGAGCGAGTCGAGAAAGTTATTGACTTCCGAGATATCGCGAGTATCATTTCGAAGAAAAGCGACGACTTCTCGCTTGCCGTGATGCGGAGTTTCATGCGGAAGTTTGCTTTCTTTGGCGAGCCTTTGGATATGTCGGTTCGTAAGCTGTTGATGCAGGTTGATCTTCCAAAAGAAACGCAACAGATCGATCGAATGTTGCAGGGGTTTTCTGATCGTTACCATGAGTGCAACCCGGGGATATTTGTTTCAGCTGGTAAGTTTCTCCTTGGTGCTTTAGGATGGGGAACGTTACTAATGCAGAGTAGAAAAGGCATACTTCATATCCTTCTCGATCCTGATCCTTCAGACCGATGCTTTCAACAGAAATAACAAACGGAAGATGTCTCGTGTGGACTACTTGAAGAACTCATCGATAGAAGGAGTGTCGAATGATGTACTTGGATGTTTCTATGACAATATCGTCTATACACCGTTCATTCGAGTCGAAGACGACGAAGATATCAAACAACTCCACTCGAAGAAGAAGAAAAACGTCGCCAAGAGTGTTATCGCGGAACCAATAAAGAGGACAACAAACCAGCCTATCGATCCTTATACCCTCATTCTCGAAACCCGCCTCGACACGATTCGACCTGCGATTAAGGAAGTCCTGGGCTTGGATGACCCTTTCGCATACACACAGAACTTCGACGTGAAAAAGCTACTGAAAAGCTCCAAGACCGGAGTTATTCAGATTGAATCGTTAAGATCTCGGCCTGATGCGTTCATGTCGCCATCTACCATCGATAATCCCGAAGACGCCCAAGTCGGTGTCGTGGATCTGCCTGTCGACAAAGTCGGCATTCTCTGGCGGAAGGATCCGAAGAAGAAGACGGCTCGTTCCCCCTGGCAGGAATGGGGAGCCATCCTCACCGGATCCGGCTTATGCTTCTTCAAGAACGTCGGATGGGTGAAAGGCTTGATGCACCAATACGACGCTCATATCAGGCAAGGAAATGCAGGAGCTTCGGTGACATTCCGTCCCAGGCTACAGAGCTTCAAACCGGACTATATGGTTTCGACTGAGCAAGGTGTTGCGTTGTTGGACACCAGTTACCGGAAACACAAGAACGCTTTCCTTATCGTGCATCAAAATTCTGCCGAAGAAGTCTTCCTTGCCGACAGCGAAGTGGATCTAAACGACTGGATGGCGAAGCTAAACCATCACGCTGCGTTCAGGACGGCCAAAATCCGCCAAAAGGGATTGGTGGGTGGCCACTACGAAGGACAGCGACAGAGGGCTCTGCGACGCCTCGACTCGGGTACAAACGCACAGTCTGTGCAAACAGCAACCGGCGAGGTGACGATATCAAGCGGCAGGATCGACCACAATCTGGCATTGCAGATCAGCCAGGCGCGACAAACTGATATGCAGAAAAAGATCGCTGAGGCGGAAGATCAATTGAACCACGCAATCAAGCGAATCGACGACCACTTGAGGGATGCAAGACATCTGATGATCCTGGCTCCGATTCAGCCGAAGACTAGGGACCAGCTGGTCCACAGCGCTGGGCGGATTGCGGCGCAACTTAAATGGTCACGTTATGAAATGTGGCGCTTGAAGTGCCATCGAGATATTCTGGTCGCCGCGCTTGAGGAGGAAAAGACAATCACCAGCGATGCCGCATCGAGGCTAGAACGGTCGGCCAAACACTCCTTGGATCTGTCATCATTGACCCCGGTCATTTCCAGGTCTTCAAATAAGTCTTTGCCTACACCTTTGAACGGCGCTCAATCAGATGTGAACGGAGCGCATATCTCGGAGGAGCCGCAGTCCCCTGTGGTGTCTACTCGGCCCGAGACTCAATCTTCAATGATCTCGTCCACGGATGCAGAAGCAGAGGACGACTTCCGCACCCCTCCCGAGAACACCCCACAACGCAGTCCGGCATTCCATCGTGGATCCCTCGGCCCTCTTACCATTTCCACTCAGGCAAATCGTCGCAGCTCCGCTGTCAGTGGCTCAGGCAGCCCAGCGCATCGCGATTCGTCCTACATGGGCCCCGAATCACCCCGATTATCCACCTATCTCACTCCAACGCTTGGGGACAACGAAGCTGAGCAACTGCGCGAATCCGACCCGACTCAGCCTTTCGATGGCCGCCAAGACACCGCGAGCGAGTCAGAAGTCGACTTGTCCTTCATCGCCGGGAGTCCCGACTCCAAGTCTAAGGTTCGACGCAGTCTCCACCGGTCCCTCCGCGAGCCACGCGACATCAGGTCATCCCAGAGACACCGCAAAGCGAAAGATTCCGTTTCTAGCGTCACCGCTGCAGACAACGCACCGGCTAGCGAGACCGAAGGCCTTACACGAGCATCAGGGAGTTTCACCGTGCATGGCAAGAAAGCAAGCGTCATTACATTCGGGTCGGAATGGGCGAACATGTCCGCCGAAGAGCGGCTGCGCTCGCGGAAGCAGGCAACCACGTCGCTACCGGGTCAAGGCGCATCTGCTTCAACCGACCCTGGCGATGAAACAGGCGGTTCGGTGGAGAAGGGGCGCTCGGATTCCATCGCGAGCTCCAGCACCCGAAATACATTCCAAGGAACCCCGAAAGGGCGATTAGGAAGTGTGGGTGACGCTGATAAGGCGTCGTCGGATGGATTCAAGACGCCTAGCACAATCCGCGAAAGGAGAATAGCAAGGAAAGGATCGACTTCTCGGTCTGCGGAGAGCCCGGCAGCCTCGCTGAAACAGGCGGCCGGGTCGACGAACGGTGAGCAATTGAAGGGAGATGATATCGTCACAGAAAAGAGTGAGAGTGAGGATGACGGCACGACGGGGATCGGGGCGGATCGCATTGATCGCGGTATCACGCCGCTTCAGCGGCCCGTCGAAGCATGAAAATAAAGAGGGCGTTTGGATCACAGTTTCATCTGATCAGGGAAAGCAACGCTCTACTGGATAGAGCAAACTGCCAACATGGAGTCACTATGAGAATTGTCGGAGTGCTTCAATGCACATCACCATAGTCTGACACGTCTTTACGGTGCCTTTCGGCTTCCCAGTGGCAATCATGGATGACAAGACGGGTAAGAAAAAAGGTGGACGGAAAATCGCAGCCTGTTACAGTCTTTTGATATAAGGGTTCGGCCATGAAAAAAATTCCTTCTTTGGGCACAGGTTGGCAAGATACGCATATACCACGACTCTCATGCTGTCATTTCGATATTGGGCGCTTAACAATATTGTCGGATCGGTCTATACTAGAAGGCAACGCACGATGCTTCCAACTTTTCACTCTAGGCCTTGTATTCGTCGCTGTGATATCGCCATCGTCTAGCCCCTTCATCGTGACGGCCAAATTGTCAATTCGCTCATTTGGAAAGAGATGACTGATTTATCGAGTCTATCCTACTTGATGTAATAGATGCCTAATCTTTTCCCTTTTCCCTTCGTTTCGTCGATTCATTGTGCTGTGCCCCAGTGCACACACGATATCATAGCTAGACTATGCGAGCGGTATCCTCCGTTTCGACGCCCAGAAATGGGGTTGCCAGCCAAAAGAAACGGAAAGTCAAGTGCAAGCAAGTATCAAAGCTTCATTCGAGGTTATCGCTACGCTAGCTTTCCCGCTTTGGGTGATTCATTGGAAAACGCCAAAACAGAGACCGTCATTCCATGAACCTAAGGTCCAGTCCAAAACCAAAGTACCGAACATGCCTTGCGCGCTTCCATATGCATAGCCGAACTGCTGTAACCCTTATCCCAAGCGGAAGACTGCGCTTTCGTAGATCCGAATCCGACGCCTTGTGGTGTGATCTAAGACATGTTGTTTTTGTTTTCGAAGCCCGTAGCTTTGACGCTCGTCCCGTTCAGGCGGTATGGCCATGAACCAAATCCAGGCACTTAGAGACCTTGTCGGCAAGTTGCTAGATATGAGTATGTCCCCCGCCACACATAGCGGCGTACAAGTAAAGAGCAGTGCATCAATTTCAGATCCGCTCGCTCTCAGAATCCCCGGTTCCGCTCCGCTCAACAGGCTATACCGACATGCACGTCGCTTATCCTCCTTTCCGCTCCTCCTCGTTCGCAGGCAGCGGCTCGATCCTTCCCGGTTTGGGTTCCGCTCCGCTTCTACTCCGTTTTCTCGGCTTCTTCTTTTTTCCTGCGCTCTGCCATGACGATTGCGGCTGGGGTGGCATGGCACTCGACGCCGATGATGGCTGCGTCTGCGGGGCAGGCAGCTGCTCACTGGCATGGTTCGTCGAACTGACCCCTTCGCCGCCAACGGTCGGGTTGGGAAGAGGCGTGGGTGGTGCTGGAAAGGGTGTGTGGCCATTGACCCCGGATGAGGCCGGTTGACGAGTGGTAGTCACCGAGAAGGGGGTAGCCGCTTCAGTCTGAGGCAAATGACTTCGAGTGGTGGTGGGCGAGGGGGTGACAATCTCGCGGACAGGGGAGAGGAACGGGGCATTTTTAATCGGGGTCTCGCCGATCGTAGGGCGGTTTTGCTCAGTGTTGGCGTTCTGAGATGACGGACTCATGAGCGGGGAACGCTTCTCTGACGGTGGAGTCGTGCTAACTCGCAAGGTGTTCGATGAAGCTGTTGCCGCGCCATCCCGCTTCTGCCTCGGCGGCGTCATGCTGAAGCGATCGTGATCCCCAAATCCATGCTGGTAGGAACTGCTTGGTGGATAGTCATTCACAGCCGTGAGTTCTTCACCAGGCACCTCAGGATGAGGCGGGTGGATGATCTGGCTATCTGAAAGGAGCGGTGTCTCGGTACCGTCAGACCAGCGGATAGGCTCATAGTCAAGTCCAAGTCCGTTCGGTCCGCCAGGAGAGTTCAAGTCCTCGATCCAATCCTGAGGGTCGTCTTGGGTTGCACTTGGAGCATAGGAACCATTGACAATGAGGAAATTACCATCACTCGGTTGCTCGAACCTTGATGTAGCATTTCGAGTCGTCGAGCTGGTAGGAGGAGCAGATCGAGGGCCACCAGAAGTCTCACTCGGCTCCTGGCTTAGTGGTGAAGGAGAGCGGGACGATCGCCGTCTTGAGCTATTCAGCAGCGGTTGCACCAGCTCTTGTGATGGACGTTTCCGTCTTAGCTCGATCTCCGAATACGGTGGGATAGGAGCAACTTGGAGGCTCGAATACGGGACAGGATTGTGCGCTGTACCGCCAAGAAACCATCCGACATAGCCCTTCGGTACGGCGCGATTGGACCCCTCGGGCATGTATCCCTGACCTGCTTGTGGATATTGTTCCACCGCTAGCATGTTGGGCGGCACGTCGCCGCTCATAGTTATGAATTCCTGGTATCCCGGTGGCACATTACTGGCCGCGGCGGGAAGCGCAAATGTTGGCTGTCCCGAGGAATCGGTATGCGGTCGTGCCGGTTGCGACTGCGAACGGGTAGTGCTGTTCTGGATGCCATTTAGAGTATCCGTCCGTTGTCGACGAAAAGCAGGAGTGCTTTGTGACAACGACGGAGAAGATGGGTTTGTTCTGGTTCCATCAAAGGAGGCTGACGGAGTAAGTGGCTGGGACTGTTCCGCACCATATCCGTACGGGTAATAGTTTTGCATGTTGCCTCCAGCAATGTCTGCTATTCTCGGGCTTGATAACCCGCTGGAGGTAGGGAAATAGCCTTGGGGTAGAGGGGTAGAATTTGTTCGGGGTTGACTCCCCATAGAAGCATTTGACATGGGTGGTAGAGGATAGCCGTACGGCTGTGCCCACGGTAATGAGCTCGCTGGTATCGCATTTTGGCCTTGCATTGGCAATTGTCCACGGCCTTGGGCTCCCGAAGGATGAAGGTAGAGCGGCGTTTGGCCAGCTTGATTCCGCATAGTGTCCTGCGGCTGCATTACGAGCAGGTTGAACGATTGGCGAAGTGCATCCAGATTCGCCTGGCTGTAGTCGGTGGAGGGGTAGCTTAGAAACGCGCCGTTGGGATATGGAGAGCGGAAATTGCTTGGGAATGTCGACGTCGATGCTCGCCTATATCCTTGCTGGGACTTCGAACTGTTGTTGTGACGATTTCCACGACCACCCATTCCGCCTCGACCGCCTCTCGTGCCTTGGCTGGGAAGTTGGGGTTGCAAAGCTGCTTTTGGCGCCGGTTTCCTGAATATATGAGAGGACTTCTCTTCTACTGGAAATTTGAATGCGACGCAGCATCCGTCCAGATCCGCCTTGTTGGCCAGGAAGTCAAATGCTCGCCGTAACTCGAGATGAATCCCCCGAAAAGCCGTTGAATCGGCCGAATTGCCCAGGTTACGCGATGTATTGAATGGCTCCTCAATGCAGAGCCGCCATTGACCTTCTTTTGACGCCCCGTCCCATCCCTTTTCTTTCCGGGTCAATACCCTCCCTTGTCGAACTGAAATCACCGACCTCTCGTAATCGAGCTCGTGCGCATACTTTCGGTAAAACCCAACGAGAAGTTCAGCGAGGGACTCTTCATTTGAGCTCTTGTCTTGAAGCTCAGCAAGGTCATCAGCAAACCCTGAGTCAGTGCCATCATTCGAGACGGCTTCTTTGTGCGGTGATTGATGTAGTGTAGGGAGGACAGGAGGATTCCGCGTTTGAAGGAAGTTAATGATCATGCAAATCCAAGAGTAAGAGCTTAAAGTGCCGCCGATACCTGTTCACGTTAGATTATGGTCCTTGCCGCTTCGTGTCAAGCCGTCTTACCAGCATCATTGAGGATTCTCTGTTTGGTCCAGTATTTGATAATCATCGTCAACGGCCGAACCCTCTTGTCAATCTGGACGTAAGTTTTGATCATACGAGTGTTCTCCAAAGCAAGGGTGTTGTTGACGTTCATGTCGCAGGCAAGATTTAGTTCCGGATCCCATATCTTAACAATCGGGACTTTGGCTGACGCAACGCATATTACTTTTTGCATGCCATCTGCCTTCGTGTCAGGAAATACCGAGCAATCATTGCGATGAGGCAACTTACTATTTGCCAAAGCTTCCGCTAAGATGTGCATTGTTTCGAGTTTCTTCATAGACGTTTGAATGCAGATATCCACTATGTCAACAGTTAGCTCATTGATGCCGACGACAATAGCATCACACATACCGTCAGAATCGCTTGTGCATAGCAAGTTTCCAGAAGAACCAAAGACGTGGACCTTGAACTCATTTCCCGGCCATTCGCGATGCAGTATTTCCTCTAGCTTCTCTACCAGCCGCTGTCTTCTTTGCTCGCTTTCCTTGGACGGTTCCAGCTTTCGGAAAAGGTCGGCCATGTCATTTTCCAGTCTCCGTTCCTCCTCTTCATCCAACGAGCGTTTGACCCCCTTCTCTTTCAGCAAAAGTTCATCGCCGATGTTGTACGGTATCCGCCGCCGGCTGAAAGCCGAACTGGTTTCGTACTTGCATACCGGTCGCGATCTCGGCAGCGATGAAAGGTATCCATTCGCCTCGGAAACGACAGATCTGGGCGAATGGCTCCCCAGCGCGCCCGTCGGTGAAGGTGTTCTTGATCGTCGGGTAAAGTCACGCGCGTACTGGTGCGGTGTGTTCGGAACGGAGTTCGAGAGCTGTGCCACGAGGGGAGGCCGTGAAGAGAGGGGAAGTTGCATGTCCTTCATGGGTCGATCGCCCATAGCTGTCCTTTCGCCGGTCGTCATCGGCGCTCTGCCAACGGGATTTGAGGTTGACGGCGTATTATTCCCATCGAGCTTTGCTGTAGAAGCAGCCACTTTTCCAGATTTCAAGGTGTCACCCGCGACTTCTGCTTTTTGGGACAAAGCGCCCAACGAATAGAATATTCGAGGCTCGAGGGATACGCGTCAGTGTGCGAAACTTTTGTGCAGGATTTCCCACGGCTTATGGAAGATTGGATGTTATCCGGTATCGAGGATCGAAGACAGGGAAGGGCGGGGGGTGCAGCTGGGCCGGCTTCGAACAGACAACGGAGGCGCTCAAACGATAGATGTTGTGGTACAGGATCGGAGGCCCAGACTGACGGGAAATGGAGATACACGGGTTATCAAGATAGCAGAGAAGCAGATGGTGAAAGAAGCATTGGTAGTGGAGGTGGCCAAAAGTTCCAGTACAGAAAGCCTTAGCGTATATCGGGATTAGAGGCGCGATTCATTCTCCACCGTGCCGCTGGTACTGTGCCGGTACACACTCTATTACTGTATTTTACTGCCAGCACATTGAAATAGATGCAAGAGACAATAGCGATACCATAGGCGGAATACAGGGCGGGAATTCGATACCAGGAATTACTCCAGTTGCTTTTCATCATCGCCACATGCGAATAGTGCAGGGCCATAAGATTGGAGAACCATAAATGATAAATCTGACAGCGCAATCTACCGCATTCGGTGTCATCCGTAAGTTATTAAGTATGTATCTGTATATTATTTAGGGTGAGCCATAATGAGCCAGATATGGTCTATAATGCTGTATAAATACCAGTAGTTATCCCAAGGTTTTGTCCAGTCCCCGCTTCATACCTTACCAATCCTAGCCGCAGTAATACAGATTTCTCGATGCATACACGCAGTAGTCTTTCCGGTTATCACGATCATATGTTTCCATTGTTCTCAGGCTCTAATACTTTCCCCAGAGGCCCAGAGACACGTGCTTGGGTAGTGAAGTCAGGTTAATTAGCCCAAATTAAACCCTCCTCGATATCCATGCGGGCACGCGCCGAGGCGGATACCCACCATAGTACCCGGTACATGTGTACAATTTCAGTATTTCACGCATACCCGTCCGTGTCTAAGTGATTCCGATAGTCTGATCGTGCTGGCAACCTGCAAGAACTGAGAAGGTGTTCAATTTGTTACACCATGACCTTTATTTAGAGCATATCGTGTTAGAACCCAGAGCATCCAGACTTGTCGTCCAATACCATATTGTACTGGTAGACTTCATAATCACGAGCAAGGAACAGAAACACACATCGAGCAGCTCCATGAAGTAATGGACTGGTCCTGGGGATAATAAGTATCCAAGTACTAAGTACTAATGTCTAAATGTCTATGTATGGTGAGAATGGTCAACGGAGATGCTGCCGCCGCTAACTAAGCCCATCGGGAGACCGTGTCGGGTAAGCGGGTACAAATACATGGACTTGACTCTTGAGCTTCAACAGCGGTCTTCTGATGGCTGGCATCTGTTCTAGACCTCATTGATCTAATTCTTTCAACTATATTGATCGTATAAATAACTCGATTAATCCTCTAACTTCTCGCTTCTTGATCAGGGTTTGAATTCCGATATAACCCTAATAATAGCCATGGCGAGTCCTAGCCGACGATTGCGTATGTCCAACCATCATGCAACATTCACTCCACTAACGCTATTTTAGTAAATCCCATCCTGTTGTAAGAGTAGACCCAAGCGCAATCTGAGGGATATATATCTAAGCAGCAGTAGCGTTTGTGACTTGCAGGAGAAGTTCAGGCCCGCGATCTATCAATATCCCGCCGTACTCGCTACGACGCAGAAGCTACTGCAAGCCAGTATGTTCTTCTACCTGCCATCCAATCTCAGGGGCACCTCTTTGTTCTCATCCACTCGGGGTAATCACTTACGAAGAGAATAGGCAAAATCCTGAATTTCCCCGTCGTTGCAACCACGCAACTGAAAGGCAAGCTCGGCGAGACATGTCCTGAATTGCAGCTTGATTGTCCCGGAGGCATCCAGACACTGGTTCATGCAGACAAATCGTTGTTCTCTATGTGGTATGGAAGATCCTGTTCACATCTCCGATTGAAATTGATGCTGAGACCGTTATGTAGGACAGATGAAGTGAAGGAGGCTCTGAGAAACGCCGGGAAGCTTTCGCCGGGCGGGCGCCCTCTGGAGGTCGTTATCGTGGGCATCGAGTCCCACATATGCGTGGCCCAGACGACGTTGGATCTGCTCAAGGATAACCACAAGGTATATGTGCTAGCCGACGGAGTCTCAAGTTGCAACAAAGAAGAGATTCCAATTGCACTCGCGCGGCTTCGTGCTCAAGGAGCTATCGTTACAACCAGCGAGAGTTGGCTGTATGAATGCATGGGAGATGCAGGTATCCAGGAGTAAGATATTCCTAGTCGAAACTATCTAGCCAACTAACACTTTTGTAGGTTTAGAGATATCTCCAAGCTAGTCAAAGACACGAAGGATAGCACGAAGGAATCGATGCAGGCATTGTGCAAGATGTGAGCTTAGCCCTCGTCTAGAAAGATATAGCCATAGTATTGAATATTTACAAGTCCCATTGATATTGAACAGGGCGACAGATCTTGCTACCTGCATTAATAGTGATTGACTGGGAGGGTAATTGGAGCACCTCCGCGGATTTCTAGTGCTTTTTGAGACATAAATCCATGGACTAGGCTTTGATCAAAGACCAAGATGCAATTGAAAAACTTGGCTATATAGGAGCACAGTTCAGAGTATAGTTATCGGGTATCACGGTAGGTACTTGAATGTTGTACGATTTATCCATGGCCCTCGACATGCGGATCGGCCAACCATGGTAGGGGACTCCATGTGATGATGTCAACATGGCAATTGAGCCCTCCCTCCCATGATGGAAACTTGTCATAATCACGCATCAAACTTGAAAATCATGTGTTCGGATTTCTTTCATTATAATGTGATCCTTTCAATCATTAACCAATCTCTGAAACATCTGTGGAAGAAGTGCCTAATAATTTAATTCTCCCACCCTCATAGTCTAGTTCCATCCCCGGCCTAACTAAGTCCCACGATGGCTCCCCAAACCATCTTGTCAATCAACGCCGGCTCAAGCTCCGTGAAAGTAAGCGTCTATACATATGAAGAGCGTGGAAAAGTCCCATATCAAGAAGCGGAGATTCAAGTCAGCGGACTGACCGCTCCGCCGGCAAGCCTGAAATACAACCGCGGGGAGCATGCGGAGAAGAAAGAGGTCCCAGGGGTGACATCGCAAGAAGATGCATTCGAGATCATTTTGAAGCATCTAATCGGTGATGAGGGGTTGCCGATGATCGCCAGCCACAACGACGTGGGATATTGTTGCCATCGAGTGGTCCATGTCCGTCTCCCTCCAGTCCTCCCTAGCTTCGTTGAAAAGGGGCTTCCGTTCTAACCTCGCATCCACCAACAGGGCGGAGATTTTGACGACGCTCATGCGCTCGATCAAGTAACATTTCGTAGGGTCGACGAGCTATCCGACCTCGCGCCACTGTAGGGGAACGACTCTCTCCAACTGCGTTTTGCGACTGACCGAACGCAGTCACAATGCGGGAGCTCTCGCGCTCGTGCGAGCCGTCCAAAAGCAGGTTCCGCAGGCCAGGAATATTGCGTTCTTCGACACCGCCTTCCATTCGACTATCCCTACCTACATCTCCACGTATCCCATCGACCCCAAGGTGGCCAAATTACACAAGCTGCGGAAATACGGCTTCCATGGCATTTCGTGAGTGCACGGCCCTGCGTTTTCGACGCCTGCCTCCCTGACATATCCAGCTACGCGTTTATTTCCAAATCCACCGCTAAGTTCCTCAAGAAGCCGCTTCAGGAGCTCAACATCATCGCGCTCCACCTGGGCAGTGGCGCATCCGCGTGCGCCATCCAGGGCGGCAAGTCGATGGACACGACTATGGGGCTGACGCCGCTCGCGGGGCTTCCGGGCGCGACACGGAGCGGGAGCATTGATCCGAGCGTGGTGTTCCACTACACGAACGACGCGGGGACCTTGTCGCCGGAGAGCACCAAGGATATGCATGTCACGCAGGCGGAAATCATCCTGAACAAGCAGAGTGGGTGGAAAGCGTTGGCGGGCACGACGGACTTCGGGGTGATTTCGGAAGGGAAGAGTGAGGGGGCGCAGCTGGCGTTTGATATCCTCGTGGATAGGATTTTGGGGTATGTCGGGAGTTACTATGTGAGGCTTGGTGGGAGGGTGGATGCGTTGGTGTTTGCGGGAGGGATTGGTGAGAAAGGCGCGAGGTTGCGAAAGGAGCTGGTAGAGAAGGTGAGATGTTTGGGGTTTGAACTTGATCCGGGCAAGAATGAACAGGAGCTTGAGGACGAAGTGGTGGACATCTCAGCCAGTGGCGCGAAGAACAAGGTGCTGGTTTGCCAGACAGATGAGCAGGTAAGAGAGAACTCCGGTGAACAAAGAAGGAGATGTTGACCAAATTCAGCTCCAAATGGCCAGGGACTGCGTAGGAAAGTTCGCAGCTTAACTGGTGACGCGGTATGCAGGCAGTCAAACAGGGAGAAATTGGCTGAGGTGTGCTCATCAGTCAGATACGGTTACAATTAGGGTATTACGCTATAATGTTGTTGACAAGGGATCCCACGAGAGTCTTCTTCGCCGTCGCTTCCAGTCCACCATGGGATCATCCAAGGTATGATCGAATTGAGTGATTCCTCTTCGCCATCTGGGCGGTGGAGCTTCGATAGGGGGAGCATTGGCCGGAGGGGGCTCCTGTGGAGGAGGCGTCGATCCACCTCTGCTGCTGAGTTTCAGCGAGAGCAGGATAAACATCCCGGCCACGACGATGACTAGCAGTAGGATGGCCTTTCGCTTGATGCTTTTCTTCTGGTATCCCGTGGCGACCGTCAGCTCTTTATCCGCCGCTTTGACCTCCACCGCCATCCGTTCGACGTTGTAGTCGATGCGGTCGAGCATGGTGCCTTGGTCGATGACCATGCTCTGGATGTCTTGGAAGATGTTAGAGAGCTCGATGATGCCTTGGGCGATCTCTTCGATTTCTCGTTCGCGTTGCGCGATCACGGCTTCGTTGCCATGTTGTGCCATGCGCTGTTTGCTTTGGAGGAGGGTCGATTGAGAAAAGTATTTGTCGTTTTCGGATTCCTCCAGGGAGGGATCTGTGTAGGAACCGGCCAAGGGTGTGGATGAGCGTGGCATTGGCGACGCAAACCCACCAAGCTGACGGAGTTCTAAATGACGGTTAGATTGCAGAAGATTAGACGCTGCGTTGCTCGTAGCACTTACTCTTCAGATACGCAGATTGCTTCTTCCTAAACAACGCACTGACATCACCGACCTGTGTTGCCATCGAGATCTTGAGATTCTTCGCGAGCGTTTCTTCCCCTTTGCTCAAATTGCTCTGTTGCTTTGCCTCTCGCACCATCATATCCAAGCGCTGCAGTGACTTCTGACAGTCCTGGAACCGCCTCGTGATCTGCTGCGTCAACTGCTCAATCTCCTTCTCCTCCGACTTCTTGACCGATTCGTCGTCAAATCCCGGCAGCACATGCTTTTGATGCAGTTGTTCCAGCCGCCGGGTTTGGGTTGCGATCTCAGCCAAGTACTCATTGATCTCGTCCTGGATGTCCAACCACCGTGGCGGCAGGAGATCCATCTCTATGACCGCATCGCCGGTATTGTCGAACGCTCCCTCCGACATAAGCCCGCGGCGCTCCTCCGCCAGGGACGAACTGTCACCGAATCCATTGAATGCTGGGCCGCCATATCGTGATTTCTTTGCGGGGTGATGTGAGTAGGATTGTCGATAGGAGATGTACCTGTTTGGCACAACATGTCAGTGTCGTGGACAGTTGAATCAACAGGGCAGGCAACCAACAGGTTTGTCCGGTCTCGCCACATGGCGACTCCAATAGCTCAGACGCTCATCAAGTTCCCTCTATGTTGGGCGGAGATGTCGACCGCTGGAGGACAGCGGCCTCTGCCGCAGGGCTATGCGAACCAGAAGCTCCCTTGTGATGACGTTGCAGAAGGCTACAGTCAATGGAGTGGGTTTGTGAAAAGGAATATACCAGGTATGATTGTTTGAACGGTATGGGACAATGGGGCTTCAGCAACAGTAGTTTTCGCTCCTTAATTCGTATATATCGACAATGCCAAACGTGTTGTCAGTAATACATACAAATAATAATCGAAGCTTGATGAGTGAGAGCCTCAGCACGTGACGAATGCTTGGTGTCCCAAGTACCGGTACATCCGTATCTGGGCCCGCCAGATCGCCCACCAAATGGCCAGGCAATGAGGCAAAGTACCAGCTGAAACATGAACGATAAAGCTTGATGCCCAACAAACTGACTCCCTATCCACGTGACGGCTACGTTGCAGGCACTCATCAGATCCAGACATTCCCCACCTACAGGCGACAACATCTGAACATCAGGACTCATCTTCCCCAGTCTAACAAGTTCCTACGACTTCCGCCTTTCAACCTTTCGCCTTTGTACAGCACTGAGTATCCTCTCAATCCTACGAAAAACCCGTCTGTTACCACGATTATCCCCCCGCGGCCATCCCAACTCATTTCCTTTGGAACATTCTTGACCGGTCAAGCTTACCAAAATGGTGTGAACCCCACCATGACCCCACGAAATCTGTCTCCTATGCTATGATGGTGCTGCGATGTTGTCGCGCTCCGAGGCTGACTGTCAACTAGGCTGACTCCCTAACCGAAGAACAAGTTTCCGAGTTTAAGGAAGCATTCTCCCTCTTTGTAAGTCGCAAGTGCCTCAAGGCCGCCTGGTTATCTCAAAGCCCGTCTGCGATTGGGAGGCTGACACAGTCTACTGCGATATAGGACAAGGATGGCGATGGTGAGTTGATCATCCCTGGATACGAAACTAGCAGAGTGTGTGCAGACGGTCCATATGAAACGGTTGATGAATGTCATGGGAATTCATTCTTCGAATCGTCCTGTTGAATATCCCTGCGCGCTGCATTGCATCAGGTTGAAATTGGACGTCAGAATTGACCGGTATACTAGGACAAATCACGACGAAAGAGTTGGGCACCGTGATGAGGTCGCTTGGCCAGAATCCCAGCGAATCCGAGCTCCAAGACATGATCAACGAGGTGGATGCCGACAACAATGGCACGATCGACTTCCCTGGTCCGTATATTAAGCGCAGCGGAAATCGATTGTCGATGCTAACGTCTACGACTAGAGTTCTTGACGATGATGGCAAGGAAAATGAAGGACACCGACTCCGAGGAGGAGATCCGTGAAGCGTTCAAGGTGTTCGATCGTGACAACAACGGCTTCATCTCAGCTGCCGAATTGCGCCACGTCATGACCTCAATCGGAGAGAAATTGACGGATGACGAGGTGGATGAGATGATCCGGGAGGCCGATCAGGATGGCGATGGCAGGATTGACTGTATGTTCCCTGTTCCGTGGTACGATTCCCTTGCTGACACCCCATGCCAAGACAACGAGTTTGTGCAGCTCATGATGCAGAAGTAACCGCCCCCGTGTTTCGAGCGGATAAGTCTTTGATGTGGAAATGAAGTTGAGATCCGGTGGTGAATGAAGTCTGTTGGTACATGCGGTCAGACTGGTCCAAGCTGCTCGGTGAACTGTCGGGCTTTCCTACGTTTCACTGCTTTTGCGAGATCGGTCACCTACCTTCAGCCGAGCGGAGGACATTGGTTCCTCAAAATTCAGTAACGAATCAATTCCCTTGCCCGTGTCAGCGTGTTTCGTCTCAGCTTATCCCTGGTCTCGGGAGTTTATGTCGTTCTCGTCCTCGCCCACTCCTGCTTGGATCGCCGCAGAGATCCTCACAATCGCTCAAGAAGAAGGAGACTACTCCCCGTGACCTTTGGCCCTAGCCCTCCTTCAATGCATATGCCCTATTGCTTCAGCGATAAGATCGCTTGGGCGGCTCTCTCAATTTTCGGACAATACGGGACTTGACCAATTGGATGTGGTCACGGCACGTCTGAACGTACTGGCGAAGGTGCGGCGTCGAGGGCCTTCCATTTCTAGTTACCAGTGACTCTTTCCCTTTTTGAACGACATCCTCACGCACCTACGGTATGCGAAAAATGGCGATGAGCGGGTAATCAGATGCTCATTTCCATTTACTGGACTTCCAATTCGACGGTGCACTACTGGATGGCGTGTGATATACAGCTCTACTTGCTTCAACGAGTCGGTTCTATCAATCCTGAGTCATTGTTCTATCAGAAGTCACCGCTCCATCTCAAGATGTTTCATCGTAGTACAGAGAGAAACCGTTCTCCTATGCATCTCCTGCTGGTCTTTCCATCCAACACTATTGAGACTACTTACCAACTGGTAGCGCACCTGCACCTCTGCCTCGTGTCTATAGCTTTCTTTCCTCTCCCTAAGTCTAAGCAATCTCTCGGATTGGACCAACCGACCGCTATGGACTGTTTCGACTGGTTGATCTTTCGGGTCCTGCCATCTTCTCGTGGATTTCCCCTGTCTCTACTTCCCGCCCTGTTGTATCTCCCTACGATTCTGAACATTGTACATGCTTTCTCTCTCCAGCCGATTGAAGATGTCGACTGCTGGACTTGGATTGTTTTCAGTCCGTGAACGGGAAACAGCGAGGTCCTTATAAACATCATAGGGTCTCTCGTCCTTCTCCCAGTTTTGTGTTTCTTCCACTTCACAGCACCCATCTTCAGTTACTCGTACCGGGTGAGTTTGAGCTCCGCAAAGCCCCCTTCTCCCCACTTCATCTTCATCCACATTTGCTCGAGCTCGAGATCCGGCAGGGGACCATGATTTTTCTATGGATTCCTCCGTTTCACGAACTCCAGCATCTCGCGTCAACTCGTGCCCAGTGATTGGCAGCAGCTGACCTTTCTAGATATCCGACTATACTTATCGAACTGATATCACGCCAACATTCTTCTCTATCTTCACGGGTGAGTGTTGACCTCATGAATTCCCCTCGTGGACTGACGCTGACATCACTGAAGGTGCTGAAAGAACATTCTCTCACCAGCTAGACGAACATCAGTCGCCATGGTGAAGAAAGTCATCGTGAGTTGTTTCTGTAATCGTCCCTCACACTTCTTTTTCATTAACATGTACCATCAAGATCTTTGGGGCTTTTGCCTCCCTCCTCTGTCTTACCGACGCCCACCACAGTGTTCGGGCCCATGTCGAGCTCTACAGTGAGCCAAAATGCACGTCACCTCGGATTGCCGAGAGGGAGCATATCAAGGAGGGCCACTGCAAAGACATCGACCATCCCTTCTGGAGCTTCGCGGCATTCCCGAGACATTGGAAGGGCGACACCTACAAGTCACATTGCTCCATCACCACTTACCGGTCTCATGGCTGTGCCGGTGATGCCATGGAAGTCTACGAGCTTGCCACTCGTTCCGGGAAATGTAACCCTGCTTCACCGTTGAGCGACCAGGCTGCTTCCTCGGTCAAGTTGGACTGCGGCAAGAAAAAGAAGCATCACAAGGAAAAGAAGCCAGAGAAGGAGAAGCCCAAGAAGGAGAAGGAGAATAATGAGAAGCCCAAGAAGGAGAAGGAGAATAAGCATCATGATAGCAGCGATCATCACGATGATGACAAGCATGATGACCCCAATGTTCATGTCCACCATCACAAGCACAAGCACATCGGCGTCTTGCCTTCCTCCGATCACAAATCCAATTGGGACAAGTCCTGCCACACCAACCCTGGCTGCAATTGCAAGCCTGGTCCTCACCGCACTTGCCCGCCCTGCGATCCTTTCGTCTGTGGCGCGTTCACCTCCACGACCAGCTGGTGTGATCCGACTGTGATCGCTACCGCGGTCATCTCATCCAAGACTGTTCCCGCCTGCTTCACCAAGGAGATCGTCGTCACTCCCACCAAAGCCGAGTACATCTGCTACGATGAGGCCTGCTCGCGTACCTACGGTGGCATTGTCAACGGAAATAAGCGTGGTGAAGTCCCTGCGGAACCCACGCCTTCCCAGGCGCCGGTCATCCGCGCACCCCCCTTGTCTCCTGCACAGCCGACGCCGATTCCTATCCACCATCCTTCCGAGGTGGTCTTCGTGGTCAAGACGGACCTTGAGACCATCAAGAAGTTGAACAAGGTTCAGGTTGCTCATGAGAAGCCACATGCCAAGGTCTAGCTCAACGGACATTGAGCGCTGGAGAGGAGGTGGTTGGTTTGCAGACTAAGATCCGACTCTCTTGCTTTCCTATGGGCACATGGGTGAATGGATTGGAGCAACGGCGTCTTGAGGATGGTGAATGGCACCTGTTTGTCTCTTTCCTCCGTCATGATTCTCCCTGTGGCGATGGATTTGAATGGTGGATTTTATTTTCTCTTTCCCTCCTTCGATGTACCTTTCTTGTCTGACATGTTTTAATTCGATTGCTGTTTGTGTTCTCCAAACTCTTCTTTGTTGTGATTACACCTTGACACTTGCATGGCAGCGATCCATCAGATGTGTATTGTTCACCGATGTGATAGAGTAGACATTGAGTAAAGTTGAAATAGTATTGGATCTCAAAACGCCGTTGCTGATATGACGTTGAGGAGGCCTTCCATCTCATCTAAACGGAGTGGAAAGATGAATTGTAGCAATCGTGATCCATAGCACATCAATCTCATCATGATCGATGCAAAACAGTCCCACAGGTCAGAATATTGCCGAAACCCTGACCCTTTCCGACCATTGCATCGAAAACGCCGGCAAATCTATATCCCGTCCAAAGATTGAACAACAATCAACCATTTTCACAGTCCCATCTCCTCATGCTCCATCTCCCCAAATGCCCACCACGGCCATGACCAACCCGGAACCCCACAGTGCGCCCTTAATCCCCTGCAGCAACCGAAACCTAATCAACCCCTCCCGCACCTCCTCCCCATTCAACTCCTCCTCCTCCTCCGAATCCATCTCAACAATCTCCCTCCGCTTTGCTGCGGCCTCCTCCCGCGCCTTTCCGCGCGTCCCGGCGCGCCCGCCCGCACAGCTCGCGACGCAGCTCGTGACGCCGTCCACGCTGGCGCCGGCGCCCGTGGCCAGCAGCACCCAGAGGATGTAGGGGTGGCGGCTGTGCGGCGGCGAGATGTAGTAGGCGAGGAGAAGCGAGGAGGAGGCGAGAAGGGTGAGGGCGCATTGGTGGAAGGTGGTGGCGGCTTTAAGGGTGGTGAGGGTGGTGTTGGCGGTGGTGGCGGTGGGAAGGGTGAGGAGGGGGGGGATGGCGACGGTGTGGAGGGAGTAGTTGAGGCCCTGTGGAGATGGCTGTCAGTATGGATTTCTATATCTTCGATGATATTCGGAGTTTGATCTTGGTCGGTGGGATGGGCGGGCTGAAGACGTACCGTTAAGAGCCCGAGACTCACAACCCCGACGAACTTTAGGTTAGACGCAAGGAGTGAGGGCATGGTGAAGACGATCCTGCGATCCTGCGATCCTGCGATCCTGCGATCCTGCGATCCTGCGATATCGACTGATCTGGTGCTTTCGAGCGATCTCGCGATGAGGGGTTTGGGTGTGGACGTTATAGCAAAGGTCTTGATGGTGATCCAGATACAAAAACTTGATGTTGTTTGGTGTCAAAGACGATATGGGAGCAAGCTTAGAGGCGAACTAGATGGTGAAGTAGCTGAAGGGCTGCCGGATTTTGCCGTAGATTGCTTGAAGCTTCGATTTCTTGGCCCTTTGGTTCCTGGCCAACGAGTGTTACGTAACAGGTTTAACGAGCTGCTTAAGGACCTGCTTAAGAACTTGATAATTGATTAATTATTTGTCGTTAATTCCATGAGTTCAAGACCTGGATATCGAGCTTGTTCGTGCCAAGACCAACGCTCTTCCCTCGTCGGTGATTGGTTCACTCTCGTCTGCCGGTTGCGTTGCATATGAAATCATTACCAGAGGAAGCATGGTTACTCACAATAGATAGACATGCTTAGAAAATAGGTGTAATGCTCTACTGAGGGTTGTATATTTACAGTCTCTTCAAACCTTTAATTGAATTCTTTTTTCCTTCCCCACTATTGTCCTCTCATCTCACAAGCAAGTTCTATAGCGGCACCATTGGTGACCTCGGCAACGCCGTTGGGCGTCCTCCGCTCCTGCTGACATCAGGACCGAGAATCGTCCCGCAGGCCGCAACACGTTATTTCCACTCTAGACGTCTAGTCTCGACGAGCAACTTTCCTTGATGAACTTTTAAGTGATTTAGACTCCGGAACTCTGCCAGCGTCTGCACATTGGAAACTCCTGGGAGCAAGTGGAATATCGGTCGAGCGTGCAGTTATCACAAGAGCTTGGAAGCCGTGGGTAGCCGGAACCTAATATTATAATATCATCGCCTCGTTAGGCTATCAATTCACCAAGATGCCGATGCAAAGACACGAATATGTCAGTGATGTATGGAGAGATGGAATCTTTGGTACGTCAAGCACTTTCATCTGGCGGAGGTATTCCTCTCAACCCGGAGCGCCATGATTTCGAGCCATATCTTTCCTAGCTAGCAACCACGCACGACTGCGATCCGTTGTGTAGCTCGGAATCAACTCTCCGACCCGTGAGGCATTACACCTTGCGGTTACTCATCGTCGAACATAGGCGGTGAATCCTTACTAACGCCGCCTCCAGAGAACAAGGTGGTCTTCTGCACCGGCGGCGCCGGCTCCATCTGCAGCGTGCAAGTGCGCGCCATGGTGCATCTCGGCGCCAACGCCGCCATCATCGGCCGCAATGTCGAGAAGACGGAGAAGATGGCCGCCGACATCATGACGGCGCGGAAGGGATCCAAAGTCCTCGCTCTGGGCGGCGTAGATGTTCGGAGCATCGAGAGCTTGCAGGCCGCGGCGGATCGGTGCGCGAAGGAGTTAGGGAGCATTGATTTCGTGATGTGAGTGTTTCCAAGGGGTTGACAGTCGAGGGACGCTCTTTCAGGGGGGGAAGGGGAATAGAGGCTAATATTCCTGTAGTGCGGGAGCAGCGGGAAACTTTCTAGCACCGTTGGAGCAGATTTCGTCGAATGCATTCAAGTCCGTTATGGATATCGATGTCCTGGGCTCATACAACACCGTCAAAGCCACCATCGGATATCTGAAAGAATCGGCAGCCAAGTACAAGACCGACGGCATCACTCGTAAGTATATCATTGCTTTCACCGGATTCTCCCCCTAATCCTATACCCCGACATTCAATCTCCCCTAATACTTACTCCCCACTAGCTCCTCCCCGCGGTACCGGCGGCCGCATTATCTTCGTCAGCGCCACTCTTCACTACTCCGGCACGGTCATGCAAGGCGCCCCCTCAGTTGCGAAAGCCGGTGTCGATGCACTGGCTCACTCCGTCTGTCTCGAATACGGGCCCTTCGGCATTACCTCCAACGTCATCTCGCCTGGTCCCATCTCCGGCACGGAAGGCATGGAGCGACTGTCCAAGAAAGAGAACGCCGCCGCGTCCAAGCGCATGATCCCGTCGGGCCGATGGGGGACCGTGAAGGAGATTGCGGATTCGACGGTCTATTTGTTCTCGGATGCGGCGAATTACGTCAATGGGGAGATCCTTGTCGGTAAGTTTTTGACGTCCTTTCGTTCCACGACCTTCCAGAGGTGGGAAATGGATGACTGACTTGCTTTCCTGCATAGTGGATGGAGGTGCCTGGCATACATCTGGTGTCGGCTCTGGTGGAGCGTTTGGGTATCCCGATTTCCTCTTCACGGGGAAGCCTGTGACCGGTGTCGCAGGGGGAAAGAAGTCGAAGTTGTAAGCGGTCGCTGTCCCGTTCAGAGCGCACTCGATTATAAGCACCTTACAACAGCGTTGGCTCGTTTGGAAACGTTATCCAGTCGGCGTTCTCGAGGTTGCGGTTGCTATGGCCATTGGCGGAAGCGATATTATTGATCGGATACTAGTATACAGAGCGGAGTATTCACCATGTTTAACGGAACACATTCTTGTGTTTTCGGAGCCCCCGGCAACATAGGAATTTAGAGCATACAAGTAGTATGAGTGTATGACGACGTCAATAACTTGATTATACTTGCGGAGCTACGGCTTTATAGACGGATTTGCGGGTTGTTCGTTCCATCGTTTCTACAGCAAGTGAACGAACATAATTTGCTTTAACTTCATTGGTATTGTTCTTGACGCCTTGCGATATTCCAGTGGTATCTCGTGAAGCGTCTACAGTACGTACACATAAGCCTTAGCATTCCCCTGATGACATCACGTTTTCCTCTTCCGTCCTGCATATCATCATCTCAAAAATGAGGTCAACATGGCCTCCCAAGGCCAAGATCCCAAATGAAGAGAAGCGGCTCTTCGCCACTTGGCGTGAACCCTGTGGCTTCTACTACAAGCTTCGATAGATGAAAATATAAGGCACCCCTAGAATCCTGTGAAGTCATTTGAACTATTGTTATCATATTAGCCATGCCCGAAGGAATCGCAGCCCATGTGAAACACCCTATCCCTCAAGGGTTTCCCGTGTTTTTGAAACACGCAGTTCTGAAATTCTAGTGTTGGTTTCGATGTGGATCTCGAATCCATCGAGGACGACAGATTCACGATTCTGATTGGATGAAAGACGGGAAATCGCCCAAGTTATCGTGTCAGGGGGCAGCGGCTCGGGGCATAGCGCTCGAGCGTTCTAGCGACCCGCTCGGTGATTGGGATCCGCATGACATGACGATATGGGCGGGAAGGATTTGGCCTTTGGGCCTTGGGATCGAGACTCGGGTCGAAGGGGGAGAATACCTGAATCAACTCTCGTGTGTCCTGTCAAAACCCAAGTTAGGTAACAAGTGATTGTTAGGAGAGATCATTTGTCTCGTCGTACAAGGAGACAATTCCATCTCGTGGGATTGGACCATTTGAGACCAAGGAGGATAAGGGTTGAACAAGGGACGAGATTTGAGTATTATTGTATGGCCTATTGTGGTATGAGTGACGCGCGAATTTGAGGAAATGTCACCATTCTCTTCGAATATGGCTCAAGTTTTCCATCGGATCGAAATCTGACGGAACTCGGATTGATAACCATATTCATACTTCCTCTGGTATGGTTATCTGGTATTTGATAATCCAGCGCCCGATGGTCCGAAGCCGCGTGTCGCTGGATTCGTGCTTCTCATGCTGTACAACTCCACGTCTTTCGAGTTCCGTTCAACACATGGCCAGACAACGATATGCCTCGCCGAAGCATCACGGGGCGGATTTATGCACGATTCCGTTGGCATGTCGAAGGGATCATCCACCACATAGATTCCAGACGGGTCTTCTCGTCCGATCTTTGGAATGTGACGCAACTGACATCTTTGTGCTCCTCGACTGGACGTCCAGTGTCATGTGTTGGAGACCGAAGGACGTAACCATGCGGTTTTGGCTCGTCTCCGCATCGTATCACGGCTCCTCAAACCGGCCCGACGCTTTTGGCTTCCGGTTTGTAGACTTCGTATGACCTCCACGAGACGATGGCTGAGGGTACAACGGATCAAGGGCCTCCCTATTCCTCATGGTTACTAGGATGACGACGATGCGAATGCTTGTGATCGTCATGATTTTCCCGCGTTTAGCCCACCGCAAGTATCACCATGGGAGACTGACGGCAGACGGGAATCGACGAAGTGGATATTGTTGACATCGGATCGGCAGCTACGGAAGCGATCGTAGCCAGAAGCTTGGAACTTGGAAGTGTTAAGTATTTCAGCTGCAAAGATGGGAAGTCGAGTTGTAGATCTGTAGAATCGTGGATGTCTCTTGCTGCCCTTGTCGTTAGCTCGTCATCTAACGACCGTATCCTCGAATCCCTTCCGATCCATCGCTGTTGAATCAATCCACTGCCACGTAGTTCGAAATTCCAATACTTGTTAGAACCGAATTAAGCCTGCAAAGTGCAAAGTGCAAAGCGCCAGGCGTCAAACCCCGGTAACTAGAGGGTTGATGTATCCGAATAAAGTAGCCGATACGACGGCAATCGATCTTTGGTTGACCAATTTATACCAATCCGAGCTTTGTTTGTTCTCCATTCGGCATTCCCCAGAATTCCCCATATACGTCCCCTGTTTTCTGGATGCCATTTGTTGCACCAAGGAGAGGGATTCGCCGAGCGAGGGTTCAATTGCGGTCTCTCAAGGACTTCGAGAGCCTCTATTAATGTTTTCATCCGTTCATTAAGACTTGATCCATGGGTGGATCCCTTCTTTCTCTTCGGTATTTCTTTCCTTTATACTTGGATCTGGAACTTCCGAGCTCCATTCTTTGGCTGGTTGAGCCAAGAGCAGTAGCGGAGCTGGGATTGTTCCCGCCCGACTAGAAATGGATTCGTAGTTCTGGCTCTGTCTTCACTCAGCGCGGAAGTACCGGATGACGACCCCGTGGTCCAGCTGTATGCAGCATTTGCGGATGCGAACTAGTAGTTGATGATTCAAGTGATAAATCCAAGTGACGAATCCTTTCCCAAGTCGCCGCAAATTCGGAACCGGAGACCGGTCGGGAGAGACATTTTCATAAAAGAATGATATATAAACTCCGGTCCCCCCTCCAACGCCTCACAGTGTAGATCCGGCTTCGTCTTGCGTTTCTTATGACTGTCAAGGGAGATATTGCGTGTCGCAGGACCGTCGCGAATAGTCACGGATGGGATTATGATCGTATTATCGTGCACTCGGGTGATCCGAAGGATTACACAGCATTGAAGTTTAAGTTCTGCGCCCGCATCATGGTGGTCCACGCTCATGAGATCCCCGTCAATATCCACATTGGGAAATGCTTCAACTCAGCTACTTCGACGGCCTCGCAGCCTCGATGCGAGAGAGACCAGGCATCGATGACTAGTTGGATGGTGATTTCATAACAAATGAGGACAAGAACAAGTTGGTGGCCATCTTCTTCCACCGCCAATCTCGAGATTCTCACCTCCATCCTCCATCGTTGACGTCCCCTTCCCAAAACAACTTTTAGCTGAGTGAGTGTAAGCACTTCCCTCCGACCCTATCACTATCAGCTCCAAATTCGACGACGAGACAGTGCGGTGTCAGGAACCCTTGAGACTTGACACCGTAGCGCTGCATCGACCACGATCATTAGCGTGGTTGGGGGAGTAGCGCCTAGCGAGATCCGCATTCATCGCATCTCCGCCACCCAACAACCTTAAATTCTTGGTAAGGATTTAGTATCATTTAAGTACCTGTAATTTTCTGCGGGATGATGAAGGATGGATCCGGCCCGAGCGTCCAATTGTCCAAGAGTCGGACGGAGCATGCAGGTTTTCAGCCTTTCACAAATTGCTAGGAATGAAGAACGCTTGGGATGAAGAGTTGGTTGTCTCGGTGAATTGCGAAGTGTCAAGAGTTGTTCGTCACTCCGTCGTGCCACCAAACCTTCCTGTTCTTAGTTGTTCTTAGTTTGGTTTTCATACTGTACATCCATCGCATCCCCCGAGACAAATCTTGCATTCTTCCTTCATTCCCGATCTCCACTTCCTTAGTACTGACTAACAATCGGACCTCTTTTCTCTTTTCCGATCTACCTATTCCACTCTCCTCGCCCTCCTCAGTCCTCCTCTCCCTCCATCACTCATATCCTATTTCTTTTCCTTGTTGGATCTTCAAGTTCCTCCTCACGACGCCTCCCGTCACCGATACTTCTGTTCTGCTCCCTGCACCAACCACCTTATCCATCCCCTGCCCCTACCAGTCTGCCCTTGCCTGCCTCCCGTTGACATCTGCTGCAAGCTTGCCAGTTGCATCATTTGTCCATCGAGATACCACTATCCAACAGAGGCGGAGGGGCGGGAGATTTCCCCGTTTCTTTGTGTCCTTCCAATGTCGGCAGCATTCATAGCCTGATTGTCTGCCGGGAGCAGAGGTATTGATTTCATCCATTTGCTCGGTCCTGCACCAATTCATCATGTACCCTTCGGTAAATGGCGGTACTATGAGCATAGCTGACTTGCATATCTTCAACCTAGATCAGGTCTTGAGGAAGAGTACCTTCCACCGCCTCGACCATGCCGACAAATCCTCGTCCTCCTCTTGGCCAGCCTGCTGGTCCAAATTACCTTCAGATTCTGATTCTCTTCCTCTTTTCCTTCCCGGTATTCACATCAGCTGTGCTCTCTCAGTCCTACTGTAGCCCCGGAAACACAGGATCCGACTTTACTTCGATCCCAAGCGATTTCCAATCCAATGGCTTTTGCCATGACAGCTGCACGAAGTATGCATTCGCCATCGTGCAGAACAAGAATTGCTGGTGCTCCAACTATGCTCCCGCCGACGAGCAACCCGTCAGCGACTGTGGTGAGAAGTGTCCTGGATATCCCGCGGACAAGTGTGGGAATGAAGGGAAGGGCCTCTTTGGCTACATTGTAGTTGAGAACAACAAACCATCTGGAACGAAGAGTGGAGACGCTGGAACTCCTTCGACTTCGGTAAGTTGCCAGACTGCTATTACTTCGGCGTATGCAACATTGCACATTGCTTGGCACTAGCACCGACATTGGCAATGACTTATGATTGAGCGACAACACTGGCCCTGAGTTTCTGCCTGCACACTTGAGGGGCCCTTTGATATCTCCCTCTATTCAACGCAACTCTCAAATCCTCCCTACACCATTTTCACACGGTTCAGACTTCTATCCTCATGCACATGGGCCCTCATGCACATGTGCCATTTCCTTGGAGCTTTCCTTTGAGTGTTTTATGATGCATTCAGAATCACAAAACCACCTGTTTCTCCTTCATATCCTTGATTTTGACAATAAATCCTGTACAGACTTCGACTACCCAGGAGCCATCGACTGTTACCGTCACCCCATCAACTTCGGTGAATCCCTCTCTTGTACTCAGTCCAGTATGCTGGCATTGAACCCCTAACGGCTAACTGCACTCAACACTGACCCTCATACTAACGTATCTGTTTACTCTAGTCCTCATCCTCCGAAATTTCTTCGCCTGTAATCGACATCCCCACTGGCCCTACCGGCTCGGTCATATTGACGACCGTGTCTGGCTCAGTGGTGACGCAAACGGTAACAGCGCCCCCCACCCCGCCGATGCTCCCCGCGAAATCCGCCCGATCACCCGGATCTACGGCCGGTATCGTCATCGGAGCCGTGGGCGGCGCCGCCCTCCTAATCGGCATTGCTTGCTGGGCCATCTGGAGACGACGTCGCCGCCAAGAAGAGACCTCGGACAACGAAAAGTTCCAGGTGGAGAACCGACCCTCGCGCAACTCCAGCACGCTCAAGAAGGGCGGCTTCCTGTCCAAAGTGTATCACGCCAACCAGGGCGTGCCCGCGGGATCCGGCGATTCCGGCAACAGCGGAGGCGAGAATTCAGCGTCCAACGGGATCACCCCGACCTCCGAACGGCGGCTCAGCAAGCCGTTGGTGTACGATCAGCGCTTGAACCCCGTGACCTTAGCGGCGAACAACACCAGCAGGGCCAGCTTGAACACGTTGCAGGACAATCAGGATTATTCTGCGCGTATCCTCAACGTAAGTCCCTCGATCGCTATGCTCTCTATACTCTCAGACAGTGGTACTAACCAGTCTCGACTAGGTGCGAAACCCTGACCCACCCACACCCAGCGAGTCCCTGCAGAACATTGGCAGGTCTGGATGAACCGTCTCCAACGACCTACAAATAGCTCGACGAGCACTTCTCCCCACCCCCCTGATACCAACGTCACGCGAAACCAGTACATAGACGGACGTTTCCTTCCTTGATTCAGATTTTGTTTTTCGAGCCACGGCGGTCATCGGCAGCGAATCCTGTCGCTCTATGGCTCGCGCCTTGATCGACCGCTCATAGCAACGGCGTACGGGACGAGATACACCCCCCACTGGTGTCACCGCGACGCCTGGGATTTTGCGGTTTTCATCGATGATCCAGCGAGCGATCATCGCGCAGCGGGCGATGTGACGAATGGTTGATTATCGGATTTGAGTATATGCAGGCCTTCCCACGAACGGGGTGACTCCTGTGGTGGGTTAGGTTCTGTGGAGTGGGTTGGAATCGTCCTGGTCTCGGAGACTGCGAGGATGCATCCCGATCTGGACGATGGCCTAGAACTTAGGATGCAGATTCGATATAAAAGCACGCGCAGCGCTAAGAGGGATTGTATATTACTTCTTAGACTTGAAGTAGTCTGGAGAGAACATGATGATTATGGATACCCATTGAACTTGCTTCTAATATTAGTGATATTTGTCTCAGAATTCAGGGTGATATCGTTGCTTGGGGATGTTCTGTTGAATTCACCAATCACATGCTCTCTGCAGCCAGGGCATCAAGATCCCTGATTCCTGTCCAGCCCTCCTACGTCTCGAACGACGACATCCCAGCGTTCAATTTCCTTCCTGGAATCTTAAACGTCTAAAAACTGTCCCTATTATCAATTCTAACTACCGAATCGGCCGTGCTACTGCTCAACATATTCCGGATCTTCGCTGTTACCGACCACCTACATCGCGATATCCTGAACCTTCTCGTATCGCTAAGGTTCCGCATGCTAGGCGACCTGAAGTGACTACGCCGATATCGTCCTTCGATCCCTCTCTCCCGTTGAAATTAAACCGCGGCATTCTTCTCATCGTATAAATCGAGTCCCTGGACGAAACCCCATTGCAAGGGAATTCACGAGCAAAGATGGCGGGCAAGATGTGGGAGGTGGATCCGGAGACAAGGAGCAAGGTCAGTCGCCTTTAGACCCCCTTCGGTGCAGTAGACGCTTATGGAGAATTGACTGACATGGCGTTGCGAAACACAGCTCCTCGAGATCCAGAAGACGAACAACAACAACGTGTGTGTCGATTGCCCCGCACCGAGTCCACAATGGGTAGGTCATCTCTCTACCCCCCAACATCCTTATCGGCCCCTCCGGGGCACCACCACTAACTCTCCCAGGCTTCCCCCAAACTCGGCATCTTCATGTGCCTCACCTGCTCCGGCATCCACCGCGGCCTCGGCGTCCACATCTCCTTCGTCCGCTCCATCACCATGGACGCCTTCAAGCCCGCCGAGCTCGCCCGCATGTCCCTCGGCGGCAACCAACCCTGGCGCGACTTCTTTGACCGCCACCCAGACAACGTGGCCCAGGCCCGCACCTTCGACGACTGCACCGTCGCCGACCGCTACGATTCCCTCGCCGCCGAGGAGTGGCGGGAGCGCTTGAGCTGCAAGGTCGAGGGGCGCGAGTTCGTCGCCGGCTCCGTGGAGAAGGAGCGAGAGAAGCGGAGGAAGACCGCGGCGGAGCGCGCACAACAGCGGGCTGGCGCTGGCGCCGCGATGGGTGGGTCGTCCGGGCAGAGCAGTCGGGCGGCGACGCCGGTGGCGCGGACGCGGGTAGCGGAGGGGCCGGCACCGGGGAAGGGAGGGTCGCCGGCGCTGGGGACATCGAGCCTGTCAGCAGCAGCAGCGCGGAAAGCGCAGAATGAGGCGTATTTCTCGAGGATGGGGGCAGAGAACGCGGGGCGGTCGGCGGACTTGGCGCCGAGCGAGGGGGGGAAGTACGCGGGGTTTGGGAGCGATCCGTCGTATCTAGCGGGGCCGGCGGGAGGGTCCGGCGGGGGTTTGGGGTTGGATGAGTTTCAGAAGGATCCGGTGGCGGCGTTGTCGAAAGGGTTTGGGTGGTTGAGTACGACGGTGGGGAAGGGGGCGAAGGATGGGTATGAGGGGTGGGTGGTGCCGGGGATGAAGAAGGTAAGTCGAAAAACCACCCGTCTCGCTTTGGGCCGGACTTCGCTGGACGCAGATACTGATCGCGCTGTATTAGTTCGCCGAGTCCGACCTTTCCAAAGCCGCCAGCCAAACCGCCCTGAACCTCGGAGCCGGTCTCCAATCCACTACCCGCACGGCCACCGAATCCTTCGGCCGCTTCGTCGAAGGCGAGGACGGGAAGCTCCATCCCGCCAGCTCCACCGGCCCGGAACGGAAGGATTTCTGGGATTCGTTCGGCGGAGAGGAACCGGCTGCTACAACGAGCAAGGTCGGGCCGCCGGCGGAGAAGAAGGACTTCTGGGATGAGTTTGCGGCGGCGGGGGAGACGACGACGCAGGGGCAGGGAGGGCCGGCGAAGAAGAGCGGGGCGATTGGGACGGCGGCGATGAAGAAGGGGAATGAAGGGGGGAAGAAGGACGGAGACGATGGGTGGGGGGATTGGTAGGATGGATGCATCTTGGGTGTTGGAAGTGGAAGGGATTGTACGATGACGAGCCGGAGTTACGAAGCATTGGCCCTTATTTTTATATCTTGGATAGATTCTCAAGATGCAGAAAATACATGTTGCTCTATTATTCAAAAATCCTCCCGCATGCTGCTGGCATGCTACCTAGCCAATCTATATGAATTTTGTAGATGTTACCAATTATAGCGCTCCCAATTCCTTCAACTTTGCAATCATCCCATCGACATTCTCCACCTTCACTCCTCCCTCCCTCGCCGGCGGCTCCTCCACGCTCACCGTCTTCAACCGCCTCTCCACATCTACCCCCATCTCCTCCAATGAGCGCTTCACCACCGGCTTCTTCTTCGCCTTCATAATATTCGGCAAGCTCGCATATCGCGGCTCATTCAACCTTAAATCCGTCGTGATCACCATCGGCAACTTCCCCTTCAGTGTTTCCTGGCCCCCATCCACCTCCCGCACCACCTCCACGCCCCCTTCTACCCCCACCGTCACCTGTGCCGCCTGTGTCGCCTGCCCCCACCCCAACAACCCCGCCACCATCTGCCCCGTCTGCCCCATATCCCCATCAATCGCCTGCTTCCCGAGAATCACCAAGTCCGCCTTCTCCTCGCGCGCCACCTGCGCGAGCAACTTCGCTACGCCCAGCGGCTCCAGTGGCGGTGCGTCGTCGGCGACGGTGACGTGGATCCCGCGATCCGCGCCCATGGCGAGCGCGGTGCGGAGCGCGTCGGCGGCCTTCGGGGGGCCGGCGGTGAAGGCGAGGATGTCGGCGATGCGGGGGGAGGTGGTGGGGGATTTCGCGGCGCGTTCGCGGAGGCGGACGGCTTCTTCGATGGAGAGCTCATCGAAGGGGTTCATGCTGTGTTTGACGCCGGCGGTTTCGACGCCGGTGTGGGATTTGTTGATGCGGGGTTTGACCTGGGGGGGTTAGTTCGAGGATGGTGGATTGGGGAGGAAGGGGGGAGGGATTAGGGGTGAGCTGGTATCATAGAGGTAGAGTCTCCGTAGGTGCGGATTGTCTCTACTGTCCTTGGTGGTGAAGCGGGGGAAGGGAAATCCAGATTGTTCCAGGGGGGAGACATACTGCATAGTCGATCACCCGTTTGATGGGGACAAGTACCCGTAGCCCAGACATGATGCAAACTCCTCCTCCAACTGCACTCTAAAAGACTTGAAAGGGGTTCAATTGGGAGGATTGGGGACGGTTGATGGTATTTCGAGAGAGCAAGACTCGGGCGAAGTCGCTCCATGTCCAAGTTGCGGGTGGCTGATCTTCGGTTGGCTTCGGTTTTCGGGTGAAGTTCCCGTGTTGGTGCCTGATGACGTCTGAGGCAAGCTTTCGTCCGATCCCCCAGCGGCCCAGCCCCTGAGACGGATGTCCTATGATTACTGTATCTCGACTTAAATTACTTTTGCAATGTAATTGCAAGAATAGGAAAGGGGGTCACTGTATTCCAGTGTAAATTATTAATATAGTCTTTTCCTCTATATTCCATACAATCAAGACGTCTAAATCTGCGGGTATCTAAGCATGATTCACTCCGTCCCGCCCTTCCACCTAATCGGCTAGATACACAACCATAAACCCTAGCCAACTTCCCACCACCCCCAGCGCGGAATACGAGCTAATGAACATCAGCGGCAAAAACTCCAACCGCGTCCCAAATACCAGCTCGTGCACGACCGCGCAGTAGCAGATCAGCGGGATCGCCACCGCGAGGTACAGCACGGAGAAGCGGTCCAGGAAGAAGACGCGACCCTTCGGGGAGCTGCGGACATGTTAGCGATGATGTGTCGAGGGCGCGGAGATACGTACACGGGCGCCAACCGATCGAAGGCGAAGAGGAACAGCACCAGCCACAGGACCGTGTAGACGACTTTGATGGGGAACTCGTGCGGGGTGAAGAGGAGGGGGAACAGGGCGACGTGGCCGGCGACAGCGAGAGGGCGGAAGGCACCGAGGTAGCGGCGGTCTTTCAACGCGAGCAGGCTGAAGGGGATGAGAACCAGCAGGATGGCCTTCTCGTGCACGTGCCAGCCGAAGAGGAAGGAGGCGTAGCCGCAGAGGATGAGGGCGCCGTGGAAGTTGGCGGCGGTGGGTTGGGCGAAGAGTTTGATGAGGGGGATCTAGGGGTGGGGAGGTTAGACTTAGGAGGGTGGGGGGATCGGAGGGGGGGGAGGCTTACGAGCATGAAGGTGAGGGTGAGGAGGAAGGTCGTTCGCGGATGGATAGGCGGTAGGACTGCGAACGCCGTGTCACCGACTCGACCGCGTGTGACGCTGTTGACGGCGTCAGGGTCCACTTGGAGGCCTAGGTACGGTGCAACTGTAACACGGGAGTCAGCATATATATCAATATTCCACCCGTCATTCACGGGTTGCGGCATCGATGCTCCTGGTGTCCCGTCGGGTGGGATAAGCACGTACCGAAAATCAGGACTCGATCCGTAAACGAGTACATCGCCCATACATTGGGCGCCCAATACGCGTGACACAGGCCGCGGGAGAAGGGGAACAGACGCGTCAGCAGCTGCGGGATCTGGCCATGATACGCGAACGGACCGAACGCCGCAGCGAAGACAGCCAGCAACCCCGTCCCCAACTTCACGGCGTTGGCGAGGCGGATGCGGACGACGGAGCCGGGGTGCAGGACGTAGACGCGAAGGAGATAAACAAAGTAAGCGGGGGCGAGGTAGAGGTAGATGTGCTTGAAGCAGAGGAGGGCGGCGAAGAGGAGGGCAGAGGGGAGGAGGGAGCGGGGGCGATGGGCGAGATGGAGGGAAAGGAGGAGGAGGCCGTAGAGGAGGGAGTTGTATTGGAAGTGGAGGTGGTCGATGAGGAGGAGTCCGGGGGAGAGAAGGATGGAGAGGGCGGCGGTGTGGGTGGTGGGTTTGGTGGGGGAGGAGGCGGTGATGCTGTTGGGGGGGGTTAGTATGGGTGACGGGATTGAGTGACGATCGGACGTACCGGTGGAGCGCGTAGACGAGGACCAGTTCGGTGAGGATCACGGTGCTTCGTTGGAAGGCGACGGTGGACCAGCTATCGTAGTTCAGGTTGTCGATGCGGAGCATGGCTGGGTCGACCCAACGGGCACATTGGGAGAGGAGCCATTCGAAGTAGGCGAAGAAGGGAGGGTAATCCAGAGTCCATTCTGAGGTGTCCTGATATCATGGTAAGCTGTTGGACCAAAAGCTAAATGTCTCGCCCGAAGACAGAGATATCGGGTGGGGGTACGTACCTCGTAATACCAGTTTTGGATGGGGAGCGAATGGGTGATCGCTAGCCAATTCCGATGCACTTCAAAGTCGGTTGATTTACTACTCCAGGTCAGATCTTGGGTGTCAAATCCGATATATCCATCAATGCAACGCATGGATCGTGGACTTGGATCTCACATACTACGCAGGGAACAACAGGACCTTGAATGCGCCGGCGACGATAGCGCATTGGACGAGGGTGGGATAGATGGCCTCAGGCATGGCGGCGGATGGACAGCATGTCCACTTGACTGGACCCGAGTGCGACGAAGCCGATGCCTGTGACACGGCCACACGTCTTCACCTCGACGCGGGATGTGGTTGGGATAGATGATGGGATGGACTTTTTGGGAGATTGAAACTTGAAAAGATCCGAGCTGCATGGATCGACGTTGGGAAAGTTCACAGAATCACAGCTCACACGTGTTGCGGCTCTCGCCCCGACCTCCGTTAGCTGCAGCTCCCTGCGTCCAGCGGCCGGCCCTGTCTGTCGCCCTGAGCTATGGACCAGCCGTCAACCGGGCCCACGAGGCGTTGAATGGAGTTGCTCAAGGCGCACCCCCGATCGGCAGCCAATTCCACGCGGGCGGGTTCTTCGGCTACAGATGAAAGAGCACAGCATGACAAGATTGACAACAGGACTACAGGAGACTTCTGTGAGGTGTGCAGGCTGCACTCTGCACTCTGCACTCGGCAGGGCACAACTCGCCAGCGATCCACCCGATCCACATGCACGTTGAAGTCTTGAAGGAAGCCAAGATGCAATTTGAACCGGAGGATCCATCGTTGGTCGATCTCCTTTTCCCGGGACAACTGGCTCGCGGTAATATGCCACCATCCCCAATACCGGGGACCATGATTGGGTTGATTAAATTGATGGAAATTGAGATAATACTTAAACGAGAACATCCTCTTGCGTGACCATTGGAAAAAAGGATGCCAGTAATATTAATATCGTACACAGTGTTTCTCTGTACTTTATTTACTGTACACCTTCACCAGCCCAATGGGATTCTGGCTTCCATCCAGCAAATTACAATAGACGGCGTTGACTATTTAGCGTCAGGCATTCAAGGCATTCATCCAATCATCCAATCACAGTAGATCCTCATACCGAATCGGGATAAGCGCCAGGTACAACCGACGCCCAAGCTCAGGCCAGCCCTGGGTCTGGCCTTGTGGCCTTCTGTTAACCCTTGTTACTCCTTGTGTGAGGGTCTGTTTTGTGTCACTCCTCTCCTTGTCTCTCACTCTCCATCTCATCCTCGATTCATTCATCGCTCTTCTCACTCTCCCCATTCACCACCACCTTTTACTCTCCTTCATTCATTCAATCCATATCTTCATTCGCTTCACTTCCTTTTATCTCCAGTCTTTCGAAGTATTGTCTTCACTTCTCTCCTTCTCATCTTCTCCCATCTGTGTTACCTTGAATAGCTACCTAGCTCGGTTTAGCTATTCACTCCACACCCTCGCTATTGATTCTGCCATCTATTCCCTTAGGCTTGTAATCCGTTTACATCTATTCTTCGTTCACTCGTTCAATAGCTGCCGATTCACTTATAATAGTGTTATTCGCCTATTCATTGTTTCGCCAATTCGACCGTGTTATTCCATAATTCCCTCCATCGACCGCCAGACACCCCCGAATCCACACCACCATCCTTTGGTTCTGTATTCATCCCCCAAGCAATAGTGCTTATTTACGTCGACTGTCCCTCGATCATTCCATCACCTGTACATTGTGAACAAGAGATTGTCAATAGCGGAACGCCCCTTCGCATTGTCCGCCCTCAAATACGGACACCAGATAATCACCCACAGCTCTGGTTCAATAGTGCAGTTTGCGTCGCGTATTGTCCGACAACAAGTGTGAATAGTAATCGAAGCTGCCCTCGAATCGGTGCTTGATGTGCAGAGAAGGTTCACGATAAGTCGTACGTCGTTTCCAGACCCTTCGTGTCTATAGAACTCGTAAGTCTCATTCCTCAGTCTTGATATTTCCGCATTCCGCTTCCACTCAGAAGAATGCCGATAATGGAATTCTTGAAGCTAACTCATTCGTCTCGGTTCTCCAGAGTCCCCTGATCGTAACAACATCGATCGGACTCCAGTTTCAGTGCCGATTCCTGCCCTCGACGTGGTTTAGGCCCGTCCCCGACCCCCTCGCTTGTTTCCTTCGTCGGTCGTGACCTTTCGTGTCGACCCTCCTTGCTTCTCCCCACGCGATACTTTCGGAAACTTTCAAGGACGATCTTGTCCCATTGCTCGATATGCAGCATCCTGACTCCGCGCCGAATGGCCCTGGTTCGAACCGTTTCCCTCCATACGGCAAAGCGAACATGAATGGCGCGAATATGAACGGTGATGGTACCGGATTTTCTCACGGAGCCTTTCACGGGAACCAGCCCTCGTTCGGAGATCGTCACTTGCAGCGCCCGAATATCCCCAATATCAACACGGGGCGAATGGGAGGCGGCAATCAACACGGTCATGCACCAGGCAGCAGCGACATGCAAACGCCTGGAACCGCATATGACATGAATTTCACCCCGCTGTTGCCTTCCCAGCTCCTTCTAGGCAGCCCTTTTCAGCCTGGATCCCCGAACGCCTTCACTCCTCAGTTCCAGAACTTCTCCACCTTTCCGAATCAGGGATCTGTCACTCAATCTCAGCAACAGACCCAACTCGGTAGTCCGACGCAGGGGCATACCAATCTTTCGCCAACCATGTATCAGAACCTCATGCAACCCGCCGCTGTCGGTGCTGGCAACTTCTATGGTGCTCCACAGTCTCCCACTGGAGGATACGGAAATCTCGGGAACCACACCCTTGGTGGTTATGGCAATCCGTTGGGCTTGTCCCCAGGATTGATGTCCGGGACGAGCCGAACCGTCTATCTTGGCAATATCCCCCAAGACACTACCGCGGAGGAGATCCTAGGACACGTTCGAAGCGGCCAAATTGAGTCGGTCAGACTCCTACCGGACAAGAACTGCGCTTTCATTTCGTTCCTTGACAGCAGCTCGGCGACTCACTTTCACTCCGATGCCATCCTCAAGAAACTTGCCATCAAGGGGCAAGATATTAAGATCGGTTGGGGAAAGCCATCGCCGGTGCCTACTTCGGTGGCGCTTGCAGTCCAGCAATCGAATGCGTCCAGGAACGTGTATCTTGGCAACTTGTCCGAGGATATCACCGAAGAGGAAATTCGAGAGGATCTTGGCAAATTCGGACCGATTGACACCGTCAAGATTGTGAGGGAGAAGAACATTGCCTTTGTACACTTTTTGTCCATCGGGAATGCTGTCAAAGCCGTGGCTCAGTTACCGCAAGAAACCAAATGGCAGGCTCCACGACGTGTGTTCTACGGAAAGGACCGTTGCGCATATGTGTCGAAGACGCAGCAGCAGAACGCCGCTCAATATCTCGGAATCGCGCCGGGTTACGCTCACGTGCTGAACGGTGCGGATCGCGACCTGATTTCGAATGCGTTGGCTCAGCAGTCTGTTGCAGCGGCAGCGGTGGCAACATCGGCCGGTGGTGTCAACAATCTGGGAAATCGGACGGTGTACCTGGGGAACATTCACCCTGAGACGACCATCGAGGAAATTTGCAACGTGGTGCGTGGTGGATTGCTCCATCACATTCGGTACATTCCGGACAAGCACATCTGCTTTGTCACTTTCATCGATCCCACTTCTGCGGCTTCTTTCTATGCCCTTTCGAACGTACAGGGCCTGATGATCCATAATCGGCGTCTCAAGATCGGCTGGGGCAAACACTCCGGTGCGCTTCCCCCCGCAATTGCACTCGCCGTGAGCGGTGGCGCATCTCGAAATGTGTACATCGGCAATTTGGACGAATCGTGGACGGAGGATCGACTAAGGCAGGATTTCTCAGAGTTCGGCGAGATCGAGCTAGTGAACGCGCTTCGGGAGAAGAGCTGTGCATTTGTCAATTTCACGAACATTGCGAATGCCATCAAGGCCATCGAAGCGGTGCGTGGAAAGGATGAGTACAAGCGATTCAAAGTGAATTTCGGCAAAGACCGCTGCGGCAACCCGCCCAGGCAAATGGGTCAACACAATCAGCAGCAGCAACAGGCGCAGATGAACAACGAAGAAGTTGGCTCACCCAACAATATGCTCAACGGCCATCATGCTCCCCCTCCGGTTCAGGCTCAGGCCCCCACTCCTACATCGATTCTCAACCTTGGCAATAACAATCCATTGTTGATTTACCTGCAACAGGCACAGCAGCAGCAACATCAGCAGCAGCAGACTGCTTACGACGCCAACACCTCCGGGCACGCACCGACTTTCCCGACCGCTGGCAATGCTGCCTCCTTCTACCCATCTAACTCCCCGAGCCCGCCCCAGGGCACCTCGACCAGTTCCAACCCGTCTCATGCTTCCCACGGGCCTAGCGCTTCTTTTTCGCTCGGATCTTCCATGAATATGGGCTCAAACTCGATGGCTAACCACCAGCATACCCACTCCCATGCACCCATTCAATCTTCCATGGCCATGTCCCCTCAACCCTACATAAACGGGAACGGAACTGCGAACGGAGCGTCCGGCGCAACCACCGTCAACGGTCTTCTCGCGCCCACGAACTCCGGCGCGGGTGCACGGGGCCAGCACGCTCGCGCGGTGAGCCTTCCGGTCTTCACCCAGGGCAACGGCCAACACCCCGCGGCGACCCAGCAGGGACCGATGATGGCCGGCTCGCAGGCCGGCATGATGCCCATGGGCAATCCCTTCAGCGGCATGACGAACGGCGGATACGGCGGCAATCATTACGGGCTCGCGATCCAAGGCGACAGCAACGGGGCGGGGAATCTCCCGGGTTGGGCGGAGGAAGAGATCGGTGGCGGCGGCATGGCCATCGGCGTCAACGGCGGGATGTGAGCATCCTCCGAATTGGCAAGTCACTCGGGCGGATGAAGGAAGGACGAGTGAGATGACGGACGGCGAACGTCCGACGCAGAACATGGATGGAGAATCACCATCCAGGCATTACGGCGATGGGGCGACACATTCACGGCTCTTTTATTGCAGTTCAGCTGTGCAATATTTGATCTTTTTTCCCTTTCTCTTCTCATTCCGCGTTTCGAAATCACTTTGCGCTACATTAATACCCTTCCTTTCCACTCACTCGCTCTTCGAGTGGAATCAGAGCTCACGTCGACGGTTCGGCCACTGAGCGATCTCGGGCTACTGCCTACGGACTTGGAGCACATCATCAATCACATCATACTCATACATCAGGAGGGTCCGAAATCTTTCGACTGCTCCCCTCACCACTCACATATATCTTAATCCCCACCCCGATCCCAATTCTGCGGATCCTCCTGAACCATACCTGCACCTCATCAACCTCATTTTCCTTCCCCTTTCTCTTCTCCAACTAGCATGTAACTTAACCCTTACCCTAACTGAATCGGCCATACTTTAATAGCTTCCCCTTCTCTTGCCTTCTTGCGTGTGCTTATGGTTGCTTTGTTTGTTTTTCGCTCGTTTCGCAGTGCTTGGGATTGCTCTACTTCTTGATCATTGAACTTCTGCTTTCCCTTCGGTTCCGGTTCCGGTTCCTCGTTGGCCTTTCTGGACGGATCTTTTTATCATTTATTATACTCGACCTCCATTCGCCATCCGCCTGCCTTTCAAAATCCGCTTCTTGTGAATCTCCTTGGAATCTGCATTTGCCGGCCGCCCCGCGATCGAATGGGTTCGAACGGGACGGGCCTTTACCGGTTTATACTGGGCTTGGGTTGGACGGGGGACGGATCGGGACGCGCTTCTGGCTCATTTCGGGCAATGGATAAGGAGGAAAACGGAGGGCATGGATGTCCGGAACACCTCTCCAGTTGCTGGCGTCAGAGATAGGTACCTTGCGGGCTAGTAGCATGGAGGCATTTGTCAACCCTATCCGGGCGGGATCGAATTCCAACGTCTACCGCTATCACATCGCAACCCGTTGTCGAGCCTGAAATACGTGCGTGATTTGAAATCTGAATTATAGAGTTCAACAAGCTCGAGGAGACACCACTATGTTCCGGGGTATCGTACAAGTATCCAAAGCAACCTATCCAATAAACGCCACGCCTATGTCGTGATTCCGGACCCATCTTCCACAGCATATCCAGCAAACGCCGTTCCAGACACATCTTCCAAAGCCCTCAATGAGCACTTGATCAGCTTTGAACGCCCTCGCATCCCGCGCCAATTCGAAAGATTCCCGCCCCCGCAACCACCCGGCCCTCAAAGCGACTCCAAATCCTTCTCGCTCGACACATCTGACTTCTCATCCTCCGACTCCGGCCCCTCTCGCTCATGCGACACCTCCATCTTCACCATAATCGCCCTCGACAGCTCCCCCGGCCGCACCGGCACCGACCCCCGCCTCCCCCCGTCACCAAACATCAACTCCTGCCCGCCACCGCGCTGCTCGCGCCCCTGTGACTTCGAAAACTTCACAGGACACTCCGACATCGGCTGGGCGGCGGAGATGGTGACAACGTTCCCGAATGCGGGGTCGCCAAGCTCGGGGTCGAAGGGGCGGGCGCCGGCGGGGCGGGTGCCGATGCGGGAGACGATCCAGGACCAGCGGGCGGAGGGGGAGGGGGAGTGGTTGGTGGTGAAGCCGGATACGAGGGCGGGGAAGAGGCGGAGAAGGGCGGGGCGGAGGGTGGGGAGGCAGACGGAGATGCAGGCGAGGGCGCCTTCGATGGCGGACCAGTAGAAGACGGGGGTGGTGTGGTCTAGATAAGGGGAGTTAGAGGGAGGGGTTAGAGGAGATGGGAGGAGGGGAGGAGTGCGTACAGGTAACGTCGTCGATGTAGAGTTCCATCTTCGCGCCGACTTGCAGGAAGATGACGAGGCGCGCGACCGACGCTGCAATGACGAGCGAGCCCGCCAGGAACATGCCGCCGACGGCAACACGCTGCTTGATCGGCATCTGCAGCTTCCAGATCATCGGGATCGGCAGAACCATGATCAAGAGGTCGGTCACGGCGTCGGTGACCCCGATGGCCCAGTAGAACTTGACGACGTCGAAGCAATATTGCGCGTACTCCCGCTCCCAGCGCGTCCAGATAGTATTGACGGGCGTGCATTGGAAGAGGCTCGCGAGCCAGAAGCCGAGGAGCCAGGCGGTGGCGATGGCGATGGAGACATCGACGACGCGTTTGAACGGTTGGGTAGAGAAGATGCGGCGGAAGAGGAAGAGGAGGGAGAGCTTGCACAGGCCGACGGCGGCGATGTTGGAGAGCTGGATGGTGAATTTCACTTGCTCGTAGATTTTCAGGGCGTCGTGCATGACCGGTTGGCTATCCGGGCCGTATTGTTTGCTCTGGTGAGTACCCAATTCTCCTAGTACGCCGTCTGGAAACATGTTAGCAGGTATCGATTGAATGGAGCCGCAGCTAACCTACCTATTATAAGAGCAGCTCCCATCCCGACAGTCAGCAACTCTAAGATGTCAGCTTCCTATGGACACCATTCTCCTTCTCGTCACCACAAGGGACGAGCGAACGATCGTCGACTTACCAAGGCGGGTAGGATGAGCCAGTCGTCGATTTTGAATCCAGCCGGCGTTAGAGTACGGGAGTAGAATCGCAGGGCAACGAAAGGAATGGGCAGTGCACCGCAAACGGCGCCCAGTGCGATGACCTGAGTACTTGAGTAACCCATATTGACAGTTTGTACCGGAGCGGTTGGATGAGATGGCGAGGAACCAGATATCGACCCTTCGTAGACAACTCGTGATAGATGATTATAGGCCCTTCATCCGCCTCATCTGAATTCCACTGGCCTCTTCAGGACTTCACCACACCTTATAGCAAACTGTTTGCGAGATGAAGTCGAAAATAGAAGTAAATGAGGGTTAGATTGAAATCGAAAGCGAAGGATTCAGAACACAAGTTTAAGCAGACTTGGACGACGGCATCGCCATTAAAGAGCGGCTTACCGTTGACTACATATTCGGGTACCTATTCAAAGGCCTGCAGTGGCAACCACCGGGAATGGTTGTCGATATCCGCTGCAGAGCGCAACCGATACACGTCCCACATACGGCGAACTTCCGTTTCGAGATTCGGCAACAGCGAACATGACGTTTGATTTGCCCTGCTATGCAGGCAGTCAATCAGGCCTGTGCATATGGGCCACCACGAGGGCGCTTAACCCGCACAACGTGGTTTTAGGTGGCTCAAGTGTCCAATGTGGAGCGTAGGGAAACACTGGTCGTGAAGGGTGGGAGGTTTGTCCCGTGGAGGAACGGATCAGAGACCAAACTGGTCGGATCGTCAATCCAGGCTTTACTGCGTAGATGCGATTATTGGAGGAGGAGTTTCGGACACTCGGGCTTGACGGTCGATGTCAAGGATCTCGGGCTGCGAAGATCTGTGATGTTGCCGTGGTGGTGTTGAAGATACAAGGATGGCGGCTAGCTTTAACCGGAACAAGTTAGCGATTTTCCAAATAGCTATCCCAACTTCACTGCGCCATGCCACCCAAAGGCTCAATATACTAAGAAATGCTGGTAGTAATGGTCAGTGAACAGTCCTCGAAGATCAATCTAGTTGTCATGATGTACTTTGGATCCGACATTTACTTTCCCATTCTTCTAGGGCTGTACGGTAACGTCGTTCTGAGATCGACGCTAGGCCTTTGGTAGTTTCTATATCGGGTCATTGGTATGAGGGATATTTACCTGTCCCTAACTAGGCGATACTCGAAGTTGCCATAGTAAACATTGCTCCATTATCGGCCTTCAATGCACGGGAAGCCTCTGGGAGTTCTGCGCCTAGATGATTGTCCACCGTGGCACACTCCACACGTTGAATCCCCGCTCAAACACGAATGGCTCGTCCTTTCTTCTTCCGATATCAGTGAGTTCTAGCTCGCCTTCATGGCGATTGTGGATTGCCCTCCCTGTGATTGACTTGTAGCATCCACCTGCCACCACTCCTGACATGGGCACGCGCCACGTAGGTTATACACCGAACAGTGGTCTTACTGACCAAGGGGACTTCTGCCTGATACCAAACATAGCCTTGTTGTGAGATAGACTGAGGAGCTAACACCTTCCAAAATCAATTGCTCACCAGATCATCATGTCGAGGTCGCAGATCCACGCACTGCAACTTGGCCGTGTGCCGTACCAGAGGTGCGCCATCTGGAGAGGACATTGGAAGGGTTCGACATCTTTTCTCCCTTGGATTCATTGCTATCGAATGTGTCTCTGCATGCCCAGAATGTTGTAGATCCATTTCCCAAAGAAAAGATTGGTCCGGGTATGAAGGATGGGGTCCACGTCCGCCGTATTTCCTCTAGACTGAAGGACCAGTTGCCGGTCGCTAAGAATGGGGCTGCGATCCTAAAACTGGATGGGCAGCTTTTGTGGGAAGAGAAGGACATCCCACTGCTCTCGCCCCTTCCACAACACATGCAATTTAATGAAGCTCTTAGACCGGAAACTGAACGGAAATGGTCAGGCAGTGACACTGTGGGTACGCGCTGGATTCTCCTAACCATCCAGTACTGATGTTATCGATCTGTAGGACGTCTTTTCAGAGCGTTGTCTATTTGACAAGCCGGGGATACTACCTGCTACAAGTTCGACGACCATACGCTTTCTCATCCAAGCTCTTACCGGAGACATGAGTGTGATAGAATGGAAGACTTGTAGACAGGTTCTTGAAACCGTCTCGAGAGATGCGGCAGCTACTCAAACGAGCATCAACAACGGTTGCCGGCTTGCGTGACTTTATGTGTCGCTCGGGGCCAAATAACTATTTGCTAGAGGATCTGAAACATGTAAATCGTCTGGTGTGAGTAGATGAGTAAAAATATTGACTGGCTTTGACGGTTCTCCCCATTATCGATCTAACGGGGCAGGTTTAGAGGGAGCGAGTTGATCTTGGCTGGAATAAGCTGCTGGAGAACGCGATACTTCGCCTGGAGGAGAAGATTTGAATAAAAAGTTGCATCAACTAACTTAATCAAATGGATTCAAACTAAGTTAGTGCCCGGAAAGAGATTGATAATAAACTGTTGAGGGTCCCACTGTGCCCAAAATGCATCCATCCCAAGGCACAGCATAGGACTGTTAGACCAGGCAAACGGAACACAAACAACATGGACTATAATGATAAACCATTTCTATAGCGCCTAATAAGGCGATGAAGTTAAAAAATGAATATCTAAGCGATGAGAAAAGTAATCCGAGCATCAGGCCATGAAGACTTGAGGTTGAAGGCAGACCACGTGAGGAGACCAACGGAACCAAACTTCCTCTTCTTTTCTGGTAGACATCTTAACTTCCACTCGCTACAACGGCAAAAGAAAGCATCGTTTATGCGATCAAATGACCTTCCCCACGAGATAATCCATCAAATGACTGTATTTCAGTTGTGTCCGACCGATATAATGGGCCTCGAGACTTGCAAACGATCGGAAAAATAGGACCGTGGTCGATCGACTTGTTTCATGCCATCCTTGGTCGAAGTCACTCCAACACCAGATTGGCATCTAGCCCATCACGGTTTCGCTTAACCTCATCTCCAAATGGAGTGTTTCGCTGGCATTCGCATGTTGCCGAAGTGTCCTTCCTAGCTAGAATCGAACTACAGTGGCCAACGAGTCGGACACTCCACTCTGACATGGACCGAATCCGATTTACCCACGAAAACCGACAATACAGATGATGAGAATGGAGGCTAAATTTCTTTCTGCGCGAGAGGGTCGAATACGAATACCTGGGCTACTGGACTAGGAACTCTCGCTGCCTTGGAAGCATTCTAGATAAGGTGTAGTCCTCACCATCATGGTCAAGATGGCACTGGTAGATTGTAAGAGAACGTATCTGGACGCAGTCAGGATGTCCGGTTCTTGGTGGGATATATACTCAATTGCCAGAGTAAGCCTCCTCACTTGACTCAGGTGGACCGGCCAGCAACGATGCTTGGAGTTAATCCAACTTTGTGGGCTTTCTTTCAGTCAACTGTCAAACTCCTGGAATTTTGTGGATTTGTACCCGACTCGCCCATATTCCTCCTGATTTCGCTATTTTGAGTATGCGCAATTCATTAAGTCGCTCGTCATATCGCCCACGGGGGAGACTTTCAGCAATGATATTAGTCGATTTGCTCTTCGGCTGTTTGTCGTACAACTATAGAAGTGTCAAGTTATGTTTATACATATCATCAGCATTACATCTGTTAGCAGCATGTCGGCAAAAGGGAACCGCATTGATTTAAAAGAGCTTGGATTTGCACCCGGCACGGGGAACGGTTATGGACGCAGCGTTAGTATTGGGCAGACAGGCTCCATTGAACGTATTGGACACCGAGAAAGCCGACGCAACTGAGCGTAGGTAGTTTGCAATTCGGATGTTCGACGGACGACGTGGACATGATTCATATCAACAGCACTAACATAAAGCCAGGGAAATACTGAGGCCATCAAACGCCGCCTCTCAAGGCAAGGCCGATGACTGCTATCTCGTCTATGAAGAAGCCTCTACTCCAGATGAGCGTACTTCAGATGGACGCGATTCATTAATACATGACTGTCTGAATATGAATAGTCCACCGTGTAGATGCCTCCGGGCATCCAACAGCGAAGAGGCCATTCTTCAATCCGTCTTACGACACGTTCTTCCGAACTAGGGAAAGCAGACGCACGCTGAGCAGCGTCAGCACGAGTGGGAGAGATGGCGCAACTGAGCAAAACATTGAAGGGTCGAAGTGGTGATGATGTGCCTAGGCGAGCCGCGACCGGCATGGGCCAGCCTGATGTCAAATGTGGCAGCTCGGACAGCATGACCGTTTTGGTCAAGGTTGGGTGACCCGACAGCCAGCTCGGCGGGCGGGGGGGCGTGTTTACGGAACGGACCAAAAGTGCACTGCGATGCCGCACACCATTGTCGCTAAGTCTCATCTATTTTCTATTCGTGGAACTGATATCTGCTTAATACAAGCCGTTTACAGTATGATTCCTCAATAGACTTCAATATCTACTATTGTCGCGCGCTATTCATCGTCCAAGTGGTTGGCAACTGGTGATAGAAAGGGTTATTGTCGCGTCGACTCCATGTCACGTGCATTCAGAGCTAAGAGAGCGACCGGAAAAGAATCCATCTGACGTTCATTCACCACCACTTCACCCTTCTTCACCTTCACCTCCCCCAACAACTCCCACCTTCCAACCATCTTCCACTTGCTTTCATCAACCACCTGTTTCTTCCATCAAATCTTCACCACAAACCTTCGCTTCTCATCCTTTTCCAATCCCCCACCAACTAGCTTCATCGAATTCATTGCAAAGTCATCGCGACATTGTACTCCCGAGTGGTTCTCACCCAGTAATCAGCTTGCACTCTTCACCGAATTGTTCTACACGCGTTCCACGCATCATGGCCGAGGAGGTCAAGCCTGACGCTGCTGTTGCAGCTCCTGTTGCAGCTCCGGTGCCCGAGGAGACCATTGCCGCGCCCGTTGCCGGTTCCGACGCGTCTAAGGAGGATCCGTCCACCGAGGCCAAGGTTGATGGCACTCCCGCCAAGACAGACCAGACCACCGATAGTAGGTTCATCAAGAATGTCGCGTCATTTATCAAGTTGGTTACTCACACTCTACTCTACCTCTGTAGATGCTGTCCCACAGACCGAGACCAGCTCTGCGGAGCCCGCCGCGACCAAGGAGTCGGAAGCAGGTTCTCAAAAGCCTGCAAATGAAGGCACCAACGGAGCTGAAGGTACGCGTCATGATAACTTCATTTTAAAGTGGCAAAAACACTGACAGCTCCTTGCTTTAGCTTCCGCTGACACGATCGAGCCATTGGCCGCGACAACAAACGGCGCAACTGACGCGACCAAGAGGGACAGGAAGCGGAAATCGTCATCCGGGGTGCCTGAGCACAAATCCAAGAAGCTCAACCGCAAGAAGAGCATGCCTCAGCTCCAACTGGACGTTGAGCCGGGTCAGTTCTGGTTTGCGCGCATGAGAGGGCACCAGCCGTGGCCTTCCGTCATCTGCGACGAGCAAATGCTACCCATCTCATTGCTCAGCAAACGCCCTGTGAGCGCCAAGCGCGTTGATGGTACATGGAGGGCAGACTTCGAGGTCGGCGGGAAGAACGTCCGTGATAGGCGATATCCGGTCATGTTTCTTGCCACTAATGAGTTGTACGTGCATGATTATGTGCTAATGTGACTTTTTGGCTAACCCCAATCATCTAGTGCGTGGCAACCAAACACGGATCTGCTGCCTCTCGACATGAATGAGATCAAGGAGAAAGTGGAGAGCGGAAATCAAGGCAAGATGCCGAACACGCTCTGGGAAGCTTACAAGACTGCTGCCGGCGAGCATAGTCTCACCCACTTCAAGTCTGTTCTCATGGAACATGAGAAGGCCATGGTGAAAGAGCAAGAAGACCGTGAGCAGGAGGAGGAGCTCCTCAAGCAGCAGATTGAAGCCGCGGATAAAGCTGCTGCTGAACAGGCGGAGAAGAAAAAGGAGAAGGCGGAGCAGCAGAAGAAGAGCAAGAAGAAGGGCAAGAGTGATGATGTCGAGATGGCGGATGCAGATGGTACTGCTAAGGCTTCCAAGTCGAAAAAGCGAAAGAAGGGCGAAGCTGCTGACACTGATGCAGAGGAGGGCACTAAGGTGAGCAATTTGGCATATCTACAATTCTTGCATTTATGCTTACTCTGTACAGCCCCCGAAAACTCCCAAGCTGAAGCTCACAAACAAGAGCACTGATACCCCAGCAGCCGCCTCTGACACGAAGTCGAAGAAGGCTTCCAAGCCTTCTGCGAAGAAAGCCGCTTTCAAAGATACGGCTCCAAAGGAGGAGAAGAAGCAGGAGACGGAGGCGGAGAAGCTCGAGAAGCGCCAGAAACTGGGTAAGAATCGCGTATTTCGTTGTTTGCATGATCATAACTGATGCGTGGACAGTGTTGTTCCTTCGCCACAGGCTTCAGAAAGGCTTCCTGGACAAGAATACCCCCCCTAAGGATGAGGATATGCCGGACATGTCGCTGCGACTTTCCGATTTGGAAAAGCATGAGAATCTCGAGGTTTCGATCATCAAGGCCACGAAGATCAACAAGGTCCTGAAGCAATTGCTTCGAATCGAGTACATTCCGCGAGATGAGGAGTTCCATTTCAGACAGCGAGCGACTGATCTTCTCGGGATCTACAACAAGTCCATGGAGCTCGAAACCCCGACTCCGGCACCTGCTGCATCAACCGGAGCAGCTGCGCCGAAGAGCGAGGAGCCCGAGGTGAAGACCAACGGCGTCAACCATGAGGAGCCTGCCAAGGAGGGCGCTTCACCAGACGAGAAGAACGAAGTGAAGTCGGTTGAAGCGGAAGAGCCCAAGAAGGACACCCTGGAAGTCGCTGAAGGAGATGGTGACATTTCCATGACAGACGCGAAAGCTGATATGGTCGCACCAGAGGAGGCCCCCGAGCGGGCAGCCGAGACCGCCGCGGACGCACCGGTCGCAAGCACCGAGGAGCCCAGCTTTGCAACGTAGATCCGTCGCCGCAGGGTGTCATTTCACCATTCACGTTTCACCTTTTTCCCTCTGGTGTTCCCTCGCGATGCTAGCGAGGTTGTACCATGGTGAATCCCTAATTCTCATCGATTCTCTGGTAATAGCGGCATCGTGGCGGATTTTCTCACAAATTGTGGTAGTGGATTAGTAGTCCTTCATTCGGCGGTTGGGTGGGAAGGATGGCTGGCGCTCTTGGCGTCATGGGTCGTTGAGATTCTCCTTGATTAAGGTTCGACATGAGGAGGGGACGGTCTATAGTGAGCGTCATCGCGACGGATGATTGAGAAGTACTACAACACAGAGGACAGCTACAGTTTCCTGCGATCCAGCAGAGACGAAGATATGCCCTCCATGGTGTTGATGCTCGATTCAATCAGGTAGTTTCATGATCTACAGTTGCGGTACAGGTAGCTCCAAAATTCAAAATGTTCATTCAATATCATATGCGGCTGCATCTTCTCTAACCTTATTTCTCAATTTCGAGTTGAAAGAGCTTGGTGGGGAATGCCGTGATGTCCGTCTGATGATGGCAAGACACTAGCGCTGGACCTTCGGAATGGGTGATGGATGGGATGGTGAGGCTGATGAGAGGACTACCCAAACCCCTCGAGGAGAAAGCATCAGGCACTCTACACTGCCAAAGTGAGGATACAAGCATTTCAATGATCATATCCGGTGCGAAGAGCCACGAAGAAAGTTCAATTACATAGCAATATTGCTAACAATGACTCAGAACATCGCCTGAAGCGCTGTGTCTTGGGCGTACACGTCGAGTCAGATCGCGAGTATGTGACTATCACTTGAGGTATTGGTGGTCAATCTTCTAGATGCACTTCTTCGCTCTTAGAGCAAAGAAAAGGTCGGCTGTCAAGATTCTATATGTGAGGAGTATATCTCACCCTCGCCTTCCAATGGTAGATAAGAAGGGTGGCTGCTGCTGATTTCTTCCTATGCGCCGAATATTGGAATAGACGCCCCGAGCTCCAAGTCCTTCCGCTGCCGATGAACCCAGTCGCATTAATAATAGCGCTGTGAGATCCCGGTAGAGCGTCTACTCAAGCCCGTTCCGCTCCGTTTGAATGAATATGGCACAAACGGCTCGGGGGATTTCGTGTCCACTGCCGGCGTCCGAGACAGACCAACACGTCCTACGTCCCCAATGGTCCGTTTGACCGCTCCAAATGGCCGGGTGATGGTCTTCCATACATTATCCAACTCTCCAGCCCACCAGAGCGAGATAATGACGATGAGTAGGGTCAACGGCACACCGGCGGACCAAAACACCCACTGGCGCTGGGGCATGTCGCGAACGTCGGATGTGTTCATTCCGAGGAACCCTGCGACGAAGGAGAGTGGGAGAAAGATGACGGTGACGACGGTAAATGAGTAAATGGCGGCGTCTTGGCGGTCTTTGTTGGATTCGATCATGCGTAAGTTCCAGGACGACAGGTCCGATGCACGCATGGTCAGCTCCTTGAAGCTGTGGAGGCGCATGGCGACGAGCGCGATGGCGTCTTTGATAACTGGGAGGTCGAACGGCTCAGGAGACTTGATTCCGCAGAGTGGAAGGTTGCTGTGAGCGTCTTGTTGTAAGATCTGCATCTCGATGCCCCGAAGGACACGTTCTTGGTCCTCGAGGGTGGATAGGACGGCGGCAACTTCCTGATTGAAGAAGGTGATTCTGTTCTGATGTGCACGTTTCAAGGGATCACCTTGTATTTCGAGCTCCTACCTTAAGTTAGCGAGGCGTTGGCTTCGTCGTTTAAAATCGCCCTACAAGTGTTCTGAAATACTCCCAGTAGACGTCGAGCATGTCCCGGGGAGAGATGTCTCGAACCAAGCGAGCAGCGATAAGAGTCTGTAGCGCAGGAGGCATAGTCGCTTCAAAGTCACCGAGAGTTTGTGGAGCCAAAGTCCGTAGCAGCGATCGTTTCCCTTCCGCGAGGAGGTCCTGGCATTTGATGAAATGGGTATATTCTGCGGCCCCTGCATCTGCTTTCACGGAGATGAGATAGAGCAACACATGAAGAAACAGACGCTGCCACTCGTCAGGAATCTTCAGCCCGCCTGGGGCTGGGCATTTGCTGTCCGAAAACAAAGACCTTGCCTGGGTCAGTCTGAAGGCCAGTATCCGCAGTCGATATGGTCGGTTATTCTTGTTAAATTCAGTCGAGCTTGCTAGAGTTACGTGGCCGATCGCCCCCCAATACCGGCGGATGATTGGGGCGTCAGTGTCCAGAGGTACGAAGAACTGCAATATCTCCTCGGCTGCATTCACAGCTTGTTCTATCTTCGGATAGATAGGGACCTGTCTCCCGGCATTTTCTCTTGGTCGTAGATCCTTCAGCAACGTATAGACATCTGAGAGCCTCATCTCAGGTGTAGCCGCGTAGCTTAGGTGGCCAATGTCCTTCTTCCGATCCAGAAGAAACTTATGCGCCTCTGAGAGGCAGATGGAGATGTTTTCCGAGGGCATACTCTGTTCCGAAAGAGGTTTCGCACTGTTTGGTACCCCGGGCCAATCCCCCTTATCAGAACGATTCAGTTTTGAAACGTTAAGCCACCGGAAGAGGTGAAAGTCGGATGCGAGTCCAGGTAGGGAATCCGACTCTCGTCCGTATCGACTAGGTGCCCTGGACTGGCTTGTGGGGACCGCGCCGGCTGCTGTCGTGCGTTCATCGCTCCTTAGGGACGCCTGAGCCGCTGCTTCTGTATCAGACTCTTCGACGAGAGGGCCATCATCACTATCGTAATCCGATGGCATAAAAGGTTGTCGCAGATTGCTTCTGCTCAGGACAAGCCTAAGAGGGCTCGACCGGCTTTCCGCCACGACACTGGGCCAATCTTTAGCTTCGATTGACACTCCGAGCAACTTGACGGTCAAAGTGTACTCGAACTCTTCCCCGTCATCTAGCAAATGTCGGAAGTGAGCGGTGAAAGCTAGCCAAGTTTGGCACCTTGAAAGAGGCAAGAGCCAGACATGTCTTCCATCGTCTGACACTTCGATGTAGTCTCGCACTGAAGACTCTGTCTCTGGCCGAGTTGTGAGACTGAAGCTCTCACTGGAGATATCACGGATAGAATGTCGAGAGCAGGTGATGAGTAGCCGGTCGTCAAGTACCATGCTCCATATCTGGGATACATGGAAGCAACTTCCTTTGCGGGTGTCTGGCAGTTTGCAAATCGCCTGTTGGAGATCACGGTCCTTTCTTGCGGAGGAGTAGAGGGTCTGGAGGAGCGGCAGGCCTGTATGCAAAGCTGCATTATCAGGCAACGCTACAGCTGCATATCTTTCCAGGGAGAAGTATGGAAAACAGTTTATATAAACTGATTTTTCTTTTTCCCCAGGAGAGGTGTGCTTTCGTTGTATCCCGCGGTAAGACAGATTCGGGAGATGCCGTCCCGCTACGCCATTTGCTGTTCGAAGGGCCTGCTCGTTCGTACGGACATGCTCTAAAGACTCCGTTATGAGACTTCTATCGTCGTCATCTAAAGATGGGGCTTGGAGTGCTGCCTTGATGAACTCGGAGAGGCTCATGAGGGACGCCTCAATGTGGATCCAGACATACAGAGGCGACGGACTCGACACATCTGAATCGCTAAGAATTTGCTCCGCAACGAGCGAGGCATTCTCAAGGCCCACACTGAAGTTGTTCGGGGGAGTTTTTGAATGGACAATCCCATACACCAGCTTCCGATCCTGGTAGATGCTTGGAGGTGCGTTCGTACCCAGAGTGGCTGGCTTACCTACAGAACCTGATTCATTGTCATAGGATCCATCATCCTCGGCATTGTCGTCAAGGTTTTGGGGAAGGGAGAAATCAAGACTATCCTCAGAGTCTGTTCCATCTAGTCCAACATTGATGGTGTCCGCGTAGTCGACTGGATCCGAGGTTCGCCGCTGGCGAGACGCTAGATCAGGGTACGATGACAATCGGGACCTCCGATAGCGAGACGCTAGATCAGGGTACAATGGCGATCGGGACCTGCGCCTAGAGTTGGCCGAGGGGTCGCCATAATCCAAGACATATTCCAAGATGGCGGTGCCCGTCTTGCGATTCGGAGAGCTACTTCGATTACGTCTTCGGCGTCTACCTGTTGGGGCGCTCCCAGCTTCGAATCGTTCACGCTCTTTCTTTTGAACATCTTCTTCCCAGTCTGAATAGGCACGGTGGTCTCTTGGGGGTGGAGGTGGAGGTGGACTCCACACTCGCTTGAGTACACTCTCCCTTGGCGGGGATGGGTAGTACAACGGTTCGGATTTCGACGACTTGGAGTCATACCATTCATACCCGGCTCTAGGCCGCGAGTAGGACCGATCTCCACCTCTTTCAGACAAAAAGTCATCGTCTCTGAAGGAGTTTTCACGTCGCCGAGACCTCCTACGAGACCTCAATTGATCGTCAATCTCTGGATCTTCCCTTGAATTCCCAAATCGACGAAGATTTCTGCCGTCATAGGCCTTCTCATCGTCGCCGTCATTGAATCGGGAATATGGCCCACGACCCCGGTAGCTGGGGACTGAGCTGTAATCTCTTGGGGGGTCGTTGACCTCTCTGTCTACTCGAGATGTCGAAGGGACCGAACGGTAAGGCAGACGGTGGATAACTATATTAGACTTGGGTACTGAACGAGAACGCGACGAGCGCCAATCGTCATCGGTGGCAAAAGAAGGGGAGCGGTCGCGTTCTTCGACATAATGGCTGATTTTTACATGACGCGACTTGCGCTTGGGTTCGCTCGAATCGGACATTATTGCGAGGCGAAGGAAATGGGTCAAAATGTCGAGCTTTTCCTGGAGGAAGAGCGGCTAAAATATCAAGAGCCAAATAGAATTGCAACCTGGTCTATTAGATCCAAAATCTATATCAGGGACGCATTAACAGAGTTGATTGTGGTTGAAGGACGCAACAGAAATGCGAGGCTGTTCAGCCCGATGTCTTGTAGCGACATTGGGGCGCAGCGCAGCCTTGCTGGCGTTGCCGCCAGGCTCATGGCTGGATACTAACTTAATGACCTTCATGGCACGAACCATACGCTCTCAAGATATGACGACTTAATGGGATTACAATTGTTCCAAAGCCAGAGGAGATTTGATGTATAAAAACCGTAGGGAACTTTGGCGTGCTCAAGCACGCCATGGATCATGGACCCAAACTTCGACCAGACCTCCACCACGTGCAGCGAATATAAGACTGCGAAAATTCCCGCCTCGCCCAAGCATCGTCCAATAGTGTACAAACCGAAAAGGTTAGGTCATGTCCTGACGCCCGCGGATAATTGGATCAAGATACAAGTTGTCGCATTCGCCTGGGTTCAAAATCATGGCCGAACAAGCCACCCGTGGCTCGTCCACGATAAATTACAAAGATGGGGGAATGAGAGACAATAAAGAATATCAAACCCGACTTCGACAGACGCTCGAAGCTGGCGAAGTCGAGTTGCTGTCCCCGGAGATGTTAATATCCTCTCGCGATGCCGAGCATCCCGCAAACCTCATCCCGTCGCTATGTGAAGCGTTCTACAAGCTTGGATGGGTGACCGGTACGGGAGGAGGGATATCCATCCGCAAAGGTGCCCTGGCCTACTTCGCCCCGAGCGGCGTGCAGAAAGAGCGGATTAAGCCCGAGGACCTGTTCGTGTTGGACTTGCGGTTGGGAACGTACTTGCGGTACCCGCTGCCGTTGAAGCCTAGCCAGTGCACGCCATTATTCCATCTCTCGTTCATGAAGCGAGGCGCGGGGGCGTGTATCCACACACATAGCCAGTGGGCCGTGCTGGTGACGCTCCTCGTCGAGCAGGAGCTGCAGCAGCGGACGGCAAAGGGTGGTTTTGCGACGTGGGATGACCGGAGCATGGGCGGGATTACCGATCTGACGGGCGCCGAGCGAAGTCTCTCAAAAAAGCGCTGGGATGCAACGCCAGGCCGCGACGCCGTGCTGCATCGACCATTCCGCATCTCGCGCCTCGAGCAGATCAAAGGCATCCCCGCCGGTCAGAAGCACACGGACGGGTATATCGATGATGTGGACCTGTCGAAGATCGAGCCCAGTCGGCCCGGATACCTGTCATATTACGATACGCTGGCGATTCCGATTATCGAGAACACGGCGCACGAGGAAGATCTCTCCGCGTCGCTAGCGGCGGCCATCGAGATGTATCCGCACTCGAGCGCGGTGCTGGTGAAGAGACATGGCGTATACGTCTGGGGGGAGACGTGGGTGAAGGCGAAGACTGTTTGTGAGAGTCTGGACTACATTTTTCAGCTGGCGATCGAGATGCGCAAGTTGAATGCGCCATGGACGGAAGATTGAGTGGATGAATGAAAATCGTCAAGATGATGGTCGGGCCGAGATATGGATTCGGGGGGTGGTTAACGACAATGATAGGATGCTTAATGAGGGCGAAATCGATAACAGGGATTATCCCGATGGTTGAGGAGTCAAACTACAAGCACCGTCGCCAGTGATCATCTCGTTTAAGCTACTACTGTTAATTACTTCTTGCATAATAGTGCTATCATATACCATGAGTTTTCATGGCGAATCAGTATCGTACAATTCAGAATATGTTAAATCTGAGGCCGAGCCCTTCCCGGCTGGATAGAAAGATCCTCCTTGAAACCCGACCGCGCCTGATGGGAATCGCCCTACTAAGTTCCAGTATTTCCTATCCGAGTGTCCATGCGAGCGCCTTAACACATACCCACGCCAAATCCGGTGGCAATAACGAGGCTGATGCGCATTTCATTAAATGCGCGCTCGACCGATCACGAGAACTTCCACCGGTGACCGCAGTTCATGCACTCGCAAAACGTCGTCATCGGTTCGTCGGCACTCCTCGTCTGCGCTTGACTGTAGCTGACCTTCTTCTGACTGCATTTGCCGCACGTTAAACTTGTGCTGATGCTCTTCTCCTCCTGCGCCACCATGGCCTTGTTCAGGTTCTCCTTCTGCAAGGCCGCATCCTCGGCTCGTCGCTCGTCGGACTTGAGTTCGTCGTAGGTCATGACCACAAATCGCGCGGGCGTCACGTTCCCTGAAAGGACGCGCACGCGGAGGCCGGGGTTGGATTTGTTCTTTAGGTTCTGGTAGAGGGACCGCATCTTGGTCTTATAGGCATCCGATGTCTCGGGTCCGAACTCCTTGTACGCGGCCTCTTCGACCTCCCTGGCGATGCGCAGAACTTCCGATGGCACTAGAGCTCACTATTAGCGATGGGGCACCTTCAGTTGATGCTCCCGGGTAAACTCACACTTTTCAGACATATGCGCCAGCCCATCGTACATTAGTTTGACGCAATTGTCGCGCGTCGAGTTGCCGGTAACCTGGGTACTGACGTTATCGGACTTCGAGTTCCGCTTGTCTGGCGCAATATCATGCTTCTGTTTCAGTTTCGGCTGCGAGGATGATGGGGGTGGTGCGGGGGAAGCGGTCCCGTTGGAGATTTTGGGGGTGGAGGGGCCTGAGCCAGCCTTTTTGATATCCGACTTCCATTTCGATACCAGCTCAGAGGCTTGCGTCGCAACGTTGGGGTCCTTGTTCTGCCGTAACCGGTTGATGGTCACGCCGATCTTGGTGGATCGCAAGATGTCTTCGGTGGCTTCCACGCCTTTCCGAAGCTGACTGAGGATGTCGATGACGGTGGATGGTGCATCTTGTCCCGCAACGGCCTTGTTGATCGCCTTGCCCTTGAGTTCAATCTCCTTCTTGTCCATGGCTTCCAAGTCGCCTGCAGAGGGCAAACGAGGGTGTCAGCGGGGTTGGTCAGGAGATAGGAATGAAGGAACGAAAGAGGGAACCTGATTGCTGTGACTTGGTAGATGTGCTGTGATAGATTATGGAGATACAGTAGATTCTGGTGATGGTTTGCCTTCCTTGATGTTCTACACTTGCTAACGTGTGTTGTGGTTGGTGGGGAAAGAACGACCCATGTCTCATGCGTAACTTCCACTTCGCGTATTGGTGCCTTATCACTGCTTTATTCTGGCCTTGTCGCCTTGCGGCTTCTCAACCGCGTTTGTTCATCACGTCCGGTTCGCCATCCGTGTAACAACTGTATATCAACCGTCTAGTTATAGAACACCTGCGCTTGGCTGGGAGGTTAGATGCTTGTTCGGCTACGATAAAATTCCAAGATGTCGGAAAACGCGCCGCCGACCACGAACGGCTCCACCGATGCGTCGCGTGGAATGCCATACTATGAGAAACTGAGGCGAGAGTTGCGAGGAGCTCTGAACAAGAAGCGATCGTTAGATCAGAACCTCGTGAGTTCGGGAGGCCTTCAAGGGTCACCGTTGCAACTCCAGAAGCTAACCGACTCCCAGCAAAGTCTCGAGGAGAACATCTTCAAGGTCGAAACGTCCTACCTGGAAGAAACGACCGCCGGTAATATCATCAAAGGCTTTGACAACTACATCAAAGGATCGTCCGGCGGTGGCGTGGCATCAACAGGAGCAGGCACCGCAACGCGGAGAAAAGGCGGTATCACAGAGCAAGATCGCGTTTTCAGTCGAAGCTCGGCCGTATACAATCGAGTGAGTTGCAGCCATGAGATGCTCACGCCGATCATTGCGGTTACCCCGTGCTAATACGCGCCATCTTCGGCGACACCAGGACTCTCCAGCTCCATCCACTCAGACGACTCCATCACACGCCGCCACACCAAACTCTAGCTTCCCGCATAACGCACGAGAGAGCAACCATCCCACTCCGACCAGTACTGGTGCCGGCAACAAATCTGGCACGAGTAAGAAGAAGAAGGCTGCCACGGACGACGATGATACCGATAGCAAGCCGGCGAAGAGGGGAAAGATCACGTACGGCCGGGACTGACGGACAGTGTACCCCATTTATGAGAAACGTTTGAAAAGCACAGCGGTGGCGTTCGGTGTTTATCGGCCATATACTCCTCTAGGCGGTTCTTCTGAAGACTCCTGACAAAAGCCTTTGTTGTTGTTATATGGGAAGAAGGTCTCCTGGTTCAGTTCACATGGTCCTTGAAAGTTTGAGAGGACCTTCATGAAGGAAATAGGACGGATTGCATCCTCTAAGTTGTGCCTCCACAACCATTCTCCTTCGACCTTCTTAGGAGGGCAGCATATTCAGAACTTAGCATCGTTCGGACTTTCGTGCGACGTCCTGGACCGACATACTCTTTCCCGATCGCCAGAGCTGAATCGAAATTCGAGATTTCTATATTCTACGTCTTAAACGAGTCCTATATCCCGCTATCTCTATTCCTCTTTTGAGACTCAGATGGGACAACTTTCATGAACGACTCGCTCTCAAAAACTCGAACGGCGTACTGATGGACTTCTGTCATCAATACGTTCAGGACACGTCGGTTCCTAGGCACCAGGGCACCAGGGCACCATCTCTAGAGTACCGCACAAAATCCACATGCCAGCAGCGCAGGCACGGAATTGTGCCTTACCGAGTTCTATCTTCGAGGTCGGTATCCTATCGAGACGTATGGCTACCAATGCGACTGCGGTTTGGTGTCCAACTATTATCGGGGCTAAGTTCCTGTCTGGATTTGTGAGATAGAGACCGAGGATTGGGACTTCGGCTTCGAAAACAGGTCCGAGGGGATGCTTCTCCCCAAACATATCAGAGCAGGCTCATCAACGACGACAGTGCACGGAAACATCGAGTCTAGAGGGACCGCGGCTGGCGACTCGAGAAAACCCCATAGCCTGCAGAGGACCCAATTTGAGAATATCAATGGCGCCATCCGCTCTCCCGCGATGCACGTACGGAGTGGAAAGAGAGTACGAGGGAAAATCTAATGCCCGAGGTGTCTAGAGGTTATTATGGGAGGATATCGATGTACGTAGAGAGGTCAAGGACGCCAACCTTGGTTAATAGAGAATGGAACAGGTCGGATTACTGCGGACAACGATTGGCATATATGCAAAGGCAGAGCCCGATGATATAACAGTATGCCTAATGGAGAATCATTGCCAGATTTTCTGAATCGAATCAAAGGAACCCATTGCCTACTGTCCTTGTCTCACGAAAGCTGTGGTGAGTGCCAGCTGGGGAAACAACACCTTCCTTCCAAATATCACAGCGCAGGACGTCCGAAATGACCAGCCTCGTCTCCTGTAGCAGTACGAATGGTAAAAACGGTTCCCCGTCGTTCGCGTGATAATCTAGCCAATGCTCCATGAGTGCCACGCGAACAACATCACGACTCACGAGAGCGAGAGCTGCCCAAGAGTCAGTCCAATGAACTGCTTCTATCAGGGCTCATCTCCTGCTCATTTACATCTATGCTCAGCGATTCCGAGCACTCACTCAGTTCATCAGAGCAGGCACAACCGTCAATTTCGCGAGCAGTCATCGCCAGGGGCAGAATGCCAGTGGCATTCCTCAACTGTAGCCCTAGCTGCATCCGAACCTGGCCTCTGCGGTATGAGCGGGCTGCACCTTGAACAAAAAGCAACATAAAAACGACCTTCTCAAAGTTGATCGGGACCAGCCAGTCCGCCCTTCTTTGAGCGCTGCCGCCTTGAACTCGAATTCTCAATGCGTCGAGGAGGACGCAACGGACCACAAGGAGTAATCATATCAAGAGATCACGCAATACTCCTCGTCGCCGTGAAGTCGGCCTTCGAAGGTGGTCCAGCATGGATGGAATAAGACCCAGCGGCTAGCAGTCAGCAGTCAGCACACTCAACCCTAGCCGAAGCAGGCTGTGTGGAAAGGGGCAAAGAGAAGGACCTCAAGGAAGTCAGCATGCGAGATTCGAGCCGTCCGACCATCAACTATGTCCCTCGGCGATACCTCTAGGCTGAGTCGCATAAGGTGCCAGAGAAGCCCTAGTTACAGTCAGATCATGTCATCGCCACTATTGAGTATCTCCATTCTTTGAGTTCAGCGCTATGGAGCGGCCAGCATTTGCCACGCTATCCATTCCAGAGGCAGAGCCCCGGCCCGATAATGAGGTATATTCACTCATTCAACTGAACTTGACGATTCGCCCAAGTCTACATTGTCACGGAGCACATCATGCCCTCTCTCTCGACGGCATACCTCAGATATGCGGTATTCTATCGCAGTGTAGACGGTGAATCACTAAGGGTGCAGACCGCAGAGGGCATACGCGCATCTCTCGTGATCTAACTTCTGCAGAGATCCAGGGAAGCATGGCACTGGCTTGATTGGATTCTATGCGGGTATTGGTCCCCGCCATGTAGGATGAGGATATTAAGGAGATGATCGTCGCTCGAGATCGCAGTCATTGGCGCTTGTTTCCCTTCGGCTGCAGATCTTGACCATGTTCGGTGCCAGGACCCTGCATTATCGCGAACTTTCTTCATGGTTTGATGATGTTATGCCTTTCGTCATTTAGACATGCTTGTAGGTGTCGAGTTCGCAAGCGCTGTCAGGTGTGAGAGGAGACATCTGCGATGTAACCTGCTTCCAAGTTTTCCAGGTATACGAATCCAGTCAGTCTGGTTGCGAGATCGAGAAAAGGAGAAGCTCCACCAACGATAGGTTAACTAGACGACTGTTAGGAAGAGGTGGAGACCGAGTTTGACCGAGGACTACCGATCACAGTCTACTATGGTTGTAATTTTCTGCTTTCCACTCGGGATACACTGTGCTGGGAATAGGACTTGCGGGATAAATGGACAAAACAATCAATTAGTAGGAAAAAGGGAAACAGGCTTGTAGTCCTCGAAAGTACGCTGGCAAGGTCGAATGAACACAGGAGGAGGATCTGGGCCTTAGAGTGAATATGATTCTGTGACATTGCTGTGCAGTGACGTTTGAGGGGAGCGGAGCCAAAGCTCCGCTCCGCCTGTGCAGAGCGGAACCGACCTCGCACGCGTAGACATTCGGACACCAAGCTTCCATCTCGACCCTCAACCGAATCATTAAGTATTCTATCACACGGCCAAAACAAGGAGCGCGATTCCGAAGAAGAGGTCAGAATTTCGGTTTCCGCTCGTCGTGTGCTACCATCCAAATTATACGCGTAGCGCATCGATATGCTGTGCTCTGCGCTTGCGTTGATGCCCAGCGGGCTTCTGAAGCGAAGACATTTCCGAGCGGAAGTTGTCCCACCTGCGGAAACGCGAGATGTGACATGGTTCCCGCCCAGCAAACGGGGATTCCGATTTCTGCCTGCAGGCCCGATGGGCGGTGAGTGCTGACTGGCCGTTGAATTACGCGAAGGTGTCGTGAAGGGCTCGGGAAAAGGCAAAGGGCGCTCTCTCACAATCTTATCTCAGAAACGTGACCTGAACTAGGTCACGATGACACTCGACCTCCTGAACTCTGCAGTCATCCCCATTCCCTAACCATTAATTCCGCCCAGCTTGATAGAGAGTGAGTGCTTGTCTGCCTAAGTTCCTTGGTCCTTGCAATGCTCACGGCAATTCCGCAAGCTCGTTTCGCCGATCAGGGTCTACCCACCAGTCCACCACTGAAATAGTGAAATCCACCACCCACACAGCCCTGCCAGCGTAGCGTCGGACTAGCTTGCGCCATTGACATCAGCAGCAACAGGGTCCTGCACAAGGGTGTGGGACGGTGTGTGCACGAACCCATGGGTCCGCTCCGCGGAGAGGCGGTGATTGGCGGGGTGGGAGAGGAATTGGTGTTTGAGGCGTTGGGGGTCGGTAGGGATTGTGGCTGGGGTCGGCAATTGCCAACAGAAATTCTAACTGGGCAGCAGACGCGAGGACGGGAGGTGTGGGAGTCATCAGAGGCTGCTGGGACTTCTGTTCGTTGTCGCTTCTGTCTGCACTTTGGGCATGCTTGGCGGGGTATATGATATATGTGTGACTTAATCGATGTTACAGTACTATAATACTGTACACTACCTTATTATAAGTACTTACATGTACCCAGTACACAGTGCCCAGCAGCTGGTGTGCGCAGCGAGAGTGCCGGAGAATTGATCACTCCCTCATCACTGTCAGTCATCGGTCATCAAACTATATCGTGGCCTGCAAACAGCTTCAGTCCGGTCCCCGTTTCGACCTTGTTCGTCGACCCAGGTCCCAGCCTGCTCCCCCGCGAATCCACGGGTCCCAAAGTGCTGTCGCCTGTCCCAGCCTCCAGGGGGGTTGGAAAGAATACGGCCGACCCGCATCCCCTTTTATTCGCTGCCACTGCACATAGGACGTCACTAGATGACAGGCGACGGGGATAGGTTGGAGTGGTGTGCGTCCGTGTCGTGTTTCAGCTTAGTGGAACGGGTCGAGGATTTTTTGATGCGTTGTGCTTTTTTCGTCCCCGTATTATCGGGGTCCCGCCTGACGGATGCGGATTTTCCTCCCGGTAATACTTTCCCCCCTATCGGTGAGACTTGAGGTGTATATTTGAGGCCGTTGTGGGGAATCCGATCGTGTTGTTTCGGCTTGTCTGTAACATCGCGGGAACCCGAAAAAGAAATCCTGACGTCCAAACTCCAAAGGTCCACGTTGATGACGACAGTGGGACCATGGAGCAGGGTGCAAGTCTGTACGTACATAGTAAGAAGGCAAGGGTGAAGGGATGTATGTGCGATTTGCCTCTATCCCTTATCCCTAAGTCACTATCCAGGATCCAGGATCCTCAACTCTTCGCAGGGTTCATCAAGCGTCAACCAACAACCCAGCAACCCCTATTGCGGATAGATAATTCATTAATCCATCCCCAAGCTCCACGGCGTCCAAGCCCCAAGGACGGTCGCAAAAATTACAGCCGAAGCAATCAGCGGTATCAGCCTGAGCGGAACCGTGAACGACCCTGCATCGTGTTAGCCGTTTCGTCTTGTCCTTCGTGCTTCCATCAGTCCATCTCCCTTTTCTGGAAGGGGAGATAGACCCGCAGGTCCATGAGGGCATGAGTCCACATTCCACAAGTTTGCTAGCCCTCCTGCCGAGGTCGCGGACGCCCGTGATTCGCTTTTAGCCGGCGCGGTGGTTCCAACTTCCAAGGTCACGATGACGATGGTTGTGAGCGTCGGGAAAAAGACGACCCCAATGAAGGCACGCCGCCATGTTTCCTGGATATTGCTCGGAGTATTAGTTAGAAGTTGGGCCTGTCAGCGTCACGCATCAGGCTGTAGGCGCCGTTGCCGTGAAGAGTAGGAGATTTGTACCGATTTTTCGGGGTCCAAGCAATGATAGTATCAATTATTAAGTGAGAGTTCAGTTAAAACGCCTGGCGTTGCGCGGTTTGTCGGTTGTCTGGCACAGTGACTGACGGTACGCTCAAACATCGTGGGACGAGGGTATTCCCCTCATCGTGGCGAATTCTTCGGGAGCCAGCGATTGTGTATATGATGCAGACCACGACTCCATGATGAAATGCCTAGTTGCCCAGCACATATGTTGTGGAACGAAAATCGATGACCGACTTGGTGTCGCAGACGTAGATTGCAGAATAGATGAAGTTGCAGTTGGATGTGGGACGGACCGCGTTGTCATAGAGTGCCATTATTATTCTCAAACGAGTGTCGACAACAGGGAGGCACACTCTCCTGTCGTCCATAAGTCGCCGTATCTAAGGTAGCTTTGTAACAATCATAGTGGTGCTACTCCATCTTCCACGAATTGACCATGGTCCATGAAGCATCATCCGCAAGCTTTTTGATGGTCAAGCAGGCAGGGTACATGCACCACTCCACCAAGCGACGAAACCAAAAGATCTACCGCCATTTGTTCCCTATCGTACAAAAGATCTTTAAGATCGAAAAGCCTCTTCTCGGCAGAAAAAAACAAACGCAAACCAATGTAAACCAAAAATGCACGGTCCAAATTCGGGTGCAAATTCGAGGAGACGGTCTCCGTCTTGCGACCTGCCAAGTCCGTCGTTCGGCAGCCGCGAACGGACGGGGTCCCTTCCCATCAGTGAGAGACTAGAAGTACAATTGTGCCGAGCACAGAAAGCCATCCGATCGTCCCATTCTTCGACGCGACAACTCCTTGCCCTGTCAGGTCTAGAAAAAAAGTGTACATGGAAATGTCCGGGAATCCCGATCTCCTGGGCGTCTCCATTGTCCGTGTGAAACGCAAAACCATCTGAGTAGTAATACAGGGGTGACAGACAAAGCACCCGGTAAAAACCGTGACCAAGGCCCAGGAAGTAGTCCGACGGAAAAAGTCATGTCCAGTCGTTGCGAGGTCCACGCAATGAGAATATCCGTCATCCAGAAATGAGTACTAGACCAAATAAGGGGGTATCAGTAGCGACCGGTCGAGGTTCAGTCATATTATGACGAGGCTCCTCTATTAGTATATGTAGCGAGAGACATTAGGTCGGAAGTCATCAAGACCTCCAGTCTATTATGAAGATCCAAAACGGGTCCTCGGGGGGAAACAATCGTAAAACAGTTGAGCAAAAACAGTGGACGATTACTCGTCCGGTGAGGGATGGTCTTGGTCATCTTGGCCCTTGTGGACTTTCCTGTGTCGTCGTAGATTGGAAACGACGGAGAAATGACGGCCACATCCTTCAAAGTCGCACGCAAATGCTACACGACGATTAGCTTCAGAGTCATGATGTGAACCAGGAAGACGTACGCTTTTCACCAGTGTGGCTATACATATGGGTTTGCAACGAACTCGGGCGCGTGAATCGCTTGTCGCAGACCTTGCACTTGTGCTTCTTCTGCGAGCTCGACGAAACCTTCGAGCTGAACTGGCCCATCATCGACTGCGGTGCTGGGGGAACATTGGTGCCGATCATGGCCGACGGTCGCGGCAATGTCCTCGGGTTCATGTCCACCGACTCGGAGGCAGAGCTGTAATCCGTGACGGATGATTCGGTGACAGATCCGTTGTAATAAGACGGATTGTAGCTGGCCGATGAGATAGAAGAGTGGGTTGAGTGCGTGGAGGGGAAGCCATAGGAGTCCGTGGAATTGCGGTGGCCGTTCCCACCATAGATGTTCCGCGGAGTAATGTCACTCTGGCTCATGGCGAGCATGCCTTGGCTGGCATCCAGCGCTTCACTGAAGCTGTTTCGTTGCCCTTGGGCGTTCAACCTGGTCAAGTCAACAGATGTCCTGGGGGGGCCACTGGAGTCCGGGTCGACCGTGTCCAGGATGGAGATGGAAGGTACTGACGGGTTGGGCGATCGCCTTGCAGGGTCTTGGAATCCGTAAGGAGCAGCAGAGGTCGAGCCATAATTCATGGGATACGATGCGGGGATGGATGATGGAGCAAAGGTGGACGATGAGGCAGCAGCACTATACTGCCCCCCGTACGCCCTCTGACTATTGAGGAGATGATCTGGGGTGGTTCCCAGTGAGCTTGATGAATCGTAGAGGCCGTCGGAGAGAGGAATACCTGATCCAATTGAAGGTGCTGGGACAGGGAGGACGCTGTACGGCAGCGATATCGCGGTCGGTCGTTGGGGATTCGAAGAATTCGCAGCCGCCGAATGCTGCGGGATCGATGTGTGATAGAGATGAGACGAAGGGGCGGCGGCCGACACCCACGGGTTGTTGAATTGAGGTTGAGGGTAGCGCATGTTCTCATAGTCCATCGCACTCATGTGCGACTGTTGTCGGTTGTCAACAGCCATCGCCATCATGTATCAATCGGGAGTCCCAACTCGCGATCGATTGCCAGAACGTCAAAAAAACCGTTGGTTTCAAAATCCCATGCGCTCTAGAAAGCAAAACGTGGGGATACAAGGTTGATCAACGATGGGAGATGGGCGGGATCAGCAGGATTCTTAAACGTCTTGCCAATACGGTAATGCCGACGTGAGACGACCCGACCAGGAACGAAGCCAGCGGGACCACGAGTGCTTCTTAAGAAAATCGGAATGCCGATCTTTCTCGGACTGCTAGGTTGCCCCACAGGGAAGGAGAGTTTCCAAGACGGAGAGTTGGCGCTTGGGTTGGGTCTTGTGAGAGGGAGGGAGGAGACAGGCCCAAGCAGGGTGGTGATGACGAGGTGTCCCTGTTCGGCGGTTTCAAAAACAGGAGCGTGGGATGATGGTCTCCCGTGCTCTCGTCGGAACCGGAAAACGTGATTCGTGAGCGGTCGAAGCGTAGCACGATCAATGGTGGTGCAGCTTGTCCTGTTTTTCGGTTGAAAGCGACCAACGGACGCTGACTACGGAGGAAGGTTGGGACCCGTAGGATGAGCGGGAGGACGCTTTGCAGGATGAGGCAGTGATCGGACGGCCAGAGAGGTGAGATGCGGTGGGCGCAGCAGGAATCGGGACTACTTTGAAACGTAGTTGGATACGGTATTCGAGAGGGCAAAAAGCTATGAATGCTGATCTTTGCTATGATGGTCGGGAATCAAAGGTGACCTTTATTTATGTTGGAGCGAAGAGATGCAAGAAGACACGAAGATCTGAGGGAGGGAATAGAGGAGGGGAAAGGCGAGTTAGATAAAGATAAAGATGGGATCATATGTGGTATGAGGGCAATAGTATGGGACTGGGTATTACAGTTTGGGACAGTTTGGGACTTGGGTTCGAGGATTCGGTCATTCTGGTATTCGAGAGAGTGGACACTGGAGCATTTGCGCGGTGTGGACGCTGGATACCGTAGCAGTAGTCGGTACAGGTAGAAAGTAGTTACATGTAAGATGTGCCGATACGATGGAGGTCGGAGCAGGGATGGACCAGGATTGAGACAGGGCTATTCCCATTCGTCAACGGCATTTGAATTGTTTGGGGACGCCATGGGTGGTGTTGGGGGCTTGAAGAGAGTTGCAGGTTGAGGCTTGTGGGATGCATATGGCACTAAACAATAAAGGGAGAAGGGCTGAGGGAGAGGGAACCCGGAACAGGGACTCAGGGAGGGATTTCAGGGAGGCGACATCGCGACCGAGACACCGGCCAGCGCGAGAAGAGAGATATTGGGGACTGGAGAGGGAAAAGCTAAGGAGCACATCTTACATCATAGGCTTGAAGCTAATGCACACTTCCCCCCGACAGTGGCGCTTTTAGCTCTGCAATGGCCTCCATTAGCGGCTTTCGGAATACTGCTTCCCCAGTCATTCTTGTACCCAGTTACCAGTATGGGCATGGGCACTTGGGCAGTATCTCCATCAGCCAGTTAAGCTTTGGAGCCAGGAGCCTAACTAGGGGAAGGGAAGCCAGTGGCCGCCTGTACGGCAGTGGTGGTTGGACCCTCATTAGAATTCTTTTCTTTTCCTTCAATGAAGCAATGAAGCGAGTGCTTCAACTTTCTGGGAATCAAGGGCGATTAAGGCCGCTGCATCCACAGCCCACAATATAGGCCCTAAGTGGGAGGCTAACTTAAGGAGTCAACCAAGTCATCCCCCAGTCCATCCTTCCATGTCGCTGCAGAGTGCAAAGACGCCAGAGTGTAGACACAGCATCAGTAGTGGCCTGCACCACTCACAACAACCAGATCATTAAACGAGACACAACCATCCACAAGCCCGCACAGCGGAAAAATTCCTCTCGTCACAGCTCCCGCCCTTCTGAGTCCGCTCCTAACGGGTCGAATACCTCACCTCTTTCTCTCCGCGACTCCGTATCTCCGTAACCCACCTGAAAGCACGGACGCCGAAGTCTCGAAAAAATCCGAAGGGCAACCAACCGCAGCACCTTTCCATCTGCCGATCTGCTCTTCGCGGCCCGTTGGTGGGGACTGGGCCACTGGAATGTGGAATCGTTCTGCTAGGCTGGTTTTCGCCTTTTCGATGGTGGCGCTAGATATTACGCTGCTTTTTACTCCGTAGGTACAACTAAGAGTAAATAGTAAGTATTAACTAACTACTATTTACTAACTATGTATGATTCCATCATCACAAAAGAAAACAGTGCCCGAAACATGATCCTGGATTAAGCCCGAGACCATCGCTTTTAGCCCGATCTTGTGACGTTGGGGACTTAGGGTTTTGCAGGTGCCTAGTTGATTGACTGGGGAAATATTCTACGCGTAGGAAAGACATCAAAACATCAAACTCTTAATTCCTGGAATCATAAGGTGCACAAGTTGTGTAAGCCGAGCCAGTGAGCAGTGAGCAAGGTAAAAAGGCTGATAGCCTGCCTCAACAGCAGGATTTCCCCTCCATTCAAGGAAAAGTCCCAAACCAGCATGACGAGCAGTGAGCACACCACCACCCTGACCTGTCATCCTGCATCCAACATCACCAGTTCACCACTAAGTGATGGCGTCCAGCTCCCTGCAGAGTTTCTTGTTTAGCTCGCTGTTGTACCGCTTGGCCACATCACTCCCGCCCTGCTTGTTTTCCACCCGCCCTCGAATCAGATGCACAGTTCCGCCATCGCGTCGCCGGGGGCTCTCCACGGCTCCCCGACCGAATCTCTGCCCCGTCTGCCGACGCAGTCTTTCTCTCCCACCCCCGCGTCTGGCTCCATGACTCCATTTCCTAACTGAGCCCGTCGCCTTGTTTTGCGATCAAAAGCGGATGCGCCACCGTTACCCCGCTAGTCCGCTTTCGGGCGTGACGGGATGCAGACATGCAGTTTATCGATGTTACCATCGACGCGGAATTGATGCTGGCTGTTTGGACGGTTGACAGTCTTACAATTCCGCCTCTTGGGTCGTCGGCATATTTGGATCGAGGAATCCTTGCGCTGCTCAAGAAACGGGGACTGTGCGCCATACACTGATGGACCGATGGAGGGATGGCTGCTGTCCAGATGGCACTTGGCAGATATCATTTGCGGAGATATTGACCAGTAGACCGGAAACAAGGCCTGATAGACTAATCACCCGGCCACCGGCAGTTTTGATGTCCCTCTGGTGACTAGGGTATGATGCATTGCTGCACATATGTGCTGTGCTGTACATTGCGGATCCAGACTGCGCGGGTATCTCGACTCGCAAGCGAGCTGCTTTGGTGCCATCCGGCACCCCAGAGTGGCCGTGAAGACTAATATTTGAGGCGACACTTATGTCTACGTGACTTAGACGTGGTGTGCTTCAAAAAAAAGCTTCCTATGATAAAAGTATTGTGGCTGTCGCGTCGTCAAGTCAGAACAGGGACACTGATATACGCCTCCCATTATTGGCAGTGTTTGTCCACACTCCACCAGTTTCCCCGATAAGATCTCAGAGCGCGGAATATCGGTTCCACAACGCTGGCGATCCTCTGCCGTTTGATCATCCTGTTGGCGGCTGGCGCACCGCTCCCGCAGTCCTGCAGTCCTGCACAGGCCTCAGCATACAGTATCAACTCAAAAGCATATTGACGCCTCTTTACTCGTTAGGCTACATTTCTTAGCGTGCGACGGTTGTGGAAGACAGCTTATGCCAATTGCTAACGGTCGACCTTAGGCTTGACCACTTCATGCGTCGGGCAACTGTGATTCCGTTGCGAAGCACACTATGATTCGCGGGAGCATCTCCTTCCGCATGTAACCATGAGCTCATAAATGTTGCAGACGCGCTTGTTTGACAAATCTTGGGTCTTGACTCTTGAATTGAAGTTTTATGTCGGAAGAGGCAAAGGTCATGCAATAGCGCACAATCCATTTGATAGCAGAACCGGCCTGCTGGTCCCTGTCATCAGGATTCAGCATCAGAAATAGTCCATGCTTGCATTTTAACGCAAAAGACCAAGCAACGATTGGCTCCAGGATAAGAAACTTGCGCATCCCTTTTCGGACGGTGCATTTCCCCAGGCTGTCAGCGGTGTGCGCTGTGTTGGGAGTTGGGAGTTGGGCAGACTGGGGAGAGGCAGGCCGACACTCGCCCGACAGGGACCGAGTCGTCGAAATAGTCTCCGAAAAGCCTCCAGCGACAGTTCGCGACTCTGCACCAAACCGTCAATTGACCATTCACCGGTTTGCTTGTAAGCCACTCCGCAGGTGCCCACTATGAGTTCAAGACGACGGCAATGGTGCAGCCAAAATCGAGATGCTATCAAGCCTCCCGGCCCTCTGGTGTTTGAAACCACCAATGGTGGATGCGCAAAGGAGATTGCGGGTCAGAGCTTCCAGTCGTCTCCTTTCCCATTTTCGATTCTACCCCCATGTTGATGTCCGCGGAGGCATTCTTTGGTTGGTTTGGGACTTGGGGCGCATTGGGTCGACAGGTCGCACGCCAGGGCGCTTTATGCTTACTCGTAGCTTGATGCCCTGTGCTCCTTTGATTCTTGGGCCAAATGTCAATGGCCATTGCGCTAACGTTATCAGCATATTCCGTACACTCTGCAGGAAACGGTATCAACTGTACCTATGCGGCCTCTGTACATACTTACCTTTGTACAGTACATATGATCAGATTCTTTAAATCATAGTAATGCTACTGTACTGAGCAACAGTGGAGTCCGGAACGGCAATGTTCGTAGTGCCGAGTGTCAAAACTCAAATGCCCACGGACCAGACGATCATGATCGCATTCGGTCCGTATGCCAGTCCCACTTCCCAGAAAGGGGTGAACTGTGGTCTGTGAAGTGAGCTACGTGAGATCGACACTCAGATCCTTACACCAGATCTGACGTCGCCCTCCGGCTCCCACAGTTGCGGAACACATCCATGATCTATCCGTCGACGTCTCGACGATTCAGGGATCGGATGATATTGGAGAGTACGAGTTCGTAATACGGTAGGGTCTATTCCGTAAGGAGGGCGCAATTAAAAGGCTCATTGTATGCCTCCGGCTGCAACAATGCCGTGTATCCAGCAATCCTTAGCAACATCGCATGGCTGTCTCATTCGGTGGTGTATTGGTGTGTCGACCTAGTATGTGGACCGGCGAAGCTGGTCTAATGTTAGTGGCCCAAGTCCTCAGCATTCGCATTAGCCATCTGATATCCCTCTCCTCATTATTCCTGGGATATGGAGACATAACAGTGAAAAAGCGAAACATGAAAAATCAATGCTTGACTTTGAGAAATGATTCGCAAAATACGACCGAAATGTCGAAGACCGAAACATTTGAGGCGCCTAAGATATCGAGCCAGATTCTCAATGACTTATGCGGCTTGGAGTTGCATCAGTATTCCGGTCTCCGGAACATCCACCAGAGGCAAATGTCGCCATAAAATATATAATACCGCTCGCTGTTATGGTATTGAGTCTCAGTTCCTTGAATAACTTTGTAAGTTAACGATGCCTAAGGTATAGGTATTTAACCTATTAATTTATTCCTTGCCATATCCCGAGCAATGCCCAGGCCAATCTCCGTGAAACTAATCGCGCTGAGGAAGTTTACATAGTACCTGTACAGAGGCATACACGATGAAAGCCTTCGATATCTACCTATCCCAACTCTTCTATATACAGCCAGTTGAGCACACATATCAACTTGCAAGTCGTCCACCACAAAGTTATGAATTACGAATCACGAAGCAGACGCCAGCAGCTAGACAGGATTTTTACCACAAGCCAACCCCGTCTTGCTGTACTTCTGCTCGCACGACCCAACATGGTATCTTCTTAGCTGTGCCCGCTGAGCCAGCGGCTGTCCCGGCTCGGAAAATCGCCCATCTAGCGCCGAGAATTATATCCCGAATTTCCCGATGATGTTCCCGGATTTTCCTCGCGCAACGCGAGTCGACAGGCTCAATATATTGCTTGGAAGGGCGTCGTCATGACTCGGTTCATGTGTCTGTATCCGTGGTGAACTATGACCTGAACGTATCGGCGACTTTTCAGGCTCTTCGATCTTCCCAACTCGTCGAGTTATTCGGGTTGGCAAAGCCCAGAATCAACGCCACCGACTTTTGTTTCTCAACTCGATATTCCGTACCAGGGCGCTCCATAATTAACGATGAACTAGCCTCCAGTGCTCAAGTCTTGGAGACCCGCCTGTAACTGTCAAGATGCAAAGCTAATTTCCAAAACATGTCCACGGGCTTCAGGGTGGCACGCTCTCGATCACTCGATTCCCGATCCCCCCTTTTTTTTCTTCAGGCTTAGCCTACGCCAGCAAAAAGCCAAGTGAGCCAAGACCAGCCATCTCCGCACTTTTGCAGGGTGTTCGACGTCTGTGCAGGAGGAGCGACCGTTTGTTCTTTGTTGCTCGTTGCAGTGGGTCGAGGACCCTGTTTAGTGTATTTACGTATGATCTTGTGATATTGTGATAGGAGTCGTGGGATAACCTAGACCTTTTCTAACAAAGGTAGAAGTATTAGAGTAATCTTTCTGCGAGTCAGGGGCTGGTTAGAGCGTGGGGATAATGGTTCCAGCCAATATCACCATCGAACCACGAATCAACGGGCTCGATGTGACCGGGAGGGTTGTCGATCACTGACCACTGTTTACCTTTCAATATTATCTTCATACTTCGTCCTTGTCCGGCCAACGTTAGACCATTTTCCTTTATGCCAAGTCTTGATACTACAGCACTACTCGTTTAGGCCTCGGAGAATTCCAATTACTCGATAAGCTGTGGGCTGCTCGACATTCCTTGCTGGGTATGAACAGATGAATGTTGTTCGGTATGCCAGCAGAGTCATTTTTCCAAGAGATATCTGAATGCTCGGACATTCATCGGTGCTGACTACTGACCCAGTTTCCATGAACCATAAACATGATGCGGAAAGGAGAGCATTGACTCCGATGTTCCGGACCATGTGACATCACTGACAACCTTTGGCCACGCTTGAATAACTTGCGGATATCCGTCAGTTTCAAAGCATGTCTCAAGGAATAGGGGCGACGCATGGCAACGGCGATCCGATCGCTATCCACTGATGCTCAACATCGTTCTACAGTATCCAATGTTCTGGTTTTTAACAATAAGGCTAACCATGATTTCGGGAAGCACATGGATAATAAGCCTCGATCGTGTAGGTACCGCACTACCACTGATATGTTTGCAGCGGCCAAAAGACATACTCACAATCTCCTATATCGCCAGTGTCTAAGTCACTCAACAGTACAACATGACGAGTTATAGTTACTTCGCAACTTTTCATCTCTTCTTGCAGACCTCTTTCTCCACGTTTCAGAGTCGATCCCACTTCAGATGACGCGCGATGTTAGTTGCATTGAATATCATAAGCACCATATGATCATCGTGAGAACGGCCCTCGACAACCCAAGTCGATAGCGAAGTCCACAATATGTCTAGAGAACCGCCTAGCTTATCTTCATATAGATATGGCGGGACTGTGAGTAATCTTGAGGTGCAACTAGGAGTTTCCTATCACCACCCCAGTGTTGAGGCAAAATAGATTTTGAGAAATACCTATCCCTTCGGCTGTTAACATGTGTTCGTTGGTGCCTGAGGCACTAACTATACCATAAATATTCCGCAACGACTGCAATCTCTCCCAAACAGCTAATATACTTGAAGAGCAATATAAGACGGCTATTTAGGACTAGGAGATTATACCATAATTGCACGCAAGTGCTCAGCCCAACAGGGGCCTGTTCTACAAAAGCTTAAGTGACATACTGGACACCCATAACGTGTTCGAGGTGCTCGTTGCTCTAGTCCTGTTCGCCTAGGGATTGAATTGACTGAAAGGTTCGAGAGAGGTTTTCGGTGTTGAGCTGTATCTCTCCCTCTCCTAGCTGCTTTACAGCTCGTACAGGAACCGAGCATATCTGAGAGCCAAACTGGCTCTTTCCCATGCTTCTGTTTCTGTAGTATGAGGGGAGAGACACGATACTTCGAAGCGATCGAGAGCAGGTGATTTGCAAGCTTCTGCTGGAAGCTATGATGGGCATGCTTTTGGGGCCAGCCAGGAAGATCGAGGCTAGTAAAAAGCTTATAGCAGTTGACGGCAGTAATATCAAGGAGGAAGTGCCACAGCGGCTTCCACGTCTGTAGATGGGTTCGCTGGGTGGAATAGTAGCAGCGGAGCTGGTCGGCTTGACCGACGCCCTTCATGAAGTGATTATACAGGGCGATAAACTTCGGGATAGCCAAAACTTTGACCACGTCGTGTCCGAAGACTTTCCTCGTCTGTAACGCACCTGTAGCAGTTACAGCAGGCCGCCGACGTCGCCTCTCAACCGTCTCGACGCCCGTGTCGACAGTAGACATGAATAGAACAATGTCAGCGTCCTTCCAAGCGAATTGAAAAACTTTATGGTCGTCCGAAACCTCCCCATAGAGTTCTCCCCATGGAATTTTGTTAGCCCACTCTAGCTTCAACTCCGAGAGGCTCCTTTTTAGGCCACGATTGTCTTCAGCAACAACAACAGGAGCCTTGCACTTACGAGCCAAGCGAGATCGTGGCTGCTGGGAGGCTTGCTGGGAGGCTCTTTGCGTGTCGGTCTCGACGAGCTCAGTTTGCTGCTCAACAATCTCACTAGCTTGAGATGCAGGAATCCCCTGCTCGATAAGCTCACGCTTCGTTTTCGTCGTACGAACAGTGCCAGCGGCTCCAAATCCCTTATCACGAAGGAATGCTAATAATCGAGCTGAAGTGAAGAGATTATCAAACCATATAATATACCGGCCGTCTCGGCCAGTCTCGGGGAGCTGGTGTACGAGATCAAGCACGACAGACTGGATCTTACTAAAGCCTTGATTAACAAAGAAGCTATCCAAATCGATGGGTCCTTTGTTGTCTCCTTTAGCATGGAATAGCCAATCGAGGATATACCCCTGATCGGCTAGTACCCATATTTTGAAGCCTTTGGGCGTTGGCTTTGAAGGGATATTAACAATCTCGGCCGCTCTGCCTGTGAATCGTGCCATAGCTTCGTCAACAGCGAGGTTGGTGCCAGGCAGCCAAAATAGCTTGAATGTGGTCTGAAGATGCTCACTAAGGAAGAGCACTTTGTCAAATGGTGTTGGCTTTCGCGAAAGCGGGAGCTCCTGTTCTCGTTTCCTCTTTCTCGTCTGCGACGATTCTGGCTGGTCTGGCTGGTCTGGAATATATGGCTTGCGCTTATGAGGTGTTCCAATATATCGATCAATATTTTGCCAGCGACTTAGCGCCATCGCGTCCTGAACGATAGGGTGAAACGAGCCACGGTCTCTCCGTGTATTCCAATACTGTTCGTGACGAGCTTCTGGATGTATACCCATATAGATTGAGACACCAATATACCCATATATCTCGGAGGTTGTTACTGGGTGCCATTTGCGGCCGGACGGGAGAGGTGGATTAAGACGTGCGTTCTCATTGGTTGTATCGACGAGATGCTGAACGATTTCGGGAGTGAAGAATAGGCTAAAGATATCAAACTCGAGCGTCTCGGACAAAGGGTTGATGTTTTCGGGGAGCTGTGGCTGGCTGTTCTCACGATACTGGTGTATCTGGAAGGGTTCAAATGCGGGGAGAGGTTTTGGCTGTGGCGGCAAGCCAGCAACAGTCCGACGGCGTTTAGGCTTGTAGACGAGGTCAATATCGTTCGAATACTTTATGATTGGGGCTTGTATTAGGTGGCTTGGATATAGTACGTGTCTATGTCCCAGATATCTAATTCAAGGTATTAAGTCTCTTGAGCTCAAAGAGCTTTGGATGTTCGTCGCACGAACCAAGTTGACTCCTAATATGCCTCAGGCATCAACGAACACATGTTAACAGCCGAAGGGATAACAATATAAAATATCCACTTTCTAGTACATACGGCCACATCAACCTGAATATAGGGCATCCCGTCCGCTCTGCCGTACTCAAGCAGGTTAGAGATGGAATAGTACTACGGTGGGTGACCACGTGGGAACTCCCATTGCTGTATGTTTTTGTTTTTGTTTTGTTGAATTTTGCAGATTGCTAGGTTGATATTGTGAAAAGTTTCACTTAATGCTACATACGGCCACATCAACCTGAATATAGGGCATCCCGTCCGCTCTGCCGTACTCAAGCAGGTTAGAGATGGAATAGTACTACGGTGGGTGACCACGTGGGAACTCCCATTGCTGTATGTTTTTGTTTTGTTTTGTATTTTTGCAGATTGTGGTGTCAAGGCCCAAACCACGAAGGATTTGTAAGCTAGTAACGCTGTTGAATTGCTACAGAGAAAAGGAAAAGATCTCTCTCACTACGATTGCTATTTACATCTGTGAGCAAACGGTCTACCTATCACGGATCGCCCGCAGAGCGTTTCAGGCGTTGCGGCGGTATGGATCTTACCAGCTGAGTGATATCGGTTTTGAGGTTCAGAGCCTCCTCCTTTTCGTCTACGATCTCATCTACCGCGTTCATGAAAAGAGTCACGGGTGCAGCATGCGGATTATCGCGTGGACTCAGGGAGATTTCCAAAGATCCACAGAGTTCTCCCGATACTGAGATATCCGCCATCGGAAATATTAGCAACCTAGAGTTTATTAGACGTTGGATCTAACTAGGCATAAGGGCACCACCGGATGGTGTCCACCCTAATTCCATGAACTCCCATTCCCTCCATCCCAGTTCCAGAGCGTTCTAAATACCCCATACTTCTATCCTAAGTCGAACCTTGCAACCACAGCAACAACGCCCCGAGGGCGAACTTATCGTGTTGCTTGCTAGAATGCGTGAACTCCTCAAAGGCCCACCCCGGGGTACCGGCAGATATAACCCGCTGTCCTGGCCTTTGGCAGGACTCGAAATCGATTAATACTGGGCTACGTCGTCGTCGACCGTAATGTTCTCCGGGTTGAAGTCATTGTGGGCGAGATTGAGAGGGTGTAGGTAGATAACTGTAGATGCCAATGGCGTCATAAATTTCCAAATCTCGATCTTTCCCCCATGCTTGAGGTAACTATGTCAATAGGTTACTTTTCTGCCGATTCAAAACGATTGCAGTTATCCTGCAGTTGTGAACCTGGACGCTGTGATAGCCGATAATGTTTGGGTGTGGCACTTTGCTTATTTGTTGTATAATCTGGCCTTCATTATGAAGAATGGCTCCTAGATGGGGAGTGTCTTCGACCAGCGTGTAGATGGACAAGTTGCGTCTTTTGATATAACCTGATTTTGTTTGGGTACAACGGTAAGATCCAAGTCCTACAGAATCTCTAAGTATATCTCTTCGTCGAGGACCATTCTCAACGCCTCGCTGTATTCTGGAAGTTTGATGGAATGTTTTGGCTTGAAGATCTGGCCGAAGTACTCATAACCATCATGAAAAAGCTCGCAGGTTGGGTATCGGACACTTCCGGTTTGGGTGTCGATATACTCGGAAATGGACTCGAAATCATCGAGAGAACTGAGACTAGGCTGGCTCATCTTGTTCGTGCTGTTGGAGGATACGGAAGATGCGAAGGGACTATTGAATGTAGAGAATGGCGTAGCAACCAATATATATATATATACACGTACTGGTATCTATCCCCTTGATGGCCGACAGGGATTGCAGCGCTCGAATATTTTGGTGATTTTGTTTGAGGAAAGTTGAGCACTACAACCCCTCTCGGCCATCAAGGGGGCAAATTTTCAATATAGACTTGGAGTTTAAACACGAGCGAGGTTTGTGAAATGTTTTTGGCATCGTTTCGTTGTCTCTTTCAACTGCGAATTTCGAATTTCGAATTTCGGATTTTGGATTTTGGAAATTGCTGTTTTTGGCTTAGCGTTTAACTGGTGTGTGATCTGTCGACAAATTATTGGCTGCAGCCTGTGTCCTGTCCCAGTTGAGGTTCTCATCCCCACTTTTGCATTGTCTTTGTCTCGGACATCATGTTGTTGTTTCGACTAAGTTGTCTCACACCTTTCGCTAACAACAGCAAGTACAGTGGCATAAGTATGAGCAAGCATTCGCTTATCAAGAAAAAGAACCAAATAAGATTCCGCTTAGCCGAAAAGGCTGTAACGTTGAACGACCTGTAACTTAACGCCACAACAGCCATTTATTCTGACGTTGATGTCTGGTCGGAGTATTGATATGCTGCAGACGCTCGTTTAGTTCTCGGCTCGTTGCATGCAATACCAGTACACAATAATGCGGGTCATTATTGAATGGATATAAATCCCAGTGCTGCTCTCAATTCCAAGTGGACCTCATGATTTTCATCATTGTTCCTTTGCCAGGTCCAAATCGATGTGCATGCCTCCTAGATCTCCATCTAAATCGGCATCAATGATGATAATGGTGTTGTCAGATATATCCCGTTGAAGTATCCTCCCATCGTTGTAAAGGGTCCGATGCCCTCTGATGAAATCGTGACAGGCTTCGAGAAATTCTACGACTGGACGGAATTCACGGAGCGGTCGTCCGGAGGTGAAATAACGGGCAAGAAGGTATCCAATTCCCAAATGACCCATCGTCCTCAACTTCGACAGCCGCGAGACTGTTTGGGTTTGATTTCTCGGCGGCCCGCTGGTTGACTTTGGCGAATCAATCATCTCCGCTTTGATCAGGCTTCAAGGATTTAACCGCTCCGACCGACTGCATGGAAACGATTCGTCCTCTCTCCTCCGTTTCCCTCCAGTGGATGAGGCGTCGATAGTTGCCATGGTTCCTTCAAGCGTATTCGCTAGCATGCTGCAATGTATCCGTCATTTCCTCTGGCCGATCTGAAAATTTTAGCCTGTCCAACTGCACTCGTTTGGGCAAATCTGCGATCGATTCAAGGTCAAGCAGGCAAGAAATCTTTGCAACACCCCCTATGTTTCTTCCTTTCGCCAGCTGCAAGAGTTCCCCCTTCTACCCTGCTCTTATTCGATCGCCACGCGAACTTGACAACGAAATCCCACTGTTTGGAATCATCTCTCGTTGCTGGATAATAGATAGTCCCTCTGAGCACAATTACCCGCTGAAATGCAATAGGTGTGGTTTCCAGGTACAGTCGCTCCTCTTACCGTCCGTCCTCTTTGAGCATAGCCAGCCATAATCTTAATGAATCGCCTTGGATCTTGATGGATGTCGAATGGCTCGCGGTTGTACAGGCTAGACCTCTTGACGAGCCAAGGCTCTATAGAAGATCCACGGATGATGAATCCAAGGAGAAAACGACGTGTAGGGCGGCTTGCGAACACCTCTCGAGCATAGCCGCAGAACTTGACTAACTCGTCCGTCTGTCTTCCTGGTATTTTGCTGTGTTTTTGCTCTGATATTACTTGTATACCATTCCGGTTGTATTGCCTGTTGCTAGTGGAAGCACCAAGAGAATCCATGAAGACATCAGGCTTGCGTCTGGACGCGGAATTTGCGGATAATCTGTCCAGCGCTCGCCAACAACGTACTGATTCACCACATCAGGGATCCGCTGGGCCTCATCCGATTATGGCTTTCCTCAAAGTACTTCTCATAGAAGACTCTAGTATCTGTGTAAGCTGTTGATTTCTTGAAGTATTCGTTCATGAACATCGTCGTGAGTCGCTTCTTGGGAACTTTGGGAGGAGTTGGACTTGCAAGGCGTGCTGAAGGGATGTTTATCAACTACACTTGGAACCGTTAATGTGTGCGTAGTTCGAAGCAAACAGGGGGGCTGTGCGGATTTCTTGATCCGTTCTATGATAACCAATCTGCTTAAATGGTGGAATAAATGTGTCGGCTTTGAAGCTGCTGGACTGGATATAACAGCCGAGACTGTGGGAACTTCTAGAAGGGTTCCGGTGCCCCTTTGGATGCGTTCTTGGAGAGTAGAGTAAACGCCATAAGCCTCCGCGCATTTGCGAATTGATGGGAATTCTCGATCTCGAAAAGCTTGTATAGCTTCAGCAATTGCACTTTCATTTACAGGAGGCATATTGAAAAAGAATCCATCGTTGTTGGATTTATTTGCGTTGCCAAATTAATCTATCTATCTAGCCATAGTTATCGTATATCTTGAGGTGGCCGGAAAGTGGGGTGACCGGCAAGAGGGTGCTTTGACTTATAATATAGAGTCCTACCATCTCAGACCACTCAGATTCGGAAATATAACGAGCAATATTAAATTTTGGTACTCGAATATCCTCTTCATCACATACTGGACAGTTAAGTACTCCAAAGAGTTTTCCGAAGTTATCTTCCATCCTGCTAGCGTTTTGATGCCTTTACAAAAAGCAGGGCATTAAGACACATTCTGCAAAAGAAGGAAAGGAAAGGTATTCTGCAAAGGTTATGTGTTCCCTATAGCACATTGCCATCTAGTCACCTCTACTCCGTAGTCTAGGAGCAATCAGTGCAACTAGTGAGTTTCAACAATCGATGAGGGCTGCAATAGTTGCTGTTATCTATTAAAAATCATGGTTATCTAAACGAAATTCTACCAAGGCAAAGAGGTGTAGAGAGCGTATGTATCTGACGACTTTGTAAGGGCTGTCCTAATTGAGTAATATGAGGGTTCCAGTGAAGACTTTATCCTATCGGTATACTGAGGAGCTAAAGAGAGCGGTGTTAATAAACAACTGACTTCTCGTCCAACTGGCCTCCTTCCTTATGACTCCGGATCCGTTGGGAGCAAGTCGATGTCCAGTGAGAGCCGGATGGCAGGAACTATATATGGCGCACGATGGTTGGCGTTCCAATGGAACTTGCGCCAATTCGAGATTTTCTGGCTGTCAATGCAATTTCCATCTTCACCTCAGCCTGGATTCCCCTGAGCCCAGCCTGGATGGTAGGAGGTGATAAGGAATGTACCAACAACGAATTAATGTCAAAAGGCGAAACCAAGGCCAACCCAATAATGCCACTGGTACCTGATACTACGAAGAATCGAATGTAAACGAGTAGTGATCACTTGAACCGGATGACTTGAAATAGAAATTGGTTGTAGAGAATGTTGATTTTGGTGCGGTACGTTACCCCTGACTACCATGGTACATATTAACCGCCCCTCGCTGCTGGACGGAAGGGGGCAGTGTAATCTGGCGCTCATTATGGATATGGCAGACGTGAGAGGGACTAGTCTAGGTATGGACTGGAGTGGACTGAACGTGAAATCTAGGATGGCTTAGATGTCTTACCGTCCACAAACGGCATCACATCAAGGAGGCCGCCGCCGCTTGGACGTGTTAGTCGTATCCTGCCTTGGATGTCGTGGTGACCTATACTCGTAGGGAGGCGTGTATCGTTCTGATGTAACTGCTAAAGAAAGAGTCCCTTTAATGTGATCCCCAAGCGTAATAGGAGGGCGAAGTCAAGTATCCATTGAATCTATAATACAAGATCGACATGCAGACTCGATTCGCCATGTGACGGTATGCATGTGCACCATTGAGTCTGACCAACGCCTCGCGAAACTCGCCATGAAATACGTGTAACAAAATGAAAGGACCCCGGGGCACACCGATGTGCTGGTATGTCCCACCACTAATTGTATTGCATATACGTCGCCGTCGAGTTGAACTTCAAATTGCCCTTGATCACTTTATCCACCGCGGCCAGGAAATCCTTCTCCGTCGCCACCTTTCTCCTCGCGCGGATCGCGAACATCCCCGCTTCGGTTGCCACGCTCCGCAGCTCCGCGCCTGTGGAGTTGGGGCACAGGCGAGAGATGAGCTCCCATCGGATGTCGCGCTCGACGGACATGCTCTTCGCGTGGATACGGAGGATGTTCGCGCGGCCTTCGTTGTCCGGGAGGGAGAATTCGATCTTGCGGTCGATGCGGCCGGGACGCATTAGTGCCGGATCCAAAGTGGATGGGCGATTGGTTGCGAACATGACCTTAATATTGCCTCTTGAGTCGAAGCCGTCGAGTTGCGTGATCAGCTCCAACATCGTCCGCTGCACTTCGTTGTCGCCACCGGCTCCGTCGTCGAAACGCGCTCCACCAACGGCATCGATCTCGTCGAAGAAGATGATGCAGGCCTTCTTTGTACGGGCCATCTCGAACAGCTCTCGGACCATTCTGGCACCCTCTCCAACGTATTTCTGCACCAGTTCGCTACCGATGACTCGGATGAAGGTTGCATCGGTCCGATTGGCGACAGCTCGTGCACAAAGCGTTTTGCCGGTTCCGGGGGGTCCATAGAGAAGAGCGCCTTTCGGGGGGTCGATGCCCAGATTGACGAATCGCTCCGGCGAAAGCAAGGGCATCTCGACAACTTCTCGTAGCTTCTCAATCTGCTCTTTACATCCTCCGACATCACCATATGTCACGTCGGGCTTGTCCTCGACCGTCATCATCGTCACGCTGGGGTCGATCTTCGGTGGCAACGGTAGCAGAATCTGGTACTTGTTCCGATCAACGCTGTGATGTTGTCAGTTTGAGCGGAACGTCTGTTAGGATAAGATGAACGTACCCTACGCGCATGCCTTCTTCGATATCTGTCGGGCTCACCCGCTCCCCGAGGTTCACCACGAACTTCGCTATCTGCTTGACGTTGATCACGTATTTGCTCTTTTCGGGGTCTTTCTCGTCTTGTATGATCTTCGTGCATCGTGCTACCTGAAGAGGCTGCTCTTCCTGCATTCTCTGACGGTCCGCTGCGATGTCCCATAGATGTGGTGGTGCAAGACCCGTGTCGGATTCCTAGTGGTGATGATGTTAGTTGGATTTACTTGGGCTATTCAAAAGCATTTACCTTGACACCTGATTGAGTTAGCTTGATGGTGGTTGCAATAGGCAGCTTAGGTACTAACCGATCTTCTCATTCACGCTCGTTTGCCTCTCTTTGATGTCCTTCTCCAACTTCTTGATCTCCGCCGCATATGGAGCGGCGCCGTAGGTCTTTAGAACTTGGATATCCCTATGATGAATCAGCCTCAGCCCATCGATAATCGCCATATCCACTCACTCATCTGATAACGGGGTGATCTTCTTCTCCGGCTCCTCATCGTCCGCGAAGTTCTTCTTGTACTTCTCCCAGCTCGACCCGGTTGCGCTAGGCATGTTGGGCAGAGGTCGCGGTTGTCGGATTCGGGATTCGGGGGTTTGGGGATACTGTCTTGGGAAGGGTTCAAAGATGAAAGGGTCGACAACCAGGGATGTAGAGTGTCGAAGGATAGGGTAAAGTCGGGCGTGAATGAAGCAGTACTGTAGTTGTTGTTCGAGGAGGAGCTGTCCTGTTAGTAACAGTCGTGCTAGGCTTCACATGAGTGATGAGGCGACAAGGATCACGTAAACCAATGCCAAGCCTGCGTTCCTGCTGTTCGAACTTATATCACGTGCATTCTACGACATTCCTCGCGCTTAATGGAGAGCTTGGAGCTTAAGCGCGCGCTTGTAAATTTTACTTGCGGAGTTCAGGCTACACACTCGAACAAGAGTCCAACCTCAACCACATCTCATCCTCCCCGATACACTCTCGTTTTCTTCACAGTATTGGGACTCTAGTATTCTATTTCCCCAAACACAACCGTCAAAATGGCAACAGCTCAGGTTGCTAGTGGTGGGAATGCGGCGTTCAAGGTATGTACACGACTGGATGGGCAAGGAGCTCGACTGATCGGTTCTAGGACAAGGAAAAGCCGACGGCAGTACGGACGTCGAATATATTGGCTGCTCGAGGTAAGAAATGGTCTAGGGATAGGGCACTTTGGAACTGTACTAACTCCAATGCCAGCGGTCGCCGATGCCATCAGAACGGTAGGGTCTTCCACACCATATTGAAATTGGTCACATTGATTCTGAGCTTTCCAACAGTCTCTCGGTCCCAGAGGAATGGACAAAATGGTAGGTGGCATCATGTCGATCTACTCTCCATGTGCTAATACATAGTAGATCCAAACGGGAAAAGGCGAGACGATCATTGTAAGCAGCGAGTTATTCTGCCAACCATGGACATTTACTCAACATCCCATCAGACGAACGATGGCAACACCATGTTACGAGATATGAGCGTGATGCACCCCGCGGCGAAGATGCTCGTGGATATGGCGAATGCACAGGATATCGAGGCGGGTGACGGAACCACATCAGTGGTGGTAATTGCAGGAAGCTTGCTGGGCGCGGCGGAAAAGCTCCTATTGAAAGGAGTCCATCCTACACTCGTATCCGAGGCCTTCCAAAGGGCAGCAGGAGCCGCCGTCCGAGTCCTACACGATATGTCGCTGCCCATATCTCTTGCTGACCGAGCCACCCTCCTGAAAGCGGCCTCGACTTCCCTCTCCTCCAAAATCGTGGCTCAAGAACCGAAACTGGCTCACATGGCCGTGGACTCGGTGCTGAAGGTCATCGACCGCAAGACTGCTGAGAACGTGGATCTCAACAACATTCGGATATTGAAGAAGCCCGGCGGTACCATCGAGGACAGTGAGATGGTGGACGGACTTGTTCTGTCGCAGCCAGTGATTAAAGGTGCTGGAGGCCCATCAAGGATGGAGAAGGCCAAGATTGCCCTAATTCAGTTCCAGCTGAGCCCGCCAAAACCCGACGTGCGTATCCTGTCGAAATACATGGATTGGAGGCTAACAGTGCGTAGATGGAGAACCAGATCGTCGTCAATGACTACAGGCAGATGGACAAGATCTTGAAGGAAGAGCGAACCTACCTCTTGAACATGGTGAAGAAAATCAAGAAGGCGAAATGCAACGTCCTCTTGATTCAAAAATCGATATTGCGGGACGCCGTGAACGAGCTCAGCCTGCACTTCCTTGCCAAGCTCAATATCCTTGCGATCAAGGAGATCGAGCGAGATGAGGTCGAATTCATCTGCAAGGTATGTATCGTAACGTGATTATGAGTTGATGCAATTCTGACCTGCCACAGAGTACCGGATGCAAGCCCATCGCGGACATTGATTCCTTCACGGAAGACAAGCTCGGCTCGGCCGACCTGATTGAGGAAGTGTCCAGCTCAGGAGCTCGATACGTGAAAGTCAGCGGCGTCAAGGCTGCAGCCCAAACGGTGTCCATCGTCGTCCGTGGTGCCAACTCGCTGGTGCTGGATGAAGCGGAGCGAAGTCTGCATGACGCACATTGTGTCATTCGATGCCTGGTCAAGAAGAAGTAAGTTCTCTCAAGGTTCCCGCGTTGGCCGTATCACTAATGTACGCAGGGCATTGCTTGCTGGAGGTGGCGCTCCGGAAATCGAGATCGCCCACAATCTGGCCAATGAAGCCCGGTCGCTCAGCGGAACCGAGGCGATCTGCTGGAGAGCCTTTGCGGACGCGATGGAGGTCATTCCGACTACGCTGGCGGAAAATGCCGGGTTGAGCTCGATCAAGGTGGTCACGGATCTCAAGCACCGTCACGCATTGGGGGAGCAAAATGCCGGAGTCAGCATCAAGACTGGCGGCGTCAAGAACAACATTGCGGAGGAAAACGTGCTGCAGCCGCTGCTGGTGAGCACGAGCGCGATCGAGCTGGCGGCGGAAACGGTGAAGATCCTGCTACGTGTGGATGACTGGGTGTTGTCGAGATAGGTTCAAATAGATCCACGGGATGTGTGAGCAATAGATCGATACCCCAACAGTGCACATCAATGGAACCGATCTCAACATGCAGAGTCCTTGAACTGGATCATCGCTTTTTGTTCATTTTGCTACCGATAGGAATCTAATGACAGCTTCGTGCCGTCAAACTCAACGCCTGAATGCCTCCGATGCAGCTAGAATGACAGATAGGAAATGGATCGCTTAAGAAGACGCAACAAGATCCTTCTTGAGGGTCCCGAGGTAGTTGCGCTTCTCGGCGGGGGTTTGGTAAGCACCGTGTCCGAACTTAGACGATGTGTCGATCCATTTCAACTCCACCTTCTCCAGCGCCCGTCGGCTGGTGTGCGTGAACATCGACTTGCGGAGAGTCATGACTCGCTTCCGGACACCGGGAATGGAGCCCTTGAGGAGAACGAAGTCGTTCTTGACCTCACCGTATCGGACGAAGCCACCCATGCTATAAGGATTGTCAGTAGTTATTCGAATGCATTGATGCACAAAACTTACGGAGTGATCTGCTTCTTGGAAACGTCGAAGTCGGTTGACGCGTTGCCATCATCTGTGCCGTTGCCAACACGGTAGACCTTGTGGTTGACGGAGGTACGATGATGGTAACCCTTCTGACCGGCACGAGCGACGGTCCACTGGACGTGGGACGGATGCCACGCACCGATACACGCGACCTTTCGGAGACCCTTGTGCGTCTTGCGTGGCAACTTCTTGGTGCCCCATCGCGACGTGACGCCGCTGAATCCATCACCCTTGGTGACGGCGATGCAGTCGATCATCTCGTCCTTCTCGAAGATGGAGCCGACCTCGACGGGCTTCTCGAACAGTCCGTGGCCGAAGTCGACCTTGTCGGCGATGCTGCCGCCGTTGATCTGGATCTCCATGAGATGGGCCTTCTTCTGCTTGAGCGGGGTCTTGCCGATCTGGGTGTGGGCGAGGACGCGGACGACGGTGCAGTACTTCTTGATGCGCTCGAGCTCGCGGATGACGGATTGGCCCTTGCTCTCGGAGTGCTTCTTGGCGTACTTGGTGAACGCCTTCTTCTTGCTCTTGTACCAGTTCTTGTAGAATCGGCGGCGGAGCTCCTCGCTGAGATGCTCGGCCCAGACGGTGGTGAGGGATCGCAGGCCGCGGGGAGTCTCAATGTAGCCGACAACACCGACAACGATCATCTAAAATTCGCAATTAGCCATGTCCTTATCCTTGACCGCGACTTGACCGCGAGATGACATACCGGAGGGGTCTCAACGACGGTAACGGCCTCGACGATTTCCTTCTTGTGCAGCTTCGCACCGGGTCGGTCCAAGTCTCGCACGATGGTGGTCATGCCAGCCTTGTAGCCCATGGTAGCGGTGAGATGGACGGGCTTCTTGGGATCATCCTTAGGGAAGCTGTCGATGACTCTCGTTAACAATTGCCCATATCAACCAATCTTTTCATCTGGAAGCGCACCTCTTAACCCGTCCTCTATGGCGGGCTGCTCGCTTGCGCGGCAAGAATGCCAGCGAGCCATGACGAGGCGCCTCGAACTTCCTGTGAGACATTGCGAATTTACCGTCTCGAAAATTGGGTGGGAGAGGTTGTTCACGATGGAGGAGATGCGATCGAAGCGTTCAAGATTCGACAGGTGTGGGTGGGAGTGAAATTCGCTAACATTTTGGCGGGCAAGGGACTGAGAGGGATTATAGTTTTTCCGGTTGCTCTCAGTGTGTTAGCACAGCCGCCTCCCGCGCGGCTGAAAATGTCCGATGATTGGTCCATTTGTCCTGGTTCCCGCCCACCACTTCCGGCGAATGGCGCTATGGTTTAATAAGGTTTAATACACAGACTAAGTGTGTAAGTTACTGTACGGTACGTGCGATTACCGCGATACTTGTCTGCCAGCTCTTCCTCCCCAGTCCCCACACTGTCACCGCTGCTACATCCATCTTCGCTGGAGCTTCTCAAAGTCTCACTTCTGCAAACATCCCTTACTGTCTTGCATGTTCTCCGCTCATTCGCTACCGTTCAGTTCGAGTGGAATCTCCGGACGCCAAACTCCATCCTCGAATCCCGCCCTCTCATCGGCCTTGCCGCCATCAGCCCAGATTTGCGTCACATCAGCCGCCGCATCCAAACAGCTCCCTCCTGGCGAGCAACACGTCCTTCCCCGAATCTCTGAGAATACGGAACTGTGGGAGTTCCTGCATCACTGGTGTTAGCTTGTGCATGCTTTGCATTGGTGCAGCTTAAGGGCTTGTTGGTGCCGCATCGGGCAAGATGGTCGAGACCGAAGGCAGTCCCACGACGTGGAAGTTTACACAGTACGTTCTCTCAAGCATCACGGTTCGACGGCATCACCATGGAAGAGATTGCAGCTTGTCATAGGAGGATATCGATATGGGGCTCCTTTGTTTAGTCACCATATTACCCCCACTTCTTCATTCCGGCGATATTTCTATCCAATATCGCAAATGTTTGGACATGAGACTGACAGTGGCCCAGATGCTTCGGTGACAAGGGCGATGTTGAAGATATCACAGAAGGTATAGCACTTTGAACTCTACCACTCGGATGGTCTCTGACTTTATTGGACTAGCTGATATCATCTCAACGGTTGAATTCGACCAGACCGGCAACTATCTAGCCACCGGAGACAAAGGAGGTCGAGTGGTCCTATTTGAGAGGAACGAGACGGTATGTGTCAAATTCCACCGGGCACAAGGGATAGGAGCCATTTCTAATGTCTTGTATAGAAGAAAACCTGCGAATACAAATTCCACACCGAATTCCAGTCACATGAACCTGAGTTTGACTATCTCAAGTCATTAGAGATCGAGGAGAAAATCAACAAGATCAAGTGGTGCCGTCGGCAAAATGCATCGCATTACCTCCTATCCACCAATGACAAGACCATCAAGCTATGGAAGGTGTTCGAGAAGTCCCTGAAAGTGGTGGCGGAGAACAACCTTTCTCATGACCTAACCCCAGGCAGTGTGACCGGTGGTGGAGGTCCAGTCCGAAATCCTACGCAGCAGTTCCGAGCGGCTTCTGACCTGAAACTTCCTCGACTTACCCACCACGATACTGTCGTCGCCGCGGTTCCACGGAAGACGTATGCCAATGCACATGCGTACCACATCAACAGCATATCAGTGAACAGCGATGGCGAAACATTCATCAGTAGTGATGACCTCCGGGTCAACTTATGGAACCTTAATATCCAAGACCAGAGCTTCAACATCGTCGACATCAAGCCGGCGAATATGGAGGAGTTGACTGAGGTGATCACGGCGGCGGAGTTCCATCCGCAGAGCTGTAATTGGTTCATGTATGCCAGCTCCAAGGGGACCATCAAACTTGCAGATATGCGTGAAAGCGCGTTATGTGATCAACATGCGAAACGTAAGGGTTGATTCCTCATTGAAGCTAATATGAGTACTAACTTCGCGCAGAGTTTGAACAGGAGGAAGATCCCTCCTCGCGCTCCTTCTTCTCCGAAATCATCTCCTCCATATCTGACGTTCGATTCTCCCATGATGGCCGATATATCCTTTCCCGTGATTACCTAACAGTCAAAATCTGGGATGTCAACATGGAAAAGACGCCGATCAAGACCATTCCGATTCATGAGCACCTCCGACCCCGCCTCTGCGACACGTATGAGAATGACAGTATCTTTGATAAATTCGAGGTGGTTTTCTCGGGCGACGCCAAGAATGTCATGACCGGCAGCTACAACAACAATTTCATGATCTATCCATCCGACCCCACGGCAGACACCGAGGTGGTCCTGCAAGCTGACAAATCAGCATTTAAGGCGAAGAAGGTAGGCATTCCGACACCGATGAACTCCACCAGCCCTTCAGGAGGGAAGAAAGGCGGGTCTCGGGCAGGAAGCCCGGCAGCTGGTGCGGTTGGACAAAGCCAACGGATGCGCAAGGAAACCGACGCGGACGCAATCGACTTCAACAAGAAGATTCTCCACATGAGCTGGCATCCATTCGAAGATAGCATTGCCATTGCGGCAACTAACAATGTAAGATCCCTGATGATGTGCGACTCCTTTTCCTGGCCTCTAACCGAAGCAGCTGTTCGTCTTCTCCGCGCTGTAATGTCCTGCATGAGATGGCACTACCGAGACAGCATTCTGAAGTGGCCTCGCCCGCTTCCCTGGCTCTCATGGCTAAAGCTCATATACCACGAGGTAATAATGTGTCGGCTGCGAACACTCCGCATATGTTTAGAACTCGAGATTCGAGGCTCGGACAGAATGAAGTATTCGTCAAATGGCTATCATGCAAAGTTATGGATGCGTCCAAGAGCCATGTCTTTCTGGGGATAGAGATAGAATGAACCGTTTGAATGAAGCCAGATGAAGTGATATCAGTGATGATCTGCGAAACCCTGCCAGATGTTCTGACATGCAGGACCAGGTATGAGCCACGAGAGTTCCTGCATATTCGTTAAATCTGCCCAATGAAATATCCATAAGTATCTGTGAAGGTTAATAAGCTAATTAATTCTATGGATATTTATTGTTTTCGCATCTTTGGCAGTGTGTTCCGCAAACCAGGAGGGTCTAGACTCTGGAAGTGATGAAAGGACCAAACCACACCCCATGTGGCAGCGATAAAAAGTCCGTGTCATCATCCACTTTGCCCAATGCCCCCCATGTCCGGTCCACCCTGAACTACATGTCCAGTCACGTAAACACATCGCCTTTATTAATCTTACACCAATTTTTTAGAGGTTACTGGTCACCTCCAATTGACTTTCCAATGGGTTCTTGGAGATAACTTAGGCAATTTCTGATTGCAATGAGATCTGGCGAGGCATTTCCTAAGGAGACATAAGATCATCGGGGCATAGCTAGAAGAGATGGCAACAATAGCGACTTCGTGCGGCATCATTGCCCTAATATTTGGTGGCTGCTGCTCAAATGTATGAAACAAGATCGTCCCTAGGTTTCGATCATTTGTTGACGGTGTAATAGGTCTACGCCCTCGAGGCAATCCTTAAGTATGTCTTACGCTCTGGTTTCGGAAAAACTTACTAACGGCTCGATGTAGGCGAGATCCCGAAAGCGGTAATGCGCATCTACAGGAAATTTGACAAACAGAGCTATTTTTCTAACATTGGAGGATCTAGGTCTTCTGGTCACGTTGATGCAATTCGTGATCACCGCGCTTGCAGCTCTCCCAACCCAATATGATCCCAACAGCAGGTTCTTCCTCAAGAAGACCGCGGCGCCGATCCGGAAATGGGCCATGAGTGCGCTGATGTTCTTTGCAGTCAACATGCTCAACAACTGGGCTTTCGCGTTCAACATCAGTGTCCCTGTGCATATCATTCTCCGGAGCTTCGGAAGCGTGACGACTATGGGTGCCGGTTGGGTCAGAGGGAAGAGGTATTCTCGGATCCAGGTCATTTCAGTCCTTCTATTGACTTTCGGGGTGATCTTGTCGGCGTGGGCCGATGCGCTGTCCAAGGTACGTGCAATTGCCTCTCTAATTCTCGGCTTGTATTGACATTCGTCCTAGGGCAATAGGATGGACACGGCTGATATCAAGGTCACGGATACATCATTCGAGATGGGCCTCCTCATCCTTCTGGTGGCGCAAATCCTCTCCGCATTCATGGGAATCTATGTTCAAGAGACGTTCAATGAGTATGGCAAGGCTTGGGACGAGAATCTCTTCTACTCCCATTTCTTCAGTCTTCCCCTGTTCATCCCGCTGCAATCCAGTCTCATGACGCAGTACGCGACGCTCGGCTCATCCGCACCGATGGCCATCCCCCCATCCATCGCGCTCACGATGCCGTTCTTCCTCCAGAAGATCCTCCTCCACCTGCCGCGGTCGGTCTTCATGCTTTTCCTCAACGCCATCACGCAGCTCCTGTGCATCAGCGGCGTCAACCTGCTGAGCGCCAACACGTCCGCCGTGACCGTGACCATCGTGCTGAACATCCGCAAGCTGGTGAGCTTCATGCTCAGCATCTGGCTCTTCGGGAACAAGATGAGTGGGCTGATGATGCTGGGCGCGTTCGTGGTCTTTGGATCGGGGGCGCTATATGGGTGGGAGACGAGCATCGGAATTCCGAGACGGCGGGCCAAGGGGAGACCTAAGGTAGCGGGGAAGAAAGAGCTCTAGAGTAGAATTATAGCACAGCATCATAGAATCATAGAATCCGACTGGTCCTGCAGCCGCTATCGAGGTTCCCCAACCTCTGCATCCTATTGTGCTGTGTATAAATATGAACTGATGCCTCAGGCACTAAGGCAGGGACATATTCATACACCAATTGACGGAGGCGGACATGTTTACAAGCTCACAGCTGATTAGGTAGGAAGATGGTCAGTTTACAAGAATAGATCTCCATGTTGCCATAAGAGACACAAGGTAAGAATATCGAATTGTAGTGAGCTGTATGAATTTCCCGTATGAATTTCCCGAAGCTGAACATGTGTTTGGACGAATACGAACCACCTCCTTGCAGGGAAGTCGCCAGGGGTTGACGACGTCGGTCAAAAAAGTCAGGAGCGGCTCACGTTCTGACCAGATCGCACCTTCCTCCACTTCCTCACCCTCTGGCATTTATTCTTCCATTTCATTCATTGCCTTCGTTCATTTCATTCACCTTCTTTGTTTTAATGATTGGGTCTTTTTCGATCTAAGTTCCTAGGAGGTGTGCCAATCTCCATTCCCTGGGACTGCTTTCAAGCTAACCGGAGCAGCTAAGGTTGACCCTAACAGCTGTCTATCCATTGCCGTCTGCTGCCTACGGCAATGTCGTCGAATACAGACACTCTTCGACATCGAGGCCCGCAAGGCTCTAAGAAGCGGGGGACAACTCCCGTTCCTACCACACCTCGCCCTTCGAAGGATGCTGAGATCGCATCAAAAGCAAAGCCGAAGGTGGTGAAGCAATCGGTCGGGTCGGAATGGGACTACAAGTTGGCCCTGACGCTGATCACTATACTGGCGTTCATCACCCGCTTTTGGCATATCAACCATCCAGATCAGGTGGTGTTTGATGAGGTCCATTTTGGAAAGGTGCGCGAACTTGTCATTCAAGGAGTTGAACATCCTCTGGCTAACCAGAACAACAGTTCGCATCCTACTACCTCCAACGCACATACTTCTTCGACGTGCATCCGCCATTTGGGAAACTTCTATTCGCATTTGCTGGGTGGCTGGTGGGATATAAGGGCGAATTCTTATTCGATAACATCGGCGACTCCTACATTGCCAACAATGTCCCCTACGTGGCATACCGTGCGATGCCCGCAACAATGGGAGCGCTCACGGTCCCGACAGTGTTCCTCATTATGTGGGAATCGGGATACTCGCTCCCTGCGTGCATAGTTTCGGCCGGGTTGTTGCTCTTTGATAACGCGCATATCGGCCAAACTCGCCTCATCCTCCTTGATGCGACGCTGGTGTTCTTTATGGCAGTGAGCGTTCTTTGCTACGTCCGATTTTACAAG